ATTCCTGCAGGCCGTTTATTGAAACGCTTGGGACTGTGGCATTGCCATTGGCACAGTGGCACACCTTTGCGCTATAATTCTGTTAGGGGTTGGTGTGTCACATATGCATTTAAAAGCAGTGGCGGCTGTGGGTGCCATGCTCAGTAGCAGTAGCAGTGGCAGCTGTGGGTGCCATGCTCAGTAGCAGTAGCTGCTGGAGTGCTGTGCTCATGGGGTACAGACTAACAGTACTCTTGCTGGCATTGCCTATGCACAGGAAAGGGAACTGCTAGCAAGATATCCAGGCCTGGCCGGGGCATTAGCTTCAGCAACACATGATGTATTGTATACACTTCTCGGTGTCGAGTGTGTTTGTACGTGTCGCCTTGTATTGTGTGTATTGTACGAGATGGTCTGTCAATATGTCTCCATTTCCAGGGCTATTCAATTGGAGCTATTCCTTAAGCAGACGAAGCAGGTCAGTGATTCAATGTGTTCTTTTTCCAGCTCAGAAGCTGCGCTGAGCTAGTTGGATGTGTCTGCATGTGTGTGTTGTGCAAGGTTGAGAGATTATAATGTTCATGACATACTCATCTTGTGCTTGTTAGGTGGCGTTTTCCACTGTAGCTGCTGCTGCTACTCACGACACTCACATGTTTGTTGTGATGCTTTGCATACACGAAGTACTTGTACTCTGCTCGCCTGTTTGGAGAAATGGCTCGAATGAGTGTGTAAAATAATGTAAAATGTAAATGATATGCCCATGCCTTAGCTGGGTGGGCCTGCGTGTTTGTACGTGTGTGTGTGTGTGTGTGTGTGTGTGTGTGTGTGTGTGTGTGTGTGTGTGTGTGTGTGTGTGTGTGTGTGTGTGTGTGTGTGTGTGTGTGTGTGTGTGTGTGTGTGTGTGTGTGTGTGTGTGTGGTGTGTGTGGTGTGTGTGTGTGTGGTGTGTGTGTGTGTGGTGTGTGTGTGTGTGTGTGTGTGTGTGTGGTGTGTGGTGTGTGTGTGGTGTGTGTGTGGTGTGTGTGTGGTGTGTGTGTGTGTTGGGTTCATGTTTGTGTACTTGTATATGTGTGCATGTGTGTGTTTCTGCTGTATGTGTGTCATATGTATGTGCATGTGTGTGTGTGTCTGTACCGATTATGCTGGGGGTACATGTGTATGTACAGGCGCGGTGGATGTACCAACAAGCAACCAAGGCACTACCATTGTGTGCATCCATCTGGACTGAGGTGTGTGCTCATAACATTGACAGTTCTCTGTTGATCCAAGTCTCACTTCTTTCTCTGTAGTTTTCAAGTTTGACATCAAGTTTCCTACGCTAACTTGCTCCTGCACGCGCACACACGTACACACGTGCGCGTGCGCACACACACACACACAAGTGCACACTGTCCTAGCGATATTTCATTCCTTGTTTCTATGTGTGTGTGTGTGTGTGTGTGTGTGTGTGTGTGTGTGTGTATGTGTGTGTGTGTGTGTGTGTGTGTGTGTGTGTGTGTGTGTGCGTGCGCGCGCGTGTGTGTGTATGTGTGTGTGTTGCAGTATTTGCTGTTTGAACTGGCGCATAGCCCCCTGAACAAGTCCTGGATAGCTGTGCAGAGCAAGGCAGCTGAGTTTGGCGTCAACATCAAGATCAAGGCAACTTGAGAGCGGCTGACAGGCCAGCAGTATCTCAGTGTCTCTGTGCGGGAAACCGCTGTACCGTGCCGCACAGGGTCGCTTCGCAGCGTAAGCAACCTCGGGGTACTTCTTACACAGTCCCATTGTCACATGCCCATAATAGCTTGCACTAGAGACAGCAGGCTGGCAGCACAAGTCCACAAGCATCAAGATGGCTTTGAGCACTTCATCAGCCTGCCTGCATGGCTTGGTTGAAACCGTAGCTAGCACCGCCACCAGCACCACCACCGCCGGCGGCAAGGCAAGTATTGGGTGTGCTTGAGATGTAGTTCAGTAGTTCAATAGTGGTGTAGTACACATGCATGCAGCCTGGCAGATAGGCCATTATGCATGCACTGGCTGTTTGCATACAGTGTGTGTTAGTGCTGCCTGTGCGCTGTTCAGTCAGGGGTTTTAGTGGCGATCGCGTCCTCTGTTTCAATTCGCATGTCCACACACACACACACACACACACACACACACACACACACACACACACACACACACACACACATGCGCACATGCGCACAACGCAGTCACATGGATACGTTCACGCGAGCACGTGGACCCACGGGCGCGGTCGTACAACACACGCATGTGCACGCACGCGCCCACGTTCGTCTCGGAGCAGTACATATATGTGCAAACCTGGTATCTGTGTAATGTCAGTGCGCTGAAGGTGTTATTCATGGACAGCGCAGACATAGTATGCACTATATTCACGTGTACACACGTATAAACTTCAAATTAGTTGACCGAGTTATCTTACTACATAAAGGCGGCGAGTCTTGCGGGTCTTTTAACATATTAAATACAAAAATAACCTCAAAGTAGCATTCGTCGGTGTTGGAAAATGTGCCTTTTATTCTCCAAGCTGAGCCTCCCAGCTCATCGCCATACAGTTTTATACGGTTTTACCAATCAAGCTCCATCTCCCCCGACCTTTTTTTTTTCTTTTTTTAAGTGCCACCTTTTGAACTCCATGTAATATCGTGCCCTATTTTATTATCATCGCCCCTGGTCGCCAGTAGTAGTTGATTGCGTAAAGCAGGATGTCGGTACTTATAGCCGTAGTTGGTATTGTGTGTAAGTAGGTTGTTGGTACACATAGCTGTGCCTGGTATTGGTGATTTTCCCTGCGAGAATTGCCAGCACTGGCTCTGCTGTTGTGTGCCAATAGGGAAGAAGTCTGGGAGCCTTGAATTTGAAGGGATGGCCAGTCACACTGTCTCGCCCCTATTTCTTTCTTTTTTTTCTTTTTTTTTGCTGCGTTACCAACTATTTTTAACCTCTTCCTTTGTGCGGTGTATGATATTTGTTGTGTTGTCACTTTTATAAGATCCACTGAAAGAGAACAAGAACGTGTGTTTGTGGGTGTGCATGTACCGGTATGTGTTTGTAGCAGTGACGTGCGTGTGCGTGTGCGTGTGTGTGTGTGTGTGTGTGTGTGTGTGTGTGTGTGTGTGTGTGTGTGTGTGTGTGTGTGTTACATGTGTTTGTGGATGGGGCTGATTTCAGTTGATACTGAATGTGGCAAGAAAGAGCCATGGGTGTGTGTGTGTGATCCCTGGTAGCCTAATCTGTAGGGCACTGTCCCGGAAAGGGTGCTGGGTTCGAATCCCGCTCATGGATCCTTCTTTTGCAACATGAAGCAGACCCGTTACTATGGTTGCCAGTATGCTTCACAGTCTTATACTATAGCTTAGGGCATGTTCGATTGGTAGGATCGGGATCCAGATCCACTGGTTCGCACCCTTTCGCTTGGTCGAATCCGGATCCGGTCAACCCACCTCGGGGAGCAGGCCTGCAGGCCAGGGTTGACCGGATCCAACGGATCCAAATGCGACCTTTGTGCGTATATGGAGGGTAAAATCATTAATTTTTTGTACACATTGTGGTACACACACACGTGGATCTGGCGAGGTACTCTTGTTGACTTTTCGTACGACGCGCCCCATGCATGACTACGACTTTCACCCTTTTGCAAGTTTTGGGTGACTTGTTATTACTTCGTCAACATGGCAACAGTCAAGGCCCAAGATAAAGTGTCCAGTTGACTCTGAAGGATCCGACGGATCTGAGATCTGGATCCCGACCCTACCAATCGAACATGCCCTGACACAGCTCACATCATCTATGTAAAATAGTAGACCCGATGAATATGGCCAAAAGTATGTACTCTTGATATGGCGCTATGACGATGAATCTAGAGGTCATGCGCGAGTCGTTAGTGCAAGTGTAGCGCTTTGCCAAGGCATCTCAACTGACGATGTACAGTAGTCGTATATACCCTCTATAGACTATACCAGTAATGCCAAGAGTACCCCTCCACACACACACACACACACACGCACACGCAGAGTATACCCCCGGTCCACAAACACACAGAGTATACCACCCCCTCCGTGGGCCTGGGCTAAACTAAAGACATTTTGGAGCTTTCAATTATCTTGGACCCGGTTTTCGCATAATTTTGGTTTAGAATTTATAGAGACAACAATGATCGGTGGGGTTGCGGATATGAGATCTGTTTTTGCGTTCATTTCCCTTGCAGAATTGCCGCAGAATTTAGAATAGTTTGCAGAGCTTGCACAGAATTTACTGTTTTCAGCCGCAGAATTATGCATGGTATTTCTAATATTCTGCCGCGGAATTCACGGGGACAGATTTTGCCTGAATATTGCGCACCGCGCATGAAACTCGGAATTCCGAGAATAGAATGCCTTGATCCAAAGTTGTTGTTGTTGTTTTGCTTGTTGCTCTGGCTCTTAGCACTTCGTTATGTAATAATTACAATCAATTTTTTCTTCAGACTTTTCCCGTTTATGTCTTTCCCTCAAACTAGTCAAGAATAATTATAATAATTATAGCCTTTACAGTAGTCTTGTCTTCATCGGCAAGAAAGAACTGTGTCCTTAGCATAGTTACCATGGTGCCCAAAAGTGCATGCACTGCACGATCTGGTAGGTAAGTGACGGCGGTTCATAAACTTGGCATGGAAATGGCTAAAAGCAGCTAAGCTCAGACCTGTACCAGCCAGGCAAACCTCTACCAACAAACTGAGAAGAAAAATTAAACAAATATATTATTAGAACGATATCATGCATTCCAAGGCTGCTTCAGCATCAGTAGGCACAAAAACTGAATACCAGAATCACAGCTAAGTTCGTAATAGGAAACTCTCTCTCTCTCTTCTTATCATGATCAGCACATCATCATACAGAGTCTCAAGGTGCTGGGCATTTCGTCGGTGAGGTAGCCAGGTGGAAAAGCAACACGAATGTACGAAAGCAAGAATTCAAGAAAGTATGAGATAAAAGAGTTCACAAACTACGCTCTAATTCCACACTGATTATGGGAACAAGCACAACAAACACGCACTGAAGGAATGGTTCTGACTGGTCCGGAGTCCTTGATCGATACGGAAAAAAATGGAATGACCAAAGGCAGAGACACATTGCGGAACGAGTGCCACGACTAACGCAATGGGAACTGATAGAGAAGTGGCCTGAGAAGAAGCCTATAGATCTTCATCGTCAATTGTGTCAAAGACGCCACCGCGTTGCTCTTCATCTCCACCTGCTCCAACAGTCGACACACCGCCCTGCTGCGAAGTGAGGCCCTGAACGACGAAATTCTTGAAACGATCCTTCATACTGGACTGGCCAAGCTGAGTGTAGGATGACGTGCTGCGGCGCATCTCATTCGATGTTGAACCACCGGCACTCTGTCGCCTGGAGGAGCTCTCCGAAGAGGTGACCGACTGTGATGTCACGGTTGATGACGTTGACGCAGGGCTCATGGGTTCGCTAGAAAACACTTCACCTTCACCTTCGTCTTCATCTTCCGTTTTGTTTGACGGTTTCTTCGTCATCTCCGGCTTCTCTGCCTTTGGTCGACGCACCTCTGGTGGAGTGCCGGTGCTGTCGACGGAGCTGGTCTCAGCTTTCCTGGTCAAGGCTTCCTCCACCTGACGCTTGCACTGAGCGATGTATTCTAAACCAGATCCAGCCAGATTCCTCTTGAATATGTAGGCTTCCAGCGGTTTGCGATGCTTCTCGGCCGGGGTCGGGATAGACACACCGGAGCTTTTAGCGATTAGTTCTGCTACAATGCTACCCAAGCAGCTGCTCATGAAGACGGCCTGCGGTCCAACAAGGCGTACCCACTGCAGCTTGTCCTTGGTGAACAGGTAGTCGAAGGCTAGCTCAAGCTTGGCCTCTTTGGCCAGCAGTGCGGAACTCTCCTGTTCGAGCAGGGTGATCTTCCAGCAACGCATACGAGTTACTTTGAACGCCACTTCCTTGCTCTGCCCGTTGTCCGTCATGATCTGCATGCACAGCTCACGCGGCCCAATGCTTATCGTGGCGCGAGTGTTGCTCTTCGGAAAGTCGGTCAGTACCGGCAGAAACTGGATGTGACCGTAATGGTGCAGGGTCTTGGCTTGTTCAACATACTTCTTGCGATCTCCTTTGCTCTGGATCTGTTTTAGCTGGCGGGCTGTTGCTTTTGGTGCCATGATCCAGCCGTTCTCCAGGTCGGCAACAGTTTGTACAAACAGCAAGTTGCAGCCAACCTTGTCGTCCAGTAGATCCGCATCGTAAACCGGGTCCCAGTACCACTTGCGGATGATGATGCGATAATTGGCGTTGATCTTTCCCACGTCAGCGAGCTGACATGCGTACTTCAGAGACACGTACGGCGCCTCAAAGTCTTGAAGTCGTCGCATCACCAGCTGAGTGTCGTCCTGCTCAACCAGCACCACAAATAGGCCGAAGTAGTAGGTCAGCTTCTCCGGCAGCTCTATCTTGCGTGCCACCGCCTCGAGCACGGCATCAGCTCGCTCCAGTTGCATGACATCCACCGTTACCTTTCTGCCATTGCTAAGATAAATGTCCAGTTCTACCGCCGTGTTCTCCACCCGATAAGCATCCTGCTGACTGCAGAGCAAGAAGTTATTCAGCAGATCACTCTTGGACACGTGCGGGTGCTGGCTAAGGGACTGCATGTACCCCTCTAGCTCTTCACGCCGCTCATCCACCTCGTACGCTGTCAGCGACAAGATCGTCTGTTTCTTACTGGGGAAGGCAGTCAACCCACTCAAATCAAATTCCTCCTTCCTCAACTGTTCGTGAAAGTCGTGCAGCTGGCTGTAGCGCAGTCCGCAGAAGAACACGCCGTTAACGTGCAAGTTGAAATTCGTGTACGTGTTCTTGCCATCCTTCACCTCGGTCGTGTCGGGAATTGAGAAATGCATCGTTGACGCTGTTCTCTATGTGAATGTCCTGTTTCCAGACGAGAATGCTCGGTCGCAAGAAACAAGGGTGTGAACCGCTCCTAGCGATAGCAAACTCCGCGTCTTCAACAGCACTGGGACAACGATTTAGGGCTGACTGTGGCCTCCAAGTCCAAGTCAACAGCTATCACCACCGTCGGTACGGGTATTACGAGGACAATGCTTTCGGGAGATGTCCATACACGTGCTGGAAATTGTGGATGCGGGCATATTTTTCAACAAATCCACCCTAAATTACGAAAGAGGAGTCCAGTAAAGCGTATCTCCAGGCAAGTAGTATAGAGCGCGCCAGGCAAACTGTCCGGTTGCCCTCCTCTCCTCTCCAGACCATGGCAGATGGAGACGAGGCCGAGGCTCGCGCTCCAGAACTCGGCTAAGTAAGTAGTTGCGTCGACATCAACCCGTCAAAACTATTACATGTGAGATGATGTGACGCACATCCAGAGTTCTAATGCACGCAAACAGCACCAGCATTTTTCGGCAGCAACACATGCACAGCACGGATAAGCATGCGCCTGGGCACCTGCCTGTGACCTGGGTAGTATGGACGCCGCCGATATGTCACCGTCCGCGTCAGGTCGGCGAAGGCAGCGACATTGAGTAGTCTTTTGTGGCGCACATGTCACGGTTGTCAGCAGGCGCTAGGCCCTGCGTAGGATGATTGATCTACTCGTGTGTCGTAGTCTACATCACTGATCCATCGCATATCGAGCCACACCTACAAAAATGTGCTAGATACATCATGTACAACAAAGCAGGGCCAGGAGTCGTAAAAGCCCTGCAACAACTATTTCTTGGATGGAATGGTGCCTGGATCACCCCTACTGGGCCCTAGGCCCTCCAAGCCTAGGCCCCGTGGTCGCCCCGGCCACAGTTGGTTCACCGACATAAAAACTGGACCAATGAATCTTACAGTTCTCTCTCTCTCTCGATCTCCTTGCTGCTGATCGTGATAGGCATAGGCAGCTTGTTTATCAGTGTACATGTAGTTAGTTTTTTTCTGTGGTTTGGACATGTAGCAAGGCATCAGGATAGCGACTCCCACTATTTCTTGGATGGAATGGTGCCTGGATCACGGCCCTGTGGTCGCCCCCGCCACATGGTTGGTTCCCCAACATCAAAGACTGGACCAATCTCAGTTACAGTTCTCTCTCTCTCTCTCTCTCTCTCTCTCTCTCTCTCTCTCTCTCTCTCTCTCTCTCTCTCTCTCTCTCTCTCTCTCTCTCTCTCTCTCTCTCTCTCTCTCTCTCTCTCTCTCTCTCTCTCTCTCTCTCTCTCTCTCTCTCTCTCTCTCTCTCTCTCTCTCTCTCTCTCTCTCTCTCTCTCTCTCTCTCTCTCTCTCTCTCTCTCTCTCTCTCTCTCTCTCCCTCCCCCTCTCTCTCTCTCTCTCGTTGCTGCTGATCCTGCTAGGCATAGGCAGCTTGTTTATCAGTGTAGTTAGGTTTTTCTTCTGTTCTCTTGATGCTGCTGCCTTATGATACACATGGCGCCCCTACGACCAGAAATAATGTTAAATTATGGGTTATACATGCATGTGCATACAATGTATGCACATCAAAGTAACATACATACATGTACAACCAACCATCCATCCAGCCAGGGCATGGTCAGGGAGCGGTGAAAACACCCTGCTTGCAGTTTTACAATGCTGCCTAGCTGGGCCTACAAAGTACCGGTACAACCAAGTCCTAGCCGACCTATACTATTTATACCAAGAGTACTCTTGCTAATACTAGGCCACTTTCACCATGGACCCGGGTATAGTCTTGTAGATCATGGTAGATCTCTCTAGCTCTGCAGGAGCTTGCAAGCAGCTGCTGGAGGATGTTAGTCTCCGCTGCTTCTTCGAAGTAACGATATTATTTTAGTTGATCTCCAGTTTTGATTGATTGATTGATTTTTATTTCACGGATCCTCCAGAGGCAAATAGATGCCTATCGAAGGGAGTCTCCTAAGTTACGGGCACTGAGTACTGTAGTGAATGTGCACATCCAGTCCAGACCGTCACAATCATTGCATCGATCAGCAGGCCACTGACTGAGCAGCTAACAGAAAATACCAAGACTGGCGAGAGTACATAACCCGAATAACCAAAGGAGTCATTGATGGTATTGGTGTACATACCGGTAGTGGCATAGTCATCCAAAAGTGCACACACAAACACACACACACTGAGTGTGACACAGACACACACACATGCAGAGACACTGAGACAGTGCAGTGGCACTACATGTAATAGTACAATCATACCACTACACCATTACCAAGCACGGTCCGTGGGGGGGGGGGGGATATCATGAACCCCAAAAAGAATGATAAACCATAGCACACTAGTCACTAGCCAGGCTACAGCAGTCAGTTCACGCAGACATGAGACATCATAAAATTAGACATCCTATAATTTATAAATCCGTGACCGGCATGAGTCCATGGTCACTTTAAAACGTGTACTTGGGGTTGAGCCATCACGTTCAATCAGAGAATCAGCGTGCCGCATGTGTGAAAGTAACCACCGATATAGATTACAGCAACCATGGTATACCTAGGTACCTGTACAGAGAAGTGCTGGTGTCTACAGGCTGTGATTCAGTTGAGCTTTGCTGCTCTGAATCAGTGATACTGTCGGGTTATGGCAATCGCCTCGCCATGCCAACCCCAAAGTTGTAAAATGCTTCCAAGTTTCTCTACCCTTCCCTCCTATTCCAGGCAGCTGAGCTGAAGGTTCAATCCACGGCACAAAGGGGATGATTGGGGTGACCACGAGGCCTCCACACTACACCTAGTATCTGACTGGCATACTACAGTTGTGGCAAGTGAAAAACGGACCATTGGCCATGTACTTAATTGTACATTTGCAGCGCCGAAGGTCTTGCACCCACCCATGCACGGGGTAATCAAAATGGGTTTGCGGTGCTGAAACTGACTGTGCTTCAAAATTATATTGGTCCGGAATCCGGATTTCACTCGCCAAACCTGTACTTTAATGTAGTAGCTCTGGCCTTTTTTTGGAAGGCAAGTACAGGTAAAACAGCTTGGCAAGTCGGGACTATTATACCACGATGTCATCACTGAGTCCTGGCAGTACTGGTCAGCATGTGCATGGAGTCAGTCATACTTCAAGTACTCCTACGCAGTTCGTTCACTGGAGTCCAGTGATCTGGATGGGCACATCAAAAGAGCTTCGAGCACACGGCCTGTACGCTCAGGCTACTGTCTACGAATACACAGCCAGTACTCTACAGGTCCAGTGCCTGATGACTGGTATAAGCTACATGTACTGGTACTACTAGTACTAGTACTCCCATGACTCATGCGAGTTTCACCTAGCTTTGTGCACCTCAGCCCAGTCACACAGTTATCATTGATCACTGAGTGCCAACAAAGCACATGATATTACCACAGCACCGCCTTCATGGAATGGATCTATAAACAGATCATACACATGGTGTTGGAACTATTCAGTGATGCGGATGTCCATGAAGTCAAGATCATGGCAGGCTTGCCAACCGGGCAATGGAGAGTTAAATAGGCCAGTCAAAATACATGAAAGTGTCCACTGTGTCTACGTCACGCTGCTACCAGCACCAGAACACAATGGTTCCATGTGGCTGATTGTTGTATTGCTAAATCTGTCATTGCATAATGTAAATATCACAGCCCGGGCCAATGCTGCAGCATCACATGTGGGCGGGCGTCACGAGCATGCGCACAAACATACGCCATGTGCCCGGGCGAGTGACCACACGTACAAGCATACGTTTACACACACACACACACACACACACACACACACACACACACATTCACACATGTACACACACACATACATGTACACACACACGCACACATTTCGGTCACGGCGTCAATATACAATATATGTACTCACCAAGCGACTAGAAAACTGTAGGCACGCTCAGCTAGCACCATCTAACCTTCCCATCTACTCCAACCAAACTGCATTGATACCGACACGCATGCCTGGAGCTCTGCACCATCCAGTCACCGGCCTTAACGGACAATTTCCGTGACATTGCAGTCGTCTCCTTCCCCATAGTGGCACTGTTTAGAAACAAGTAGGGGAATGGCGGAAAGTAGTGACTCTCTCGTCCCGTCATGTGGTGGAGTCGAGGATCTGATCCACGTAGTCCCAGTCGATGTTGCTCATGACGCTAGCAGCGCTGTTTGCCGATCGAGTACTGCCACGTCCAGCACTGACTGATGCACCGACTGATTCACTGCTGTCCAGTGCCAGTGGTGATGGACCAGTCTTGCTCGATTGCACTGTATCACCAGGTCTAGCAACACCCTGCACATGAAGAAAAAGCAGCCAACCACACAATTTCACACGTATACACCTATACTTTGTATGCACATGTGTGTGCATACAAAGTATAGGTGTATGAATACATGTGTGGTGCATACTTGTGTAGGTGTATACACATGTGTGTGTGCATACTTGTGTATGTGTATGAATACATGCATGTGTGCATGTGTGCATACTTGTGTATGAAAAAGGTGTACAAGTCACTTGACTTTTTGATCAAGTCGGAACAAGCATATGCACTGTCTTCACAGGAAACAGGAAAATATAGAAAATTCCGACCGATACACTATTATGGCCATATGAACTGGCAAGTACCCCCCCCCCCCCCCCCCCCCTGCAGACATGCATACGCATACGTGTGCGCAAGCACATGTATATGCATGACACACACGCCTTTAGACATTTGGATTCCCATTGCTCCGTGCAATGATAACATCAGAAGTTGTAGTATCTCCTCCTGCTAACACACACACACACACACACACACACACACACACACACACACACACACACACACACACACACACACACACACATGTACATAGAATGTTACACCTTCGCTTTCCACACTCACCATGCCACGCAGTGGTGTGCTGGTCACGGCACTGTCAAACAATGCTGTGCCATTGGTACCGGTGCCATGCATGTCAGCAAGGTTAGCCGGATCACTAGAAACTGATGACGGCTGTACAGCAACAATATTTCTGGAGAGAAGGTCACCCATCAAGCTGAAGGCGTCCTGTAGTCGCTTCTCTCGGTTTTCATGAGTTTCCACACTGCACAAGAGCACAAACCATGAGCCAGAACCAACTCAACACAAGACTGTATTATTCTTCCATCAACAGTTTGACAAACAATGCCATGCTGCATAGATAGTAAACTGTACTCCCTTGTGCAAGTTGCTAGACCCGAGCAGGCCAGTTGTGGTATGCCAGCCCCCACCCAACTTAGTGTGCAGCATAATTATAGTGTTGTAGTACGATACGTCCCAGAATCTATACCGAAGATCTTCAGCACTCCTCCAGTGACTCTACCAGTTAAGACAAGGTAGTAAGGATTCTCTTGACACATATAGCATTGCATGTAAGTTGTAACGTGTGGACATATTTGTCGCTGCAAGTCAATTCAATCGAAACATCATGCGACAGGTGATGGAATGGGCAATATGTACACACATGCACGTACACACACGTACACACATGTACGCACGCACGCACACACACCCACACACACACCCACACACACGCACACACACACATGCACACCCCCCCCCCCCCCACGCACACACACAGGCTCACACCCACGCACCCACGCACGCGCATGCACTTATGGCAACGCGTTAAAAAGGGGAAGTTAAGGCAAAAATTAAAATTTCACCAGTTGTAGTCTTCGGGGTGCTGAGTCGAATGATCTTGGTCCGAGAAAGCTGAGACGCTCCCTTCCTACTTGAATCCCAATCGAACTCGCGCACTTCCACCGAAACTGGGTGACTGCGCCCTACTAGATGGAGCTTTGTATGCAAAATGTCACTAAAAGCGCCATTTCGTTCTTATAAAAGCACGGATGACCGCGATTGGCCCATATGTTGTAGTCTTTTGGACGCTGAGTCGACTGGTTTTGGTCCGAAAAGGCTGCGATGCAGTGTTCCTCCTTTATTCCCAATCGAACATGGTTGAACAAGCGGTCATGTGCTCCTGGGTGCCCAAATCACCTGGTCACCACGCCAGCAGGCGACAACTTTCACACCAAGGTTCAACTCGAGTGACAGGACTGCACCCAAAAAAGGTCAACCAGGCTAGTAAGTTGTACCTTGCAGGTTCGGTGACCAGGTGACTGGCGTACGCAGGAGCACGTGACCGCTTGTTCAACCATGTTCGATTGGGAATAAAGGAGGAACGCTGCATCGCAGCCTTTTCGGACCAAAACCAGTCGACTCAGCGTCCAAAAGACTACAACATATGGGCCAATCGCGGTCATCCATGCTTTTATAAGAACGAAATGGCGCTTTTAGTGACATTTTGCAAACACATCCCCATCTAGTAGGGCGCAGTCACCCAGTTTCGGTGGAAGTGCGCGAGTTCGATTGGGATTCAAGTAGGAAGGGAGCGTCTCAGCTTCCTCGGACCACGACCATTCGACTCAGCGGCCCGAAGACTACAACTGGTGAAATTTTAATTTTTGCCTTAACTTCCCCTTTTAAAAGAGTCTTTGAGCTAGACAGTGGAGATCTTACAAGTCTTGCTTGCTCACTCTCTGTTTTGCCGTCACAGCCTACACGAGGACATGAGAACACAGACACCAGTATACAACTGCAGGAAAGCCACCAAATTGTGAGAACAGAGCGCCGATGACCCAGTCACCACTGTCCTATTCAATTGTGTGGATCACCTGGCAAGAACTAAAACACTGAAATAGCAAGTCGATAGCCCTGAATTGTGCATTTTACATTGCATGCACATCAACTGACAATTTCTCATTGATGCTATAGCTAGTGTAGCTTGAAATAATAATTTGCCAGCATCATCACACGTGTGATACATACCTAGAAGCTAGTAGCTAGTGCAGGGGGGGGGGGGGGGAATAATTTTAGCAGTCATATCCCACCTGAGATGAAGCAAAGGGCTTGTGTTCCTGACTTCGTAGGTCTTGTCGCTGCTGGACGAACGCTGCTTGTCTTTCAGAGCGCTTGCGCACCATCCAGCGTCTCAACTCCTCTTTCTCCTGCTCTGATCTGAGCCGGGGAAAAAACAGACGCATGTAACCATTGAAAGCCGGAACAGTTCCACAGGCCTGATGTACAGGCATGGTGTACTAGTGTTTTGAACTACCAGAAACAACCAGTAGCCACTTCTGCAGGGCACCTTGAAATCAAAGTGGGTCATATACATGTACTAGCAAGCACCATTCAGCCTGCCAGTTTTAAATATCACGTGTAGTGTTGTCTTCAAAACCAATAGTTGTCAGCAAAACACCAACAGAAAGTTCAAAATGTGAAGTTCATCCACCGTCTGTAGAGGACTCAATTTGCCTTCATGTTGTCTCTTAGTTACCTTTCTGTCTTAGGTTGATCTGATGGTGCAGCGAAGATCTTCTTGACTTCTTTGGTGGACAGTGTTGGCATGGCAACCACCTCTGTTTTCTTCTTGGTAGCAGATGCAAGTTTGGTGGTGGTAGGGACCGTGATGAGTTTAGCCTGCGGTTGCTTACTTCGTGCTGCCGATCTCTTTGCTTTGCCGAGATACAGACGCTTCATGTCCTCCATCCGGGAGCGTGGAGTCTGCTCAGACGCACACGCTGCTTGCCGCGACTTACGGGCAATGGATCGCCGCAGGCTCGGTGCGAGTGGAGAGTGAGAAATCTCGGCACGGGCATCTTGATAGTTGTGTGTGATGCCATTCCTTTCTGTAATATGGCGGTGATGTCCGTTGGGAGTATTGTGTGCACCGCTGAATGGCGGTGTTGGTAAATAGTCCTGCACACCATCCTCAGCATTCATCTGCCCAGATTGTGAATACAGGGCTGGTGAGGCTGATCTGGCAATGCGATCAGTAATGTTGTACGTACCATTTCCCAGGACGTGTACCCCATCGCCTGCAATCTGATACGGCATTGTTTCATCCTCCATGCATTGGAGCTGAGCAGCCGTGGAGTCAAGAGGCAGAGGTGTGTCCCCCGAGTCGTCTGGTGAGAGCTTCGCTAATAGACTGCTGGGCAGTGTTTGCGTAAGGAATGGGTCGGTTGTCTCTGTCTGCAAAGTAGTGCCGGGGTCACCAACACTTGCATAGCCTTGATTGACGGTTGCAATATGATCATCATCGATGACTAGTGTGCTGTCAATACCATTCCCATCTCCGGCACCAGGCTCTAGGTTACCATCTGACAGCCGATGATCTTGTTGCACTGACACAGAATATCTGCCGTGAGTGGCGGCGGACACCGATAGGTTTGTTTCATCACCACTGAACTCCTGAGAGTAGGAAGCAGCCAGAGAGTGTGGTCCCGTGGTAGATAGCTCCAGAGACCTTTGTCCCGAAGATCCTACTCCGTGTTCATCGGCCGTATCCAGCGTAACAGAGCGGGACTGCGGTGATCCGGGCTGGGAAGTGAGAAGTGTAGAGTGTGCATTGGGCTCTATTCCACGATTGTCCTGCATATCCTGAAGAGTATCAACAGCAGGTTCTTGGAAAGCAAACAGGCTGTCTTGTGATGATGCTTCCATGAAATTCTCAGCATCTCTTTCCAGTGATTCACCTCCTTCCAGCAACTCATCTCCTTCCAGCAATTCATTTTTTTCCAATGATTCATCTCCATCCATGTCTAAATCTACTTGCGATGTTGCCTCATCAGACACAGCATCAGCATCTTCCAGAGCGTTACCCAGTGCCTGGCTCTCCGCAGCCAAGCTCAAGTCTTTAGTCCTTGCGTCCCAGCGGCCTTCGTCAATCACCGACTCTGTGTTTGGCGGGTGTGTTCTACGGGGCTGAGAGTCATAATCGGTCCTTGACATCTGATCCAGGATAGTCAACTCTTTCGTGATGGTGTTTGCATCCTGGAGATGTTCCAAAGTCCGTACAACCTGGAGTGCACGAGAAGGAGAATCATGAATTCCTTGTATAGCAGCCTTATGAGATTGCTGCTGTATAAGTATTATACATTATCAGTATATTTCCCCGATTGTTCAAGGTTCTTTAGTTCCCCTGAAACGGCTCACGTTGTCCTATTGGAGCACCGCAGCCTGCAAGTATTAGTTGTACTTTTTCTAAGAACACATTGGGCACGTTCGATTACACACATTAGATTTTCGGTCAATTCTAGGACTAGTTATGGTGGGTGCACCGTTCGATTACACAAATTCCTGTTAATGGAAGATGACATCACCAAATTATTCCGTCAATTCCGTCAATTCTGAAGAGAGGGTGGAAATTCTAAAATTCTCGAACTCGAATTGCACACTCGACGACGTACACGCCATGCTAGGTCCACGTGCGCACGAGGGTGTACCGGATCCCATGTGATCCCCCTTTACTGTTTAACATGTAGTCAGTTTGTTTATTTGCCGCAATCCGTTCATTCGAAAATTATAAAACCTGGATCCAGAATGCGTAATCGAAAGTGCCCAATGGATCCTTTATGAGGTCTGAGCACCACACTCACTGACTAACTCCCACTCAATGTCAGGTCTCGTATACTCTGTATGCTTAGCATCAGGGAGTAGTACAATACAGGTATATTAGTACTCCCTGCTAAGCATCACTAACCTGTCCCGCTTGGTTGTACTCGCTCTCCACGTGCTTAGCAGTTGCTTCAATGGCCTGTAGCTGTTCAGTGAACTGGGATAGCTTGGCCTCTATGGACAGCAGGCGACTGCTACCTGCAAAGCTTCGCTGCAATGTTGACACAGGTTGCAGCAGCGGCAGCTGTACGCCATCGGCAGGAGGTTGTTGAACTTCCCTCGCTTGCGAGTTGCTGGCCTTGAACATATCGCTCTCGGCTGTCAATGTGTCATCAGCTTCACGGGGCAGGGCAGGTGCCATGTCGACTTCTGGAAACAAATGATGCCCATTACAGTCCAAGTTGCCACAAGCAATGTACACACTCGGTGCTATGATGCATATACAGTACATATAGTACAGCTAGCCCTGCTTGAATGCACTATACAGGCGGAATCCTGAGATTTCACATGTCGCATAATTCAAATATACCGTTTAATTAGAATCACTTTCTTTTCAGACCGATGGTACAAACTGAGCACTCTGAACTTCAGATTGCTTAGCAATGGCTACTATACTGTTCATTTAGAGAACCCCCTCCACGCACACACACACACACACACACACACACACACACACACACACACACACACACACACACACACACACACACACACACACGCATACATACTCAGGTCTCACCTTCAGTACTTCTTCGAACTGTTCTCCTTGATGCTGAGCGAGTCTCAAGGTCATGTTGGGGGATGTGCTCGGATGTGATGTCGACAACATGAAGGAAATTATCCGATGGCCCCGGGGCTAGGTCTTTAGGCACAGTCTCGATGGTTGTGTCTTGCTCGTGCTGGAAGCTGCGGTTACCGAACTGCAAGTCCAGGATTTCCACCCGGGTGGCCACTCGTGGCACTGATTCACTTGGCTGGGTCAGTTGCCGGTGTTGTTCCATCCGTCTAGAATCACTACCACTAGGTAGGTTGACAGTGTCGTGTGACAACAACTCTGGTACGTCTGTCTGCACTGATGTACTCACCACCACCACCACTGGCTTCTCCTTGGCAGGCTCTTGGCTGCTGAGCTCCAGCTGCAGGCTCTCTGCTCGGTTCAGTCTCCCATCTGCCGGTCCAGCAATAGTGCTGGCCATGGTAGAGTCTAGTGTAGTCACTGTGCAGAAGTCCTCCTGCGATGTGGACAGAGCCAGTGAACTGGCGTCGAGTGAAGGGCCCCTACCGCCCTGGGCAATGCTCAATGAATTCTGTTTAGACGTGTCCAACGGTGGCTGTGGAACATCCTCCTCTGGTATGCTGTTAGCAGCTTGGTCAGCTACCCCAATTAATGAACTGGACTCCTCGGAATGTACTGGTGGAGGATCGGCAGCTTCTTGTAGGCTCTGTGCACTTGATGAATTTGATCGTCTAGGTCCTGTTGCTGCTGCCGCCGCCGGGTCTGGATAGGACCTGCAGGTATGCCGAGCATAAACAAACAGAACAGTGCATCATGTTTAACGGGTGTCTTCCACAGCCATGGTGTTGCTGTTATGCCCCTCTGTTCAACTACTCACTATGCCCATACATCACCTCAGTGCACTGTTGCCTACAACTACTGTCTCATGCACACAGGGGCATCACAGGGCAGTATGGTCGTATTGGTCGTACCGTGTGTGATGCCCCTGACTACATGTACATCAGCGCACACTAACACCGGCCGTGCAGGGGAAATGGATTAAGCAAATCCAAGAGGAAGAACTGGAAAAACATAATGTATGAAAGGTTTTATGAAAGACAACAAGACACATAGCATCCACGTTTTGCTATCACTTCAGAAAACTGCGAATCAGTAGCATGCATGCATAGGTGGACATGAGCAACACCATCCTTACACAGGCACTTCATCATGGTGATTGGGACTCCCATCTTTCCAGACGCGCCTGAACCCACTCAGTATGACGTCAGCGGACAGCTTTGGATTGGCCTCCTGCTTCAGCTCTTGCCAGACATGATCGGACTGAAATGGGTCTCTGGTGCTCTTGTGGTGTTTTGATTCCTGTCCCCTGCTCTTCCAGGATTCCTTCGGAAAGATGAAATCAGCCGTGTCAACAGCATCAGCAGGTTGCGGGTAATCATTCTTCTCATCATAGTGCTCAGCAAAGGGAGTAGGGCCATGACGTGATTTTCCAGTTCTTCTTGGCTTCAGGATGAAGTCATGTGCCGTCTCCGGTGAAGGATGCATGTCAAAGTGCAATTCAGAGGCAAAAGATGTTGGTTGCTTGGAATGACGGTGTCCTTTTCGTTCGTACATTACTTGCAAGTCCTCACTATCAGTCGGAGCAAATTTCTTTGCTGTGTCAAGATGCATCTCTTTAGCTGTACCTTCCTCCACGATGTTGGACCATGCATGGATCCTCCGGGAATATTTCCCCCTGCGCCCGTCTCTTTTCCGCTGCTGCTGTTGGCCTGCATCCTTGCCTGGGGAAGAGTTCTCAGTTTGATGTGCTGCTGTTGGTGCCAAGTACACCTGACTGGATTCAGTGCACAGATCATTGGGCGCAGGCTGTTGCTTCGCGTCATTCCATCTCAATGTCTTCTCATCACTCTCAGCAGCTTCACCCGGCTGTACCAGAGGCCGATCTGCATCTGAATCCAGAAGATGGGACCAGTTTAAGACCGGATTTGAGTGTTTCCTACTTCTGGAGTGTTCACTGCAGTTAACTGGCAGTGCGCTAAGTTTCAAAGTGGATTTCTTGGGCTTGGTGTGGCTGGTTACACCTCGCGACCCGGGCTGTCTATTGCTTTTGGGCTGCTTTATTTGCGGAAGACTCAATTCAGTTGTGTTGTCATCATACACGACATGTCGTGGAGCTGGTCGTAGGGATGAGAGTGCAGGGGATTCTGCAGATGGCTTTGCACCTGGATGTGCATCTACACGCATACCTGGTTGTACAGTATGTGGTGAAACTGGATACACGGTTGCCGCTGGTGGTGCACTCTCCGGGCAACACTGTATGTGTGCTTGGGGCTGACGGCGATCAGGCTGGGGATAGTTACCGTGCGGCATGGAGACCGGAAGATGGCCGTGATCCTGCACTGAGACGAGGGATGGCTGAAGGCCCAGTAGAAGTCCCATCTGCGGTAAGACGAGTAAACATAATAAATTGTACGTAGATGTCATTATTATAAAATTATTACATGTAGTCCATCATCATGCTATTGAGCTTGCCCAAACAAGTATTCCCAGGAGCTACGTGGCTACGATTTACAACAAAGCTCGTATACAGGAAAATGGCACAAATGTTTGCTACTCCTGTCGTTCTTTCCCAGCACTCAAAGTATTTGTGTGCTTGATCGGGAATTCATTTCACTCCAAAGGACAAACAAACACTGCTACAAGTAGCCACTACAAGCACAGTTCAATCGTCTGATGGTCCTTCAAATACCACTAAGTTACGCACTCACTCTCCATAGCTGATCCATTTGCTGCTGGAGTGTAATCACCGGTGCTTGGGATGGTCCAGCACCATGTGGTACTTGAGGCTGTGCATGCACGGATCCACCCCAAACAACAGTAGCAGCATGTTGCGCCGACAGATCTTGACCCTGAGCTGCTGATGGTTGGTTTGCTGGGGCTGCCGGCTCTGTCGGCAGTACCGCATCGTGCAACGGTTCGGGAACACTTGGCATGCCACGACTGCTCTCCACAGCCTCCATTGGATGGTCTGCGTGAGGCGGTGTAGTGACTGCTGCCACTGAACGCTGGCTTTGTTGCCGGATTGAGTCAATGCTTGACTGCACCAGCGTGGACTCATTCGGACTCACTAGGCCTTCTCCGGCTATATGATTCATTTCGGACCTCGCTACATGCGTCAAGCTACCGATTGTGCTTCCCATACCTTCCTTTTCTGGTGGTTTGTCATCAGTGTGGCCGTCTTGGTGCGAATCAGAACCATCCAGGGGTTTCTTCCTAGTTCCTTTCTTGTGATCAGCCAGTGATCCACTTCCGTTGTGAGTCTGCGATCTCTGGCATGCAGTGCCTAGTTCAGGACTACCTCTACCGTTGACCTCCAGTCCATGGCCGGCCGATTGCTGTGATGCTGATGCTGAAAAGTCTGAGCAGCTGGCTGTGCTGCCATCTTGACCAATGTCATGCTGGTCACTTACCAATGCTGTGTCGCCATGCTGAGATTGCCAGTCACCCTCAATCACGCCTGAGCTCTCTTCTGTAGGCAAGCCGATACTCGAAGTAGCTTCCAGTGATGATGATGGGCTCGAACCAGAAACGTCATGGCGGGATGCTGGTTCTAGCTCTTCAAGTGCAGTGTTCCTTGTCAGAATCCCGGCACTTTCCTTCTCCGACTTCTGCTTGCCCTCTTTGCTTTTGCCCCGTGTGTTGTGCATGGAATACTCTTTACAGGAACCTGATGAATGCGGTGATGATGGTGTCCTTATCCAGTTTTGTTCATCAGGGACATTGCCAGCATCGTTAGTATGAGCAGAGTGATCCATGGCAACGGAGCTGTGAGTTGAAGAGCCGTCCTCGCCAGCAACGTCTTGATCCGATGGGACCTAGTTTGACGAGATATGAACACCGACAGGACACAATGCAAGAAATGATTGGTAAGAGAAATGTTCCGAACAGAACTGTTTTCAGCACTTGCACTGGAGCAATTTAACAGATATACTAGTAAGTGAGGTTGCCAGGGAAACCTGTCATAGAAGTATTGATACAGTGCTGATGGAGCACACGTTGTCCCTCGTCAGCTCTCGTTCTCTGCCATCAAAATATGTACTGATAGCGATTCAGCAATCAATTATACCTGCTGAAGAGTGGCCTTGCTGGAGTCAGATGTTGCTGCTTCAGTACTTGCTGCTTCAGTACTTGCAGGATCATCGCCTGTACACGTACAAAAACAAACACCGGCAGAAATCATTTCTCTTCTGAACATAAACTAGAGACACACACATACTTATTATTAGTTGTCGATCAGAACACTGGTAGAGAAATTTAGGCCACCTGATCAGGTCATCATTCGTTAAATCTCTTTTACAGCTTACCAGTCTCAGCCTTACCATTCAGTTCTTGTGCACCTCGAAAGAACTGGCCAGCTTCCATGCATTGTGTACTCATGCTAACACATGGGACAGAGACAAGGCAACGCATACCGTATAAACACTTAGAGCAACTTAGTTGGTATATGCAAGCAGAGGCGGAAAAGGAATGATTACTCAGGGTAGTAGGCAACTTGACTTGATATAATGCAAAGTTGGGTGGTAGAAGCAGTCCAAGGCTTCCTTGGGTGTTCATACTGGGAATAAAATACTGGGAGGAAATCAGTGATGTATGTGTGAACCCACTAGCGCATGTAGTTATGTTACGGTGACGCCACACATGTAAGCCAGGATTTCTACTAAGCTGCCAACACAAAAACCAGGCTCCAGTACGGATGGTCCGTTGTGAACGACAATCAGGGTTGTTTTTAAAAACAGGCTTCCATTCGAGACGACCTGTCTTTATAACATTATAAGAGAATAAAGAGACTCACACTTATTAAGAGAGTATATGTACCTGAATTGTGAGGCGCTGCCATTCTCACAGGTATCCGTTACAGCAGATGAGTTTAGAGCCCGGCTGCTGCACGCTGCTGAACTGCCGATGGAGATGCTAGATGTCTGATCATGGTTATACATGCAAAGCAAACCAGACACGTTGACAGAGAACCGTGTCGGCGAACACATGCCGACAGAACACAGCTGTGCTGGACAGTGGTACGTGTGCATCTACCTCTGTTATCTATTCATCTGATATTCGCATGCACCAGAGTTGGTGGAGCATCATGAGCTCAGGAAACTAAGGAAGAACAGGTTCCAAGCCGAACACTACAGGGACATGCAGGCTACTCACCGAAATGTCCAATTCACCCAGCGCGGAGGTAAGCATGGACACGGATGTCTGCTCAGAGTCCAGGTGACATAGTGCAGCTTTGAACAAGCCTTCGGCGTCTGCATCTGTGAGTGTATCCAAGTCAGCTGTCAATGCCGGCGAAGCTCCGCTCCACGTTTCCTCGCCGTCGTGTCCCATTGCTTTCCCGCTATGAGCGACAATGGCCATGTCTTCCAGGCGATAACCTGGCTCATCCACAGTATCTGGCATGGCAGGGGAGGGGATGTGATCAACACACCTTGACTGGGCACAAGCAGCGACTACACCAACAGCTACAGTTTGCTCCGATAAGCCGAGGGACAGGTGAGCAACTGAGCCAACCGCCGCAGTGCTTGCCTGTCGGTCTCCATCACCAGTAAAGGAGCCAGCCCAAAACCAGCTCAGCATCGGTGAAAGGGCTTCAAACACGGAGGCAGCATGTTCCTGAGTGCCTTGTGGTAGCTGGCATACACTGCTCAAGGCATCAACGATCTTGAGTAGCTCAGGTGAATTCCTCCTTTCAGCAGCTGCTGATGGTGGTGCCACTGCAGGATATTTCTCCTCCACTACTGGCAACACAAGACTCAAAAACTCGTCATAGCTCTCAGACCTGTCACCTATCTGTGCATCATCGGAAATACCCAGTAAAGGTGGCACAGCGTGCTCCATGGACAATATTTCCAAGAGTGAGCAGTTGCTGGTATCGGGCAGAGAAGCGCAGTCACCAACAAGGTCAGAAGCTGTGTGGGGTGGTGTCTGTTCGTCTACAGAAAACGTGTAGAACATGTCACCCAGAGATGTTGTAGACGCCTGATCTGTCTGAGCTTCATCAGAGCTTACCTGGGTGAACTGCAGTCGCTGTAGAAGCTGCTGAAGTCGTGGCAGCACCTCGGGAGACCAGAGCTGAGGCTTCAGTGGAGACAGGTGAGTTGCCAGGAGCTTAGCCGTGCTCACTGTCAGTGGCAGAGTGTTGATCAAGGTGATCGTGATCTGTAGCAGCTCTTCGCGTGCATCCGGCTTGAGCAGTGGCATTGCCGGCAGTAGGTGTTCGCACCACTTCAAGCACTCCGATGCCGTATCCTCCGCCTGCATTGGATAAAGAGCAAACATAAGCAGGCCATGCCACACAAGCCACGCCACGCCTAGGGTGTTGATATCATCTATTGCTATACACAAACTTGCACTGATATCACTGGTTTTACAACTGTTTGCGATGCCAAGCCGCATATGAGTACTGCATAAATCGCATGAGATCTACAAGCCTTTAAAAGGCATACAAACATGAACATTGGTATTGACTATAAAGGCATACAAGTTGATCCTCATGTACTCTCCCCTTTTGGCCGGGTCTATACCAAAAGGGTGGGTCAGAAAAATGTGTATAATTATGAATGAAGTTCACCTTCCCTAGATGCCATGGCTGAACTAAACAGTATGCTGCTGCTACCAGCGCTGTGCTTTGCCTACTGATCAGGGAGTCGTCTGGTGAGTGTGGCGGCATAAACACGACACTTGGAGTAGCAGCCTGTTTCTTGGCTTGGCCATGGCTCAGCACAAACTGTTGTGTATAATAATAAACACTTGCCGTAAGAAAGATACTCAGAACATACATTTTGATTTTCTGTAACAGTGGACGTGCGCTCCGCACAGAAGGCACGCCATGTTGTGCTCAGCTGATCTCGACAGTTGACCCACCACAGTAAACGGCAATGAATCAGCAGTGCTCGGAGCAGCCATCTTTGATGCTGCGAGAAAGCATGTGGTTCTTCAGTCCTCTCTGCAGCATCACCGTCCTTTAGGTTGCCAGTGTCAGGTTTGACATTGCGGCCACTCTGACGAGCACAGCCTGTTGTTGAGTAGACATGCTCCATCAAGATAGACTTGTGTCCCGTTGCAGCCATTAGCACACAGAAGAGGCTGACACACTGGTGTAGGAGTGCACGAAGGTTGGACTCCGATGCAGCTTCTGATCCCTGGTGCACACATCAAATCAGTGAAAACAGGAACTTAGTCATACACGTCCACGTTCTGCCTGCCGGGAAGTTTGATCAGGAATAGTCATGCTCTCTCTCTCTCTCTCTCTCTCTCTCTCTCTCTCTCTCTCTCTCTCTCTCTCTCTCTCTCTCTCTCTCTCTCTCTCTCCCTCCCTCTCTCTCTCTCTCTCTTTCTCTCTCTCCCTCCCTCCCTCCCTTCCCAGTGCACGTCCAGCAGCATTCGTACCAGTTCCAGGGCATCAAGGGCCCCGCTGCAAGTTGACAGGGGCAAACAAGCAACTTTAGGTCCGACTAGAAACCCCACAAATACTGAGAACATCAAGTATTGTAGACATTAGAACAAGTCTCAAGACAAGGCAAAACAATACTTGAATATGCAAACATTTCACTTGGACAGACCTACACACCTCACTGCTGCTGCCGCTTCCGGTCGGTGGACTTGGAAGATACACCGGTGGCGCAGGCAGGTAGAAGGATTCACTGATGGGAATGATGAACAGGGACAATAGCCCAAAGGCGCATTGGAGTAACAGCGCAAGTGCCTGTTCAATGATATCGTGTCGACTGCTGGCATATAGCGCACCACATACGTCTGCAACAGCTGGCAATGCTTTAGTGCCTGCACTGGAGCTGTCTGCAGAATTTTGCAACACAGCAGCCATTAGATCACTCAGAGTCAATGATGGAGGCTGCTTCTGTTGCTGTCCGAGGTGCTTATGCCTCTGTGCTGTTGAAACCGTGGCAGTTGATCGAACTCGCTGGATGAGTGCCTTATCAGCCGCTGGCTGCATGTGCAAAGTAACTGCCTGGACTGCATGCAGTAAGGATTGAAGAGGTAGCAAGCTCAGGATTGTACTGGATAGCAAACAAGCCGGCGGTAGCATGCCGGGCACCGTATTGCTGGTGTTGCATTCTAAAGCCGTGGCACTCAGCACGACTGCTATCCTCCAATGTGACAGATGCATTGCGAATGCTGCGGCCTCTTCCATGCCGCCAGCTGCACACAGCCAGCGGAGTGCATGTGACGCCTGCCACACCTCGGACAGACCGGCTGACTGGAGAGCTTCCGTCACATCACCATGCGGCAGAAGACGGTAACGCTGACGCACATCACCCCATTCCTCACAGCGGACCCGCACCAGATCATGTAGATCTGCATCCTCATTCTGCGGTGGAATCAGAATAGGCCAGCCAGTGAAGTAACAAGCCATGAAACGACCAAAGTTGAGGACGATGCGCTGTCGCTCTAGATCTACGGGCCAGCCAACAGGAAGACAAATAGACTCCTTGATGACTGACAATTGTATTGGGTAGGTCCAGGAATGCGTGAATGCACCATGCAGCTTACGTAGGTCAAGCTGGTGCAGTAGGTAGAGGAAACTCTTGAACAGGGACCCTTCCGGCACCTTTGTAACATCCCCAGGTTCCTGCAGGTGTGAAGAAGCAGTGACACACAGGAAATAAACAAGTTTTTATGCAATCATAGGTCATGACTTAGGGAATGATATTGGACGGGTCAAGCCGTGCCAGTCGGTGGAAACAAGATAGAAAAAAGGAACCAGAAGGGATTACAATGACCTCCCAAGAGTTCGCCGCTGCTGGCTGGGTTTCTCCGGGTAAAGTTACTGATAATAAAGCTGTGTGGGCCCTGGCTAGCGCCAGACGTTACTAAAGTAACTCTTTTGCCTAGCTACGGGAATAATTATGATTTACTGCCTGCATATGCACAGGGGCGATTATTTACCATGAAGCCAGAGTAGAAAATATTTTCATTACAGCTTGTTTTCAATGCCCCTGACATTTTCATTGCGGTTGTGCCGGTGTAGGAGGTTCCGGACGGTGTGAACTTGCTTACACTATCGTTTAAAGCCCATTTACGTCACATGGCGGGCTCGCAAGGCTTAGCGAAATAACATGTTGTTAAAATGTAAGAATCCCCAGCAAGATTCATACCTTAATGGGCATGAATCGTGTGATGCTCAACATGATGCAAAGATTTAAAAAAATCCTACTTTCTAGATCATTTGGCTAAACCCCTGCTGCCTACTAACCTGGGGTGTTTGTGATCGGTCAGCAGATGGCTTGGGATGAACATTGACTACACCGAGGTTGACATCCGCTGAACGCAAATGTGAGGAATACGCAGACAGGAACACGCATGTCAGATGTCAGTCCTTCACACACAGCCATCTAGCCAACAGACAGTAAACATGGCAAGACAGAGCCATTTTAAAGGGGAAGTTAAGCCTAAAATCAAATTTTCGCCAGCTGTAGTCTTCGGGGTGCTGAGTCGAATGGTCTTGGTCCGAGGAAGCTGAGACGCTCCCTTCCTCCTTTATTCCCAATCGAACTCGCGCAATTCCACCGAAACTGGGTGTCTGCGCCTACTAGCTGGGGATTTGTATGCAAAATTTCACTAAAAGCGCCATTTTGTTCTTATAAAAGCACGGATGACCGCGATTGGCCCATATGTTGTAGTCTTTTGGACGCTGAGTCGAATGGTTTTGGTCCGAAAAGGCTGCGATGCAGCGTTCGGCCCTTATTCCCAATCGAACATGGTTGAACAAACGGTCATGTGCTCCTGCGTACACCAGTCACCTGGTCACCACGCCAGTAGGTGACAACTTTCCCACCAAGGTTCAACTCAAGTGACAGAAACTCGCCCAAACATGCTGTAAGTAAGTTGTAGCCTGCAGGCACGGTGACCAGGTGACTGGTGTACGCAGGAGCATGTGACCGCTTGTTCAGCCATGTTCGATTGGGAATAAGGGCAGAACGCTACATCGCAGCTTTTTCGGACCAAAATCAGTCGACTCAGCGTCCAAAAGACTACAACATATGGGCCAATCGCGGTAGTCCGTGCTTTTAGTGACATTTTGCATACAAATCCCCATCTAGTAGGGTGTAGTCACCCAGTTTCGGTGGAAGTGCGCGAGTTCGATTGGGAATAAAGAAGGAAGGGAGCGTCTCAACTTCCTCGGACCAAGATCATTCGACTCAGCACCCCGAAGACTACAACTGGTGAAAATTTGATTTTAGGCTTAACTTCCCCTACTGATACAGGCTGATGTGCTGCTACCATCAGCATCAGGTGTGAAGGTGTGAACTGCTGTCCCTTTTCACACCAGTAAAAGGTGATAAATATTTCTCGAAAAAAAGCTGTTGTCCTCAAGTCTATGTCTCCCTGTTCAAAAGATATCAGGTTCAGTGTACTGCAAACTCAAAGTGAAGTCCCAGACACCAGACACCAGTGAATGCCATGCAGGTACTAGTATGCAGACATATGGAGTAGGAGATTTACACCGAAGCCAAAACATGGCCGACTTACTAGCTACTAGTCCGGTGTCAAGTCTTCCCAGAATCCGCTTCACTGCCTGGTAGTATTCCTCGGTTGTTGGACCGTCAGCCGCATCACTAGCTTTATCTACACAGGAGGAGCGTGCCCTATCGATTATCTCTTCCAGTGTACTTTGAAGCATATCTTGACATGAAGCAATGGTTGGTTGCGAAGTGGATGCTGGTTCGGGGCTCTCTGAATTATCATGAGCAGATCTGCACAGCAGTCGCGCAGCATCGTGAAGATGCTCAAGCTGCACACTGCATGGTGATACCAGAAGCAGAGAGGACGGAGGGTAGAAGTGGTACATACAGTGACGATCTGGATCGAAATGCTGCTCTCGACTAGCGGATGCCTGTAGACAACAGTAGCCGAGTAGAAGGAGAATTGGTAAGGGGTTAGCGGCGCTAGTTAATCTCCGCTGCCTCAGAACCGAGCATTGGGCTGTGATGAGCTGCAGTAGAATATTGGACAGCGTGGCATTCCAGTGTTGTCTGGTCGCACTGCCCTGGTGAGATAACATGCTATCTGCTCGTGTTAGTGCTGTTAGGCCAGCACATATTATCGATACACGGCACATACTGTTGAGAAGAGTGTCAACACAGCAGGCTGATGTGCTGCTACCATCAGCATCAGCACCGGTGACGCGGCTGATCCACCGCAGGCAGGCGCCGCATAGACCAGTCACTGCCTTCAGCAGCAGTCCCAGACGCCGCACACTGGCCAGCTTTCCGGACAGCAACTGCTCCACGATGGTGATAAAACTGGCCGAGAAAGCAAAACACTGCGGGCAGTTGCCACTTGCTTCCACTCGGGACATGCATGTGGCAAAGTGCTCTAGTGTTGCTACTTCCCAGATCACCAATTGCCCGCCGCTACCCAGACTGCTCAGGGTCTGGGGATCGTTCAGCTCCAGCATATCTTTCAAGCGGTCGGTGTCCAGACCACCGGTGTGGCTGGAACTGATAACTTCCAGACTTGTCAGCGAGCTAGCAGTACTGTCAGATACATCCAGTGGTTCCTCCTTGAAGGTAGGACTGAATAACTTCTCCCACTCCACAGTTTCCTTGCTCTGAACTATGTTAATGAACACATCCAACAGCTGCTGGCGCTGGCGAGCAATGCACCGATGCAGGTGCTTCGGGCGCAAAGCCAGCACATGGTAGGAACGTCCATTGGAGACAAGAAGCTGCTGCCTGCTTCCGTACCACTGTAGCGAGTGTGAGGTCCCAGACACCACCCGTAGTGCATCCTTGTTTGGGTTGTCTGCATCACTTGAATGCCTAGCCAACACAGAAGTTCGACAAATTGACAACAGATGTTCAGTGTTCACGGCAGTGCCTGGGGAGGAAGTCAGGAGGATGGGTGAGTTTGTGTCCCTTAAAAAATACTGTAGGTCACGAGCTCATCTCTAACATACAAGTAATAGTATCATTGAGGGTACATTCTGGATATCTTCATTAATTTTGTACAGCCTGAGCACAAGAGCATGGTAGAGACATCATGCTGCCTGTGACAACGCCATTAGAATACTGAAGCTGAAAATGGACGGAAATTCACAGAGCTACTAGTACGTCTAACTGTGGACCCAAAGCAAACACTGGCTCGGCTCAATGGTATGGCACTTAATGCACAACAAGGCCGGAAGTAAACATACAACTGCTAGCAGGACACTCAAAAAAAGAAAATGTTTTATTCCAGTGCTGCTCATATAGCAGTCACATACCCGGTTTTCACAGCAAACAATGGTTGCCAAGTTAGCGCCGGCACTAGTTTGTCACCAATCTGCATCCAAGCAAGATCACCAGCTCGTGTGAAAATGAGTAGTGTGCCGGACTTCATCAAGGCAGCTAGCAAGGACCCGCTGGCAATCCAGGACAAGGCTGTGATATGCCACCAGCTGTTGTGACAGGACACAGTATAGAGACAGCAAAAGTAGATATGTGTAGCGGGTGAGCATCAGGCAACATCGTTTCACCTCATCCGCCTGAGGTGACAAAGAAGAGTCTACCTTTTTCGAAGCTCTTCACGCAGGGCTGATAAGAATAGTTCAGGGTGGCAATAACTGTTACATGAATGAATCTGTATCTTGCCTATCATGATTGTAGCTCACTCTAATATTGATTGCACCCTTGTTTTCAGGTCTCTGATATATCGCTTCTACGTATTCTCTAGAGTAGTGAGTCATGCTCGACAGTATGTGACATATCTTTTTTGGCCATAAAGTTTAGTGTCAAAGTTATTGATGCATATTTGGGCAAGTACAGTACCGCTATCTTCTCATGTCAACAATTCATACCTAACACTAACAGGATTGAACATAGTGTAATCCATACCTGACAGGGTCAAACATAGTGACATCACTAGTGACATCACTAGTGACATCACTAGTGACATCACTAGAGTTACACACAGTGCGCACTGCCTGGGCATAGGGTATGGTGATCGCCTGGTGAGTGGTGGCACCGATAACTACAACAAGTGATGTGGAATCCAGGGTGCCCTGATTGCACGCCAATGCTAACGCGCTGCTGTTCCAGGGACACAGACTCATCACGAATGCAGACGATGACCTAGCTTGCCGAGATCCGTTAGCGGATGGAACGACTGCTCCCATTACCGTTGACAATGCATCACTACAGGAGGACGGGTGCTTCTTTAGACAGTCGAACAGAACTACTGAGTGTGTGCGACAAGACTTCACATCGGGAACACTGCGTCCGCTCAGCTGGCTACTGGCGAGCATATCGAGCGTGCCGGTTTCGTTGAACGCCTGCTGTATGCCTGCCGGGAGAGTGACTGGCATGGATAAGGACCGTGACAAACCTAGCTGATCAGCATGGCCGCTGTCCTCAAGTGTGTCACCACTCAATGCCACCATTGGTACGACGCTGGTGACAAGGCGATACTTCTCTCTGCCGATGTCAGACTCAACCACCGACTCTAGGTGAACTGCTGAATATTGTAGCTGCAGTTTCCCATGCCTCTAAAGAAAAGGAGCATGAAATAGAAAACACATTACGCCTTTATGTTCTCTGGTTATCTTCATGTAAGACAACAATATTCACCACAAACAAGTGTGATAGACTTCGTTTTTCTCTATTAGAAGCACACATCTTATTTTTCAGCCTTTCTCCAGCACGTGCTTTTATCGGAGGCGTGACTTATCAAAGAGTACGCTTTCATAATTTCAAGCCTACTTTGCCTTATTTCATTCACCTTTTTGAGTGATAACTTGTACATGTCAGGCACACACGTACGTGTACATGCAATGTCTTACTGACAGGGTGCTTGTTTTTAGGGAGGAAGAAGAGAGACGAGTGTGCGGGTATTGGGGACTGTTGCCCACATTTGTCAATAGTGCGTGTTTATGGGAGATGCGACACCTGCATTCTGCTGTATACATAATAGATGACAGTGTAACCATGCGGGGAAACCATATGACAGCGTAATACTTGTACTAACAAGACCACCGTACCTTCTCATGGACCCACTCTAGTGCTGCTGTGCAGAGTTCACAATCTTCCAGTTTGTACTCTTCACCCATGCTGTGCAAAGGAATGGTGTACCATGAGCATCCTGTTATCAGCAAACAATCCATGCGCATACAGCATACATACACAGGGTAGAGGGGACGGTTTCAAATAGGACAGAGGTTGCAAACCGGAACGGACTCAATATTCACTTTCTCTCTTGGTATTTTGATTAGAAAACATATGTCACAGTGAGACTACGATGTGTTATACTCCGAGCCAAAATTGCATGGCTCTGCGATGACCAGAAGCGCCATACCAAGCAGGTGAGTTTTTGACGTGTTGCTTCGCACTGCGACTTGAGTTTTACGACTTTCGAAAAATCATTTTCTTGTCGAAGGTAAACGGCGGCTCGCCTCTCGCCAATAAAGCACCGCATACCAATCAAAACTAATGGAAGCACACACAATGCTTATTTTTACTCTGTACTGGCCGTCGTGGAGCGATAGCAATTACCTAATTTCAGACCCAGAGTGAATTTGATGTGCACTCTAAAACGTGTCCGGTTTGGAGCCAACTCTGATTTGAACTTTTTTGAAGCGAAAAATTGGGCAACTTGGAGGCAATGGGTCAACACAAAGGAGTGGCTCAGTTCGATTGACTCTGGCCCCAGAGCAAACTTCAACATGCCAGTTTCCTTCCTCAAACATATTTCGAGTGAAAAATCAACGCTGATGATCGGTTTGGGTCTATACAAATTTGGCTGTCAAAGCGTCCCGGTATCGAGCCGTTCCCTCTACAGGGGCGTCACACACGGTACGACCATAGTCGTACCGCTTTTCGTTCAGGATGGTCCGCCCAAAGCACCTGTAGAGCGCTAAAATATGCCCTGTTGGGCGAAAAATCCGATTTTTTCCCTGGGGACACCCCGCACCCTACCCACTGCCCTGCGACGCCCCTGCACACAAGCATGGGAAGGCATCAAAACTAGGGTTACCATGGATGCATCTTACCATGTATTCGATTCAAAACCAGAAATAGAAATTTGGTCTATGGCGATACCAGGATGCATGGACACTGTTCTTCCTAGTCCTCACGAAGCAAGAAAGGTCTGGAGAAGTATCCTAAAGCTAGCATATTACAAGAACAGCACAGAGCTTGGTATGTTACCTTCATCGCTCTTATGCCATGTGGTGATTATAGCAACCAGTAGTAGCTGCTGCTGATCATGCTCCTTGCCATGAATGAGCAATGCCAAGTAGCATCCACATGAAGATATGGCCATGCAGAGTGGTGCTGTAGGAGCAGAAGACAGGTACTGATTTGGTTATCATTCACTGCGACCCTGCCACGTGCAGCTTCTGTGCTCTTTTGGTGTATTCTCGACAACCGTGACATGATTAGTCTGCAATGGGAAATGTACCAGAATCTCTAGACCATGCCAGTGCGCGGCTTAGGAAGTGATACTCACAAGATTCTATGCCTTGCCAGTCCAGAAGGTCATCATGGTCAATCAACGGCACATAATCCATCACTATAATATATGGCAGGTGTGCAAAAAGGGGGCCCTCCAGTAATCTAGCATACTGAAGAGAAAAGTCTGGTCAGCACTGTGTCCTGGTATGCTCCTTCACCGTAAAATCCTTTGCCATCGGCTATAGTCAATAATAACACCACTGTATGTCATGGCCTGCCCAACAGCGTCTGGACACTTTGAATCTGTGCTTCACTGCACCTGATCCCTGCATTGTGCATACACGTACTAACTTAGCGCCACATACAACTTACATGGATCAAGTCGATCATGATCTTGGAAGAGCTGTGTGTCGGCAGGTATCTGAAGAACAACTGCAGCACCTGTGCTGCTAGTACTCTTGCTGCTCTCCCTGGACTGCCACAACACAATCTCACCATTGTGGCAAAGACAGCCATGGAATTTTCCTGGGCAGGGCAGAGAAAGACAACCATTGGCAGGATCCAAACCATCAAACCGCCACCGTAGCCACAGTATGACGGTGCATGATGGATAGTGCATGCCATTGCTTTTCATTTTTCAATGACTATGTTTAGAGTTCCGTTTATTTCTGCTGTGGGTGCCAGGCAGTAGACCTTGTTTGCAGGATATCGGTTCTCATGTATGCCTGAACCGGAACAAGGTTATGCCATCACGATGCGGTTTTCAGCCTACCATTCCTTTCAGGTATAACCGTATTGGCAGCCAGTGTCTGCCCCCCCCCCCCCCCCCCCCCTCCAACCAGCTGCGTATAATATGATTGTATACAGCCTACTCAAGCTCAACTGATGAGGGGTGAATTCCCCGAAACACTGTGTATTGAGCAGGGAGTGGTGCTTTCTTGCAGGTTTGCCGAGTCGAAGGTTCGATGGGCTTCTCGTGTGCTCTGGATGGCAGTCGTGAGTCAGTCAAGTGTCAAGTAAAGTCGGCGGAATAGCGCGAGCTCCGGTGTGGGGAGCAAACCCTTTCTTACAAATCATCGCCGAAGTCGCAACCACTACTTCGTACTGTTGTGCCCAGCGCGGGCTTGCGACTAGTTGGTTTGGAGGTGACAGCGTTGCGAATGACCGAGGGTCCTCGACGTCTGTCTCACTGTCCAGGAGCGACACTGACTCACGCAGCATGCTATCTCGTGTTCACGAGGTGTTTGTCGCGCTGGAAACGGAGCGTCTCTGTAAGTTTGTATCCCTGGTGATGTTTGTGCCTGGAGACTCTATAAGTGGTGCTCTTCAGGCACAATCTTCCTCAACCTACTCAAGCTCAACTGATGAGGGGTGAATTCCCCGAAACACTGTGTATTGAGCAGGGAGTGGTGCTTTCTTGCAGGTTTGCCGAGTCGAAGGTTCGATGGGCTTCTCGTGTGCTCTGGATGGCAGTCGTGAGTCAGTCAAGTGTCAAGTAAAGTCGGCGGAATAGCGCGAGCTCCGGTGTGGGGAGCAAACCCTTTCTTATACAGTGCATGTACATGCAATACAGTCATACATGTATGACACAAGACCATCACTGTACACCACCTGCACAATGAAGGCGCAGTATAACCTGTCAAGGCAACCACCTGTCCTAGAAGACCACTGAAACCAGCACCAAGAGATGCTATTCCAGTCAAATGACCCTGGATAAGGAGACCACCTGGTAACAGAGACCACGTTTTGAAGGTCCCATGAGCGGTCGTCTTAGACAGGTTCCATTGTATGCACACTCTCCGCAACAGGTATACATCCTCACTCAGCTGCACGAACACAACTACCATCCGATACTGCGATCACCATTACCATCAGGAGCAGATGTGGTTAGCAGAACTGGTGACCGGCTGTTCACTTGCTTTACAACATCCCCATAGGTGCTGTGCTCGGTCACACGGCCTGTGTCTGTGCCCAGCTTCTTAGAGTCAAGCTTCTTGTCAGTTATGCCAATGATAGATTCAACCTGCAGAAAAACATTGAAAATGTACAACCGCCGCGTTCAAGGAAAGTTCATTTCATTTTAAAGTAAATAGAAGGAAGTGACGATGCCAACTAACTTGCGCGGGGACTTCAGCCTCATGAATAGGTTAGCACCGTGAACCAGTAGACAGCCAGGCAGGGTTTCGCCGCATGGCTAGCATTGCACAGCGCCGACCACTGACTGGCTTTGTCGGATTTCATCGAGCAGCACTACTATGACCTCCGAGCCTATGTGCGTCACCACCCAACCTACTGGTTTGTAGTGACCCCGCCGGCCATATAGGTGTGGCCCTGTTAGGATCGGTAAGCACCGGCCTCAGCTCTTCACAACTGTCAGGCTTTGCCGAGGAGTGCAGGCTGGCCTGACCGGAGAAGGTGCTTGGTCGGCGCACCGGCTTTCGCCTTATTCACAGCCGGGTCTGGGTCTGAATGACTTCTGAACCCAGAATCCCATCTCTCTGTTCAGCATGCAGCGCGTGACTGTCAGCACACTACCACTGCCCCCCCCCCCCCCCCCCCCGTCCCAATCCAACCATATCGGACCATGCTGCATTTATACTCATGTCCAAGTAGTCATTGCATCTCACCTGGCTGGTGACAAGGCTGACTTGGTCCCAAGGCTTTGCGCCACCGAATAGGCCACAGTCCTGTACAGATATGTCTATTACCGGCATTCTGGTCATTCACCAGGTGCCAGTCTAACGAAACATTGAGGTGGAAGGATGACTGGAGATTCGGCTTTCAAGCAAACCTAATGTTAGTGTAGCTGAATGAATAATTACTTGTACTGACTGTCGTAGCGAAGCTGTGTCGCCAATCACCCGCTCGCCGGGACAGCGAACACCATGGCGCTCACACTCTTCGACATCATGAATGAACAAACACCGTCCATTGAAGTAAAGTTCGTGCCGTAAAGCGAGCGAAGGAAGATGAACCAAAGAAGTAAGTACTGCAACATGCATCAACCATGCTAACACTGAAAACCGATCGATCTCGAAGCTGCAAAGTGCACACACTACACGGTCGTTATTGAGGTAAATCGCCACAATGCCAATGGTGAACGCCAAAGACGTTGAAGTACCAGTGCAGTGCACTACGGCCTGTCCGGGCTAGTACTTTGACTCTTCTTTGAGAGCATCTTGTTGCCAAGGCCAAGGAGTTAGCGCCACAGCAAAAATCGATACATTATGTATCGATTTTTTGCCATGTACGTATAATAATTATAACCTATTTAAACCAGTCGATTATATGGGAACTTATACCTCTCCATACCTCACTCCATATACACCCACACTCATATACCAGATCTCCCATGAAGTTTATAAATTTCCATATACACTGTTCAATATACACCACTAAGGAGGTATATACACCACTGAGGAAAACCATCAGAAAAAAAACCCACTGAGGAGCTTTCTTTCTCTAAAAAGGAGTGTATATAGCTTTCTTTCTCTAACGCTATATTCACTCCTTTTTAGGGAAAGAAAGCTATATTCACTCCTTTTTGCTCTTGAGCTTGCGCATGGAGAGGTATAAATATATTATAACAAGGGACCTCGTGTATATCGAGAAATATCGACCAGTTATAAAAACCTCGGCTTCGCCTCGGTTTTTATACTGGTCTATATTTCTCGATATACACTCGGTCCCTTGTTATAATATATACTTATCTAATATTGACTTCGTACTTGGTCAATATAGGAAATAAAAGCCGAGTAAAAGACCGAGGCTCGAGGCGAAGCCGAGGTCTTTTACGAGGTCTTTTATTTCCTATCATGACCAAGTACGAAGTCAATATTAGATTTATCACGACAAACAGTCCGTATTTCAAATTCCAGAACGATAACCTCATGAATCCCGGTTTTATGATTGCACAATCGTTGCACCACCACCTACTCATGCAGTGAAAATGCTGTAGGCACCGTTCAACTGCGCAACCCCTAAGCAGTCAAATATAAGCAGTCAATATAGCCTTAAGTGAAATATGCAGGAATATTTGACTGCTTAGGTATGGCAAAAATCTATGCGAGTCAATACTAAGGGAGTGATAAAAACCTGTATACAAACCGAGGCGAAGCCGAGGTTTATTATATTATGTATAATAAATGTAGAGCCGAAGGATTTATTGCAATTACATACCAGTATACATGTAAAAACCGAGGTCCGCCGAGGTTTTTTATAACTGGAATGAGGCTACTACATTTATTATACATATGTTGACCTTCACTTTCCCTAAAAAGGAGTATTTTATAAACAGTACTTATTGGCCCTAGTGGTATTTTATAAACAGTATTTTTTTCTATGGCTTGTACGCATTAAGCTTCTTAGGTGCAGATCGCTGGAATTCGCTCCCTGCTTCTGTTCGTATTTGCTCCACGCTATCAGACTTCCGCTCATCTATACAAAAACATATAGGGTACCCCGTAAGAAGGCCTTAGGCCTGTGGGAATGCCCTATTAAAAATTTAATAAATAATAATAATAATAATAATAATATTTATTGGGTCAAAAGCCAATAAATACTGTTTATAAAATACCACTATTAAAGGCCAATAAATACTGTTTATAAAATACTCCTTTTTAGGGAAAAGTGGAGTGCTACATGGAAAAGTGCAGTGGTATTTATTGAGTCAAAGCAAATTTATTTGAATTTGATACTGTTGATGGTGTGCCGGGTCACTAATGAGTGTGGGTATTTATCAAAGGTCAATATATTGGTTTATATTTCCCATATAATCAACTGAGTAGGTTATATTATGCTTATACTGAGCTGATATACAAACAAATACAAGCTCAGTATAAATGGCCATATATCGCAAAACAGTATCTATGATTATGAAAACAGTTTTACAACTACCGGTACTCAAATCTACCATACTGAGGTGAGTGCAAGCAATTGCGCAAGTGTCCCTCTACTCATTCATTGTATCATCGGATATGATCCAGTAGGAATTGTTTCTAAGGGTGCGTTCTTAAATCCTCTCGGAAAAGTTGGAGACTCTCCGAAAAGTTCGAGAGCTGTTCTTATATCCTCCCTGACTTTTAGGAGGCTCCCCAAAGCTCTCCAAGCTTCAGAGGTGGTTGAAACTTGGAGATTCCCGCGGTTTGGGATCAGCGCATGCGAACTACGACTGAGGCTGCGTTTACACGACAACGCTGGGGGCGAAAACGCAACGAAATCCTTTCGGATCCATGGTTCATTTACACGGTACGCGGAGCAAAACGTAAAAGTTGTACACCAAAACGGAAGAAAACCAAAACGCTGGCCAAGGTGGAAGAATTTGAAAACGGAAATGTTGTGCCGGATAAATTTGGGTGTGTAAACAGTCGAAACGGTGTGCTGGCCTTGTTTTCCGTCACGTTTGTTTCGTTTTCGGCCGTTTACACGGATTCGACAATCCAAAAAAATGTTTTTACAATTTTCGTCATGTGACGTGTGTTGTCGTGTGCCTGTTTTCAAACATTACTTGAGTGTGATGGGGCTGTTAAGTGTGACGTCACGGCTCCTTCGATACGCATAGCAACGGAGAGCACTGGGGACAAACAAAAGTCGCGTCCTCTGGATGGAACCAGATGTCAAGGGCAACAGCATCTAAATGACTGGAGAGACAGTTGTTTTTCTTTGCTTTTTCTTCAAGCGATTGTTGTCGCTCTTTACTCCTTGTTCTTTCCTCTACAAAACTCCTGTAGTCGTCGAGTGCCTTCATGATGGCTGTGAAATTGGCTGCCCACAGTAAAACTCCGTGTTTGAGAGTGCTTTGAAGATGTTTCGCGTCCTGATGGATCAAAGTATGAGCGCTCCTTGTGGATTCGATTATATATAGGTGAGTTGTTCAAGAAATCAGTGTCTTCTTTCTGTCTCTGCCCTCACGCTGGCACAATATCAGCCTCTATATCCACGACAGCTCGTACCTCCCGTAAACTGCATGACTTAGATATATTTTCGCCCTCCGTGGTGATTGAAGACCCATGGAAGAATTTATTATGTTCAGAATGATGTCCTAAGAATATAAAATAAAATAATTCTAGGGAATTGTCATAGGGTATTTTTGGAAGGATGGAGACAGAGAGAGAGCACTGTTTGAAGTGTTTGTCTCACTGTAATTACTCCAGATTATTGAATGTTGTATGATCTACTTCAAAAAGAAGTACTCTATATTTTCCATAATGTTTTTTCCTGATTTGCGGGATCTCTTCTTTTGCTGTTTGCGTGTTTACAGGAAGTGGCTGTCTGGTGTAACTGCACCAGATCCTGGGGAAATTAAGTCAGATGCAGAGGCAGGGTCGTCCAGTGATGCAACACTGCCGTTCTGTGTGCAACGTTACCGCTAATACCCCCGGCGAAAACACAAAAAAGACAAACACGTGAAAAGACTACAGTATTGACCGTTCTGCTAATAAATGCAGGACTGGTCCGACAGTCGATAATCGAAACACAGAGCACCAGCATGATGTTTTCATATTGGGAACCACACAACAGCTCAATTCTCAAGCCCAAAAATTGATGAATACAAATACAGAGCGACGCAACAAGAGGTCATCTGGCAACCAAACCTGGGTCTAATGCACTGAATAGTCCTGAAATACGCAGGCCAGACAAAGCAGTGCAAGCACATAATGTTACAAGGTACATGCATTGCAGAACAAAGTGTAACCAAAGATACACAGGGTTATAGCTGCACACTTGTGCATGTGCTCGCTCAGCCCAAGAACACACGATCATGATGATAGAAACAAATCCGGGGGAAACACGCTAACACCGAAGTAAGCGTCAACACGTAAATAGTGCAGCTCTGAAAAAATTACATTGACATGAACATTGGTGTGTCGAGTAGTATCAGGCTTGAATAATCATCCAACCAAGACTTCATCAGGTCCCAGATGCTGAGATCGCACGCCGAATGTGAAGTGCCTTGAACCTGTCGCACAAGGCACACATATGGCAAAATGACATCCACTCTGATTATTTCCAGAGGCCAATCATGACAGAACACAGAAATGAAACCACAGGCTCAACCAAGTAAACGCAAAGGAAGTTAGTCAAAATAATCCATGCAGTGCTCTTTTAATTGCAGCGCTGATTGCAGTGTTGCGTCATAGCCCGATACCCGCTGAGCACAGACACAACTCCATTCGTCAGGGGCAAGACATACTCTTTTGGAATAAAGTCATAAAGTACAGCGTTCCAATGACATTACGGACACCTCGTGTAAATGCATGGTCTGTTCATCTGGCCGACTCGGCCACGCACGAGAGTGTGTGCATGTACATGCGCGCGCACACACACACACACCATGTATTCGGTGCGTATGGTGTACCAGTTGCGGGACAATGAAGATGGAATCATTATCATGATGTTACATGTACACAAGAGTACATAACCCCCCAGAGTGTGCAACGCCTGATCCAGCTCTGCATAGGGTCTTGGTCGAGCGGAATCGGATCTTTGCGTCATAATACCGTACACATCTGAGGGGAACCCGGGGAGTCGCGGGTACTCTTGGATCAAAAACAATGGTGCCCTGCCTCGAGACCGGCCTTGCGCTGGTGTGGAGTGTACGCATGACATCAGAAGATCCGATTCCGCTCGACCAAGACCCTATGCAGAGCTGGATCGGCGTTGCACACTCTGGGGGGTTATGTACTCTTGATGTACATCTACAGTGTATGTTTGAGTGTAAAGTAAATTTTATTTTATTGGACATTTCTTCGACCCAACTAATTACTTACTTCACATGTTCGCATTTCTCATAATCGATCCACCTGCACTCCGTATCAGTCGAGGAAAAATTCTCCCAGATATACACTAGTCACCACAGCCATGTGATGACATTGGGATGGGCCCCAAGCAGTGCACGATTGCACTCTCTAGTTACAATAAATTAGGCCAGATTATCTGTGAAGACAAAATGCAATGCATAGCGCCAATCGATGGATGAAGAGAGAGTTTGTAAATACCCATATCTTTCCACTTGTTCAGGAGCTTACCTTTTGTAGTTCACATCGTTTACACGATCTCTCATGCTGTCTTGCACCTTGGTTTCGTTGACCATGGATACGCCAACCCAGAAAACATTCTACAGGAGCTACTAATGCAGAGCGTTTTTCACGCTCGATCTCGGCGATCTACCTTGTCACGCCAATAAAATCCTCCATGACACTGGCTACAGTCACAAGAGACGTCTCAGTAAGGTAATGAGCACGACAACATCGTCGAGATCAAGGACAAAGAGAAAACAAAACACTCACTGAAAACAGCAAAGAAGAAACGAAGAAATGTACACGATTCCTATATGTTGCCACTGACAACTGGGTCGGTGGGGACGACGCTACTTTTGTTTGTCCCCAGTGGGATCGTTGCTATGCGTATCGAAGGAACTGTGACGTCATCACTTAACAGCTTCCACGGCAACACTTGGCACATGACAAACTTTGGCGGATTCTTTGCTCTCGTGTAGACGCTTGAAAACGATACAAACGGAGACCACTTCGGATCGGCTTTGATCGTGTAAACGTACGAAAACGAAAGAAGAAATGCGGGACTGAAAACGGAAAACTGGCCGTGCGTTGTCGTGTAAACGCAGCCTAAATAAAAAGCCACATGTTCATCATGAGTGTACGCATTTCCCTTTTCGCATACGCACATACATTCATCACTCAAGATCGCGGCCCCTTTGACGCTTCATTTTGCTTGACATGTGCAAAATATCTCCGAATTCTTCGAGACTCGTTCTTGAGTAATCCCAGTTTCTTCGACTTTTTCTTCTTCTTCTAGAAGCTAGAGTCTAAGAGAATATAAGAACGCACCCTAAGAACGTGCTACAAGAACGCAGCCAGATTGCTGGAAATAAGAACGTTCCAGGGCAGCACGTGACTACAGACTAATGTCGGCACCAAGAGTACATAAACCTTGTCGGTACACAAAAAAGCACACGACTTCCGGCTATCGATATCATCAAGAGTCCATAACCTGGGTTATGGACTCTTGATATCATCAAGAGTACATAACCCCCCAGAGTGTGCAACTCCCACATACCCTGTTGTCCCGACAGAATTTCAAGTTGACGTCATTATTTATGACGCAATGCTCCTTGCAGCAGTGATTTACAACATGTGTACGGGTGTCAACGCATCACACGTTTTTCTTTGCAATAATTTGTACAGGACCGATCGGCTTCGGTCAACCACAGGTTCCGGATTCGTCTGATAATCCGTGTACAGTGCGCATTGCATCATCAAAATGACGTCAACTTGAAATTCTGTCGGGACAGCACCCATACTGCCATAGTGGAGTTGCACACTCTGGGGGGTTATGTACTCTTGATATCATGCATGCGTTTACTTCTTTTACTCTCTGGTTGTTCAAACTAATTATTATTTTGCAACAATGGTTCTTTTGTAGAAATATAAAATACATGTGCATGGCACACAGTCCGTTCACTTTCGCTCGGGCATCAATGACCAAGGGAGTGAACACGTCGTCCAATAAAGGCCATGTGCATAAAGGAGTTTCCCTTCACTTGAAAAAAAAACAATACCAGCATGCGAAGCGCAGATTGATACATGCACCATCCACAGGCTCTACACAGACTTGCAAGTAAAACACCGTGCTGCGTTCCGTATACTTTTCAGGTATGTTTTTAATTTACTAAGCAAGACAGGACGTACGAAACACATGCGCACAACAGAACAGCAGCACAGCAACCAGGATAAGAAGAAAATATAACACGTATATCAATAGTACACATGTACATCTAGGCATATGTGAATTTCATGGCATAATTATATTCCAGATGAGAAAGAGGTTATGTACAGAGGAGGATCAAAAGCCTGCAGTACAAGACCATGCAGATTGATCACTTCAAGAGGTTGGATGATTGGGCTTGAGCCATCTTATGAGCCACTGCAAACAACAGAACCGAAAAAGAAGTAGAGGTCAAGCAAGGCCTGGTAAGAACTTGATCGGAGGTGAGCAAAGGACAAAACCCAGGCCAGTACCTTACCAGGTCCAGCAGAACTGAGTAGGAAGTATAGTAGGGAAGTATACCCTAAAAATCAAATTTTCACCAGTTGTAGTCTTCGGGGTGCTGAGTCGAATGGTCTTCGTCCGAGGAAGCTGAGACGCTCCCTTCCTCCTTTATTCCCAATCGAACTCGCGCACTTCCACCGAAACTGGGTGACTGCGCCCTACTAGATAGGGATTTGTATGGAAAAAGTCACTAAAAACGCCGTTTTGTTCTTATAAAAGCGCAGATGACCGCGATTGGTCCATATGTTGTAGTCTTTTGGCTGCTGAGTCGACTGGTGTTGGTCCGAAAAGGTTGTGATGCAGCGTTCGGCCCTTATTCCCAATCGAACACGGTCGAGAAAGCGGTCACGTGCTCATTTACAGCCTGTTCGGGCCCATTTATGTCACTCGAGTTGAACCTTTGAACCAGGGAGTCGTAAAAGCCTCTTATGACTCCCTGCTTTGAACCTTTGAGTTGAACCTTGATGCGAAAATTGTAGCCTGCAGGCACGGTGACCAGGCGACTGGTGTACGCATTAGCACGTGACCGCTTACTCAACCGTGTTCGATTGGAAAAAAGGGCCAAACGCTGCATCGCAGCCTTTTCGGACCACAACCAGTCGACTCAGCGGCCAAAAGACTACAACATATGGACTAATCGCGGTCATCTGCGCTTTTATAAGAACGAAACGGCATTTTTAGTGACTTTTCCATACAAAGGTCTGTTCGAATGTTCATTGCCAGAACGAGAATGTAAACTGGAGTGTGAAACCGCACATATGAGATGAGATAAAAGCATGATTCGCCAGTTACTGTAAAAGCCATTATTCTAACGAGGCGCATATATAACGATTTCCTAAAATTGACCAGTTTACGTGTATCAAAGGTAACGATTCTCACTCATTCTCAACGCTCGATAGGAAAAATATGTATGGGTTTCTGTCGAACGTTTCTATTTTAACGACAGATTTTTCCTCGTTTATTCGTTAGAATAAGCACTTCGTTACATATATGGCTTTTACAGTAGATCATTTCGAATATTCAAAGAAGCCGCAATCTACAAAAGGCAGTCTGGTGCTGCAGTCACAGTGACCCGTGATCTCGTTGGCCAAAAATAGACGTGTGAGACAGGCCTACCGTTGCCATCTACCGCAGTGGCATGGATTGCATCCGTTATAACCCCAAGACGTTTGGCGCAGAGACTACAGCCTGTAGCAGACGGCTGAGAGAAAATCCTTTCCCCACCTTTCCCTATACGTGTACATACAACACAAGCAATAGTTCATACATAGGATTCAAGATTCAAACCTGGACGTACACAATGATGTTGTTGATGGGAATGTGGATAAGCTTGACGAAGAATCCAATGAATCCCATGATGGCGAATCCGACTGCTGTTGCAATAGCAATCTTCTGAAACTCTGCGTAGGCAATGTGTAAACCAGAGTAAAGATATTGTAAAAGACTGCCTTGTTCGACTTGACATGAATATACATGGAAGGTTTTTACCATAAATTAGCACGACCCTGATCCATACCTTAGGACTGTACCGCAAAAACAGTACACTGCTAACGCGTAGATCTACAATGGGTATGAACCATATGATCCTACCTGGTGGTCATCATGAGTCGTACCCAAACTATCACTCGAGTCATGTCAAGTAGGTTTCAGTACAGAATGTGCGTGGTGATGTGCATTGTGCAAGACAATAGCACATCAATTTTGGTCCGATTACGATACCTCACGAGCTCCTGCACAACGAACCTACTAACTACACTGTTAGACACGACAACGATGCTACCATACTGCTATTCCTACAGGACTTCGAGAGACCAAAGGAGATCAGTCCGAACACTAAAGTAGTAAAGACGAACGTACGAACCAAGCGAACTCACCTTTCCTGTCTGGTTTCGTGCAGCGCTTTACGAGACGAACGGAGTCCTTCGCGAAGGTCTTCGCCGGCTCAATTTGGGTGTAGACCTGATCCATGATGCAGGCAACGACAAAATACTCGGAGAAGACGAGGAGAAGAGCAACAGTCACTTCGTCTTGGACTGCCCTGCGTTTACTGCCGTCTATGAACAAACTCCGTGGCTCAAAACAAAGTCACTAACACTTGTCGATGTGATCATGCTATGCTACTCACACATACATGACAGTGCATGACGTCGACGAAAGCCTCGTCAGCAAAGTCGCCATATTGGTCTCCCGGGTAACAAGGAAAGAAATGACGTTATTCAAAATTGTACACATTTTCACATCGTTCGAAAGGAAGTGACTCGGTTTTCGATTCAAGGATCGATCAAGGAAATCGATCTGGAAAAGCGAGCTCGAACCGAACAGAACTTACTTTGTTACTACAAAGTCCTCTTGACTTGTGTATTGATGTAGACGTAAAAGTCGTTGTCAGTGGTACTATATCCATGCACGACAGTTAGTTGAAGCCCCTATCTATTAGCCAGTAGCCACATTCCGAATCTGAAACAAATACTAGTACTTTAGATTTAGATTCACGTTCTCCAGTAGCAACTTACGGAAGAAGTAAAATTGATATCTACTTTGCTAGTATTGTTGCATTGTACCCGGGTACCCGTGTAGAAAACTCGAATACTTACCCGGAGGAAATGGCCAGCGTGATCAGTGTCTCTGTGAAGGTGCTGCGAGGAAAGGAAGCTCGATTTGAGGTTAGCCATATCCAAGAGATTGGCAGTTCTGCTTTTCGAAAACACCCTCGACTGTGCATGTAACCCAATGTATGAAATTCGGGACAGCGTTGGTTGGTTGACGACTACGGTACTCACTACTGTAGTGTTATAACCTACAATATACCGGAACTCGAAGGGTAATACTATAGATAAGCTAGTGGACACGTAGATTTTCAGTGGTTGCTTGTACATATTCGTGTGTTCGGAATGAGCACAGTATTAGTAGGTAGTAGTGCCTGTGTATTAGCCCTGCTTGGTCTGGTGCTACGGTCACTGCTACCACCCTGTGTGTGGTTAGGATGATCAGGCTACTACAGTAATATAAAAAAATGTGTCCTTTATGCTGTTGTTGAATGATATGTGAAACTCTTCCTCTTTCCTGACCCTGCTGTGTGTGTGTGGCCAGGTTGCAGAGAGTGAAGTGGTGCGGGCGTTCAAGCAGCTTATCGCACCCGAGTTTGATGTTCCCGAGAGGCGGCAACGTCTTGTGTTCAAGGGTAAAACCCTGTCAGGTGAGATTAATATGCAATACGGTGCCCGCCGGCTGTGAGTGATGGGACGAGGAGGGGTGGGGACACACGGTGTGTATGCAAGGACTGTGATGATGTGCGGGTGCAAGGTATGTTAATTTAGGAATTATAATATTATGTTGAGTGGGTCAATCTGCGTTGAAACTTAAAACTGTTCCCGTATTTAAACTTGCCTTCTTTCTTGCCTTTTTTCTTTCTTTCAGACTCTGGAAAGCTGTGTGACTACAACATCAAGGATGGAATGAAAGTACATCTGTTTGTGCAAGACGATACGGCCGCCGGCCGAACACCATCGACACAAGCACAGACAACATCAGGTTTGGCTGCCACCACAGTCACAGCAGCGCAAGCAACTGCCAGCTCTGCCGCCGCCGGCAGTGCGTCATCGTCATCAGGGGTGTCAAGATCAGGGCAAGCAGCAGTGAGCACTACTCTCACCTCATCGTCTCGGCACGTGGATGTAGCAGAGGAGCCTGCGGCAGCCATGGGCACAGTGGCGGATACCAGTCCATCTGCATGGAGAAACACTAATCTTTGGACACAGCTAGATCGGGTGTTGCAACCCCACTTTCGGCCGGAAGATGTAGAGAAAGTCAAAAAAGCTTTTTTCATAGTAAGTACATGTAGATCTCCTGTAACTTTGTGCAGTGCAAAAAAAGTGTGCAGTACACGTACATGTATTTCTAATTATTATAAGTATTACTTGGACTGCCATGTGTTAAAAGCCATAAACAATTTTTTGGGGTGTTTATCAGCTTTCCCAGTGACCTTGCTCCATCATCTACAGGGCTTGCACAGCGTAGGTTGGTTCATGGCACATGGACAGGCCCGGCATCTTTAGAAACTACCTTACGTCTAGAGTACATGATTCTCTCCCGGCACTAGATGCTATCGCAGCAACCGTCGACGTTCGAAACTCAAGAAGTACATGTGAACAGCGTAGAAAAAAAAGAACTGACACTTCGTCTCCACCCTTGCACGTTATCACTCTCGGTTTCTAGAAAAGGTGTCATCAACGAAATCCGCCGTCGCCAAATTGGACAGAGGTGTGCCCTCTTGTTGATGTGTCCTTACTCATTAGTGTATCAAGAGTACTTTAAACCAGGAATCATTTGCACTTGTTTTATTTAGTGATTTGCCTGCACAGACCCATTTGCGCCTGGAAATCTTTTGCGATGGAATTGAATTTCATCAGTTTATTACTATAGTTCTACGCTCTGCGCCCGTTTGCTTTTGCGATTTTACACCCATCGCGAACAATTCCAGATCGCAACGGTTTCCCGGTTTGCGGTGCACGACCCTCGCGTGCCCCATGCATTTGACGCGGTACTAGTATACAATCTTGTAGGTCACTGTATTTCTGTAACTCTGCGCCATTATATAGTAGTAGTACTAGGGCTGAAACGAATGCTCAAGGAAGCGAACGAATATTCTTTTTCCGAGTACATGTGAACGAAGAATATTCCGAATATTCTAAACCGTACAATATCCATGGATACCTAGTTGTATCCATGGTAACCCTAGATCATACCTGGTGTGTACCCAATTACAAGAGAGATGTGTGAAAAGGATAATGTTATCCTTTGTCTTGCTGATGATAATACATTGAAGGTGGAAAGTCCACTCGTATTTTGCACCAAATAAGCCTGATCGGTACCAAAAAGGAGAGTTTCTGTACATTTACGAATATTCTTATTCTACTTTTAACGAAGAATATTCTTTTTCCAGTCTGCACATTTCGAATATTCCTTTCGGCCCTATTATATACTGTAGTTAGTGGGCAACAGGGCATGGCTGCTGTGTTCCTGGGCAACAGGGCATGGCTGCTGTGTTCTTGTGTATTCTTTCTTGTGATAGTTTTTTCTTTCTGTCTCGTACTTCCTCTCTTTTCTTACAGAATTTTCAGAAACGCATGAACAGCCTCAGCCTGCAAGAGCTCGAAGAGTACGCCAAGGCATGCGTAGCATTATAGTATAACACCAATGCTTTACCCGATCTAGATGCCAAGTTTTACAATAATTATATTCACTCTCGCCCTCTATTACTGTTTTGTTTTTGAAAGAATCCATAAGGTCGCCACACCCAGTTTGTTCCATACTCTTTTAGCTGACTTTTCTGTTGAGCTTTGGTGTTGTCTGGAATGTCATAATAATAATTATGTTCGTCCTTTGAAGTTGGTTGTGTCACAGAAATTTTTAACAGAATGGATGTGGATGATGGCTGTGTGGAGGGCTTCCTCTTGTAGGGACTCAATCGGTGGGTGAACTCCAAGAAGTATTGTGCTTGATCACACGAGTCCCATGGCCAGCGTGCTGTGTACTGCTCTGCCCCCAATAAAACTACTACAATACATAGTACCAAGAGACCATAATCCCCCCGGTGGGATTATGGTCTCTTGATAGTACGAAGTACATGTAATGCTCAGGTTGCTGCCTCTACTGTATTCTGCAGTGCTCAATTCAGTCGTTTTTGACCATGAAGAATAAATAAAAATATGCCACAGGTTGAAATCATCGCTCGTTAAAAAATATCAGCGTACAAAATACCCCTGAAGTAGCATGAACAGTTACGTATTTAAAGAGACAAAGCAAAACACCTCCAGCAAATAGCATTGGAACACACACAAATCAGCAATTGAGGGTTAGAAAGCAAGCTCGTATTTACAGGTGTGTTGCAAATATTATATACAAAGTGAAAGGGCCATGTTAGCAACTGCCGGATGCAGGCGATCTAGCGGATTGCGCGCTGCATCTTCTCTGCCACCTTCTCATACTCCCGGCGATCCTGGGCAGCAGACATGCACAACACACACACAGGGCGAATGACAACGAGAAACAGATACGTCGTCATTTGAGACACGGGTACTATTTTTATGGATTTGCACAAGAACTGCCTTGCCACTCAAATCTCAATACAAACTAGCACTGATACTACATTCAAGCCTGCCACCCAGATAGCAATTATTACTTGTAACACCGGTTGGCCACTCCATACGAAGCATAAGCAGTGATCTCATTCATATGGCCCTCTTCCAAGACTTGGAACTCTCCACTACAAGTACAAACGGTCGAAGGCTGTTGCTTGCCCCTTCTTGTACATCATCACAGACAGATGATCCAGTCAGCATCACCTCTCCACACTGCACTTTTGGTACAGTACAGCTAGGTAAATCCTCTGTACATAATAGTCGAGTCCGCCACTGCCTCCTCTTTACACACACAGGCATGCATGCCCCCTCCCCACACGCACACCACGATGCTGGCCGGTGAAATCCGACCACAGGCACACTTTTTTTCTTCCCATTCCGATGCAGCCAGCCTGCAACTTGTGGTGCATGCAGTTCTCGAGTGAGTGGTCAGATTACGGTGTAAAACAGCAAACCAATACTCCTGAAGATGGGCCTTGCCGGAAAAAATCGAATAATTTAATATCTCTTTTTCATCAGTGGAACGCCGTCACATAAAAATGTAATAACTAAAACACACACTTATATACATGTAGCTAATATGGTTTCAGGTAGAAATACAGCAGCTAACAAGTACAAAAAGCGAAGTTTGCACCTTTGCAATGTGTGAATATAGTGTATGTGAGAAAGGTAGTGGCAGATGAATGTGATACTGTGTGAATGAATGTAATGTTTTAGTTATTACATTTCTATGTGACGGCGTTCCACTGATGACAGTCACAAGAAAACGTTATGGAACTTGACTTTCTTCATTTTTGCTGTTGTTATGAGTGCACAATTTATCTTATTTATTGCCATTTTACGACTATTGTCTCCTCGTCGATTGTTTAATATCTCTTTTTCAGTTTTTCTTTTAGTGATTGGTGTAGCCCAGAGACTGTCTGGAGAGTGAAGATGTATCAATACTCAATAGTAAAATAAATAAAAAATAAAAATAAACAAGCAACAGGCCATCTCTATAACAAAGATTACCCCACCCAGTACCACATCACCAAATACAGCGCAAGACAACAGAAGAAGAGTAAAAGTAGTCAGTGCGAAGGGCAGCAGATGAATGGCACGAGCAATGCAGGAGAAAACGACACCAACAACAGCGAGACTAACCTTGTCGGATACGGATGGTTTGATCGTTGCAAGAGCTATTTCAAAATGGCGCGAGTGCAGCACGTAAGCCGCTGGCAAGTCCGGTTCTGACACCGCGTCATGTTTACTCTGCGCCTGGTCATCATCCACGACCGCCTGGCTATGTTCTGAGAGGGAGTTGTCAGAAGCTGGCTGAACCTGGTCATCACCCATGACCTGGCTGTGTTCTGAGAGGGAGTTGTCAGAAGCTGGCTGAACCTGTTCATCACCTATGACCTGGTTATGTTCTGAGAGGGAGTTGTCAGAACCTGGCTGAACCTGGCCACTGTCCATAGCTTGGTCACCAATAAGATAGTGCTGATGTCGCTCCTCAATAAGAGCATCGCATGCCTGACTAAGCAGGAGCTTCAAGTCGGAGCCCCTAAGAATAACAATAAGGGGAAAACAATACAGGCACAGTAGAGGATACAGAGTCAACTACAGAGGTAAACCATCCAACTGATGATAGTTTATATTGCACATCACCTGACTGTTCCAAGGTCTACAGCTAATAAGGACCTTTCTTGAGGTATATCCTGCTGAGTCAGTACAACCTCGTCACTCCATGACCGCTCCATGACTCTTGCACATCGCATGCACACTGCAGCACGTTTGCAGTGTGTTAGCCTAGTGCCTGTCGGTTGCTGGCATTCGAAAATCTCTCTCCAAGTAGTTGAAAGAGAGTTTACTTGCCGCTATGCTACAATGGCTAAAACCAGTCGAAGCAATCACCTTGACCCAAACGCTGTACACCGTAAGCATGTTAGGTACGTGGTATGCACCTCATAGCATTGATAGTACTAATTATCATACTCGATAGATGCTGTCAACACTGGAGCCATTCAGGCATGCACTAGTATTGGACGCCACAGCCCTTTACTCGGTCAGTTATGATGCCATACATGCACTTACGTCAGACCCTCGCAACGCTCGTCCCCCGCGATTCGATCAAGATCAACGTCCTCTGCTAGCCGGGGCTTTGTACCATTCTGAAAACAACAACAGGAAAACACAGGACTTGTACTTTTCAACGGAGTGCAGTGTGTTACAAAACTATACACATTACTTTCACCAGTAGCAAGGTGCAGTGACCACGTCACAACTCAAAAGGAGGAGGGGAGAGGAGGGCGTACATCTTTGAGAACAAGCCAGATGAGTCATTGACCAAAAAAGCCATTTGCAACATTGCACTGTTGAAACAACAAGATTACATACTTGCAGTGCATGACAAGAATTACTAGCAAGCACTAAGACAAATGCCATGCACAGTGCAACTTCAGTACTATCCTGGAAACAGTGGAAAGAACACAGTCTTTGCACCACCTGAAGAGAAGATTTGAAAGTATACCAGTGGAAAACTTTCAAAAGGTCGCTGTTGAAGAACCTGAAGTGTCTCAGGAAACTTCTTCTCTTTGCATCGGATATAAAGTACTTTTTTTGAGGAGCCTTCTTATCCTTTTCTAGTCAGTTGACCTTTCACATACATGTGCATGCAGAGTATCTCAGCTGTAATGTAAGTCCCCTGGAGGTATGACTATGTTTAATATCCTAAAATTTCAGCATGTATGGTGGTTTGCATATCCCCACCCCCGCCCACACACAGGCCACCTAACACCAATATCCAACCTTGGTCTGAGCACGTAGAATCTCTGCACGCGCTTTGGCATCTGGGATTCCAACGTACAGGATAGTGTCCAGCCGGCCTGGCCGCAATATTGCTGGATCCAGGATATCTGGAATCGTGAATATACACATACACATACACACAGCTAGAATTATCATACACACAGATTGTGCACGTATCATTCAAGCCTGCTTCAAGTGATACCTAGAACCCACTACTTTGAAGTAGTAACAACAAGCCATCTGTCTCTGTCCTGATATGTCTTCACTTAGTTCACTGACAAAATCTGCTCCCGGTCGCGGAGCAGCCGTTTGCTGTGTATTCGCGGCGAAGTGACAATGCAAAGTCAACAAAAGGTTGCAGTGGAAAGAGCTTTTATGAGCAAGGTCTAAGTGGCTGCGAGTCCACTTTTAAAATTAACCAGGAAAAATAACGCGCGAGTTTATGACGAGTATTGAAACTTCATGTACCGGTATTCCGAATGCAGGAAATAGCCGAAGTACTAACGGCCTCAGAGAGCATTGCACTTGTACAATGCTTGATGTACAATACGACTCATTAGATTGTATAGCACTATAACCGCATGGGTGTGCAATACAGTCATATCATCTAAACAATAACCGTAGCCAAACAGGGGTTGCCCCCAAGGTGTTTGGGTTAAAGAATTCGTGACCATACCACCAACCACACTACTTGCAAATCTGTTGTTGAATGAGTGAGTGAAAAGTGAAAAAGGTTCTGCTGCAGGACCCCAGTACTACAACATTACTTTAGTAGGTACATTGAAAGATGCAAAAGAACCACCTCACATGGGGAAAGGTGACAAGAACAGATTGCACTGGACTGAATTGTACCAGTACATGAATCCTGGGCCCAGCCCCCCAAGCCCCCCCCCCCCCCCACACACACACACGGCTGCGTATCTGCATGCAAGTCACAAACTGACCTGGGCGATTGGTGGTGCAAATCACAAACACCTGGCCCCGGTCACCTGCACCATCCATTTCCGTCAAGAGAGTGTTGACAACGCGTGACGTAGAATGACCCTGTACAGTAGCACAGGAGAGAAAGAAACACCGGTGTATCCATAACACCACAGTCATTACAATCACATTAGCCTGGAGGGATACGAGTGCAGATGGAAAGCCCAGAACACAACATGACAATAATTGCACTCAATATAGATATGAAGGGAGCGCACACAGTCATACCAGCACACTCTCTCCATATCATCTAGATTTCACACTGTACACCGCCTCCTGGCCACACCAATCACACACTTTGCACTAACATAACACTGCTAGCCCTGCAACTAACACAGCCCCCCCACATGCATACACAGTACTTTCCACATTGCTCATTACTAGATATTAGTACTACCAAATCAACACCAAGTGCATAGCAGGACACCAAAACCCCGATATTTCTCCTGGCATAAATACCGGCACTGACAACAGCACCCCTATGTTGCCTGATGATTGCATAACCATGAAACTCAGAGTTGCAATGAACTAGCCTTGCGCCTTGTTTGTGTGTGTTCTGCGTATCTAGATTTCAAAAAGTTCTCGTCACCTCACCACGTTTTCAATAAGATGTAGTACTTTGCTCGTGAGGAAGCTGTTTGCTCCCCACACTGGAGCTCGCGTTTTTCCAGCCGATGTGACTTGACACTTGAGCAAACAACTTCCTTATAAATTGATCGCCGAGGTCGCTACCACTATTTCGTACTTTGCTCATACTTACATCTGATGATGAGGTTCGCCTTGTTGCTAGTGAATCAATTTCGTCGAAGAAGATTACGCATGGTGTTGCGCTGCGGGCACGTTCAAACAGCTGTCGGACTGCACGCTCACTTTCACCCACATACTGTTTCAACACAGGAACAATCAGACCCACCACAATGCATATACACACGTACATAGATACAGATGAACACACACACACACACACGCACAAACAGACACGCACACACACACAAGTGCACACACGTGCACACACATATCCATCCCAGAACAGATCAGAACAAATGAAAGGCCAAGCTCAACCTACTGTGGCTTCAAAACAAACGTTCACAAGGCACAAAGTCGCCCACAAAACAATCTCATGATTGTTACTACTTGGCTAAACAAAAATTCTACGGCCCCAGTATTCAAATTTCAAATTACTCTTTGACAAGAAGTTAGTGCCTGGCCACAATCGAATCAATAAGGGGACATCGCCACATACGTACAATTTATCAGTATCAAGGGTTTTAGACGCAACAGGAAACCTCAAAGTTTGCTCAGGAGCAGGCAAAGACTCCAACACACACCTTACAAAGACACAGCCACAGCACGCTATTTCTAAACCTCTCACCATGTTGAACACCTCTGGGCCTTTCACAGACAAGAAGTTTATGGACGACTCATTCGCAACAGCCTGGAGCACGAAAGGAAGCATAACATAGAAGCAGTCAAAGCAAGTTATAGTCAATCGACTCAAAACGCCCCACGAAAATGCTCCTACAAGTACAGAAATTCATGGTATACGAGTAAGCAACAATAAATCAATGAAAATCCAACTCGAGGACAAGCTACCTATGAGAAAGACACCCTTCCACACACCAGACACATCCAGCAAGACACAATTACATCGAGAAGCATGGCCTTGCTCCTACCCTACAGAAGATGATACGAGGGAAAAGAGAAAAGGAAGTTCATGTAGTTTACCTTGGCTACAAGCGTCTTGCCACAACCAGGGGGGCCGACTAGAAGCACACCAGACGACGTTGGCATCCCAAGCGACCGGTACATTTCCGGTGAATGCACTCGACTCTGCGGGAAAAACAAACAGAACAAGTCATCCACGACGAGCCCCACGTACATGTACACCATATTAGCATTGAGAGAGAGAGAGAGAGAGAGAGAGAGAGAGAGAGAGAGAGAGAGAGAGAGAGAGAGAGAGAGAGAGAGAGAGAGAGAGAGAACACAGCTAGCTGAACATTGCACGTACTAAGATTGCCTTGCTGAGTTCCTTCTTTACAAGCTGCAGCGCACCAACATCACTCCAAGAAACATCTGGAATATGCGCCAACGTTCCCTTCCTGCCTGATGGAACAACACATCGAAGTGCTTCCTGCAAAGTACACATATCAGGAGAGGAAAGACAGAAGTACATGTCAACAGTTAACAGGGCATTGCAAGATGTAAAACAGAATTTACTTCTTTGCACTATACATACTTGTCACGCTGATATCACTGCATGGCGTATGAAGGAACACGGAACAACTGTACTCGCAACACAGCTGGAATTCTGACGACCATGCATAAATAAATTGACAACACATGTAGTTTTAAAAGAAGGCCCAGACGTTGTTTCACTGCACACTTGCCAAACTGAGCCAGGTAAACTCACTCTGAAGTCTGCTGTGGTGACAGTGGGAGATAGCAAATCCTCAGGAGGAAACTGCCGGTCTATTACGCACTGTGCTCCTGCAATTCAAAAAAAGGGGGAAAGGAAAGAGGAACAAGACACTCTGATTCTAGTGCCCACACAAGTGGATTGGCTTTGCAGGTAAAAGAAGAAGAAGCAATTGGTTCAAATGAAGACCACGATAGACACAAGCAACATGCAAAGGAATCAACCGTTTTAGAGGAGCAGTGTGTGCACCAACAACATGTTTCTCGGGATTCTACATGCTAGTACCGGTGAGAGCTACACGCCGTATTGGATATGCTTGTTATTAGCGATCAAGTACTCGCGGTTTGTTCTAAATCCTCCTGTAGAGCGCACATGTAACTCCACCTGGACTGCTGGCGGTAGGCATGCATTATTTCAGAATGACACAGTCCGCATCTATGCGGGGTACAGTGTAGGCGGACACAAGTGGATCCACCAACCCCTGGGGTTGAATGCAAACTGCCGCTCGCACCGCACAGAAGATTCTTGAAAAGTTCAATGTAGGGTCATCGTGGTATGATCAACTCTTGAAAGAGACCAATCAAACATCACTTACCGAAATTACCGCGTGAGTCCACTCCGGATTTCTCTCGCGCTAGCCTGTAAACACAACAATCATACCAACACACAGTTATACACCAGTACCATACCTAATCATACCAACAAACAACAAAACTAGCAGAACGCTGAGGCTACTAGTAATTGTAGTATTCACTGAAGGTCTGCGGGAAGCCCTTGCCCCGTACAACAGATGTTCTGCATGTGCTGTAGATATGATGGGTAACTACTCATAGCGACCTAAACGCATCACGCTATGTGTCATGTAACCTAATGACGGCCTGTTTGTGGCGGGGGGCATGCTCAGCAGTGTCAGAATTATGTACGCTTTCCTCAACCATTCTGATGCTGTCTTTCCTTCGGCAATGGTTTATTTCTCTCTCTCTCTCTCTCTCTCTCTCTCTCTCTCTCTCTCTCTCTCTCTCTCTCTCTCTCTCTCTCTCTCTCCCTCCCTCTGACGTGGGGGTTTTAATACATTGAAAACCCCCAGAGTTCACTACTAACATAGAGAAGTTGATAACAAAGCCGTGCTGGGAGCCACGTCCTACCTGTCAGCAGCATTGCGCCTGAAGTACTTCCTCAGTAAGCAAAGGTCTCCTCCAGAGTAGCCAGGTGTGTTGTGTGCAAACTGTTTCAAGCTCACACCACTCTCTAACTTTGTGTCAGCGCATAAGTGCTGCAGAATGCTACAGGAAAGGCAGAAAACAACAGCACAAAAGGCAAACACAAATGTAAGATAAACAGGTAGAATCGCGGGATTCGTGAAGACCAACCAATGCCTTTCCTCATTGTTGAAGTGTAGCACAACATGTAACATGTTTTCGACTTTGACAGCATGTTACAAGGCGAGGACGCACAGCTATCAAGCAAGGCTTCTACTTCCTCCGCGTCATTAGAATTGTCGCTTCGCACATCGCAATAGTTGTGACTTGGCTCGTCTTAGTCAGACTGTCGGAATCGCTGTTTTCTGTGTTCGAACACTGGTGTGACCCTTCCTGTGCAATGCTACTCGTCACTGAAGCCGTGGTGGTCTCGGACTTTGTCGGAGCTCGCTTCCGCACCAAGCAAATTCATCGCGCTCCGCACTATTCCGCCCCAGAGCGCATTTCGTTTTCTGGAGATCGTGCCGTCCCACATCGTTCGCGTGGGCATTTGTCAAGACTGCAAGCTCGGGTATAAGAATCCTGGTATCTCTCCTGAATACGAACTGCTGAAGTTGACGATGGCAAGAGCAAAGTGGTCTCAAATTCCTAAAATGCGCTACTTGTGGCACATGTTGCTGCGAAGGTAGCAGGTCTGAAAACACCAACAAAATCAGCGAAGCGCTTGCCCAGGAAAGAAGGTGCGGTACTGCTTACCCTATCCCGCTGGAAGGTCGTTAAAGTGTACTTGAAAAATGCTAGCTTGCCTTCATCGCCTGCCACCTGGAGGCACGGATCGCTTGAAAACGAAGTTTCTTGACCTGAATTTGAGCGCGCGTCTTGTTCAGCGTATTGTTGAGTGCTGAAGGGTCTGCCTCAAACTCTGATGAAGGCGTCGCCTTAGCTGCAAGTGCAGCGAAGCGGGGGACCACAAACTAAAGCTTGGTCCGTCGACAATGCTCTGCCTCAATTTCTAGCTGATTTCTTTGCTCTTCGAGTGGACAAAATAATTTCGAAAATCGCACTGGGAAGCGACAATTTTAATGACGCGGAGGAAGTATATATACAACATGTAACATGTTGATACAAGGTACCTGGTTTGTTCTCGGCTCACCTGTGGCGGGAACTCTCGTCTGGATAATCAACACAGAACTCAGCTCCAAAGCGTTTACTCTGTCTCAAGGATGGGTCGAGGGTGTCTGGATTGATCGCTATTCCGATAAGGAGCACAGATGATGGTGGCCCTGAAAACAGACCTGCACACAGAGCAGCGGCAGAACAACTTGCAACGTTAAATAGTAAATACTCAATCCCTGAAATTCATGAATGTGAACACAGCTGTGGATATGCATGGCCGTCACCACACAGCAGACGCTGAGTGCTACACGTGACTTAGACATGGCGGCATTGTCAACTATTAGAACCTGCTGACCTTGTGCTCTCTCTCTCTCTCTCTCTCTCTCTCTCTCTCTCTCTCTCTCTCTCTCTCTCTCTCTCTCTCTCTCTCTCTCTCTCTCTCTCTCTCTCTCTCACTCACAGACCCTTTTTTTCTTTTGCCCTCTCTCTCTCTCTAGCCATTGGATCTATAGCTAGCCTTGTGATCCCGTCTTCTCTTGTATTTCGTGGCAACTAACGTGTTTTCGATTGAACCACGGAAGCACCTAAGATGTAAGTCCCAAGCTATCGGTGAGCGTGTGGGAGTGTGTGTGTGTGTGTGTGTGTGTGTGTGCGCGCGTGTGTGCGCGCGCGTGCGCGTGTATGCTTGAGTATATCAGAGTATGTGTGGGTTTCCGCGAGAAGGCCTTTGGCCTGATATGCTATCTTTGAATGGCCAACGCTGTATGGTCTACCTTAGTAATAATGGATGCTGCGCCTAACTCTACTGTGTAAATGTTCTGTAAGATACTAGTAGTTGATGTCTGACACAGCTTTTGGTCAAAGCATGATCGACTGGGCACGACACTTCACACCGTCTGACTTGTTGCGAGAGTTGAGACGATCAAATTTAATGCAGACTAGACTCACCCTCACAGCAACTGGCCAGCTGATGCACCAAACGAGCTTCCATTTGTTTGCCGGCATTCTCCGTCTTGGGTGCTATCGCTTCGAGCTTGTCGAGCAGCAGTACACAAGGTGCTTTCTCCTAGAAACACAGCACAACAATGTGAGAAACGAGAGTACAGTCAAACTTGCACTTAGCTACAATACCAGCGTGCACAGACAACCTGTCTACATGTACACGGGTGGTCATTACAGCATAACGGGCATTAAGCTATGGTCGGAGTACTGGTAGAGGTCTCTTCTTGCAGTGTTTCTACACGTTCGTCACGCGACACGCAGGCTTACACGAGCAGTTTGGAACAGCTGGCGCAGGTTCTTCTCGGAGTCGCCAGATATTCCCGACACGACTTCGGCCGCCTGGACTTCCAAGATAGGAAAGTGAAGGGACTACACACAAAACGAACAGAGAAACCAACAGAGAAGTAAAACAATCATCAAACACGAGACAAACAGGACTATTACTCGTAGGTGCAGCAGACAATGTGATGCATGACTATGGACATAGACAAGGAAAGGACACAAGTTCAAAGGACAAATACTAACCCCCGCTATGGCGTGTGCCAGCAACGTTTTCCCACAGCCAGATGGTCCATGGAGAAGAAGCCCGCCGTCAAAGCCCACAGCGAATGGCTGCCGCCCGCCCGATGCCGGGTCGTTGAGGAACGAATCCCATGCAAACACATCTATCAGCTCAAAGGTTGCCTGCACAGCAATGACAAGACAGGACAGACATTGAGCTCAAAGGTTGCCTGCACAGCAATGACAAGACAGGACAGACATTGAGCTCAAAGGTTGCCTGCACAGCAATTACAAGACAGGACAGACATTGAGCTCAAAGGTTGCCTGCACAGCAATGACAAGACAGGACAGACATTGAGCTCAAAGGTTGCCTGCACAGCAATGACAAGACAGGACAGACATTGAGCTCAAAGGTTGCCTGCAGCAATGACAAGACAGGACAGACATTGAATCATGATGGATGAATGGGGGAAAGTACAGTAAGAGCAGATCCAGCAGTTGACCTCTGAGCAAATCAAGCAACATGAAAAGAATTGTACTGAATGTCGCAAAGAGAAGGGTCACAAGGTTGTACGTGCACAGTGATGGAGACAAGTAGTATTTTTTAAGCAATAGTATAGCAAAATGCTTCCAATGCCAGTGTACCAGTGACCAGTGCCCAATGCAGAACATCATTCCGACATGGACGAAAAGGAGAGAGAGGAAACAACAGGTATACGAGGCCTGCGCACACCATCATAATACAAGCCATTACGAGATGTATGACCATACCTTTTTCACTTGTTCGTAGCCATAGAAGTCGTCCAGAGTAACTTTGGACTCCTTGGTTTCTAATACAAGTACAGAGCAGAGGCACGGCAGTACTTCAAGTCATGTACACACATGTACAGGTATAATCTAGCGATACAAACTATACCAACAGCCAGGTCAAAATTAACGAATCTGTATTCATATGTGTGTGTGAGACACTGTGTACAGTGGAACCTTGGGTTTGCGATCACCTCGTTTCACAGACCTCTGAGAAAATGCAACCAACTTTTGCCGGTCCCGCACAAAGTTCCCTTACACTAAGTTACAGTGGTACAGTGGTTTACGACCGCCTCACTGCCGCAGACAACTGTGAAATGTGACCAACTTTCCCTAGTCCTCGCACATGGCTCCCCTACAGTGGAACCTTGGTTTGCAACCACCTCGCTTTCACAGACCATTGGGGGAAACACAACCACTTTGCCCCTGCCCTGCACAAGGCTCCCCTATCTGTGCATATGCAAATACATCAGACAACATCGGAAATGAGACCACTTAGCTCGGTGTAGAAGGTGACTGGATTTCTGAGCTTCCACTACGCTTCCTCTTTCTCTCTCCCTCCCTCGCTCTCTCTCTCTCTCTCTCTCTCTCTCTCTCTCTCTCTCGCGCGCGCGCACGCTCTCGCTCTCTCTCCCTCATGCACTACAATAACCCAATCTCCAGACAGTTAGCTGTTTTGAACTTCAGAAGAAGAAGGTCTAATCAGTCATCAGTGTAGCTCAGCTGGACTGGCTGAACTGGTCACAATGAAGTCTAGTGAACACCAGTACTGGCTTGCCTGCACTGCCACTGCATACATTTCACATCTGATCTCATTCAGCAATCAATGTCAGTTGACTACACACGGACTTACCCCACTGCTGAGCTGTCGATGGCTCGTCACCTTCATCGTCTGTGTGGCGGTACCTGCGTTTCAGCTTCCTACGTTTCGGCTTCGGTTCAACAGACTCGTCGAGTGGCTTAGTGGCTTCACCAGCTGCATATACACGCGGAAATCAACATACCCAAGTATATGCAATCCGTACTGGTGCTAGCTTGTCTCATACAATCATTATCTGGTCCTTTCTACAATCATCCTGACACAGGTAGTACCAAAACTAGCCTGCATCACATAAGGTAGGTAAAATGTGCATCGACATACACACATAAAACGGGATCGTTTTGAACAAAAGGTGATTTCAGTAGAACCCTCGCCCAATCCAACAACACACATGCACACACACGCGTGCGCGCACACACACACACACACACACACACACACACACGCATGTACACACACACGCACACACGCATGTGCACACACGTACACACATGTGAGCACACACTAACCATGAACCATACAACAGGCAACAGCCAACGCTTAGTTGTGAGCACCCTTTACCGGGCCCTCTGCGCAGGCAGGGGCTTATACGCGGGTGGGCTTATCCACGGGTGGCATATACGCGGGTGGGCCTCTGTGTAGGCATGGGCATATGCGCGGGTGGGCGTATCCGCGAGATTCTACGGAAACTCACCTTGGTCAACATTGCCCTCATCCTGCGACATGCTCTCCTGGCCACCAGCAGTCTCGCCAATCTCCTCTGATCCTCCTTCTTCGCAACCAGCGGCCATCAAGTCGGCAGTTGTGTCAGGGGGTGGGTGTCTGGGAAGTGCTCGGTTCGCCTCTGGAGCTGCAGCTTTCATGCTCATGTACACTGAGAAAATACACATGACAAACAAGGAGGTTTTAAAGACCTAACCACTTCCTCTCAAAAGAAGGGGAGTAGCAGTATCTGGCCTTGAGAAAGATTATTCCACCACAACTACCAAACCAACACTGTGTTGTCTGGAATGTCTTGACATGTGATCACAACACCACCAGCAAGACAATTTTTTTAAGGATATTGCCCCCCCCCCCCCCCCAACCACCACCACAATACACTCTGAAAAACATTGACATATCCTGCAAAGTATAGCCACATTCGGCAACAAGCTCTTTCGCACAAATTGAGCCTTGTTTACCTTGATTAACTAGAAGGCGAAAGGCGATGCGCGGTCTCCGTCGATAATCCCTGTACACAAAAGCCAGCAAATGTCACGATAGACATCACAATAGAGAGTGCACTGGCAGAAATCCAGATCAGAAGTCCCTACATACAAGCATACATGTACTCCTGGTGTCCAAGTGAATGAGTGATTCAAAAAGAAGAAATTACTTACCCATATTGTTCTTGTAAAGCAAGAGCCATCGTGTCCACTTGAATGTTTCCAGGATGAGAGTCAACATACTGTAACAATACAATGCACACACATATTATATCAGCTCGTTTAGTACTACAGCTCTACTTTGAGCTATAAACAGCAGCTATACTTTGTGAACTAACAGCAGCTATACTTTGAGCTTCAACCAGTTGTTTCGAAACCAGGATTCCTCAATCCAAAGAGCCTTGCTTATTGACTTGCCTGTGTGAGGGAAGGGGCTGAAGACTATATCGAAAACTAAGATATGTGTTCAGGTGTGAGATAACATGCAGCAGCATTAATAAAGGTGTGATCATGGTGATGGTAAAGCAAAATTTGAAGCGGGGTGTTGAGGCTACAGAGCTAGCAGTATGGATTGCAAGATAATAAATGTGTGAATGATGAAAACAAATAGCTGCAAACAATGGGTGCATGCATGACGTGATAACTGGAAAGGAGTGAGTGTTGTAATGTTCTCTTTCTGTGTGCATAGGTCAGGGTTGTTAGTGTGAATGTAGGCTGCTTCTACAAGTTGTAATGCTTGCAATTTTCTGAATTAATCCATAGCACGACGTACTACACACTCAACACCCCGCTTCAAATTTAGCTCGACCGTCACACCTTCACCGCCGATGTCGCAACATCTGTCATCATACCTTCATGCATTTAAATTGTTATCTCACACCTGAAGACATAGCTTCGTTTTCGCCCGTGGTACTGGACCCTCCTCTTTTCTTGCTCTACTTTACATTGACAGTATCATTCAAGTTTCCGAACAGTCTACTCTGACTGCATATACATGTAGATACAGTGTAGTGTGCCTGCATCATCCGCTGCCTCTACGCTAATGGCCATGGCCTCGACTGCTGCAGCCAATGTTCACCTACCCGAGCCGGGCGAGTGCACATTGCTGCAGTCGTGGCCAGACCAGCTGTATAATGAAGAGACTAAAGAATAGCTACAATGTCCACAGTGCTTCAACCACTGCTCTCATGTGAATGAATGGAATGACATGTAAAAGGACCAAGTGTTTAGTAGCAGTGCGGGGGCCCAGCCATTTATTGTGCTCGTGCTTGAAGCTTGTGGCATCATACTATGGATGATCTGTTCTGTGCCCCCCCCCCCCCCCCCAGAAACAGCTGACAGTGCAGATTCAAATTCATAGGCACAAGTCAGGGGAAGATGTTGGCACATTGACACACGCAATCGTGTGTGTACTCATACATGTATCAATGGGCAATTCTTGTTCCCTTCATGTCTCATTACTCTTTCTCACTACTTGCTCGTGAGAAGGTAAAACGGTCTGGTAAAGAGTGGAGTGGTTGTTGCTATTGTCCCTACCTGAATCAAGTTTCATGATTGTTATCAAGCTCAAAGAAAAGTTACAAATAGTGACATGGTGCCACACTAGGGGCAGGGGTGGAGGGATATCTAATGTTGTATGTATATGGCTAAGCCTAGACATAATAAAGAAACCTTTAGATTCGAATTCAAAAAGACGAGTCAGGAAACGAGTACAAAGCTGAAAAAACGTATAGGTGTATTGAAAAATATATTACAAGATGTACATTGTATTTCTATTTTTGTTACTCACCTCTTGAATTCGCGGAGCTAGCCGTCGATCCAGTGATGGTACACTCTTCATTCGCTTCGCCATATCTAATGAGAATTTCAGGGCAACAATCTAGGTCATCTGTACTATCTGTCCCTTTACTCTCTGCACACCTGAAAATTAATACTAGTAATCAAATCAAAATCTGTATCGTCTGAGTATCGACGAAATCGTGCTCAAAATCAACTCTCTGCTCAAAATCAAAAAGTATCATTTCTCACGCCATAGTTTCCATGGAAGTACGATGCATGTACAAATGCGTCACCCACGCACAGGCTGAGCTACAGCTGGGTGCATTATCTATCGTAATAATCGTATGCATCGATTGCGATCCATCATCAGACTTTTCATTCAGAGCTACTTCGAAAATAAAAGTGAAGAGCTGTGGCAGCACTTGAGCTGAGACTGTGAGAGAGAGCTAGAGGCAGCGTGTGCAGTTGCTGTTGCCAGTGTTGGAGTCTTGTAGCAAGAACAATTTTATCTCACTCACTACAAATCAGTCGTTTCACTCTACTATTGATTATACAGCTAGCTAATCTGGCTTTATGGTACACGTTTGTACACTAAAAGTGTCTTGCTGCTTGTACACAAGCCTTTGTTGTTCCTCCATTCATTTGACCAGGATGGATCAAGAAAGCAGTGCACCCAGCGCTGCTCCTGCAAACAAGGCAGATCTGATACGGGAGATCTTGGAACTGCAGAATACTTTGGATGATTTGTCTCAGCGAGTTCAGGGTGTGAAGGAGGAGAATATGAAGCTGAAGTCAGAGAACGATGTGCTCTCACAATATGTGGAGAATCTCGTTAATTCTTCAGCCATCTTCCAGAAAATTCCATAGACGTAACGTCGTTGGGCTGAGATGTGTGCATGCATACTCGAAACCACGAGTTCGTCAGACTTTCTCTTGTCAAGCAGAGCTAGAGGTCAGTAATTCCCAACGGTTGCACCGTACTGGTGTTGTTTTCAATTTTTCATACTGAACATAGTTGAGAAGTCCTGTGGAGATATTTGAGGGTGACCTTTGAAATGTTACCGGACACCTCTACAATTATTTATAAGGAACACACCTGCACATACTAGTTTGCCTTCAAGATATTTTTCTATGCATTCTACCCATTCAAAAAAAGTATGCTGGTAAATCCAAGAGCTAATCGTTATGCTGGTATTTTCTTCGCTAGTGTAGGTCCCAGCCCGTGTACATTGGAGCTCACTTCACACAAAATACTCATGAGACAAAATATGAGTTAGCACAAAAGGAAGGCTAGGAGGCATGCCTCATGCTGAATACATTTCCGTGAGCACGAAATTCTGTTAGAAAATTCTTGGTCCCCAAGCTTTCATGCGTTGACATCCTTTTTTTTAAATAGTTCTCGGTGTACAGAGTATACCGTCTTGATGAATTTGATTTCCATCTTCGATGGCTGGTGTTTACCGAATGTTTAATTCTGATCTATCTTGGCAACCATATTCAGTTCTGAAACCGCCACGTCACGTTAGTTTCTTTGCAGCCCTTTTCTTGCATTTTTTATGTTGCACTAACGTTTGATTGTGTGGTTTCTGGACGTTGAAGCCATTGTTGAACGCCGTTGGGTGTGGAACATGACCACGGGAAAGAACTACAGGTTGTTTCATTCATGCCAGTTGTCACTTCTAGTGCCTTTTTTGCATGAGATTGCCACAGAGCAGTTTTGCTTGGTTGTTGTCCAGCCCCAGGTTCGCAGCCAGCTCCTGAGAGGTACAGCCACAGGGCCTATCCTTACCCCATGTCCAATTAATTTCAGCATCACATGAGGATACATCTAGAAGTTGCACAGCTCTCTGCATAGTGTCTGGTTGTTTTAGCCATGCACACGTTCTGCTTGCAGCAGATACAGTAGTCACGTGTCCAAGAACGTTCCAAATTCGTGCTGGATCACATGTATCCCAAGAGCTGCCAGAAAGCCAACATCGCCGTTCTTAGCTTTAGGCTGTGGCGTTCTTAGCATTTCAGGCTGGACGTTCTTCGGCGTGCGACTCTACTGTATCCAGCTAGCAAGGTAGTCTTCACTGCAATGGCCGTTTACCATGGTTTACGTGGGGTAGACTCGAGTGAGGAATGCGCAAGGATAGCACATTCGCCATGTACCTCTCCATAATCATACAGTTACTGAAATAGTTGCACTGTTATTGCCGGGCATTCTATGAGCAGGCTGCAGTAGACTTTTTTTTGTTGTTGTTGTCTTTAGAGACTGGGATTGTCATACCAGCTATTCATGCCAGCTCTAGTTGTACTCGCACATACTACATCAGCCAAGCCACCTGACTAGCTGCCAGGAGAGTTGTTCAAAATTTCCCAGCAACCTGCGTGCATACCATAATATGTGTGTGTGTGTGTGTGTATGCGTGCGTGTGTGCATGCGATACAGTGCGGATTTCATGCCCCCAGGATGCGTTTCAGTTGTACGAGTCTCTCGTACATGTACACGTATTATTTTTCTTGTCGCCTCAACCAGGAAAATAAACTCTGGGTGTAAGTGTATGTGGTGCGTGTATCAGACTCCTCCTGACTTTTCTTTCATTCTCCTGGGTGGTTACTGGTTACCAACAGCCAGTGCATGCCGGAGTATGTGGTATGATGTGTGCAGGAAAAAATTAATAATGAAAAGACGAAAAAGTAGGGATTCACTTGGCTGAAAAAGCCACTTCATAGCTGTGTCTGTCCCTGTGAATTCCGCGATTCCACGGATTGCAGAATTCAGAAAAGCCCGCGGAATATTGCAGAAAAGAGCGACAAACTGCTTTTTCTGGAGACTTGTGATGTATTTCACAGCCAAAGCAACCTGCTAGCTTGGGTGGCCTGCTCGTGACGTTCAAAATCAAATAACTTGCAGTGTATTTTGGAGCTTTCAATTTTTGGACCAGGATTTTGCACAGGGTAATTTTGGTGCAGAATTTATGGGACAACAAACTTCGGTAGGGTAGCGGAAATTCGATCTGTTTTGCATTCATCTTCCTTGCAGAATTAGCGCAGAATGTAGAAGGGCTTGCAGAATTAGCGCAGGATTTACTGTTTTCAGCCGCAGAATTCTGCACAGCATTTCTGACATTCTGCCACGGGGTGGGGGGCAGCTGTGTGGTGCAATCCCAGGCTGAACAGTGGGGGTCAATTCTTCAGCCTTGCAAGTTGTTGAATGGTGCAATCCCAGCATATGCTTACGCCAGCTACGCTGAAAAGTTGCACTGTATCAGTGTGGCTTTTCTGGAATATGCATGATCCTGGGATATGGCTATGGCATGATTCAGTCTTGTCCAATGCACAACCATGGAGAAAAGCATACTGTATGCAGCCAAACTGTAACCAGTCTAGAAATAGCAACGGAAAAGTAAAGTATTACATACATTACAAGTACGAGAGAGAGAGAGAGAGAGAGAGAGAGAGAGGGGGGGAGCTTTGTTGCAACTCAGAGTTTCACGAAGTCACGATCACCAGGCGACTATAAAGTACTGTATACGAGTGCAAGAAATTGACACAGTTTAATCAAAATATTGATTGGTAAAGATCGAAGACATAGAACGGTGAAAGAAGAGAATATGAGAAAGAGTAATAGAATCAGGCACATCAGTGGGAGATCTGTTATATAGCGGGTTTCAAGATGGGTGAAGAGTGCCACAACAGGTAAGCATGTCCAGTGCAGTTTTTACCATTCACACCACAGACCAATTTCTAGACAGTATACACCAGGTCAGGATTGGGATGTTCTGTGCACATAACCACTAGAACAGGCCCATCACATTGCCTTTCTCGTCTAAGTCAATGTCGTAGAAGCAGGGCCGCGTGGGCAGGCCAGGCATGGTGCTCATCTGAAGAGAGACACACCACAATACGAAGATAGTAAACAGGGTGCTGAGTACCAGAATCGATACATATCTCATGAATCTTAGCACTGCTGACGAACACAAGCAAAGAGATGCACCCCCCCCCCCCACACACATACATAGACGCATGAAGTCGAAGACACACTGGTCATGTTGCCTGCATCATATCCTGGTGCAGATACACAACAAGTACAACTTACGGTGCCAACGAGCGGGTACAGGAACCCTGCACCAACACTGGCCCGGATGTCACGAATCGGCAGAGTGAATCCTGTGGTCAATGAGGGCAAGTCGGAAATAACACAAAAGCAAAATTTAGAAAGAGCTGTAGATGAATGTACATACACCGATTAGGAAACAGACCTATGCCATGATGATACAACTAACAAATGACATGATTTAAAATCCGTACTGTATTAAAAACACATTATTTTCGGTGTAACTTATGCCGGTAAAGTCAGTAGAGAAACCAGGCACCTAAATTTAGATTACACCTATAGGGCACCGGAGACTGTATGTGAAGGGAAAACTGGTCACCTAAAATTCTATTCATAACACCGGAAACTTAGCAGGTCCCAGACACCGAAATTTTAATACACCTAAAATTACATTATTACAAAGTGGTGTAGACTCGAGTGGAGAGCCAAGGACTAATTAATAAGAAGAAAAGATTGCTGATGGAGCTGATTGTAAAGTAACTGGTGGTGTTAGTGGATATTATAGCATGCCTTGTAGCTCTTTGGTCCTCTTTTAAAATTACATGATTCATATACAGAAGCACCTAAGAACTTTCATCAACTTGAAGGAAGGAAAATGGGAAAGTCTGAAGAAGAAGAAAAGACTGTCACCATCAGGACTTGAACCAGGGACCTTCGCTTGAGACTAGCGATCCTCTGACCACTAAGCTATGGTGTAGGCATTGTAAAACTTCATACAGCAATAGTAGTGCAGTGGTGCCAACAGCAATAGTAGTACAGTGGCGCTACAGCAACACACCGAAAGGAGTCAACTTACCAGATGGTGCACCCTTTCGCTCCGGGTCATGCGACAGGGAGAGGTGAGTCTTCGCCATGCAAATAGGCAAATTGCCGAAACCCTGTATACACACAAAACGAAGTCCCGAAGACAGATGATGGTACACAGTCAGTTTTGAGTGCTATCCTAGCAATCACATAAATAGCTAGCCTTTTCTAACAATAAACATCTTCAATCACTCCCTTCAACCCTCGACTACACTGCTGTGTGAGCCGTAGAACAGGTGAGCTACTTATCTGCTTGATGTCGACTATATTGGTTGACTGCCTGGTGCCACTAGATAGATCACTGGCCATGTCCCGGCAGAATTTCAAGTTGACGTCATTTTTATGGTGCATTGCTCCTTGCACCAGTGACTTACGACATCCGTACGGAGTGTCAACACGCGTTTCCTTGAACTAACAGTTAGTTTGTTCGGAATCGAATAGAGCTTTGTCCACCACAGTCCCAGGATACCGGCACCTGATAGTACGTGCAAAATACGCATGGTGTCATACTAAAATGACATCACCTTGAAATTCTGCCGGGACAGCGACATTTGGTGCTGTGACCAGGATCAAGCGATAATGCTGACATTTTTGAACGTGTGTCCCCTTCTTGAACAGAATGGCGGACAACCGAATTACCACCCCAGCAAGGACACTGCCTAGGCACGCAAGTCACCAGCAGGACTTGTTGGTGGCCTTGCAGGCCGGTACGTTCGCACTTGAAGTGCTGAACCGACCATCACAGGCTCAGAAACTCTGGGCTCTGTCGGGCGGCTTGATGTCCGTACTGAACGCGCTGAAGAAGTTCGCTTCGGCGATCGAAGAGGGGCCTCCCGCCCAAAAGACAACGGCAATCCGGTGCTGCACCACCGAGGCCACCCACAGTAACTCCCGCAATTGCAGCCGCCGTCGACGCCGCCAAGGCAGAAAGGGAACGCCTGACGGCCGCAACCGACGCAGTCGCCGTCAACGCCGCCAGTCTAGCCTCTGCCGAAGCAGAGACGCTGAGCCAGGAGTAATCCTGTGCTTGTAATTTTCCTGATAGATGGCCCTTTGGGAGAAGTTGAACTAACCTGTGTTTGTGTGTGTCAAAGCATGAGGGTTTGCTATCGGACTAGTGACATAAAACTAGCTCCAAGGACTGCAAGTACAAAGTAGTCAAACGGGGACGCACGCAAGAGTGCCTGCGTACGATCCTACACTCGTGAGCCAGGAACGACAGAAGTCAAACTATAAGTTACACTCAGTCAGATTAGACACCGTAGCATGGGGCAGAACGGTCAACAGTAAGGTGTGACTTCTCACATCTGAGCGGTACTAGTGAAAATCCAGATGTCAATGACCGTATGTTTTGTTTATACATTATATCGTAAAGTACCGCGAAAGCGCCCCACCATCTCGTCCTTTTGTGGTCGTATTGTGGAGGTGGTGTCCTGTCTGTAAGTCATACGACACGAGCATTGTACACACATTGCAAGTTGTTGTACAGTCAATCCATCAAATATCTCAATTTATCTTCGAGCGGACACGATCTCAGCACAAAAAACGGCTAAGTGTGACCGTAGTACACTAAGGTTCTCACACCGTACACACTTCGTTGCACTCTGCTGTACGATTTTCATTTCCCTGGCTGTAAAAATCAAGGTGGGGCGGTCTCGCGGTACTTTACAGTAATGGACAATTGAAATTTGGAGGAGTTTATTGTTTCTACCAAAAAAACGGAATTGTGCACAATCTGCTTTAACTCGGGTTAGGATTGTATGTCGGAATTTCATTCATGATTACACATTAAATAGGAGCCATTTCATAACGGATAAGCAAAGGCCACTACTCGGTCGGGCTTGGGCAAGAACATAGAAGTGTAGAGGAAAGTGGTACCTCCACCGTCCTCTGGATGACGCAAGTTGACCTGTATTATTATATCTTAAACTGCACTCGAAGTACGAAGATACGTTAGACGGGTGCATCTGGTAAAACAGCATTAGCAAAGTCTGGCACTTCACCTGTCTGTTGTAGGTGTCAATCTTGGCCTTGGCTTGTTCAGAGAGTTCGATACCAGCAGCACCGTAGATTTCACGAGCGATGGTTTCAATCTTGGTGGGGATATCGTCCTGAACAGATGAAAATCACCAAATCAAAATGAAGAAATGACATCAGAGAAAAACAGCGGCAATTTTTTAAATATAAAAGCAGTCAGCATATTCAGGCCAAATGGCATAGTGAGAGGAAGATAAGCTATACATAATCAATCATACCAAGCTACCCAGCTTGCAAAGTACAAGCAGCAAATATGCTTGAAAGTAACTTACCTCCAGGTTGTACAAGTAGCGGAAGTCGCTTGGCTGATTGCACGCCCTACGCACAGCCTTCGCCAGGTCAACAGCACCCTCGCCACCAAGCGACCAGTGGTCGGACACTGCGGCCTCGGAAGCGCCTGCTGAGCGAGCTTCTTCAAGTATTGCTGCAAGTTCTGCTGGTGTATCTTGCCTGGAGTGGACGCATGCACATTAAAAGAGAAACACATTGTGTTCAGCCGGCACAGTAGGATGGATAGAAGCAGTAAAGTCAGGCAAAGAACTTGAAAGGTCTATCCGGACACACTATCACAAGAAACTGCCCAATAAATGACGGTCACCAGTGCTAAGGTCAGGCATCACAACATTATTAGTATAATGGATCAGGATGCTTACTTGAATTTATTGACACACACCACCACAGGCACACCAAACTTGGTGGCATTCTCGATTTGCTTTCGCAGATTGGCACAGCCGGCACGGGCAAGTTCAACATTCTACAAGGCACACAATCCCCACAGCATACAGAGACACGACATAGGTGATATTACCCAATGCATACAGGGCAATAACAATGGGATCAAGAATATCCGTCGTCACCGCAAAGCAACACTCAAAAATCAGAACAAGAATACAACAAATATGTTAGAATTTTATAAGAAAGGTGGTTGCTCACCACACTGGAGCTCTCACGCTTTTCCGCTGACTTATGCATATTGCACTTTGTGGTGGGTCTGATCTACTCACCTCCCACCGCTTAGTAACTGCATCTGCACCTTGATCCAAGAGGGTGGTGGCGTTCCCGCGGATGCGGAAAACTGGGCCTTTGGCCGAGTTTCACGCGAACCGTGAAATTTTTTAAATATTTTTTTGAAAGGATCGGGAGAACTTCAAATTCCCCCGACTGATCCTTTGATATTTTATTTACGCATATTAATGTAAGTACTTGCATTGTGCAAGTCACATGCAGAGAGATAGAGAGAGAACACGGTCGATGAGCAGGGCCAATGCCCCTACATGAATCAACCAGGAACAAGCTGCAGCAGTGTTTCAAGAAAGCAAACCGCTGGAAATATCACCAACAAAGCAGCCAGAGTAACCAAGATGCATGCAGCGGAGGCAGCTCAAGCATGGCAAACCTTACCTCCTCAACGTATTCTCTTGGAAGAGGCGCACCAGCAACAACCTAAGAAATGCACACACGCACACACATTAGCTCAGATAACTGGGAGACGGGGAAAATATCTTCGCAGAATATTTGAGAGAACAACGCATACAACCATGCAAGCACCACTAAACTGTTCATAGAGGGGGCAACGTCGACAAACTTGTTCAGTACACTTTACTGCACTGTACCCAGCATGTGGCCAGTACTCGGTCCCATCGATACCAAGTGTATCACCAGGGAAAGTTCAAACTGGCATTCAGTTGTGCAGCTAGCCAGCTAGGTAGATCTACGCACCTTGGGGCCACCGCCATGCATCTTCAAAGCACGCACGGTTGCAACCAAGACGACACAGTGAGGTACCAGGCCTGTTAACAACACCAAAACAAACAAATACATATTGCACACATGTACAAGGAGGAAAATTTCCTTTCGCCAGCGGAGAGGGCTCAACACGACGTGGAACATTATCACACACAAAAGGCACACAGGAGGTTTACAGAGTTTGTCGCAACTCGGAGTGTCTTGCACAATGCAATCATCAGGCAATATGAAGTGCCTTCTGTGTGTATTGCACATATGTACATATGTGCTGTAAAACCTGAACAAGCCTAGCAATCGTCCAGGTCAAGAGAACAAGCCTAGCAATCGTCCAGGTCAAGAGGACAACCAGCATCTTTCACAGCCCTGCACGTCATACTGTACAGTATATATGCGGTGAGGAAGATGGGACATGTAACAGAGTCATACTGTACAGTATATATGCGGTGAGGAAGATGGGACATGTAACAGAGCACATTTTCTGCAAGCTCATCACCCCACCAGCAGGAGTGCTGGAATACACACTAAGGTCAGCAACATGCTCATGGACTCCGCTATTGCGGGGTTCTGCCGAGGACAAGATCCAGACCCAAGTTCTAACTGCTTATCCAGTGGATAATGTACACATCGCAGTGCAGCACAATCTTAGGCTTCCTAGGTCCATTCAAGACTTCGATGAGCCATGGATAGCAGTATCAATGCTATCAATATATTATTAGCACCCATGACAAAAGTGGTTGAGTATGCCCTCCTGGTCTTCAAGGGAGGGATTTTCATCAGATATCAGACAGTGATTGACGCGTTGAAGCAGACAGAACAACAAACTCACCACTGGCACGGCATTTGATGTTGAAGAACTTCTCCATGCCAATGTCTGCGCCGAATCCAGCCTCGGTCACTGTGGAACAAGGGCAACAGAATCACCAGTCAAACTCAATTGAACCAAACCAAACCACCCGCCCATCCACCTGGACAACCTTCAAATGCACGGACAACACTTGAGACACATCTCAATCTGGAAACTAGGAACCTGGCTCACCAGCAAGGATGGTGCAATCATGCATCACGCAAAGCTAACTTGCAGCAGGTATTGAGAGTGCAAGTACAACATAGGCTGACACTCACCGACGTAACCATCGCGCCCTGCTACCTTCAATGCAATACGATCCGCAACGATGGATGAGTTGCCGTGAGCAATGTTGGCGAAAGGACCTGCATGGACAAGTGCCGGTGTTCCCTGGACACACGCACACGCACACCCACCCACACACACATTAGAACACTAGTCTCCAATCAGTGTCCGGAGAGGTTTTGCGGCGATTTATATTCGCGAATATGTGATGGTCGCGAAAATAGCGAAATTTAATCTCTAGCGAAAGTTTCTCAATTTACAGTACGTCACTCACCTCTAGAGTCTGCATGAGATTAGGGCGAATAGCATCCTTCATCAGAACTGTCAGTGCACCGCTGATGCCCTACATGTTTGTACGTTGCACAGGCATGCATGCATGCATGCACGCACACACACACACACACACACACACACACACACACACACACACAAATATGCACACACACACACACACACACACACACACACACACACACACACACACACACACACACACACACACACACACACACACACACACACACACACACACGTATAATCGTATATCATACAATGTCACATACACACATACTATACGTAGGAGTGGACTCGGTGACCAAGCACGGTCCTACCAACCAAGCACACAGTCACAAACACCCGGTAAGTGGCCACAAATTGTTACTAATTCGCGGACTGGGTCACCTGTAACGTCTACACAACTGAAGCGTAAATGATACTGTCCAAAACGTTGTGAACGTTCAGCTTTGCAGCCAAGATGCTTCCAAGCTGGCACTTACAAGATCCTCTGCTGTCACGGGCTCACCAGCACGATTGCTGGCGACGACAATGCGAGCAAACCTGCACAAGAAATACAAGGCCATCAAAGGACAGTCAAAACACAATCCTCTGCAAACCAAGAAACTGGGAGGGCACTCCACGCACGCACCGGCACGCAGCTGTGGCGCAGACAATGCAAGATGTACAATCATGTACTACCTCTGTGCCATTCATATGCACGGCAACTGGATGTCCGCTTTGCTCGTACGTACTAGTAACGATTTGCGTCAATGTTCATTGTTCTACGGTACCCCATGCAGAGTGTATCGTATACATGTATGGCATACGTAGCGGAGCTAGCACATGGCTGCCAACGGATGTTCATCACCCTTACCTTTGCCTCATGTCGTCCAGATCTGTAGTCAGGGCCAGAATTGCCATAATCTCACTGGCAACAGTTATGTCAAACTGGGCCTGTGGCAAGAGGACACACCAAAAAGAGCAAGCAACGAAATTGAGGACTTAGCGCATTATCTCTGATTATTCAGCAACGTGCCGGTGCGCTCAAGTTTTCTTTAACTTTATTTTTGCTGACTGCCATGCAGGCCGATGCCGGCTCCATTCGAGCAAGTGGATGAGAGAACGCGTGAATGTGCAAGTTACTACCAAATATGTCTTGTTCCGCTATGTGTCTGGGTCAAGCTTGTTGGGCTGCATAGCTGTTCGGTGACTCCGCAGTGTCAAGTCTGACTTCAACTTGTTTCTTATTGTCACTTTCCAGGACGCACCAGTTCATGTGAACCACACGTAGCAATCCAATGCTGTCGGTTCTTGAAATATGGTATGGTGTACTTGAATGCAGTTCTTTTAGTAAAAGTGATTATTCGTCACTGCTTGTCCAACACGGGCATTGTAAGGAGGGAGGAGCAACCCCCCCCCCCCCCCCTCTTCTCCCAAACACACAGCACACTCTGAACATAATCAATTCGAAGTTCTACTTTCGCAAGAACATAGCATGATGCCGGTGTACGCAAGTGGAGTACGGGTACCCTATCGAAACTCAAAGCAACAGACACACACACGCACACACACGTCCACATATACACACCTGTCGTTCAGCACCCTTTTCCTTGGGACCCTGGCCGACTGTGATGCCACGCAGAAACCGATCGTTCGTGTCCACTACCCTCTGCCAGGTTATCGTGTCTGGATCAATGTCCAGGCGAGCAAACCGACCCAGCTCCTCTTCCGTCAGAGAGTCGGGGTCTGTTTTATTAATTCCCAGTTTCTGCAGAAGAGGACAAAGTCAGTAGGGAACAAAGACGATTCTAGTCCAGGTTGCTGTTGCCAAACAAGTATTCCACGCACGATTATGATTGAACAGTTGTTCTTTCAATCATACAGGCTATATATGCATATGGATACACCTCATAGTAATGTATCTAAAGACTCCAAGCAAGCAGGCAAAGATGCAATGATTCACAGATTAACCAGGCATGCCAGACCAGTCAGCAACGGATTCACGTCACGGCCCAACTATGACAAAATCCCTACTCACTCCCAAACAACCAAACACACACACACACACACACACACACATACACGCACACATTCACGTCAACACACACGCGCGCGCGCGTGCATACACACACACACACACATTCACGTCAACACACACGCGCGAGCATACACACACACACACCGAATGCAAACATAAAATGTAACAAGAGAACACACCTCCAGACGGCGAATTTGAATGGCACTGAAGGCGCGCTTTCCATTGACAACTGGAACTAGTCGGCTGTACAGACGCTGCGATATGAAAAGAAGAAAGAACACCGAAGAGAGGGCAATAAATGAATTGCCCAGCACAGCGTAGTGGTCACAAACAGGAATCAGAAATTTAAAAGAAAAGAAAGTTCACACATTCGGGTTACCACCGCCTATACAATTGTGTTGAAGAACAAAACCAGCTTCATAGGAAGTTTCACTTGTGTCAGGCCACCACCATGCCTGGAAATTACTGTAATTTCACAAATTTTCGGTGTACTTTTATTTTCGGTACTTTCGGTGCATCTGTTTCATACCTAAAATTTCACTACACCGAACAAACACTAACACACATAAACCAATAGCGAACTGCTTCTCTGTTTGGAAAATTTCTGTTCACCTAACCTGGCCTTTTGCCCTCATACCGAAAATATTAAGCACCGAAAATTTCTGAAATTAGAGTAATCAGAAATTAATGTCACCCAAAGCAGATTATAAATGTGGACACTGCACCGGCCCATGCCACGCAAGCACTCACATTCATGTACATACATGTACCTACCTTATCTGATTGTGAGCTTTCATGAAGCATCCGTGCGTCGATTGCAGCAGCTATGGAGCAAGAAGGGGGAAAAACCAGACCGAACTGAGGATTCCTGATTCCACTACTACTAGTGTATCATGCTTCACGCCAGGCAGCATCTGAACAATACATGCACAGGATGTGTGAGGCAGAAGAAATGACCGGTAAAGATGTACAGTGTAGCAGTGAAAACTCTGGCAACTTCAGTATGGCATATTCATGTTTAGCACGTATGAAGAGAAGAGATCCAGTCGAATGTTGTACATTTAAAAAGGTTTCATGTCTTTAAAGTAATCATCCAACAACTGAAAAATAAACCCTGCAACTGATCATTATGATGCTAACCATACGTGAGATATGGCGCTAAATTGCTGCTGAAGATAATAGAGCGGGCGCCGCTCCATATGCAAAATACTAAAATGTAGGCGAGCAGGCCTCAGGAATGCGTGATATAGCACTGACGCCTGCCATGACAGTACATACTATGCACGGGAGTATGTACTGCAATGCCAGTACATAGCATGCACGGATATGTGTGCTTCTGTGACTGGCGTTAAATTTATTTGTCTTTCAGGTCACGCCAGGCTTGAATTTTGTTCAGCTTTCTATTATGAAAGCCTGCAGGTGCAGTTCCTAGAACATAAGAGCATCCACTCACATAAAAAGAAAATACAAAGTGCGCATGGAATTGCTGAACTAACCCAGGAGATTGTTGGCAGCGGTGATAGCATGGTTATCACCGGTCAAGTGAAGGTTGAACTGCACACGACACAAATGCATACACAATCAACAGGTTCAGCAATACTAGTAGTACCGAAGAAAAGTAAACTGAATGACTAACGAGTGCACAGCCATACACACAAAAGTCTGCTATGGTGACTTGACATGCAGAAAAGCTGACCTCTTCCATCGGGATGACTTGCGAGTAGCCACCACCTGCAGCGCCGCCCTTGATGCCGAACGTGGGGCCCTGGGATGGCTGGCGGATGCACGCGAAAGCATTCTCACCGAGATGAGCACCCAATGATTGGACAAGGCCCATTACTGTAGTGCTCTTGCCTTCACCGAGCGGTGTCGGTGTGATTCTGCAGCAACAATTCATACCGAAGAAGAGTGCCATCAATAACAAACCACTGCATCGAACCCCAGCTTGTCAATGCAATACACATTCAACAATCAAAAAGTACACCTATTCGCCTGTATATTGGAGCATGCAGAGACGCCACAACAAACAACAACAAACAACAACAACAACAACAACAACAGTCTAATTGCGAGAATAAAAGATTTCAAACAACTGCAGCAGCCGCAACAACAACAATCGGATCGATGGAAAGCTGCATGCAACCTCACCCTGCCACAAGGACATATTTGCCATCTGGTTCCGATGCGAGGCGGTCAAGTACATCCAATGAAACCTTGGCTTTCTTGCGACCGTAGAAATCAATCTGGAACCACAACAATGACACAGAAAGGCACCAAAACGGACGTAAGTGTTGTTGATGTTGTACACTGTAAACGACGATGGCAACTGCCCGTGTTGGTTTCGCCTTCTGCCATCCCAACGTAATGCTTACCTCATGCGAGTGCAAGCCAAGCTCTTCCGCCACCTCGCTGATGTCTTTGGGTTCTTGGGCCTGTGCAATTTCCAGATCACTGCACAAAAAAATGAAAAGTGGAAAACACACATTTCACAAAGTAAGTCCTCTAACCTTGGACAGGTCCCATAGCTGCACATGCAAAAGTCAAGTCAATAAGCTGCTCGCACATACCTTGGGACTGGCTGCTGAAGCTTTAGCGGCAGAGCACGCATCTGCCAGGTTGTGTCGATCTGTTGAGCACAGAAAACCAGGTGGTGGAAGCAACGAATATGAGCATACAACTGAACTCCCCCCGTACCCGGTCCATGCGGGGACCCAGTTTGATACTAATTATTTATTCAAGTTATGCACAACTACGTGTAGGGCATGTTCAACTTGGGAACGACCCACACCATGGTCAAATACAGCACACCACATGACCCAGAGGCTGTCCAGTGGGTGAGGCAATCTGGACCTGACGAATCCAGACAAAGGGAGTTTGAGTGTAATATTCATATTAATAGGCATAGGCTCATAGCATACAACATTAATCTCATCCAAGAGCGCACACAAGACTTGAAGAGGACTGGCGACTGGACTCACTGCCAGCACAGTACCGTACTGTATAACAGCTATTTCTGCCACTTGGCTACAGGAGAACACACCTGCTTGCATGTTCAAACAGACACAGACACACACACACACGCACGCAAACACATACCTCGGGTTTTTCGACTTGCCGTGGAACTTGGTGGTGTACAGGCCTGCAGAGCAGACAAAACAGATAAGCATGTCTCAATCTACCAGTCATTAGCAGTTCAAACATTTCTCACATCATGACATGACTAAGATGCCACTGTATTGCAGCATGTGTACTGCATTGGTGAAACCTGGTCAAGACACCATCTGGTACACGTACTTCTTTGAAGTATCAGCCACCACCTGGACTACAAAACCACTTGTCTTCGGCACGAAATGTGCTAGAATATACAAGGATCGCCCTAGTTTTCAGAGACCAGCTGCGTTCACCTACCACCATAGGCCAATCCCTTGGGTGGTGGTTGAAACCAGGTCTCATCTGCGCAATCACATCGGGGGGAATTGATGCCAGTCGGGCAACCAGTTTTCCCTGCATTGCGCTTAGCTGGATACCAATGGGAGTGTGACCAACACCCATCTTAAATTAAGTGCCTGAATACTGGCCTGGGCAGACCAGCTTGAGTGGGCCACACCAATGCTGCACTGAGCCCTGGTCATTCGACTGGATATATGTTGATTCCACCCCAGGTCCTGGCCGTACGATTGGGCCTTGTATTGTGCATTCTACAGTCTCCTACAGTCCATTTCAAAACTATAGACGCGTACCTAGGCAAAAACCGTTATGCCAGCATCTATACCACATAAAATCTGTGATCACTTTGTGCATAATTTTTTCCAAATTGGGCGTCTGTTATCCAATCGTTTAGAAACTATATGAGAGTAATTGTGGAGCGGACCTGAGCAATATTCCGAAAACTATTCTCAAAAAGTTCCAGCCAAATTTGAAATATTTCAAAAACCCTACGCGTCTATAGTTTTGAAATGGACTGTACAATACACCCTATTCTGTCCCTGATGCATACGGTTCTTGTGCATACTAGTATACGAGCCCCTCAACACATGATCACACTGGCACAAGTGCCACGGGTTATTCATACACCGAAAGTTGCAGTACAGTTGCGCAATATATCTCAAGATGAGAACCATAATGATAACAGTCAGTCAAGGACACGTTCAAAATCTTTCAGTGTGGCGAGAGTGATGATGCAGACTGATTGATCAGCTCACGGGCAGCAGTCAGTGTATGACAATCCGCGAACCCTACGCTTCGCGCCATGTGCTGTTTGTGCCGGGGTCATGCATACGACTCGACTACGTAGCGTCAGTACTGTCAGCTTCTGATTGAAAGGATGCTATGGTAAAATGGCTTCTTTCCGACCAGAAATGCAATGCTGATCAGAAGAACACAAGCAAAATGCTCTTCCTTGAAGCAAATTGTTATTCATGCAAAGCCAGTGAGTAGATCTACTTACGTCGTGGATGAGCCGCGAAGGGCGACTGAAACAGCAGGACAAGCTCCGACACTGCAGTGCCGCGAGCGGAGAACACACCGACTCATCTTGGCTCTCCTCCCAACCAGCTGCCGACGCGAAAAGATACAACTGCTAGCAGTTTACCAGCATCACAACCTTCCCAGGCGAACCAGAAAGCAATCAAGGAGATGGATAGTGAAAGATTGAATGAAAATCTGCATCCAACGACATCGACGTGTACTGACAGTCTGTATACTGTACTGCGTTCATTCATATCATTTGTGTACGGCATTCGGAATCGTGATCCACGTGCGCGCGTTGTGCGTACGCGCGCACGGTACAGCTGCGTGCACGAGCAAAGACAGCGCATGGCGTACTACCGCGGCGTACATATATCACATGTCCCCAACTCAAACAAGGCATATTTCGCGCGTTTTTACCATTGACGCATGGTCATTCATATCCCTGCCAAGGTTTTAGACCGCATACGGCGTGTGAGACCTGCAGAGGGCCTAGGGTAGTAGTTGGGGCCAGGCCAGGGTAGATAAGAGGCTTGCTGGATCGTTATCGCGATATCGAGGAAGTAACGCCGGTCAGCACAGTCCTTTGCATCGCTTTTTAGCAGGTAGATAATTATCTGCTAGTACAGTAACTAGTTTTGCCTAGTTGGCAGCCGGCCACCGTCCTTCTACTTTTTTTTCTACACCCAGACAAGTACATTTTAGACCATCAAGGCAAGAGTAAAACAGATGGGCTGGAAACGTCTGACTGTGTGGACCTACAGCTCAAAATTAATGGCAACGGTTTCAAACTTCTGTTGATCGTGAATATGATTCTTCTGTTGCCACCCACCTCACGAATGCTGATTGTGCTCGTGTGTATTCTGATAGCCACTTCTCTGTTTTTGAGACTTGGTTTTTCTTTCCCGGCCTAATATTATAATAATTTATTAGAATAATTATAGAAATGTTATGTCTGGCCTATTTGATATCACAGAACAACTCGGCAGCAAGGCGAAGGACACCAGAGAGTCGTATTATACGACTCCCTGGATCCATCGAGGACACACTACAATAAATGTGTTTCTGATATAAAGAGCTCTGAACCAATCAGTGGTTTTGGTTAATATTATTGTATGGACCCAAACCAGATCCTGCAAACATACCATAAAAAGTGCCCCCCCCCCCTATTATGGCTGCAGTCATGATGATTGTCTTCCCCTGCATGTGTCACCTTGCTGTCCAGCCGCAGTGTCTTTTGCCATTGTCAATAGCACTGAATGTGGATCACTACCAGGCAGCCCACAGGGAACACAGACAAGTTTCGATCGTGACATTGCGCAGTAGCATGCATGCCGGTGAGCCTTTCCCCACAGAACATGTGGGAAACTCATTATAAAATAACAAGAAGAACAGCGTGCATATTATTACTCCGATTTGAGCTCAACTCATGAAACCAGCAAGGAAACATACTTGTGCCTGTACACAGAGCAGTGATGCGAGGACCAAGTGCCCGTCCCAAAGTACAGTACTATATTCCTGTGCTCGTAGCGGACACCATAATGATCACTATCAAACAACGCCTTGCATACCAACTGCAGCATTGCATCTTCGTTGGAACCGACAGCACTGAACAGCAAGAGGAAATGGAATGCAAGTGCAGCTACCGGTACAGCGCCGTTCAATATCCTGTTCTGCTGTTCGGCGAGCAGTCCTACAGCTGTGATCTGTGGCTTACTGAATACTGTCTTGCAATAATGATAAGCTGCATGCAACCAGGACCGAGTATCTCTGCCTGTACTATGTACTATGGAGTACACAAGCGGCAGCAAGAGTACTGCTGGGTTGATAGTCAAAGTATGTACATTCAGAGTCAGGCAACAGAATAATAAAAATAAAAATATAGATATAAGCATACGCAATCGTGTAGATTACAGGTGATACGGGGCCGGCAACCGCAGGGCCGCACTGGCAGCACCACAGTATGTACAGAACGGGTAGCACAGCTAGACAAAACAGCACAACTTCACAAGTCCACAGTGCTGGTGACACAGGGGCATTGCCGATGCATGCACACACGTGGACGCAAGGCAAAAAGTAAGTAGCAGAAGCACAAGCAGCAGAAGTGCCGTACCGACGCTGAGCAGGTGGGCCTACGCACTAACGAGCAAGTTGTTATGCGCCTGCTGATGGCGTTGTTGCCAGAAATGTGTCACTGATGTGCGTTCCATAGCCGCGCCACGAAACGTCTTCATGTTACAATCGGTTATCTGCATATCCACGGAGAAGAAAACAAGGACACGGGAAGGGATGCAAGTCATGCAATGGCAGGATTTCAGACTCGGAGATTACATGAAGAACACTGTTTGGGTGAATCCCCCCCCCCCCAGGTGAGATTTCTTCATATATAAGTACTCTAATTTCAGAAAATTTCGGTGCTCAATATTTTCGGTATGAGGGCAAAAGGCCAGGTTAGGTGAACAGAAATTTTAGGTACAGAGAAGCAGTTCCCTTGGTGTTAGTGTATGTTCGATGTATTGTAGGGGTGAAACGAAGGTGTCAAAGGTTCGAAGAACCTTCGTTTTCATTTGAAACAAACCTTCGTTTTCACTTCAAAAGAAGGTCAACACACGATTTCTGTACATACATGTACATGCACTGATCTTCCTTGTATACAGAAGGTACTGTACGGTAGTTTGTACAGTCGACTAGTTTTGTGTCCACTTGGCTCCCGGTAGGTGCCACTGCAAGCCCATAGTAGGCCACGGACTGGACTTGAGCGTGTCCATTCACGGCCAAGGTGTGCAGAAGTAGTCTTGGGCAGTTTAGGGTGCAAACTGCGCAGTGCAAAAGCTATGGGTGTGCCAATTGTGGTGACTGCACAGCAAATATGTGCACAGTCATGTACTTTGTAGGGCACATGCATAGAGTGTGCTTCAAGAGGAACTGTGAACTGGTAAAAGAATCCTTCGACACCTTCGTTCGTTTTCATGAAGGTTTGTTTGGCAAATTGAGACCTTCGTTTCACCCCTAATGTATTGACATTTTAGGTATGAAACAGATGCACCGAAAGTTCCGAAAATAAAAGTACACCGAAAATTTGTGAAATTACAGTAGGGCTGAAACGATTATACCAATAAAGCGATCGATAATTCCTTATCAATCAAATAATTTTTTCTTCAGACTTTTCCCGTTTGTCTCTTTCCCTCAAACCAGTTAACAATCAAATAATCGTTACGTTATAGATTACTCGTTAGGGATTTTGAGTCCAAAAAGTACTGAAAACCCTCGTTTTGTGAAGTTTGAATCAGTTTCCACAGTGAGTATGCAGTTCCCTGGGGCATAGTGCATATTCTGAGGTTAAATTGACTTCAAAATTGCCATATTTCGGAGCTACCCTGTCACCAATGCAGATTTTTGGTATTATGAAGGCCTAGCGTTTGGAAAAATAGTAATTTTTAAACTCGGATGGTGAGTCAATATAGTTATGATAAAGAAAGGAAAAGGACAGTTTGTCATAACTCGTAACATTTTGTCCTTTTCCTTTCTTTATCATAGTAATTTTTGCACAAAATTTTGACACTATTTGCTAACGATTACAATCAATTAATCGATCGTTAAGCAAAAGAGTAATCGATAGGTGAAAATACACGATCGTTTCAGCCCTAAATTACTACAGTAATGTGCTTGCAGTACACCCTAGTGCAGTGGAGATTGGATATAACGACACTCCTCTGGGAGAAAACAAAATGTCACTAAACCCGCACAATCAGTATGCAATATGTATATCAAAATGACAGAAATGACTGTATTGCAGATATGCATGTGCATAATATAATGCATATGGATGTCAGATGGGTATGACAGTGTGCATAACATCATATGCGCATGTGTCTTGCATGCATACAATGTACATGTAGTTCAAGCCAAAAGTCATGCATAGCAACTACACCGCTACACTGCAGCTAAAACGACCATGATGACGTGCAATGACCAGCACGCGTGGAGTGACCCGGGCATGTGACACAGACGTCATATGTCCCATGCATGCCGCTCCGCCTGATACAAGAGGAAAGTCGTTATACTCAATGTATTTCAGGTCTTCGGGCACCAACAAAGTGTCATTTTCGAGGTCGTTATACCCGATCTATAATGTACAGAAAGGACTTGCTAAACGACTTGGGCAACAGCTCGATTTGTCGTTATATCCAATCTCCACTGTACGAGGTGATAAGCAAAAAATTTGCATTGGATATATTTTTACATTTTCTGTAAACTAAATTTTGTTGTCGTCGAGACATCTCCTGGAGGAAGTGATCTTTGGCATTCGATTAGGTATACCGTTAGTATTATCAGTGTAGTTCGTGTTGCAGCCGAAGTTTTTGTTTCTGCGACTCTGCCATACCCTGACGAGGCCTCAGTATTTCGTTGTGCGTAGTAAATTGCTATAACAATAGTGTAAACCAGCATGATATGGAAGAGACCAGGTCGCGTATGCAGCTTAGGTCGGCAACCGCAGCTGCTGATAGCATCACTGACGGCTGTTCCAATGATGACTCGCCGTCTGTAGAGCGCTCGATGGCCACAGGCCCCACACAGCCGCCAAACCAAAACGGGCAGAAAAGAGCATATTTGGCTATAAGGGCGTTCTATTCACCACGCACTTAAGACCGGTTTAGTTCCAAATCCAAAGCTTCTACCGCATTTGGAGTCAGTCGGCAGCTTCTCTACAAATATGTACACGAGATGGCTTCGTAAGGAGTGCTAGTTGATGTCTGTAATGGTCGACTTCCTGGCCCTGTCATTCCAAGCATGGCACAGGCTAGTGCAGCAACGAACTCTGACCCTTTTGACATGCCAGAGAGCATGGAGGAAGTGAAGACAGCCCTTCTTGAGAGGTGCACATGGCTTGGTGATTCAGTTGATTATGGCTCTCATGGTACTACTGGTCTGTACCCGGAAGGCATCAAGTGGGCTGTTGTTCAAAATGCTGAGTTCTGTTTTGCCTGCTGATGGTCGCCGTGCATCCAAGTTGCTGGCCAGCTTAGGAGTAGGCGTATCCAAGACGCTGCATACAAAGTTCTATACAGGAGGCTCTGCGCGTCAAGCTGAATGTAACCAATGCCAGTGAATCTGAGACCAAGCTCCAAGAGTTAGCATCATTGTTTTATGATACCCTAGCTGGAGATGCTAGCCTTGCCACCAGCCACTTGACTGCCGCCAGCACAGTTGCAAGCAGACCTGTTTCTGGTACATCTTCTTCATCTTCCGACACGTTCGCAGCAGAGGATATACCGTACAGTGCTTCCCTTCTAGCTGCGATTCCTCCGTCCACGTGCACAGTTGGGCAGGCCTCTGCAATATCAGTGAGCACAGCGTCGTCCTTCAGTAGTGCTTCTCTCTGTTGAGTGTTTGCGAATCAATGGTGTCAGTACTTGCCTCAGTGATGGCTTTCTGCTTTGCATTTAGTATGTGGTCACAGTGTGCTAATGCTCGGATGTTACTTGCCTGATGTCAGTTGATTGCTTTTTGTCCTGGCACCAGTTTGGCAGTCTTCACGTTGAAGTTTAATGGCGACTCGGCGGTGATTTTGCTCCTGCTGTGAGTGTGTTGTGTGGCCCGGGTCAGTTTTCAAGATAGCACTTAAAAAGTGCAAAAATTCCTGAATCTGTGTTCTGTTTAGACTCTATTCGTGTTATTGGTGCAGTGGGGTACCTATACATGGGTGAGTAGGTTTCCATATAGCCTTGTTATGGTATGTTGCCTGTGGTTTACACACATATAAAAATATATACAGTCAACTTCGCTTATAACGACACTCGGCGGGGCATCAGAAAAGTGTCCTTATTCGCGAAGTGTCGTTATACCCGAAGTCTCATTATATGTATTACAGTTGGATGGGACTTTGCTCTGGGCATGGAAATTGTGTCGTTATTCGCGAATTGTCGTTATACATGTATCTGCAGTCGTTATTAGCGAAGTTGACTGTGCAAGTATTTTGAGGACTGAAACACGACCTATTTTGGGTCAGCTAGGACAGTCTACATTGCTGTTGGGGAAGTAAAGTTGAACTGTGATGGCATGACACGAGTCATAGAGTATTCTGCCATGCAAACTACTATAAGTCATGAAAAAGGGCATTGGCTATGAATGCAGGGCGAGTTTACAAACGTGTAAAATGTTGGCTAATCACCTCGTACAATCCTTGCTGGACATTTTTTGCAGGGGATCGAACAGCCTCTTTTACGGGCAAAAGCAACTATTTTTCACAATTTCAGGGGAAAAAGTAGGATATCATTAACTAAGTACGAGAACTCACCTTGACCTTGACGAAATCACCTTTCTTCAACTCCACATTGCTAGCTCCCGTCAACGCGCATGGAACTGAAGTCTTCGGAAATACAACGACGTTGAATCCACTTTCACGCCCAGCCCAGAATTCGGTGGACTTTGCACTGTCCTAAAAGTATAAGATACACGAATACAGACAGAATGCAAGTAGGACTCAAATGCAATTCAGCACCAGTTGTGTGGAGAACGTACTTGACCGATTCAAAGATTTCAAAGGTCTCCTTACCCCATCAATTAAAACCAGCTCTTCATCTCCAATATAGGCGTTCTTCAGTTCCAAGGCTTTCGCATTGAACACATCATTTATGCGATGGAGACGCTTCATCTTTTCCTCCTGTGGTACATCATCCTGCATGCGGTGATAGGCGTGCGTTTTCTACACAAAACAAAAAAACACGCAAGAATCAGGAAGACCAAGTAGCTGATCATCGACCAGTACACTGAAGCTAGCCTAAAGGGAACAGAGCAGAGGACTGGATGGGACTGGCAAGCGGAGGCATGACTGGCGCAATCAGTATTACATCAATGATTGACGACGCAACAGCTATTACAATCCCAGCTGCTCGTCTTCACTACCATGCCCTGCTGCAAGGGGATAACGGGACTGGAGGGAGGCAGATGGAAAGCAAGTCACCGTCGATACCCCTACTTTGAAGTCTTCGATTATTTGACTGTCATAAGGTGGAGTCTCTGAGAAAGGTCCGTATGAACATTACAACGTTGTCTGGACAGAGTCTGCATTACAAAGATGCACACAGTTCATTTGTACATCGATGTAGAGCACTGTATGTGTGGTACAAGCACATGTCATGTAGTCACAGGTTGCCATTTTACCGAAGTGGTACAATAATGTGCATGAGTTCTACCAGCCAATAAAACAGAACTCCGTGGTACTAAAGTAGGACTCTCGGGCAGTATCTTTAGGGCAGCATGGGTAACTGATATCAAATACAGAAGACTGTAGTACATGTCCATCCAAACAAACAGATAGCAGTGGTGCACCATCTGGATCAACTATTTTACAACCAGCTGCCCAAAAGATAGTAAGCGTTTTGTCAAGCACATCGGCTACATGGCTATCCAATGAAATCACTGACACACACACAGGTACCCTATCCAGAAACCAGGCAAACCAGGGCCAGATAACGCTAATGGAGCTGGGAGTGAATGAAGATCTTGGATACAGAGTGTTAGAAAGCGCACCCACGGATGTTGACACAGGGACTCACCTTCCGCATGCTGTACGCAAACAAGAATCCGAAGTCGTAACGCACTTCTTCGATCAGGGACAGAGTTTCCAGGTAGTCTTCATACGTCTCGCCACAGAAGCCTACAATGAAGTCACTAGACAGCCGAACTCCTGTACAGCATCAAAGAAGAGCAGCGTGTAGAGCATTTCCAAGAAACCCAGTGAACTGTGACTATGGTCAGTATGTAGCTACTCACCAGCACAACAGGCATGTGCACTGACTTCAGTAGTTACGTAGACAGTCTGTTAGTAGTTATACAGACATTCAGCTAGTAGCTATGTAGACAGTCAGTTAGTAGCTATGTAGACAGTCCGTGAGTTGTTTACGCAGAGAGTGGCACTTCCATGCCGACACAATCAATTTACTCTCGAGTCTCGAAGCAATTGAGCTACTTCAAGTAAAACAGGACATTGCTACTTACTTGGGATTTTCTTTCTGATGTGCTGAATGAGATCCAGGTAGGATTCGCGAGAATGCCTGTGTCCATCATGAATCAAGGACAGCACCAGCACCAGCACCACCAACATTCAACATTCAACAACAACAACAACAACAACAACAACAACAACAACAACAACAACACCAACACCAACACCAACACCAACAACAACAACAACAACAACAACAACAACAACAACAACAACAACAACAACAACAACAACAACAGACATCAGATTTTAATAGTTGAAAGTGGCCTGATGGCAACACTGACCAACACTCCTCACACAGCAATCCCTCATGTATCAGAATATACCGTATTTCCTCGATTAATGGACCATGCTCGAATAATAGACCATGCTCAAATAGTAGACCCTCCTAGTATCAGAATATACCGTATTTCCTCGATTAATGGACCATGCTCGAATAATAGACCATGCTCAAATAGTAGACCCTCCTAGAGGCCTCACGGAAAAATAGTAGACCATGCCCGAATAAGAGACCCGGTCTCTTATTTGAGTTCATCGCTTTGCGCATGCGCACTAAGAAAGCATGTGGTGGATCAAAAAAGGACGCGATTTTAGGTTGCGCAACTACAATTTTTGTAGTGGCTAGTGCTTTCTTTCATTATTTGAGCACGGTCCACTACATTTTCATCGGCACATCGCTGGAAATGGTGGGTTTTTAACACGTCATAATAATATAATATACCGGTAGAACTTCTATATTATTACGTGTTAAAAATCCACCATTTCCAGCGATGTGCCGATGAAAATATAGTGGACCGTGCTCAAATAATGGACCATGCCCAAATAAGAGACCGGGGGTCCAACCCTCTTCAAAAAACAAAAGACCGGGTCTATTAATCGAGGAAATACGGTAGGTTTCAATGTTTGGATCATCAGGGTGAAGTAGGCAAGCATGCACATTTTCAAAATCTGCACAACATTCAGCATTTACATTAGAGGTTCCTCGCGACGCAAGTGGGTGGGAAAACCCGTGAATTCGCAAGTTTGCACTCCACTCACAGAAATTTGTCTACGTTTAGTACGTACGTGGGCTCCACTAACGAAGGTGCTCCGTAAGTGGATTGGGAGATGAATGTATGACTCTTTCTCTGTGTCGTACACATTCGCTCCCGGAGTTGCCACGGGCAGCTACGTGGTTCAAAACTCCGTATGGTGGACTATGGATCCGCATCCAGTGTATGTAAGATACTCAGGGTTTTACTAACGCAATAACGTTGTGCGGAACCTCTCTATTGCCAAGCATTGATTACAGACGTTCTTGCTACTTACCCTCTTCTCATGAGTTCGAGAACACGAGTGCTGCCTGACTGGGCCGGGATATGAACATACTTGAAGCAGTTGTCGTTCTCATTTATAACATCCAGTAACTGTGCAAAAATCACAGCAGGAGAGAGAGAGAGAGAGAGAGAGAGAGAGAGAGAGAGAGAGAGAGAGAGAGAGAGAGAGAGACAGAGAGAGAGACACAGAGAGAGACAGAGACAGAGAGAGAGACAGAGAGAGACAGAGAGAGAGAGACAGAGAGAGAGAGAGAGACAGGGAGACAGAGAGAGAGAGACACACACACACACACACACAGACAGAGAGACAGAGAGAGAGAGAAGCAGCCATGACAGCTTACTAGTTGCAGGCAGCATTGACATTGACTGGTAATATCACGTGAATGCAATACTATTTCCCAAGCTTCTTTAATTAATACCATGCAAATAGCTGCTAGGAGTGGCAGTCATTAAGTTTTGTTTCGCATCCAATTTTCGGAACTACAACTTGTACAAGTGTTCGCTTCCTTCCACTATACAGCGTAAGGTTGTGTCAGAGAACATGTACATACCTCATCCGGGAAATCCTTCGGGTGAGGCGATGTGAAACCAAAGCGAACCTCCGGGCTGACCTAAAGGTGGAAGTAGAGAGGTGAAAAAGGAACATGTTCAACGACCCAAAGTCCAGTCATGCTGCACTGTGGAGAGAAAATTGGTACTGGAAGTATTCGTCCTATGCGGACACTAGGGGACAGACAGGTGGGTGGGTAAAAGAAAGTTGTGTGATTCTCAACGTATTGTATTGTGTGACACGTAATATCCGCCCAGGACACAGAGGAAGTAAAAATAGCACATGAGAAACCCAAAACATTTCTTTTAATCCTTCTTGAAAAAGGATGCCTGGTAGACAAACTTTCCCAGGGCAGGGACATCAGATCCAGAGTAGTTTGAGTATACGGAATGCAGACAATTCTCACTGGCATACACAGGATGCACATTGCAGGTGGTACTGGTGCTGGTGGGTGGGGAGAAGTCAACTTGCATTGGCCAATGTATTCGTGATGTCCTTATCCATGCCGGTGCCAGAGATAATATCAAGAGTACATGATCCCCAAGAGTGTGCAATTGCCTGCCCAACCTCCATACAGTGCGGGGACGGCAGACCTTCACATCACGTGACATGGTTCAAAAGGTTACGCTGGCAAACAGTGCAAAGTGACCACAAGAGAGTTGAATCCAAAGCAGGGTTGCGTACAACCCTGTATCTATCATACACAGGGTGCAAAAAATATGTATCAGTTCGTCAAGTGATGTGAAGTTCTGCCGTCGCAGACCCCATAGCTGGAGTTGAACACTCTTAGGGGTTATGACCTCTTGATAATATACATGTACATAATATGGTAGTGTCTAGACATATCATCCCTAGCCATACCTGTACAACTTTGTGCAGGAGGTCAGCAAAGCGCAAGCCACCTTCCTTGTTGTGGTAGATAGTCTTAAAACCCGCACTGTTGTGCGTCGGATCCATCTTGACACCGAATTTCTGGAAGGATTCTTCGGATACGTCACGATAGCTGTTGACATTCTGTCCGAGCAAGACGATCTCCTTCAAGCCCTACAAAGGACACACCGTCAATAAGTGCCGTGCAGAGCACTTAAGTGGCATTTCCCTAGACTTTTTGGAGGTGATCTGTTTATCAGCACTCTACTTGTAGCGCACACGCCATGGCCAACCCACTTCTAAGCATGATATAGTTGCATTCAGGACGAGCAGTCGGAATAAATTGTCGTGTGAATCGTAACATTCAAGAGAACTGACCTAATAAAGAAGATCAGTGCTAATGTCTGCAGTAACGACTTACGTCTGTTTTACAACAGGCGGATACGATCAAAACCGTAAAAGAAAAAAAAGAAGAGAAGAGAAAAGCTCTTCATATTAAAGTGTGGCTCTGTGAACTGTGCTTCACTTTCATCGGTACAGTAGCATCATGCATGAGTACTTTGCTTCGCACCTACTAGTATCGTCTGCTGGTATATGCAAAATCTGTACAAAGCCCAAAGTTTGCACTCAGTGCACCAAGGTAACTGATATGGCAACCACCATGGTACATGTACTGGAATACACTTTGGCTGTCACTCAGTGTTGCCACAGTGGCTATCGTTTTACTCAGTAGTATTTACAATGTTACTTTTCATGATAACAATGGCATGGGCTGTGTTGGGTTACCACGGTGATTGATATACTGCAATGATTGGCGTTGACAGAATCACGGAAATGTCACAATCAACCACATGGACAAATAATCAGGCAGCCATATCACCATAGCAGATGCAACCAGACTTGCAAACATCTACTTCAAAGTATGAAAATTCAGACAATACAAAGAGAAGAACATTCATGGAGATGAGCCTTTGGCTCTCTGAGCTGTTGCTGTCCGTAGACATGAGCTAACAGAGAAAGATGAAGCAAACCAGTACAGACTGTACTTCACGGGCATCGTCATTCTTAGCACATCACCACTGACCTGGTCACAGAGATAGCGGACTTCATCTATGATTGTCGCCATGTCGCGACTGCGTTCCCTGCCACGTGTGAACGGTACTATGCAGTAGCTGCACATGTTGTCACAGCCACGCATGATGGAACTGTAGTCAACACACAATCACCGGCACGGAATTGGGCACACACATGCATACACACAGTGATACACATTATAATTATGACTCACTGGGTCAAGAAAAGCACTTGTAAGCTGTCACAATAATTAAATTATCAATGTCCGCACAAACGATGGACAGACCTTTTACAAACGGCGACGCAGAGCTATGTAATGTGCACTGCCCACTTCATCAAGGGAGAGAGTGGTCGTTGGTGAGCTGTGTCCTGCAAACCAAACAGTTCCATGACAGCCCTGCCAGTGCACAGTTGGCTTCACATCTCCTATCTGTCGTGCATGCTTTCAGCATCCCATGCCAACAAGTGAGCTGTGCGACTCAAGATCTCTAACCAGGTCTGCATGGCACACGTGCTGCAGACTGTCATCCGGAATGCGATTGACAAAACCAAGGGCCTAGATAAGTTGTTTGTCGGCTTGCAGCCGCAACTGGTGGGTCACTTCAAGCACTTTACCGGGGCGATCTTTTACCACTAATCTCCTTTCCCAGCTGAAGGTCAAATTCAGTACATGTATTGGCAACTTGGATGTCCGGAGTCCGGGGGTACTGGTTAGTGCCTTGAAGCCTCGGTTCCGGAACCTGAGCTTCTTGGATGCAAAAGAGCACACCCGGGTCCAGAAGGAGGAGGGGTGCGGCTCTAAGTGCACCTGAGCCAGTGGCCAAAAATCTGTGTTTGAGCAGCCTTGCTAAGCTTTTGAGTACCACGGCAATAGTCAATGACGGTCATGATGAGCGACAGGTTGGTGAAAGCTGAGCAGCAGCCTGCGGTGTGCTTCACTGAGGAGCCTTTGGGGATGGAAACCGATATGCTTGCATGGCGGAAGGTACACAGTGAAAGCTTTCCCCTGAGAGCACCAGTGGCCAAAAAGATTCTTGGCCATTCCTGGATCATCCATGCCCTCGGGCCCAGTCAGACTGAGTCTTTCCTGCTGCCAGTTCCATTGTTACAAAAGAGATACGTTAGAGCTAGGTTTCCGGTTGTTGAATATTTCAGTAGTCTGTCAGTTTTGTGCCCGGGTATCGCACTTTCCGACTGCTTATTATCAACTGCCGTGGACATGGAAATCCGGCCAGAGGTCAAGTGGCCCCAGGGCGCTGGCCACGCAGCCGTGACTCAGCCGTAAGTACGCATACGATCAACATGTACACTGTGCATGCAACGTTTTGTATGCACCAAGGGCGCCGGCCCCGGTCATTCGACCGGATTTCCATATCCACGACAGTAGTTGCAGTGTTGGACAGTGACTTAGAACTCGTAACCATGTGTCCTTTACTCAGATTACTAAGATTAATTAAAATATTCTCATCTTACACAAATGCACCACTTTTCTCCGGGTTGAGTCGAATTGGCGTGACATCAGCATACGTCTCCTCGAGTGATAGCTGGACATTGACTGAACAGTATCAATGACAATAGCAGCAAGAACGGTAAATTCATCAGCAATGCCGCAGCACAGTCCACCGCCACCGCAATGAACACCACCGAAGCACAACCGTCACGATCGTCAACAATACCACCAGCACCAACTCCACCACAACAGCAACAAAAATCAGAGCAACATGGCACAAGCAAAAGTCCCACATATCATAATGCCCAAAAAGAAAGACGATGAAAGGAATCTTATCATAAGTTATGGTAGACCTGCACAATTACAGAGCAGAATGACAATGATGCAGCACAGCCAGTATAATATCTTACTACCCTGGGAAAGCCAAAGGGTGCCAGCTTTAAGATACTCACCAGCTTTTTGCCCACTCCCTGCCACTGCCAGCAGTCGCGGAAGATCTCGGTAAGCATCTATACATAGGCACATACAAAATTATATTTAAAAAACCGCCACATGGAACATGGAATTATGCAGGCATACGTGAACCATGAATTGTGTTCAATACGGAAGAAAGAGTTTAATGATGCAAAGAAGTGCTGGAGAGGTCTTATGGCTGGTGGCAATCTAAAATATTCACGAGCCATGCAGAGAATACGTGCTAAATGCCAGCCAACAAGTACGTGTACGTCAGAGGTGTTTAGTAGTATAAGAGACATGTAGAGTGACTGGAAGACTATCTGGTACCTGGTTGCCTGCACAACTTACCAAGGACAGGCAGATACTTTGTGTCATAACAGTTACGAAGAGTACATAATCCCCCGAGAGTGTGCAACTCCCACATACCCTGCTGTCCCGACGGAATTCCAAGTTGATGTCATTCATAGGATGCAATACATGTATCCCAAACACAAGTGATGAATGAAGATGTTCGCACGGGGTGTCAACGCATCACATGTGTTCCACCGAAATAATTTGTACAGGATAAAATCGGGATTTGTCAACCACAGGTCCAGGGTACTAGTACGTCTGATAATACGTGTACAGTGCGCATTGCATCATGAAAATGACGTCAACTTGACATTCTGTCAGGACAGCACCCATAGTGGACCCTTGGGGGTTATGTACTCTTGGTCATAGTGTGACTTGTCTCACTCACCTGGTCCAACCACGACGTCCACAAGCCGCTCTGTCTCCAAAACCTCTTTCTTGAGACGCTCAGCCATACAGCCTTTGTGCAAGGAAAAACAAACAAACAAAAAACCCAGTTCCGATGCCTAGTTTTAAGTACAATTGGCATACTGTAAGACATGTATATATAACGAGGAAGCAAATCTAACGTTGTAACGGATGACATTTCTTCGTTATAATAAGATCCGTTGAGGCCGTACTGCTTCATATATGCTGTGTGTGGATATGGCAGAATAGTGCAAGATCGTTAACATATCTTCTCGTTAACTTATGAATTTTGGACAATCGTTAAATTTGCGACTCGTTATAAAAACATGTCTTACAGTACTAGTACATACACGTAACTTTGTACGAGCTAAGTGAAGAGTTCTACTTCACCTCCTCTCCGCATCCACTCTCACTGTGCTAGCACAGTAGAGTAACTTTATACGAGCTAAGTGAAGAGTTCTACTTCACCTCCTCTCCGCATCCACTCTCACTGTGCTAGCACAGTAGAGTCTTCCTGCTATGAGATATTCCCTACACAGTATCCACAGATTCGCAAAGAGACCAGGTGAGACCACGCTATTTGTCCGCTGCAAACTTTGTACCGTGGATAGAGCACGGCAGACCTGTAGTTATGTGCATTACGTACACTATCCACCTCCCAAGTTTCTTGGATAGACTGCCAAGAACACACGTATCACTGCATCCTGCGAAGCCTCGAACAATGTCTTGTTTCAAGTGGGCATAACATGTTTCTTTTACAGCTGTACACCTAGACCTTGACAGCATCGTACTACTCATTCACTGGACTTGATACTTCATCAGGTTGTGAGCTTGCAGGTGGCTTACTGAAGGAGAATATTCCACCTACTTTGGTGAGTTTTCCAAAGGAGCTTGCGGATTCCTGGGTAGTGATGCTTGCACTGGCGGTAGCAGGGGTGGTGGGGTTATGTTCACACACCACCGCCAGTGGTAGACGTCAACAACAAACTGGAAGAAAAGGTAGAGAATGTGCTAAAAAGAGCAGTGGTAGTGCCAGCTGATGGCGTAAACTTGAATGCCGAAGTCACTGACTAGGCGCTTATCCGCTGTCGGATGAACTGACGTTGAGTTACCAGCCAGAGGCTTATCTAACAGTGGCTGAGAACACTGTTACGGTGCACCAAGAATACTGGATCGCTGTGCTGTACAGGAGCCGGACGCAGAGGCCGATGACGTTAGCAGCTTCAATAAGAACGGAGTTGGTGCTGTCAAGCTACAAATCAAAGGCTTATTGTCTGTGGGTTATGATGCCATCGATGCTGACCCAAAGTAGCTGGATATCTGTCCAGTGGATGCTGAAGTAAAAGAAACAGGGGCTACTGCTGGTGCTGTGGACACGTTGAATGGCATTGATTTCATTGAGCTACCAATAGAAGGTGTAACTGCTAAAGCCTGTGTTGAATACGAGGATGGCACATCAAGCGAGAATGGTGCTTTGGATGTTGCAGACTTATTTGAGGCTCCAGTCAAACCGATTCCACTGCCGAAAGTGCGTGAGATAGAGTAAAGAAAAAGAAAAAACGGTGGCTACATACTATGCCATTATGTATCGCAAAAGAGGTGTTCTCTGTTGATTTATTGAAAGATCTCACCTGTTCAAGACGTTCATGTCGACTTTGAGACCGACTTTCGCATCGATGTCGGCTACCGTATAGTACTTAGAAGAAAAATGATCCCTACCACCCGGGCGCATGTTATCGCGTTGTCTGAATTCTCTTGGTGGCAAGGCATTGCCAAACTGATTACCTTTCATATGAAATAATTCAAGGGATGTGGAAGAAGCCTTTCCCTGCTCGACCAGGCCAATAAAACCCTATTTCATCATACACCAAACCTCCTGTAGACTAATTTCATAGTAATTTGACATTTCTCAAGCTTGAGAACGGTTCCTGGCAAAAAAATACAACGAAAACTACAAATAGGCATTTCGGAGAAGGGAAATAAATAGAACAATTGATGCCGACATAATTATACTATGTGTGTGTCTGTTGGGAAGTGCTTATTCCATATAATTATACTTGGTCCGCGTCAGCAATATTGTCGCATATCTTTCAACTTTGTTTTTATGTCACCAATGTTCACTTGGCAGCCCATTTCACCCCAACTTTGTTTAGTAAGGTAGTTTGCTAGTGCCTGAAAGGTCTAGCTAGAGTTCGAGTGGATTTCGAGAGCGACAGATGGGGGATTCTGATTGATACAGCGCCGCATCAAAATTATACAAGTATTATCTTATCACACTGCCCAGGCAAGAGCAGCACGACGCACAAGAAAGTAATTGGCTACTCAGAATCAGTTCCATTTTGCAAAACGGTCGAGATCGCTCACCTCAGGAATCGCTCGCCAAGCTGAGATCGCAGTTCCAGCTCAGCGATCGGAGTGTCCAGCGCATCGTGGAGATTTGCACGTACTGTACGCGTCGTCGTCGTTCAAAATAAAATCTTGCAAAGAACGGCGACTGATCTGAACCACACATGTAGTCGCGCTGCCCACGCGATATCCTATAGAGAAGGTGACCATCACGATCGACTTCCTTTTATAAAATAGCCAGGCAGCGGAGAGGAAGAGAGATGAGCTTGTGAAAGTGAGAGAGTTGATCCCGGGCAAAATATGTGTCACCAGCGCTGAGAGCAGCGACGAAGAGGACCAAAACAAGTATGAGCCCTTCCTTAGACAATAAATTCCTCATGGCTAGTTGTCATTCTATTCCTTGCCTTCCATCGTACCAAGTTGTATCACCTCAAGTGCACGCGTTGATGTCCAAAGTCTAAGTTCAACTTGTCGAAAGATGTGCGACAATATTGCTGACGCGGACCAAGTATTATTTAAACAGTAGCTGTGCCCAGCATCCGTCTAACGAGGTGGCTTCAGTACGGCAATTCATAGTGTAGAAGATAAGGCCCAAGAGCACAGTTATGAAATCGACACTGTTCACAGAGCTATAAGCGAGGGCAGTGAAGTATTCTAGCCACAATCACACATGCCAGTGCTCCAACGCTCTCCACTTACCCATCAATACGACTTTTACATGATTCAGCTTGCCACGAATTCGACTAAAGTCCAGTCTCAGGTTCCTCAATCGTGTCCAAATCCGCCTTTCAGCCTTATCTCTGCGAGCCATAAAGCCACATAACCAAGTCCATCCATTCATACACATGTTCACATGTATACACAAGCACAGATAGACACACCAATACAAACAAACAGACAGTAAGTTTGTCCGATGAGAGTGAAAGAAGACAGACAGACAGACAGACACATCATACCGCACCTACCCCGTCGCATCCACCAGCACCACACGCACACACGCACATGTATACAAATTGCAGGCACAGGCACATCCAGTCACACAGACACACACACAAGTAAACACAGGCTAATACAGGTGTACGCCCACACTCTCACGCACGCACAGACGCAAGCATTAGAACATGTGCATAAGACCGCCATCGTGTTCATTGTGCCTAGGCAGCAAAAAGCCTCTTCGAACTACAACACACAATTGTTCATACATAACTCTTGCCCCATAGTGTGCATGTAGACAGATGGAGACTTTGGACACCCTCCCAAGCCATCAGCCTAATCAAGAAACATATTTGCACACTGTCGACATGAGAATCTCATGATCCCAGGGTACCCCACCACTGAGCAGAGTAAAACACAACTCCTAGTACTCAGTATTAAAGTCACAGTGTGCGCATAGTTTTATCTGCTCTTCACATCCCTGCTTTGTGCTTATCCTTGGCATGCGGCAAACTGCAATTATGATACAACCCTTGGCCAAAAACCGTCTTCAAAAATGTCTTACCTGATGGAGCAAGTCATTATTAAGACTACATCGGCCTAGCAGAACAAAACAAGAGATCACACTTGTGTCACGAATGGTACGACAACTGCAAAAAAAATACATTTTTCCCAAGACTATTAAATACTAGTAGACAGCACAAAGTCACAGCGGTGGCGGCCAAAGGATAGCAATGCCTCGACTGACAATGCAAACAGCATCAGAACTAGACACACGGCGCACGCTTGCACCCAAACTCTGACATCAAACATAGTGCAGATAGCAAGTCACAAAAAAATTGAAAAAACGCACAATGCATGTGAGACTGTTTCCCACGTCTCTCATGCAATTCCCTCCCTTATACAATGCACTTCACTGGCCTGCACAACATATCACTTTGCATTGAAAAAAGGTTAGCAGTTCACTGCTCTCTTGTACATGCACCAGTATGTGCCCACCCCAACCATATCACCTACCTCGTCGACATTATTTGTACGGAGATAGCCAGCTTTCTTCAGGAGTGCCCAAGAAATCTCGGTATCATTCACATTCATTTGACAACCGTACGTCTCAAAATACACTGCATGTACCAACAAACACAAAAAAAGTACCATGATCAAACACACGCACATCTCTCTCTTCGGTACATGACCATTCCATCAGAGCTATGTCAATCATACACGAAAGATAGAACTGGAGCCAAGGAGCTAATTAGAGATCTGGTACTTCTGATACTACCGCAATATGCAGACGGGGCCGGGCTTCTCCTAACTACCTTCTTGTACGTGTATTTCCATTTCATTCCCACACCCTGGGTATGAAAGGTCAATATCCTCGTGTATTGCCGTTGGGAAGTGTGTGTATGTGTGTGCATGTGTGTGTAGGGATTCACTGGCCAGAAAAAGCCACTTCATAGCTGTGTGGTGTAGACCAGGCTGAATAGTGACAGTCAATTCTTCAGCCTTGCAAGCTGTTGAATGGTGTAATCCCAGCACAAGCTGCTACGGCTTCTGCCATAGCACCGCTATCATCGCCTCCGGCAATGGGCGTCAAAAGGTGTGTGTGTGTGTGCATGCGTGTGCAGGTGCGTAGCTCGTGTATAGTCAGCGTAGTCAACCACCTGTGCGGTTGCCGATGGTACATAGTGACATAGTCACCACACCACAGATGCACAGTCTGATGCATGGTCACCACACCGCAAATGCACGAGCTACGCCCCTGGTGTGTGTGTGTGCATGCATGTGTGTGTGTGTGTGTGTGTGTGTGTGTGCGTGCACGTGTGTGTCAGCATGTGTGCATGTATGGCCTGCAAAGAAGCTACCTTTTCTCTCGTTACCCGCCAGGTCTTCAGCCGACAGGTACGGCACTTCTTCCACACTATCCAACCGAGATAGCTCGCCACCAGGCACACCAGTCTCTGAACTCATGAAATCTGCTAAGGAAGGGCCATCTTTAAGCTTTTTACTGAAGCCGGATGGAGCATTGTCATCTACGGGTGTACCGCATGTGTTCGAAGCAGCAGCTGTGCTGGCCGTGCTACAGCAAGCTCTAGATATCGGCGGTGTGCATGTTGGGTGTGTGACCTTGAAGAGCTGTGCACGCGACGGCAGTCGGCCAACAACAGCACGAGCGCACCGAGGGATGCTGAGCATGGCGCTGCTCTTTCCACAGTCAAACAGAAATCACGAAACCGTGAACTCCAGATATTTCCAAAACACTAACTCTCAACGAAAATGCATTGACCTTCCAACACTGAAACAGAGCGTCAGTCACGCAAGCTACGATAAAGACGGACAGCACAGCACCTCTAACCTCACCAGAAGAGAAAGGTGGAGCACAGGGATCACACCCTGGACCTGGTATCAAGCACTACGAAAGAATACCAATCGTGTCTCAAATACAGTCATGTTGTAGCTGTGTATGTTGCTTTCAATTCAAACAGGTTGACTCCTATTTTTTTGTCAGATTGTACGATCGAGTCTGTTTTGTTGCGTTCTGCTTTTTTTGTAACTTCTTGACTTTTTCGCCTTGTATCGTGGGGAAATCCCCGGAAAAGACTCGCGCCGTGGTTGGAAACAGAAACTGTTTTGAATTATATTGGGGACTGTGTGTTTTGACACTCGGAGTATTCTCTAAAGCCAAGGCAATTATGTAGTCACTCTCACCATACTGTGCTCAATATAAGTCTACATAGCAGCAGGTAGCAGGTTGTGTGTAGTTGTAGACGAAGCAGAAACGTATCAGTATTCATAGTCACTGTGTACTGAGAACGCCGGATTTTGTTCTGGTTGGTTTATATAGTGTAGTATTTTAATTTGTCAAGGTTTTATTTGCCGCGCCGAACTCGAGCCTTTTGGCTTTGGTCTGATCTCCAATCCAGTGTGCTTTGGTGGTATTCCCATCAACATGGACTATAATGACGAGGATGACTTTGCCGCTGCCTCAAAGTACATGAGGTCCTCTACTTTGAAGTTGGATAATGACAAAAAGCTGAAACTGTACGGATTGTACAAGCAGGTATGTGGTGTTCCTGCACGACGATTGACACCCCACTGCTATTAGAAGGGGTATTAACATGACGGTCAACCGTGCCGTCGGTACGCACCTGACTGGGTGCTGGGAGCTTGTCGGTATGTCGCATACTGAGAAATGCATTAACACAGATCAGTTCTGCCTCTGGTACCGCATACAAAGATGGGAATGCAATACAGTGTAGGCATGCTACTGCAGTACACGTACATGTATGCACGTAAAGCCATGGTACCGTGTTTCCACTACCCTCCCCAGCTCTCTTGGCACCTGTATTCTCTCCGCACCGACGACGACACGCACTTCCGGCACAAGTGGAGGTCACGTGATCAGACTACCGTGGATTAGGCCCAGACAGACCCTGCCGGCAATTTTCTCGGCAAAATATTGCAGAATTGAAAGAGCGGACATTGCCGGCAAAATCGGAGCAAAATATCGATATGTTGGGTAAAATCGATGCATGATACTTGGATTTCCTTGTTTCTTACCCGTTCAGCATGATACACTGCCCAGGACGAAATCGTTCGTTGTTGGCTTTGTTGCCCACTGTGTGTGTGTGTTTGCTGTACAGGGCACTGAAGGTGATTGTCATACTTCTAAACCTGGCCTGTTGGAAATGACCGGCAGAGCTAAGTGGTAAGAATGTGAGCATGTCCTGGGTTCAGCCAATCGTCACTGGCTGCCAATGCTGCTATGCATTACGCATCACTGCATATTGTGCATAGTGCGTAGTGTATACTCCATATGACACGTCATCATGCAGTTTGAGTCTCGGTTATATACTATGTGTAATACTGGATTTAATGCGGATTCGCATAGCGGGTAGGTCAAGAACTGCCTTTCTGCTTCCGTGGGATGCCATCACCCCGTGTTCAGGCATCAAACGCAGCTCCTGAGCGATGTGTGTATGGGTGCGGGGGGGGGGGGGGGGGGGGGGGATGGTGTAATCCCAGCACAAGCTGCTATGTCTAACATAGCTGTTCGCTATCATCGCTTCTGCGACGGGCATGTCTGCGTCTAAGTGTGTGGGAGGGGGTGGATCAGATCCACCAACTAGAAGCTGAAGGCGAAACTCCTACTGCCGCATCCATATTACCCTTGTTCCCAATACACTGTGGGTCGAAGCATGGTTTGATAAATCCACCCGCTTCCGAGCAGGACTTGAAATTGATCCTGGTACATGTGCCTCAAGTTTCTAAATTATGGTCCTAAAGACTTGAACCAACCCACTGGGCCTGTCTGGGAGTCTTGATGATTTGGGCAAATCTGAAGTCAGATATCTGCTATGGCTGACAGTGCATTGTGTGCATGCTGTGTGAACAGGACAGCATGGAATGACTTGAAGGGACTTGCCAAGAATATTGCTATGGCTCAGTATGTCGACTTTGTCACTTCGCTTGATGACAGCTGGCGAGAGAAGGAGGTAAATCTAAAAGTTTCGCTTGATGTGGATTGTCCGCCTGCGCACCATTGCTTTTTCACGTGCATCCTTCTTCTTTTGCCTTGCTGCACTTTGAACTTATAGACTACATGTAAATTGTACCTGTCAAGTAACATTACTTTTCCGCAGGCTTTTTGGCTTATGTTTGTAGGTCTCCCACCGTGTCAGCTATTTGTTGCTGGTGCACATGTCAAGTACTAAGCTACACCAGTCCTGCTATGTTATTTTTCTCGGATTCCCTGACATACAGTGGGTGGCCTGACGAGTGTTATTCCCAGGCACCACCCTCTATTGAGCTGTGTTGGTTACAAGAGAAAGCCAATGATATACGTATGTGCTTTTTCATCTTTTTTCACAGGTGTCGGAAGCAGCTGCTGGATCGACTGGAGGCCAAGAATCAACTCCTTTTGGTGCTCCTTCAGTGAGTACAATGGTTGTGGAGGGTGACCATCCGAAGAAAACGTGAGTTTTCATCTATCATCAAATGTGGCCGTGTTGTCAAATCCTCCCTGTCACGGTGTTCCGCCGTGTCACGGTGTTCCGCTTGAATAAAATGAGTGATTCCAGCTGATCTGCATATTCTTTCTCGTGCAATTATGAAGTTTTACTGTGCGGAGTAGAGGGCATACCGTATTTCCTCGATTAATAGACCCGGTCTTTTGTTTTTTGAAGAGGGTTGGACCCCCGGTCTCTTATTTGGGCATGGTCCATTATTTGAGCACGGTCCGCTATATTTTCATCGGCACATCGCTGGAAATGGTGGATTTTTAACACGTCATAATAATATGACGTGTTAAAAATCCACCATTTCCAGCGATGTGCCGATGAAAATATAGTGGACCGTGCTCAAATAATGAAAGAAAGCACTAGCCACTACAAAAATTGTAGTTGCGCAACCTAAAATCGCGTCCTTTTTTGATCCACCACGTGCTTTCTTAGTGCGCATGCGCAAAGCGATGAACTCAAATAAGAGACCGGGTCTCTTATTCGGGCATGGTCCACTATTTTCCGTGAGGCCTCTAGGAGGGTCTACTATTTGAGCATGGTCTATTATTCGAGCATGGTCCATTAATCGAGGAAATACGGTACTTCGTGCCTAGTATGGGCTTTCCTGTCACTACATGTTGTCACTGAGTTATGTGGCTCATTTCTCTTCTGTCTGTTGTTCATTGTTGTCACACTGCTTGCAGTGATGCTGAGAAGACAGTGATGGAGTTTGTTGCCGATGACAATGTGGACCGTGTCTTGGAGCTGGTTACGGCAGATCCTGCTCGTCTGGCCGCAAGAGATGATATGGTATGAGTGGTGTGTAGTGTGGTGGTACTTGCATGATGATATGGTATGGGTGGTGTGTGTTGCAGGGGTACTGACATGACAGGGTGTGGGTGGTGTGTGTTGCAGGGGTACTGACATGACAGGGTATGGGTGGTGTGTGGTGTAGTCTACTAGGCGTTCCGAGGAACACACTGCAGTCATGTTTGAAATGTGGCCCGTAATCAGATATAATTCTTCAGTTGGAAGCCTGTTGTTCCAGTGGTATGTGCAGTCAGAGTTCTCCTGGAACCAGTGTTGGTATGTTGACTATTCTCAGGTTTTCAATGCCTTTAGTTGCCATGCAGGCATGTATTTCAAGCACATATTGCTGAATATGTAGTCCATTCCATTCCAACACACTGCGCGCATGGTCAACCCACGCGACTTGCAGTGTGGTGTGTTTAAAGGAGCTGGGTTCATGACTGTATTGATCAAGTCTGTTGCTTTTCGTATTTTGTCTACGCATTGCCCATGCCTACAAAGTACAAACTCGTACATTGTTTTAAAATGCTCTGCACTTCCCTGTATACTGTGTTCTGCGATGTGTCTTTGCAGGGCATGACCGCACTGCATTGGGCATGTGATCGTGGCAATGAACAGATGATCAACGCATTACTGGAGCACGGTTCCGATATCAATGCACAGGTCAGTTAGTGTCTTTAACCACACTGCGCTGGTGGAGTGTGGATTGTGATGTGGACTTGCAGCCGCGTTGACCAGCGGAAACGGGTAGTGTTGTAGCTGAGGTTGTCCAGCAGTACAGTTCAAGATTTTATGTACTGGTATGTTATTCCCCTGGTATCTGTGCTGGTTTATTTACGTGCTGTTGCTGCCGTAGGATGTCGAGGGACAGACGCCTCTCCACTATGGTAAGAGTACCAGCAGCGCGCGCGTGTGTGTGTGTGCGTGTGTGTTTAGCTCTTTCTTTGGCCTTTCCTGTAGTCTCGCATATGTAAAATTGCGAAACCAGTCCTGCATCAAGGAGAGGCAAAGATGTACATTTGATCCTTGCGGATCAATTGGTAGATTGGAAAAGGGAAAGAAAAACAAAGGTTTCCGACTCCAAAATTGAAGCCTAGGTCCAGTGAGTCCACTGTTATTAGGCTGGTGCCTGCTTTGATTCCCACTATAAATACTAATAAAGCATACAACACGGCAACACAGGACTAGACTAGCGATCAGCCAGTCTGATGCACCCACGGCTGCTGTATCCTGGCCTGTCAGTCCCCAGAGTTCCTGTATGCTGGCCTTTTGAGTCCCATGGCTGCTGTACCCCTGGCCTTTCAGTGCCCAGACCTCACAGCATGTGCGTGCGTGTGTGTGTGTGTGTGTGTGTGTGTGTATGTGGCCTCCTTTCCTGCACTCCTGTTGCTTTAGTTGTTACGTGCGACCATGTCAACCTAGTCCCGCTGCTGCTGGGCAAGGGTGCCAATGCCGCTCTTGTAGACTCGGATGGATCAACGCCAGTGGCCGTAGCCGATTCCAAAGAAATGCGGGCAGCGCTCAAGGCGTGCGGCTTATAGCTCAGGGACAATTTTATTTCCTAGTGTATGTGGGCGGGTGTTTTTTTTTTAGAATAGCTTTTAGCTTTAGCTTTTTTCAGGTTTACATGATTAGGGTCCGGTTTTACTTCCACGTATGAACATGTTTCATCGCTTGTGCAAGCCAGGAGCCTGTAATATCACTCGCAAACTGTGCTTTGCCGTGAACAGTTTAAAAAAGGGCGCATCAAAGCCACGCCGCGCAGTGCTGCAGGTCTATTTCTTTACACACTGTCCCTTTTTGTGGGTTTTTTTTCTTCCGTTCAACATGGATCCTTGCCATCAAAAGCTCATGTTAGCGCAATGCACCGGCGCGCCGCTGTGGCTAGAACTCAGAAGGGTAGTTCTACCCCGCATCATTTGAAAGAAACTACATGATCGTGAAGAAAATGTTACCCTAGCACATGGTCATGAACCATATTGGATAAATCTAAATAGAATATTACTTTCAAAATATTGATCTACAATGACATCTTCTATTCTGAATTGATCTCATGAAATACATGTACAAGAAGAGCATGGCTATGTTTTGTACTGTTTTGAATTGAATGAAGCAATCAAATGCAATTTCTACACTTACGTCTCTGCTTGGGGGCTACGAGGGGGGGGGGGGGGGGCTAAGGAGAATAGGACAGCTTGATGCAGGCATCACTGCGTTCTTGTTCCTACGCAGTTTGGAATGAGAAATCACAGCTGTGGGTCAAGGCATGCATTACGAGCAGAAATTTGACCTGTATTGTCAACATTGTTACGGTTGAGAAACATCCGAGAAACATCCGGAGGGAAGTCCGTCATGCTCGTCATCGGGCTATTCCTCAGGCAATTCCTCAGTCACTGGCGCGTCGTCACACTAGTAGCTGAAGCACATTGGTGATGACTAGATGATCGACGTCTCAGGAAGAGATTCCGTGTACTCAAGCATTACCCTGTACAGGAATGTGTAGTGGCTCTGTATGGCAAGACAGCAAAGCAAGGCAGTTCAAGCAGCGGGTCGCAGCATTGGGAATAGCACAGAAGTACATTTCAGACAGCGGTTCACGGCATCGAGAATAACACATCACAGGGCAACTACATGACGGTACACTACTTGGACTCGGTACGCCATTGTGCAACAACACTTTCTCACTGCCTGGCAGTTGCCAGCGCAAAGGTGTTTGTGAATTTCAGGCTTTGAATTGGGTCATTCTAAATCCAATGGATCGAGGAGCAGAGCAGCATACTGCTTTGTCTCTGACCTCTGGAGCTTTGTGGAAGCAGTCCTTTGCGACTGCACTTCAAACTCGACCGCATGTACCACATCATTCTCAATGAAAATCCAGCACGATCACAGAAATCTACCAGCTTCTAGCGACTCCGAACTAACATCCGTCGGGCTACTGTTCCTGATAGGAAGCCACAATATCATTAGTAAGCTATAGCCGACAGGTCAACTTCTGCTTGTAACGACACCATACCCAAGACAGGTCCACTTCTGCTTGTAACGACACAATACCCAAGCACAACCCAAAGCTATTAGTGAAGTATGCTAACTTCTGGTCGCTCTCACCTCTGTTGAGCACATGTTATATCTTGCAAAGCGCAGCAGGCGTACGGTCTGGAAAACGTCAACTGCTTGCTCCGACATCAGGCGCTCGCGCATGTTGTACAGGGCTGCAAACGTTCCTGTGCGGTCTGCGCCATGGCTGTAAAAACAAACACACAACAGCACCGAATGGCGAATGCAAATTCAGTCACGCACTTCAATGCAGGTGGTCATGAGCAGTCTACTGCGATAGGTACATGTGTATGATTTTATGCCTAGTGTTAAACTTTATTGCAAGTCCTCTCAAGTGCAGTGCTGTGTAAGTCAAGTGCACAGGTGTAGGCAGGTGCGCGCAGCTTTCATCAAAAAGAGTGACTTGTGTACCGCATCTTACTGCAGTATGCTACTCTAAGGGTAAAGAACTGAGTAAAATGTGTACTACGTCGTCCACCAGAAACAGCTGCATCTTGGTGTTGTGTATATCTTACTCGCAATGGATGATGACAGGCCGTGTATCCTTGCACTGCAGCTTCCAGCCATACAGCGTCTTGAGCAGCTCCAGGACATCCTCAACCTCCGGCACCTGACTCGTGTCAGTTCCCCAGCCCTTGAACTGCAGATGGCGGATTCTCAGCGGCTCCAAGTTGGGTTTCATCATGCTGGCTCTTCCATTGTGGGCCATGGCGGGCTGCATACGTGAAGAACAACACCGCATGCAAGATTTTGAGTTTCTACAAGCACCAGGCCGTCACAAAGTGCTACCAAGATCAAGGACCCCAATGGAAACTCTGGTACACGATCAACATCAGTTGTCAGGTTCTTTTGAAGGAGATAGTAGTGCTATGTCACAGGCCCTCATTAATTTTGTCGTTAAATCTGAAAGAGTGTGTGCGAGGGCTAGCGGGCTATGTCTCCGGCTGGACACCTCGGCAGACAACTGCAGCTGCGAAGATCACAGGAGACGAGAGAAAGTCGCGGGTTTCCTTACCATTTGAGCTTGAGTCTTGATCTTGATATCAATGTCTCGCTGGATGAAGTGCTCCTGCTCGTACTTGTTCACTACGCTGACCGTCAGCGCCTCAAAGTCGGACGTCTCTCCTTCTTCTGGCCAGTACGCACCCTGCAGGACCGACAGCATAATTGGACAGGATTATACGTTAGCATGCTGGATGTGCATGTTCAGATGGATGTGTACTGCTTCACGGTACACCGCCTGCACTTCTAATGTTTTAACATTAGAAGTGCAAATAATATTAGTTCTGATACTTCTTTGAAGTACATGTACATGTACATGTGATTTGCGGGGGGCTTAGTTGCTTCTCCCTATCTTCTTACGGGTATTTTACAGAAATCCATGTGTTAGTTAAGGTCATAGAACAGCCAAAGCAAGCCATTGGTGTTTTGGAATGGCTGCAGTGGGAGCGAGGCTTGGGCTCCCGCTGTAAATCAGGCATTAAAAGTGCCGGCATGTTTTCAAGCTGCCACAGCCTGGCAATGGCAATTATGGTCTGTCTGTTCAGCACCAAGTCCTGCTCTTACCATATCCGTCTCCGTCTCATCGATTGCATTCAGCATGACGACACCGGCAGCCCGTGTGCCCCACACCATGCGCCAGAAATCGTATACGGTGCTGGGCAGTGGGTGTTGCGTCGCTATCAGGGCTTGCTGTCGTTTGTGACCCTGTGCAGCAGACAATGGCAAAGAGATGGTCATTCTTTACAAACCGGACTTCATATTCAAACTTGTATCACCTTTGCACAAGACCGGTTCACTTAGTTCGTACTTGGGTGCGTTGGAAACATCAGTGACATGAGAATAGGACACAGCACAAAGGACAACACAGGATTTGAGAAAGCAACTGCACGCCAGCCAGTTATCTTACGTCTATGAATGAAGCGTTGATGTAGTCGGATCCTATTTCACCAGTCAAGACAGGCAGGCGCACACGATTCGAGTCCACTGCAATCAACAGGCAATTCAACGGGTAGACAGTATTAGGCATTAGGGAGGTTTAGTCCCACGTAATCCGTGGGTACTTTACGTGTGTGTACCACGTGATACTCAGTGACCCACGTACAGACGTTTTCTGATTCACGACATACCGTGTATGGAGGCTCACCCACGTTCCGCCAGAACGTGGGTGAAAATCAGAATGGAGTGCATTTTGCGAGCTGTGAGGGTGCTCAGCTGAAGAAGTTTCCGAAGTACGAAATCAAAATATTCGATGAGCTTCTTAGGCCCGGGTAGCTTCGTCTTTGACCGGGTTTGGGCCTTTCGCTTCATGCTTTTGTTTGTTCCGTGTGACTAAGGGGCCGTCCGGGGTTACCGATTGTTTTTACAAAACGAAAAGTTTTAGTATTTTTCAGCCCCCGCCCACCCACCCACCTTTTCTGCAGGTAAAACGAATTCCAATAAAATATTGATGTCAATTTTCGACACCCAGAAGTAACTGGGCATTCTCCATCAGCATTCAATAATTATTTTCAAAACGAAACTCCATCAAACCCACCCACCCACAAACGAAAACATTTCGTTTTGAAAATAATATTGGTAACCTTGGACAAACACAACATTGCACCGTGGATGCCCTTCATCCACTTTACGTGTATCACCCACGTACGCGTTTCCGTTGCGTGGGAACTAAACCTCCCTACTGTCTCAGCATGGTCAGTTACTCCTGATTATCCAGCCGATAAGGTGATGTTCAGCATTGTCTAAACCATGCAAAGCCAAACCGTTGTTGTAGATACGTTGTACTCGTCACCTTTCAAACAATTTCTCAAAACCGTTTTGATGTAGTCTCATTAGTGGGTACATGGAAATGAAGCAAAGCAAGTCAGAGCAGTCCAATTGTACAGAAATGAAAATGACTGCAAGTTACTACTCTTGTAGTGATGTGACTACTGAACTAGCGCTACCAGTATGTCTGTTGGCTTCAAACCGGCACCTTTGCTCCCTCCCGGATACTCCGTTTTGTAAAAACAAGTGATAGGTCGTAGGTCACCATGGCCAGCGCTGAATGTCATCACATGCCTTGCGTTGCCATGCCTTTCCCTGCCCTGCCCTGCCCATGTTGTATAATGGTACTTTTACATTGGACGGCTCTGACTGTCTTTGCTTCGTTCCCATGTATACACTGATGAGAATGGGTCCAAACTCTTTTGGGAAAGTGTTTGACAGTTGACCGATTGTAATGAAACTAGCAACGTAACTCCTTTAATTGAAAAATAAGAAATTTATTTACATGGCACATAGACACTGGTGCGGTTCTTGTTGCGATTGACAGGCCTCAGTGCTGCCACAGTCTTGTTTGGGTATGGCCTGGCAGAGGGAAGACGCTGCAGTGCAGAATGTGAAACACACCAATAGTAAACACATCATCTCTGGTTAAAGTGTGGCGTGTGTGATGTCAATGCACACTCTTTGTGAACAATTTCATTCAAGTGTCTTCTTTTGCTACACAAAATTATAGTACTTCATACAGGAAAAGTGTTAAAAACAGAAAGATTGCACCCGGATTACCTATGTTGAATGGCGATGGTGGAGTCTTTGCATCGTATGCAGAACATGTTTTTGTGCAAGTGTGCCACTTTATCTTACCGCCATCTCTGTAGCATAGCCAGTCCTGTCACTACTATCCGTCTCCGATAGGCGCCAGATTGTCTTGCGAAGCTGGTCCATTGGGACAGAGCTGTCACCGAGGGCAATTAACTCTGCCAGTGCATCGTGAATGAAGATGTACTGATGCTGCAGACACACACATGCGCGCGCACACACACACACACACACACACACACACACACACACACACACACACACACACACACGCGCACACACACACGCGCGCACACACACACACGCATGGAGTAAACCGGTGGTTAGTGCACCTAATGCCTTACCAGTGTGTGGACTTGCTGAACATCGGCAAAACGTACCCTAAAGAATGTCAATCCGAAAGTCAGTACAGCAGTACAGTTCCCGAGAGTAGTTACGGGGAGAGGTACTGGGTTCCTATCATTCAACTTCCTACCAACTTCCTAAACACGTCAGGTGATGCGGCCGCGAATCCGGCTAACTTTACTTCTTTCTTTACTGGGTTTGAAAGTGGCAACTACGTACTCACATACTCTTTTAGAGGCTTTCGTGGTACGGCTAGGTGTGTGTGTGTGGGGGGGGGGGGGGGGGTCAAGTGTACCTGTGTATGTAGTGCTCTGTGTGTGTGTGGGGGGGGGGGGGGGGCAAGTTATCTGTATATATATTATATGTAGTGCTGATCGTGTCACCGTTACCTACCTCGGTCTGCACCATGAGATTGCGGCGCTCTCGCATGCCCATCACGGTGCCAAATACGTTGACGACGGACTCATTCTCAATTCGCAGCATTTCAGAGTAAATAGCGATGAGCGTTCCTGTTCTCCCCACACCAGCACTGCGGACAAACAAACAAGCAGAAGGTGCTCAGCAATCAATTCATTATTGTAGTTACACTTACAGCGCTGGCAGGGAAACGTGGACGCAGGGAATGGGATTTTTCGGTCTTTAACCACTGCTGTGGTGTGTGTGGTCTATTCATCTCCCACCACTTTAGGAGCTGCACCTGTGCCTTGATCCTTGAGGGTGATCACAATGGCGTTCCCATGGATGTGGACACTCAGTCCGACTGAGTAGTCTCACGCGAAATGTGATTTTTTTTACAGTGGTGACCAATGAAATCCAGCCCCTGCTTTCATGCAGTTTAGTGCCCGCACAGCTGTGCCTGCTCGGTGCGTGTTGAAACGCATGTACAGAGAGCAGGCACGCCCATGCTTGCACTAACGGCATGAATCCAAGAGCTGGATTTCATTTGTCACAAATCTCAGTTTATACGTAGTATCAAAAAGTATTCTTTCTAGACCAAAGAGTGGTATATTTGATAACATTTAATAACGATAGAAATTTTTACGATACTTCTCCAGACGTTTCGTTGTTCTGAACAACATCGTCAGTGGATAAAGAATTTTATTACAATGAGAGTGAAAAATCAACGGCTTGTCCACCAACTCTTTATACGTAGTATTAACTGTAGTTAACACGCATGTAACGCTCTCTCAGCGCGTGCCCGCCTGCGTTTACTACACATAGCACTCCATATTTACCCGTAGCGATGCTGCTACTTCACACTGCATTCCACATCTACCCGTAGCGCTGTTATTGAGCTGCCCACGCACACCGCTGTGCACGTGACACGGGCACAGTTCGCGCCACGAGGGAGCGTGTTCCCCTCTAGCTCTGTCGGCAGCTGAACCTACCAGCGCATCTGACCCCATATGTGCATGCACTCGTGTTCTTTGTTCCTGTTGTTGCTTACCACTCTCACTTGCTGTTTGCTCCAACACTAGCTCTTTGCCAAATTTTCCCCATCCCAACCCACCCAATTTGGCGTGGTACTAGTATCACAGTACTCATTACTACATACTATCCGAGTCACGAATAAACAAGGAACTCACGGAAAGGGTGGCATCCACATGGAGTGGGTGGCTGCAAAGCACCCCGTAAGCCTTTGAGCTATGACACCCAACTCCAGGTTACCAGCCCCTCTGCATTCGTCCTACCATGCAGATGTCCGGGTGTAAGCGTAACCCCGTTAGCAGCCTACTTCCACATCTGTCCTACCATGTGGAAGTGCGGTGTTAGCCTAACCTTGTTAGCGGACCCCTCCACATTCGTCCTACCATGTGGTGGCCTGGGTGTAAGCCTAACCCCATTTCCCCCCGCGTGAGTTCCAGTCTAGCCCAAACCTTGTCTTCAATGTCTGTGCGTGCAGTGGGATGTTAACTGAAATTACATGGACACGCCAATCAGAGTATAAAAAAGGTTGCACACCCTACTCTCATTACACACTACCAGCTCTGACGGCTTGCCAGCAGAGTATCATTACCTGCAGTGAATGACTGTTGGTCCGCCATCCACGACGATGTGCTCTCTGACACGTCTGACAAACGTCAGCAGAGGAGCGGCCATTGTCGGAACACCGTGATCCGGCCAGATGGTGAAGTGCATCTGCGTAACTGTACGGCTACCGGACAGGACAATGTCAGGTGATGCTTGTGATACCTGTGACACATTGACACCGCCGAACACACACAATCATACTTCGAAGTACGTGCATATGCGTTCTAAAAGAGTACTGGAATGATGTGTCACCCATCCATCTTGGCCGACCCTCTGACACATAAAGCCAATACATGTAGCACCAGGTCACACTTACTTGAGTGATGGAGAAGGTGCGCTTGACGTATGTGGCGAATTTCTCCTGCTCAATCATCTCCACAGCAATAGTGCCGTACACGACAACACCTTCCTCGGGCCAGTACTTCTCACATTTGACCTGCATGAGTACCAATGCACAACAAGTAGCTTGAATACCCCAAGAATGACATAGAAACAGGATCACAGCCACACACAGCCACATACACATTCTCTTTCTCTCCCTCTCTCTCTCTCTCTCTCTCTCTCTCTCTCTCTCTCTCTCCCTCCCTCTCTCCCTCTCTCCCTCTCTCTCTCTCTCTCTCTCTCTCTCTCCCTCTCTCCCTCTCTCTCTCTCTCTCTCTCTCTCTCTCTCTCTCTCTCTCTCTCTCTCTCTCTCTCTCTCTCTCTCTCTCTCTCTCACACACACACACACACATTTGCTCAGTAACTAATTGTGCCACATATCTGAGATCTGCTTCGTCCAGAATTGACTACATTGACTATGCAGGACCAGTCAGTACAGCTGGCGAAGCAATGATAATGAAGATGATTGCCAGGTTTCAAACAGAAGCATCTCACATGGATTTCACACCAGAAAGGAGACATGTCACTCTCTAAAATCCAACATGACTCAAGAAGTACTGTAAATATACAAAATTTCGGCGCTGCAAAATTTCGGCACTTCACCAATTTTGACTTTTCGGCGGCGATTTATTTTCGGCGTGGGGTAGAGGGCATGCATGGTAAAGTGCGACAGCTACAGATGCTGTGAAAAATTTCATCGGCGTTTTAATTTAGGCGTTTTGGGTCGGTGCCGAATATAGCCGAAATTAAATAGCTGCCGAAAATTTGTATATTTACAGTACACCTATTAGTTTGTTATTCCTGGCTATTGATCTTACCTTGCTCTGCTCCAAGAGGTTTGTCACCATAACAATCACTGCACTATTCGCTTCCCATACCATCCTCCAGAAATCGTCCAATGTATTTGATAGCGGCCCTGGCAGTGTGCACGTGTTCACAAGGCGCACACAAAACAAATTACCGGTATGAAAATGATGCAAACAACTGTGAAGCAGCGACGGCAAACACCAGCAAACAAGTAGCAGCCGCAAACTCTTTCCAAACCTCTCGACACTGCTTCTTACCTTGGGCGGCGATGAAAGCATCTGGCCTGTTGTAGCCCTGCATGTGCAACACAGATGTCAGAACTCATACAACAGTACAAGAAGGTCACTCCCCGTTTTCCTCTAAATCAGATCATGAATGAATGTCTCCATTTTTGCTTGACAAATTGAGTTCTTACAAGCTTCCGAATACTGCACCCTGAATCCTATTGCTAGGAGCATAGAGCCTATATCTATAATATCGTAGTGTTTCACAACGATTCCACATGCTAGGGAACGGTTCGGACATGTTGAAGCTGTGATATGTAAAGCATAGGCCTAGAAGATTAACACCAAACAAATCCAGGGAAGCGGACCAAGATGGCGGACAGGTGCCCTTCAGTTCACAAGAGCTTCGATTGATAATCACCCCTCACCTGGATGTAGTTAGCATTGATGTAATCTGAACCAGGCATTTCGTCCAGCACAGATAGCTCCACGCGAGAGTGATCATCTATAGGCAACATGGATTTCACAAACATGGCCGCCAGGACCACAGAGGTGCAATGTAAGCTACGTAGTAGAACAGAATACGTGAATGTACTGCTGGCAGGAACTCCACTGAGCCATAATACAAGCATAACGCGGGTGAACAGTTCTCGGAAGAGATTGTTCACAGCGAATGGGCTACATAGTGCAGGCATGAATCCCAGCAGTGCCAATCACCGTATGTTACAACTGATTCAAAACAAAAACACCTGGCACACTGCAACACACTCCAGGCCTAAGTTAACACGGTATGTTTTGGTGATATTGTTGTTGCACGCTCCAGTAGATTTAAACGGATTGCCCATTATGTCATGCAAATGCTCATCTACTTCAGTAGATCATATGTGCAGACTCCACTGTCCCTGCAGCTGTTCACAGCGCAAAGGTGCTCTCTCTCTCCAAATCCATTCCAAATGGGCTCTGGCCCACAAAGACCTGTTTCACAGAATATGACTAGTGGCCCGGCAGGCCCTTCGTTATCATTCGATGCATGTCAACTCACAAGCTGTGATGTTTCTGTATCTGTTCTTCTCCTGATTTATTCCAAGACTGCTGTTGGCGCTTGGGTAGGGATTCTCCGTGCACCAGCGTCGGATCAGCTAGAACAAAGCATGCAGAGTGATACAGCAGCTGCTGTTAGCCATAGCCACCCAGCAAGTACATCGGCCGGCAATACCAGAAGGCACTTCTTTGAAGTACAGGTAAGCAGAAATGCGCGTGTAAGTTATTTCTCAGTGTCCTGTATCTGCAAGTGCAGTGCAGCCCGGCCCCTAGTTTTCTGAACCCTAATCTGCAAGAGAACCTCTTCGGAGTGCTCATAAAGAAGAAATTGTCCGATATCAAAACAGAGGTATAATCATTGCTACTTCCATATGATTGCGTCCAAAAGCAAAGGAGAGAGAAACTGTTGTGACTCTTGAGTTTCATGTACTTTTAATTAAGGTTTGTACTAGAATCAGTTAGACTACACCCTCAAAGACCAAGGCGCAGAAGAATGCGCCGTCAAAGAGTAGTACAGTCAGACCTCGCTTAACCGCACACATCTGTTTTCCACAAAAACATCCGGATAGGCGAGGTAACCGGATAACTGAACACACATACTGTATATGCATGTGGCATGTCAAAAGCAGTGACATCGTACATACATGTAGACAGGTCCTATGCAGTACAACTAGCGTGCCCAGTATGTAAAACAAGCGAGAAAAATGACAAGTGCATGCAACTGAGTGCTGTCCGCATACACCCAGCAGGTCAAGGACCTCATTTGCTTGTACAACTCCCTGATACTAGCTTCTCCAAGCGCTAGCCAGCCACATGCAACCGGATACGACGAAGCTTTTTGTACACATTTTAACCAGTTTGTACACAAAATCATACACCGGTATGCGGATCGCGAGGTCCGGTTATGTTGTATGCATAACATATGCTGCACATCGGTAACCAGCGATTTTCTTCCGGATGGCGAGGGATCCGGATAAACGAGGACCGGATAAACGAGGTCTGACTGTAATATTATGATTGAGCAGGCTTTATATACTGATGGAGTGATGCACACGCCTCGACAGTCCTTTTCCAAGTCTGGAAAGATGTCCGCCAAAATTGCTTCTTCCACTGACCTTTGCTGACTAGTACCCTTGCTACTACAGTACTACTATACCCGTATTATCTCTAATATAAGCACGGTCCTTTATTTTTTCAATTTACCTCCGCCCCGTGCTATTAATGGAGACGTTCCTTTATTGGAGACTGTTCCATTATTATTTCAACCTCATTTCAGAGGCATGTTGCCATGCCAAATTCATGTCAGACACACACACATTTCAGGGGTTTTTCGCCGGTACAGATAATGAATTTACACAGTGTGCTTATAATGGAGACTGAGCACTTTATTTTTTGAATGCCGCCCCAAGGTGTTCTATTATTGGAGACGTGCTATTATTGGAGACTGTGCTTATATTAGAGATAATACGGTATGCAGTATGTGTGTACATGCTTCAAAGTCTAGCTAGATACATGTAGGAAGAATAGGGAGTAGCCCAACATCACAGTAGGCTACACCGTGTGGATGCTCATGACTCACTTCGTATTCCTCGGTAAACGGATAGTCACAATCCGAGTGCATACGCTGTGTGTGGACGGCAAACTCTTCCATCGCTATGCCGGCGTTGTAGCGCGATCGGCTGAACTCTGCTGCGGCATCTGAAATTGGGGAAATGCACACACATACATAATATGCACATGGCGAGTTGTGCGAACAAGTAGAAACAAGTGGACGGGATATAGAACGGACCCTGCCCTAAAGGATACCGGAGAAGTACGGACACCTGGAAATTTAGGACACCCTTCGGCAGTCCCTTGCAGGTGCATATTTGCACGCTTGAATCTCCAAAACGAGAATGCTCGTGTAGTGATTACTGTTTGGGCTAGCCCCCTTGGTTATTCGCGTTGCTCGGGTTACACTGTCTAGGGTACAGCGAGAATGGTTACTAGTAGTATTCATTGTAAACCAAAACTGTCCTGTCAAGAACAACACATGCCAGGCGTGCAGTTTTAGTGAGGCACGGTGCTTATTGATCACAATGCTTATTGATCACAGTGCTTATTGATCACGGTGCTTATTGATGAACAGTACTGCATACTAGTAGTTGGTATTCATATCAAGTTATAGCAAAGATTTATAATAATAATAATAACATAAGAGCATCCAGCAGGGTTGTATGAGAACACAGGGGAATCAGTACGACTGAGTCACAGCAAAGCCATACATACCGTCACTGAAGAACATCTTGTTGGTTGCAGTCATCCGAGAACCCATCCTCATGTCGGCTTTCCCCCAGAAATCGTCGTCCTCCTGCGAGACATTCCTTACATAGGACACAAGGAGAGAAAAAGCAAAGATTTGGCTGGTTATTCCATGTCTTCAGTGTTCTGCTTTGAAGCATTTATACAGTGCTGACACACACACACACACACACACACACACACACACACACACACACACACACACACACACACACACACACACACACACACACACACACACACACGCACACTCTACTAGTGTGCAGTAGGAATAAGCAGTGTATCATCACAAGACTTGGACAAAAATGAATGGAATTCAAACGCTTTGTCCGTACAGAGTAGTCAGAGCGAAAGGCAAGTGCCTGAGTCAGAATTTAGACGTGGTACATCACTCCAAGGACTGAATCACGGAGGGACGACCACATGAATTTGTACATGATCAGCAACACACTGAGGAGGCAACTCCATGTTCTGCCGTGGCTGCTGCATTCTGTGCTCTATTACCATAGTCACCAGGCGACTTTCAGGTTTGCCTGCGCACAGCGAATCACAAACAAACACCTTCCCCTGCCCATGATACTGGTGGCCAGAGGAGAGGCCTGCAATGACAATCCACACAATGCCCAAATATTTACCTCTTCCTGATGGCGATGACGATGATGACGATAATGATGATGGCGATAACGCCACCCGCTGCCCCACCAGCCGCCGCACCGACACCACTACTGCCGCCTTGCCCGCTTGGCCCAGGTGCTGGCGGCAAAACCCAAACAGAAGTTTGCACAATTGCTTGATCTACTACATGTAGTATTTTGTTACCTGCTCAACAAGTACGTATACCCCAGCACAGGATTTACATGAGCAGAAGAGAATGAGCAGTAGAGTGAAGTCTAAATGGACCATGTCCACTAAGCAATGCAGCATCACCTGAAATAGATCATGCTTACTTGGTGGCGGGAGGTTGTTGGTTTCCACCAGGATGTCTGATCCGCAATTGCCAAACGTGGCACGTGCCATGACGGTTGCGTTTCGCATGGTACCACCAGAGATGAATATTCCCGCCTGTCGCTTGACATTACGGTAGAGAACGGGCGAACCTGAGTTGATTGAGATGCTGACCTGGCTGGCTGTCATGGAAGACTGCCATTCATAATCTATGATAGACTCGTTCAGCAAACGGCGACTGATGTTGAATTTAGCCTGCGCCAGGGCAGTTGCATTGACTGCAAACAGAAGAAAAATAGATGTAGAGGAAAATGCGGAAAGGTTTAGTGTGTGCTTTTTACTGCACTCCTACAGTAAGATTGGGCGCCGAAGAACACTTACCGGTATACTGGGTAATGGCACAAATTCAAGAACAATCCAGGCTAAATTTTCAGACTGAAGAACGCATGTACTGTACTGTTTTCTACGTGTTTTCCACATGGCATGATTGCATTGTACGATGCTCTCCATGGTCGCGGAATAAGAACAAAACAACTAATATTTGAACATTTTCAAAACAACGCTAGGCTGTGCCTTGTGCCCTTGCGTTCTTCGACGCTCAATCTTACTGTAGCCTAATAAATCTGGAAGGAAACAGGAGATGGAAGATCTATCTTCAGTACCGCTCTTTTTGAGAAAATCTGTGTCATAAAGGCCATAGGGTCTAGGATGAAAAAGGGATTACAGTCAAATTTGCGTATAACGACACTCGGCGGGCCATCAGAAAAGTGTCCCTATCCGTGAAGTGTTCGTATACCCGAAGTCCCATTATATGTATTACAGTTAGATGGGATTTTGCTCTGGGCATGGAAATTCTGTCGTTATTGGCGAATTGTCGTTATACTATGATCCGCAGTCGTTATTAGCGAAGTTGACTGTACTAGTATTTCATCTGGTACCCCACCAGCCGGCAATCCGCTCAACCGCAGTGCGCACACTCAAATTGTTGCATACACAGTGCGCACAAGTAAAGCACTTCAGCTATCCTGCTTTCTGTCTCCCTCATCTGGAGATTAAGTGCATGAAAATCAGGCATGTCCTTACCACTGGCATTGGCTGTTATTAAGCCATTCGGTGCATTTCCAGCCATGTCTCTGATTCCACTTCCGTTCAAGTTGAGCTCGACTATACCATTAGAGTATGAGCAAGCAATTTCTGCTGCTCGAAGCGAGTCGGTGTCACTCAGGTCAAGACGAACAGAGTTTTGCCCTCTGCTGACCGTTATTGGCACGTGGTACGCACTCTGACCACTTCCAATGACAAGTGAGCCCGATCCTGTCCCAGAAAGTCCTGTGACACGCTTCAGAGGTTCGTCATAACTAATCTCTATAGAAGCGCTAGGCGGCAACAGGACTACGGATGACTGCAACATGACTGGTTGCGTCGTGTCTTTGACTATTGCAGGACTGACACTGGTGAAGTTAGCAACACTTTGTCCATAGATATCACGCAGGGCAAGTGAAGAGATGTAAATAGATCCATCGGCATTCATCACCTTCAACTGGTTCAGATCTGAAGTCGAGAGCCAGCATGTCTGGCGTGAGTATGAGCTGATGCCATTCCTAGCACCACTCACTACCAATGGCAATGACATTGGTGTTGACAGAGTTATGCCATCACAGTCATTTGCTCCTGTATCTACGCAGCTTGGCTGCTGAGGGACTAGCGTAAGACTGCCAGCATTTAGATCAAGTCCCCAGTCCTTCAGACCGAATGCCTCCGGCTCTGGAATCAGGCACACACAAGACAACACACAACAAGATCAGCTATTTGCAAGCAATTGTTAATTAGCAGCAGCAAATGCCAGCTGCTGGAATGTCTTGGAATAAGAGGCAATATCAACAAGTACTCTCTTTTACCAATCACTGAGACGCGATAAGTAGTGAAGTCAACATCCCCTCAGATTTGAACAAGCATGCACGCATGCACACACAGACACGCAAATACACACGCAAATACACACACACACACACACACACACAGATACACACAAGCACACTCGTATGCACACACACGCACTCCGCACCACGCACACTAGCACGCTCACATACACATCTCATGCCCGAGTGTGCATTAGCTAAGCTCAACGTCGACCATATGCTAGGGTCGTACAGCATCTGACACTGTTGCTCTAAAAGGTGTCTGGATTTCATCTGTTGAGACCCCGAAAACCGGCCATTTAGCACTTCAACTTACGTTGGCCACGCAAGATAACGACCATGGTGATTGGATTCATGTTTCCAGAGAGATCAGACACGGCTCCGCTGTCCAGCCGGGCAAGCACTCCTCCTGCCTCAATACTTTGTAGATCGGAGCAAGTTAGAGGAAAGCTCAGCAATGTGGAGTTCAGCAAAGATCCTGAAATAGCAGGTTGGAAGTCGCCACTGACATTCAGCCGCAAACTGACACTTGACATGACTCGAATGGATTCACTCATTCTAACAGTCAACATAAATGCAGTTGGGTCGTCCCAGGCGTCCTCAATCACCGGCAGAGTGTGGTCCAGTATAACTCTGCCGTGCGTACTGATCACTTGACATAGGCCCACGGAGTGAAGGCTCAGCTTGAGATTCCACTGCTGCATGGCCGCTAGGCTTGTGACCATGTCTCTGTTGCCGAAGAATGAGCACTGGATGGCGGTGGCGTTGGGATCGCTGTTATCCGATATGACCTGGACAGCAGGCATGGCAGTGTTGTTACTGATGATCTTGACTGCGCTGCAGACGGCCGGTACTGGGTATGGTTCTATCTCTATCAATCCACTGTCAAGATCCAGTGTCCAATTTCCTGAAAGCAAATGCATGTACACACCATCACGTTAACATCGTGTTCAGCGGCCCAACTTGTGTCAAAGAGGACCACTAGTACTGTTAAACTCAAAGAAAGGGAGAAATGTGTCCTGTCTGGAAGAAAACTTGTCTGGCCAACATGTACATCATTCTAGCCGCACTTTTCCAGTGCAACTACGATACTTCAGCTTGAAGCTAAAGATATCGTCATAAGTATCGCCTTCTGTGTAATTAGTATAGATATCATCATAAGTACAGTCAGACCTCGCTTAACCGCACACATCTGTTTTCCACAAAAACATCCGGATAGGCGAGGTAACCGGATAACTGAACACACATACTGTATATGCATGTGGCATGTCAAAAGCAGTGACATCGTACATACATGTAGACAGGTCCTATGCAGTACAACTAGCGTGCCCAGTATGTAAAACAAGCGAGAAAAATGACAAGTGCATGCAACTGAGTGCAGTCCGCATACACCCAGCAGGTCAAGGACCTCATTTGCTTGTACAACTCCCTGATACTAGCTTCTGCAAGCGCTAGCCAGCCACATGCAACCGGATACGACGAAGCTTTTTGTACACATTTTAACCAGTTTGTACACAAAATCATGCACCGGTATGCGGATAGCGAGGTCCGGTTATGTTGTATGCATAACATATGCTGCACATCGGTAACCAGCGATTTTCTTCCGGATGGCGAGGGATCTGGATAAACGAGGACAGGATAAACGAGGTCTGACTGTATCACCTTCTGTGTAATTAGTATAGATATCGTCTTAAGTATCACCTTCTGTGTAATTAGTATAGATATCGTCATAAGTATCACCTTCTGTGTAATTAGTATAGATATCATCATAAGTATCACCTTCTGTGTAATTAGTATAGATATCGTCATAAGTATCACCTTCTGTGTAATTAGTATAGATATCGTCATAAGTATCACCTTCTGTGTAATTAGTATAGATATCGTACATGTACATGTACTGTGAACCGGCAAGCCTTTGCGATCTGGAAACGTTCGCGATTTTCGCGATGGATGTGATATCGCAAATGTAATCTGGCGCGAAGAATGTAACTGCAATAACACATTAAATCGATTCCAATCGCAAGCATTTCCAAATGTAAATCGGTTTGTGCGCAAACGCTTCCTGATTTACAGAAGACTAGCACCTGCACTGTCTGTGTTCATGACCGGGCCACAAAGGATGAAATAGTACAGTCCTTAGACGGAGTACTTTGAAGTAGACCTAGCCTTCTCTCTTCTATTCCTTACTTGTGCTGACCCATGTCGTTGTGATAGATCCATTCTTGTTCCCGTTGCCGTAAACGTCATAGAACGCATCCGCTGCAACGTGCACCTGCACAGTATCTGAGTCCCTGATGGTGCGTGCAGGCGAGCAATTCACATACGCCTGGCCCGTGAGTGCAGACACAGACACGGTCTGGTGCCAGCTTGGCACTGCTGCCGATGCCGGCGTGAACATCAAGGTGGCCATGAATGACGGCGAAGAAGGACGGAGCCGCTCGCTGAACGTGAAACGCAGCTCCAAGCTGGAAGCATTGACTGTGACAGACGTCGTCGACGGTGGAACGGTGGGCACGACAATTGCCGGTGATATAAACGTGTAGCACAGATCAGTTGAAATGACAGGAATGGTGTTCAGGGGTCTGCTGTCAGCAAAGAGGTAAATCAAGCCGGAGCTCAGGCGTCTGGCAAGCTCGGTGAATGTGCTGCCAGTAACTTGGCACTGTCCCTCCGTGGCGGAGATCTTCTTTACACTACCTCCAAGTGCACTACTATGCCAGGCTGGTAAACCAGGTGGAAAGCCATGAGTTGAATTGTGTGCTTCAAACAGGCGAAACGCAGAGCAGTCTAATCCTGCGTAACCATTGGGAGAATCCTGTGTTATGGTGATGTTGATAAAATGACGCTCCATATCCAGTGACCATGATTTGATTGTGGCAGGTGCTGAGAGTAACAACGGAAGAGCAAGAATAAAAAAAAAGGCTGGCTTTAACGTGTTATGCTGAATAGTTCATGAACACAATGCATAGTCAGACAGGAAGTGGGTGCAGCAGTGTTGGATGGTAAAGAACACCCAAGCTTCAATCTCAGCAAGAGAAATGAGAAATAGCCAGGGATGGGGTTAGTAAGAATGTCCTAGCTGGGATTTTGGCTAATGAGAATGCCCGGTTGGGCCCGGGATGTATACTGAAAAGCACCGTAGTAGATAAATATGGGTGCATTGGACTCTGTCACCTGGCTTTAGAGAGAAAGTGCAATAGCGCATGGATCCACTGAATCATAAACACGTGCATTGTACTGCGTACATTAACTTCACTGTGTGTGTGTGTGTGTGTGTGTGTGTGTGTGTGTGTGTGCGTGCGTGCGTGTGTGTGTGCGTGCGTGCGTGTGTGTGTGCGTGTGCGTGCGTGCGTGTGTGTGTGGATGCATACATATGTATCTAGTGCACGAGTTCAGCTCGTGAACAGTGCCCTTTCGTGAACAGTTCTCATTTGTGGACAATGCCCATTCGTGGACAGTGCCCATTCGTGGACAGTGCTCGTTCGTGCATCGACAACAAGGAGCAAAAAAGCCCTGGTTCCCAACAGTGACTTTATATGTGTTCTGCAATGCCATACTTTCACCGCCACTCTGAACGTTCTGCTTCAATGGGCCTCAATTCTCTCACACACAGCTACCATGGATATTGTGCAGTGCCTGGTGGGATACTAAATTTCCTCTTTGGAGTTATTTTCACGTTTACCCCGGCCATGGGTTGTCTGGTCCAGGATGCACAGCCTACAGGACACCCATCCGCAATATATTGAGCTGACTGATATTCAGTTTTTTCTCTGCTGCTCTGAAGAATCCACAAAGGACCAACCAATAGTGTCTGCAGATTGAGTAGCATTCACCTTGTATGCATGTACAGTACTGTCGGGCGTACCAGCGTATACACGGTGACTCAACTGTGCATAGACCGTAATACATGAAAAAGAAGAACGATCTAGCATGCAGTGCAAGTACAATAGGTTGCTAGTCTCACCCTCGGCAGTGATGTTGACACTCGCGACTTGTCTCCTGTTCGTCCATCCAAACTGGTCAGAGAAGGATAGACCATTGAAGATGGCCACTGTATTGTGAGTGATCTGCCTTCTTGCAGTACATGATAGATTGAACATATACCGAAGAATGCCCTGGCTGACTGTCTGAGTCAATGCTCCTGTTCCGTTCAAGGTAAATGCAACCATGGAACTCGATGGCTCCTCTGAGAAGTCAACAAAACCCCTGCGATCCAGGAGATTCACATATACAGCATTCACTGATGGGTGCACCGGCGCCGTGATGTTTGTCGGCCGCACACTCATGGAACAGGTGTCGTTCTCGAGTTCGCGTCCGCTTGGCACGGCTCTTGCGCCAGTGGGGCCAATGACGGCCAGACTAACACTGCTGATTGAGAGTGAAGAGTAGTTAGCCACCGCGTCTAGGCTGACACTGCATCGGATGGTGTTCCGCGTCAACACCAGTCCACTGCCCAGAAGATCATAAGAGCCCAGGGCAGTCTGCATATTGAAGCGGTTGCATGCAATCACACTCGATGAGTTGATGAACTCATCACTACGCAAGATCACCTGTATAACTACGTATCGTTCATCCAGATGAAGCTGCCACTCATCTATTTCAATAGGACCTGAACGCAATCACAGCACATGCGACAATAGAAACAGCAGAAACAAACGGGCAATTTGCAATCTAACTTAGACCAGTTGACTCCTGTCATTTTCCCCCTGCAGTTATGCACATTACCAAGTGTATCATGCACTGCACAGTCTGAAATCAGTGCAGCTGAAGGAGGCCTCCAGCGTCACATACGCCATGTGTTTGAACTGAATGATCATGTGTAGACAAGTGTGCTTAAAAGCATGCACACAATTACTAGTACACAAGAGGGTTTTTACGTAGTTCACTTCATTTTCCTATCAGGGCACGTTCCGTTTCCGTTGGCTAAACAATTGTATAGAAACACAACCAGCTTAGGGAGGTTTGTTCGTGCCAGGCCATCACCATGCCTAATTGTACCTAATGTTAGTTCCCGATTTCCATACATGCTCCCCACCCCCACCCCCTCCCCCTCCCCGCACATCCTTTCCCTGCATGCACCCTTCACTTCTGTGACCCTGTACACATAGCTGCCTGGGTCTCTTTCCCTGCATGCACTCTACAGACTAGAGACCCATACACATAGCTCATACTGTATCAAGTAGCTTCCCAGGTCTCCCATTCAAAACCTGCATCACCTGTCAGGTAAAATAAGTTTGCCAGCCAGCAAGAACTGCATCTCATTCCGTGTACGGAAATACTCGGGCAGGACTTCCATATTCAAGCCCTAAACATACCTCGGCTTGCTATGGTAATTGGAAACGTCAGCATCACATTCTTATTTATGCCGAAATCCGTGAAAGATTTCTCTGCAAACTCTGCATCTGTTACAGGCGTGCGGATGATCTCTGTCCGCTCCTGGCACGTGAAGTTGAATTCGAACTGTCCAAAAGAGTTGAGTTTGGCTGTGGCTTGTTTGGGGGTGGAGAAAAGCAGCAATTTAAAGGAGATCTCTGATTCAAGAATGGTTTCCGAGATGTTAACAAATCCAGTCAATGGACTTAGATCAGCAACCACTCTGACAACTGTCGGGAGTGTTGTGTCTGGTACAAGTTTAGTTACTCGCTTGAATGCATTGCAGCTGTTAATTGTGCTAATGCTGCGACCAGTGGTTGTGTTGACAGCAGATGCATTGGAAATATGTAACAGCCAGTTTCCCAACTGCTGGAGACCATCCAGCTGGTGTGTGAATAGCATGCACTGAAGTGAGCCATTTCCATGGGCTTGAACCGGTCCAGTCAAATGCACTGCAGTGCTTGTGTCAAACTCAGTGTCTTGAATGCCTATTCCATCACAATAGGTGCGCGTGGGCGATGCAATCGATTCTGCGGGGTACAGTTGTAGATTCAATGTGAAAGTGCCGCGGTTCAAGTCCAGCTCCCAGGACCGTATATCCAGTGGACCTGGAGAATAGTAAACAAGCACAACAAGCACAGCGGCTAATTGCGGATCATGACTGTAAGTTACGCGTTGAAACAATGGAAACAACAGCAGCAGGAAAATAATAATAATACCAAGACCAAATAAAAATGTAACAGTTAGATCGATGTACGTGTTGTGCATTGTACTCCTTTAAGGGCATGTTCGATTGGTAGGATCGGGATCCCGATCCACCGGATCCACTGGATTCGCACCCTTTCGATTGGTCGAATCCGGATCCGGATCCTTCGGATTTGGATCCGGTCAACCCACCTCGGGGAGCAGGGTTGACCGGATCCAACGGTTCCAAATGTGACCTTTGTGCGTATATGGCGGGTAAAAATCATTTTTGTACACATTGTGGCACGCACACGTGGATGGAAATAGAGCTTGTTGACTTTTTGTACAACGCACGCGATGAGTACGACGTTCACCCTTTTGGGTGCTTTGTGAGCGCCATTTTCAACATGGCAACAGTCAAGGTCCAAGATAAAGTGTTCAGTTGAATCTGAAGGATCCGAGGGATCTGAGATCTGGATCCCGATCCCGATCCTTACCAATCGAACATGCCCTAAGATTCGTTTCCTGAGTGTTGTAAATTGCACGTGCAAAACATTTTGAATTTTATGCCAAGAGTACACAATTTCATGCAGCAGATCAGCTCATAATTAGATGACTCATAATACATTGGCATACATACACACACACACACACACACACACACACACACACACACACACACACACACACACACACACACACACACACACACACACACACACACACATACACGTGTACACACTTGTACTTGTACTTGTTGCTCACTGCCAAAACTGGTCACGTGGGTCTCCCCGGGAGAGGGGAGAGACTCAAAAGGAATCTTGGAAAGATGACTCAATTGGCTATTGAACCGCCCAACGGCCGACACCCCCTGAAATCCCCAAAACTACACACACACACACATACACACACGTGCACACATACACACACGTACACACACACACACACACACACGCACACACACACACACACACACACACACACACACACACACACACACACACACATACGCACACACACACAGGCACGCACACACACACGCACACACACACGCACACACACACACGTACACACACACATACACACACACACGTGGTGGTAGTACTCACTAATGGAAGTCAGTTGCACAGGTAGTGTTGTGGCAATGTTTGTGTTGAGTCCAAGGTCAGTGTACGACCCGGCAGCAAAGAAAGCTGACACATTACCTCTTTGAACAATGGCAACTCGATCAGAACAAGTCACAGGGAAAGTGAAACGACCACCGGCATTCTCGGTTGCAGTTTTGTTGATCATAGGGGAGAGCTGAAGTGAGAAGTTCAACTTTGGAAGCAGTAGTGTCTCTGTGAACATCAGTATGCCCGCCCTGGTGATGAGATTTGTCTGTAACACCGATACTGCGGGTAGAGTAATGTCTGGAATGACATTGGTCGCAGGTGTATTGTCATTGCACGTTCCCAGTGTCTCGAGCGTGCGGTTGTCAGTACTGAGAACGCCAGACGTTGTCCCCACTGACAGCAGGCGCTGGGTCATAAGCTGCAGGGAATCAAGCGCTGCCGGAAGAATGTTGCACGTGATCTGGCGCCGACTTGCTGCAACACTTCCCGCACCTCTCAGCGTAACAACTGTGTTAGGCAGGAGGGTACTGTTGAGTATGGTCAGTGCACTACAATTCACCGCTGTCTGGGCAGCGTCAATACTCTCCAATGGGTATAGTCCTACACTGACTGTGAGGCTGGCAGTGTTAAGATCCAAGTCCCAACTGTCTACCTCCAACGGTCCTTGAAAAGATAGAGAACCAGAGAGCAGATTACATTCAGGTAGAAGCGATCGTTGATTAGATAATATATATCACAAGGAACACATAAGATCAAGCACATCTTCTTTTCAAAGAGGTGGTGAGGATGAGGTGCACTCAAGGGTTAAGTCAAGAGTGCAGAAAGCAGTGTTTGAAACCCCACATACGACAACGGAACAGGGATAATCTTTTGCTAACATCATGTTTGACGAGTCATGAGAGTTGCAATCCATAACTGAAGTCTTGCACTGCAGTCACACGGCCACTGCTACTCGTTTGTACTGTACCTTGGCACTAAACATTACATTATTAACGATGGATTGTGCTTTCCAAATCCATACGCGGAGCTCTACACTCTGGTGTATGTACTCTTGGCTCCACGCAAGCTGCTTTTTCTACGGTGTGCTCTAAATCTAGGATGGATCACAGAGCATTACCAGCCAGCTTATCATCCGCATGCACTATTAAAGGGGTGTGCTTTTGGATGAAGACTTAGTCAATCTTCAGACTAATAGGCAAATGCATGTACATGTACTAGAAAGAACATCCCAATATACTGCATGCATGCCTGAAGAAAGTGACTTGGGTGCTGTATGGGAATCAGGATGATACTTTCTTGTTCCATCGTGACGCATGACATACCTCCCAAGATAACTGCTGTGATGGTGCCACTCGCTGCAGCATTTCTATTCATGGAGAAGTCTTGGAAAGCGCCAGATGCAACAGTCCAAGTGCTCAACTTTGACACCAAGTCATCACGCTCCGCTGGTCCACATGGAAAGGTAAACCGGAAGAGGGCAACTGAAACACGCCGTGCGGTGTACGTGGCGGACATGTTCAAACTTGGTCTATAGGTCAAAGTCACATTGATTTCACTGCTGGTGACATCTTCAGCCAAGGAAACTGTGATCTCCTTCTGGCTGAGTTCGGCTGTAACAAGCTTGACCGCAGGGCGTGTGCTATCAAATATCACTCTGCTGGCACCGTGCGGCTGGCTACATGGCCAGCTTGTGGTCAAGACGCGGTCTCTTGTGCTGACGACACCGGACATGGTGCCCCATACTGCTAGAAACATGAATGATGAGAGGCTTGCTGCAGTGCGTTTCCCATCCTCTGGTATGCTGCACTGGATACGTGTTCCATTGAGAAGACTTGCTGGACCAGTTAATTGCACTAACACATTATCAGGGGATGTCCTGTTCACTAGGTAGAACTGAGAGCAGTTGATGATAGACTCGTTTCGAATCTTCTCTGAATTGTACATCCGTGGATATACCGTGACAATAGATGTGTCCAAGTTCAATGTCCAATTACTGTACGTCATTGGACCTATACAAGGTAAGTACACACACACACACACATATACACACACATACACACACACATACATACATACATACATACATACACATACACTTGTACTTGTACTTGATCATTGCCAAAATTGGTCACGCGCGTCTCCCCGGGAGAGGGGAGAGAGTCTCAAAAAGGATCTTAGAGAGATGACTCAATTCAGTCAATTGGGTATTGAACCGCACCATGTTTCTTCTTTCCGTGCAACTGATATGTGGGGTTTTGTCCTAGCCTAACTTACTTACTACACTCTGTGCACTGGGCATTGGACTCTAGGCACTGGGCAAGGTAAGATGTAAGCACGAATATACTCAGTCTGGGCTGTATAGTACACTTGTGTGAATACAGTGTGAACAAAGCCCCTGAGACCCAAGTCTACTAATCACTGCAGTGCAATGTCCTAGCGTACATGGACCTTGCTGTATTTCAATTGCATCATTACTAAGCGGCAACTGCAGCAGCAGCCAGATCAGCAACCGCAACAGTAGCAGAGCGCTACTGCAGCCAAATGCGGTTCAAAACATTGCAAACTGGAGACTCTTACTTCCCAGCGGTACTTGAACTAACACCGTTATGTTAGGATTGGCTGCATTGCGAGATAGGTCGGTTACTTGAGATGTCTGAATAGTGACGTTGTTTGATAGAATTCCTTGCAGGTCGGAGCATGTCACGTTGGTCGAATAGGTGTAGTCAGCTGCATTAAGCTTAGCAGTATGAAGTGGGACAAGATTTGGAATTGTATTCACAAAGCTAGTGACATTCACACTGGTCTCCTGCACCGTCTCACTAAAGTTTAGACTGACTGTGCTCTTGATGAGGTCTGCTGCAGCACTTGCCAGGACTGGTGGTGTGAAATCCCAGGCGAAGCCAGAGATATTGGTTCCATCTTGGCATGCCGTTGGTGTGTACACTAGGCGTCCAGCTGTGGTCTCTATGGTGGATTGGTTGCCAATGACTAACGACAGGTCTCCGGGTGAGGAAACCGTTGCAATGGCATCCTTGGAGCGTCTGTCGAGTGGGCAGCGGAACACACCTCCAGTGGAGAGTACGTATCCAGACGGGCTTGTCAGTGTTGCATACTGATAACCAGTAGAATTGCCAATGGTCAGTGAGGTGCAGTCAATACTGGCTGATGAGTTCAACATCTCAACACCATCATCCATGTCCAGAGAAACATGTAGGAACGGGCCATTCAAATCAAGTCCCCATGTCCGGATCCTAGGAGGACCTAGAAGTAAAACAGCAGCAGGATCACAAAAGTCTGGTTACCTTATTGATAAGTGGACGCTAAAATACGTTGAAAATTCATTATGAAGTAGTACCCTGGATATACATTTTACTGCTAGTATGGGCTATAAAAGTACTAGTGTTGAGGTCCCTGCCTTATGCGATACTAGTCATTAGATCTACGTGTAGGATACGCAGTGCCTCGGCTAAAAAACTATAAAGTGACAGTTTTGTATGACCCGGTGGAGGTGAGTTGATTATTTCACAGATCAGGCTCTGGAGCAAAGTTGGCGCAGGGTTTTACTGTGCCAGAGGCAAAGAAAGAGTTCGCAATAGTTGGCTGCTTACACTATGCCGCACCGTATGCAGTGCCAAACACACTGTACAGCAGTACTCTTGACATGTGTGTTAACACATGTGCACATGTTCTGCCGTCACAAGAGCACAATGCAGTTATGTGAACCTTCAATCTCCGCCTGGTCGATGGGACCACCGTTCTTTTGGCACCCAGTGTATTACACGTGCAGGTTAAACCCTGGTTTAATTAAAGTGACTACATGCACTCAAGGAAGGTGTTGCACTGGTCACAAAGACAGTCACTTGGACCAAATTTCTCTCATACTTCAGAAGGACCCCTATCAGCTAAAAGAACCATGGCAGCGTGCATGGGATAGCTGTGGCTACGGATAGCTAAAGAATATTTCGGATTCTTTGTTCAGTATTCAACTTGGGACTTCCTGCAAAATGTGTGATGAATACTTGGCATACCTGTTTAGTCCTTCTACGAGAATACCTACCTGGTTGTGCTAGAGAACATCTACCTGGTTGTGCTAGAGAACATCTACCTGGTTGTGCTAGAGAACATCTACCAGGTTGTGCTAGAGAATACCTACCTGGTTGTGCTAGAGAATACCTACCTGGTTGTGCTAGAGAACACCTACCTGGTTGTGCTAGAGAACATCTACCTGGTTGTGCTAGAGAACACCTACCTGGTTGTGCTAGAGAACACCTACCTGGTTGTGCTAGAGAACACCTACCTGGTTGTGCTAGAGAACATCTACCTGGTTGTGCTAGAGAACATCTACCTGGTTGTGCTAGAGAACGCCTACCTGGTTGTGCTAGAGAACATCTACCTGGTTGTGCTAGAGAACATCTACCTGGTTGTGCTAGAGAACACCTACCTGGTTGTGCTAGAGAACATCAGAGGGTCTTACCTTTGTCTGGGATAGTTACATTCAGCACTTGTTTTCGATTCTTGTTTCCGGAGAGATCTGAAACTGCTCCATAGCCTATTTCTGCCAGTGCGCTTGCGTTGCGACTCAAGGCGGTCCACATGTCACAGTTGAAGACTCCGCTGAAACTGAGGGGAGTGAATTTGTTCATAGTAGCATTGATCGTTGGAAGGGGTACAATGCTCAGTGCAACTATGACTGAGTTTTCCATTATTCCCTCGTTGAACTGCACAGTGCCAATAGAACTGGATAGATTGGCTTGTGCGAGAACCAAACGGGGCAGAGTAGAGTCGGGGACAAGTAGCGACAGTGGCGCTGGGCATTGTTCAACTGTGTGGAAATTCCTACCAGCGGTTGAAGAAACATCAGATGAGTTAGCAGGAATAGCCAGGAATATATCTGACTGGTTAAGCCCGGCGAGTGATACCAGCTCCAGTGGTGACAGGCGGCACGAAAATGTATTTGTACTGGAACGGTTGCTCGGTGTCTTGAGTTCTCCACTGATAGATGCTACGTAGGGCACACCCAACCCATTGACTATCGAGAGTGATTGACAGGTGAAGTTCTGCAGATCCACCTTATCCAATTGATAAGGTACGTCGTTGGTGATGTTAACTGCAACGATACCTGCATCTAGATCAAGTGTCCATTCCTTCACATCGGTGGGACCTGTACAAAGCACATCAGCAAAGCACAGTGTCTAGAAAAGAAATGGCAGACATGCGGTGGCACAAGTTCATAATGGCGGGAAACTTTGTTTTGTTGTGTAACTCTGAGTTTCATAGCAATAGGGCCAAACACCGCCGCGTAGTTACTTGGGTGGTGCAAACATGTGGCATGTATCACTACATGCTCCATTAGCTCAGTGCAGGGGCGTCGGAACCGGTGCGGCAGGTGCGGCCAAAGCCGCACCAATAATTTTCGAAGTTTTTTTTTTTTTTGCATTTCAACCTTGTTGATGGCTTGTCGACTCTTGTACAGGTACCATGTTTTACATCGACAATGCGGTGTATCATCAGCATGCATATTCTTATTAATTTTCTCATATTATTCTGTAGCATTAATTAAAATATGGCCTTTTAGGCCCAATTTTCAAAAAAATTCCCGCGTGAGGACCCCCGGACCCCCCTCTCACACTTTCGCCGCACCAATGTTGAACTGCTTCCGACGCCCCTGCAGTGCCCCCACCCCCAAGGCCCTCCAGTGCCCCCGCCCACAGGGCCCTCCAGTGCCCCCACCCCCAAGGCCCTCCAATGCCCCCGCCCACAGGGCCCTCCAGTGCCCCCACCCCCAAGGCCCCCCAGTGCCCTCGCCCACAGGGCCCTCCAGTGCCCCCGCCCACAGGGCCCTCCAGCACCCCACCCCCAGGGCCCTCCAGTGCCCCCACCCCCAGGGCCCTCCAGTGCCCCCACCCACATGGCCCTCCAGTGCCCCCACCCATAGGGCCCTCCAGCACCCCACCCCCAGGGCCCTCCAGTGCCCCCACCCCCAGAGCTCTCCAGTGCCCCCACCCCCAGGGCCCTCCAGGCAACCAACATGCACAGAAATCCTGGATTTCTCAAAGCTTCAATTTGTTCTTTGTGCATTTACGCGTGATGTACAAACTAGGCCGGTCGAGGCAGCTCGAAGCAGAGTGATTCAGTGCACAAATGGGCAGAGCCGTATACACATACATTCACGTGAATGCCAAACGCCGCTGTCTGATGACCGCTGAAATGCGTGCGCGAAACATGAAGTTACCACTACACAGCCTTTCGCCTCCGTTGTATGTGTACAAGTGATATGTGTACAAGTGATATGTGTGTGTGTGTGTGTATGTGTACAAGTGATATGTGTACAAGTGATATGTGTACAAGTGATATGTGTGTGTGTGTGTGTATGTGTACAAGTGATATGTGTACAAGTGATATGTGTACAAGTGATATGTGTACAAGTGATATGTGTGTGTGTGTGTGTGTGTGTGTGTGTGTATGTGTACAAGTGATATGTGTACAAGTGATATGTGTACAAGTGATATGTGTACAAGTGATATGTGTGTGTGTGTGTGTGTGTATGTGTACAAGTGATATGTGTACAAGTCACTAAAAAGGAGTCAAATATAAGCGGTCAATATAGCCCTAAGGAGTGAAATATGCAGGAATATTTGACCGCTTAGGTATGGCAAAAATCTATGTGAGTCAATACTACAAGTAAGGGAGTGATAATGACTTATGTAGGGAGTGAGACTTTTATTACAAAGCACGAAGAAGTGTAAAAACAACAGAAAAATGATAAGGCACCCATTTTGATAATCCAGGGGATGGCCCACGCCTGGTACTGCCACTGCATTATAAATCATACGTAATGACTGATAAAAGGTGTGAAGCAAACTAATAACAAAAGTGTAAATGAAAATTGCTGTTAGACCACACGAATGCCAAGTCACACTGCAAGAGCTAGTGCCCTGGAATCACTGCCTCCGCAGCAACAAGAGAAGCAGGGGTGGTAGAGTCGACGGAGACCTTGAGGCTGCGGGATCCACGGAGATACATGACGCTCGCCCGGAGGAGCGCAAAGCTTAGGCGGCAGCGGACCCATGCCATCACCACACTGTACGGCTCCTTGCTCTTCTCTGCTAGCAGGCACGCAATACGCTTATACAAAGCTGTACAGTGGCGACTCATTCCACCTGTTGTGGCAAACACAGCTGGCACAAATGAAGCATGTTCCACGTCGCGGATACGCTGCTCGTACGCCCGGCGTTTCTCCTTCTCCTGCCGAGTGTAGGTTGAGGCCAGTGAGGTGGCCCGGTTTGAGGACGCATACGGGTTAAACACCCTGACATCAACGAAAGTGCGCTCAAACCGGCCACCCCAAAGGCCACTGGCAGCTACATCCAGACGAGCCTGCTCTTCCACAATAGGTCTTTTGCCAAATAAGACACGCAGTGACTTGGCGGGGCATGGCATGCGTACTGAATGCGTGACCCAGGCACGCCATACATGCAGTGCATTCCTCCCAGCGCGAGCTCTTGTTCTGGAACCGCAACGATCAATCACCGCGTTTGGCGTGTACTCACCCAGCAGGCCAGGCGGCCAGAAAAAACGAGACTCTCCTGGATCGGAAAAAAACTGACAGCGAAGGATTCTGTTTTCTTCTCGCTTCTTCATTGCTGTCCGATATGTAGAAAGGGTTTTTTTGCATTTACTTCTTGCTGGACCTTTGTGATATGTTTGATACATGGCTGATGAAGCGGTCAATGGGCCGAGCACTTCATCTCTTGTGGCGGTACGTTGCGATGAAGGGAATGTTGATAGTAGTCCTGCGAGGGAGAATCAAGTTGAATTAGCGATCCCAAAGCTCGGTTTTTGATGCCTTTGGACAACGAGTCCTTTGAAAAATGGACAAATCAACCAGTTGAACACTTACCTGCGAGCTAGAGGAGCCGGAGTGTCCAGGAAACGGGGTGATTTGCTCGATCGGTAAGTACCACTTCAGGATGCAGTCTTCCACATTTCGCCCAAGAAAAAGTACATTTATCGATACATGTTTTACATTCTAACTTTCTCCATCTGTTCAGGGCCTGGTTCTATCACATCGATCCAATACTGTGCACTCCAGATATATTTGGCGGCAGGCATCGGCAAGGAAAGCGGAAAACCGCTGCCATTCAGAGCATTGTTGACGCTGAGCTCGTGGAAGCCCATAGCGACGCAATGAGCATAATCGTCCCTCTAGCAGCTACATTTCGTCCTAGTTTTCCTGAAACTGGGTCCAGCTCTGCTCTACCAAAGGACCTATTGTATGGTTGCAAAGATACTTTTATATTCGCCCTTGTAAGTCTGCTGTGACCATGGAAACTGATAAACCGCCAGCACTAATATTCATCAAGAGGGGTATTATTATTCATTGCACTTTTGCAAATATTGCAATCTAAATTATATCATACTATCCACATTTATACCCACTAAGTCATTAGCTGCTCCGTATTGTGCATGATTGTTCAGGCATGACAAAATTCGTGTTGCAGAAGATCAATTCGCCATGCAATGCTAGCAACAGTTGGCATGGAAAACATATTTTGCTTCAGCAAGTAAAGGAGCCTAGAATACTGTGAGCAGGCAGCGAACAATCCATATCTGAATGATGATAGGGAAAAGAATTATTGGAACGATCTTTGAAAAGATAGAGAACTCCCTGATTCGCTCCATCAGACACTCAACATGAATTCGTAACGTGGCAATTTGTTGCGTTTTCTGGATCTCTTCTAAGGCCATCTGTTGCTTGATCGCTTGAACGGGGGAATGTTCAACTTTACGCCATGTGGCATCAAGAGATCCCGGGTGTCAAATCCTTGGTCTGCCATAATCAAAGTCCCATAGCCGGCTACTGGCAGAAGATCTAAGTAGTGGCTTCTGATTGTGAGCTCGTGGTCACTGGTGGATCGCGTAAATGACTTGGAGGTAAGCGCCGCACCAGCATCTGGGGTCATACGAATGAGGCACGTCAAGGTAGTAACATTATGCGTCTCATATGAGCTGTAGAGTTGCGACTGCGCAGACAGACTGGAAGCGATATTACATTTCAGCACTGTAGCATCTATGATCATGAATGTTGTAGGATGCAGCTTTTTGAAAACATCCAGCAATCGTTCTGCCACTTGGGAAGGACGCGGCGAGATTGGTATGTGTGCCGTGGCGAAGACTAACCATGGTAATGAAAAAGCTCTCCAAGCCAATTAACTTAATCTTCCGTTCATCACCGGGTTTCCTTTTCCTGGAATCGGCATCCACTGGTTTACTGCGAAAGGAAAGACGCTCTTATAATCCAGGTAAAGAAATTGAATACATGCATCAAACGCAGCAAGCAAAGGAAAACCAGCGTAGTACTGAATGTCAGAGTCTTCAAACCGAGCTAAATCTCCAGGCTGAACTCCGCTTGGATATCGTCGATAGCGACTATAGTATTCATCAGTGAAATGGTTAGAACACACCACTATATTGTACGACATGATGGTACCCGTAACCATTCCGCTCATCTCGACGAATGGCGGCAATCCAAGACTTTCTTGTGTCCAACTCGTCACTGCTCACGCTCTTAGCTTCTCCAGTTTTCGATTCCTTGCTAGCAGGGAAGACATTGAACAAAGTATTTTGTCTGAACGTCGGTCGCTGTTGCACTGCGGAACGCAGCAGTGATCGCCTTCCCCATGGCTAAAAATCTGGAGAGATCTTCTAGAAAACAAAACTAAACCCTTTACAAGAACTAGGCAGAGAAAATCCAGTGATCGTCCTCATTATATTGTTCTAGAATGTCGATCGCGATCGCGATCGCTTGAAGAAACATAGTTTTTGAAAGACACAAGCAAAACAAAAAAAGAAAGTCACTATTTTCTCGACGCGTGGGTGAGTACACGCCAAACGCGGTGATTGATCGTTGCGGTTCAGGAACAAGAGCTCGCGCGTGACTCGTAATGCACTGCATGTATGGTGTGCCCGGGTCACGCATTCAGTACACATGCCATGCCCCGCCAAGTCACTGTGTGTCTTATTTGGCAAAAGACCTATAGCTGAGCGATAGCGAAACTGCTCTCCTGTGACAGGCTGGAGGTGAGGTTCCACGGCGACATTGTGGGCAACCTATATATATATATGTGTACAAGTGATATGTGTACAAGTGATATGTGTGTGTATGTGTACAAGTGATATGTGTACAAGTGATATGTGTACAAGTGATATGTGTGTGTGTGTGTGTGTGTGTGTGTATGTGTACAAGTGATATGTGTACAAGTGATATGTGTACAAGTGATATGTGTGTGTGTGTGTGTGTGTGTATGTGTACAAGTGATATGTGTACAAGTGATATGTGTACAAGTGATATGTGTACAAGTGATATGTGTACAAGTGATATGTGTACAAGTGATATGTGTACAAGTGATATGTGTGTGTGTGTGTTATTTATACTGTGGTGGAATGAGCACAAGAAGCGGAACATGAGACAAACCATACCATAGTAATCAAGGTTTATGTCAGCTTCATAGTCTTTTTCAGAATACATGTTCAAGTTGAAAATCAACAAAGTAAACTGCATGATAGCCATGCTCACCCGGAAACAGCTCATTTTTGGGGCTTCCAAGAAGGGAATATCAATGTGTACCTTCTTTGACCGCCACTTACCGGAAAAGTGATCATCAGTGTCGGTGCTGGCTTGATTGGGGTTGCCAGCAACGTCAAAAACCGCTCCACGGTGGAGAGATATCTTCACGCCCCCCTGGTAAAATGACCTCGCTTCAAAGCAAGTGAGATTGTAAGTGTATATGCTGTTGCCATTTATGCTGTTGCCAAGGTGAACAGCAGTCTTGTCAGACGTATTGCCACCGGGAAGTACAAGGGTCAGATTGATGGCTTGATCCCGTAGTGTTTCGTTGAACGTGACATTCCCAGCCATCCGGTCCAAGTTTATGTGCCAATTACCGAGCCCCGGTGGGACAGTGTCCGGTAATATCGTAACTGTCTGATTCAATGCACCACATGAGAAATCCGTGACAACAAACGTCCCACTATCTGTTACGAGACCTGATCCATTGTAGATGATAAGAAGTGCATTGCTGGCATTGGCATTCAGTAACTTCACTCTCTCCGTAGCCGACAGCTTACACTGAAACGTTTCGTTGTTTTGAAGGAACCCATAATAATCTGAGAATCCAGCTACATACGGGTCCAGGGTGCGATTGACAACAGAGATTTGGTTGCATCGGACAGAGTCGAACAATCGTAGCCCATCCATTGGTCGTACCCGAACAGTTGCTATTAGTTTACCACTGCCCAGATCCAACGTCCACCGGGACACATCCGGCGGGCCTGCATAATCACACAAATACGAAGCAGGATCCGGTTATCAGTGGGTGTAAACACACATTTTCATTACAGACCCTGGTGAACATCCATAGCTCAAAGCACGTGTGGAGATGCGGGGGGGGGGGGGTATTTGGTTTCACTCCAAAATCAACAGCTCTGTTGCTGGCTTTAATGGAGGGGTACAACACCTTCAGACAATGCTCCCCACGTCCCAATGAGTATGTGCTAATCGCAATACTAAAATAGACAGAGAGACCTGTTTCAATTTAAACCTTCAGTTCTGATACTTGAAAAAACAAAACATTCATTCATCCATTCTGCTCCTGCATGCTTAAGACATGCTCTGCTATCATCACTGACAACGGTACTGAACACGTCATGCAGCATGCACCAGAAGTTTAGCTTAATATTGCACTAGCATCACATCCATATCGGATTAAATTTTGATTTTTGGCAGATTGCAGTACAGTGCCAGTCCTTGCACCAGGCTTCTATGCTGTTGACATTGTGTTTTTTTCTTTAATACTTGTTAAGCATTCATTCTCTCTCTCTCTCTCTCTCTCTCTCTCTCTCTCTTTCTCTCTCTCTCTCTCTCTTCATGAACTGACATGAACAAGTACCACTGACAATACAGCATATGGCGGGGTCAAACATACCAGCGGTATTACATGTGCGTCCATGAGAGTGGTGCTGGGCTATGAGTGAGTCTCGGGTGACTACCTCCAAGTTTGGCTAGCACACTCTGGTACATGCAGTACATGAGATACTCTGCCTCTGTGTATTATTATTATTATTATTATATGCATTTCCGCGGCAATGTCAGCCGCGCAATGGCAACCCACATATTCGCATATGCCGGAAATAGAATGCTCCGCCAAAAACATAAATCAAATGACATCATATATATCCGTTCTGTGTAATCCAGTCAAGAGGAACATACGACGGCACAGAGTCCTCTCCACCCTGCACGGTCCCTTGCCAGGATCCGGAGGCGCTGCAAGTCACCAAGCGACACAAGCCTTCCATTATCCGTTCCCGCCAGGTCTCCCGACAGCTTCGTGACAATTGTGACACGTGGGCGTCCTCGCCAGGTCTTCTCATCGTGCGTGAAATACGCCGCCATTGCCAATGATGCTGGGGTGTCCTCTGGCAAGCGGAGAATGTGACCAAAGAATTGCCACCACAGACGCTTGAGAATGTTGGTGATTGGCTCAGCTTTGCACCTGGCGTACAAAGAGACATTCGTCATCTTCTGAGGCCAACTAATGCCAAGGAGTGATCGCAGTTGCTGACGGTGGACGGAATCGAGACTCTGCTCCAAAGCCACCGTCAAGCCCCATGTTCCGCCGTTGTAGGTCAGTGCTGGTATGACAAACGCCTGATAGAGCCTCAGGCGCAGCTTCTCACTAATAAGCTCTCGTCGACACCATACAACAAAGAGTGACCTGAAATCTGCTGTTGCGAGCTGCTTCCTTCTGATCACGTCTTGTTCATCACCCAGAAGTGACCCAAGCTTACGTGTCTTTCTCCAGATTTCCGCAAGACGATCCCCTTCTCTGCGTAGTGTTGTTTGCTCAGTTTTCTCTTCGTTCACTTTGAGATGCCATTCTCTGAGGACCTCCGTTATGCTCGGGCTGATACTATCCAACCATGTCCGTGAGCTGCTCAGAAAATCCGTATCATCTGCATAGATAACTTCCCCAGGCAAGAGATCATCAGCTGGCGGCCTGGGAGGTAACGTGGCCCTGAGATCACGTAGCGCTGATTCCAAGTAAATGACAAAAAGAACTGGAGATAGGCAGTCGCCCTGTGGGGTGCTGATCGTGGTCTCAAACTCCGATGACTGCTGCTTACACGCGAGCACAGATAGGCTTGTATTGGAAAGAAGCACTCGGATAAGTCGGACTTCATCCTCCTTCACGATGCCATTGACCACCGTGAGCAGCTTCTCTCTCTCGATATTGTGTCGAATGCCTTGCTCATATCTATTCCGTGTATCTCGATGGTGGCATGGTACGAGGTGAATAGCAATTTCTGGACATGAAAATAAAATAGAGGCCCACTGGCTGTGTGTTTTACATTTTTCAGATCTTTTTGTATCTATTGTATGGCCTAATCCTTCATCTATCCAAATACGTGACAATTGCTCATGCTGTGATCCCAGAGACTTTATAGCAGGATGTTTTTGACAGGCCAATTTTTTGGCCTAAATTTCAGTGTATGGAATTCTGGACATTAAAGTAAAATAGCGTCAATAGGCATCCTATACTGCACCATTTTGGTTATTTTTTCTATTGGTGGACTGCAGTTGGCCTCTTCACACTTCCAGCCAACAGGTCCAAGACTACAGCGTCTGAAGTGGAGTGCACATGGGGAAGCCAACGATTCGTCCATTACTTCTTATTTTACTCAAAATTCAAAATTCTCATGCGACATAGTACCACAAAACTCGTTGAAATGCCTCCCAAGAAAAGGCTATTAACAAGGCACCGACACGAGGAGAAACTACAACAGCCCAGCTGTCAACTACAACAAGAAAAAACTTCATCAACCTGACTGACTTGACTCTACACGCGACAACAAATTATTTTACTCGAAATGTCCAGAAATGTACAATGACTGATTGTCCAGAAATAGCGATTCACCTCGTACTTCTGGGCGATAGCGGCTAGCCAGCGATGCGTCCAGACTGCATCAGCCGTGGATCTGCCAGGACGGAAGCCACTATGGGATGCACTCAGATAGCTGTCCACTGCTGGCTGGATGCGTCGCAGTGTACATGGGATATTATTATGCTATGGAAATCTTCGATGTGGCATCAAATTGGAAGGCACATCTTCTCAAGCTGCCTGGATGATAGGTGAGTTGATTCTGTGGTTTATATGTTGCGTTCATCAAGAAGTAGTTTGTCGGTGGACAGTCTGCTGGCCTCGATGGCCGCTCTGTTGTTGGTAGTATGGATAAGCCATCGGGGACAGCGTATGGCAATCCCCCTGTGGTCTTAGTGCGTCTCAGTGGCCGTTCGGTTGTGTTGGCGCACGGAAGGAAGTACGGTTTTAAAACCTTTGGTGAACCCTTTGTGGGGATAATATTCCACAGTGAATTGCAGCCTTCAGTGAGTTGTAGATGTGCCAACCCTTGTCCGGCAATGTTCAAACAACCCTGCAGCCAGCGGCATGGTTTTGGCTATGCAGTAGAACGCCGATTATCCGGACGTCAACTATCCGGATGATCGATTATCCGGATCGCCTCGCCGGGCTGGATTTTCGAGATTTTTGCTCATTTGCCGGCTTCTTTTTTCGCCTCTCGGAGCACCATTCAAGCAATGCACACGATTGTCTTACAACAGGTTGGAGTCAAAATGCGATACCGTATTTTCCGGAGTATAGTGCGCACTTTAGATGTGCTATTTTAGGCCCTAAATCGCAGGTGGCACTATGCTCCGAATATGAAATGCCTGTACTTCAATGAAGATTGAAGTGCGCGTTATACAAAGGTGCGCACTATACTCCGAAAAATACAGTAGGGTCATTTTACGAAGCTGGAGTGTGCCTAGTTCCTGTTGTACTGCCGAAGATAATGAAAAAAATGGTGAAAACATGCAGGAACATGCTTGTTTTAGATACCGTATTATCTCTAATATAAGCACGGTCCTTTATTTTTTCAATATACCTCCGCCCCGTGCTATTATTGGAGACGTTCCTTTATTGGAGACTGTTCCATTATTATTTCAACCTCATTTCAGAGGCATGTTGCCATGCCAAATTCATGTCAGACACACACATTCAGGGCTAGTACTTGTACAGAAACACGTGGGCGCCATCTTGGTTCACGTGACATGTGTCACACCATGCTGTGTACAGGGAATCTTGCCGTACTTCGCGTCGACTCTGGCCTGTTCAAATCCACGCACGTGAGCCACAGTTCTCTCTAGCAGGCTGAGATTTTGCAGGCACCGAGTTCAGATGTGGGCAAAGGGATTCACCGAAGGATTTTTTGATTTTCGCAATTTAGACCTCAAATAACACCCTCAAACTCGGTAAACGTGTCCCACCTCTAGGATCGTTTTGGCGAAATTCGCTTCGGTGAAAGTATGGAGCATCTCCTACTGAAAATTTTGAGCCATCGATTGTCAAAATCGGCTCATGTGGAGCTCACTTGTGTCGTTTTGAAGGACGCCGCGCCACGCGCGACTTGCGCTGGTTCTTTCACAAGCGGAAGACACCTTCCAGTCAGAACTGCAGACTGAGACAGTGCAGTGCGCACGGCAAGGAAAAGAAGGAGACGTGCATTTTCCATTTGTTGCACTGTGTCCTTTGCTTTTATTGTTCACTGATAACATGTTCACAAAATCTTGAGCTAGACGGAGAAGACTGACTTACAGATTCATCTAGGCTTCAGCATGATGCACGTATCCGGACCATAGGAAATATTGGGAAAGGAACCGGGAACCACGAGAATAATTTTTCTGGAGCGAATCCAATTATTACCATGGTTCCTTGTTCTTGAACACCGCGCTCCACCACATCGTCAATGTTTCTGCGAGGTAAGGATTTCAGGACTACTGTCGGTTTGTTCGACCTCGGGGCGATCTGATCTACGTCCAGCTGGCCATGATACTGAGCCGAACTGGCCACTAGTTCGCTTCTTTCTCGACTCGGGATAATCAAGCCGGTCAGAGTGCGATTTCCTACCCTGGATGCGATCCATGGTGCGGACTGAAAATAACTACTGAACACCTCCTTGTACAAGCACTGACATACAAGACCAGTGGTGGATACAAACTGACAACAGGAAACCCTAACAGCACCCGCTCTGTCAAAGAAAGTCGAAGGGAATAGCAGTTCGAACTAGTTCAAGCACCACCAAAAAATAAAACTATGATAAAAACTAGCACTTGCTCTTGCAGCTAGGTCAAAGACTGTACTGGCAAGTACACTTTTGCGCAGTCGCGATCTCGCAGCCCCGCATCACGTGCGGGTATCTGATGACGTAGCGTGATTCAAGATGGCCTCTGACGTGTTTCCCGTTTTGTGATCCCAAATACCAGCCCTGACATTTCAGGGGTTTTTCGCCTGTAGAGATAATGAATTTACAGTGTGCTTATAATGGAGACTGAGGACTTTATTTTTTGAATGCCGCCGCAAGGTGTTCTATTATTGGAGACGTGCTATTATTGGAGACTGTGCTTTTATTAGAGATAATACGGTAGATGTGTGACTGCTCCCTTAACCGAACATTCCTCTCATACAAGCCCCCTGGAGACAGCCCGCGCCCCGAGGGGTGCGGATAATCGGCACTCTGCTGTATTATTGAGCACCGTAAGGGACGGTGTGGTCAATGCCTATTTTTATTATTAGTGTTCCGTTCCATCATGGCAAATATGTGGTGTATCAGTTTAAACATTCTTCTAATATCTCTCCTAATTCTCCAAAAAAGGAAGAAGAGGATCTCATGCCCTGCCCCTTCTCCCCCAAACCAACCTATCACTCAGTGCATTTCTGTGTACATGGGCGTGCATATGCATTCATGTATGCATGTGGACATTGACTAATGACTGTGACAGTTGCATGCTTGCTGGTGAGTACTCACACACACGGAGGATGATGGGGTCAGGCTGATTCAAAGGGCAGAGAGTGGAACTGGCAACTGATTGTAATGATGTTGTTGTCAACCCATTGTTAACACCAATGCGGACTTGGACATCGCTTGCATTGACTCCAGACAGAATGGCAGCTTCACTTGGAGTCAGGCGACACACAAACCCAGTGGGTGTCACTGATGAATTGCCATCGAGAGATTGAATGTATGGAGTGCCAGCACGGCTGACGATGGATACTGCCGAGCAGTTGATCGACTCCGAGGGGGAAATGGCCTCGTTCTGGTGCAACTTAAACTCAACGGTCAGTGTGCTATTGGCCTGCAGGTCTATAGTCCAATTAGCAATATCTTTAACACCTGTTGATCAACAGAAGATGTACACACGCATTAGTCCCTTGTTGACTTTATAAGAGAGCTGGAAAATAAGGCATTTAACACTGGGGAGATACATGTACATTGCATCCAGAGTACATGAGTACATGGGCAAGAGTGAGAAACTCCTATCTTGAGCTGCGATGGTTTTTTTAATTGTGTCATTCTTTCGTAGAAGTATGATAAAGTGGGTATACCGCTCCGTGCTTGTTTTGTAGATATGGTGTGAGTTCATTTCTTTTTTTGAGCAGACTGCAACAAAGCGCGACTCATGATGATGATCGCAGCTCGGTGCAAATGTGGCAAATAATGAAGAATCCTTGTCCCCGATCGTAGCGTCTTCTTGGTTTGTTGCAGAATCAAAAAGTCTTTCATTGTAGTAACACTGAAATTCGAAAGGGTACCAAATGCCCGGAAATGCTCGCAATTGGCTTCAATTTTTGAATTTTTTCCCGGGGGAGGATCCCCGTTCCATGGCCGCCCCACCTACAAAGTCGGTGCGACGGGCCTGTACTCGTATGTATCCATGTATGTATGTAGCTATTTAGCATAAGAGGTGAAGTTGTGAACTCATCATCCTGCTTGTTCACTTCAATGTGAACAAGAAAAACAATAATAACAGTATAGTCTGAAAACAATCCTGAACGATCTCTGTTAGAATGGCGGCTACGCCATAGCTTAGTGGTAGAGCATCTCTCGCCTATAGAAGGCCCTTGCCCCGGGGTTGGAAGGCCCTTGCCCCGGGGTTGGAAGGCCCTTGCCCCGGGTTAGAAGTAGGGAGGGCCCAAATATGCTCAAAATTTTTGCATATTATGCTTTTCGCATATTGCCGGGCCACTTGCTTCAAAATATGCTTCGAAATCACACAAAAGCAGAAAAATATGCTCGAAATATGCTCGAAATATGAACTGATATCAGTGATAATTATGCGAATTCTTTGCTCCTTGTAGCAAAATATGCTACATTTGGTACAATATGCTAGATTTGCTACTTTATGCGACCCTGAGTCGCGGACACTCTCTTCTCGGGTCAAATTTTCGCCCCGTGTTTGGATGAGCATATTTCCTTCAGGGCTAAGTTTGGAAGTGTTCCCTGATCGAGCGTGCCGTGGTAAGTTTCCTTGTCCATTTCCGCAATCTGCCCTATAATTATGCGAATTCTTTGCTCCTTGTAGCAAAATATGTTACATTTGGTACAATATGCTAGATTTGCTACTTTATGCGACCTTGTGTCAAAAGGACAAAATATGCGAAAATATGCGCAAGCATATTCGGGCCCTCCCTAGTTAGAAGGCCCTTGCCCCGGGTTAGAAGGCCCCTGCCCCGGGTTCGGTCGTTGGTGGTGATAAACAATTTCTTTTCAGACTTTCCCTATTGAACTCCTTCAAACAAATCAATGTTGATAGCTGTGTCGTGATGACCAAATGGGCGTTAGAGAGCAGACATGAACCAATAAGCCACATTGACATCAGGCATCATTAGTATGATTGGTGGCTTTGGACGAGGTGCTATGGCTACATGTATGTTTACTCGGATACTGAGCCAGTAATAATAAATGTAGAATAGAAGAAAAAACACATGGGAACGAGTTATGAAGCAACTATCCACGACTGTAACAAGGTGATAAGCAGTCAGAAAGTCAGAAAGTTTCTCACTGCTTATCATCTTGTTAAATTAGATATCTTGCGCAGATAAATGTAGAATAGAAGATAAAACACATGGGAACGACTCCGAACGAGTTATGAAGCAACTAACCACGACTGTCAGTTTCTGACTTTCTGACTGCTTATCATCTTGTTACAGTAGTGGATAGTTTCTTCATAACTCGTTCCCATGTGTTTTGTGTTTTTTCTTCTATTCTACATGTATCTGCACAATGTATCAAATTATCATTCAAACCTATCTGTCAGAAGGTACTAGTAATACTTGTGCTTGCTCACGGCACATTTCGTCGGGCATTTTCTGGCACGAACAAGATCTATCAGATTAGGAAGGTATTCTCGGCTTAGAGAGGCCAATGTGAGCAAGAGTAATATTGCCACCTAGCCTGTTCTTGAACTACATTCTTGCATGATATGCTTTACCGCGGTTGATGTATCAGTTATGTATTTTTTGCCATGTGTGATCCTAAACGGCTTGCTACAGGGAAAAGCATCCGACAGCCTCACCTGAACCATATGTGATGACGGTGAGGTTACCAGCAGCTACATTGGATACACCTGCTTGGTCAACAAATGCGCCATTGGCAAATGATGCATTCACAGGTCCTGCATTGATATCCTCGGCTTCCATGCACGAGATATTGGCAGCGAAGAAAGCAACGCCAGTAAAAATATCACTGACTTTGAACACGGCAACTTTGTCTAGGGTTCGTCCACCAGACAAAAGCAGGGTCACGTTGATTGTGGTGTCACGTACGTTCTCATTGATCAGCACTTGCAACATCAAAGAAGACATGTTGGCGAATACGGACGTTACTACCGGGGGAACCGTGTCTGGAATAATAGTTGCGCTCTGGTGGCCCGAGCTGCAGGACTGGTCAGAAAACACTGACCGGCCAAGCGTGGTGATCAGACCCGAACCATTACGAACCACCACAAATGCATTGCTCTCGTTCACCCTCAGCAGCAAGTCCTTTTCGTTGGGTGAAATCAGGCACAGTGAAGTGTTCCCAGCGGACATAGACCCAACGTCATAGTGCTTGATCGATGAGATATATGGCATTCCTGCTGCATCTACAATTGACACGTAACTACAGTTGATTGAAGTGAAAACGCCCAGTGATTCTCCCGCTCGCAGGCCAAAGGTAATGTTCAAATGTCCTCTTTCAATGTCCAGGGTCCAACTGGGAACATGCACACCTGTGTGCAAAGCAGAAAGAAACAAAGCCAGTATGCACACACACACGTATTTGCATACCCAAGAACATGCATGCATGCATACCCAAGAACATGCATGGTGGCATGCACAAGAACATGCATGCATGCATACCCAAGAACATGCATGGATGCATACCCAAGAACATGCATGGATGCATACCCAAGAACATGCATGGTGGCATGCACAAGAACATGCATGGATGCATACCCAAGAACATGCATGGATGCATACCCAAGAACATGCATGGATGCATACCCAAGAACATGCATGGATGCATACCCAAGAACATGCATGGATGCATACCCAAGAACATGCATGGATGCATACCCAAGAACATGCATGGATGCATACCCAAGAACATGCATGGATGCATACCCAAGAACATGCATGGATGCATACCCAAGAACATGCATGGATGCATACCCAAGAACATGCATGGATGCATACCCAAGAACATGCATGGATGCATACCCAAGAACATGCATGGTGGCATGCACAAGAACATGCATGGATGCATACCCAAGAACATGCATGGATGCATACCCAAGAACATGCATGGATGCATACCCAAGAACATGCATGCATGCATGCACACAATTACTATGTACATGAACACGTACACACAGAAAACGTTTATTCTGGTCATTCAAAAAGCCATGTATCTCGTGATGGCAATGTGACGCAACCACTCCACCCAGCCTGATCTAGTGATGGCAATGTGACACATCCACTCCACCCAGCCTGATAATGATTATAACAGATTCATAATGTTACGTACAGACTGCTCTTGGTGTGGACGTTGGTGCACTGGTTGTCACAGCACCAGGGGTAGTATCAACTCCGACATCACTTGTTGTCACAGCACCAGGGGTAATATCAACTCCGACATCACTTGTTGTCACAGCACCAGCTACTGTAGTCGTTGGCACAGCAGGGTCTATAAAAATCAGAGAGGAATCAAGATGAAGCAGAAACAAAGAGGAAAATAAAGCAATTAGTACTTATAGTTACCTTGGTGGACTGCTAGTCATAATTAGTAACTTATAGGTCCTTTTCTCTTCACACATTACTATTGGCTCAGCATCCGAGTTTTTATTAGTACTTACGATCTGTAAAAGACTCTGCTAAACACAACTGGCACATGCGTTCGCCAATAGAATCTACGGAGGAAGTAGCTTCCACTATTTCTGCCTATAATGTGAGCCGTCGACTGACTAAATGTACCTTAGGACCTGATTTCAACTTTCATCAAAATGTGACGTCAAAGTTACTCAAAGAAAATGCGACTGTGATCGATCATGAAGGCAATGAAGTCAAAGACGAAGTCGATTTTGAATTTTTTGTTTGCAAGTTAGATCGATCAATCGATCGATTGTAGGCAGTCAGAACGGTGAGTAACGATGTAGCATTGAGTTTGTCGGTGTGCCGCATGAGGACGTGTCTCTCCTAGATGAGCATGACGAGTCGTTCTACTGCGATGTCCCCGGGCACGACGAGAGCGAGCGCGATTGCGATGACAGAGACGACAACCCGTTCGCACCGGTGGCAGAGAAGCGCCAGCTCCGTCCGTCTGACAACGACGAAGACGAGAGTTACAATGACTTGGAGGAGGAAGGTCGGCGTGTCGAGGAAACCCTAATCGCCGCAGAGATCGTGGACTGGATGTCAATCGGATGTACATGTACATGTAGCTGCCCTGGTGACAATCACTTTGCAGCGCTTGACAAGGACCTCTTGAAACTCTTGTCATGTCTCTCCACCAGCTAAAGCGCCGCTCTCGCCAAAGTCACAGCCCACTCTACAAAAAGAGTACGGACTGGACGAACTGGCTACCTCAGTGACCGCGGGATTCGCGAAACCGGCAACAAGTATGATACTGCATACGTGTACATGTGCATAGCCGAATTTACACAATTATAGTGCATTCTACAATATGGAGAATTCATTGTACTTGCAAGGCTAATATTGATTTGAAAGTTTGTCACATGGAAGTCTACATACTAAAGTACATTTTCCAAATAAAAAGGGAATTTCAAAATTTTCACCACTAAGGTCCATTTACTGAGATCATGGCAAATGTATAATATGCGCCACAAGCGCTACACTATCATTAGAATCCATCAAAGAAATATAGAATGACTAGACAAACCACTGTACTGAACCTCAAAAGGTCAAATGCAGAATGGCTGGGTTCATTCGGGGGCTGATGTATAGACTGCACTTTTTTTCTGATTACGTTCGGCTGTGAAAACGCTCAGCTGTAAATTCTGGAAGTAAAAATGAAAGCCACAGACTCACATTGCATGCCTCGTACGGTAGGACTCATGATCTCCAGAAATGTCGACCTCAACCGAAATTCTGCCATGGGCCAAACCAAGCAGATTTGTGTACTCTGGAATATTTACTCTCATGTTGTCCGTGACCTCTACGAGGTCCACTTTTGGCCGTGTGCCCTCATGAATCCACATGCTTTGCACTCATTTCCCCTACAATTTAGATGGTAACGATCTCCGCAGTTTGTGCAATGAGGATATCTCTACATGACTGCAAAACAAGGGTCTTTGTGGTCCACTTCACAACAATAACACACACAGAAGTCTCTGCTGTGAGCACGGTGGCTCGGCAATGGCTTTATTATTGATATTATTATATCTCCTTCCTGATATTTTTTTTCTTTTTTTTTTTTCTTTCTTGAATAATTGTACGCATAGGGGCCTGATAAGAAAAATTAGCACAAGACACTGCTGCTACTGTAGTCGCACAGCAAAACACACAGAAAGCGACAAAATGTTACAATGAATGTAACAACACCCGTCCAAGCTAAAGGACCGACATCCCTGCCCCAGGACGGCATCTCGAAACCCCCACACACTCACCACATGGTCATCATCCAGCTTCAGTACAATCACTGTATTCTTCCCCTGCAGACTCAACCCCCCTGTCACTAGCCATACAATCTGAAGCTGTATGTAACCATACAATGGCCCACGACGCACACACCACCCCTACGTTTTATAACTAAAAAAGAAAAGCAGTCGTAACTGCAACAGCCACATGGCCAATAAGAAAAACCAATATGATATATCGATAAACACACACCCAGAAGTCAGGGGTGGGAGGGTGGGATACAAACTGCACCAACGAAAAGCCACTGCGAAGTGACAGGAATGCGGTCCAGCACAACATTTTTGCTGACGCAAAAAGTTGTGGGGAAATCCCAAAATCGGTGCGATTTTGCATGAGCCCAAATGTTCAAGTTACCCACAAAGACACAAAATCGGTTGTGGCGACAAACGCGATTAGGCCGGCTGCAGGGACGCCGTAATGTCGCACTCGCCCCAGCACCATTCAAACAGTTCCCTTTGGCAGTTCACGGCACGAACTTCAACAAAGCCCCGTGAATGCGTACTAGGGGAAGGCTAGACAGCATGTCTCTAGACATCAATAGGCATCGTATGAAAAGCCAGTCAATAGCACTAAAGAGCGAAAGCCTTTTGTCACGGTTCGGTTTCACTCGCGCACCGGGCCCGAGCTGCCAGCGCAAACAAATGCCGGGCGCGAGCTGGCAGCACGAACAAACACCGTACTCACACGAGACCGCTGGGCCAACGGATGGCCACAGCCATCAAAAACAGGAACAAACCCATCCACGGCTCTTTCTCTTGCTAGCTGTGCTGCTGCGTGCATCCAACTGTTTTGCAATTTCTGGTTTATACGAAGCAGAGAGCTGCTCAGCAATGCGAGAGAGAAGGATAAGATGATTAGTGAGCTGGAAGTAAGTACTCCAGAGGCAATTTGACGAAGCGACGGACTTGGCGTTTGAAATTGTACGAACAACTCACCGCGTGCCAGTCGCCTCAGCTGAAACGCAGCAGCATACCGGTAATTCGCATCAACAGTGCCGCGATGAAGCCAGGGAAGTCGGCGGCTGGTGGCCAGGACATGTTTACAGCAATGAACCGTCCGCAGGACCACGGCTTGGGTTTGAATCACAGCCGGGGTTGCTGGCCAGATCGCTACAACAACGAGACGTGAACAGGTCCGCCAGCGGAGATGCAACAAATGCAACTGACCAACAACTACGTTTTGACACGGATGACCGCACAGCAGTAACAGGGCATTCAATTATTTCAACAGCTACTGGTACACATGGTACTGGTGGTACCATCCCAGACTACAGAGGTCACCAGCGCAGCGCTGTCCAGTCCAACATTGGCCGGTATACAGATGGTTCCGCAACAGTGACCATGACAAGTGCCACTACAAGTAAGTGTCAATGATGGTGTTTAGTGTTCTTGCTAGGCCTGCTACTGCAAACACAACTACCTCAGGCAGTACATCTCGTAGCAGTTCTAAGGTTACTGGTCCTACATTACCCTTGGGCAGTACTGGCAGCAGCAATGTTCTTCCAAGCAATTCTGTATACTCAACCAGTACGCATAGTGTGAATACTGCAGTGAATACTAAGTACAGTGTTGGTACACAGGCTAATCCACACTCTTTCAGAAAGCCTCCAGTGTCAATGGCAGCGCCCCAGTCATGTATCCAGTGGCAGGCACCGCCTATGAGCACAATGTAAATGGCTTCTACAGGTACTAATGTATATGGGCATACCGACCAACCACAGATGTCTTCCGGGTACATGTAACAGCCAAGGGTTATGCAACACCATCAAATATTGGAAATCAAATGTATGCAACAGGGCTACCTCAAATGCAACAAAACCAGGCTCGTGCAGAGCCATGGAAGCAGCTACAACGAGTTGGCATACCGATATTCAGCGGTGACAAACGTACATTTGAGTCATTCCGAGAAGCTTTCATGGCATGTGTAGATAGTGCACCCGCCACCCCTCAGTACAAGCTGTTGCAATTGAGCCAGTATTTGGCAGGAGAAGCACCGACAGCCATCGAGCGATTTGGCTACTCACCATCAGCCTATGACGTGGCTAAGAAGTTGCTAGAGCGCAAGTATGGCGGCGAGCGTCGCCGTGTGGCTTTACATATTGAATGCGCACAGCCACTTGACCACATCGATGGGTCTGCAACCAGTGGTACCTCCACGTGCACAGCCAACACTCCCAACAGTAGCAGCAGCAACAGCAGCACAGCGGGCTGGTCGAGTCTCTGTTGATGTTATGGTGCCTGAGCGCCACATGCGCGACAGTCTAGAAACGACTGCACCAATTCTGCAAACTAGTCGGCACCAAGGTGATTACAGACACCATCATGCTGGCATTTGTAGCCTACCTGGCACGTCAACATGCCGCGTCAACCGTCCGCTTGTACGTGTCGGCGATCCGGGCAATTGCCAAAGAAAACGGCAAAGATCTCTCTTCGCGAAGAGTGGACCTCGCAGTTAAAGGAGTGGCACGTGCACAGGCCAACCGAACTAAGAACGCCAGCAAGCCAATCCTCCGGCCCCACATGGCAGCTATGCGCAACGCCCTGATTAGGTCTAATCTCAACGCTACCGACCGAGCCATGGCATGGGCAGCTATTCGCCTGGGCTTCTTCGCCTGTCTCCGGGCAAGCGAATATACTTCCACAACCGCCACCACCATGTCAGACGGGGCCTCCGAACAAATGACCTCTCCATCACGCCGCAGGCCATACAGGTCACAATCAAGAAGTCCAAGACCGACCAACTCGGCCAGGGTCACTCCGTCCGGCTCACAACCACCAACTCAACGGTTTGCCCGGTCAGAGCCATGCACACCTATCTCTCCAGACGCGCCAACCTGCCCAATAGACCACTGGTCATCGAAAGCTGTGGCAATTTCCACTGCACGGCCTCAGAGCCGGACCCGCAACCACAGGAACATTGAGCGGCTTCACCGAATCCGAGATCATGAAACTCGGCAGAACGGCGAAGTGCCTGTTACAAGCACTATGTCCGCTGTGGAAAGTAACTGTTCACCGTCCGCAGGCGCGCAAGCGCGCACGGCCACATACACGCACCCGCATACACATACACACGCACGCACGCACGCGCACACCCACATGCATGCACACACGCATGCGTACGCGCACCCGCACTCTGACACCGTGCAAGCATGCACGCATGCACACACGCTGCGCACCCGCTGGTACGCCCACTCGCGGACGCACGCACTCACGTTCTAGCACTGACTGGCGGTGTGGGACACCCCATGCCATGGCGGTGTGGGACACCCCATGCCATGGCGGTGTGGGACACCCCATGCCATGGCGGTGTGGGACACCCCATGCCATGGCGGTGTGGGACACCCCAGACCATGGCGGTGTGGGACACCCCATGCCATGGCGGTGTGGGACACCCCATGCCATGGCGGTGTGGGACACCCCATGCCATGGCGGTGTGGGACACCCCATGTGTGCACGCACGCTTCTGATACTTATGAGAAGCTATCGGCTCCACTTAGTTGCGGTGCTATTGCTCTCACCTATGGCACCATGCCACCCATAGCTTTTGGGCTTTTGGTGCCTGACTCTGAGCCTGAATATGTCCAGCCTTCACTGGCTTCAGCACTAAGACCAGACCAGGAGAGTCTCTTCCTGGACGGCGATTTGCTCGCCCCAGAGCGTCCACCATCCATCCCATTACCTGCCCTCAGCGACCATCTCACGGACAAGATTATCAAACATGGCCCGATTTCGCCGACTGGCACCCACAGCAGAAGACACGCCATCTCCGGTGCCCGAGAGCACCTACTCCCTCTGATGTTGGAGGGTCAGGCCTACCAGTGGCTAGGCCTGTCAGCGTCCACACGTGCCACATACGCGACAGCCTGGAAACGACTGCACCAATTCTGCCGACTAGTCGGCACCAAGGTGATTACAGACACCATCATGCTGGCGTTTGTAGCCTACCTGGCGCGTCAACATGCCGCGTCAACCGTCCGCCTGTATGTGTCGGCGATCCGGGCAATTGCCAAAGAAAACGGCAAAGATCTCTCGTCGCGAAGAGTGGACCTCGCAGTTCAAGGAGTGGCACGTGCACAGGCCAACCGAACTAAAAACGCCAGTAAGCCAATCCTCCTGCCCCACATGGCAGCTATGCGCAGGGCCCTGATACGGTCTAACCTCAACGCGACCGACCGAGCCATGGTATGGGCAGCTATTTGCCTGGGCTTCTTTGCGTGTCTCCGGGCAAGTGAGTACACTTCCACAACCGCCACGACCATGTCAGACGGTGGCCTCCGAACAGAAGACCTCTCCATCACGCCGCAGGCAATACAGGTCACAATCAAGAAGTCCAAGACCGACCAACTCGGCAAGGGTCACTCCGTCCGGCTCACAACCACCAACTCAACGGTTTGCCCGGTCAAAGCCATGCATACCTATCTATCAAGACGCCCCAACCTGCCCAATAGACCACTGTTCGTTGACAGCTGTGGCAAGTTCCTAACTGCACCAAGACTCACCCGTCTAATCCGTCAGCTACTGAGCAGCGCAGGGTACCCACCTATCCAGTATTCACTGCACGGCCTCAGAGCCGGAGCCGCAACCACAGGAGCAATGAGCGGCTTCACCGAATCCGAGATCATGAAACTCGGCAGATGGCGAAGTGCCTGCTACAAGAACTATGTCAGCTGTGGAAAGTAACTGTTCGCCGTCCGCAGGCGCGCAAGCGCGCACAGCCACACCCACATACACGCACCCGCAGACACATACACACGCACGCACACACACCCACGCATGCACACACACACATGCATGCACGCGTACACGCACCCACAGTCTGACACCGCACAAGCATGCATGCAGGTACACACGCTGCGCACACGCTGGTACGCCCATTCGCGGACGTATGCACTCACGTTCTAGCACTGACTGTGCACGCACGCCTCTGATACTTATGATAAGTTATCTGCACCACTCTGTTGCTGTGCTATAGCTCCCACCTAGCGGTGTGGGACACCCCATGCTATGGCGGTGTGGGACACCCCAGACCATGGCGGTGTGGGACACCCCATGCCATGGCGGTGTGGGACACCCCATGCCATGGCGGTGTGGGACACCCCATGTGTGCACGCACGCTCCGACTACATGCGATTCAAACCCTTCTCGGTGTCACTAAGGGAAAACAAACATGCGAAGGGCACGCATTTGAACTACGTACATGTAGCTGAAGCGCTTGAATACCACACTAAGGTCATTCGGCTGACCAACGCGGAATTTGGGGGCATTCGGCGGCTTGGTCTGATTCCTAGCTTGTTGGTAACCGGCTTGAGGTTTCCAAGGTTGCTATGACAACGTGCAGTCATGCGCAGGGCCACCCAACATGCGTTGGGGGCCCAGGAAAGACAGAAACGCGTTGCTAGGCAACAGCAAAAGCGCTCAGCGAGTATCACGCTACTCATGCAGCACGCACGCTGGCTTAGGGTATCATGCTACCCTTGCGCTGCGGGGTACCACATTGCCCCTCGCTGGAATCAGACCCGCGCCCCGGATACCTTGCGCTGGCCTCCTGACGGCCAAACTCAACCAACTTGCGCGCTGTGACTGGGGTTGTGCATGCCTTAGCAACATAATGTGGCCCAGGTCGGCAGACTTTCAATTAGCCAAGCGAGCTACTCAGGCCAGGGCGCATGATCACTATTCGCAGCACTTATCGTCCATGCAGCAGTCGGGTTAAAATCGGTTGTGGCGACAAACGCGATTAGGCCGGCTGCAGGGACGCCGTAATGTCGCACTCGCCCCAGCACCATTCAAACAGTTCCCTTTGGCAGTTCACGGCACGAACTTCAACAAAGCCCCGTGAATGCGTACTAGGGGAAGGCTAGACAGCATGTCTCTAGACATCAATAGGCATCGTATGAAAAGCCAGTCAATAGCACTAAAGAGCGAAAGCCTTTTGTCACGGTTCGGTTTCACTCGCGCACCGGGCCCGAGCTGCCAGCGCAAACAAATGCCGGGCGCGAGCTGGCAGCACGAACAAACACCGTACTCACACGAGACCGCTGGGCCAACGGATGGCCACAGCCATCAAAAACAGGAACAAACCCATCCACGGCTCTTTCTCTTGCTAGCTGTGCTGCTGCGTGCATCCAACTGTTTTGCAATTTCTCCCTCCCACCCACGCCTCTTGATCTGTCCTAGCTCACTATTCTGGACAAATATTAATTCAATTGCAATGAAGCGCCGGGGGCCGGCGGGGGCATTCGGCGGCTTGGTCTGATTCCTAGCTTGTTGGTAACCGGCTTGAGGTTTCCAAGGTTGCTATGACAACGTGCAGTCATGCGCAGGGCCACCCAACATGCGTTGGGGGCCCAGGAAAGACAGAAACGCGTTGCTAGGCAACAGCAAAAGCGCTCAGCGAGTATCACGCTACTCATGCAGCACGCACGCTGGCTTAGGGTATCATGCTACCCTTGCGCTGCGGGGTACCACATTGCCCCTCGCTGGAATCAGACCCGCGCCCCGGATACCTTGCGCTGGCCTCCTGACGGCCAAACTCAACCAACTTGCGCGCTGTGACTGGGGTTGTGCATGCCTTAGCAACATAATGTGGCCCAGGTCGGCAGACTTTCAATTAGCCAAGCGAGCTACTCAGGCCAGGGCGCATGATCACTATTCGCAGCACTTATCGTCCATGCAGCAGTCGGGTTAAGCTTTCCAACTCTCTTTGGCCGTTGGAAAGCGTACCGTTTCTTCTCTTAAAATCTGTCATAAAGCTTTCTGCTGGCTATACTGGAAATAATTCTGGTGGGAGCAGCTCTTTTTAACCCTTTACCATCCGACCAAATTTCCCCAGCAGTCCCAAATGCAATAATTCTCACCTTATTCTGAGAATATCTTCGGTTCTAATCAACCAATTTTCACAATCTTGGGCATTCTGGAAAGCTCTCCACGAGCTGCGTACATTGAGCTCAAACAGGACACTACCGAGATCACATATCCAGCGCCAGGGAGCTTCAAATACACCCCATCGCTGGATATACGAGGAAAATCTCTCCTCGCCAGCCATTTCTCGCTCCTTCATCGTAAACATTCCAAATTGTTTGCTTGAGTTTCTTTTCATGCTGCCCACGCGCTCAAAGCATGCCAAAGTGACTCAGCATGTCAGGAGAGGGGAAAATCCCCGCTCAAGGTCACTCACTCGGATAGAAATTCGACTTTTGGCGTAACTGAAATGTCGAGCGCAATATCTTTGGAATGCGACATCGCAGCTCTTTACCGATTGATGCAATGTAAAGCTGGGCTCTTCGGCTTCCTCCTAGATACTTAGTTATTTAAATTCCGACAAGAATCGATTGAGTTACGATTGTTTTTTATGCATGTCCATCGATCTCTAGAGATCGATTCAAGTACGCACGGATGGTAAAGGGTTAAAAGTCACATTCACTGTGGTATATATTTCAATCTTCACACTCCACAATACTCACTGCAGTTGATGGAAATCTTTCCACTGGTCACGGTTGGTGTGATTGCGTGCTTTTCAATATTCAGAGCTATTACGTTACCATATGCAAAAATCAAATGATGGTTGCCTTGTAGCGAGATGTCTTTGGAGTCGGATGACGTGCACTTCCTGCTAAACTTTATTGTGGTGACTCCATTGATTTGTGATCCACTGAACACACTGGTTTGGGATTCATCACTGTCCACGGGTGGAAGAAAGTAACCTGTAGCATACCTATTGGAAAAGAAAACAATACACACATTGCTCAACACAAAGCCTCACGGGAGAATTTAAAGGGGAAGTCCGGTGAAAAATTTAAATTTCAGGGTTGGTAGAGTTTCGGGCGCTGAGTCGAATGGTGTTGGTCCCACGTGTCTCCGACAAAGCGTTCTCGAGATATTTCCGTTTGAAAAACTGAGTTTCGGGGGCTGCGCCATGACGTCATGCGGCCGCGCCACGCCCTGTGCAACGTCATAGCGTGCAGCTAGGTCAAAAGGAGTGCGTGAAAGCAATAGTGTCAGTGCTATTTCAAATGATTTGGCGACTGATATTAGGTGGTGCAAGCGACCCCGAAGACCTGTAACTCCTTGTGAGAGTGAGGATGCAGCCATGGCTGACCTTCATGAGTTCGGTCTGGGGCTGAGAACCTTGGTATTCAGCTGAAGAAATGGCCGCGCGGGCCCGTCAAGAGTGAGCGTTACTGAGTTTCCGACTGATGAAGAAGCAGCAGCTATTGCAGACGAGGCTGATGAATTATCAGATCGCTGGAGAGCAGGGTCGCCAAAATGGAGAAGAGTGATGCGAGTGCTCTAAATGTTGTTCCATACCGATTAGATTCGCTTAGACTCCAGTGGCCTGCCACATGGTGATGTTTTGGTGCGAACCCTAGTAAAATAAATAAAATAATAATAATAATAACTTGGAATATTTCGGACTACTCATTTGGAGAACAGTGCAGGCTCTTTGAACCACGGGCACGACTCTTCGCTCGCAACGCTATGGAATCTGACAGTTCTAGGTCCGGGAGCTGTTCCCTGTTTTGTCACTTGTCACGGTTGTGCACTCATCGCTGTAGCATAAAATAATGAGGCGGGAGCGGAAAACTAAAATTTTCTTTCTCAAAGCACAATCACCGGCACCGGCAAGGAGAAACGCACGTTCTCTGACTAGATGACTGTACAATACGACTGATACGAGTGTAGTACATGACAAGTCCGTGTGTTGACTAGTTTTCTGAGTCTTGTGTCAGTTGTGACTCGAGTCTTGTTGTAGATACTACCCCAGCACGGCAGTGCGGGAGTAGTTCCGTCTGTGATGAGTTTGTTGACTGCACCACAGCTAGATAACACACTGCACGCACTGCATGCACGCAGCGCACAGCGCGTAGAGCTATAGAGGCTGACGGAAAAAGTCCAACTCGGAAACGGCTAAAATACGGTATAACGTCGAGGTTTACCGAGCTGAAAATCACAGGGTATGTAGTGTTTGTAACACTGAATCGAATGGTCTTGGTCCGAAGAAGCTGCGACAAACAGTTCCCCAATCGAACGCGCTCCGAATATGGCCATTTTTGTACACAACTAGATGGTGTGGCTACCTGGCTGCACGCTGTGACGTCATCACCTGGATCTTGGTGATGCCCGCTCAAATTCGCACATGTTCGATTGGGCGTATCTGACGAACCATAAGCCGCAGCCTCCTCGGACAAAGACCATTCGACTCAGCGACTCGAACTCTACGGACTGTGAAATTTAAATTTTTCACCGGACTTCCCCTTTAAGGAAAAAAAGTGCTCCCAGTTCACAAAATTTTAGATTCTGAAGTGTATGCACGCATACAAAAATGATGATCTATTACATGTACAAGTATGTGTCCAAACAAGGCCGGTCTAGGCAGCTCGAGATAGAGTGCTCCGGCAATGCACAAATGTGCAGAGCAGTATACACACACACCACAGTACACCACACACCACAGTATACACACATACACCACAGAGGCACACTGTGTAGCTGTAGCTTTAAGTTTCACACATTTCAGCAATTGTCAGACAGCAACGGTTGAATACAGCCTTTCGCCTCTGTTCTGTGTGTACAAGTATTTGTACGTGGCACTAGTTTTCAGCAGGCGTGCCGGTATCATGTATATAATAGGACTTGCACATTGGTTTGTACTGTTTGTCTCTGTGGAAGCCTATGTCATGGCAAATATGACTAATTTCATCATGTTAATATGACAATAGCATAGAAGTCGAAGTGACAGCCAAAAGGTATCGAGCTGTGATATGACACAGTCCGACACTATAATATTAAATTTTATATAATTAACATCTTTCCTCACAAGCATACGCAAGCAGCAACAGCTGAGCACAAGAGTTTGAGTTAGGCTGTATGGGGCTGGTGTTGAACAAAAGGTGTGAATTGATTAGAGCACGGGATGCCACGAGCTCCATAACAGAAATCCGGGACATGCGCGTAGAGTGCCGCGGGCTTAAAAGCGGAAAATCTGAGACATGAGCGTGGAGTACCGCTGGCTCAAGGAGTCAAGCGGAGAAAATGCCAAGGACATGGCCAGAGTATCACAAGGTAGTCAGTGGGAGGAGTGAAATTACGCCCAGCCCTGATAGCAGATTTATCACGGAAATGCTTCGAAAAAAATAGATAAAAGGATTGTGTGATTCAGACCGTGACATATGACACGGAAGATGAGGTATGCGAGGGATGGAGGGGAAACTTTCCGCCGCCCAGAACAACTTGAAACAAAAGATGTGCGTGAGAGTGAGCATGCAGAGACAGTTTAAGACACATCTGCAAAGACACGTCTGCATGCGTGGGTGCCAGTATGTGCATGCGCGTGCAAGCAGTGCAAAATATGCGCAATCGCGGCAAAGTGTGCGGACCTGTTTGTTACATCACCTGTGAACCAGCATGAATAACATTAAGAAGAAAGGGCCAAAGGTTTGAAAGTTAATCTCCACCCGAGATTAACAACATTACTGCGCATTAAAATAACACAATGTGTCTATGTTGTAGCCCGGCTATATCTGTTTAAAAAAAAGAAAAAAGGACTCACCTGTCAGACATTTGCACACGTGATCCATCCCAATAGCCCATGATGACATCAGTGTTTGGCTGTGCATTACAACATCACGTAAACAGACGCTGGTCATTTCCCCACCTCTTTACTTGCAGAAGAGATAGTGCATTGACATCCGGAAATGGAATAGGGGAGGACTATCATCGTTTCCTACATGATTGTTTACTTCTATCATGAAACTCACCATGAACATGTCATTTGATACACCTAGCGCTAACCAAGTGTTTGTTTGCATTCCTGTTGTCCACTCGAAATCCACAACACCTCGTGACACGTTCACTGTGCCGACTAGCTTGTATGTACATGCTGAGCCAACACAGCCCGGCGGATCCTCATGATCTGCACACACACATATACACACACACACACACACACACACACACACACACACACACACACACACACACACACACACACACACACACACACATGTATTGGCATTCCCATGAAGACACAGATACTTGTACACATGTAAACAGAAAAAGACGTTCCTTCTGATCATTCGAAAGCTTAGGTATCTTCTGCAGTGATGGCAATAAGACACAATCACTCCACCCATGGGCCAATCTGGCAGTGACTAATGAGTATAAAGAACGCATGTATAAATACAGTAGGTAAGCAATGTCCAAGAGAAACCTTCATGTTACGTACATGTGATTGCCGGTGTGGATGTTGTTGTAGCAGTGGTGGTTACAACTGTGGCATCACTTGTTGTCACAGCAGCAGCTACTGTACTCGTTGTTGTTGCTGCAGGGTCTATCAAAATCAGAGAGGAATCAAGATCAAGCAGAAACAAAGAGGACAACAAAGGAATTAGTACTTAAGACAGGCAAAAGACTCTACCAAACACAAATGGCATACCGGTGTGCGTTTGCCAACAGAATCTACGGTGAAGTAGTTCTGACCAGTTCTGTGTACACGCACATGTATAATATGTGCCACTAGAGCTACGCTATCATTAGAATCCACCAAAGTGATATAGAATGACCAGACAAACTGCCGAACTGAATCCAAAAGGTCAAAACAGGCACGAAATCTAGATTCATTCAGTTCATGTGCCAGTGTATGGACTATGTGTATGCACTACACCATTTTTCTGATTAGGCTTGGCTGTGAAAACAAGAGGCTGTGAATTCTGGAAGTAAAAATGCAAGTTTAGCAGACGTGAGATCAAACAAAGTTCTCATAGCCACAGGCTTGCACTGCATGCCTCATACGGTATGACTCACAGTGATCTCCAGAAATGACGACGCCAACAAAAATACTGCCCTGTCCCTAACCAAGCAGAGTTACACACTCTGGATTATGTACTCTTGCCATCACGAATACACATGCTTGGCTCTCATTTCCCGCACAATTTAAACCTATCGGACTCCAAAACAGGGGTTTCTTCTCTTAAATCTGCCACCAAATAAAGTAACTAGCCGCGTGACAGTTTTGCTCGTCCCCAAATTCAAAAAGAGAAGACTGCAATGTATTAAAAGTGGAAAGAATGCCGTCCATGCTAGGGAAGATGACGAAATGAGTGTTTCCTGCGACATAAAGCTTTCTGCAGGCTATATTGGAAATAATTCTGGTGGGAGCAGCTCTTTTAAAAAGTCACATTCACTGTGGTATATATTTCAATCTTCACAATCCACAATACTCACTGCAGTTGATGGAAATCTTTCCACTGGTCACGGTTGGTGTGTTTGGGTGCTTTTCAATATTCAGAGCTATTACGTTACCATATGCAAAAATCAAATGATGGTTGCCTTGTAGCGAGATGTCTTTGGAATCGGATGACGTGCACTTCCTGCTAAACTTTATTGTGGTGACTCCATTGATTTGTGATCCACTGAACACACTGGTTTGGGATTCATCACTGTCCACGGGTGGAAGAAAGTAACCTGTAGCATATCTATTGGAAAAGAAAACAATACACACATTGCTCCACACAAAGCCTCACGGGAGAATTTCAGGAAAAAAAGTGCTCCCAGTTCACAAAATTTTAGATTCTGAAGTGTATGCACGCATACAAAAATGATGATCTATTACATGTACAAGTATGTGTCCAAACAAGGCCGGTCTAGGCAGCTCGAGATAGAGTGCTCCGGCAATGCACAAATGTGCAGAGCAGTACACACACACATACACCACAGAGGCACACTGTGTAGCTGTAGGTTTAAGTTTCACACATTTCAGCAATCATCAGACAGCAAGTTGAATACAGCCTTTCGCCTCTGTTCTGTGTGTACAAGTATCTGTATGTGGCACTAGTTTTCAGCAGGCGTGCCGGTATCATGTATATAAGGCCAAAACAAATAATGACCTTGTTTCCGGTCGCCCGACCGGGTCACTTTTTCCCAAATTCTGAAACTTTTTTTTGGTCCCAAATGTATACAAACGGTGGCAATGCCATGTGCGCAAGTGCACTCAACGAGTCATAACTCAGTCAAATCTCAACCGAATTCCACAATCGAAACACCTATAAGGTAGCAGAGATTCTCAGCTGTCGGCTCGAAAACCTCCGGGGTCGATACGAGCTAGAATAACGGAGCTGGAAGGACTCAAACTGTTTGCTTGATTTCTCAGGATGTACGAAAACAGGAATACACCACATGCTGTACAAGAACAGTGAGTCAGTCAACTTTGACATTGACCCTTGCCATGATAATGTACAATGTACATGTGTAGGTGCTCTTGTCCATCAATACCACAACGATTGAGGAACCAAAAAAAGTATCCAAAAAAAGTTTCATTCCGGCCGACCGAGTCTCCTTTTTGAGGGGTTGCCGACCGGAAACAAGCCTATTTTTTGTTTTGGCCTAATAGGACTTGCACATTGGTTTGTACTGTTTGTCTCTGTGGAAGCCTATGTCATGGCAAATATGACTAATTTCATCATGTTAATATGACAATAGCATAGAAGTCGAAGTGACAGCCAAAAGGTATCGAGCTGTGATATGACACAGTCCGACACTATAATATTAAATTTTATATAATTAACATCTTTCCTCACAAGCATACGCAAGCAGCAACAGCTGAGCACAAGAGTTTGAGTTAGGCTGTATGGGGCTGGTGTTGAACAAAAGCCGGTGTGAATTGATAAGAGCACCGGATGCCACGAGCTCCATATCAGAAATCCAGGACATGCGCGTAGAGTGCCGCGGGCTTAAAAGCGGAAAATCTGAGACATGAGCGTGGAGTACTACTGGCTCAAGCGGAGAAAATGCCAAGGATATGGCCAGAGTATCACAAGGTAGTCAGTGTGAGGAGTGAAATTACGCCCAGCCCTGATAGCAGATTTATCACGGAAATGCTTCGAAAATGATACATAAAAGGATTGTGTGATTCAGACCGTGACATAATATTGTTATTATAGAACACGGAAGATGAGGTATGCGAGGGATTGAGGGGAAAACATTCCGCCGCCCAGAACAACTTGAAACAAAAGATGCTCGTGAGAGTGAGCATGTAAAGACACGTCTGCATGCGTGGGCGCCGGTAACTGTTATGTGCGTGCGCGCGTGCACAGTGCAAAATATGCGCAACCGCGGCAAAGTGTGAGGACCTGTTACATCACCTGTCGACCAGCATTAATAACATTACTGCACATTATATTATAATACAATGTGTCTATGTTGTAGCCTGGCCATATCGGGGGGGGGGGGGGGGGGTAAGGGAAGGACTCACCTGTCAGACATTTGCACACTTGATCCATCCCAATAGCCCATGATGACATCAGTGTTTGGCTGTGCATTACAACATCACGTAAACAGACGCTGGTCATTTCCCCACCTCTTTACTTGCAGAAGAGATAGTGCATTGACATCCGGAAATGGAATAGGGGAGGACTATCATCGTTTCCTACATGATTGTTTACTTCTATCATGAAACTCACCATGAACATGTCATTTGATACACCTAGCGCTAACCAAGTGTTTGTTTGCATTCCTGTTGTCCACTCGAAATCCACAACACCTCGTGACACGTTCACTGTGCCGACTAGCTTGTATGTACATGCTGAGCCAACACAGCCCGGCGGATCCTCACGATCTGCAAACAAACATACGAACACGCACACACACACACACACACACACACACACACACACACACACACACACACACACACACACACACATACATGTACATATGTATTTGCGTTCCCATTAACACACAGATGCTTGTACACATGTACAGAGAAAAGATACGATCGCTCCACCCATGGGCTAATCTGGCAGTGACTACTGACTTTAGAGAATGCCATTACATAATAATTATTACAGTAGGGAAGCAATGTCCAAGAGAAACCTTCATATTACGTACATGTGATTGCCGGTGTGGATGTTGTTGTAGCAGTGGTGGTTACAACTGTGGCATCACTTGTTGTCACAGCAGCAGCTACTGTACTCGTTGTTGTTGCTGCAGGGTCTATCAAAATCAGAGAGGAATCAAGATCAAACAGACACAAAGAGGACAATAAAAAGCAACTCGTAATGAATATAGGTAAATGATTCTGCTAAACACGAATGGCATATGCAATTGCCAATAGAATCTACGGAGGAAGTAGCTCCGACCATTTCTGTCTACTTCCTTCAGGGGGAAAAACTTCGTGACTTTTTCACATGACTTTTCAAAGAGTTACTGTGCTCAACAAAAGTGCTCTATTGGAAGAGAAACACTTCAACATGCTCAATGGATATGTGTACAATATCTACAAGATCTATTGATGGGAATAGAGTCTCAGTCTGAGTCGCCATCGCTCGATTCATCACGGCTGGAACCAACCAAAGTGGCAGGTCGATCGACGCATTCTCGCATGTCACGGAGCAGCTTCTCCGTGTCACTGATCGTCTTCGCTGTTACAAGTATGTGATTTATACCAGTGCCTTCCCTAGCATCTAGGTGGAGACCGCGGTGGTGCTGATACTCTGGTATTGCATTGGCACTCGAGAATGCCCCAGAAGGACGCGTACAGGCAAAGCCAAATATTTCGCATTTTTCTCCGCGTTGCAGTCGTGCCATCATGTCACGACTGCTGCGACGAGATCTCGCCTGTTCTCCTATGCAACCAAGGAGAGGTCGGAGTGGAGGCTGCTGAAAAAGGCAAGATCTTCCACGTTGAGGTATGGGCTCCGCGGTGGCTGACCGACGACTTCGATTTTGAACTTTTTAGTTTTGCTGTGCTGCCCGAAGTGATGAGTGTCACATCTTTGCGTTAGGAGTTTTAATATCTTGCCGACCTGTTCGCACTTTGGCTGGTGTTTTCGGGGATGACGCAGATTTCAAAACGCTAGCTGTTATCCCTTTTACACTCTTCTTGCTCCTCAGTGCCATTGTCCTGCTCTGTCTCATTCTAAACCCAAAACTGGCAACGACGAGCACTGAGCGCAGTGCTTTTGTTGGCAATGTGCCTGGTGGACAAAAATGCAAAACAGTGTCGCTTCCCCTGGTTTAGCACGGCATATTTTCCTTGCAATGATTGTCGGCTTTCCAGAATGTGAATCATGCCTTCCTACGGTTCGGAAATGTCATCTGTTGGTGTTTCAGGCCGACAGAGCCAGGTTTCCAGAAGGCAGTTGGCGACGCACCTACTACAGAGACCGACAGAACAGCAGAGAAAATTAGTGAAAAAAGTCACGAAGTTTTTGTTTCCGGAGGAAGTACATGACAATATGCACCGTAGTAGAGCTACACTATCATTAGAATCCACCAAAGTAATATAGAATCACCAGAACTGGACTGAATCCCAAAAGGTCAAAACACCATATCTGGGTTCATTCGGGGCTGGTGTATATAGACTCCACTTTTTTCTGATCGCGCTCGGCCGTGAAAACGCTTGGCTGCATATTCTGGAAGTAAATGAAAGTTTAGCAGACATGAGATCAAGAACAAAGGACCAAAGGTTTACAAGTTCCCCGCAGTTGCCCAACACACTATGAACCATCAATATAAAGCTTATAATTGCCAGTGCTGGACAACTACGGGCAACTTTTTAAAACCATTGGTCCTTTCTTCTTAATTTTAATCCATGGCTCTCCATCCGACTTGAAGACATGACGTTGTGCAAACGAGTGCCATATAGTAATAAAAGGACTTGAGAACTTGGGCAGGCAGGCACTCGGTGTTTCTAGTTGATTTATTTTCGATTCGATTTATTTGTGTTTCGATTTATTTGCATTTATTTGGCACGGCTACGCGGACGCTACTAGTCGCGTACCCTTATGCAGATCGGTCTACTTTTTGAGTGCATGTGGTGTCCTTATTTTGATGCATGTAGATTAGTGCAGTACGGTGGCTTTGTTTGCGCTGCTGAGGGTGCGCTGTAGGTGCACTTGTACGTGCACGTTCGGCTGAGGAGAGCGTTTGGGCTTTCGCTTGCGCTGCCTGGTTATTCGATGTTTTCCTTTTCTGGTTGTTGTTGTTCCTTCCGTGATGAACGGATAGTCTTTCTTTCTCTCTTGTTTCACCTATATTCATATTTCTTGCAATGTAAAATATCACCCCACTGGTTTGTGTGAGCTTGTAATCGGTTGGACCAAACATGAGATCCACCAAATCTCAAAACGGCCACAGACTTGCATCGCATTTCTCGTACGGTACGACTCCTGATCTCCAGAAATGGCGACCTCAACCGAATTTCTGCCATGGACCAAGCCAAGCGGAGCTGCACACTCAGGATTATGTACTTTTGCCATACTGAACGCACATGCTTTGCTCTATTTCCCCTCCAATTTTGATGGTAATGATCCCTGCAGTTTGTGCAATGAGGATATCTCTACATGACTGCAAAACAGGGGTATCTTCTCTTAAAATCTGCCGTGAAGCTTTCTGCAGGCTATACTGGAAATAATCATATTCCGGTGGGATTAGCTCTTTAATTTGAAAAAGTTACAATCCCTGTAGTATATATTTCAATCTTCACGCTCCACAATACTCACTGCAGTTGATGGAAATCTTTCCACTGGTCACGGTTGGTGTGTTTCGGTGCTGTTGAATACTCAGAGCTATTACGTTACCATATGCAAAAATCAAATGATGGTTGCCTTGTAGCGAGATGTCTTTGGAATCGGACGACGTGCATTTCCTGCTAAACTTTATTGTGGTGACTCCATTGATTTGTGATCCACTGAACACACTGGTTTGGGATTCATCACTGTCCACGGGTGGAAGAAAGTAACCTGTAGCATACCTATTTGAAAAGAAACAAATTGCAGTGGGCCGAAACTTCGCTAGAAGACAAAACTATCAAACAATGTATTTCCACTTAAAACTCCATACATTGTGTATGTGATTCATACAAGACACTATCCACAAGCAAGATTCACCACTTGTGAATCGACATGGCGTGTCGGGGAAATGATTGAAGAAAGTATGGACAAGGGGAGTTGCACTGCACCACGCAGGTGTAGCCTGGCAATTTTACATGGCTTTACAGCAATACAGATTTAAAAATGGAACTCACCTGTCAGACATTTGCACAGTTGATCCATCCCAGTAGCCCATGATGACATCAGTGTTTGGCTGCACATTATATCGTGTAAACAAATAAGTTGGGCCATGCAATTATTTCCACTTCCTTTCTTATGATGAAGAAAGGAAAAGGACAAAATGTTACGAGTTGTGACAAACTGTCCACCAACGTAACCAGATATTTTCCTTCTTTTCCTTTCTTCATCATAATTATATTGGCTCACCGTCCGAGATCAACTTCCTTTCTTATACGCTTAAAACGTTTATGGACTTCACACAAAGTAGGGAAGTAAGGAAAGCCATTCCATCCGGTTACTACTCACTTTGCGTAAAAAGAAGCGGCACTGAGTCTTTTAAAATAGATACTGAGTTTGTTGAGTCATGTGCCGGTATTGATGTATTGCGGGCTAGTCATCCATCGTCAGAACAATTTACTAGGGGAGAGCCTGTCCTTTTATGTCAGCATGAAAGTGAGTGACAATAACTTTGCATGTTCAAATAAGCAACGAGAAGTACACTAGTAAGCAAGCAATACAGCCTATCCTAAATGAGTAAAGCAAGGCAGATAAGTGTATGCACAGAAGTTATTACAAACATAGCTAGTAGTTCTGCTGTACGGGTGCTGGCACCTTCATTGGCCATTCGAACGCGGTATTGATCTCTGGTTGGCGCTCACTAATTTCAATGGCTTCTCTGATTTTTCTTTCGGTCGTCCATGTCTGGACTCGGATGGAGAGCCAAGGATTAATTTATAAAAAAATAAACCGGTTAGTTGTAGAACGTCAGTACCGTCGGTCAGTGCCGTGCAATGTTATCGCATGAGCTGATTGTTTAGTAAATGTTGGTGTTAGTGGACATTATAGCGTAACTTGTAGTTCCTTGGTCCTTTTTGTATTTTTTATATATTCATCCATGTCTCCATGTCATTGCGCGAGTCGCAAGGTGAGTTAGATACGGAGGGGCATCGCCGTATTTTTGCGAATAGGAATCTGCATAAATACACACCTTCTCTGGCGCTAGAGCAAAAAACTATCTTAATTTCTGTGGTGCCTCCTTTGCACCATGGCCGGTAGCTCGGCTTGCTTAATTAAAGCTCGTAGCTGTAGTGATGAGGCTGTTATGGCCGAAACAACTTGCTGTCTACTGCATTGGGTAAATACGCACCCTCTGCTGTCTATATGTCTAGCGATCACACTGGGGATTGCCTGTCACTGAATATCTGCAAGCATTTCTGTAGACATTTAGAATACCATCCCCAAGAAATGGAACGAAATGCTTTCTCATTTTGGTGAAAGCCATATATTGGACTAACGGTGTGTATGGTTAGGGGGGGGGGGGGTCCCTCCACTGGCAATGAAACACCTTAAAACACATAGTTTCACTCACCATGAACATGTCATTTGATACACCTAGCGCTAACCAAGTGTTTGTTTGCATTCCTGTTGTCCACTCGAAATCCACAACACCTCGTGACACGTTCACTGTGCCGACTAGCTTGTATGTACATGCTGAGCCAACACAGCCCAGCGGATCCTCATGATCTGCACACAAACATATACACACATGACATCCATATCTACACCTGATTCTTCTTCTGGTAAAAAAAACTCCAATGCGACTCTGTGCCCATGGGTAGGGCCATCAGTATGCTTGTCAAATCATTGTTGAGGACACATGGACCGGTGTCCACTGCTGGGGTCCAGTGAATCGAGTTCACTGCGCATCTCAATCCGACAGTTCTATATCACTGTGCACCTGGATGACACATGTCTACAATAACTAACACAACCACCAATACCCAATTCGCAGGCACAATCTCAGCAAATTACACAAACTGTGGAAAAACACACAGAACAAGCTATTCAGTTTTGGGACTGAGGTTAAAATGCCAAATCAGAATGTAAAGGTATGCCAACTTCACTGCAGGCCCATGACTCCATCACTACTACTTCATTCACAAACTATCAAACACATTCCTGCTTCACTGTCTCTTTACTGCATTTGAAAAAAATATCAGTGAATATGTCAGTACGAATCCAGGCCAAAACACACAAGGGGTGAAAAGACTACACCTGTTGTAGTAAGCGAAGAAGATACACTCGCAACATTGCACTGCCAAGATCATCTGAGTCACTGTAGCTAATGTGGTGAGACTGGTGTGTGAAGAAGGAGTGATGACAGCCATGGCACTAACCCAGTAGAGGACTTCACGACTTCGTTGATAACAACTAGCCAGTAAAAGTGCTTTACTGGTACAGGGCAAAAGGCAACAGTTATCACTGCTGTGAACAGTGTCCAAAATCCTCCACACGTGACCCCGGCCACTGTAACAGCTGGATGCCACTGGCAAGCGTGAATTGCCTCGCAAATTCGGCGATTGTCTCGACACGTGACACTTCCTTAGCGAGAATGAATGGTGCAACGGTAGGGCGTTATTGTCGGTGCAATGTGTAGTGTTGTCTCGCGGAAGTGCTCTTGAAAACTGCCCCGCATATATCACTCCGTCTCGCTCACTTTTTTCTCGCCACGCACTAGCAAAACAGCAGATGGATCACACCCTGAAACTCACACTGACTACCCTGCATGCCCACATCATCTCCATGCACCGCACTCAAAAAGGCGTTTCTCTTTTGAGTATGGATGCGAATGTGTTTCTCCGGTGGTTGGTTGGCTGTTTGGGCACAGATGTGCTGCATTAGGATGCTAGTAAGTAGTAAGGTATGGTAAGGGATACCATTGATACCTTAGAGGGTGCCTGTTATCAATCATGCTACAGTCTTCATCACTCCTGGGCACTAGGTCATTGATCCTTTAAATGTGTCTCATTCACCTTGCCTATATGATTGCAGGCCTTCTTGATGCTAAATCCAAGAAATAATGAGTTACTCAGTACCCCTTACCAGGGACATGCTAACAGCAGGGTGATGGAGAAAATCAGTACTCGGACCTTTCCGGAAAAGATTCTACCTATGCCCAGTAGAATACATGTGGGCTTTGCGCAGCAAAGCCTAGTTAGCCCATGCACACGCATGCTGGTGGTGGAGTGCTGCGAGTGCGTGTCATGTGACCACCTCGTGATTAAGCCGTGTGCGCCGTGTATGGCCTGGCAAAATGTTATGGACAATCGTGGATCCGGCGTCTAGTTATTTGGAGACGTGTTTTGCGGAGCTGTCTTTGTGCGAAGGAGCATTCTTTGCAGTTGCAGTTTCTGTGTCAAGTCAAAGTTTTTTGCAAGTCAAAGTTTTTTCTTCCTTCCGAGGTTTCCCCTTTTCTCCGTTACTTGCGGAGATTAATATGAGCACCCGACGTGTCGCGACCCGCAGCATGGCTGCGCGAGCTCCTCCTGCTGCTGCAGCACCCCCTGCTCCCCCGACCCGCAGCATGGCTGCTCGAGCTTCTCCTGCTGCTGCAGCACCCCCTGCTCCCCCGGCAACGCCGGCTCCGGCGCCTGGGGCACGATCATTAGGCGTCCCTATGTCTATGTATATGTAGAGACATGGGTATACATTTTTGTGAGACGGATCATCCCTTGCGGTATAGCTGCTGTAGGGCTGGATGAGCCCAGCTTGCCCAATGTGGGTTGTAGATTGATTGACTTTGGATGGACTCTTTGTGTCATACTCCACTTTGCCATAGTTGAAAAAATACCGAACAGCTACCGATATCCTTTTCTCATGATTGCCGTGACCATCACACTCCATTATTCACCCCAGTGTCTGGAGATATGTGGATTTTGTAGAAAGAAAGAAACCACCCCAGCTATACACAATCCTCAGAAGGAGAACTGTCTTCTAGCAGGGCAATGCTAATCGGCCCTAGCTATATTAGTATACACTGTAGATGTGACTTACACGTGACAGGTGCAGATTGGTCGGATGTTGTAACCGCTGGTGTACTAGTAGTTGTGACAGGGTCTAGCAACAAAAGAGGCAGGCAGAACCACTACTTAGCACTGATATCTGACAAAAGAGGAGTGGAGTTCAAGGGGTACAGGGTCCAATTCCAGTACACTACCATCCATAATGATCCATTCATGATGACTTTTGTTCCCAGTGTTTCTTCACTCACTCACTCACTGACGATGATGACGATGAGAATCTGCAGATCATGTACTACAGTAATGATCAAGCCGCACTACCATAATCGTTGGCAAGGCTTTACGAGTGATTGTGTCCGTCTGTGTATTGACTAGGGCCTCTTCGTCATTGTTCGTGCCTTATGCTCTGCTCGACAGGTGCAGGGTACTAGTACAGTCTTGCTTTCGCGCAAGGCCTCGTTTCCCCATCTATTTGGCTAGTCGTAAAAACAGTGAGCAACGACAATGGAAAGCAACGGACAGTAATCTCCAACCCGGGGTGGGGGTGGGACAAGGGGGGGGGGGGGGGGATCACTCGAGTAGAGTGACCAGGATTTCTTGAAAGATATTGTAGACATTCATGGTAGGACAACACCATATTTGCCATGTTGCAAAGATATCCCTGAATGATTATTATAATTGGTCACCGCAAAGCCGCAGCCTATCCATCCTTACCTCCTTGGCCATATGCGCTATTTAGTAGTGATGCAATGAACAGCAGCAGCAAACGGGGCAGCACCAGTGGCGCTCTCCGCACCGCTAACGGTAACGCACGTGGCGACCCTCTCAAGGTCATAATGAAAATTTGAATTGACGAAGAATGTTCTACTTTGTATTACTCCTTCCTTGACGGTCCGCTTGCCACTAGGCTGCTAAAACAGTAGCCTTCCAAACAAAGGTCAAGGATATCGTCATCCTACATGTATCTACCAGTATCTATTCTGAGACCAATAACTAGTCATCGTCGTCAGGAGAAATCAACGAACGGAATTGTATCTTCTTCGTCGTCCCACCGCCAGTTCAAGTGTTCCAGATTCGAAGAACGAACTGAACGTGCACACGAGCAGTGAATTTTTGGTGTCAACCCATCCATGCCTAACGCCTGGATCCATACATAAAAGTGTAGGGGAGTGTCTGCTATGCATGCGGCATTACATGGACGATTCTGCGATCCGCGATCCGATCCTCGGTGGCTATTACGTCACCCGTCGAGCATAGTGAGCGCACTGAGAGAACCAGGGAGTCGTATAACTACAAACCCCGGTTTATACGACTCCCTGGAGGGAACTAAACTCTAAAGCCGAGAACGCAGATCTTGCATCGCACATTCGAAGTGTCTCGACCATCGCATGCCTGGTTTCCAAGCAAATCTTCAAAAGTGGGCGCAACTACATGTATCAGTATGGTATGCGGTTCACATGACCACAGAGTCTCGACGCAGTCGATGTAGATCTACGCAGTGGACGTGGACCCTGGACGGTACGTCATGGTGCTTTTAGATCTTTACTAAACTTCTATTGGCAGGCTTTAGCCTTTACTAGCTTTAGTGTTGATCAGCTCTAAACCAAAGTACATAGCCTATGCCTATGGCTATGACTATTGTACCTCCACTACTGGCACTAGGCTCTAGTACGTGCATACTTCAAAGTCAATACTAGTACTCTGTAGTGATCACGGTGTGTGTTCTTGATGACTTGGACAGCGGTGTCAGAGAGCCGGGTCTGTCATTATTACCAACCAGGTCAATTACCGTCCTTGCTCAACCAGACAAGCAAGAGACCGGGGCCGGCCAGGGCCAAGACAAGGAGTCTCTTGCGTCTGGTAGGTGGTGGTGTCTGGTACGGGTGGTGGTCGTGTCTGGTACGAACACTGCATACGGTAACATACTGTCTGCCATGCTACATTGACAGTCAGAGTAGGCTTGTTGTAGACATCATTCCAGGCTGTACTGGTGACAGTGCATGCAGTGGTGTCCGCAAGACGTCATGCCCTGACAGTTTACACTGTACTGGCATCAAGCCGCCAGACTAGCCCGCAGATCAGATTCAGAGGATCTAAAATCTTCATCTTGCCCGTTACATCGCAGGTGTCGCAATAACTTCGATCTACCGTTTGTCTGAGCTAACACTCTCCCCTCAACTGCTCCTTCACAGCGTACATTTCCGTTCAACGACACGTCATTGACCCCTGGAACACTCTCCCGGCTTCCCTATTCACCAACCCGCCATCCCTAAAGTCACTGAAGAGCCTTCAAGTTTTCAAGGCAGATGCCTTCAAGTTTTCAAGGCAGATTTGCACCACCATCTTCGCCGTAGTCATTGACTTTGGGCCACTGACTCTTTCCAGCAACAATTATCACTATCAGGATCATGCATTCTCCCCTTCTAAGTAGCTTTTATGTGCTCTTGTCCTCCACCCCTGATCACCCCTGATCATAGTTTCAGATACATCTTCTGCACTCCCATCCTACTCTCGGCACAGTACCTGGAAGAGGCATTGAGGGAGGGGGGCGGGGGGTGCGAGGTAAACAATGCGTCGACAATGATGTGACTGATCACCAAGGAAATGGCTGATAATAGTTCCTTCTATGCTATTGAGCGACAGCAGGCTTGACAACTCTCTGCCAGTGGTAGCACTGAAGAGTAACAGTGAACAGATATCCAAGCAACCGGGTATAGTCAATTTCCGCGAGACTCTGGACAGCTAGCTGTTTCGACCATGGTAAGTCTCGTCAGCCAGCCGAGCCGATCGAGCGCAGACGAAGCTTACCAGAAAGAGTGCTAAACCATGCAAGCCGAGGCGAGGGAGCGTTTTACTCGATCTCTGGACAGCTAACTGTTTCGACCAGGGAGTCATATTCGTATACGACTCCCTGGTTTCGACCCTGTATTTCATGATGATAGCTGACCGCCTTGGTGACACTCAATGATTATGTCAACGCTAGCAACACACACACAGGGGCATCACATCTCCGCCTCCAGTGGACCACCACGAAATGGCGAAATCCAAACAGCTTTAATAGCTCTCTTCTGGGGGAAGAGGAGGACGTGGGCCCTGGCTTCGCCTGTACAATGCCATAATTGCAAAATCTGGGGACTGATGGAGGTTGCACTGCAAGGAGAAGCTAAAAACGCCTTCGGACTTGCACAGACGACAACTACGCGATCGGCGCCTGTTCGGAATCACGGATCAGGTATTGGGTAAGATAATCCCGCCGTCATCTCCAACCAGGGCCTGTAATGCAGAGCGCACCCAACCACTGAGTGTGACTCTCACACACCTTACCGTCCACTGTTTTCCATGCTGGGTCATGTCAGACAGTCTTTATGCCCAAATCGGCCTAAGGCTAAGACGGCCCGCCACACACTGCACTGAGGAAAATTGTAGTACCTGTACTCGTACTCACGTCGAGATGTCATCCGTGTGCGTGGATGTGGTGTGCGCTGGTGGAAGACGGTTGGCGGTTTTGGAGCTCTGGCTGACGAGGAAGCTTGGTGAAATTCCTGGAGGATTGTTCGTGGTACGTTGCAAGTTATTCTTCGTTGTGCTAAGTTGTGCTGAGTTCCCTGCTTCAGACCCTATTCAGGTTTCTCACCTATTTCCTGGAACTAACTATGCAGCGTTTTCACCGTCCTTTGTCCACACTCTGTATTTTGTAGGTTGTTGCCTCACAGCCCTAGTGGCCCGTTTTTAAAATTATCCTCCTAGCCCTAGGTCACGGCTACTCTGTTTATTTGGCGTTCATGATTTTTTGGTGGATTTTTGCCTAATCTTCTATCTTCGCATTTGACTGGACTAATTTCATTTCAAACAGTTCTTAGGCTGTCGAGAGGCTACAGTTAGTGTGGACCAGTGATGCGGAATGCCCTGTTGCAAGTCGGTGTTCACTCGGGCGGTGCGTTAGGTGTTCTTGTGTAATCACCAGCATCCATGTGCCGTAAGCTGCTCCCATGGGCACAACTCTCCTAGTTTGAAACCAACCCGACAGCCGTACAGGTAGTGATGCTTCATACCCTTCCTCTGCTTCTTCTTGCCGAACAGCTTCGCCTTGGAGTTACAGCATGGATGGTGCGATACAGTGTATCATGTTTGCTTCATGCTGAAAATCATGATGCGGAGAGAGATGAAATTGACAATAGCAGCGATGGCGGCGAGGATAACTATGTGGAGCCGGAGTGGCACAACCAAACCGGGCCAACTTGGGCGGGGAAGACCAGACCCTCAGCTATCAGCAGATACGTGCCCTGAAGCAACGCGCCTGAGAAGGGATACGTTTGATGATCCAGAAACTAGCACCCGATCAACATCAGCAAGCCAAGCCTTGACTTGAGTGACTACAGCACCTTCTGTAGATCATGATTGGCACGGCGAGTTCTGGAGGTGCCATCAACTGGTACCGCCGGTGGCCATGAACCTGCAACTTACGGTGGGGTGGCATGCACCCTGTTGCTCAGGATAGGCAGTCTTTTCCACTTGCTCCTGATTCTGCTCAGAACATTCCTGGGCCAGATCATGGACAATCCCGCTTTCAACAAGTCCTTGGAATATAATTATGATGATGAAAAAGAAGAAGAAGGACAGAATGTTATGACTACCTGTCCACCAGCGTAATCAGATCTTATACAGTCAGCGAGTGCGACAAAATGGCACAAAACTGACAAGGAGTACTGAGCCATTCGGCAACCTGACATCTAGCTCCAACACTTCTCCAAGGCGCAAACCAACAACCTTCCAACTTGGAAGGCTCAGGTTCGGAAAGGTCCAAGAGGGGAAGGAAAGCGCAACGAAGAAGAGCACGAGTTACGCATCACGGCAACAAAGAATGCCGAAAGTTACTGGATGATGACTAGTAAGACTATTGGACATACCGGCCTTACTACAACCCGATGACACAAAGCAACAGACCACCCAACTTGGGAGGCTCAAGTTTATGTAATAAACGTAGAAAGGGGAAGCTAAGCGAATGTCTCAGTACTCCTTGTCAGTTTTGTGCCATTTTGTCGCACTAGCGTACTGTATAACATCTGGTTACGTTGGTGGACAGTTAGTCATGGCTCATATTTTGCCCTTCTTCTTTTTCACCATAATTTAGTTGGCTCACCATCCGAGTTGAATATATGATGAAGTAAGTTGTCAATTGCAAGAAGGCATACTTCAGAGTTCCGCGTGGATCAGTCGACAAGGCCTTCGTCAATCAGCTCTGCAGACATCCAAATAAATACATTGTATGTGAAACCCCGAGGCGAGGATACCGAGTCGCTATACTGCTTCTCTATCCTTCCTGTTGTTGCGCTGCCGAGAACAGGGGCTAATTGCAGTGGTCGACAGCAGAGCGGTCACCTTCGGCATCGGCTCTCACTCTGGAGCAACGACCAACGAGGATGAAGCACTCGTGGAGGAGGACCGGTGCATATGGAAGACGTTGAGTGACCAGTGGTAGAAAGTGTGGCTGTGTCGATGAAGCACGCCAACTAGGACGGAGCATGTCTTCTGGAAGGGTCCATGATATTTATGAAGCACTGCGTTACTTTGGATCCTGCATCCAGAGATCGTAAGTCTGGCACTCTGAAGCCGCAGTGGCCGACGTCGTCACCCTATCCGATGGCACACAGGCATCCGTCCGGCAGCTTCTACAGGAAAAAAACACCCAGCAGTGCAGCCGGCATCACACGAAGCACAGTTGGAGGGGTGCTATGAGCAAATTCACCACGTAGATCTACGTCGGTATGACTCCACCACTGGGGAATTGCTCGAAGACGTGGCAACGCATTGTGAGGGTTCCGTTGGCCCCACAGGTCTTGGTGCTGCATATTGCCGACAAATATGTTCCGCATTCAAAGGAGCTTCTACAAATTTGTGTAACACCTCAAGGCTGGCACATCTCCTGGCAGCGCCAAAGGTTAATCTAATCCTGTTGGCTTAGCTCCGTTTCTAGCTTGCCGGCTGGTGGCGACCAATCGCCGTCGGGGAAGGGCTGCAGAGACTGGCCGTGAAGGCAATTCTAGGTTGTGGGGCGGGAAATCCAGGAGGCGTATGGTTACATCCAGAAGTGTTCGGGCCTCCCTGCGGGAATCGAGGCGGCAGTACACACTATGCAGACCATTAATTATTTTATGAAGAGCAGTCTACGGATGGCATTCTTCCAGTGGACACGCGGAATGTATTCAACGGTGTCAACAGAGCGGCTGCACTGCACTGTTGACTGTTATATCCATCATTAGCGATCAATTTACGTATTTTACAGTCAATCAGCGCGGCTGTTGGTGGGGGGCGGTGGTGAGTTGGCTTCGCAAGAGGGCACTACACAGGGTGATTTCCTTTCAATGGTGTTTTATGCCTTTGCCACACTGCCTTTGGCGCAGCACCTCCTAGCAGATTGTCATTCCATTGGTCAGACGTGGTATGCTGATGACTCCAGTGGTGGAGGAAGATTGCAATGACTGCGCTTGTGGTGGGACATTCTACAAGAAAACGGTCAAAAATATGGCTATTGCACCAACTCGAAGTAGACTCAACCAAGACTGATGCAAAGCAATGCGCAGAAAACAGTCGAAAATGGATTGCCGAGTTGTGCCGCCACACCGTGTTTGCACATGCCGCCTATGCTGCTATCGGCCATGGTGAATCTACGTGTTGTGCACGGTCACAGTCTCCCGGGACTGCTGAACCTCTCTTGACGATATCATAACAAATGAATCCTTGGCAGCGGCACTAATAGGGAGAGAAACCCTTACTGGTGAAGAGCTAGCATTGCTGCACCTTCCCACGCGCCTTGGCCGGCTTGCTATCTTGCATTTCCAGTGGATTGCGGCTTTTGAATTACATGTAGCCTCGTCTCGATCCGTAACCGACCTCCAGGTAAGGGAGATGGTTAAAGTACAGTCAGTCACAAACACACTACTACATGTAGTACAATTCAAAAGTGGAGAATACACTTCAATTCAAATACTAGTAATCCTGGGAATTGAGTTACTTGTACAATTAAAAAAATAATAACTACTATTGATTCATAAGTGAATGCCACGCATTTCGAGCATGGAAAAAAGAGCTTCAGAAGCAAATGTGGACGGAAAGATAAAATGACAGGGAAGACGGCTATGAATGCAAAATGGCAAGGTTTGTTGTAATTAAATTGTCAGTGCCAGCTGAACACACAAAGAAGACCCATGCAAGCTAGAGCATAGGAGACATCGAATAAAAGAAGAGAAAAGAGCAAACAAACCCGCCTACATGCCAGCCAGAAGACATCATCAACATAATACCTGGATGCGAGCTACAAAATAAATCCTACACAAGAAACGTATGCACATATTCCATTTAAAATAGGGGGGGGGGGGGGGGAGGGACAAGAATGTACACATACTTTGCCTGCAAAATGTATCCCGACACGAACAAGTGCGCAACAAAAAAAATGAGTTCAAGAACATGTACAAGCACATTGTTTGTATGCGCTACGACCCATCAAGAAGCCAGCAATAGGTCAAACAAAGTAGCACATCTATACTCTCAAGCATGCACATTCGCCGAGCACACATCCAGTGACAAATGCATCTCAGTTTTCTATATAAGAATATGTACACAGTGACAGACACCATAAAGAGACTTCAATGCTGTCCCCACCTGACGTGCCACCGCTAATTATCAGAGTACGCGGGTGGTGGTCCAAGCAATGCATCCGACGGTTGTGGTGCCGCAAAAAGGGTTTGCGACGTGAGACCGGACGGTGCCACGTTTCCGGCTGAACTAGCAGAGCCTCCAGCCAGTGTTGCCTGCACACTGTCCAGCTGGATGCTCTCGGCTGGTGTTGGTTGAGAACTTGCGGGCAGCCCTGCTGCTACAGTGCAATCAACACTCTCCGTGGCCATCGGCACATCCAGAGCAGCACCACTCGCACATGCCGCCGTTACGTCCACAGTAGATGGCTGACTGGATGGACTGGCAGTGCTGGATAGTTCCGCTGCCTGTGATGGGGATGATGAAGAGGCTAGAGAGTACGGCGGTGGCTTATTGGCGCGATACCAGTCACTATTCGCCATCCATTGGCTTTGGTCACCATTTCCAGGAGGCAAGAAAAACACTCCATTTCCAGAATTTGCTGGCAGCAACTCCTCCTCGCTCTCTTGGCCATCGCCACTGGTACGCTGACTGCGAGTATTCCTGTTTCTGTAAAATGCTACTGGTATGAAACCATCACCAGTGGCTTGCCGTCTCCGAAGGTACGAACAGCAGCACACAAGGATGATCATGGACGCCCAAATGAGCCAGAACCACTGTGATGAGGCAAATTTGGCATGGGAATGGTAAGTATCCAGGCAGCAGGATCTTGAACCACAGCAAGTATAACCCCAATTACAATAGTACTTTTCGTGAGCTGCATAGTCGTAACAAGTCGGCAAATTGATGTACGGTGAGGACGATGGGGTTGCCATTCCTGAAAGTCTGGTCTAAAAAGTGCGTTTCGTTTACAGCTGACTGAGGAGGTGAGGCAAGATCACCGCTCTTGCAGAATCGCAGTCAAACTTCCATGGACGTAGTTTAGAGTCCTCGACCTCTCACAATGCAGTTTCCCCGATATACCGCCAATCAAGCCACGATCACTCGCCTAATAGGAAGCATGCCAGCAGTTGTTCAAACAAGAAACTGACTGAGTGAGAGAAAGGACAAATTTTGAAGTGAAGGGACTCCAAAAAACGGGAAAGTAACAAAGCATGACTGTGTCGATCTGTACGCGCTAGCTAGCTGTGCACTGCACTAGCACCACACTGCAGCACTGCATGGATATGCACGTCTTGGCAGTTGGCACGCCACAAAAACAGTACGGTAGCATCACTGATAGTGATACATTACATGTAGTGACAATGCACTGCACTGTGCATGTGCATGTGACTCAGTGCAGTGAAATATGCGCTACGGATTAGTACGGAAGCTACGATGAGTCATCCTGCTGATATGTCGACAGCCAACACTTGACAGCTAGCTGAGCCAGCCATGATGATTGCGATGCTTGAATGGCGAAGCCAAGCAGCAGCCCACCGTGCATAGCTAGCAGCATGCTTACCTGTTAGTCAAGAGTCCATAACCATTATCCCCAGGGCTAGGGATATGTACAATGCACTCTTGCCGTTATGTATGTACGTAATCAAGAGTATAACAACCCCCTGCTTATATCCTCTTGATGTAATGTGATGCCATGGCTATGCATGGATCGACCGATTCAAGGAATACTTATAGCCTACAAGTACTAAGTAGGCACGCCAGCTGGCGGAGTGAGTACGGAGCAGAGAATTATTACACTGCATTTACCACCAAACTGGTAGTATTATGTTAACATGCATTCTCTGCACTCTGGGGCGGGTGAGTCGTGCTTCAGCGGAGAACTCGCCCTGGTTACCACTTGAGATTGCAAACTTGGTAAAATTGTAGTCTAAATTTCTAATCACTTCCGAGAAGCTGATCCCAGTAGGACACTGCAGCGGATAGTCATTGATAAAGCCCGTTGAGCTAGGTAGATGATTGCAACAACAACAAAAAGCTAAAAATCAGGAACAGAATTACGGATGGCAAAAAAAGATTTAAAAAAAGATCTCACCCCTGCTTGGGATTTATACACAAAGCCATCATGCTCGGTGCATACCAGCGCACTATAGTGGCAAACAGAAATTGCCGAATAAATACAAATGACGCTGCTGGATTCTCCCGCCAGAATAAATAGGCCCCCAAAAAGGCTAATAAATAGCACGAAAAAAACACATGTCCCGGACATTGCTAGTTGTTGTTCTGGGCGGAAGATGTCTGACAGTATGTACACTAGGATACTATATACACGTAGTCTGCTGTATTGTATGTTCAAGACCGGAGAAACAAACAACAATCCAACGAACAGGATAAAAAAGAAGAAGAGAAAAACGGGATTACAAATACACAATAGTATTCACACACACAGAAACACACACGCACACACACACACACACACACACACACACACACACACACGCACGCACGCATACCATGAGAGCATAGCTGGCTTCAGGACCACGTAGTTGTCGATTCAAGAGGTCCCGCACACGATTATAGTCGAATCATGGCTTTCGACATACCCAGCAGCTCTGGAGGAGCAAGACGGAAAGTGACCAGCATTTGGCAATACTTGTGTAGGATCCACGATCGAGTCCCCATCCACCTAGCATCAAGGACAAAGGCATAACAACATGCCAGAAGAGCAAGGTTTCATCTCACGTGTGACAGCGACCGCGGGTGCAATCAAGACTCAGTACGACGTCGTACGTACTTTTTTTTATGATGCAATGCACAGTGTACATGTATAATTTTCAGATCTATCCTAGACTAGTCGTAGAGGTGGACATATCGCCACTTGATACTGTTTTCAGATGTATCCTAGACTAGTCGTAGAGGTGGACATATCGCCACTTGATACTGTTTTCAGATGTATCCTAGACTAGTCGTAGAGGTGGACATATCGCCACTTGATACTGTTTTCAGATGTATCCTAGACTAGTCGTAGAGGTGGACATATCGCCACTTGATACTGTTTTCAGATGTATCCTAGACTAGTCGTAGAGGTGGATGTAGTGATAGTGACTGCGTTGTTCTTACACCACCTAGCTGTCATATGTTGCATTCTACACATCACTGCATGTGTCGTACTCACACCTTCATGATGTGCTACATTCACACTGCTGTATGTTATAGTCTCTTGTCATTCCAGTAATCAGTACATTCTGGCCAGCTCACTACACTGGCGCAGTGAACAGCTCAAGCAACTTGACGCTAAGGCAAAGGGACGACCTCCGAAAGAATTTTCTCCTGGCTATGGTGGAGATACGGGCGCAGACTTCAATCTCTGGCTAGAAGATGTCGATGATTATATGAAGATCTGCCAAGTGACGGACCCAGGAGAAAAGAAGTGCCTTTTCTTGAATCTCGCCGGTCTCAATGTCAGGAGGATCGTCGAAGGTTTAGTCGTTCCCGTTCCAGACGATGCAACTGACGATAACCCGGGAGACACTTACAAAGCCCTCACTGAGTCACTTCGTTGCCATTTTCGACCGTCCATCAATGCGACGTCAGAGCGGCACAAGTTTCGTCAGATTAGGCAGCTGCCGGACGAATCGGTTTCAACCTTCATGAGTCGGCTGAGAGAGAAAGTGGAACTGTGTAGTTTCGCATCGACAGATGTTGACACGGTAGTCAATACTCAAGTCCGCGACCAGTTAATTGCTGGATTGAGGTCGCAAGACTCGAGGCGCGAACTATTGAAGGAGCCTAAGCTGACTTTGGCGGACGCTCTCTCGAAGGCAGTTGCTATGGAAGCATCACTTTTGGACTCCAACTTGTACAACAGTGAACCAGGACCTAGTGTAGCAGCATGTGTGAAGCCAGAGACCACAGCGGCTGTGTCAGGCAGTGAACCCAAGCACCAGCTCAAGAGGAAAATGACGAAAGGTCCTGGCTGCAAGTACTGTGGTCGAATGCATGCCAATGGAAAGCAGTTCTGCCCAGCAGCACATGTCCGTTGCAACAGCTGCAGGAAAGTTGGCCATTTCGAAGCGGTTTGTCTCTCACGCAAGCCTAACAAAGCCAATGCAGTAGATGCGGAGGAAGACAGTGACACTGCACAAGTGGTGTATGATTCTATTTTCGCGTGCAGCGATAAGGCAGCCAGAGGCCAGTTCACCATGACACTGATGGTGAATGGCAAGCCATGTGAGGGATTGCTTGACACCGGAGCAACACGCACCATTCTCACGGATGATGTGGTGCAGCCTACCCGCTCAAGTGACCGCATACTTCGAGCATACAACGGTGGCGAAGTGAAGACTCTTGGCATGGCGGACGTCGATATTGCTGTAGGAGACAACACCATTCTCTGTGAATGTTTCATTGTACCGGCTGGCAAGCGTTCTGTATTGTTTGGACAAGATGTCATCTCACAATTGGAACTGCTTGTGAATGCACACATGGCGGATACAGCACGTCTTGTTGAAACTGCTCCAGTTTCTATCACTGTGGACAAGAGCGCTAGACCGGTAGCCCAACCAGCTCGCCGCCCTCCATTTAGCGCCAAAGCCGACATAGAAAAGGAGTTGGCACGCCTGGCTAAGGCTGACATCATTGAGCCCGTGAAGGAGGCATCGCCTGTTGTGCCTGTCCGTAAGTCTAACGGTACACTCCGGTTATGTGTGGATTATAGACAGCTGAATAAGTCCATCACTAGAGAACGCCATTCTCTCCCAACAGTAGACGAAATAACCAGCGAGTTAGGAGCACAAGTATTCTCAGTGTTGGATGCCGAATCGGGATTCCACCAGCTGTTACTGGAGGAAGAATCACGATCGTTTACAACGTTTGCTTCACACTGTGGATCGTATCGATTCAAGAGACTGCCGTTTGGTATTTCATGCGCCCCCGAAATCTTTCAGCGAGTGGTGTCGGATATTCTAGTTGGCCTGCCGGGTGTTGTTGTCTATATAGATGACATATTGATTTTCGGAAGGAATCAAGTTGAGCATGATGCTCGCCTGGCGAGTGTCTTGGAACGCCTGAAGGCAGCAAACCTCAAGCTGAACTGGGCCAAGTGTCACATCGGCAAAGACCAGGTCAAGTACCTGGACCACACGTTGACCAGAGATGGAGTTCAGCCGGACAGCAGCAAGCTAAGCGCTATCGCCGACATGGCCGCCCCAAAGACTGTAGCGGATGCACACCGCTTCTTGGGTATGGTCACATACTTAGGAAAGTTTGTTCCTCGCCTGACTGAAGCCACAGAGCCGTTACGCCAGCTGATGAAGCGTGAACCATTCACTGTGAACGATGATCTTCTCAAAGCGTTCTCCACAGCTAAGCAAGCTGTAGTCTCTTCATTGCAAACACTTGCATATTTCCAGCCGGATGTAAACGTACCGACAGCAATCAGCTCCGATGCCTCACCTTCTGGTCTGGGAGCTATTCTGTGGCAGCAAAGCAAGGCTGGACAATGGCTGCCCATTACATGCGCCAGCCGCACGCTCACGGATACAGAGTCCCGATATTCGCAGATGGAGCGCGAGATGCTCGGCATAGTGTTTGCACTGACCCGTTTTCGCCAGTATGTTCTGGGTCGTCATGTACAGGTGTACACTGATCACAAACCTCTCATACCGATTGTGCAGAAGGCATTTGACGATGTGCCGCCTCGATTGCAGCGCTGGTTAGTCGCGCTCATGCCGTACGATTACTCCCTCAAGCATGTTCCAGGGAAGGAGCTCTTCTGTACTGATGCACTTTCCAGAGCCCCGGTAGCGTCTACTGATGCTTCTCCAGCCGAATCGCGTTCTCTCCATGAGTATGTTGGCCTAGTTTTGGAAGCCGCTCCAGTAGGCATTGCAGACATTCGTTGTGCTGCACAAGATGATCCAGTAGTGAGCAAAGTGATTCAACGCGTACTGTATGATTCGTGGCTTGACATTTTGCCACCGGAGCACCCCTACTATCTCGTCCGTGATCAGCTGACAGTGGTAGATGGCATCTTAATGTTCGGTGGCAGATTCGTTATTCCTGAAGGTTTACGAACAGCGATCATGACCCTAGCACACGAAGGACATCCTGGACAAGAGGCCTTCCAAGACACCCTGCGCCAGAGAGTCTGGTGGCCAGGAATGACTAAGGATGCAAGCACATACGTGGAACGCTGCTCTGAATGCTGGAGGAGACGTACCAATAATGCGCAAGAGCTCCAACCGACTGAGGTTGTTGGCGTCTGGAGAAAGCTGGCAGTGGACATCGTATCCATTGAGGGGTACTCGATTCTCTCCATAGTCGATTATGGCTCCAGGTACCCTATTCTGAAGATAATGCGCTCGACAACCTCAGCTTCCGTCATCAATGAACTTGATGAGGTATTCTCTGCATTTGGTCTTCCCGAGACTTTAGTTTCGGACAACGGCCCTCAGTTTGTCTCTGGGGAGATGTCTTCATTTCTCAGCCGGCTTACAATTACACATGTACGATCCAGCCCAAGGTATGCCCGCTCGAATGGCATGGTGGAGCGTCTGCATCGAGTGTTAAGGGAGAGACTGTCTGCTCTTAAGCCACATCTCCCTTTCCAGAGGCGTCTTAACCAAGTGTTGTTTGACATTCGATGCATAGAATGCTCGGTACATCACCAAGTGAAGCTTTGTTCTCTCGACCACTGCGTACAAGAGTCCCGGCACAACTCCACCCCACCGTTGTGAATCCCCAGCACCAGCTGAAAGCAAAAGCTGAAATGTCTGCACAACACGACTCCCGACGTGGCGTGAGAATGCTTTCTGAGCTTCGGCCCGGCACAAAAGTCACTGTGCAGGACGGGTACTGCGACAAGTCTCAGTCATGGACCGTGGTGAACCAGTTCGGCCGTCAGGTAGGAGTGACCGATGGCTCTCGCTACCTACTGAGGAATAGGCAGCATGTACGAGAGTTTGTTTCACCGCATCGCCCGGACGATTCTCCACCCATGTCGTCAGCGAACCCGTCTTTCAGCCGTCATGAGGTGGACCTTGAGCGAGCGCCAGCACAGGCGGCTCCTCGGATCGGTCAGCCTTCAGTGCCAGAACCAGATAGAACCGGAACTGGACAGTCTGCTCGGATTGGTCAGTCTACAGTGCCAGGTGCTGTTTCAACCTTCATCTGCACGTGAAAGCCAGCCTGCTTCGAAGGAACACACTCCAGCTGCTTCCGGCAAGCGCTCATTCGTCGATGGTTCAGCCACTCGCTCCGGACGGCATATCAAATTTACTGAGAAGGCACGGCTCTACGCAGACAGTTTATCCTAAAAGATTATTGCAACAATGCATCATACTCACTCTGAAAGTTCAACTTGACAACTTTTTGTGTTTTTTGAAGTTGAGTTCCTATCTCCCTCCATTGGGTGCTTTGAAATTCAAAACTTCATATTGTGTTCTCTCTTCTTCTTCTTTTTTTTAAATTCCTTCTATTGCTTTCCCCGGCACCGGCTTTTTGTTTGGGAGAAGGAGTGATGTAGTGATAGTGACTGCGTTGTTCTTACACCACCTAGCTGTCATATGTTGCATTCTACACATCACTGCATGTGTCGTACTCACACCTTCATGATGTGCTACATTCACACTGCTGTATGTTATAGTCTCTTGTCATTCCAGTAATCAGTACATTCTGGCCAGCTCACTACAGTGGACATATCGCCACTTGATACTGTTTTCAGATGTATCCTAGACTAGTCGTAGAGGTGGACATATCGCCACTTGATACTGTTTTCAGATGTATCCTAGACTAGTCGTAGAGGTGGACATATCGCCACTTGATACTGTTTTCAGATGTATCCTAGACTAGTCGTAGAGGTGGACATATCGCCACTTGATACTGTTTTCAGATGTATCTAGACTAGTCGTAGAGGTGGACATATCGCCACTTGATACTGTTCAAACTGGCATCAGCAAGCATGTGTGGCAGTTTGCCACCTTTGTACTTTTAAAAGTGTGTACGAGCATAGGAAATGGTTATGCATGCAAGGAGCGAAATGACGTCAACTTGAAATTCTGTCCAGACCGCACTGCATGTGGGCGTTGTACACTGGGGGTACGTACTCTTGGTGCCATCCATCAAAGATACTCAGATTGGCCAAACTCTTCTGTTTTGACTTGCTATCTCATTCGCGCACAGTTCAATGAACGAGAAAATCAACTCAGCGTGTGTATACACTATGCACGCACGCAGGCAAACATATCCACTTTGCCTTGCTGTACAAGGCGCTATGATTCTCTGACAGCAAGACCCTGGCCTTGTGTCATGTTTGGAGGTGCCCTGTCACAACTGCACTGACAGGAGCATTTCCGAGTCCGCCATCAGCAACGTTCACTTACCACAGAATGCAGTCAAAGCGAAGTCGCTCTGCACGCCGCTTCACAGCCGGCACAAATCCAGTCTCGGATGCGTTGACGGAGCAACCACCAGCCGCCCTGAAAGCCAAAACACACCAGTAGAATACCTCTTGTGACTATACGTCATGACAGCCAAGATCAGACAGCAGGATGGCCATCCTAAAGCTCGTCGCCCCTGAGCGACCACGCTGGACTACTTCTGAAGTAGAACTCAAAAAGAACCAAGCTCTCAGCTAAAACACAGAAGACAGATAGGTATTACCAATGCATATCAGTGTAAGACCTACATTGAACACGAAGACCCTGTCTAAGGGCAGTGTGATGCTATGCGTGTGGCAAGTACAGGCATCGATACACATTGCTATTCCTCAATTTTACGACCTTTCATCCTGTTCGTACTCTGTAATTGTTTTCTCAAAATGCAACCATGCAAACATCAAGTACATGTACAGCTGCAATGGTTGTCAATTGTCGCAAAGCTTGATGATGCACAATGGGCGCAATATAGGCAACTTTTCTATTTGATGCAACAGTCTGAGGTGGAGTGCGTAGTATGGAGGTGTTTCTTCAGGTGTCAACAAAATGCTGCAATGAAGGTTTGTAAAAAGAGTTTTGAAGAAGGTCTGTCAAATTGTCAATACAGCACATGGACATCATATACACTGACCTTCGAGCCATGATGTTGAATCGATTCACTGGGGTTCCCAGCTCAGAGTTGACAGAGCGGACAATATTGATATTCCTGAACAACCAGTAGACACAAAAACCTTTAAAAACGGTAAGTGGAGCACCACAAAAATAAAATCATGGAAGATCACTGGTTCGAGTTAGGAAAAAAAACTGGTAATATTCTTGCCTAGAACATCTTCCTTTTACAGCTTACACCTCCCTCAAGTTTCTTTGGATAAGTGGTCAATCAGTGATACTTCTAACAAGAAAAATAATGGTCTACATCTGCACCCAAGAATGGGAAATGTTCACCATAATGCCATAATGCAGGCACGTAGCTTGGATGCTCGTGCAAGGAGTCTGTACAAATGTTGGCACATTTCAGTATTTCTCCACTGCTTGCAGTGCTGCTATGCGTGAACTGTACGGGGTGCATGCTTCATCACCATTATTTTACAATCGAAAACAAAATCTGACTGGCTGCCAAGGCCAAGACAATGCCTGGACAGGGGATTTGTGAGCAGCCTGCCGAACCCTTCGAGCCATGCGTCTCTGCCATGAGTGCTTTATATGTAGCGGAGGAACAGAACTGCCAGAAGCGGGCTGCAATATGCCACCGCTATGTCCACAAAGCCCGTAGCTATCAACTTATCAAGGCAATTCACACACTGTCTGTGATGGCATAGCTACTGCCTGGGGATGTGAGCACAGCATTGGTCTGTTGCAAAGAGTTGCAAAAGCAAGCAGAGGTAATATAAAGAAATCCCATGTTTGCAAACCAACCCAATGTGTTCCGGGTTCCTTGGTGTGCCTTTGAATCAATAGGGCCTGAAAGTGATGATGTCAGAAGTGAAAAATAACGACAAATTGCGACTTCTGGGTCAAATTGGATTCACTCTGTCCATAGCGAACTACAACAGGTGGTTGGTAGGCCCCTTGTGTTGCATGCAGGTGTGAATGTTTTCTGTCCCAGGAGTGGGTCCCCAACCGGGAGTGCCCAGGCTAGCTACCACCGGAGGATGTGCCACCCTGCTGTGAAGGAAAACCACCCAAACGTGTATGGATCCATGCAAAACTGGGTGCAAGTGGATCCCAAAGTCAGCGTTGTCATGACTCCGGGCTGGCTGTGACGTAGCACTTTCAAACCCCATAGTTTGAGTTCATACTCTATAGCCAGGCTACCTACAAAAAACATCCCAGGACATAGTCCAATTCCTAGTCCCATTCCAATACAACAAGTGTCTATACCTCATGACCAGCATGAGCGGTGTTGGCAGGGCTTTCAGCACATCCAAGATTAGATCAATGTGCTTGGCAGCCAGCTGCTGCATGAACTCCATGTCGGACTTGGTCAGGCGCACGTTGAACTGAATGGTGTTGCTTGAGTCCTGATAGAGCGGCCTCTGCAGAACCATGCTGGCAAGCACATTGTAGTCTGGAGCAAAAAGGAGGAAGAATAAAATGACAATTATATGCAGTTCAGCATGTGAGTACAACACAGCAAAGCAAAAGTTGCAGTTGCTCGTATCACACGACAAACACACAATGGACAAGCGATGTGGCCCTGGATATTCTCAGTACTACTCTAAGGGCCACTGTATGGACAAGTTGTGCATGCAAGCATGGACAAGATAGGGTAGCCATTGTGTATACAGAGTACATGTTTCCATATGTTGTGGAAAGCATGTAATTCTACAAGCTAAGAGATAGCAGCTGCCTGCATCAGACAGTAGCCTTCCTTCCGTGACTACTAGTATGCACAATGCTGTACGCCGTGCGTATTCAACTTGGCTGTCGTTTGTGTACACGATTCCTGCCCTCCTGCTGACTCGTAAGTATGGAAGGGCAGCCAGGAACTAAACGATGATCAGGAACAAGGGCGCCGCGAACCCGCACAGGTGGCACTAATAGTACACCAAAAGGCAAGATGCTTCAGACAAGCCATCTCTTTGCCACAAGTCGCTGAGCACCACACCAGCCATCAAGAAGTGGCATGCACGACAACTTGATTGGTCTTCCACAACAAGAGTACGACAGGTACTGACAGGTACCGCGAGAATGCTTCAGGGAGCTAGAAGGAGACCATGGATGTAACACCATGTTGTGGGGCTAGCTGTCTCTTGTTAGACTTTGTTTCAGTGCAAGAGCAACACAGAGTGACATCGACTGGTTGACGATATACAGTGATATCGACTAGTATCGGGGATGGACTGCATACAGCATCCAACATAAGGATATGAATTCTCTAAGGAGAACGTGAGTCTGGAACAAACTAACCTTTCACACCTAGCTGTTCGGCGCTATGCTTCAGCATCGGGATGTCGGAGAGGATAGCCGACTTCCACAATTGACACAGTGCAAGGCGATCACTGTTGTGGAGACCGACACACCCGTGCACACACACATGCACATACACACACGCGCGCGTGCGCGCACGCACACACACACACACACACACACACATACACATACGTGCACGCACACACACACACACACACACGCGCGCACACACAATGGGATTGTTGCTAGTGTCTGGAAATCAGTTACAGAAAACAGCCAGACCGCGCTTATCCAGTCGTTACTCATCTAGTTCCCTTGCCATCAGGTAGAACACCGGTCAGAGGCATGCACTCGCAACAGTGCAGGTCCAATTCTATGCAAAGGGGCAGTTTTCAAACTGTATGCAATAGCCCGTGCAGATTCTGAGAAAGATGGCAAAGCCAGGGATGGGAAAACATAGAATGACACAAACATACTCATCAGGCAGCCTCTCGTAGAGCCCATGATCCAGGATGACAAGCTGCAGCTTTCCGGATGGCCCGCGTCGCACCATCACTGAGCACACAATGGTAAAGAAGAGGACACATCAGTCATCAGCAAATTTAGAACCCAAGAAAACTCTCTAAAAAGAAAGTACTTTGAAGTAGCAGCATGAAGCTCCGAGAAGAGGCGTACTTCCACTGGACATTATATAAAATAAGGAACACACCCAAACCCACTGTACGCGTATGCAGAATTCAAGTAGCTCAATATCAATTCAACTCGTCCTCCTGATCGCACATGAATCCATTTCGCTTTCACACATAGCCGAGTATGAGAATGGTGTATAACACATGCCACGCGAGTCCGTTTGAGCACCGAAACCTACACTGTGGTAATATTGTGCTTCTGTCGCTTGTGCATGGGTGGGAAAACATGCACATGCATCTATGGACACGTACGGTGGTGTTCTAAACATGCTGTGTTTGTGTTCATGCATGTCGGCGATGTCAGTCGATAAGCAGTACATAGCGCAGAATCTAGTCGATGAGGAGTTTAGGTCAGTTGTGTCAGCCCTTGGGGCTCTAGAACGAGAACAGTGTGTACTTGCAAGTACTCACAGTTGCCAGGGTGAGGGTCTGCATGAACAAAGCCAGTCACGAAGATCTGCTCGGCCATTGATTCCACAAGCATTTGTCCCACCTAGTAGAGCGGCAGAGAGTAAAGAGAAAAGTTTACCGGTAAATGTACTTTCATCATTTGAACATGTGGCTAACTTCAATAATGTCAAAGTGTGATCTTCACAAGTACAGTAGTTCCAAATATCAACAGAGAAGTCTGAAGACTTAGAACTCACTCTTCTGAGAGAAAATCCCTTTTCCTTCATTGTCTTCACGTCCGTAATCTTCACACCTCCCTCAATCAGCTCTGTTGTTAGGACACGCTGTAGAAGGGAAGAGGATTATTAAAAAGAAGAAGATACAAACCTGTAGGTAACTGACTGAAACTGAACTCAAGTACAAGCTAATATATCCACTACTGAACGGCCGCAGGAGGCGAGTAATAGGCGATTCAGACTACGGCCAACTGCGACCACGTTTCTACAACTCAGACGTATTTGATCACGGATTGTGCAGAAAATTTTGAAACACGACTGCATCACCGTGGAAATTCAAGTTCACACGTGATTTTGGCCGTAGTCTGAATCGCCTATAAGCAACCAGGAATAGCCACAACTACAGCAACAACCATTGTTGTACTCTAAGCATACAAACGTCGAGGAATAACATCCCTAAAACGGAAGCATATTGCCATAAGCACAAGGAAGAAAATCTGCTCCAGTCAAGCGAATGGCATTTGTTTGTGGGCCCACTTGGGTAAAAGACAGCAGTAGTAGTTTTACACAGTACCAACCATCCTGGTGATGTCCCAGTGAACCTTGGGAACATACAGTAGTAGTTTTACACAGTACCAACCTTCCTGGTGATGTCCCAGTGAACCTTGGGAACATACAGTAGTAGTTTTACACAGTACCAACCATCCTGGTGATGTCCCAGTGAACCTTGGGAACATACACAGTAGTAGTTTTACACAGTACCAACCTTCCTGGTAATGTCCCAGTGAACCTTGGGAACATACACATATCCCAGGTGCTCCAGATCAACACTGCACTGCTCACTGTTCTTGCCCTCGCGCTCAAAGTCCAACTCGTGAGAAAGCGTGGTCTTCAGCTCCTGCACACAGCATGGAGAAACCCGCCGATGTGCAAAAGCATGTAAAATCATTGGTGACGCAATGACTGAGTATGATGAGAAACTTGTTGATAGTTGTAAGCAAAGTGGCTTCGCAATTGGGAGGATCATCAGACAATACGCACAACAGTGCAGCAGGAGATTTCCCCGAAAAATGAAATAAAATGTAAATGTAAAGTACAGGTACTAGGTCGCATTCCCATTTACAACATTCCTTCAAACGTATGAATACTGTATTACAGGTAGCATGTTACTCATTAAAGGATCCACAGGCTTCAAGCATCTGTCAATGAAATCTAGGCAGAAGAGCTAACAAAATAAAAGCACTGAAAAGAACTCATCACAGTGCAATTCTATATGTACATGAGAAGACATGAGAGCTTACAGGCAAGATCCAGCCAAACTTGAACTTGGGATGGAGAAGCGGAACACATCCCAGCAAAAGTCCCAGCGTGAACATATCCCCGTCAAAACGATCCCGCAGATCAATGTACTGCACCTGTGGGGAGAAAAGACGAGCACAATGAACTTGTAAAATTGTTGGCAATTGCTGAGAATGGAACAACTAATAGCATGCGTGAAATAGTTACTGTATATCACCTTATTTTCGGTGTTGTAAAATTTCGGTGAAAGCCAAGCCCCGACCTTTCGGTGTAAGGATAAATTCGGTATATGACACCAAAAAAATCAACAACAAAAAAACGCTCTAAATCTCCGGCTAGGCTCCACATACATGTACAATCATGTACAATACATGTACAATACATGTACATCAGGGAGTCGTACTCAAACTAGGGAGGTGACACGGCACAGAAATCCGTGTCACAGGGGTTGACTCGCACCCTTGACCCCTCGTTGTTATTTTTGGAATAGTTCAGTCCAGTCCAGTCCGAAAGGTCATACTCGGATCGACTCGCCTTCTGTACTTCACCTCCAAGCGTGCCGCATGGGTGTCTAGTTTTTGAAATTATTGAGGCAGCACATTTCGTTTACAGCCCATCACTCGCCAGTATTCTTTGAAAGACTACCAGCAATTTTTTTAGCTCCTGCCATGTCCGAACTACTTGATAGCAGTGATGGCAACAGCAGCAGTTATGAAACGGCGTGTAGTGTTGCGGTAACTGTTCAGAACTTTTCAGAGTCGTATCCTAGGTTAATCCGAATACTAAAAATTGACCCAAATTGCACATAACACGAAGCTGGTTTTTGAAAATTGTAAGTCGTGAATCTGCCCCATTTCTTCTTTATGACTTGCACAATACACCAGTCTTCCTAAACAACACATGTATAGCAGGGGTTAAGTACCATATAAGAGAAGTACAGCCAGTGATATTGTCATGTTGAAATACTACAATTTTGACACAAATTACACATAACACGAAGCCAGGTTTTGAAAATTGTAAGTCGTGTATCTGCCCCGTTTCTTCTTTATGACTTGCACAATGGTCCAGTCTGCCTAAATAACACATTTATAGCAGGGGTTATGTACCATATCAGAGAAGTACAGCCAATGATATTGTCATGTCTAAACACTACAATTTTGACACAAATTACACATAACACGAAGCTGGTTTTTGAAAATTGTAAGTCGTGTATCTGCCCCATTTCTTCTTTATGACTTGCACAATACACCAGTCTTCCTAAACAACACATGTATAGCAGGGGTTAAGTACCATATAAGAGAAGTACAGCCAGTGATATTGTCATGTTGAAATACTACAATTTTGACACAAATTACACATAACACGAAGCCAGGTTTTGAAAATTGTAAGTCGTGTATCTGCCCCATTTCTTCTTTATGACTTGCACAATACACCAGTCTTCCTAAATAACACATTTATAGCAGGGGTTAAGTACCATACAAGAGAGATACATTGTACATCTAGTCATACTGTCATAAACAGCCAGCATTTTTCCTGCAGCAGTCACACCACCATCGTCATTATTTCCAGGGAAATCCTCTTACATTGTCAGCTCCTATGTCGTTAGATACAATGTAGGGGGCTGTAGGACCGGCTCGTCAAAAAATAGAGAACCTGAACACTTGAACTGAAGCGTGCTCGGGACGTCTCAGCAATCGTAGTATGCCTGAGCACTCCAATAAAAACTGGATCAATGGCAAAATCGTTCCCCACAGAAAAATCATACTTTGCGGGTCTTGCGTTGCACGCTTGGAGGTGAAGTACAGAAGGCGAGTCGATCCGAGTATGACCTTTCGGACTGGACTGGACTGAACTATTCCAAAAATAACAACGAGGGGTCAAGGGTGCGAGTCAACCCCTGTGACACGGATTTCTGTGCCGTGTCACCTCCCTAGTTTGAGTACGACTCCCTGATGTACATGTACATGTATCCCCCACCAATACAAGTTGATTTTTTTAATTTGACACTGACAGTGATTTTCATGATGTTTACATATTTTGGTATTTCGGAAAATTTAGGTGTAATGTTAAATTAGGTGATCCAGGACCAATACCGAAGTTACCGAAATTTAAATTACACCGAATTAAAGGTGTTATACAGTACTACACAAGACGTACACGAAGGAAAAACAAGGAAATGTAGGACCATGTGAGAGCCAACATGAGCTGATTGGGACTATTAGAACGGTTCACATTATCAGAGCATGCCTCCAGGAGAACTCACCCAGAAGTGTTTACAGGTAGACTCGGTGTCACTTTGAATAGATAAAGGATTAAATACATGTACGTGATGATACATACCTTTACAGCAACGGACTTGCCGTCCTTTGTCACCGCCTTGTGCACTTGTGCAAGGCTAGCTGCGGCAATAGGCTTCTCATCAAACTCCTGAAAGAGTTCCTTGGCGCTCATACCAAAGTCTTGACGGAAGAGCTCATCCACCTGGGACACGGGCACGTACAGCAAGAGACAGTCGTCATGTGCACTCGTAATGCTCATTACTCAATCACTGCTTTCATGTACGGACAGCTCACGCAAGATCCCCGGCACTTGAAACCTCCATGCATACGGAAAGAGCGGCACTTTTCTACACAGCTCACTAAAACTGCAACATTACAACAATTCTGGCCTGTGAAATACGACCCGATGGACAAGCACCGTAGAAAAGTAAACTGCAGAAGAATGAAGCGACACGCGGACACATATGAATACTAGTAGGTTATTGATGATTAATTTAGCAATAAGAACACACAATAACATCCTGACAATCATGACAACGTACCTCGCCCTTCCCTCTCTTTAAAGCCTGCAGACCACAGAACCAGACAAAAAAAAAAGAAGTAGAAAGAAGTACAGAGATACCATAAAAGTCCGTAAATAAGTACCTGCCCGAAAGAAATACCCCCTTCATTCTTTTGGCTCTGTCTGTTGAAGTCAAGTCAAGCCCGATAAACATACTGCCCGAAATAAGTACCGGTACGGTGCGCACATGCAGCACGTACATCAACATTAAAATGACTTCTCCACTACACCCAAGTCAGGTCCGAAAGTTAGTTCGTGCCCGAAAGTCAGTACCCGCCCGAAAGTTAGTACGGGTGTGGTCACTAAATTCGAAAGTAAATACGTACTTGTTTACGGACTTTTACGGTAGAGAAAGAGCCCCGGGTTTACTGGTATACCATAAAGGCATAGATACCAATAAATCGTAGAGTACAAGGTACTGCAAATCAATGATTCATAAGGGGCCATCCGGCATTATCGATAAAAAGTTTAGTTACGAGTCCTACTTACGACCCTTCCCACCCACCCCAATGAAAAATATTATTGACTTGACAGCTGGAATGGATTGATGTTACAGCCATCAATATAATTATAATTTCAAAACGAAACTCTACTTGACCCATCCACCTACATGTAGAAACAAAACCTTTTTCGTTTTGTGTAAAAGATCACAAGATTAAATTATTGGTGCGGCGGGTGTGCTGCATCGGTTCCAACACTCTACTACAAGCATGCAGACATGCATGTGGTTGAGTTATTTGTAGTTTGCCAAAGAAAAAGGTTTGAAAAGGCTTGGGGAGCGGATCTTGGATACGTATGCCAATATGTGTCGCATGCTAAAAGACAATCTGGCCACAATGCAACCTTTCCAAATCACAGCACCAGAATAGAGTGCACAATGCCCAGCTCTGAAAATGCACAGCAGTATGGTGGAGCGAAATAATTGGATTGATACCGGACCACTGTGTTACCTGGTCATGCAGGATAGTGAGCGTTTGAATGTACTCTTCAGGTAGAACATGGTTGAAGGATGCAAGGCCTTGGCCCAACTTGATGTACAGGCCACCATTGTCCAGTGCTGCCGCCACAAGCCGATCAGCAGACCGCTGATGACAAGCTTTCATTGCCGCATTATAATCGGCACTATCCTAGAAAGAAAGAACAAAAAATCAACCGAAGGATAGAGTGAGTCAGTCAAGTGAGATTCAAGTCTGCATGAACAGCGCGGGCTCCCACATAGGGAGCGACACGCAATTCCCTCAGTACCGCCAAAGTCGCAACAACCTCTTCTTCACAGAAGGATAGGGTGAGCGTCTTTTAAGTTGTAAAATAGCCATTATCAAACACACATGTACAGTGCACAAGTTTCTATTACTTGCATGTGAGCAGAAACACATACACTTCCAAAATGCTCTCCTTTGCATCCCAGACGGTATTTCTATAATTGATGCCTTTGCCCGTAGCACCCGCACGTAGCGGTGGGCCAGTAAGACGTGGCAGCCACTGAAAAGGACTTGATTGATGCTGAGGGAAAAAATACTTACTTCTTCAAGACCATGGAGAGCCCACCAATAGTCAATTGACATCACCAGACCAGTGTAAGCAGTCCTGCACAGTACATGAATAATGAACATCTCATTTAAAAAATGCACCTCGTATATGTACATGTAATCCTACATCACATCAAAAGCTGCAGTGGCCATGTCTGCAACTACAGTATAGTAACTACACATGCTGGTACATGTAACTTGAGGCTTGTTTCACCAGGCCATGATGCTCAGGTTGACCAGTGCCAGCACCGAGACGACACGTGGCAAACGTATTCCAACATATCCAGCGAAAGGAAGCTTCTAAGGCTGAAGCTATTTACTGATCAATATAATTCGTTGATGCCATCTTCTTTCAGTCCGTCCATTAAAAGTAGGAATGGGTTCTTCATTTGACCAGGTGAGACCACATGACGCTTGCAGACACCAGCACGAACAGCTTACCAGCCACACTCCACAACAGCTAGCAATTACTCCTGGCAAGTCCTCTTTCGTTCCATAAAATGACGGGAAAGCAGTTGTTAAATGAAAGGGTTGAGCTGAATAATGCTACTTGTATCGATTTTTATACAGAAGATACTGAGGCAAGGTGTGAACACTCAACTAACTCACACATGTGGCAAACTAACATGAAAGGTATAGTGCAGAATGGAGGTGTTACGAACCCTACCAGACACAACTATCACAAGTGCTAAGACAATCACGAGGAGAAAGAGAGTTACACACATAGGTTGCAACTACACATCATAAGGAGCACTGGAGTGGTGATAAAGATGGGAGAAAAGTAGAAGCAAAGTGACAGCGTGCAAGAATCTTCTGCATGAAAATTGTAGCATTATGGAGCTCAACCCTTTCATCCAACAACTGCTTCTTTTCCTCTGATGAGTTACGGTCATCATATGGAGTGAAACAAGACTCGTCAGGAGTAACACTACTTGCTATCGTGCACTGTGGCTGGCAAACTATTCGTGCTGGAGCATGCAAGCGCCGTAAGGTCTCGTCTAGTCAGATGAAAACCTATTACTGCTAATCAATATGTGAAACCTGCCCAAAGCCTAATGTGTAGCGACAGCAGTCCATTTTTGCTGTGAGGTCTGTTGCACCAAACACTTTTCTTTCTTCAACTCGGATGGTGAGCCAATTAAATTATGGTGTTGGTGGACAGTTAGTCATAACTCGTAACATTTTGTCCTTCTCCTTTTTCACTTTTCTTTCTTGTTCATGTTTCTTAGAGTCTACCAACTGACTAACTCTTCACTTCTCCAACTCCGAAAACCGTCTCTTCACTGTGAAGAGTTGTCATGTGTAAGTGGCTGCATCGTAGTTTGCGGACGATCAGAAAAGTTCTACTAACTGGCCTCCGAAAAAGTGGCGAGACTGTTCCAAGTTACTTCCGAATTGGGAGTCGAGATCAGAAATGATTTTAGAGATGGGCGAATAGACCTGGTGGTGTAGCTTTGCAAATAGTGGTCAGTCTTCACACTCCCGATGCTGCAGTAGTGTGAGCTGCGGTGCACGCTGAAGATGAGCATCTGCGATCAGGCATATCCGGCATATTTTCGATATTGCAAGATTTGCCTACCTCCTGACTACATCCGTACATGCACTGGTAGAGTAATTGCCTAGCATAACAGCAAGAGTCAAGAGTACTTGTGTATTTATGGGTCAGTGCGCGGCGCGCTGTCGTCATTACGTAACTTGCCTGCATTCTGGCCTGTACTCATGCATTCAAACCATAATCATTCCTACCAGCACATCCGGGTTGTTTTGCTCGATTCGTTCGAGTGCCGATGTGATCTCTAAATTTGGGGTGCATGAACTTCAGTTCTGTACAAAAGTTCATTCGAACCAGAGGGAGTGTGTGGTGCTTGATTTTCCACAGTGCATAATGAAACGAAGACAGCGCACCGCGCATCTGGTCCATCGAAAAGAGATCATAGTTGCATACTCTTGTTCATGGGCTCTTGATAACAGCAAGAGTAGATAAACAAGAGTGTGCAACTCCAGCTATGGGGTCTGCGACGGCAGAACTTCACATCACGTGATGAACCCGTGCACTCTAGTGCATGATAGATACTGGGTTGTACGCAGCCCAGCTTTGGGTACAACTCTCTTGTGGTCACTTTGCACTGTTTGCCAGCATAACCTTTTGAACCATGTCACGTGATGTGAAGTTCTGCCGTCGCAGCACAGCATAGAGGTTGTGCAGGCAGTTGCACACTCTTGGGTTATGTACTCTTGATAACAGTAACAGCAACTTGCCACAAACTTCCAGTACTTGAAAGTACAATCATGTGATGTAAATAATCTATAGCCTGGTCTCAACCTACATGACTGTCCTGAACGTGGACTGTATACATGTATGTAATCTATGCTACCGTTTGAAGAAATTCCCAATTCAAGAATTTTCACAGCGAGCACTGTGAACGCCCTCGTATCCTACCTACCTGAAGAATCTGCCCCCACCACCAATCGTGACCCTAATTTTGCGTTTCGTAGCATCATCTTGATATCCATAATACGCTCCTCCGCACACTGTCCCGACACCAAGGCCACGGGTGAACAGTTTCAGCAAACCCATCTTCACTTCGAAATGAACATTCTAACTGCAAAAGTGTCCGGATGGCAAAGGTGCCAACAAACCTCCTGGTGTACTCAGAAAACGTCCTCTTGCAGTAATGCGCTAACAATGGCGCAAGCCCTTTTCTCTGACAGGGATTCCCAAGACAAGTAACAAAGTAACTATAAATAGTTCATTTACATGAGTAAATTCTTCACAAGTACTGAAATAGAGCTACAGTGTTCGAGACAGAATTTCGAAATCTGAATCCTGTGCCCAAAACTAAAGGGGAGGGAAAGCTGAACTTTCCCCTTTGGGATGTTGCGCAACGGAAAGATAAATTTCTGGGCGGTTTATACCAGACTTTGGCCAGTTTTCACAGGTTTCGACACCAGAAACTATAAAACCATGCTTCTAGCTTTGCAACTCGCATGTGCCAACGCTGTAAGTCAGAATTCAAATAGTGCAGTTGAGTTCGAGTTTTTATTTTGTTATGTTGGTGACAGGCAAAGGTCTGAGACTGAGGACATCTCATATAATAGCATATTAGCAATACTACAGAATGGCTGACTTATCACTGGTGGAAATTGAGAAGCTGATCTCTCAGCACCCAGATTTTCCCAAGCCAGGGATTCTCTTCAGGTGGGTAACATATGAACGAATAGGGAGTCACTATTGTTGTAATCCCGTACATTGTAAAGCACACGTGTACGTGTATAATCACTGCAATTTGAAAAAGGTCAAATCAGTTATCACGAGAATTCCCTTCTGCATGCTGCCAGTGTACTCTCAAGTCTCTTTTGTTCGGCCAAAATTTTGAGCAATAGATGCACAAAGTTCGCTTGATGAAGTAAAAATGAAGAATACCATACCATTCCAATGTACATGGGTTTTTGATTTCGTTTCTTGTATTTCTAAAGATACGAAATTGAAAGCACTGCTTTTGCATTTGGTATGATTACGGGATACTGTATACACATGTCACATATGTGTACGACCCTATCCACTTTGCAATTTGGGCGTTCCTAAAAATATAGACCATTGACCGCAAATGTTGATAAAACCGTCTAGCTATACAGTCAGACCTCACTTAAAACCGCACACATCCGTTTTCCACGAAAATATCCGGATAGGTGAGGGAACCGGATAACCGAACACCATTTATGTTGGATGCATCACGTATTCTGTAAATATATAACCAACTTGTTTCTTCCGGATGGCGAGGGATCCAGATAAAAGAGGACCGGATAAGCGAGGTCTGACTGTACCCAGATACGTGAGCTCGTATATACCGTGTTTTCCGGAGTATGCCGCACCGTCAGATTGTTTGTCACAAAACACAGACATCTACCCTGTGTATCACCATTCACTTGACCATCGTATTACGCTGAACTGACTTTTTCGGGGCTGAATTACGAGTGTTTAAAGCACGGCTTTATATACTCCGGAAAATACGGTATTCAATCTCTAGATATTCACTGGCTTGCGGGAAAGGTGCAAACGGGAAAAGTCTGAAGAAAAAAATGAGTGTCACCACCAGGACTCGAACCAGGGACCTTCCCTGGCCTTGAGGCCAGAGATGCTCTATTCTAACCACTGAGCTATGTTGTAGCTCTGTGAATCTCTAGATCAGAGCACTCACTTCTGGAAGCGTACCATTTTCATGCCCCTGCTACTTTTTTTCCTTTGGTACCTAATTCTCGGTGCCCAGGTGGAACTCTGATGGAATCGGGTGGAGGTACATCTACAAGGCGGTAGTCTGTAACCACCAAAAGTGTACTGAAGAATTAGAAACCTAGCAGAAAAGTGCGATTACAGTGCCTACAATTCGATAAATAGAACAAATGATGCCAGCATAATACCAAGAGTGCATAAACAAGAGTATGCAACTGTGGTTATGGGCCAGTGCGCGGCGCGCTGCCTTCATTACGTAACTTGCCTCCATCACGCTCTGAAAGCATGCACTCAAACCCACAATTTCTCGTACGAGCCCATCCGTTTTTGCTTGATTCATTCCAGTACCTACGCGATCTCTAAATTTTGGCGCGTGAACTCCAGTTCCGTACGAAAATTCATTTCAAACCAGAGGGAAAGCGTAGTGTTTGATTTTCCGCAGTGCGCGGACTGCAGCTGAATGATGTAATGAAGGCAGCGCACCGCGCATCTGGCCCATAGAAAAGAGATCACAGTTGCATACTCTTGTTTATGGACTCTTGATAATACCATGTAACAATCATGAACTGCAAAAAAATGTATAAAATGTGATTCATAACCGTTTTTTTATGAACCACATTTTTTGCATTTCATGATTGCTATACCGTAAAGTCACGGATAAAAGCCGGGCTTATAAGCACATAAGCCGCTTTCTGCATCAGGCTTTAATGCAAACCATGCTAATATGCACCACTGATATTTTGCCAGGCGTGTATGCACATAGAAGCCAGGCTTCTACGCGCGACACGCGTAGATCTACCACTGACTACCGGTATGGCGGCAGTTTTACTATGCACCGTACATAGCGCATGCACTCTTGACCTACCCGATCCGCGCTTGCATAGAAGCCAGGCTTCTACGCGCGACAGGCTTATATGCATTTGACCCGTTTGATTTTCAGGCTTCTATCCGCGATGTGCTTGTATGCAAACCCGGCTTTTATCCGCGACTTTACGGTATGCGCTACATGGTATTGTGTTGGCATCATTTGTTCTACTTATCACATTGTTAAAACTCCTTTCTCCGAAACGCCTACAGTGCCTACGTTATATTACCAGCTGTGGCCAGGGTTGCACTGGAGTTAGTTCAGTTGACTGGACATTAGTGCCAGGAATCGAAAGCCAGTTCTACTCACTAGCAGATGTTAAAGCTGTTTACTAGTACCCTCTGCATACGTTGCCGACATCGTGTCATTGGGTTGGACTAATCACTGACATGCCGTTCTAGCTGATATTGGCCAGCATGGAGTGTTCTGCCTGCTGCTAGTTTTGCTTTAGAAGTGAGTGGCGTTCGTTTGCGCCGCTCTTGTTCACTCCCGTACCATACAGAGATGTGTTTCCTGTGCTGCGTGACCCGCACGCATTCAAATCCATGATGAACCACCTGCTGAAGCATATCCGTGAACTCTACTGCCAGGATGGAAACAAGGTCGACGTTGTTGTTGGTAAGGAGTCGCCCACTACGTGCAAGTATTGATACAATAGCTTCTTCTCTTCAGGACTCGAGTCCAGCAGGTTCCTTTCTAATTGCACGTCATGTTATGATTTGTTGGGCCCGGTCAAACAGAGATCCTTTTTAAGGCACCGCTGGTTCCATGCGATTCGTACTCTTTCTCTCCTCCTTTTCTGTGGTCACTGATGTTGAGACCAGTTGTTTAGAGGGGGATTTTTTCTATGTTTCCTTCATTTGTGCTGGACGTCTGCGCAGGTTTGGATTCAAGAGGGTTTCTCTTTGCACCGCTGCTGGCTCTGGAGCTAGGCGCTGCGTTCGTTCCGGTTCGCAAGAAGGGAAAGCTGCCTGGTGAAACGAGCTCCTTGTCCTACACCCTGGAATATGGCACGGTATGTGCAAGTTGTGTTTGATATTGGGCCATTATTGGCAGTTTGATCTGATACTCTAGCTGCTTCTGCTTCTGCTTCTGCTTCTTTGCTTTTTCCTTACATCTTTCTTCTTTCTTCTTCCTTCCTTCTTTCTTCTGTATTTTACATGTTGTTGAACCTTGGCACATGATTGTTTTGTTCTCTCGTTTGCTTGCTTGTTCTTTGTGTGACTGTACCACGGGGTAGGCCGAGTTTGAGATCCAAAACGAATCCATCAAGGCCGGACAACGCGTTATCGTCGTTGATGACTTGCTGGCTACTGGTGGTAAGGATTACTCTTTGGACGTCTTGTAGTGACTAAGTACACTGTGATGGAACATGCACCACATTGCAGTCAGTTTCATTGTGATCTCTTCAATAATATGGTTTGCCTACTCTTCAGGTGCTTTCAAAGCTCTGACGACTTCGTGGCAAATTGCTTCCTGCTAAATGGGTTGTTGCAGTGCTGCAAAATATTTCACCCCAAATCAGACACTCCCAGACACCGTAAAATGTGCAGTCTTGCTCATGTGGTAAGGTTGCATGCATGTACATGGTTGCATTCAACCTTATCACAATACATGTACATCAGGGAGTCGTACTCAAACTAGGGAGGTGACACGGCACAGAAATCCGTGTCACAGGGGTTGACTCGCACCCGTGACCCCTCGTTGTTATTTTTGGAATAGTTCAGTCCAGTCCAGTCCGAAAGGTCATACTCGGATCGACTCGCCTTCTGTACTTCACCTCCAAGCGTGCAACGCAAGACCCGCAAAGTATGATTTTTCTGTGGGGAACGATTTTGCCATTGATCAAGTTTTTATTGGAGTGCTCAGGCATACTACGATTGCTGAGACGTCCCGAGCACGCTTCAAGTGTTCAGGTTCTCTATTTTTGACGAGCCGGTCCTACAGCCCCCTACATTGTATCTAACGACATAGGAGCTGACAATGTAAGAGGATTTCCCTGGAAATAATGACGATGGTGGTGTGACTGCTGCAGGAAAAATGCTGGCTGTTTATGACAGTATGACTAGATGTACAATGTAGCTCTCTTGTATGGTACTTAACCCCTGCTAGAAATGTGTTGTTTAGGAAGACTGGTGTATTGTGCAAGTCATAAAGAAGAAATGGGGCAGATACACGACTTACAATTTTCAAAAACCAGCTTCGTGTTATGTCTAATTTGTGTCAAAATTGTAATATTTAGACATGACAATATCATTGGCTGTACTTCTCTAATATGGTGCATAACCCCTGCTATAAATGTGTTATTTAGGCAGACTGGACCATTGTGCAAGTCATAAAGAAGAAATGGGGCAGATATACGACTTACATTTTTCAAAACCTGGCTTCGTGTTATGTGTAATTTGTGTCAAAATTGTAGTATTTCAACATGACAATATCACTGGCTGTACTTCTCTTTTATGGTACTTAACCCCTGCTAGAAATGTGTTGTTTAGGAAGACTGGTGTATTGTGCAAGTCATAAAGAAGAAATGGGGCAGATACACGACTTACAATTTTCAAAAACCAGCTTCGTGTTATGTGCAATTTGGGTCAATTTTTAGTATTCGGATTAACCTAGGATACGACTCTGAACAGTTCTGAACAGTTACCGTAACACTACACGCTGTCTCATAACTGCTGCTGTTGCCATCACTGCTATCAAGTAGTTCGGACATGGCAGGAGGTAAACAAATTGCTGGTAGTCTTTCAAAGAATACTGGCGAGTGATGGGCTGTAAACGAAATGTGCTGCCTCAATAATTTCAAAAACTAGACACCCATGCTGCACGCTTGGAGGTGAAGTACAGAAGGCGAGTCGATCCGAGTATGACCTTTCGGACTGGACTGGACTGAACTATTCCAAAAATAACAACGAGGGGTCACGGGTGCGAGTCAACCCCTGTGACACGGATTTCTGTGCCGTGTCACCTCCCTAGTTTGAGTACGACTCCCTGGTGTACATGCAGTACAATCAGACAACCTTCTGTTAAATAATTGGAAAGGTTCTTTTTCAGATTCGAGGGTGAATATTCCGGCCATGTCCAGAAAATTGAACGATTTGACACCACTGTTGTATTTTCAACTACTATTTTGTTGACAATTGGAGCAAGTGATATGTAATCTGCTTTCTCTGGAGCAGCATGTCCATAGCGAGGCGTATAGTATTCTCTCGCAGTCAGCTGACACGTTTGTGCATCCTGTAATACTCACTCTCCTTCGTTGTCCTTGTTTGTTTTCCTTTGTCGGACTAGGCACCATGTCTGCAGGTTGCCAGCTGGTGCAGAAGACCGGTGGTACAGTGTTGGAAGCCATGGTTATTATTGAGCTTGTCGACCTGAAGGGTGCTGACAAGGTCACCAGCTGTGCACCTGTTTTCTCCCTGTTCAAGTACTAATTTCCGATGTCTCACCTCCGCTAGCTGTCAGCTATTCACCACCGCATTGTGGAAATGATGATACTGCTACTCATCCCACCAGCAAGCCGGCACACATGTCATTATGATGTTCTGCGGTGGCCACCATGCCACAGTACTGGCCGATCTGCTAGTAGTCTAGACCAACCTTCGCGTTTGACTTCTACATTACAGTATGTCCGTCAGATGCCATTAGAAACGTTTCCCATTTCCAGTCTAGTGCTTCCTCTTTGACTCCTTTCTAAGCAGTTCTGGGCACCTCAGATTCATCATGTGGATCCCTTGGAGGTGGCTCCTGTTTGAAATAGGAAGCTGCCTGTTAGCGTGGACATCCAGGTGATGCCAAGCATTGTTTCTCAGCTACTTTGTCTGATCCTTTCTCCTGGTCAGACATCCCACAGATTTCCGTTGTGACAGTACATCAAGCAAATTAGATTCTTTCCCGATGCTGTCACCCAAACTATTTATTATCGCCTCAGTGTGGGGTTGTGGTGTTAGATGTTGATCTCGAACCATCTGCTGCTATTTCCTTGTGTTTTGCAAGTACATGTAGCTCCACTTGGATTATGAGAAATTTCCCAACCTACTGCAAGTTGCACATACCTACTCCTTGGAGTGGGAAATGCAGCTTTCTGTTGCAGTGCGTAAAATGTGTGAGTCAGGTGTGTGTGTGTGTGTGTGTGTGTGTGTGTGTGTGTGTGTGTGTGTGTGTGCGTGTGCGTGTGTGTGTGTTGGGTGGGTGGGTGGGTGGAAGCGTGTGCGTGTGTGTGATTGAGGGGATGCACAGTTCAAGGTATAAAGTCATACGACGCTACACTGTACAGCATTGGCTGGTGAAATGCTGAATCAACATTTGGGTACGAGTACAGTGTCACAATTTTTCATGCAACTCTGGCCCTGGTACTGTACCCGAGGACAAATTCCAGCGGGTTGTAAAATACTAGAACGCCATTATCTTATGACTGCTGTTTGAACTGCGTCTGTGACAGCGTACATGTATGCCAGGGAGTCGTACTCAAACTAGGGAGGTGACACGGCACAGAAATCCGTGTCACAGGGGTTGACTCGCACCCTTGACCCCTCGTTGTTATTTTTGGAATAGTTCAGTCCAGTCCAGTCCGAAAGGTCATACTTGGATCGACTCGCCTTCTGTACTTCACCTCCAAGCGTGCAACGCGAGACCTGCAAAGTATGATTTTTCTGTGGGGAACGATTTTGCCATTGATCAAGTTTTTATTGGAGTGCTCAGGCATACTACGATTGCTGAGACGTCCCGAGCACGCTTGTTCAGGTTCTCTATCTTTGACGAGCCGGTCCTACAGCCCCCTACATTGTATCTAACGACGTAGGAGCTGACAATGTAAGAGGATTTCCCTGGAAATAATGATGATGGTGGTGTGACTGCTGCAGGAAAAATGCTGGCTGTTTATGACAGTATGACTAGATGTACAATGTAGCTCTCTTATATGGTACTTAACCCCTGCTAGAAATGTGTTGTTTAGGAAGACTGGTGTATTGTGCAAGTCATAAAGAAGAAATGGGGCAGATACACGACTTACAATTTTCAAAAACCAGCTTCGTGTTATGTCTAATTTGTGTCAAAATTGTAGTATTTCAACATGACAATATCATTGGCTGTACTTCTCTAATATGGTACATAACCCCTGCTATAAATGTGTTATTTAGGCAGACTGGACCATTGTGCAAGTCATAAAGAAGAAATGGGGCAGATACACGACTTACATTTTTCAAAACCTGGCTTCGTGTTATGTGTAATTTGTGTCAAAATTGTAGTATTTCAACATGACAATATCACTGGCTGTACTTCTCTTATATGGTACTTAACCCCTGCTAGAAATGTGTTGTTTAGGAAGACTGGTGTATTGTGCAAGTCATAAAGAAGAAATGGGGCAGATACACGACTTACAATTTTCAAAAACCAGCTTCGTGCTATGTGCAATTTGGGTCAATTTTTAGTATTCGGATTAACCTAGGATACGACTCTGAACAGTTCTGAACAGTTACCGTAACACTACACGCCGTCTCATAACTGCTGCTGTTGCCATCACTGCTATCAATTAGTTCGGACATGGCAGGAGGTAAACAAATTGCTGGTAGTCTTTCAAAGAATACTGGCGAGTGATGGGCTGTAAACGAAATGTGCTGCCTCATTAATTTCAAAAACTAGACACCCATGCGGCACGCTTGGAGGTGAAGTACAGAAGGCGAGTCGATCCGAGTATGACCTTTCGGACTGGACTGGACTGAACTATTCCAAAAATAACAACGAGGGGTCAAGGGTGCGAGTCAACCCCTGTGACACGGATTTCTGTGCCGTGTCACCTCCCTAGTTTGAGTACGACTCCCTGATGTATGCCGAGCATTCAAAACCGAGTTGTGCGTGTGTAGCAGCCTTCCAATGTTCTTTCAAACTGTACAAACCTGTGGGTGTTGTCCAGGGAGTCGTAAAATGCCACTGTTTTTTTAACTCCCTGGTCTGGACTTACTGTAAATCCGCAAAGCACTTCAGTGTGACTTACACATTTCATCCAGCAAATGCGTGAATGGATGACATAGTGCACACGCAGCACAGTGCAGTGTGTGTACAGTCACTGTGAATGACTCTTGTGCCACATACAGACTCAATGATAATTATGTTCTACACTGTGTTATGTCTGAGTGAACAGTCTAGTTTTGTTATTTGAATGAACAGTTACTTGGTAAGTCATTTTTCGGCAAACATTTTCAACGAAAAACGTCTCCGAAAACTATTGACTGACACAAAAAAAAAGGTGTTTGCTTGCAATCAGTGTGTTCTGAGTTAAAGGCAATTCCTATAGTTTGGGGCAGTGTTCGGTCCCAACTTGCTTGCCCGGATTAGGGGAGTTTCACTGTACTGTGCTCACAGCCGTTGCGCTGCAGGCTGCACGATACAACTAATACTACGTCTTATTTACATGTATGTGGGCATGCAGGACCGGCGGAAACAGTTTTTGATTGGCCCGGCCATGACCTAGCCTTTCATACTTTCTGTATCAGTATGATATGACGGGTAGCCACATGGCCTCCTCAGCAGTAAACACAAGATGGTGGTCAAAAGGTTGGTCCGGCCGGCCGTGGCCGGACCTGGAATGCACATCATGCACATACACACACACACACACACACACACACACACACACACACACACACACACACACACACACACACACACACACACACACACACACACACACACACACACACACACACACACACACACACACACACACACACACACACACACACACACACACACACACACACACACACACACACACACACACACACACACACACACACACACACACACACACACACACACACACACACACACACACACACACACACATGCAGAAGACAAGACCACTCAACACAGGGTTGCTACTCCCTATGTGAGTGCGTTGTCTGTTGTGCGTGCGAAGACTCTGCGTCCAGCGTGTCCAGCACTATTCCAGCAGCTGGTGCCACATTCTTCGATATTACAGCTGAAGCAATGTGGGGTTTCTCAAAAAAAAAAATAGGAGCAGCCGCACAGAAGTATTGCCTGCAATCACGGCACATCAATGCACTGTACAGTGTAAATAAACACAACAGAGATCAAGAGAAAACACTGCTGCCCAGTGCATATGCGTGGGAAGTACATGTCCGGCGGTGTGTGCACTCTACATTAGAAACGAGGATTGAACAGGACGACTATATTCGCCATGTTACCAGAAAAACGTAGGATGTACGTAAATAGGAAAACATACAAGAGGATGTGGTACGTCCGTCGCTTATAACGAAACTCGTACAGCGTGACAAGAGAGCAAAGGCAATCATCATTCTAAGACGTGTCGTGATAAAATAGTGATAAACAGACATATTACTTCGAAGTATGTATAGGCGCAGGAAAGGACATTTGAAAACAACACGGTGTAGCAGGAAAGCTGCAGGGCAAACAATACATCCAGCCGCACAATGTAGCGCTCACTGGTACTGTACAAGCAGAAAAACTTCAACAAAAGGAGACAACAACAAAATAATTATGAGCACGGACAGCGACCACGGTGATGACGACAACGACGAACTCATCGACGTCCATAATATATGCAGAGTGAAGCAGAGGACAGTATGGCGCTCCTAATACATGGGTTTGGTGCAGTGTGGTGTGAGCACAGCTTTCACACCGGCCTGCTTCACACACATTATCGTGCGCGCGTGTGTGTGTGTGTGTGTGTGTGTGTGTGTGTGTGTGTGTGTGTGTGTGTGTGTGTGTGTGTGTGTGTGTGTGTGTGTGTGTGTGTGTGTGTGTGTGTGTGTGTGTGTGTGTGTGTGTGTGAAGCAAATAATCATTAAGTTTTCATACCATATGTTAGTGCAGAGACTGTGTCCTAAAAGGCTAGCTGCAAGGAGCTGCAAACGTTATGAGAAATAAATTTTTGACAGATCTGGAGTCTTGAGAACAGGGTGGCGGCTAGTTGGTCTAAAGAAAAAAAGGGGGAGGGGGGGGGGGGGGACCAGGAGAAATTCACGCAATGCAGGAACTAGTAAAATAAGTCGAAATACTAGCAGGATCCAAGTCAACGTACACGCAAAGCGCCACAGGTGGGTACGCAGGTGTCTACGCCACACGTGTCATGTCTTTGTTCTGTTCAAAAGCCGTCCAGGCTTCATTCAACTCCACAAAGATAGCTTTGGCCAACTCTTCTTCCGGCTCTCCTGTTAGCTGCAGACAGTAACACAGCAACACATGAACGGTAATGGTGAGTAGTATGTAGAGGACATGGGTGGAGCAGACAAATAAGCTTTCGGCTAACCTATGGCGCTATCAAAATATCAACGAGGGCACAATGAGCAAACGAAAGTCCTAAACGAGAGGGACTGTTAATAGGGTAGGCTGCACCCACTTTGGCTGCCAGTAAACCCCACAGGGAGTGCTGTGAGCATATCAGGCCACATTTGGGTATAAGTATATTATACCCAAAGAGAAAGAAAGAAAGAAAGAGAGAGAGAGAGAGAGAGAGAGAGAGAGAGAGAGAGAGAGAGAGAGAGAGAGAGCGAGAGAGAGAGAGAGAGAGAGAGAGAATGTGTGTGGATGTGGGTGTGAGAGAGAGAGACAGAGAGACATTGACTGGGAAATGGGCGAAGTATCTAAGGCTGTGATCGTTTCCTAGGAGCCGGATCCAGGTCCCAGATCCCCCAGAATCAATCGATCATGTTTGGTCAAATCGCTACCATGACATAAGAGGTTGATATAGAATGAATAGAAACATGACAATAGGAAAGTCACTCAAGGGTTTGCACTCGTCATGCGAGTCTGCATGGTGCAACTCTTGTCCACATGTAGCCGCGATTGTGTATCCGTACTACATGCATATAACAATGGTTGTTGTCTGCCAAACACGTACAAACGTCTTGTTCGGCAAAATGGAATGCTGGATCCAGTCAACCCTGCTCCTGGGGCTCCGATGGATCTGGATATGACCAATCGATCATTGCAAACCGAGTGAATCCTGGACCCGACCAAACGATCACAGCCAAAGAAAGAGAGGGGAGCGGGAGGGCGCACCACATAGGAAGTCCACAATATACAATACAGCTAGTCCTCACCTTGTCAGGATGTACACAAAGGCAGGCCTTGCGGTAAGCTTTCTTGATCTGACAACAACAACAACCGTGAGAATAAAGATTTGAAACAACAACAACAACAACGACGACACAACGACGACAACAACAACAACAACAACAACAGCGACGACAACAACAACGACGACGACAACAACAACAACAGCCAGAAAAACAAGTCATTGCCACTGTGTTGTCTTGCAACATCCCAAACTGTGATGACGTGGCTTACTTACACCGTAAAAAAACCAGGCTACACTGCACGCATCTGCATCAATCACTTACATCATTCGGCTGCACAAGCTTGTGCATTTCAACAGGCGTCCAAGTAGCGCTTTCCCAGAGGACTTCAGGAAGGGCAGCAATCAGAGCTCGGATATTCTTTCTCTTGCCTTCTGTCCACTTCATCACCTGCAGGGCAATACAAGACACCATCAGTGGCAATTGCACACGTACGCTCTCACGCACACACAGCTCCAAAACGCAGAGAGCAATGCAGAGCATCGGATACAGTGCAAACACCCACGATGCATGAATGGACAGCAAAGCATCCAGATGTGTTAGATCACAGGTCACACTTCTAATTTGCGATTGCTTCAGTCCAAGTGGAGACCGCCAACAACACAAAAATGATGCGAACATGTACTAAATGTACGCGACAAGATCAGTGCCAAGATCAGTGCCATTGGCTCAGTAGCTCAATGTCTCATCACCGGCTAACGTTACAAGTTACAACGGTAATGAAGAGGAACATGCCAGTTCTAAATCTGGTGACGGATGGACCCACTAAAAATCAACCAGCTTGTCCATGCGAAAAGTCCGGACAGGGTGCAGCACTAACAAAGTTACCTGAAGCTTGACCGGATCCATCGTCTTCTCCAGGTCCTTGTTGCGCATGTTCTTCAGAGAGACGTTCTTGTCCTGCTTGTCTGATTGGAAGCCCTGGCTGGACAGTAGGTCAGTGAATGCGCCGGCCTCTACCTTAGGCGGTATGCCTACACACGTAGAACACGGGCAAAGTGACCCACACCATACAGATTTAGTAATAACAGCCAGCCATGTGATACGCATGTGACTTGCTGAAGCATGCCGTTCACAAACAGTGACAACCTATAGTAGGCAAAATAAACTGGTATTTCAATCTTGTACGACGCTTCATGCAGCTTTATTGATTAAAGCACAGCAGTAAGCGACACTACGTTGTAGCTCACACTCAAGAAACTTTTTAAAAATGAAATACACAATCCACGTAACATACATACATAGAAAATTTCAGCAAAATAATCACTTGTCCGAAGTGGCCATAGCGTTAGACTTGATACACATACTGCCAGTTACATGCCAGGAAACTCTCCAGAGTCCAGACCCCTAGTCCCAGTGGCTAAGCACAACCCTAGAATGTACGATGTGCACCCACCATAAAGTGCTTATGGCCCACTCCACACCACTATAAATTCAACTGGCCTGGCTGCAGCTTTCAACGCTGGCAATATGCACACCTACACTTCAAGAATCAGATTTCACCGCACCCGCATGGGACGTGTACAGAATGGGTGTACAAGATGGGTGCTGACCCCAATTGCCGGAAGGTTTCTGCAAAACCGAACCCACACACTGGCAGATACCACCGAGACGGACTCAGAATGTCACTCCTGACCCTGGTGACTGCTGACGATACGTGAACCAAGCCTTAATGAATGTGTACAATGAAGTGGTCAGTAGAAACACACGTGCTAGGAGATTACAAGCGCATGTACATGTGAGTACAGGCTAGAAAGGCCTTACCTGCACCTCCACCTCCAAGTCGAGTGCCACGTTCATCGCGACCACCGATCACACTGGTGTAGACTGGTTTGCTGCTGAGGCCCGTGCCGCCATGCAGTGGGGTAGAGCGGCCACTGTTAGCTGGAGAGGCAACACCAGACGGTGGTCGACTGGATGGCCTGCTGCCAGCCTGCTGCTGCTGCTGTGGTGCGGCACCTCTCACACCAAGGTTGATGGAAGTCTGCGACGAACTGCTCGGCACGCCCTTGGACGCAGGTGCACCAAAGGCGCCGAGTTGTGCAAACGGGTCAGCGGATTTCGCGGCACCAGCACCCATGCCAGCTCCTCCAGATTGGTAGCCCATCGCAGGCCGCTGCTGCTGATTACCACCGTACATGCCACCGGTACCCACGGGTGCAAACCCAGAGGTTGAGTATCCACTCATCGGACTGGTGGCACGCGGTACTGAGCCTACTGGCGACTGTGATTGATACGGCGAGCTTGCACCGGATAGGCGACCACCGCCGCCACCGCCAGCTGCTGCACTAAAACCTCCCATCAAATCGGCACTGCTGTTGCGTGAGCTATTGGTGCCGCCGTAGCCAGCAGCACCCATGCCACCACCCAGCAGGTCGGAGCTACTCGTTTGAGTGCTGCCGCCCATGGGCTGGAAGGAAGAGTTCGATTGTCGATTGCCACCCATCAAGTTGTTGCCAGCGCCGACATTCTGCATGCCTCCCATCAAATCAAAGCCAGCGTTGCCTCCACCCATCAAGTCGGCAGCTGGGCTGGCTGCCTGTCCAGCCGCGCCAGGGCGTGAAGCACCGCCAGACATTTGTGGGGAAGGAATGCCAGAACTTGGTGCTGAAGAGAACGGATCAAAGGTCATTTCTGCCATGCCGCCCAGCAGATCACCACCACTGTTGGCAGCAGGTTGTGCCGGGGCAGTTGGTGCGGAAGAGAACGCTGACGATTGATCGAACAGATCCTGCGACGGCTGTGTTGCTGGTTGTGTTGGTGATGGACCAGAGCGATGCGACAAGCCGCCAAATGGATCGGCTGCCTGTTGTGTAGTAGGCATGCCGAATAGATCAAGCGATGGAGAAGCAGCCGGAGCAGTAGCAGCAGCACCAGCAGGTGCAGACGGCGCCGAGTCAAAGTCAAGGATATTCAATGCGGGTTGCTGAGATGGCTGTCCAGAGGTCTCACCTAATCCCCCAAGCAGATCAGGCACGACTGCGGCTGGAGCAGCGCCGGTAGAGTTTGCACCGGCGTCATCATCAAAGGCAGTGTTCATTACCTACACAAACACCAAAACATACACAAAGCACATTACAGAGAGAATAATCACACATCAAGTGCAGGAAGGGTAAAGGTGTGCTGGCAGCCTGGCACCTAAGGAAAACTCAGAAGCATGCACTGGCAAAGTTTTCTAAATTTTAAAATGTTTTAGGAATAGCAGTTTTAGTTTAGCAGAAAAAGAAAGGACAATGCAGCATCTAGAAATTTACCGTGTGAGATGTTAGTTGTTCCTCTTCGTCATCTTCTTCATCATCGTCACAGTCTGCCAGGAGATTGAATGCTCCTTCACCTTCCGCGTCCTCAAATGGTCTGGCAATTTCTTCCTGTACACTGGGGTCACTGAAGTTCCGTCCATTGGTGCTTGCAGCGGCTGGAGAAGGCGTCCTGAGGTCCAGGCGACCTGAAGATGGAGACATCCAAACAAGAACAAAAGGTACAGAGACATGTATCAACAGTGCAAAGGAGAACTTTGACTGGTTCCAAACGATCTCTGAGCTGTGAAACAAAAAGCAAACCAATAAGTGAAACGTCTGTCTGGAGAGACCTCAACATCAATGAGTCAGACAATGACTCAACGTAAATAAAATGACTCAACGTAAATACTCCCATGGTGGCAGTGGTGGTTGGTGGTGGTAGTGGTGTTGGTGGTAAAGTGCAAGCAGCATGTAGGTCGTCTGAGAGTGCACCGTGGTGCGGCGATGCAAGCTGAACTTGTAGATCTCTTACCATATTTTTCACGTATTTCATCCTCTTCGGCTGATGACCCAAAGCACACACGTGATCCGGTTGCCACAATAGCTTTGCTCCAAATGGCTAGTGATCGATCACTGTTGCCCTCGGGCAGGACTTCAAAGTGCAGAGTCGCAGTGAAGTTAGGTGGAAACTTGGCTGCATTTGATGTGATACTATCAATCTCAGACCTGTAGGAATACAACATGCAGAGTACATCATTCTTCCAAGGTACCATCAACAGACTCCCGGTCTGAAACAGCGCAGTCAGCTACTGGCTGGTTATAAATAACCCTCGATGGTACAAGCATATACATGCGTGCTACATACCATGGTACCAGTGGCCAGGTAGGTTTAAATGCTTAAAAATTGTAATGGGATGAATCTCTAATGTCTACCACTCCTTGAGACCAGCTGCAGGAGAAACCAGGCATGGAAGTGTGAGTAATGTTCAAAGAACTTACAGCTTATAAAGTAGGCAATCCGAAGTGGGAGACACGAAAGCTGTGTGAAAGCTGAAACTAAACATCCGCACTGTACTCTGTACACAAGCAGACAGATACAACAATCCTTTCAAAGTGGACACAAACAGATACATGTCCATTTTTGCAAGCATTGATACATTGTGGTGAATGACAGATGGTTGGAGCCACCTCTTTTGACAGTTTTGAGGCGGAAAGGAGCCTGGGCATTCTGGGGATTTTTGAAGATGTCTAATACAGTCAACTTTGCGAATAACGACATTCGGCGGGGCATCAGAAAAGTGTCGTTATTCACGAAGTGTCCTTATAACCGAAGTCCCATTTGAATGTATGTGAATCCATATTTTGTATAGTATGACATGCATATCAAAAATGAAGCTCTTTTCTTGCTCTATGTCAAGGTGTACTTTATTTCCATATTGCAGTTGAATGGAACTATAAAGTCAATACGCAAGGGAAATAAATTGAAAATTATGCCTTTTTGAGCCATCTACAGGGTCAGGGACATGTACATGTATGATGATTACTGTACAATCATGTACAACTACATGTATATGTACAGGTGTGCCGGTAAATCCAACAATTTTGAAGCAAAAAAAAGAGAGGAAGAACCCCCCCCCCCCCCCTTGGCTGCATTTTCTTGCATGTGTGCCTTTATCCATCACCTGATCACCATGGCCGGGTTCTGGTACTTCTGCATGACATGTACATGTACTTGACTGACAGGTACTTGAAATAGCTGGCAAAATCCCGGAAAGTCGTTATTCAAGCAGTGAATATGACCTCGGGGCACTGAAAGCATGTCGCTATTCGCGAATTGTCGTTGTTCAGATAGTCGTTATATCCGAAGTTAAATGTATACAGTCAGATGGGGCTTTGCTCTGGGCATGGAAATTCGGTCGTTATTCGCGAATTGTCGTTATATCCGCAGTCGTTATTAGCGAAGTTGACTGTACTGGGATCATTAGACAGGAGAGATGAGAGGCCATGGCTGTCACCAATCATGTACATATACATGGGCAGGTAGTGCCAGGTACAATGACAGTGGTGGTGGTGATGGTAGGTGAAAATCCACCACTGGTTTCCAGCACATGCACGTGGATAACGCGTATAAGCAAACACATGTCTCACCGTTGTAAGCGTCGACAAGTGGCGGATGTGGTGAACGGCTACACGTACATCACCGCCCACAACAGTTTCCTGAAGAGGTATTACGATACCACCATCCGTGTCAGTGTAGCTCCTGAGATACAGCAAGTGAAAAGATAAGCAAACATGGGTTAGCATGAAATGGAACTTATGGAAGACACTATATTTACATGTTACACTAATATACATGCATGCTCAGGGTATACCCTCCTTACACAAGAATGTACCAGTACAAACAAATAGGGTGAGACCATTGAACCAAATATTCGAGAATTCACGAAGCTTCTCTTTATAGAGATAACAGTGAGGCAAATAGTTTGGAGCACATTTCTCAAGATGAGAAAACTGGACTGTAGTCACCCAATATACCTCTGTTTTCAGTCTCTACTGGCTTCATTCCTGAAGATGAGACCGGCCTGGAAATTCGAATATTATCCTATAGCCAATTCTGATAGCAAAGGGCAGATTCCACTGATGATAGCGACAAGAACACGTTTTGAAGCATAACCTTGGCTACTATAGTTATGACATGAATGAGCATGTTATTTTATTCATACATTTTTTACTCAAATTAGGGATTTTGCTGCACACCTTCACCCAGTAACAACAGGAGGAAAAGGATGCATCAAAACAAACATTACACGTGCATTTTAACACCAACAATGGCCGGGTGTGCACCATACCTGCAACGCTCCAATTGCTGTGGATCTGCCGAGAGCCAGGATACACTGTCACCATTCACAACCTCAAAGAGGGGTTTGCAACCAGATCTGATTTGGAGAGCAAATACAAACAAAAGAACATTAGGTCTTGGACATATCACGATACCTCCTCCTTTCTCGTGGGCACACTGCTAGCACAAAGAAGCCGTTGATTTTTTCGAGCCTGCACTAACATAATCCATCCAAAGCAGGGCAGTTGACTGGCAAGCAAGAGACAGCCCTGCGTCCTGAGGGGTGCGGATAATCGACACTCTACCGTAGCACAAAACAGCCCAAGCTAGAACCGACTCACCGGTGCAGATTGAACTTGGGTATACCGCTCAAGACTAGTTGCTTCAGTCGGAAGCGACGGCAGTGCAGTCCCTGGTGCTCTTGCTCATTCACCATGCGCGTCATGTAGTCTAGATACCTGAACAACAGCAACAACAACAACAACATGAGAATAAAAGAATTCAACAACAACAACAACAACAACAACAACAGCAACGTGAGAATAAAAGAATTCAACAACAACAACAACAACAACAACAACAACAACAACAACAACAACAACAACAACAACAACAACAACAACAACAACAACAACAACAACAACAACATAATAAGCAATACATCCAATGCTGATGTTCAGGGTCTTTCAAGATCATTTCACTGATACTCAGTATACGGCGCAGTTGAAGTGACCACCAGCAAGGTTAAGGTCAACCAACGCATGGGGAAAGTCCTTCCTTCAGGTCAAAGAAAGCAATGGCACCAGAACTTACCTTTTATGTGAAGGCAAGACTAAGCCGCGGTGACCTCCAGGGAAGCGTTTCTTGCCATACATCACAAGACTGGTACTTGGCAGCTTGAACATCTTGCAAAATAGAAAGTACGATGCTACTGCCAGTGCTACCTGTGACCTTCCGTCCTACAAGCAAAACAAGGTACAGGTTCGCAATCAATCAATTGTGCTGCTACGTGAAAGCGAGATACATGTAGATAGACAGAGACAAAAATAGATGGTGCAAGTAACAACTTTTATGCAAGACGCAAGTCCATCAAAAGCTCTGCCTGACGAGAGTGGAGCGCATACTAGATATACGCTCATGGAGAAGCCACTTACATCACAATGAATGATGGCCACGCCATCCTGTGTTTGAGTAAGGTACTTGTGCAAGTGACGGCAAAAGGCTAGGATCTGCCGCAACTGAGGCGTGGAACGAGCTTTCCACGCACACATCACCACCTTGAAGAGACAAAAAATGCACAAACATACGGGGAGTTCCAAACTTAACCCTTTATTGGCTGGCCTATACATTGATCGAACACCGATGTTCGATGGGGTAGGCATTTTGAAATTATCGTAACTTGATCAAATCTCGGTCTTTCGGAGAGATCGAAATATGTAGGTCGAAGAGAAAACTCTCAGCTGTCGCCTCGAACAATTTTCAAAGCGATACAAAGAGCGGTTCTTGAGTTATAGCACTCGTAATATTGGTCCCGGGAAATTTGCGCTCTGAGCGCGATGCGCGGGTCAACGGCCGGGATTTTCCCTGCTTACGTCACCTGCTTACAAGGCTACACCGGTTCAACTTCAAAAGCAGGTTCCGGGGAGTCTCTACGAAAATTTTTGAGTTTGATATGAGCAACAGGAATGAAATGGTGGATAGAGATAGATCTCGAGCGTGGGCCCAGCGCTGGTGGGCCTTCCCTGGCTTGCAGCGCTGGGCCAGTGCATCCCATGGAGTCGAGTGTGCGCTCATTGCGCTCCTCTCGCCAAGGCCTTTCCAGGATGCCCAAGATCGTGGAATTTGTCCAATGCAAACTAAAGTTACGTCCAATTTAGGTACAGGTTTGGCGATTGCGTGGGCTTGTTTGTATTTTAATCGGCCAATAAAGGGTTAAGAGAGACAAACATAATAATACTAAATCTTGTTTCAGGACGAAACCCGTGCTCTTACAAGGCATAGCTCTTGAAGGCCACCATTTGCCCTGGTATGAGCAGCAGAATTGGCCAAAGTGGCTTGACTCTTTTGAGAGAGACTCAGCAGTTTCTCTCCCACGTGCTACTATGCCGCTGAAGGGGAAAGCATGTGTACCACACACACACACTCACTGTGTGTCCATCAGTACCAACGACGTTGGAGAAACTCACTATGTTACCGCTCTTTAAGTACACATGGCCTAAAAGATTGCATACCAACTTTGCCGAGTCATGAATCAGGTACATGCACAGCTGCTTGAAGGTGTATTGTCGTACCTGCCATCTTTGTTTGTTTCAGGGCTCATACAGTGTATATTTGAAAGTGTACAATATTGACCAATATTATTGACCAAAGGACTACTTTTGGCCACATTAACTCTGGTGTGATCAATGGTACCGGTGACGCTTATATCAAATTCCCTCTGGTTTAGCAACCCACACTAGTATCAAGTATTACCTTCACCGAGGATAGGGGTAAATGTCGTTGGATTCCTTGCCAAGAAAATCAAAATCAGTAAAGAGAGAAAATGAGGGAGGAAGAGCTTACCCTGCCATGATACTTGCCCTCATCATAAGCACGGTCGTTGAGGTTGAACACCATGTGCTGATGACCAGACATTTGCTCAAAGTATTCGCAGGCATCATTGACAGGGTTGCCGCTGAGTGCCTCCGGGACATCAGTGGATGGCGCACCTAAAACTGTAAGTCACACGCACACACATACACACACGCACATGTACACACACACACGCACACACATGTACACACACGCACACACACACACACACACATACATACACACAAATACACAAACATCATCATACAATGCATATTGTAAAACCATCACGTGAAATATGTTGAACTCAGTAGAAGGTTTATGCACTATATGATGTCCAACACCCTATATAAGGTTCATTGGTCCAAAATCCCCTATACAGGGCAGGACCGTCGTTCAGTTTTGATCAACTTCATCCAGCCGCTCAATCCCCTGTAAAGAGTACACTTTTCTACAAGTCCCCTATACACGGTTCAGGAGTCCAGTTCATCCAGTCACGCCATCCTGGCTGGGCTCTATACAGGGAGTGATGTCCATCTAAACTTTGAAACTTGAAGTCGTTACAGTTGATTCCAACCGTGGACTGTGTATAGTGGATTTTGGACCAATGACCTCTATATAGGGGGTGGACGTCGTCGTCAGCCTGCGCAGTCGGCGAGACGTCCGGCTCATTCAAAACAATGACCACTATTTAGAGCTACACCGCTCGCAGATTGAGTGCATCTCAGAGAAAAGGGAGAGAGACTGACCTTGCTGTTTCATAAACCTATACAAGGTAATTAATATTGTCAAACAGCCATTGTGCTCAGCTGGCTATAATACACAACCGACTGGCAGCACCCTTACCAAGAATCCTAGCTGTGATGTAGCTGAGGTCAAGCTGACCCTTGCTCAGTCTGGAGTAGCAGGCAACATATGGGCACATGAAATAAACAAAACAGAAAAAGAATCACAACACATGCGGTGACAATATATAAAAAGTCTGTCAGAGCAGACCTTTTACGTGTGTTGAACTGCGCCGACACCCACGGTCAACTGGGTACTCACAGCTCGGAGTGAGAATAACAAGGATGCAGTTTACAGGGTTATGGGCCGTTACATGCCCGATTGGTTGAGAGACTAACCTCCTCTCCCCTGACTCACTTGTAAGGTCTGCATTCGCCACTAAGGTGAACAGGCATAGTGGTGGCCTGCGGATGCGAAAGCTAGTTTGTGTGTTTCTGAACATTCAAGCGATGCCGATGCGGATCCCGCGAATATTATTATTATCAGAGCAGTCCGCACAATCCCTCCCCTTACATTCGAGTTATTTAGTGTGGATTTTATACCTGGAATACTGCACACCAAGAATGTAGAGCCTAAAGATTGCGCAAAAATGCTGTGGCAAATACAGTATTCATTGGTTAAAGTAAGAGCAGTTTAACATGTACGCATGACTTTTTGCATGTAGGTACACTTGCCCCACTTGCCAGCAGTAAATGTTCACATTAAAATAATCCAATATCTGGGCATCTCTATGTGGATGGTAGGGCGACTTGGACTATCAGCACACGACTTTTAAAGCAGCTCACAAAAAAACCGTTCAGATAACAGGCATAGGACTATACATGTACTAGAAAACACTGCAATGGCTACAGTAATCGTTTTCCAATGCACTGGTGCCAGAGAGACTGTGATAATAGCGAAGACAAAGTGACCAAGCAAGGTGTCCTGCCTTACCCCTGCACAGTTGAAACGACTTTGGTTGACGTCTCCTTGATGCCCTTCATTAGACTGCCAGCACCTCCCTTCATGAATCCAAGTAGCTTACTGCCACCTTGGGTGAGGGAGGCACCCGCAGATGACAGCAGATCACCTACAGCAGTGGCAGATGCTGTACATGTACGCAAGCATACACACACGAGCAGCACGATAGAGAGAGAGAGAGAGAGAGAGAGAGAGAGAGAGAGAGAGAGAGAGAGAGAGAGAGAGAGATTGACCAGGTAGAGGCGGATAGCAGCAGCAGCATGCAGTCACAGCAAGCACATGGTGATGAGTCAAATGCCTTGAGCATGAGCCTGAATAGCAGGAAGGCATGAACAAGGCACACTAAACTACACAACTACTTCTTGCTATGAACATTATGGTAAGTTGTTTGTCTCCAAGGAAGCCATTCAAAATTATGAGAATTTAAGAATGCCTTTACCAGCGCCATCCGTTAGACTTGTGCCAGGTGGAGCCACCAAAGGGTAAGGCTGAGCAAGAAAAACAGACAAACAAACACACCCTCAATAGCACACACAATCTCGAAAATACATAGTCAATTCGTCGTCAAAAGTACAGGACAAAACAGTACTGCCTGCAGATGGAATAGCCAAGAATATATGAGTGGGACTCGGTGACCAGTCAAAGACTGTCTGTGAGCAGTCACAGTTGCCACCGCCAAGCACAAAGTCTAACCAGCAATCACAGCTTCCTCTGTACCCCATCGCTAGTCACCAGAGATTCTGTTCGTTGCTGCATGCTGAGTCAAGTCCATATGTAGTTCTCACTAGATCACTGGACATTCGTAACTGTATGACCGATCATGGGAACCATGACTGATCAAAGAAATGTGAGCTGAAGAAAAGCTCTACAAAACGTGTTCAAAATTTGCCAAGCTACTCCGAATTTCTGTTGCTTTGGTCACAGAGACAGGAAAACAAGTACGCATTGGAAGCAAAACAAAAACTGCAAAGACCCACTAAAATCTCACCAGAGGGTTGAATAGATCGATGCGGAGCTTCCTGGCAAGAGTCTCTACTTCTTCCAGGACCTTTTGTATGTTCCAACGTGCTTTTACATCCACTGTCAGCATGCCCTCTGAGGATCCATGAAAAAAAAGAGTACACCAAAGGTACTTGATTTTAGTGCTGAATGCAGCTGCATAATCATTGGCGTCCTACTGCTCTATAAGAAAAGTCCAGCAGAGCTCGAGTATACACATTATGTGTCTACTACTCTAGAGTAACAAGCACACTACACAGCACATCATATCAGCCAACAGCGAGGAGCTAGCAGACCTAATAAAAAACCCGTCCACAGAGTATAAATAACTAGGAGCAAGTAAAACTTAAAAAAATCATTTGAAGTAGTCAAGTTGAATTGATAATGGAACTTACGAATTAGTGGCGCGTAGTCCTGATAGGGCGAGTCCGGAGGAAATCTGTACTTGCCATTCAGCGAACCAAGTTTACCAGACTCTTCAAATGGGCTCGAACCGAAACATAATTGATACAGAAGACATCCCAAAGCCTACAACACAGAGAAACCCAACACAGCAAAACAATGAAAATACGGCAGTCGAATCCAATTCAATGTTTGTTTCTTTCAATGCTTGAGTTGCAAGATGACAGTGCATGCCGATAAGCTAAGGTAGTTGCTTCCCTGAAACCCATTCACTTTGTTGACCTCCCCCCCCCCCCCCCCCCCCCCCCCCCCCCCCCGATCCACTCCATTAACATATTTTTGAATGCAGAGAGCAGTGATGTTAGTTGATACCACGTTCATTCAGTACTTCACAATTGCACAATACATATCGCATTTCAACATACCCAGATATCGGCTTTCGGTCCAATTATCATGTTGGTATAGAGGTCGAGCATCTCTGGCGCACGAAAGATCGGGGTGGTGTTGCGGTTGATCTGCACATAGTCACAGTACCAAACAGGAATGGAACATGAGCAGCAAACACCAGGTTCCGAGACACTATAAAAGAAAACGACTTTGATGAAATGTACATGTAGAAATTTGGGCTCAAAAAGCATTCCAAAGCTTTGTTGTTTGGAAGTACATATGGCTCAAACATCCTTCCAAATAATAGGAACATTGCTCTTCAGTAACTTGACTTACTTCATCTTCGGCTGTTTCACGCTGGATGTGATTCCAGTCCAATGTCGGCTGGTAGATGGTGGTGGTTGCACTTCCAAAGTCACAGAGTTTAATTTCACCGGACGCGCTCAACAGTACATTGTCAATCTGCAGGTCAAACGGACACAGTTTTACTCACACTGCTTTGTCACGGGACTGGCAGAGTGTGTCACTTTCATCAAACAAAGTGTTCCAACAAAAATATGCCTATAGTCCTACAATGTACTGTAAAACCGGAAAGTCTAACGAGTCACAAAGTCTAACGTTTTAACGACCAATTTTTTCATTTAAGATTATCACGAACCCGGTTTGAGATGTCCGTGTAAAGATGCGCATGCAGATAGGTGGCTAGATAGCCATCGTTAACCCTTTCAGGGTCACAGTGCATTTACTACGTCTGGGCACTGAAATTCAGTGCATCAGTACAATTGTGGAGATAGCAACAAACAAATTGTCACAACATTTTTGTTTCTCAACGGATTTTCACAACTTATGGCTTACTGGAAAGCTCCTTTCCTGCTCGTCATCTTCCACGTACTTTCAGAGCATACAGCACCTCAAGGCCGCCCCTAGCCTCGCCAACAGTGTCCCTACCGTGCGCCGGTTTGGCATCAAGACCACGCTCAACTATTTCCTTCGGTTACTCATACGTCATGCTGCCTTTCACACATCATTGGGAAATCCCCTTGAATGACTTGAAAGTCGCAAAAATATCGCCAGACAGAAAGGAAGAAAAATGTTCAGATCGAAATCGCGCGTTCAATTTATCGCCGCTCGATCATTTGTTGAGCTATCGCCACACCGAAAACACCTCTGGAAAGCCCTTTCCAAGACCGTTCCAATGAGCTATAGATCTTCGCGATGCGATAATCCGTTCCAGAGTTATGGCTGTTTGTACAGTGATCTATCCGTGAGTACGGTATGTGGACTGTACAGAAAGTATAGCGCGAGCATACTCGTCATTGCCCAGACGCGATGGGGTCTGCATGACGAGTATACTCGTCATAAACCCGGAAAGGGTTAAACTTTCTGCACGGTATCATGCCAAAACTTTTTGGTCGTTAAACTTTCCGGTTTTACAGTAGACTTGTGCTCGTGCATGTGTACCCATTGCACAACAATTGCACCCAACGCCTGTCAGGGTGGATGATGTGGACAGTACAGATGGTATGTATACGGGGTGCTGGCCACTAGACACAACGCACTGGCACAGTATCGAGCAACTGACCTTCAAATCGCGGTGAACGACGGGCGGCTTGAGCATGTGCATGTGAGCAACCGCCTCGCAGATTTTGTGGAAGCAGTGGAGTCGCTGGTCATGCCGAAACTCGTTTTCGGCCATCAATGGATCCAGAACAGACTTGAGCGGTGCTGAACAGAGTTCCTGAATGATAAGAAACTCGGTGTTGCCATGCTTAGTATTCTTGGCTGGGATAGCGGCAGCAGTTACAAACTCCACAATGTTTGGGTGGCCAGAGACTAGTTTCTAAACGAGAAGAAGGGAGAAATAGCAGCCACCCGTTATATCAACACGTGCACATTAATAACACTTGCCAGGTGATGCTCAGACTAGAGTTTCCGAGTTTCACCACTCCTCCATGGACTGGGATAACTCAAACACACTTGGAATGGACTGCGTACTGGCACGGACGTGCATTCTTTGTGTAACGGCTGCCCATGATAGAATACGCTGGCACTCTTCTAGTTTTTCTGCAGCACCGAAGGCTATCGGGCTCATGATGGTGATGATTGTGCACTGAGATGTCCTGGGTGGCATCCTCATCCTACCACACTTTAAGATGCGTTAACAAGTGAGTGGGCAAAGCCATGGTGTTCAAGCCACCCATGCCAAATCTCCCCATCAGCTGGATTATGGAAGGTATCCGACATCACTTGAGCTGCTCTCACATATGACTTTGAATAATAATGCCATAAAGTACCGCGAGAGCGCCCCACCATCTACTCCCTTCCGTGGTTGTGTTTAGAGGTGGTGTCCTGTCTGTAGGTCATACGGCACGTACCTTGTACACACATAGCACCAAGAGTATGTAAGCTTCCAAGAGTGTGCAACTCCTGATACCCTTTCTATGGTGCTCGCCGATGGCGAAAAAACTCACATCACGTGATGTAGTGTTCCCATTGTACGTTTCCAGCCCGTTGTGGCCAGCAGGGGAGTAATAAAAATAGCACTCTCTGACAGAAACTAACTTCGCGTATGCCACTCCACTTCATGTTCATGGCAGATGTTCGGATTGCATGCAGGCTATCATTCGTTGTACGTAGTACGAAGCGTACCTGAAACATGTGGTGTGAGTTTTCGCCGTCAGAGACCCCATATGTAGAATTGCACACTCTTGGGTGCTTATTTACCCTTGATATCACGCCATGTCATCAATTCGTACTAAGTTTTCCGTGGAGTTCCACACAAGGGCATGCTTAATGTGACCTTAGTACACTAAGGCTCCCACACCGTACAAACGTAGTCACACGTTGCCATAAGACTTCCCTTTTCCTGGCTGTAAAATCAAGATGGGGCTCTCGCGGTACTTTACGGTACTTGTATTACCGTATATTCTCTATTATAAGCGCCGTGCTTCTATTTTTTCAACACCCCTCTACCCCGTGCTTATATTGGAGACCGCGCTTATATTGGAGACCGCGCTTATATTTTTTCAACCAATATATCCATACAGAGCAAGAAGAAATACATGCTAGATATCATGCATGCAGCATTGATTTCCACCAAGACCGTGCTAATAATAGAGACTGTGCTTGTAATGTTTCGAAAGGTGCTCACAGTGTGCTAGTATTAGAGACTGTGCTAGTAATGGAGACCTGTGCTTATAATAGAGAATATACGGTATTATTGTAGTGGCCATCCCAGCCGCTTCTACCTCAAACATGACCATTCGGAAGGAGAAATGGAGGGGCGTAGGGGCGCGACAGGCTACAAGAATAGGCGTGGATAGTGGAATTTTAATCATCCCGGCACTACGGTAAATACCGGACGGACACTGCCGCAAGTCACAACAAGGACAGAAAGATGCATGGTTAGGCGGAGATGCGTACCCGGATCCGCGGCGCTCCACGGATAAGGGGACTTCACTGTACTGAATATCTATGTCCCAGAACTGTGATTTCAGACAGTTTTTTGTGAAGGGAACATAAACAAAGAAACACTTACCAGAGTAGATATTTCTCTTTTCACAACCTTCTCTGTCTCACCAGACGCAATAATCCGCTGCAGAAATTAAAAAAAATCATGTACATGTCCGTGGAGAGCTCTATTGACAAAGTCAAAATTGAAATCAAACTTGTGATCGAGTACGAGTGTATGTCGCAGTGGATGTGTACGACATTCATGCCACAGTATGCAGTACAGTACAATGTACACAGTCTGAGTACAGTCCGACAAATTCAAATCAAACTCACTTTGAGTGCGTAGGACCTGCCAGCTCCATCCACGACAAGAAAAATGAATCCAAATCCACCTGTGTACATAGATAGTACAATAGAATTCTTACGGGTCCCAACGCACTTTCCATCCTCTGTTCTTTAGCAGCAGAAATTACCTTGTGCTACTACTTTCTTGATGGCGAAATTGTAATCGCCGACTTGAACATTCGTACCAACAAGCTCATGTTCCTGGCCTTTCTTTGCAAAGGCAGAGCGCATAAAGTCCGTCATTGCGTTGGGACAAATACATTACATTACAACAGCTATTGTCTAAAATTTCCTTGCTGGACACTTTGTCGAGGACATGATATTGCTAGATTTTCAACCTCGCCGACATCGCATTGTGGCACACATACTCTTTCGTCTCAGCCAAACTACAGCAACAGTTACTGTTACATAATGCATGCATTTGCAGTTTTGCACTGCATGTAACATTGTTGCCAGGTGAGTCAGTTTCAAGAGGTCGACGCCGCCGCGGCCGCGCTGAAGAATCTACGCACTTTGTCACGGTATTTTGCGGTTCGCTCGACTGTGCGATAAAGTGCACGGAAACCCTAGCGCGGCGCGGAGCAAGAGAGGTCGACTGCATCGCGGAGCTTGGCGCGGCCCATCATCAGATCATGCACTACAATGTACAGACAGTGTAGCCTGTAGCCAGTGTAGGCAATGCTGTAAAAGCAGAAATTTTCGGTGGTGTTTTATTTTCGGTAACTATTACTTCGGTGCCGAAATTTTTACCGAAAATAAAACGCACCGAAAATGTCGGTATAGTACTAGTACACTTACCTGAAACGCGGGTTTACCGAAAATTTCCCTCCGCCGAACCGCCGATTTTGGAGAATACCGAAAATATTACACCACTGAAAATTTCTGCTTTTACAGTATCAGTCTGACAACTCGTACACTCTACAGTATTACCATTAGGGAGTAGTATTTTTACCACTCCCTACTGCACAATACGATTGTGACATAATCGTACACTACAGTCAATTAACAGATCATCGCTCGACATAACAAGTTATGTAACAACTCTTGTCCGTCTTGATGGTATGGCATTGTAATAATAATGCAAGCCGAGCCGAGAACTAACCACTTCAAATGTCAAAGGATCAGTCCCCCCGGTACCCCCCCCCCCCCCCCCCCCGCCAGTTCAGTGATAGTTTACCAGGTATGATGTTGATGATAGCTTAATTACCCCAAGGCGGAGGACATACTGCGGGGAGCAAACCCATTTCTAGCGGAGGACATACTGTAAGGGAAACGGCTTCAGTGCTGCTAGTACTTGTAGTAGATAGTTAGAACAACTGACATTGATTGATTGATTTTTATTTAAGGATTGTCCAAAGGCCGCAGAGGCCTATCGAGGGGACATGCGCAAGCATCTTGCCTCGGGCGTACACACGATCAGGGAGTCTGGATGCTCCGAGGTGCTAATTATAATAATTATGTAATGTTACATGCACCCCAGGCCAATGCCTATTACAGTACAAAGTATTAGCAACCAACTCTCAAGTACCACTGGTACACCCAAAACACACACTACGCAACACAGGCAATACAGTACACATGCAGTCCATGCACAGAACTCAGATGCATGCTGCTGCTGCTGCTGGTGGTGGGCAGGGCTGATAGCCTAAAAGTTAGCCACCCACGCAAGCCACTACAGTCATGCACTCAGCTTTGCCACATGATCCTGCAACAAAAAAAAGTGCACATAATTTTAGTTCCAACGAGCCGACTGATACCACACTGCTGACCGATTTCATGCCGATCAAAAAGGCAGAAACCGACAATGATTTAGTGCAAGCCAGGAGAAGAATTCAATGCATAATGACATAAAAGGCATCAAAATAGTGTGGTATAAAAGCGACCATGTTAGGTTGCCTGCAAACTATTTATGTTAGGTTCCTGGTGAAAATATCATTATAAGCTTTTGTTTTTCTCGTACATAAAACAACTCGTGTTGCATTCAGTGATCAAGTCTGCTTCTCTTGGATTAAGTTGAGAAGAAGGGCATCTGACAGATAGACATCCAGCCAGGCGGAAAGATATCTGAAACCTTGTTTGGCGAGGTGGGATAAATATGATAGTGCGTGGTGATTTTATAGTATCATTTTTGCAACCATTTTGAGACAGTACGGCAATTTTTTTAATTTTTAAAATGAATCATTTCAAAATGTAAAAGAAGACCTGGTGGCAGCAAGAACCAGTCCAAAGGGTGTTTTGCAGAGTTTCGTAATTGAACCGAAAACGACTGTTTTAAAAGATTGACGGAGTAAACTATGAAATAGGGAATGCGTGGTGCACAGAGCAAGCTACAAGAATAGACGACATACGCTGGACCGCAGATCGGATATCGGGAGAGAGGTTACGCCACCCGTGTCATATCCTTGTTCTGCTCAAATGCACTCCACGCTTCGTTCAACTCGACGAATATGGCCTTGGCCAGTGCTTCCTCTGGCAGCCCACTCAGCTACGCAAATAGAACCCAGGGGCACACACAGGTAGAGAAGAATGGTCAGTTCAATTTTGTCCAGATCAAAAGTACACACGCAGGATAACAGCATGTTGTGTGGTTGATCAAATCATGCAACAGTTAGAGCTAGCGTGGTAGTAGTTCTAACTATAAAATCTGTCATGGCACTACCCATTGCCCCAGGCTGCACGTAGTCCGCACCTATATTCGAGAGGGCTTCATTCTTATTTCAAACGGTTGTTGCGGGGGGGGGGGGGGGGGGGGGGCTATTACGGTATTCAAGAGAGTTTTCATATTCGAGAAGAGCTTCTAATCGAATGCGTATGGTATTCCTGAATCCAAAGGATTTTGTTCACAAATGCTACACATCTGCACATCCAGCTTTTACGGCAGAGAGTAGTTTACATGACAAAGGTTCAAGGTTTGTCAACCTCCTAGCATCTCTGTTCCAGAGTTTTGCAGACAAAAGCTCTGCTGAGGGAATTGCTATCACGGTTGCGACGATGCTGTCGCTGCAGCAGCCGTTCAAGTGCGTGGGCCAGAAGGAGCAAAAGGTCCATCTGCAACGCAACTTGGCCCTACGGGACCAGGGAGACATCAATGAGCTAATGCTTGAGGCACGGACCATCCAGCGTCATCTCAGAGATGCCACAGGGAAGCCTCGTTCACGCTCCTCTACGGACGACAGTGCAAGGCAATTCGCCTCTCTGGTCTACAATGGAAAGCTGAATGCCGCTGGCCGCATGCTCTCACCCAACAATTCCGGTGGAGCTCACAGCCTCAACAGCAAGGTTGGTGATGAGACAGTACGAGATCTGCTGAAGGCTAGGCACCCACCAGCGGAACCTCTCCACCCATCAGCTGCTATGTCGGGTCCTCTTCCACCCCAGCCACACCCAGTTCGGTTTTCCAGTATCACTGTGGATGCAGGCAGGAGAGCAGTAGTACTCAATACCCATGGAGCTGCAGGTCCTTCGGGAATAGATGCTACGGCCTGGAGGAGGGTGTGCACGAGTTTTGGCAAAGCTTCCGATTCACTTTGCTCAGCCATGGCCTCCATGGCACGCCACATAACATCGTCATATGTTGACCCTGGATCACTAAAAGCTTATATTGCCTGTTGCCTCATCCCACTCGACAATCAGCCAGGTGTTAGACCTATTGGGATTGGAGAAGTGGTCAGGCGAATCGTAGGCAAGGCTATACTGGGCTGTTTGGGTCCTGCCATTGCAGATGCCACTGGATGTCTTCAGCTGTGCGGCAGCCAAGAAGCTGGCATAGAGGCTGCAATTCATGCCATGCGGTAGGCATTTACGCAAGATGTGTCCTCTTCGCGGATGCGTCAAATGCGTTCAACAGGCTGATTCGCGATGTTTGCTTGAGGAACGTCGGCCACCTATGCCCGAAATTGGCTCCCACACTGATCAACAAGTACAGAGAGTCTGCCCGTCTCTATGTTGATGGAGAGGTACTCTTCTCTAACGAAGGGACTACGCAGGGGGATCCATTGGCCATGCCAATGTATGCACTGGGCATGGTTCCCCTGATACGTTTGGCATCGGAGAGTGGCTCCCTACAGGAGTGGTACGCGGATGATGCCAACTCTGCTGGAAGGCTCGGTATGCTACGCACATGGTGGAACATCCTTGTGAGCCGAGGCCCAGAGCTTGGGTACTTTATCAATGCCACCAAATCTGTTCTGTTGGTAAAGCAGCAGCACAAACAAGCCGTCAAGGAGGTGTAGCTATACCGGTAGAATTGTCCTTCCCCGGAAAAAAAGAAAAAAAGTTTACAGGACAATCATACTTGTACAAGAATTAGAAACCACGAGAATACGAGACTGAAAAGCAGGACCACATACAAGGAACACATCTTCCTCCTAGATCTGACACCTAAGTTCAAAAATTGCACACACAGCATGATCATCGACTTTGCTGCTCTGATGAAGGACAAACGTTCATCAGAAAGATGGCCTTTACATTTGGAACAGCACAAACCAGAAAGAAAAACAATGCTACGTCTTGCCGCTCACAGGAAAACAGCTTCACTAAAACATCTCATGGGAATGATATTGGTTTCATGGAATGGTTGTGTGCACGTCAACACTCTTTCGTCTTTTACCAAGTGGAAAGGCTCTATTCTGACGTTTTAGGTAAACAATGTGGCGCCAACAAACAACTGGGCTTGAAAGCGAGGACGTCAAAAAGCCAACAAACATCCACTTTTGGGTCAAAGTTGGATCCACTCAGAAAATAGTGAGGTGCAGCATCTGATTGGTAGGCCCCTCGCGTCGCATACTGGTGTGGTTTTTCTACACCAGGAGTGGGTTCCCCAACCGACAGGTAGGGCCCAGTCCAGTCAGTACCGGTGGATGTGTCACACCCTACTGTGAACGACATCGCCCAAGCATGCATGGATCTATAGTATTCACAAAAATCCAAAATCAAGCTCAAGTAGATCCAACAGTCAGTATTGTCTCGACTCCCGCCTGCTTGTAAAGCAGCACTTTCAAGCCCTGTATCATTTCAGCACAACATACAGTATCACCAACCTTGTCAGGATGAACCGCCAAGCAAGCTTTACGATAGGCCTTCTTGATCTGTGTTGAACATTCAAAACCAGGAAGGAACAGACTATGGCCTGAGCCCTCCTATTGGGTACAGCAGTATAACAGGTTGGCATTATAATGCAGAATGTGTTGAAGGTACTGGCAACTGGTGTTATCAAAACACATCAAGTGACCAGCTTGCAATAGAGTTTTCTTCATGAATTGAGTTTAAAATTGGCTAGGGCCATACTGCCTAATTCGTGCTATGTGGGGATTTGCCTCAAGATATTCATTAGTTTGCAACTTGTTATAGTGACTTGTCTCGCAGCAGAAGTGGGGGTCTTTTGGGCACGGAAATCTCACCAACAAGTTCTACATTAAATATGAGTGAAGTAAACAAACTTCGAGCTGCTAAGACTGGTCACAGAAAGCTCTCTCTCTCTCTCTCTCTCTCTCTCTCTCTCTCTCTCTCTCTCTCTCTCTCTCTCTCTCTCTCTCTCTCTCTCTCTCTCTCTCTCTCTCTCTCTCTCTCTACTCTCTGTCTTTGAACAAGATACATTAGCGACGTGCTGTCCCTGACAAAAAAATAAATTAAATTTCACGGTTCGCGGGAGACCGAAATCCCATTAGCTGCATCCATGTTACCCTCGTGCCAGGCCACGAGTTCCCAATTAACTGTGCTGTCCCTGACAAGCCGTTGAGATTAACACGTATGGGAAACGTGTTGCGATGATTACGGCAACGCTTGTGCGATGGGCGAGTCAGTTAAACTGAAGTCAACGTTTCCGCCACAGGCATTTTTCATTGATAGAGTGAAGAGAGGAAGAAATCTACAGGATTTGTTTTATCTTTGTTGTAACTAAATCCTTTGCAGTGCACAAGACGTCATTCTCAGCATGGTCAAAGCCATCACACAAGCCTGACCTCATTCGGCTGCACCAGCTGATGCATGCCAACAGGCTTCCAGGTGGCACCATCCCACAGAACATCCGGCAGTGCAGCTAGCAAGGCTCTGATGTTCTTTCGCTTTCCGTCCGTCCAGCGCATGATCTATGCAGAATCACACAATACATGGGTACAGTCGCTATACGGTTGGCTGACAGGGGAATTAAAAAAAGAAGTTGATCTGCCTATATAAAATGTCGGCAATCTAGAAGAAGTGGCCGTGAAGCCCGACTTGAATCAATTGCCTGTCTTGATATGTTTACAACGATTAGAAAACGTTTTCAGCCTCCAAAAAGTAATGGCGTCCAACGGACCTTTCTTGATTGTAAAATGTAGTCAATTAGGCAAAATAAGACTTGCACGCAAACTTCAAGTTTGGTTCAGGTGCTCATGCTTCAAGTATGATTTGGGCACATAATCCAGTGTCATCATGGTGTGTGCTGTCTCTTCCTCTCTGGCACCAGCCGCACATGATGCTTCCTTGGGGCAGAGCATTATTATGGTGATCACTTCAAATGCAGCTGGCGTGTACATGTGGGGCTACTTGGGGCAAGGCAATTGAACACTACCGAGCATATACTTCCCAACTGACCTTCAGCTTGACGGGATCCATGGTTTTCTCCAGCTCTTTGTTCTGCATAGCCTTGAGGGAGACGTTTTGATTGCCTTTGTTCGTCTGGAAACCCTGACTTGAAAGCAGGTCATCGAAAGCATTCTTTTGTACCTTGGGTGCAACACCTGTTCGGACAAATCCAGACAAGGAAATGGCAGACTGTATAGGAAGATATACCGTAAAGTACCGTTGATCCGTCCCCTCTATAATTTCCGCCCCCCCCCCCCCCCCCCCCCCCCCTGTCGAATTTCTGCCTGGGAAGTGACTTCGGCGTATACAGTGAAATACGGTGTTGAACCGACGAATGCACTGCTGTACGTAATACGTGCCAGTACAGGATGAAAATGTGCAGAATCCAGCATGCCAAGTCTGATCTTCTGCTTTGTTGTACATCATACTGCGCTTGACCGACTTGATCTAATTCCCGCCCTCTGGTGAAAAACCAGCTGGGAAGCGACATAGCACGTGGGAGAGGAGGGGGAGGGGGGTCAACGGTCCTTTACGGTACTCATTAGCACAATGTCTTGTTAGAAAGCAATTTGGGACACTTAGCTTGGATTTCAATTTCGCTCGGAGTTGTACCGTATGTGTGCACCTTTAAAGCCATGGAGGTACAGGTGGACTCCCTTTAATTCGAACCTCAAATTGCCAGGCCCTAACTTCGAATTATCCAGAACTTCTAATTATCCAAATGCAGCCCCATGCACTGATATGTATGTCAAAATGCTTGAAATCGCATGCTGAATATTTTTTGCACATTTTTATTTGCATCAACGAAACATAGGTGGTCAAACCGGTCTTGTACAACGGATCATCAAAACACTGGATCGACACAAAATCATTTTGACATTATCTTCATCTTCTAGTGAAGAAGTAAGTTGTCAGTCACTGCAGCTTTCCTGAAACAATTTCAACGGAAAAGAACTGCGCTGCCTAATCCGCGTCATGAACTTTGAAGGCCTTCGAAAAGCAGCACGTCGTTCTGAAGAACGGAAGTGGAGCATAGGCATCGACAATATTTACGACAATAGTGTTGTTGTTCGCCAACATCCCCGCGCACGAGCTGGCGCGGCAAGAAAGGCCATCGAGATCCGCGAAGAGAGTCAGCCACCTGGAAGAAGTCGTCTTCAATCAAACCTTTGCAATTTGCCTAGCACGGGCTTGAATCAAATTTCGAGAGAAGGTGGGTTTCTTGAACGCTATAGTCGATCCTGCAGCGGACCATCAATCGATTTTTGAGCTACTCTTGGCTAGAGAAGAAGAAAAGAATGAACTTCGAATTACAAGGATAGCAACTCAATCTCACTTCGAAATAAGCGTTCAAAGGACATAGTCAATGTACTGTAAACAGCTCTTCTGTACGAAGACTGGGTTCGAATTATCCAACCGGCGCACTTTTCGTACTTCGAATTATGCATTCGATTTTGACTTGAAGTGACTTGCAGAAGATCGGTACGACGAAAAAGTTCGAATTACACGGAATGTTCGAATTAAACCGTATTCGAATTAGAGGGAGTCTACCTGTATATTCGATTATAAAGCCAGTCTCAGTTATAAAGCCATGGGCTTCATAAATGAAAATTTCATAATGACATTTGAAGTATGTTTTGTGAAAATGAAGGGATAAGTACTATACTAACAAACTTGCAGCCCAGCAGGAAGGGTGAACAAGTGGATTTAGATGGAAATTTCTCTGTGGACTTTGACTTTTATGGCTTGGCGTAGTGGGTGAGTCATTTTGCATCTAAAATAGCTCGGAAAGCAGCAGTGCTTCGAATATAAGGCCATGGCTTTAAAGGCGCTGACATACGGGATATATTTACAACAAAGAAAAACGAAGGGTGCATGACCTGCAAACATAGGCTGGGTCTTCATCACAGATTCCATGACTGTGATACACTAGCACCTGTCCAGCATTTCACCAAAGTGTTAAAGTATCTTGATTTGCAGCTGGAGAAAGGGCCCGTTGCAATGAAGATAATAAAAATCAGTAGAACCGGCGACCTGAATTGTCCAAAGGTCGTGGCCCAACACCAGGCCACTGTTGTGGTGTGGAGCTTGCTCTCGCCCGGAGGTGATGCGAATATGGATTGACTGCACCGCATGAACAGTGCGTGCAGTGTATGTGTCATATAACCTACACTGTAGTTACAGTCAAAAACTGGCTCATATGCCATTCCCTCAAAACCCAGACCATGAAGGGTCGACAAGGTGGCGGGGCGATCTTGCGGGGCCTTTAAAAATACGGTACATTATTTCGTCATGATTTTTGCGACAACATGAGGAAGATACTGGTATAGCTCACTGACTTGTCAGTTTGAGCACTCTGGCAAGGTACGTTCGGGCCTGGTTTAAGTCTGGAAAATATATTTTTTATTGCTATCAGGTTCGGCCTCATTTTCTCTGTACTGCACTGATGAGTCCACAAAGGACGAAACAGTTCTGTCCGCAGATTGGGTATATGAGTGCTGTACATTTCAAGTTTTCAACCCTATTGTAGAGCACTAAACGCAATCAGCACACATGCTATGGCAAATACTGGCAAACATGCTTACCCTGTGGTCCTGCTCGCAATCCTCGTTCTCCCCGGTTACCAATCACGCTGGTGTACGGTGAGCCAACGCCAGTGTTCTCAAAGTTTGCGCTGGCGGAGCGTGGCTTACGGATGTTCGCATCGCCAGCATCGGTTGTGCTGGAGTTACTTGCCGGCACCGTCAGCGGTGATGATCTGTTCAGGTTCCTGTCCGACTGGGACACGGACTGCTTAGCATCCGACGAGAAGCTGTTAAGTTGCGAGAACGGGTCGTCCACGGTAGCGCTGCGTCCTCGACTTAACGCTTGTACCTGCGGTTGGGCGTGAGCCGATGATGGCATGCCAACGGTCTTGGTGCCAAGGTCGAGGGAGTGAGTAGTGCCGCCAGCGCCTGCCTGAGCAACTCGCGCAAAGACCGGAGATCCGCCAGCCTGCCTCATGCCCACTCCGGCCGCCGCCGCGGGAGGTCCCATGCCGGCGAACGATGGCTGCCCGAATGACATTTGGCCTGGGGCGTGCCTGGGCAATCCAGATAAGGTGCTCCCGGCGGTGCACTGCTGATTGGGACGTGCAAACGCGTTGATAGATGTGCCAGTCTGACCCACACCACCCATCAGGTTTTCACCAGCTGTACAGGTACTGGGTGCTACAGTCGGCGCAGCTTGCTGACAAGAACTACCCATCAGGTCACCACCCATTAGGTCACTGAACATGGCTGAGCTTGGCTGATGGCTTGTTGTGCTTGCCATGCCACCCAACAGATCACCAGCACCAGCACCATCGCCACTAGAAACAGCAGCAGCTGCAACAGGCTGGAACGTTGCGTTATCCGTCAAGTCACCTAGCAGGCTCGCAGCATTGGTGCCAGTATTCGGGGCAGACGACTGATCAGAGCAGTCTGAAAATATCCCAAACAAGTCGTTTGCTTGACAATCTTGTGGTTGTTTTGCGGGCTGACTTGCCGATGGTACAGATGTGTAATTAGGACTGGGGCTGAAGGCAAGAAAGTCGTTCGCCGTCGATGTTCTCACTCCTGGTGCTTCACTGAAGTCGGCGCTGGTAGCACTGTTATCAGTTGTATGTTGCTCATCTAGACCCAGCAGGTCCACTGCAACAGTTCCACCACTACTACCACCACCACGACCACCATCAACGGAGATAGCACTAAGTGCACGGGAATCGGGCTGGGAGTTGAGGCCGAGTAGACTGTCAACATCTTGATTGGAACCGTCATTCTGTGGCTGAACAGGAACAAGAAGCAGAGCAGAAACAAACGGATTGCTATGCCTGTGTGCAGCGCTGAGAAATCAGTTTACCCCAAGCATTTACTACCGGCACGTCCTGTGAACTTGTACTATCAGCCCGTAGCACTAGCCAAAAGGGATTAAATGACTGGGAAAGAACACTATTAGCAAAAAAAACCATTTCACAAATCGGGTCGGTCAATTTTTCGAAAAAAGAAGAAGAAGAAGAAGAAGAAGAAGAAGAAGAAGAAGAAGAAGAAGAAGAAGAAGAAGAAGAAGAAGAAGAAGAAGAAGAAGAAGAAGAAGAAGAAAGAAGGTCTCGCTAGGATCGGATCGGCTGGACCGTGTGCCACGCCCCGACTGTAGATACATTAGACACAGGAGTACACTGTTAAGTACACAACTGTGCTGTGCACTCCTAGCAATGAGAACACCTGGCTAGGCACTATTATAGGGTACATGACATATTGTAAAAGCAGAAATTTTCGGTGGTGTTTTATTTTCGGTGCCGACAATTTTTATCGAAAATAAAACGCACTGAAAATTTCGGTACTACCAGTACTGTATACATTTAGGCTGTGTTTACATGAAGCGTTTCAACCCGGGTTGAGTTCGCCCCGGGTCAGATTTCAACCCGCCATGTACACAAAGTGAATGGCGCGTTTACATGACGCATTGCGCTTGACCCGGGTTGAATCAACCCGGGTCAAGAAAATCGTACAAACGTACTTCTGTGCGTATCTCGCGCCAGGTTTGAACAGCACTGCAGATGCAAATTTCGCGCGAACGGATTCACGTGACCATACAGGACTGTAGAAGTAGACTTTTGGCGGCATATCAGTATTTGACCCGGGTCAACTGTCTTCATGTAAACGCTCACCTCTTTTGTCTATCGTACAGACTTTCAACCCGGGCTGAACTCGACCCGGGTTGAAATTTCTCATGTAAACACAGCCATAGTACTAGTACACTTACCTGGAAAAAGGGTTTTACCGAAAATTTCCCTCCACCGAACCGCCGATTTTGGAGAACACCGAAAATATTACACCACCGAAAATTTCTGCTTATACAGTACTAGTTTTTTCACAGCATCGGATTCCTTCGAACATACAGTTGAACATCGATTATCCGACCACCTCTGGGCAGACAACTGTCAGGCGGTGTTCAGATAAGGCAAATGTTCCGGATAAGAAAAAACTGTCACTAACACACTTTCAGTGGTTATTACTAGCCGCACGACCTTTTTACTTTTCAAAATTTTCGTATTTTTTAAATGGCTCACTACATGCACAGTGCGTACTCTACGGCACGTGCGCCCAAAAAAACTGTTACGGATAATCGAATGGTCGGATAGTCGACGTGCGGATAATCGATGTTCAACTGTAACTATAACCTGCAGTGGGCATGATAACATGACATCGGACATTTTCCGGACGTTTTCGGAGGAAATCGGACCAAAAACACTGGGTCCGGACACTTTGACCAGGCGCTTTTGAAAAAATCGAACTACTTCAAAAGTACAGTGATTTGTGTGCATGCTCGCGATGTGTGCTTGTTTTCAAGTGCGTGCGTACATGTACCACTAACTAGTACGCCCGTGATCAGGGTTAGGGCTGGCTTGGGCCGGCGTGGGCGTCATGCGCCAAGCCGGATATCAGGCCACGCATGCAGGCTGGTTGAAGCGCGCTTGCACTTGTCGGTTGGTGTCGAGTACACGTAGATCTGTAAATGTACTGAGACTACAGTACTTTTGCGAGTGGTGAACGAGAGTTGAGCCGTTGTCAAAATGTTTGGAAAGAGGAAGGGTGACGGTGAGAGCTCTGCTCCGGCGAAGAAAGTAGCACGCGGAGCGAAAACGTCTACTTGTGACAAGTGGGTTTCCGATAGTGACAAGGAAATGAGTACCTCCGCTTGGCTGAGGTACGAGCGACAGAAAGACGACCGGCAATTGGTGGAAATTCTGAAATGCGCGGTGTGCGTCAAATTCGAGGAGCAAGTGAAAAGCAGCAAGATACGTCCGGACATGTCCGGCCAAAAATGGAAATGAAAGGGCATGCCGTCCGAGCACTTCGAATTTCTTATCATATGCCCTGAACCTGTATAACAGGTAAGAGAATTATAAGTTTATACTTGAAGCAACAGCCAATAACAAAGAAACCGACAAGAAACCAACCGGCTGAAGAGCGTAAGGCCAACTAACCTTGTAGTCAGGTTGCGGCGAGCAGTCACTACCAAGATCGCTCAGTAGATTAGGCTGTTGTCCAGGCCCGTGTACACCATCACTACCACTGGAGTACATCTCCAGCAGGTCATGCGCAGCAGTCACATCTATCTTAGCTACACAACACCACCGAGTGATAGATAAGTAGCACCAAGAGGTACACGGAGCACAGCATGCACACACACACACACACACGCACGCACGCACACACGGTTCAAATAAGTCACTACGGAGAAAAAATGAGACGCCAAGGAGCAGTGTGAAGATTGGGAGAGATAGGGAACGAAGAGATAGATGGATACATGTAGTATTGTAGATAGATACTGACTTTGATGATTTGAGCCTATTTAAAGAACGCTGTTGCTCACTACTGTGTAGACTTCATTGCAATCAGTACTGCCAGTCAATCGTAGCTCCACTGATGAGATTTAATAAGGTGGAAACAGCTAGGTATCCAGAGATTGAGTAGAGATTGAGTAGAGATTGAGTAGAGAGAGAGAGAGAGAGAGAGAGAGAGAGAGAGAGAGAGAGAGAGAGAGAGAGAGAGAGAGAGAGAGAGAGAGAGAGAGAGAGAGAGAGAGAGAGAGAAAGAGAGAGAGAAGCAATGTCACGTATTAATAGAGACTAACCGAAGTCAGAGAGCAAAATCTCCTGCTCGTCCTTTGTCTCGAAGCAGATCAGGGGCACTCGTGGCCTGACAGAGGTGTTGGACCAAGAAGACACTTGCTGGTGGCCATCCCCTGGCTTGCACGCGACATCAACCAGCACCGAGAATGCTGGCAGGAACCTTGTGTCGTTCCTCTCGATGCCATCAAGATCAGATCTACGACGGACAGCGTGACCCAAATACAAACACAGAGCCAAGTTACGCCACAAGCATCCAGAGACCGCACAGTCCCTGTGCCGCTCTCCATGGACATCGCCGTACACTCGAGAGCAAGTCTGGACTAAGCCAGCCCAAGTACTCTACTCATCACTACCAGTGGAGGAACAGAACAACTGAGGCATGCCAGTGGGCAAAGCAACCGCCGGTGGCTTTGGAGTGTGCATGGCCTTGTGGTCCGTAAAATGAATGCTCAACTCCTGCCTTACAATCAGCATTGTCAGCTAGACCTGAATGATTGCCAAGATGGGTAGGCCGTGCTACACTCAACAACGCTGTGCTTTCCAGGGTTATAGCCGGAACAAAAGTGAAGGGAGGGGGGATCATCCGACCCATTTTTAGTGACTTTTACCTCTATTTTGGCAGCTACTTTCACTCACACCAGCAAACAACCGACCAAATTCCATTCCATGTTTTTATTCACCGGCCACTGGAACCCGCCATGAGTATGGTTTTCCGGGGCAAGTGATGATTATAGGAAGGCAAGCAATGACTCATACAATGCTGTGCTGCAACATGATACATTTATGTACTCATCATCATGCATATAAAATGGTGGCGCTAGCACTCTGAAGGGTGGCGCGTTCATTTTGAAAGGGGGCGGTCGAAACGTGAAGGAAGGCACAGCGCCCCGCTATGTTGCTTTGGAGAGAACCCTACTTTCTGCAATCACTGCTTCAAGTCTGCCTCAGCTGCAACTGTGGACAGTAATGCAGCGAAAAGGCGGTGCCTTGCGCGAAAATACTGATTTATCAACTCTCTCCCATATTAGGGGCAACATCGCCAAGGGAGCTGTATGCTAGGCTAGGACAGGTGTGTGTGTGTGTCCGTGCGTGTGTGCATGCGTGCGTGTGTGTGTGTGTGAGAGAGTGAGAGAGAGAGAGAGAGAGAGAGAGAGAGAGAGAGAGAGAGAGAGAGAGAGAGAGAGAGAGGGTAAAGACAAACGTGCATCGCACTGGGTTTATCAAAGAGAGCTCTCACCTCCTAAATGTCAGTGTCTCGCAGTTGTTCTCCACAAAAGCTGTGTTAAACTGAGCTTTGAACATGAGGGATGGGCTAACACTCTACAGACAACAAACATGACAGAAACATGCACGCATGCTGAGACGGTACTCTTTGCCAGGGTATAAACTGACCAGTAGTAAAGAGATTCAGTGCCATAATAGATATACAGTTGTGTGAAGCGAGTCATACTGGTGGTACGTGACAGAGGGAACAGACAACATCAGATTCTGATGCTCACCCGAGGTTCTAGTTTTAAAATTGTCTACTGCAAGCTGGATTATCACACAGCACAGTTCTTGTCAAGACAAACCTCTCACAATACAGAAATACATGTGAAGCAGTCACCAACAGAACAAACAAGTGGGATTTGAGTCTAATCAGTGCCCTGATGGTCAGCACACTGAAATCATGTCGAGCATCGTCGACTCAGCCTTGAAAGTGACACGCACATTTAACTTGTCCAGCAGGAGTGCTGTGTTTCTGCTTCAAGTTGTTTTCTGGGATGGCTAGACCCCAGAAATGAATCGCTTGGAGGGACACTTACGGATTATGTTGTACTTACCAGAGCTAGAAAGTTCAGAAATTGAATTTGTCAGAGCTTTGCGGCTAATACAATGAAATACGAAAGTATCGCTACAGTCCATTTCAAAACTATAGACGCGCAGTGTTTTTGAAATATTTCAAATTTGGCTGGAACTTTTTGAGAATAGTTTTCGGAATATTGCTCAGGTCCGCTCCACAATTACTCTCATATAGTTTCTAAACTATTGGATAACAAGACGCCCAATTTGGAAAAAATTATGCACAAAGTGATCACAGATTTTATGTGGTATAGATGCTGGCATAACGGTTTTTGCCCAGGTACGCGTCTATAGTTTTGAAATGGACTGTAAGTGTGTATCATTTCTGGGGTCTCTGCACGCCAGAGAATATCATAGGACAGAAAAATAGTACCTCTACAGCTCTTCTGTAAAACTGTTTCTCCTCAAAAGAGGTCGAGATATCTGAATAATATAAAGCAGACCCTGACAAAACTCACCATTTTCTTAATGCCTCGGCTGACGGAACTGGGCAGTGAGCGGCTGTGCGAAACGGTTATGGTGACGTCACCCTCAACCACCACTGAGTTGAAATGAATAGCAATGACACTATCTTCTTCCGTGTAGCTTCTGTTGTGCAGAAAAGGAAAGGAATAGTGAAGAAGCAAGAACTAGGCTTATTTCTGAAGCAGAACATTACCAGATATGCAAAGCGTTGGACAAACATTTGTCGGCAAAGAAATACGACCTTGCACTCTCATACAGCGAGCTGAAAAGTACCGGTGTTGTGTAGAAACTGGTGTGGCCTTTGCAATGTCTAGGTGAGATTTTCTTGGCAACAGCTGTACCAGGTACGGACTTGGAAAGGTGAATGAACACAGAAGTACATCACACTATTGGGATGATCTCTCTCAGATCTCCTTCCCGTCAAAGCAATACTGGTATTTTATACTTCGAAGTATGAATTTCCTAAAAACAAGAACCTACTTTCCCATTTCTGCAGGGTCTTGTTTAGATGGGGAACTCCAGATTAGCTTGCCAGATACGCTCACCTCAACGAGAGGTGTACAGCCAGTACTGCAACCAAGTGAAAGACAAAAGGAAATACATTCAGAGAAGTCGGCACATGACAAAATACAGACAAATAGAAACCACTCACATTTGAACAGGGCCGTAAGACATGCGCACCACACAAAGACCCCAGAAAAGGACAATACGCATGTGCGTCTGCTGAGCAAAACCAGCGCAAGATCCAACACACGACCTGCATAGATGTGACGATGCACTAGATGCGTGGTGCATACATAAACCCCATCCTGTAACAACAGCAATGCTGGCAATGCACCAGGATAAACCCCATCCTGTAACAACAGCAATGCTGGCAATGCACCAGGAGCATGAACGGATCACAGTAATGAGCAATCTATTTACGGGAATTCACAAGAACAAAAATAAAGGACAATGTCCTCTTCTAGCCCTGCCACCACTCAATAGCCATCACTGGTGCATGACAAAGTTATGCTCAAATGAACAATACACACAACTGTGCCGCACGTACCGGTTGAGGTTGTATTTTGGAATGCTTGTCAAACATAGCTGCCGCAAAATAACACTCTGGCTGCGTGGCTTGGACTGCTCAGGACCACCGAACACTTGGTAGCAGTAACGCAAATATCTGCCAAGATGCAAACAGCAATACTTCACTCATACACAGTTGCATGTCCATCCATGCCAAGATCATAATTTAAGTACGTATTACTAAGTGTATGTGCGCATGTGTGTCTGTGCGTGTGTGTGTGTGTGTGTTCGTGTGTGTGTGTGTGTGTGTGTGTTGGGGATTTCAGGGGGTGTCGGCCGTTGGGCGGTTCAATAGCCAATTGAGTCATCTTTCCAAGATTCCTTGAGTCTCTCTCCCCTCTCCCGGGGAGACCCACGTGACCAGTTTTGGCAGTGAGCAACGAGAGAGCTTGGAAGCTCAGGGCCCTACGCTATGCTTTTTTGCCTTGATGACCTAGACAAAAAAAGCATTCATCCCCCGATGCACTTCGCAATCATACTAATTCTTCCAAGTTGTTTCACATTGTGATCTTGCATTTGAAAGCCCTATTTGAGTTACCTGTATATGCATTGTGGCCAGCCGTCTTTGATGGCACGGTACGGTAGGGGATAGGGACGGGACAGGTACGATCGAGGGTAATACGACACCGTCTCCCGTACAGTACCGTACCATAAAACAGCTGGCCACATACAGCTTCCCGCAATATTTAAATAGGGCTTTCAAACGCAAGATAATAACGTAACGCAACTAGGAAGAATGGGTATGAATGCGAAGTGTATGGGGGAATGCATGTAGGGCGATAGTGCGGGTTCGAATCCCAGGATATGCCTGAAAAAAAGGAGAATTGAAAAATTTATAACATCCTAACATCCTATGCTTTTTTGCCGTCAGATACGGATAGCGCCAGGCGTGACACAAACAAACAAACACACAAACAAACACCAAATTAAAGCTGTGTGGACCCTGGCTAGCGCCAGACGTTACTGAAGTAACGTCTTCTGCATAGCTACGGGAACAAGTACAATAAGTACAAGTGTGTGTGTGTGTGTGTGTGTGTGTGTGTGTGTGTGTGTGTGCGTGTGTGTGTGCGTGTGTGTATGTATGTGTGCGTGTGTGTATGTGTGTGTGTGTGTGTGTGTGTGTGTGTGTTGCGGGTTCGATTCCCGACGATTATGATCACACACGTCCTTCTTCTCTTTCTCAAACTCCTCCTGACTTTTCTTTCATTCTCCTGGGTGGTTACCAACAGCCAGTGCATGCCAGAGTATGTGGTGTGATGTGTGTGCGGGGAAAAAAATGAATAAGGACCAAAAAGTAGGGATTCACTGGACAACAAAAGCCACTCCATAGCTGTGTGGTGTAGACCAGGCTGAATAGTGGCGGTCAATTCTTCAGCCTTGCAAGCTGTTGAATGGTGCAATCCCAGCACAAGTTGCTATGGCTTCTGCTGTAGCATCGCTATCAAGTATCATCGCCTCCGGCGATGGGCGTCAACTGGTCAAATGGTGTGTACATGACATTTTGTCCAAGAGCATTGTTTTCACACAAGTCACCATGCCTACATGAACATGACCCAAAGGAGTCTGTCAGCATGTCAGCATGACGGAGAGTTGTCAGCATGACAGAGAGTTGTCGGCAGTAGAAGGCTCAAGTCAACTGAAATCAGAGTCAACATAATTCTTTCCTCACCTGCCCTGTGATGGCAGCAAAAGCTCTCCTTTGTATCCGTCTGGGAAACGCCGCTTACAGAACACTTTAAGGCCAGCAAGGGGAGACTTGAACAGCCCGATGTACATGAAGTAGGCAACAATAGCGACGGCAGAGAGTGCCTTTCCATCCTGAAGCGAGGAGCAAAATGTCACAGTGGAGGTCAGAACAAGACTTCAGACTGCATAAAAAAAAGGAAAACACTTCAAAGCCATAGTACTGACAGAATTGCTCCATATTAAACAATCATTTATCTCCTGTGAAGTGTTAGCAATCTCTTTGCAGAATGGCGTTGAACACTCCAATGCAGCATTATATTAGCCGCCACTATGTTATAGCAGAGTAATGGTGATAAATGCTCTTTGCCAGAACTTGCAACTTAGAGAGCATTGTGTGGACAGGCGTGTATGTATCGCTATTTTGCCAGGTGTGTTTTACCATCATTACTCTTATCTCTTTGCCTCTAATAAAATCACCAAGTTGCGCTTGGTGAACTGATCCGACCCGAAGGGCAAAACTGGCACCCTGTACCAGTTCTGGTTACATCATTATATTTGTACATGGGTATGTCCAACAGGATTCGTGCAACTTCCAGGGCGTCAAGGGCCGTGCAAACTGAGGGCGTCAGATGTGCACTTTGCGTCGGACTTCACCGAGGGCAAGTGTACGTGCATGTACATGCTTCTTTTAAAATGTACACATACATACATGCACACTGAACACAAGCAGCAAGTAAACAATGCAGGATTTTCCGCAAATCACATCCATAGCGCATGCCCACTAATTCATCATGGCTCGTCGCTCACCTCACAATGAACAATAGCAGCACCTTTTTTGTTCGTGTCCAAATATACGTGAATTTGGCGACAGATGTTCATGACATCACTAAACTGAGGAGAACCTTTTGTTGGCCAACCACAATCTGTCACCTGAAAAAATTGGGGAGGGCAGAAGCAAAAAGGACGATGACAACAGATCAACATGGGAAGGACGAGTACACCACCTTATGAAGGTGACTCAAGCTACTGAAGGATAACTGCTGATCTTGCTTGCATGCATTGGTTTAACACTGATGACTGTGGTGTCATGTATTTAGAGTCTAGTGCACTGTATTGCTTTGTGGTACAAGTATTACATTGTTCATGATAGATAAGTAGATTGGGTTGCAAGGATAGCATGTTAGAAATAATTGATTGGAACATCTGGGCCGCTCAATTACGTTAAGAGCACACTCTCATCATTGTTAACTACATTGTTGATCATACGGGTCAGATCCTAGTGTTTACCTAGTCATGTAATTTCTCGTGCTGCTGTGTTCAGCTGGTTGGACTATTCTAATACCTTAAAATTACTAGCCTTCGATAGCACGTGCGAGTGCGGGCTTTTGCTGCGCAACTGGTATACCTCACAGTGTATTTAGAATAGTCTTCAATAATAATCTAGGTCAGTGAGTTTCACTACTTCCTAGAACCAGTACAAGAAACACCAGGTCCTGAGATTGTGCGGTGTGCGTGCGTGTACGTGCCGTAGAAGAGTCTGATGGTCTTTCCCCTTCACTGCCAACAACCAGTACATGTACACATATACGTATATATGTTAGGGCATCCTAAATCCCAGAGTAGAAAACTCCCTGAGTGTGTTAGTCTCCATTTTCTTGCACATGAACATGAACATACAGTGCAGTCGCAAAGAAGAGAAGTCACTTGTTGCACAGTCCGGATCTACTACAGCTTTGCCCATTTTTCTTCTGAGAGTGCTGCACTTTAGTCATTTGCTTGCCAAAACAAGGCCTAGACATAGCATTCTGGACATCATGAACACTGCACCATGTGATCTGAGTTATTGTTGTTAGCTGAGCAGACAGCAATCCTAGTGTGAGTTGCACATGGTCAACATAGTGATAAATTTCACCCCGCTGATGCGTTCTTTTCTTCCGATTATTATGCTCTTTCCTTTTTTCTTTCTTTTTCCTTCTCTTGCCATGGCTGGCTAATGCCCCCTCCTTTGCATTGGCTTCTGCCATTGGACGGTGAAATAAAATAGAAAATGAATAAAATGATTGAGGATTATTGCCATTGCAAACGCTTCATTGGGATAAACTACAGGTTTGTCTTGGGTCAATCTGTAGTTCTGCACACAGTTTTCCTAGCGATGCCATTGTTCCGATCAAGATTTTCACACTAGGAACTTACATTGCCGTTCAGTCGCTCTTTGTTGTACTGCAAACTGCAGAGATTGAACACCATGAAGTCATTATCATATCTCGCAGTGATGTACTCGAGGATCTCGTCGATTGGGTTGCGCATGACGGATTCCAGTCCTTCCACTGGCGCTGACATTACTGAACACAAGCGAAGACAAAGAGAGAAAATAATACCAGGTGAGTTGCAGCTACACTTTAGTGAGGACAACAGCCAAGAACTGCTGCATGACATGAACAGCAAAGAAAAAATGGATATACCCACTGCAAGCGAGAAGTATTGGTAGATGTTTTACATGTACATTGTACAACTGGTATGAAGAATGCACAGCAAGGAACACCGTATGGATTATGCGGCATTACTATTTCAAGTAGAGGTCATCAGCACGACAGGTATAACAGTATACAGCGCAGTGAACATACCCAGAAGTCTTGAAGTAACATATCTGATGTCCAGAGCACCTTTCGGAACTCTGCAGTACCAAAAAATACATGGAATGTCAAAATGCGGAATGTCAATGTCAAGTGGATCAGGTAAAAGAGTAGACACAAACAATTGCCGAGCAATCTGCCAATCTGGGTACATGTACTAGCACTGGTAAATAGTTCTGCGTTGACATCCTGCAATTAATGGGCAGCTGTACTCGCACGGTATATACTGCCAAGCATATACCAAAGGCATTGAACTACAACTGAACTAAAAACCAGAGTTGTGACCTTACACAGAGGTGATGACTTTTGTCGATGTCTCCTTGATATTCTTCATGAAGTTTCCAGCACTGCCTTTGACCATGCCGAACAGCGAAGATCCACCCTGCTCAGCTGTACAGTAGCACAAGATAGATGCAGCGCGGTGTGATATGATTGAAGAAACATCAGAATGAACTTTATTGACTAATCAATGTTGTGATTGCAATGCATGCACTGGTAGCACAGTACCCACTACACAGCTCCACTGGCCGAGCAGATTAACTGATCTACTGCAAGCACCTGTACAAGCACATACCGGTACTTGACTGCTGGGAAAGTGGTGAAAGGTAATAGGCACCACACATGTAGTCATTCTACAGCCGTGCAGGATGAGAACCTGGAATGGCACAATCTGAAGCACGGAGCAGTGCGCCTTAGGCCAAGACCACCAGGACTCAAAATATCTGATGTAGCGTCTCACGGCCTTCCTGTGAGCTCATTTGACCAAGCTGTAGATAGCAGCCGACAGCAGGGAAGTAGCCAGCACTGGCCCAACTGATAATCCGTCTCCGTTGAGATGAATTACCACCATCGGCTGGATATGAGCGCAAGCATGCACTCGCTTGGTAGAATACATTTACAATGCATTCTGCGCCACCTGATTGCCAATCAGTTGGGGAAAAATCCAGACTACTACCCCGAGCAGCACATATCATATTTTCTGGGGCAGAAGCCGCACTTTAAACATTCGTAACTCACCCCCCCCCCCCCCCAAAGGTCGGTGCGGCTTATACTACGAAGGGCAAATCAACCGTGATATACCGGGTAGATGTCTGTATTTGGTGACACAAAAATCTGGGTGTGGCTTATACTGCGGAAAACACGGTAAGCCAAGGACTCGAGCAGAGGTACTTACGAGCTGGAGCACCGGCACTCCCGCTCGACGAGCCCTGCACGAGTGGACATTCGGAAACAAAACAAAAACGAACATGAGCTGGAATACAGGGCAGAGATTGAAAGAAGACCAATAATTTTCGGCCTCTCACACCATTCCATACACTCTCTGTATCTCTTCTTCGCTATAAAACTGGTCATGCCCAAGTGTCCTCTATGGCAGCCACTGCAGACGTCTACGGCATACACCCGGCACTAAAACTGATAGAATGTGTTCAGATGTGGCAAATGAGATTGAGCAGTGCATGCGTGACTCAGTTCAAGGGTACATGTACTGCCAAGAGCACACAACCCCCGAGAGTGTGCAACTCCAGCTACGGGTCTGCGACGCGCATGATAGATACAGGGTTGCATGCAACACTGCTTTGGGTTCAACTCGCTTGTGGTCGCGTTGCGCTGCTTGCCAGCGTAACCTATTGAACCATATCACGTGATGTGAAGTTCTGCTGTCGCAGCACTGGATAGAGATTACGGAGGCAGTTGCACACGCTGGGGGTTATGTACTCACGTAGATCACCTTCAGCAACCTTTTTGGAGTAAGCCAAGGAATCCCTTAGCCAAGTCGGACTGCATGCAAACTCAATCTGACAACCCCCCCCCCCCCCACCCCTCCCCCTCCCCCTTCCAAGTAGAACAACAAGATTTTTCCTTTTCATATCCCTCAAACTATGAAGTTGCAACTGTCCATAATATGAAAGCAAATCATATTATGTATTCATTAGTTGAGGGTGTTGAAAAGGGAAAAAGTCTGAAGAAAAATACTTGCATGCACTGTTGTAGTTGTACCTTTAGTTATCCAATGAGATTCTCTCTATATGTGCAATCCCTACCAATGTCTCTCTCTCTCTCTCTCTCTCTCTCTCTCTCTCTCTCTCTCTCTCTCTCTCTCTCTCTCCCTCCCGTAACTTGGAATTGCACATACCTAAGAACACAAATTTACATAATTATACATCATGTTTACTTGTTGCATGAAAGAAGACGTACCCGGATTGGGGGCGTTTGGATAAGGATAGTTTTACTGTATTCTGCTGCTGCTAATTGGTTGGCTTTCCCGCTTTACGTCGGTAAGAAGCATTGTTGAAACTATTCTGCTGCTGTTATAAACTACCTGTGTGATCTGTGATAAGGACATTCAACATTCTTCCAACTGTCGATCTTAAAGGGGAAGTTAAGGCAAAAATTAAAATTTCACCAGTTGTAGTCTTCGGGGTGCTGAGTCAAATGGTCTTGGTCCGAGGAAGCTGAGACGCTCCCTTCCTACTTGAATCCCAATCGAACTCGCACACTTCCACCGAAACTGGGCGACTGCGCCCTACTAGATGGGGATTTGTATGCAAAATGTCACTAAAAGCGCCATTTCGTTCTTATAAAAGCACAGATGACCGCGATTGGCCCATATGTTGTAGTCTTTTGGACGCTGAGTCGACTGGTTTTGGTCCGAAAAGGCTGCGATGCAGCGTTCCTTCTTTATTCCCAATCGAACATGGTTGAACAAGCGGTCACGTGCTCCTGCGTACGCCAATCACCTGGTCACCGTGCCTGCAGGGTACAACTTACTAGCCTGTTTGACCTTTTTTGGGTGCAGTCCTGTCACTCGAGTTGAACCTTGGTGTGAAAGTTGTCGCCTGCTGGTGTGGTGACCAGGTGATTTGGGCACCCAGGAGCACGTGACCGCTTGTTCAACCATGTTCGATTGGGAATAAAGGAGGAACGCTGCATCGCAGCCTTTTCGGACCAAAACCAGTCGACTCAGCGTCCAAAAGACTACAACATATGGGCTAATCGCGGTCATCCGTGCTTTTATAAGAACGAAAAGTTTCGGTGGAAGTGCGCGAGTTCGATTGGGATTCAAGTAGGAAGGGAGCGTCTCAGCTTTCTCGGACCAAGACCATTCGACTCAGCACCCCGAAGACTACAACTGGTGAAATTTTAATTTTTGCCTTAACTTCCCCTTTAACTAGTTATATCAATGATTCCTTTCTCAAAGTTTGGCAAGGGGAGCATGTGTAGCTGAATAGATACTTGGATCAACTATTATTGGTTGGTGATCAGACAGGGTTATCACTGCATGACGAATGTATCTTGTGGCCATGGCCCATTGGGATCGGTATTGCATCTGACTTGCATGATACAGGTATGTGACTGGTATCGAATCAAAATTGACGTGTTTAGAATATGGAGACAAGTTATTTCGGAAATGACAAGCCACAAGCAAAACTCACCCGTAATCGTGAGGCTGCTGCACCACTAGAATCCATGGCTGCTGGCTTCTCGCAGGTCCGCGGTTTTCAAGACGTCTAACAACACAAGCTGGCCTGTGGCTTTCTCGATCTTCTCTTCTTTCCTTTCCGGAACTGATATGTTCGAAATCTGAAAGGCCTGATCTGCTGAGTGATCTCCTCCGGATCGCCACAATATTCAGACGACCGCGTCAATGCAATAGCCCTGAAACTCCATAATGTTGATAGGAGACAGCTAGTACATATAGCTGTCTTTGCACACTATAATCATTATTCTGATGATTGAAAAGTACTAACAATTGCATTTTTTGTTTTCAAAGCCACAAACAGAAATGGGTACACAGTTCAACGCTACCCTCGACCTCTTGCGGTCAACTACATGTGCAACTGGTCACGGCGGTGCGGAGTCAAGGTGATCGCTCGTACCGTATGAGCGCGAGCAAACCCATGCATGTTTTACGACTCGTTTCGGACTCGTACGTAGACTCCCCTACAGACCCTAGCTCGGCCGGGAGCGAAAGAAACCATGGAAACGCTCGTAGGGCCTATACTATAGCCTAGGCCGTCCTCTACCGTTGTGTACTACTCCCTGCTTATTTCAACCCCTGATTTTAACCAGGGAGTAGTACAATACTTGTATTGTACTACTCCCTGATTTTAACTCTGTCTTCCAACACCAGAGCGCTACTTTGGGGAAAGAAAAAAATGCAGTGGTCCCAAACACGAGCCCTGTTCACGCCAGCGGCAAGAAAAGGCATGCCTGCATGCAAGACTTTGAGAGCAAGGGAGCTGCATGCATGTAAATGCTGTTCTCTTGACCATATTTGACCACAACGAAACATCTGGGATCCGGTCTCCGGTCCGGAACTGACAAGCAACTGAATACAACTTGAACGCTGTACAGCAATCCCAAAGCTGTTCACAACCACACATGTTTGCTACCACCAGATTACACACACACACACACACACACACACACACACACACGCACATGCGCGCGCGCACACACACACACCAGGCCTGTCGCACCGACTTTGGAGGTGGGGCGGCCATGGAAGGGGGGTCCTCTCCGGGAAAAAATTTCAAAAATTGAAGGCGGGGAAGCCAATTGCAAGCATTTCCGGGTATTTGGTGCCATTTCAGTGTATGGTAACTACAATGAAAGTCTTTTTGATTCTGCAACAAACGAAGAAGACGCTGCGATCGGGGACAAACATTACCCTCCCCCGGGAAAAAATTCAAAAATTGAAGCCAATTGCAACCATTTCCAGGCATTTGGTGCCATTTCAGTGTAACTGCAATGAAAGACTTTTTGCAACAAACCACGATCGGGGACAAGGATTTGTCACGTTTGCGCTAAGCTGCGCGTGCGATCATTGTGCTTTGTTGTAATGTGCTCCAAAAAAAAAAAAAAAAACGGCCGAAAAAGTGGCCGCCCCGGCTGTGACGGCCTTGCACACACACACACACACACACACACACACACACACACACACACACACACACACACACACACACACACACACACACACACACCTTGACCTTGATACACGTTGCCTTGATAGGTTACATGGTCCCCGTCAGGGGAGAGGGGTGGAAGAGGCTGAGGAGCAGCACTTCTGATGGCGTACTAGATGGTGACGTAGTCGGAACTTCCTTTGGCAAGGGCACTCAAACGGGAAGTCGGCCCTTTCCGACACTGTCCTTCATTTCGTGCGGTCGCACTTGTGTCTGGCCAAGCCGCTGCTGGACTTGAAACTCCGGTAACAGGTGCTGCACTGCGGAGTGACCGGGTTGCCGGGGTGCTCGATGTTGGGAGCAGGTCCGTGATCGCACCGATGGGTAGCCAATCCACCGGGGCTGCGGAACCAACGTTGGCAGAGACGACACTGGCAAGCGCCAGCCTGATTACACACTGGTTTCTGCCGTTCTGCCAAGCATTTGTGACGCTTCTCATCTGATGGGCGAGAGAAGTACCGATCACATACTTGGCAATGGACATTGGGTGTGGGCGGTTCGGGCCCGAAACAGCGGTACATGCGGCGCCAGTCGGGGCGAGAATCTGCCAGATCGTACCAGCCCTCCACAGCATTCAGGGCCTTCAGGTCTGCACTAATGCAGTCTTTCCAGCGTTTGCGTGGACCGCCAGGTGGACGGCGGGATGGGAGCAGACCGAACAACAAAATCTTCGGGATGCGCTCTGGTGGCATGCGAGCAACATGACCCAGCCACTCAAGTCGTCGCTGGCGAATCCGGACAGCAAGTGGGCGCTTGTCGCCCCACATTTCCAGCAACTGATTATTGCTGATCCGCTCTTGCCAGGCGTCTAACCTTGTTATGCCAAGAACGGTACGCAGACACTGCATGTAGAACGTGGAGAGCCTCCGGATGTCGGCTTGGAGGGGTACCTTGGAGGGGTACCCAGCACTCAGCTCCGTACAGCAGAATGGTGACAACGCACGCATTGAAGATATTCCTCTTGGTGCGGACGGACAGATGGTGGTTGCTGAAAACTGGCTTCTGCAGGGAGCCAAACGCACACACACACACACACACACACACACACACACACACCTTGAACCTTGAAACTGCCACTTAAAGGTGATGCAGTGCCTCAAAGAGGCAAGGAGGGCAGAGTTACTTCTTGCATTTGTGTTGAGCCAGGTACTGGAGACGTGTGAACTTCCGAGAGCAGGTCGGGCATGGGGTGGTGCGGCGCTCGGAGCCAGAGCTGCATGTTCTGCCGCTTCTGACACACGCGCACACCATGTACCATGTATACGCCCGTCGCAAAAGAAGCACACAAATCTGCAAATGCATGTGCACCCACAGATTTTCACACACACACACACACACACACACACACACACACACACACACACACACACACACACACACACACACATCTTTTTGACCGGACACCCACTGCCGGAGGCGATGATAGCGATGCTACGGCAGAAGCCATAGCAACTTGTGCTGGGATTGCACCATTCAACAGCTCGCAAGGCTAAAGAATTGGCCGCCACTATTCAGCCTGGTCTACACCACACAGCTATGAAGTGGCTTGGCGCACATAATACACGTGCACAGGGACCGAACCCACCCACACACGCACGAAGTTACCCTAGACGGCTGGGGAAGCTTGGTCAGAGACCAGATTGGGGTAAGAGTTGGGTATGGACCTCTGCCGGCAGCGAACTCCCTGGAAAGAGCCCAGGTCCACCTGACTTCCTGGATAAGAGTTGAGTCATTTTAAAACAGACACAAGGATATCCTATTGTGGCCGTACAAGGTAACCAATGTACACATCAATGTGCACATCGGGTGAGCATGAAATTTCCGTACTTGGAGATGTAGCCATGCTAACTACATGCGCTTGTACGATCGAATCGGAACAGTGGGAATATACAGTGGAGTTTGCATACTGCAGTTTCAAGTAAGTTCGGACTTCACGGAAATTTTAGAAGTATAATGTTAGGCTACCTGCCTACTGCTCTTTTCTCTTCGAAACTCTACGTTTCCAAAGCCGTACACAGGTTTTTCCTTCTTTCATATCTGCCTTGCAAGTGTTGAGTTTTGGAGAGAAAAAGAGCAGTAGGGAGATGGACTAATTTCTGAGTTTGCATACATTGAAGAAGAAAAACCCGTAATACTGCAGAAGAGAGAAATCAGGGACCTAGCCCAGGGTGTATTTGAAACGTTCCCCAGTTATCTAGGTCATATAATATTATGTGACTTATTTATGTCTGTTATCAGCCACAGTAGTAAAAGTAAAACATTGCTTTTGACAACAAAAATGGGAAGAATCAGCTGCCCCCCCCCCCCCCCCCCCCCAACACACACACGCACCATCAGCCAGTTGGGGTATCCCACTGGTTGCATACCAACAGCAGCGGTTAGTCAGGGCACAAGAACGTAAACGTTACTCACTAGACACACGGTCTAGCCTCTGCCATAGGTGCTGTTCGAATATGACATAGATCAAGCACTAACGACATACCATCCGCGGCCGTGTGTTTGCAGGCACGTGCGGCCAACAGAATCACTGAAATCGCCGCAATCAAAAATAACATACTTCAACAAAAGAAGTACTAGTAGTATCCTAATGGGGGTGCGTGCACTGGCCTGTAGAAACAGGGGATACACTTAAAAATAACCCAGCTGCGTGTTATACAGCAGAAGAAAACTACGGATATGGATCAGAATATCAAGATGAATCCTAGCATGAAAAGTCTAAGTTGCATGCCACCTCCACACAGCCAATCTATTTTTAGCTGACTCGAGACATTAAAATCAAGCAACTTTTTTGATTAATAATAATATTGAAGCCTATGTCGATGATGAAATTATAAAGCAACACGATGAAGCATTGCTGTACTGATCGGTTGTGTGATGAATAACGATGGAGCATAATTTAGTGCGGAGTCGGAAAGCGCGAGGATTATAATTCAACGCAAGATGACAGCATCTACAGAGTAATGCGGATTCGCTCTTCTTACTTGCAAGGGGGAAAAGTATCACTTCTTCAGGAACACATACACGGGTAGTGATGGGTGCTTGAAATGCGTCACAGAGTCACCTGAAGCAAATGGAGGACACAGTACGCATACCACCATCACAGTGATGTACAAGTAACTTATGACACGTAGTATCATTATTAACTTGAATAACAGAATGAATACAAGTGACAGGTCCCATCCCTGCACGGAGCCTGATTCAAAGAGATCACCTGCTTATAATGATCCCTTTCACTGGCACCGTGGGCAGCTCTTAAACTAGTTGTTATTGCACATAAGCGGAGAGATAAGTATGCCTACTTGACTGTACACTGTTATGCTTGATTCAAATAAGACACATGGAGGGGCACATAACCAGGCTATTAAGAACATCAGAAACCTACCTCGTAGGAACCAGTTCTTATTCGACATAGCAGGCGGCTCGATCGGTTTCGAAACTTTTATCAACTCACACAGTGACAGTTCACTTCTAACAAGCATCCGGCTGCAAGTAGAACAGGTAGAAAGCCATGGGAAATTACCGCAGTTGAGCACTCGTACATCATGGTAATGTATACTGCAAACGTACAGATGACACAAGAAATTGGGAATACACCCAATTTTCGCCTGATGGTTGATTCAGTTCGTGAAACTCAGAGTACGAAACCACAACTGCTCGTTCTTCTGTCTGTGGATACACCCTGCACACCTTACAAGTTTCTTAAATTGTATTCTACTTTCGTCCCGCCGTTTATATCGCCATCAATATCCTGTTTGGCTGTTGTCGCTTAGGCTTATACGAAAGCTATACAAGCTGTCAAGAGTGCATAAACAGAGAATGCACTGTGGTTATGGGTCAGTGCGCGGCGCGCTGCCTTCATTACGTAACTTGCCTTCATCACGCTCTGAAAGCATGCATTCAAACTCACAATTTCTCGTACGAGCCCATCTGTTTTTGCTCGATTCGTTCCAGTACGTACGCGATCTCTAAATTCTGGCGCGTGAACTCCAGTTCCGTACGAAAGTTCATTTCAAACCAGAGAAAAGTGCGGTGTTTGATTTTCCGCAGTGCGCGGACTACAGCTGAATGATGTAATGAAGGCAGCGCGCCGCGCATCTGGCCCATAGAAAAGAGATCACAGTTGCATACTCTTGTTTATGGACTCTTGATTGCTGTGTATTCTACATTGCATTAATGCCAACGCGGAGAAGCTCCTAATACACCTTACAAGCATGCCAGCCTGGGGATAAAGAGCTGACATACTCGGGCCCTGACCCTGGTGCAGCCCCAGAGGTTTCAGAACAAAACGGCTTCACCCAGCCAAGAATAACTTTGTGCTGGCTGAAACTAGCAACCTAACTTTGCAAGTGCTTCATGAACCTTAGAAACAATAGAGCTTGGGTTACACGAACCACTCAGGACAGCAGAAATTTTTCGTCACATCCAAGGCCTGTCTTATCCACAAAACTACCATCATTCATACAGATCGTGCAATACACAGAAGGCCGCCCCAGGTTTCTGTTGCAACTCAAATTTCACACAAAGAGCAATCCTCAGGGAACAATTCTAACAAATTTCTGTGCAAGGAAGCTCTGTCTACTGTGTGTGCATAATGCAGTATGTAAAAAACCATGCAAATACTTCAGGTCTTATGAACCGAGTTGCTATATATGTAAAAGATGTTGCTTGTCGTCAGTCCCTGAAAAAACGGTTCATCTTATTCGAGTTTTTCTCTACAGTCCGTCTCCACACGAACTTACCAGGAGAAAAACTTGCCCAGATCAGCTGAGCCAGAATCTGCCACCTTCAGCCAGTGGTCATTAGGAAAGATCGTTACGCTGAGGGTTCGCAACCAGCCTGCAAGTGGAACACATCCAAGAGCAGAGCAGACAAGTGATACAACATGTACTGTTTGAAGCAAACATGTATGACAAGGCTTGGTGGACTATGACACATGCCTACAGATACTGAGATAAGCAGGTTGACAGGCTAAAGGCCAACACACAAAACCAACTACATGCAGCAAGGCAGGCACACAAGGCGAAGAGAGAGAGAGAGAGAGAGAGAGAGAGAGAGAGAGAGAGAGAGAGGAGAGAGAGAGAGAGAGAGAGAGAGAGAGAGATAAGGTCATGCTACACATACTAGGTCATTACCTTTACGAGTGTCCCATTCAAAAGCAATTAAACCTTCATACTTCGAACTTGCCCTTGTCCTTAAAGCAGGGGGAAATGGAAACAACAGTGGCCACTAGAATCAGGAAACACAATAGAACATCTAGTTACAATGGCATTGGGTGATTATCACGTTTGCACACACACACATGAAATCCCCCAAAACTCTGGGTGGACTTGAAAATGATCCCACTTATGGGCTCACCACACGCACGCACGCACACACACACACACAGAGGACCGTTACAGCCCCAGTAATAAAAAGCAAACACTTCTTACAGCGTCAGGTTGGCAGCCAGAGCCAGGCTAGGAGGGTAATTCTGTGTCGTGACTGAGTCAGGAAATTCAAACATGCAAGGTGTAGTTGTCTGTACTATGAAGCTCAAGAATTCAGGTTCGCTGCATTCTTTGATATTCTCCAGACCTGACCAAGCCCTACCGACAAGTGTCAGCAGTACCAAAGAAGATCATCTCCCATTGGCAATAGTTGACAGCAGACCAGTTTGACTTGCGGCCATTAGCACAAACACTATTCACTATAGACATGAAGCTGCAAGAAGCACCCAGATTCATCTTGAGGTCTTTTACCCCATTTTTTTAATGAAAAATTTTCTTTTTTCGCGAAACTATTGACAATGGCATATGACAAAAAGCGGGATTCACAGAAGCTTTTTTGCGATGCGACACGCGATGCGACAGCCGCGAAACTGGGAAATCCCCATCTCGCACCCCACGCAACTGCCACAACTGGGCATCGCAGAAGTTGAGCTTGGCTCTTTTGCGATGGACAAGCGATTTGGCGTACGATTTTGACCTTTTCTATAGCAAAGTTGTACAAAGGTTCAAGAGTTGCCTATAAATTTGTACAAGTTGTACCAACCGCGCGAATACCATGGTGACGTACCCAAACGCATTGAATTTCGCGCCCAATCAGCAAGGCGTTGTCGCATCGCTGACTTCTTCTGTGACTGGCATTTCGCGAGTTCGCATCGCACGCGTCCGTCTCAGATCACGTCGCATCGCGTATCGCATCGCAAAAAAGCTTCTGTGAATCCCGCTTTAGACTCCATGCTAAACCACAAAAAAAAGCGAGGACCTATACACATGCCGCTCACCTGACAGGATTTCCTGGACAATAATCAAAATCATACGGGGACAATCTTCTGCTGCCACGGCGTCATCATCCCACCGTTCCACAACAACAGCAAGACTCCCGATTACGGCATCCTGTAACAAACAAGAAAGAGAAACCATAGTCACACTCATCCACAAGCAAATACGTACACAAGACGTTACAATTTTGGACATCAGTTTCTGGATTGAATGAGTACTTCAGGCGGAGTTTGATGGGCTTCTCAGATGCTGAATGGTACTTGGATGTGAGTCAGTCCAAGGGTCAAGCCAAGGCAGTTGGAAAACTGTGAGCTAACATGTAGGGAGTGACAAACATGTCCTCAATGATAGCCAAAGCCTAGATCTAAATCATACACACAGGAGCAATTCATTCAGGATCCTTCACCAGTCCTGCATACTTGTAAGTGTGATTATAACTTATAACATCAAAACCCAACATGGATGCAATAAAACAGATTACTTGGAAGCATATGCGCACCAGGCGCAACTAGGGCTCAAGATCGCCGCCCACTTACACCGAGGACATGCATGCTGAGTGAATAGTCAGAAATTCCCCGAAAGCGTTCCAGCAAGTCCGGATGGTGCACCATTGTGTACTGAATGTACTCCTCCAGGTCCACAGTATGCTGCGCGACTCGGAGAAAATCACGGCACTGTGGAGACATTATGGCAACACAGAACTGACTTCAACAGCAAGAACAGTCATGTACAAGTACATTGCAGGGTACTTCATGCCTGGTAGCGTGACAACACGCATCAAGCCTCACCAAAGGTAGAGCCTTCCGGCCAATGGCCTGATAACAATTCATCTAGGGTCGGCCGAGAAACATGATCATCGAAAGACAAAGTTTCGATTTCACATCAATACAATTGCATGTAGCTAGCATGCTGTATCAAATAGTTAGTAGAAGCATGTATGCTTGTAAAAACAACGTGGCACCTCACCATTAAGGCCAGTCTACTGGATGCTGCTCCGTCAGCAGGCAGAAGTGGAACGCCATTGGAATGCAACACTCGAAGAGTCAGGGTGTCATAGTCAGCACCTGGATTGTTAAAAACGGCATATAGGGGGCATTTGTTCAGAATAGCACAGGGTGAGAGTTACAACAATCAAAGTAGCATTAACAGTGTACAGCACCCCCCCCCCCCCCCCCCCCCCCTCTCTTTCTCTCACCACACCCACCCACACCCACCCCCACACATATATATCCACACCCAAACCCACACACATAAAAACACCTTCCTTCAACCTTCAACATGCCCATCGCTGAAGCGACGATAGCGAACAAGCCATGTTAGACAAAGCAACTTGTACTAGGATTGCACCATTCAACAGCTTGCGAGGCTGATGAATTGACCTCCACAAATTTTAGCCTGGTCTACACCACACAGCTGATTGAAGACACACACACACACACGCACACATACTTGGCGTCAGAAACAACCACTGTAAGTAGCCTAGCATACCTTCACACTGCTGGTTTGCGAGGGCGTCAGGATTCCCAACGTAGCAATGAACTTGACCGGAGAGCAAGCTCGAGGATGTGCCTGCCTCTACGCCAGGCCCATTGCAGTAGATATGCGGGACTGGACACGCAGAGTACGGCCTTTGGCTAGTAGTTGATCTATCTAATGAGGATTGTGCAGCTGAATCTTTGGGTTTGTTCAGCAGCCCTGCACAGCAATGGTCCCTAGAACTGGTGTCAGGAGTGTCTAGTTTACCGTACTGGCATGCTGGAGAAGATGACGACGACGCATTGGTTACTTGTATGGCAACTAATGACACGGCACTGCGAAATACAAACGTATTGGAACACGGAACGACGACCTCCTTCGTTATGGGCGCCGCAGAGGCAGGGTTTGGCAGGTGAAGTGTAGTACAGATGAATGGCAGACGCAGGCACGTCGGCGGTTGATAAAACACTGCTTGCATGCACTACCCGTTAGCGGAGGGGTACGTAGAACACTGATGTACAGCGACCTAAGACAAAGGGGGAAAAGGAAGTGAAGAAATTTACAAATCTGTGCACATCATCACTAAAGTACCCATTCCGAATCCCTAAGCAGATACAAGTAATTGTACATAACAGCACCCCAACTCAATCGCTCATAATAAGAGTCATTGGACTTGAAGACATCAAGAAGATGGTGGATATTTCCAGAGAGAACATGCACCCTCCTAAATACTACTCTTAACATGAATAGCACACACCAAATACAAAACATCAATGTGTAAAGCTTACTTGCACTTCCCACTACAGTAATAAGGCCATCGGTTGTCTGATGTATGGAGATTCTCAACTTGAGGAACTCTCTCAGCAGAACTGAAGAAAAGAGAGGCACCGAGTGCACCTAGGAGAAAAAGCAAATAGTAACACACAAACACACACACACACACACGTACACAGAAAGCCACTGAGACCTTCCCTTTTAAACGTGCCACCAATATTCACTTCTACATGACATTGTGCTACGAGCACAACATTAGGCCAAAGAGACCATAATGGAATTCAACAATCAACACACGGCAGCATGTACGGTCTCACCTTGACCAGCTTCTTGCGAAAATCCGAATTGCCAGAAATGCAATGAGTACACTGACTCATAACCATGGACAATCTTCTGATAGGACATGATGAAGTTACCATCAGCAGTAAATCCCATGATCATGTGCCCACTGAACAAAAAAACAAAACAAACAAACAAAAAAAAATATATATATAATACATGTGGAAGTGCAGGGGTGTATAGCACAGCAGCACGCATCATTGCCATACACCCATGTTCTTGCATAAGCCATGTTTCTTACAATACATCGCATATCAGCAGAGCAGTGGAAATAGGCAATAGAGGCAACGTGTAATATGCACGCAGCAACGTATGTGGACATCTGGGCCACTGCACAGCTTGTACATAATTACCACTGTACTTCGAAGCAAATGACTAGATGTGGACCTACTAGTACTCGGCAAGCTGCTCAATACCCATACAAGTACACCGCAGATGTATATTACTAAAGTGTGTATCCATACTTTTCCGAGGGGGGGGGGGGCAGGATGATCATTATTGGCCCTGAAAAGCTGGAAATTCAGTGAGCTTGAGATACAGCCGTGAAAAATAGCTTTACACATTTTTTTACTAAAGCAGGATGCAGCGTTGTTCAAATCGGACTATTGGCAGGCACAGAGTGCCAGAACTTAATGGAAACTTGGAAAGGGAGAAAGCACAGTGGTCTCATGACCTCAAGCCGACGACAGGTAGTCTTACCCATACAATAGCTCGTCGGTTGCAATCTCCTGCAGGGGAATCCAGTCTACATACTGGCAGCGTTGGCGTGCAGCAAACGGCGTGAGCAACCCAAGCTTTGTTGACATACAACAGAAACAATGGAGACAAACAGGAAATAGACTACATTGTGGTGAAAAAGGGAGAAGGACAACATGTTACGAGTTATGACTAACTGTCCACCAACGTAACCAGATCTTGTACATAATTTAATTGGCTCACCATCCGAGGTAGACTACATTGTAGTCGGGTTATCCGTTGTCAGGATTACCTAATCTTCTTGTTTAAAAAAAAAAGCAGAGAACTGACACAGCAAAGGTTACCGTATTTCCGGTGTGTTAGCCGCCCTCCCCCCTCTTTTCGGGTCCAAACTCCGTATTTTGTTGACAATCGCTGTATACATGTTACGCCGACGTCAGACTGACAATAGCAATTGAGAAGCATGACTGAAGTTCTACCAAAGTGGCCTAGTTTGTCCTTCACTCAGAACTGACAACATGTAGAAGCTTAGCACCAGTACAATAATGGATTGCAGTACATGAAAAGAAGTTGAATCACACCATACATGCGTTACATGCATGAAGTGCTGTAGCGCTGGCCAATTCACATCCAGCATCTGGAGTCTAAAAAAAAAGCCACATGGGGCGATTTTTGATGTTTTTATGTGTTTCAAAGTGCGGGTAACATCCAGGAAAATGAGGAATATACTCCACAGGCTTCATAGCCTGTATGTGTCTGAACTTATGGCATATGCTGTAGCTGTTGCAAGCAGGGATACACGGTGTGCACACTGCTCATTATGCCACGCCAACAGGAAGTAATCTGTCTCCAGTGAGGCCTGGCAGGTGCTGTAATAGCCCAACAGATGTTGCAATGTACTAGTACCCATGAGATAAAGCTGATAAATAGGGGTGTGCGGGATTATTCCCAGAATAATTTGGGAATACTATCGTTGAGAAAATGTTTGGAATTTTAGGGGAATTCTATCGATCTTTTGCCAGATCCATTGACTTTCAGAAGAGTTTTGGGGGAATTCCGTCAATTTTGACCTGCCAGAGAACAAGCGCACATCCAGGCATGGACGCACGTACATGTACATGTACATGCAGCAACACCCGGACAGTCATGTAGATCTACATATAGTACAATCACATGTACATCCTGCATGCAGTGATCACGTGCCTGACCGTCCATTTTGCATACTAAAGAGCATGCGCAAGGCACGGTTCGTGCTGGGGTTCTTTTTTTGGGGGGAATTCTGGAGAAATTTTTCGATGTTTTGGGAGAATACTTTCGAAGTTCCGCGGGAAATGCCGAAAACATAATATCGGGTGCTTGCGAGCATAATCCGCGCACCCCTACTGATAAATGCAGAAACGCAGGATCTTCTATGGCATTAAATTTTGTATTGTGAAGTTTTCTTGTAGTATAGAAAGAGTCCCTTAGAGAGACCAGGATTCAGACATGCTTGAGTGGTTGAAATTAATTGGCCATCATCAGGATTGAGTACTAACATTCCCTTTCGTCAACTAAAGAACATGTACGTGTACTTGCATGAAAGTTGAATACAATGACCTTGAAAGAACAACTACATATTACTTCGAAGTGCATGGTGAAGAGTTACATACGAAATTGTATCGACTCACCTGCCGCTTCCGCAGTACCGATGAGTAGCTCATCACAAAAGCAGCTAATGAAGCCATGGCTTATTTAAATGATCCAATTTATTTCTGACTGACAGCTGAAAGATCTGGGCTCAGATGTTGATACTAGAATAGCGCAGGGCATTCTATTCAAATAAATTTGGTAATCTACGCAAGGCGTCGACGTGGCGATAGAAGCCGAACGCTGACAGATCAGAGAATTATATCGATCACATGCTTACATAGCCATGGTAGCCTTCACAAGCAAATCGGAAAGGATATTTCAACAGTTCGTACCTCAGCTCAGATAACATCAAGCCAGGAAAATAATTCATGAGAACGAAATTGGCACAATCACTGTGCACAAGTCAAAATCCAAAAATGAAATGACGCTTTTATGAGTTCATGGGTTCACAGTTCAAACTACCCGCGCCGCGTGACCACGGCCACGTGTTGCATTTTCGAATTATTTCTTTCCATTTCGGACCCATCATTTGACTTGAATAATTTGGAAATAACTATTGAGTATTGTATGTTAAACGCGATCATAACATAGTCATTCCCCCACAAGTCGTCGGCAGGATAGAATAAGCGCTGATGGAAGTGAGCTGAGACTCCTAGTACATGACTTTGGCGTATGGATTCAAAACTGCGTTGTCCTTGATCGTTTGCTGGAAGCCTGTCTGATATTAGTTTGTTTTTCTCAAGTCAACGACGTGTTGGCACATTCAGAGGATTGTGAGAATGGAGATTTCTGTGATGCAGCAGGTTATAATGCCATGGTATCCAATATGACTGATTTGATGAACCGATTTTACTCTAGTGATGGATAGTGCGGTGGAAGAGGATGCTGAAAGAGAGAAAATGATCAAAGCAGCTTTCTTGAGCTGTTATCCAGTCTGGAGTCTTTGGAAACGATGGCAAAGCAAGCTTGTACAGTAGTGCCACTCGAGATTTGCTGATGTCAGCGATTAGAGGAATACTGAAGTCACGCAGCAATATAATAAAGGATCAAATGGCTCGCAATAGCTTGTCTGAAATTTGGCCAGGCGATGTTGAGAAGTCTGCCACTTGGGTTAACTCTTTGTTGCGGCATCTGTTGGATAGCAGGCTGTTTTCAAATTTTAATCCAACCTTGTTTAAAGCCGTTCAAACTGCACTTCTGGAAGCTACCAGATTGGGCCTGCATGATATTGTGGACTTGCTGCTCAACCATGTAAATGCGACATGGTCGCGACCAGAGTCTGCGATTAGTTTAGCAACTGAGCTGCTACCTATATCATTGACGGCTCATTCTTGGACACTCACTGGAAAGTTCTTGGACCTGGCTTATGCGTCTTTGACTGTCGTTGAGCAAGTTAATCATCTCAGAACACCGTGCCCTCTGTTGACATCGCATGCCAGCACTTGGCATGTTGCGGAGACCATGTGCAGCCACTTCTCAAGAGCCACATTCCTCAGAATGCCTTCAACGATCCCTGCTTCGTGTGTAACCTGCCCAGTGCACGGTTGGTTGATTGCCCGCCTTGTGAATCTCAGCATAGCAGAGGGTGCAAATAGCAGCACTGGTCAAGGACAAGACTGACGTGTATTGCCAAGCAGTGGCGCCCTCGCAACAAACTGTTAATCAGCTCCCAAATCTGCTGCCCAAGGCTACCGATCGGATAGTAGATGGATCCAAGTCGATGCCTACTTGAAGTTGAAGGGTCTACCCAGCCAGATTATGTTAGTCGTAGGGTTTTGGGTTGCAAACTTTGTTGTTGGGGGGGGGGGGGGGGAGGTGGGGCAGCAGAAATTAGTTCATGTTCAACCAGAGCAGAATCAAATTCTGCACAATGTCTGCACCTGGGATAGCCTTGCACAGCTGGCAGTATTGTGATGGAAGTGCTTCTCATTATCATATCCATGAGGTGGATCATGTGACGGTTGCAGCGAAAGATTTTGTGGTGCTCTTTGAGCAGTACTGGCTACGTGGCGATTGAGAAAGCAGCCTGTGTCAACTCTGGGGGAAGATCAGCAAGGGGACGGGGTACCTGGAGTGTCATCCTTTTGTCAATGCTGCTGCATCCGCCGTCCTCAGACACATGACGAAACCATGATAAATGTGACGTCACGACAAACTGCTGCTTCAATGGACAAAGCAATGGAAGTTTGAACAAAATTGACTCGCCTTGGAGTTGCTATCGCTCGATTCCTGAGAGCTCAATTCACCAGAACTGACACGTTTAGCGAAGTCACAAAAAAATTTCCGGAGAAAGTAATACGTGGGCACAAGTCACTCCGAGTCAATGGGTTTGTGCTGATACTGATGGACGGGTATGTACTGATGTTGATGTATGGGCATGCACTGATGCGAAATGAGGAAAATGTGATGAGCGAACCAATGCTCCTTGTGACTGAGCAGCAAAGAACGAAATATTGCATTGATGGAGCGTTCTGGATAGGTTTGAATGCTAGCAATTAACTGTGCCCTGTTATTATTCTTATTTTCGAAGTGCTTTTTGTGTTTGACACTGTCACTAGGGTGGATGGAAGCAGGGAACGTATCTGTTTAGTGCGGATGATACCTGCGCACTGCCCCGGTTCACATGGGATGGCATTACTGCGGAAACGTTCAACAATCTTGTTGAACTTAGGTAAGGAGCCGACCTTGGTACGGTAGCACTGGTGCTCTCAGCTTAGATTTCCCTGTCTTGCTTAAAATTGGAAAACTTTCCCTCTAGTGCTGCCAGTATCCCATCGGGCAGCTGTAGGGTCACAATATAATTATAGGAGAGTCACAGAGTCACAGCAAACGCATGTACACAGCTCCTTCAGCTGATCTTTGGTGAAGTTGAATGGCTCCTTGCATGCAGCATCAGTGGATGTGGTCGAATAATGTTTTCTCAACTTACTCTCCTGCTTTGGCATGGGAAGCAAGTGCAACTACACCAAGAGAGCTTCCTCAACTATTTCAGTATACAGGTGGAATCCTGATAATTCGAATATGGCTTAATTCGAACACACCGCTTAGGCCATGGTAAAAAATAAAGTTGATTCTCAGGTCATGAGCCTGTGAAAATCGGTGCGAGCGAGCGATTTTTTATTTTATTTCCCACAATTTTTTTATTTCCAAAGATAGGGTCACACATATGTACATGGTCACATGTTCATTATATTCAGACCAGGGAGTAGAAAAATACCGGTATTTTACTACTCCCTGATTCATGCCTTTCGCATTGACCGTTTTCATGCGCGCATATGCATGCATAGAAATATAAAAAATCGTCGGTGCGCCGCCAAAAATTGGTGCGTGCGTACTTGAGAATCAAAGATAATTTTTACCATGGCCTTCATTAGAAGTTTTTCCAGGACCGATTTCTGTCAATACGATTCCCACATAAAAAATTCTGATAATTCGAACCTCGAGCCCGACATGTCCGGTTAATTCGAAGTTCCACGGATTCCACCTTTATAGAAAATGTGTGTGATTTGTGCTGATAATTCGAAGTTAGCAAAGTATAATTCGAAGTTCACTGTACACTGTACTGGTCAGTTCAGTTTCCATGAGCAGGCTGTGCTGGTCAGTTCAGTATCCGTGAAATCTGTGTCTAAGGTCCATAGCGCAACTCTGCGTGACCATGGGAGCATTTTGACATACTTGAAGTACATACGGTATTTTGTTGTGGGTTCATGTTTGGATAATTAGAATGTCCGGATAATTAGAAGTTTTTGCTGGCATTTGGAGGTTCGAATTATCAGGATTCCACCTGTACTAGTATTAGGGGCAGTGATGAATGAAATGGGACGTAATCCCGTCGCTTTTACCGTCACTTGGGCCTGTGGTTAGTTTGGACGTGTTAGGCTTGTGATTGTGGTTTTACCCTGGATATTGTGTTGACTGCTGGTATATGCCTGCTTTCATTATGTAGTTTGCCATTTTTAGTGGTGAATACTGAGCCGATGCACAGCGTTCTGAGAAAGCTCTTCACTCGCGAAAACACGGACAAACTTTTCTCCACCGTTGATCTTCTTGTGAGTGCCGACGTTGTCTGTCGATGACGTATTTGTATTTTCCATGATTTCCAGTTGAACCGAGCTGGACTGTCCCACCAGCCACCATTGGTTGCAGGTGGTGACCGCCATGGTAATAGAATGGTTGTGTTTGTTGCAAAATCACTCAATCAGAACTTCACCACCACCACCACCACCATCGCCATAGTGCACTCTTGGCTGACCTACATGGTTACATTACTTACATTCATACTTGTAACAGCCATGATACCTAGTCAGTTGAGAAGTTCCAGAAACAGTGGAGCTCATGCGTGTATTTTTGTACAAGTACTGTACATGTATTCATTTTAGTTTTTGGACTGTCAATTGCACCTAGATAGCTATAGTCTCATGCATGTGGCATGTGCAACGAGGACTCCTGCTTCTAAGATCCCTATGTATAGGCTCTCCGTGTTGCTTGTATGCATATACATGTACTATTTAGAGAACTTTGCGAGTAAATCAAGTGTCAACCGCTTTCAGCAGCAGGAGGGCACCACCCCTAATGTCCAGAGCCAGCTCATGTCCCACGCAAACGTCTTACTGGTATTTTGTACGGTGTTGTCTCTAGACTGGTCACATCCCCTATGGTGAAGTGTTTGGTCTGTACGGAGGTATGGCAACTGGGAAGGAGATGTTGGAGTACATCGACGGTCTCTGGAAAAAGTACGCCTTCACTGCACGTCAATGGGAGAAGCAGGGTGGGCGCGCCATGTTGGGTGACGAGCCACCTCTGTACATCTTTGACTCGAGTATTCTGCAGGAGACTTTCAACAAGTCTGGTTCAGGATTCCCATATCCCCTTCCTGGTAAGCACCCCCCCCCCCCCCCCTCCTCTTCCTCTCTCTGCAAAGTCAAGCCTGGTCTTGTTTGAGTTCAGAGCTAGATACAGGTCCTCTCTCGTTAGTAGATAATCTCTGGGCCATCAACAACGTTATCTTATAGTGAGACTTATCTTGTAACAGGACTTGCAGCTAAAGATACAAGAAGCACTGATTCGTACGTATATGCCGTACCCTCAATATAAGATAAATTATCTACACTTCGACCCGTTATAAGATAATGAAAAAACTCCAACATAGATGTTCCTTGGATGGAAAAGACCATCCATATCTACGAGTACATAGAAGGAATACGTTGTGTCTTTCTGCTTTATCCTATGTGTTTTGGTCTTGGTCCTCCATGATCAATATTATCTTATACTAAGGATTTGGCACTCCAGGGACCTGGGCAAAGGGTCGTTATAACAAATTGTATGTGCTAACGAATTATGTTGTAACCGGACCTGAAAACAGTTGCATAGACCACATTTTGCCAGGGGGGGTTGAGATTTCTATCTACTAACAAGGTTTATGTGCTAGCCGGACTCGTTATAAGGGAGGACCTGTAACTGGGAATCCCAGCTTTTTCACCGGGGCAATACATTGGGACAGATTAGTATTTCCTGTCGGCAACAATGCAGGATGGGAGTATTTTCAAATACGTTAAAACTGTTTTTCCTGTTGGTGTGCCTTTGCTTTCATAGGATTTCTACCTGAGTGGAGAAAGCAAGTTCATCAGTTTATTTGGGGTCCCCCAGGTAAGATTTTGTACTGCAAAGCCTCTCAAGGTTTGTCCCCGGAAATGGCAATCTCCTTACATCTCTTTTAAAAAGCTGGCAGGAAGAGACACAGAAGATCAGAAGAGGAAAAGCAGAGAGCAGAAGGTCAGAACGGCGTCACATGACAGCTGCTGAAAGGGTGAAAACCATCCTTTCATGATCACTAGTACCGTAAAGTACCGCAAGAGCGAATTCTGGAAGATTTTTCGCATTTATTTTTTTTTTAAATTTTGGCCTCATCAGGATCAGATCTTGACCGTTTTTGGAGAACGACAGTACTGTCACGCATGCTGGAGAGTACTGCTCGTTACCAAGTTTGACATGTGAAAACAGTACTTTCGAATACACACAGCTGAGCTGTTTCTGTGACTAGTAATGGGCAAGACATACATTGTACATGTCATACCATGGCCAAGAAATTAAAGCTGTAGTATTAGATGGAGGTGGAGGGGATCTGCATTGTCAATGCCATTGATAAAGTTGCTCACACCTGAGATGATTTCATAAGCATGGAACACAAGAGGACCATCACCCTCTAATCGATACGTGGCTTCCACTATCGGCCAGCAGAACTCGACCGTGACTGCCAGCTGCATCTGTAGTTGACCCCGGGCTTGGGGATCACCGATGATGTTGCGCAGACGGCGTCGAAGTGATCCAGCCGATTCATCATCCTCGTCTAGAAACTCCTTCACATCACCGAACAGGGGCAGAAGTTGGTCCATGGCTTCGTACTTTGACCACCATCTGTCTTGCTGTAGGACTTGATGCCGACATCGGCTCTGGACTGCCACTCTAAACGAAACTTCGGACTATGAGCAAAGTGTTAAAACTACATGCTCACAAGTGAAGCAAGCTGCTCGGTCTCCAATTTCTCCCCAACATGATCCAAAGTGTGTGAGAAGCGCTGGGCATCAACCATATATTATTATCGGTATAGAGGCCAGAGGGCACGTCGTGCAACAGTGTTCACAGCTGCCCGGTCACGCATTGCGGCAAGAATGCACTCTGGTTGAACTAATTTGACAAACCGTTGCGAGAGTGTAGAGAAGAGAGTGGGCTAATTCTTCTCCTCTAAGCGACTTGGCAGCTAAGCGCAAGCGGACAAGGTCCTGCTTAGGTGTGAAGTCGTTAGTCACAAGATGCACAATCACCGCAAATGCCTCACAGACACGTGCGTTATTTCACCAAAGATCATGAATCATCAGGTGCTCTTGGATGGATTTTCTTTCTGTCTCCAGCACTGAAGGGATCAGATCTGCACGGTGGTGTCGGCTGGTACGGCGTTCACCGTGTTCTTCCAGAAGTGGGCGGGGTCTGGCAGGGCAGTTCCGTTGGACTTGTTGAACACCAGGAAATCCTTTCCATCCAACAGTAGCTGCTTCGCCTCGCATGCTGTCTCAGCCCGAGCTACCTTGCCACTCTTGTGCTTAATGGATGCTAGATGCACATTAATGACACTCTTCACTACTGAGACTTCATGGCGGCAGACATCACAGAACAGCTTACTGGATCGGATCACAAGACACTCACCGGGAAAACTGCTGACATCACCTGGCTGGTGACACTGTCTTAGGGGCATTCTTTGCTGATGGCGGTTTTGAAGGTGCCTTTACATTTCTCTAGACTTTTCTCTTCCGACTCAAAGGAGATGCTTGTGGAGCGCAGAGTCTGTCCAAGAGGCTGGCAGCAGCAGGTCTTGGTTCTTCGTTGGCAGTCAGATCTTTCACCTCCGCGTCCTCCTCAGGCTCCACCTCCTCCAGAATGGATTCCGCATCTTGAGAAATCACCAGCAGTCAATTGTGATGCCGGCTGGCACCTAAGTGATTAGACCTCACTGGATCGTCACTGGATACTGACACCAAGAGTACATGAAAACCAGAGTGTGCAGCTTGGGGCCTTTTCTGCTATGGGTGTTTGTCACGGCGGAATTCCGTGATTACATCATATTTGGCGCAGATCTGAGGCGGGAAGTGGCGTAGTGCATACAACTGAGTTGCAGTTGTGCAGAAAGAGACCTGCTTGAACGCACTACATCACTAAAATGATGTAATCACGGAATTCCGCCGTGACAGCAACCCATCCGAGCTGCACTCTCTGGATTTCATGTACTCTTGCTGACACCCATCTCTTCTAATGCCACTTGAATTTACCACCTGGCACATCACACGTACATGTATTTACACACACACACACACCTCTGACCTTCGACCTTTTGACGCCCATCGCCGGATGCACACTCAGACCCCCCCCCCCCCCCACACACACACACACCTCTGACCTTCGACCTTTTGACGCCCATCGCCGGATGCACACTCAGACCCCCCCCCCCCCCACACACACACACATACACACGTGTTGCTCACTGCCAAAACTGGTCACGTGGGTCTCCTCGGGAGAGGGGAGAGAGACTCAAAAGGAATCTTGGAAAGATGACTCAACAGGCTGTTGAACCGCCCAACGGCCGACACCCCCTGAAATCCCCAAAACTCTGGGTGGACTTGAAAATGATCCCACTTGTGGGCTCACCACACCTCAGTAAGTGGGCGAGGACAATATGCAGAAAAAGGATTGACGGCATCAGGGTATCCGTCCTGGGATCCAACTGCAGTTACCCCTGCCCCCAGTGAAGGTAATACTTGCTACTAGTGTGGGTGGCTAAATCAGAGTGGATCTGAGATAAGCGTCACTAGCACCAATGATTACACAAGAGTTAATCTAGCCAGAAGAAGTCCATGGTTAACAGGTATGTATACTTCGAATAGAAAGTATATGAACCCTGGAACCAACAAAGGCGGCAGGTACAACATTACACCTTCAAGTAGCCGAGCCCATTGGCAACAGACCCAACACAATCGGGCATAAGTGTACCCACCAACCGAACTAGCTGGCACACACACACCCACATACATGATCAGCAGTTTGTAGGCACTGTTTTTTTTGTTTTTTTTTGTCTTATTTTAATTAAGGTAGGAGTACCATAAAACCATGGCAACGGATCGAATTTGGCAACGGTTTGAATCTTTTGAATTTTCTTAAACATACATTGTATTGACTTTTTTTCGCTTTTTGAATATCAATTTTGGACAACATCATTTGCATGGTGTGGACACCCCTACTTCTTGTGGAGGTGGTGTCCTGTTTGTAGGTCATACGACATGGGCCCTGTACATATTGCACGCTGTGCAGTAAATCTGTACTTACCTTCGAGCGGATGCGAGCTCCACACAGAACCATGCCAAGTGTGAAACTTAGTGGCGCTCTGCCATACGACTTCCTTCCCTTGGCTGTAAAATCAAGCTGGGGCGCTCTCGCGAGACGGAGCGCTCTCATGGTACTTTACAGTAGTGGTAGTAGTGGCGACAAAGTCATTGATACGCCAAACCCGGGAGATTTCACCAGTCTTCTCCTTCTTGACATGTTGCATTGTGACGGCATTCAAATTAGTGGTGTGCACGGGTAGTCGGGTACCCGTGCTACCCGTGAGGACCTCGGGTAGACGGGTACCGAATCGTACCCGAAAACCCGAAGTCGCAGATGACATCATGTAGAAAGAGTAGAGAAAGAGGTCTACAGTGCACGTGTACAAATACGCACGCATGTCTACCCAGTGTGTAAGGGAAGGGGCCGGTGTGCATTGTGGTCTTATCATGGAAACATTACCCGATCGGGTACCCGTGCTACCCGTGGAAAACTACCCGGACCCGATACCCGAAGAAAATGCTACCCGACTCAGCCCTAATTCAAATGCCTGTGTGTGCTTTTGTCACCAAAGACTGGTGCTGATTCAGCATGGTGAAACCTGTTGGTTGAGGCGGTGGGTGACCATGGTGATGCCGGGCTCTGCCTGATCAATGGGTTCAAAGTAGATCTGGCGATGCAACTCCTCCACAGAATTTTGTTTTGTGCTACTTGACTTTGCTTGTACCATTGTGAGCATTTGCACTTTTTCCAAAGCTATGGTTCAGATGCATCATTAGCATCTGGCTTCTTACACTAGTCAGCCATAACAGTGAAAACTCTGTTGACTTAAGGTCCGAACCTATGGATGAAAGGATGTCCATTCATTTCGGCAGTTCTTTTTCTGTCCGAAGAGCAGTATTTGTCAATGCTCTTTGTGATTCAGACAGATGAGGCAGGGTTGGTGGCCTTCCGCAAATTTACCAACTGTGTTGCATCATCTTATCCACCCAGATAAGAGTGAGAGTGCACGGTTGTCTGCAATGTCAATTAATCTCTGTACCACCAGATGACGATTTGCGTTTGTACAGTTGCCGAATACATGACACAGGTAACAATCGCGGTAGCTATAGCAAGACACAGCTTCCCAAAGTGTACAGCTCCATATAAGCCTCTGCCAGGACTCATTTTGAGAATTACGTTTTTTAGTATCCACTGGACTGACGGCACCGGGTAGGTAATTAATTATCTGAGGGTTGTGTGTGTGTGTGTGTGTGTGTGTGTGTGTGTGTATGTGCACGTTTGTGTTTGTCTGCTGCAGGATCTGGGTCACCAGTACATTATCACTGCCCGGCCTTGAACATCATGGCGTATGGTCGCAAACGGTAATATACTTGTAATGTGTGGGTTGAGTCCACAAAGGACGAAACAGTTCTGTCCGCAGATTGAGATAATGTGTGGGTTGTAAGGATTCAGGGCTTGCCACGATGGTACAAAGCTTGGCCACATTTTGTTTTGGTTTGATCATTCACAGTACAGCACTGCTGTAGTCTGTGTTGTGTTATTCCTGGGCCGGTGTACTATTCTGTAGGGTTAGTTAGGGGCCGTCCGTAAATATCGATTTTTTTTTCAAGACAATATTTGTTCATTTCTCCCCAGACCCCCTCCCTCCCCCTTCAAAACGAACATACACATGTTTATGCAAGGGATCGATATTTTTTAATGAAGTTCAATTTCCTCATGAAGCGTGACCAGCTGCCACTCTAATTTCGCCATACAACTAGGTTTTTGTTGCCACGATCGCACAACCTTGCCATGGCTATGCTCACGATTTTGACTTTCACTTTGTGTAGGTCATAAACAACATGTTCGAATAGCGCCCGTCCATAGATAGAGTTCGATATTTTTTTCTGCAAAGACGAGACGAACAGGGCCCAAACCCCCTCCCCCCCCCCCCCCCCCCAACGAACGAATATCTTCTCTAAAAAAACATCGATATTTGTGGACGACCCCTTAGTTGTATTTCTGTTGGCGGAGTCTTACCTGGTATGGGTGTTGTTCTTCTTGCAGATGGACGCTGTATCCACCTGCCAGTGCTCATTACAGCACTGTGCATCCGCTACATGTGCGAACAAGGCCGCAAACGCCCAGGTATAAACCTGAGGTAAGCGAGTGCATAAATATTTGATTTTTCTAGTAGTTGCAGTTTAGCTGGGCACCAAACGTGCTAGTTTGAGTTGGGGTAGGACGAGAATTCGTCCTGTTAACAAATTTCTAAGAGTGCAATTGGCATTCTACGAATACCTAGATCCAATCTGTCAACACTGTGGGTGCTTGACATTTTATTATCGTTTTCGGTTGCACTGTTGGTTTGCCAGTTCCCTTCATGCTAAGTGATTGTTACTTGTGAAAGCAAAGTCATCATCAAGGAAGGGCGAAGGATAACTGTTATCTGTAGCAGAAGCTGGTTGTTCAGATCTTACACTGTACTATGAGAGGGAAGGGTGAGGACTGAGGTCTTGTCCAAGCGTGTCTACCACATTTGAGCCCAAGGCATGGGGCTCTCATTGACTAGGTCCAACGTGTATCCCACGGCGAACTTTTAACGGGTGGCGTGATTATCACTTGGGACCGTGTGCCTTCAACAGAGGCAGCTCATGGACTTTGATGAGGAGTGTGTTTGAAATAGGCTCACATTGCGATCTGGGGTTGCTGTCATCGCCGCTATCGCTTGCGTTTCAGCACTCTACTACAGCTTACCACCCGCATGAACTCCTTCAGTCACGCATTGCCAATCCCGTAGGAGGGGATCTGTTGCTGTCTGGCCATCTGCGAAATGACTTCCAATAATTCCTAATGGGGTCCCAATCCTAGTCCATCAAGGCATCCTTGTGCTTGACCCCACTTCTAGGCCATTCTGTTTCTTTTCTTTCAACAAACTGTGTTCCTTCACTTGGACAACGCGAGTCGTAGCAGGAAGCAGTTTATGTGTTGAGTAGGTCCCCACGTTCGAAGTACTTCCAGTATATCTGAATGTGCTGCTTCTTGCAAATAAAGCAACTGCCTTTGGTTAAAAGTATTCAACTGTTCAAGCCCCACATTAAAGTAGGACAGCTTCAAAAGTAGGGTTCTACTTTGTATTAGACAACAGCAATTGGCCATTAACATTTTTAGCTTGGCCTTATAATGCCATTTCATCTTCATTCCTTGCTTTTTGGAAAGAACCATTTGATTTCTTCAGTTGTCTTGTCTCGGATTCAAGTATCAGCCTGTCAGTCACATCATTTTCTCTCTTTCTGCCACACTCACCTCAGCCTCTGGCATGTGTACAGTATGCGGGAGAGATGCTGTTCATTCCCAAGCACTGGGCGCATTCAACAGTCAACATTGACCAAGCTATTGGCATTGCGGTCGAGTTCGATTTGCCCTTCTGCTAGTTCAGCTGAACCGTCCGCTCCTACTACTTGGCTGGTTCACTTCGGGATGGATAAGTCGACCTGTTCTGCTCTTGCAGTCTCCCTTATCATTTGCTGGTGCACACAGGCAAAACACTAGATACTGGCTGTGTCAGATTTGACGTAGTACATCATATCTATTGGCTAGTTTGCAATAATTCAGCTTCTTTGTCAGCATGCAGCTGGAGATGGCTTGCTTCATCATATTGCTGGAGAAACTTCTGCAAGTGGCCAAGCAGCTCCCGCTCCTCTCTGTCCTGGAAAGCTGTACGTGGACAAATACTTCCCCTTCTTTGTTCATGGAAGCTGTGTCAATACCAATACAGACAGTTTGTTACGGTCTGGCCCAAATCCTCACACTTGTCGAAATGATCCTTCCGCGTGGCTGCTTCATATGATTGATTATGATAGTGTGGTTGCTGACTTGCAGGCAGGTACCAGCAATCCATGTTATCAGAAACGAAACGGAAAAGGGCATGACTGCCGGCCTCAGCAGGACTGGGCCGCTCCATGTACTAACTTTGTTTTGTTTGTTATTGTATTGCATAAGTCTTTATGACTTTGTTGATATTACGCATGCCTACTGTCCATTCTCTCTACTCTCGCCGATGCGCTTTGGCATAAGGAAAGCTTTGGACTCCGCATTCTGCTGGTTCTACCAAATTTGAAATTTTTCAGAATTGTTTTCTATCCAGTTCTTCCCACTCTATGTCTATTCCTGTCTATTCCTCTGAATAGTGAACTCTAACGATATTTTCTCAACCACGTGTTTTCATATTTAGGATGACCCGATAGTTGTAAATGTGTGTGCTCATTACAAACTGTTTGCACTTTTTTCAGCCCAGTAAACCGATAACGAGTAAAATACCCGCTCAATATATTTTCTAATGAGTAACTACCAAGTGCCCGACAAAATCCCCCCCCCCCCCTCTCTCTCTCTCTCTCTCTCTCTCTCTCTCTCTCTCTCTCTCTCTCTCTCTCTCTCTCTCTCTCTCTTAGTAAAATAATGACACTGGCCAGCTGACCGAGCGTAGAGGAGACAACGATATAAGAGAATGCCAAGATAGTGGTAGCACGGCATGTGAACTGATGAAGTAACCATCCCTTAACCAACCAAGTGGTCTAGGTAGTCACTCTATGCATTAAGTAAATAAATGTACATGTAAAATGAGGCTGAGAAGGATGAGGGTGGTGTGGTCAAAGGGTAATTCACGTTAAAGGAGAAGAGAAGCGTGTGCGTGTGGAGAGAGAGAGAGAGAGAGAGAGAGAGAGAGAGAGAGAGAGAGAGAGAGAGAGAGAGAGAGAGAGAGAGAGAGAGAGAGAGAGAGAGAGAGAGAGAGAGAGAGAGAGAGAGAGAGAGAGAGAGAGAGAGAGAGAGAACGAGACAGAAGTGGGCAGGGGAGGGGGGGGGGGAGAGAAAGAGAGCCCCTACAATTTCAGATCTTGTAGTTCTCTGGGCGCTAAATCGAATGGTGTTGGTCTGTGGGGCTACTTTGAAGTACGATGGATCACTCATTCCGATTTTCCTAATCGAACCCATTGCTATATCCTGGAGCAGTCGAGGTGTTCATTTAGATCGTGTAGAAGTAGCATAGATCACTAACTCATATAAACTACATGCTGGTCCAAACTCATTTCTAGTAGAATCAGGTTTCAACCTAATCCGGCCTAAATCAGGTTTGAAAAGTCATCAAGTTTCAACCCAGGTTTTGTATTTAATATTTGAATTTATTTGTGAATGAACAGGAGGAAATGCATGGGCACTCGTAGTCCACAGATTTTCCTTTTTGTAAGGTGGTTAAAGGGGAAGTTAAGCCTAAAATCAAATTTCACCAGTTGTAGTCTTCGGGGTGCTGAGTCGAATGGTCTTGGTCCGAGGAAGCTGAGGCACTCCCTTCCTCCTTTATTCCCAATCGAACTCGCGCACTTCCACCGAAACTGGGTGACTGCGCCCTACTAGATGGGGATTTGTATGCAAATTGTCACTAAAAGCGCCATTTCATTCTTATAAAAGCATGGATGACCGCGATTGGCCCATATGTTGTAGTTTTTTGGACGCTGAGTCGACAGGTTTTGGTCCGAAAAGGCTGCGATGTAGCGTTCGGGCCTTAATCCCAATCGAACATGGTTGAACAAGCGGTCACGTGCTCCTGCGTACACCAGTCACCTGGTCACCGTGCCCGCAGCAGTGCAGGGTACAACTTCTCTCGCCGCGAAGTGAAGCTCACCCTTCTTGCACACTCCATAAAATACCAATATGCCCCACAACACATACGCATGCTTAACACCCCCGCTCAAGTTACGGCCCAGTATAGCCTTCGACATGCATGCACTTGGCACCTCCCACCCACCAGAACCGATCGCTGTAAAGACTCCCCACTGTACAAATCCCTAGATTATATACTACAATGCCCTCCCTGCTAGTATTCGTGACGTCTCCTCCCGACCTGCTTTCAAACAAGAAATCTGCTCACTGCTGATTAACTCAATCTGCTCCTGCAGCGCTCACCCTCTCCCATACTTGTAAAATTCAAAGTGATGTAAATCACTTTCCAACTGCATAACCCACAGCCCCACCCACAGCATCTCACCTTCTCATAAACTTATCTCTTATTGGCGATATTGCCATCGTGAGAATAAAGAATTCAAACTTACAGCCTGTTTGGGTGCAATCCTGTCACTCGAGTTGAACCTTGGTGTGAAAGTTGTCGCCTGCTAGCGCAGTGACCAGGTGACTGGTGTACGCAGGAGCACGTGACCGCTTGTTCAACCATGTTTGATTGGGAATAAGGGCCGAACGCTGCATCGGAGCATTCTCGGACCAAAACCAGTCGACTCAGCGTCCAAAGGACTACAACATATGGGCCAATCGCGGTCATCCGTGCTTTTATAAGAACAGAATAGCGCTTTTAGTGACATTTTGCATACAAATCCCCATCTAGTAAGGCGCAGTCACCCAGTTTCGGTGGAAGTGTGTGAGTTCGATTGGGAATAAAGGAGGAAGGGAGCGTCTCAGCTTCCTCGGACCAAGACCATTCGACTCAGCACCCCGAAGACTACAACTGGTGAACATTTGATTTTAGGCTTAACTTCCCTTCTCCTTAAGGACACTCTTGATCCACTCGTGTTACACTGACGATGTACTTAAAACCTGTGCATATTGCCGTATTGAACTCATGCCAAAATTCCATAGGAGGAGCTTGATATGATTATTAACGTTTCGCGTCAGACTCGGTTAGACCGGGTTTTTTGCATCCATAGGAATGCCACCACCTGATCAAGGCGCAGATGCAGCTCCTAAAGCAGAGGGAGGCGAGTGGATCAAAACCCACCACCAGATAGGTCAAAGACCAAAACGCTGGTTTGATAAGTTAGTAGATAAACCTACAGGAAAAGAACTTCCCGATGTTGAAGAGTATAGTCATGCGAAATCAGTAATACATGATACATGTACATGTTGCAAATAGACACTAGTCTTTGTGATACATGTACACGCATGTCTCTTACAGTACATGTTGGATGTCTAATGTTATGCTAGTACATGGCATTGTATACACAAACCAAACATAGTGAATCGGTTCATCTATGGTAGCAGTGACAGCTGGCTGGCTCAAATTTGTGCAGTAACTTGTACAAGTAACGGAAATAAGTCCTGTTTAAGTTTTGATGTCAGTCCGTATGAAACCTCCGTCTGCTCAGCTGTCAAGTCGTGGCCCATCAAAAATAATGTTATACATGTACTTCTCACCTCTTAACTGAGTGGGTAAGCCAAGTGACCCTTCCTGTTTGGTCATCATGTTCATGATTTCTGCATTTTATGTCCCTGGAGATACGTGATCAGCCCATGAATGCTTAGTGTTTACCACAGAGTATGAGTATCAGTACATCAGGAGGTTGGACCGTTCCCTTATGGAGCAGCAAGCAATGTCTGCTGTTTTTCATTCACGCCTCTCTTGGCACTTTCTTCCCGGTGAAGATGCCAGGAAATTATCAGTTGGGATAGTTTAGGCCCTCTGCAGACTACGTACATAGAACAACCAGTACAAAATCACATAAAACCTAAAAGGCAACATTTTTCCAAGCCTGCATTCAGACTACACATTTTACATGCAATATACAGGCAACCTTTGACCCCACGCTATTGCGCAATGGACCTGGGATGTGTGAAAGCAGCCGGCAGTCGTACAAAGTTTGTACATTTGTACGATGGTTGGTGAAAGTACGATAAATGCAGGAAAGTTGCCTTGTACAAGGGTTCGCACCCTGCCTGAAAGGATTGGGCAGCTTTTTAGGCTTCCTGCCAGATTCTTGTTGTTGTCTTGGAAACTTCTATGTAAATGTGACTTATAGGCTGTTTTGTACCTAGTCTGAAGAGGGCCTTAGGATGCTTCGGCAACTTATTGCAGCTGTGCACATTGTGTTTGTGCCGGCTATGATGGTAACATAAAACAGAGAACTTATGCTGTATATATAGAATGCTTTGAAGTGCAAATATGCAGTATGTACAACTCATTAATCCCTCTCCTCGTACTACCATGCAAGCTGGATGTGGCTAAAGTGCAGTGCAGTGGGCATGTCAAATACTTTGTTTGCCTTCTAGGGCTACTGGTAGTTTTGTGGCATTGCCAATTCCTTTGTGTGTCCTTTATCTGATCCTGTTTTGTACCTTGGTGCTGGTGTGGGCAGTCCAGTGTCCGTGCTGTAGGCACCGAGCTTTGGGCAGGCGGGGTCATGTCTGTTAGCCATCTCTTGGATGTATTTTACTGATGTCTGACACATGATTATGATAAGGTTGCTATGTAGAGACAGTGATTTGTTGACATATCCAACGCCATGATTTTCAGTATTTTTTAAGGTACTGTTTCTATTTCCATCCAGCTTTAGCTTCCTCCTAACAGTTGCACCACCGGCGACTTTGCGCCAGGAGCAGCAAAGCCATACCGTGCACTGTCAGCCATGTCCGACGCGGGTCACACTGACAATCAACGCTTGTCAGTCCTGCATCTACGGTGTGTGTGTGTGTGTGTGTGTGTGTGTGTGTGTGTGTGTGTGTGTGTGTGTGTGTGTGTGTGTATGTGTATGTGCATGTGTGTGTATAAAGCTTAGTCTAAGTGTACCAGGATATGATTATTATAAATGGTTGGTAGTGCAGCAGCGCGCTGTGCACTGCAAGTGTGACTGTCCACTCCAAGGCAGGTGATGCCTAACAGTCTTGCTAGTTCTCGGAACTGTGTCCGGCGGCACCCAGGAGCTTGCCAGAAGGCACTCCGTCCACGCACCTCATTACAATGCAAGTGCGTTGTTTCCTACTACTTACTACGGCTACTGTAACCTGTCACAGAGCAAAATGTCACCGTTGGTGGCCTAGTGGACTGGTTGAAAAATGGCTGTAGCACATATGTGTGGAGGACTGTATTACTGGTGACAGCCTGATTTAGTCATCCTTTGGAGTGCATTGTACTCTGATAGTGCCAGAGCATGCTGCCCGTGTGTCGACGAAAGTGCATCTATTTAAAGACTGCGTGTGTGCTCTCTTTTCAATGCTGTTGTGCCGGTGATGTGTGGCATTTCCACGCCGTGCTGCCTATTGGCATATCGGGTACTTTCTCACTGCTGCTGTGCTGCTGAGCTGGTGGTGGTGGTGGTGGTGTGTGGCGTTTCTGTGCTGTGCCGCTGACCAGCATGCTGTACTGTGTACTTCTCAGTCCGCTGTCTGAGATCATTGGGCATGGGTGTGTTGACCGCTGCTGTCGGTGAGAAACTCAGCTCCAGCCCTGGCACATTGTCCGAGGTTTGCAGCCGTCCAATCGTTGAGCGACATTGCAGCAACACGTGATCACTAGCTGTCATCCTGCATTCCAAATATGGAGTTGTTGACACTTGTGCGCTGCCCGTGACTAGCTCTAGCCTGTCTGTCAAGTATCAGCCTGTCATTGTGTCAACGCGGCCACATAGCCCTTACTTTACTTCCAATTCCAGACCCGGCTCTGCATGAATATAACGTCACATGTACATGGGTCTGCTAGTGCCACTTCACTAGTACATGTACACATATAACTACTAGTACTACTACTACTACAAGTCATACATTAGACGGGTGTAGCGGCCTGTGCAAATAACCATGCGGCATGAGATGTGTGCCATCAGAGAGTGTGTGTGTGTGTGTGTGTGTGTGTGTGTGTGTGTGTGTGTGTGTGTGTGTGTGTGTGTGTGTGTAGATATTGGGCGACATCTCGGTGGGTATCATGAGCGTGGCGTGAAGTCGAGCATGACATGACAAGATTGCAACTACTCACAGCCACCCGCTGGTCGTGCTTGTGCTTGAATAGAATACTATTGAAGATGATTATTTTTGTCTTCAGTTCTTTTCATGAGTGTTCACTGTGACATCTTGTGCATGCACACTGTCTGCACATGCACATGAAGTTGTGGACGGGGTATTTTTACGTCCGTTTTCAACATAGTTGTGGGATGATGTCATCTTTTCCGGTGGCCGGCCCGGCTCTGTGGAGTTATCGACAAGGTGCTAAACTAGCCTGACGACTCGCAGAGGCCTAGGGCCACGTGAATGCTTCCTGCTAGGATCTACGAGCTTCGACAAGTGCACCGGGCAAACGCATTGAAGGCATCCGTGGGAAACCTCTGCTCGATTACAATCTGCTGTTGTCGTGTTGATGGTCGTCCGCGTCCGTGTCGGCGATGCATTGCTTCTGGTGCATGTTGCGCACACACTAGCTGATGTTGGTGGAAGCCATGTCAAACCAGTCCCGGCCGGTAAAAATGTGCTGTCGCTCTCTGATCGACTGGCTGCGTCCTGACTTGGCCGTGTGTGATGCAATGGCATTGCCAATGTTTGCCGGGCTATTGTTCAGCTCTCAGTCCAAGGCGATGTTCAAATGATTTCACACATGAATGCTACTCCCTACTGCAGGCCGTGTGCTCAGCAGCACCACTGCATCAGTGACTGCATGTAAGCTCCACCCCACGCTGTCCAGACTGCATGCCGCAGACGACGAGTACTACAGAGTACAGTAGTCCAAGTCTTATATCCCATAGACTGTCACTATTGGGCTACATGTCATCCCGGCGTCATCCGTGCATGGGCATTGTGAAGTGTGATGCATCAGCAGTCGAGCAGGTACACGTCTATGTACCTTCACGTCAGTCAGGGAGGCAATTCTCACACAACCATCAGAAGCTATCCAGTTCTTGCAACTGGAGAAACTGATCTAAGTTTCTACTACATGTACACTGTACTCTCACAGTCAGTTTCATATTTATTATGACTTGTAGTTACCGAAGAAGAAGAAGAAGAAGAAGAAGAAGAATCATCTTGAAGTTGCACGGTGAGCCAGTCACACCGCTCCTGTCCTGAACACCACCAGTACACCACTGTCACCAGTCTGAAGTCAAGACCATTGGTGGCATTAGTATTCCCCCATTAGTGCCATAATTATAACCATGATAACGAAGTGCCATAATTACTGCCATAATTATAACGAAGTGCTAGTTTGACTCGGATGGTGAGCCAATTAAATTATGGTGAAAAGGTGAAGGACAAACTGTTACGAGTTATGACTAACTCGTTACTGTCCACGCCTCAGTACTCCTTGTCAGTTTTGTGCCATTTTGTCACACTCGCTGACTGTATAAGAAGTGCTAATTCTAACGAATCAACGAGGAGAAATCTGTCGTTAAAATAGAAATCGTTTTTATATACAGAAATCGATACATACCGTATTATCTCTAATATAAGCACGGTCCTTTATTTTTCAATGACATTGAAAAAATAAAGGACCGTGCTTATATTACCTCCGTCCCATGCTATTAATGGAGACGTTTCTTTATGGGAGACTGTTCCATTATTATTTCAACCTCATTTCAGAGGCATGTTGCCATGCCAAATTCATGTATGACACACACATTTCTGGGTTTTTTTCGCCGGTACAGATAACGAATTTACACAGCGTGCTTATAATGGAGACTGAGCACTTTATTTTTTGAATGCCGCCCCAAGGTGTTCTATTATTGGAGACGTGCTATTATTGGAGACTGTGCTTATATTAGAGATAATACGGTATAATTGTTCTATTGAGGGTTGAGAAGGAGTGAGAATCGTTACCTTTGGTACACGTAAACCAGTTAATTTTGCCTTTTTGGGAAACCGTTATATATGCGCCTCGTTAGAATACTGCTTTTACAGTAGACAGCAGCAGGGAGTCGCATGCAGGATTTGGACAAGTAGCTATGGCATATCTCATTGACACTTTTGACATGCTCTGCCCTCAAACCGCAATCATCACTAGCACAAACTCTGTGTACCGCTTCAGTCTTTACTGGGCATAAGTTTGTAGCCAGTTGATGTACCCATTATCAGTTGTCTGAGGCCCAGAGTGAGGGTTGTCATAGCCTTGCTACATGTACATGTACATTGTATGTGCATAGTTGACTTGTTTTATTCAAAGCCCTGGCTGCTGCAAAAGCCATAATTATACTAATTCTAATGAGATAATGAGGAGAAATCTGTCGTTAAAATAGAAATCGTTATACAGAAATCGATACATATTCCAACCCGATGTAGACTATTTATTTGGTGTTTTCTGCTGTGAGTGTCATTATGAAGTTGTCTGATGAGGCGTGAGTGCTTTCGCACGAAACTCGGAGTAACAACGAATTTCTCGGCTGTCCGTCGCTTGATGACTTGTGTGTCATTGCTCTGTCTTTTGACGTTGAGCACCCTCTCCGCAGCTGTGTGGAACCTGATCTTGCTCTGAAATCGATACATTCGTCATATTATTGTTCTATTGAGAGTTGAGAATGAGTGAGAATCGTTACCTTTGGTACACGTAAACCAGTCAATTTTGGGAAATCATTACGCGCCTCGTCAGAATAATGGCTTCTACAGTAGACAGCAGGGAGTCACATGCAGGATTTGGACAAGTACAATGTAGCTATGGCATAGCTCATTGACACATTTGACAGGTTCTGCCCTCAATCCATAATCATCAGCACTGACTCTGTGCACTGCTTCAGTCTTTACGTGTACTCCTTTACTCTACTGACTGTAGATATCCTGCACTCGGGCTCTGTCACATCATCCAGGATACCTATCACAGTCCATGGCATGACTCAATGAGTGTGGCGTTCCGAGTTCTCCGCGCTGAGCTCATACATGAGCCAGCCCCTCGTCCGAGACTGACCTGTCGGGTTCCGGCTATGGTCTCGTGTCTGGCCTAGCCTGCGCCTGTCTAGTATCTTCATCCTTTGAAGTCTGCATGCAGTTAGCTCGTCGACATCGACGCTTTGTGGTGCACGCACGCAGTATTCGTGGGGCGTGCGCAGAATTCGAACATTGCGCGGAGTATTTGACTAGGCGGCTGGCGTGGCGGAGTGTCTAACGGTCATATTTGCGGCGCATGCAGCGCTAGCCGTAGTGCAGAGTAGAGTAGGCAGGGGCGATACGAAACTCCTCTCAACCATCGAAAATCGAACCCGGACTAAACTGAGATCATTATCTCGTTTTCAATCTGGAAACGTAGAGAACCTCTGCTTTCATCCTCCATCTCCATAATTCTCATGATCGGAACCAGACAGGACAAGCGAGGTCTTGCATTCTAGTTCTGTGGTTCTGTGTGGGTCCAAGTCACGGGTGAGCGGAGTTGTGGATGGTCAATTCGCCTCATGCAGTTCTCCTCCCCTTTGTAAGCGCTGTAGGATTGGAGAGCCAGCGACCGCCTTACCAGGTGCTTGCCTGGTCGGCGGTGCAACCTAGTGTTGCACACAATCCTGGAAGGATAATTAGAGCGGACATACGCTTCCGCTGCAGAGCCCGTTGGGTCCTTACGACAAGACGCCGTTCCTCGGCGTTGCTTCAACCCAACGATGGAGACGACCCGGCGGAAGAGCTGTCTTCGGATTGACTCTGCGCTTAGCAGATGGCTACGGTTACTAGCTCTTCTTATTCTGATTTCTGGAGGTACGTCGGGGAGTGGTGTCCGTTAGCAGAATAGGCATCCTTCTCTCACCACCAGCATGGTCTTAGTAATAAAAAGAAAAAAAGAAATAGCTTTCACTGCCGCATGATTCTGCATTCTATCTGGGTTGCTGAAGTCGAGGCCTAGCGCCTGGGTGTCAAACGCTAACTTTTGCAGGTGCTCTTGAAGGTCCGAATACCGTGCCAACTTACTTGAAATTGACCGCAGGCTTGGTAATTCGAGCTTGTTGTCGCCACGATCGGTACGATGACCATGTGGAAACTTCTTGATACTTGATAGTCGGGCGTTGAAAGGGAGTGATTTTCGTATTTTGTAGCGCTTGTAGCAAGTCATGCGCGAGTCACGGTCGAAGCTATCCTGTGTTTGCGGTCATGCAGCTGCATCTTCAGTTGCAGGCACGCTGGCTAGCCCCCACCCCACAACACAATGTCAATGGGGAAGTGTCCTGAAAGGTTTAATCCGTGGAGGAAGTGGGAGGTTGTTCCTATTGAAAATCGAACTGAAAACCCTGGAAAGGACATCATTTCACTTGTACGAGCCAAGTAAAGTTGACCAAAGAGGATTTATGTGTCAGTGCATACCAGGTAGTATCTGTACCACACCTCGCACTGTCCACAGATGTGGAACTTTCTCCTTACCTGCAGTTCTCTTCTCTCTTCACTAAGATAGGTCTTACGCATACTGTGACCTTGGATGGTTGTCTTTGTAGATGTATGTGATTGATAAGCCCATTCAGGTGCCTGCCTCACAACACGGGGATGTCGCATACTGGTACTGTGTGGCTTGAAAACAATAACACACACACACACACACACACACACACACACACACACACACACACACACACACACACACACACACACACACACACACACACACACACACACACACACACACACACACACACACACACACACACACACACACAGAGGCACACACACACACACACACACACACACACACACACAGAGGCACACACACACACACACACACACACACACACACACACACACACACACACACACACACACACACACACACACACACACACACACACACACACACACACACACACACACACACACACCACACACACACACACACACGCGCGCGAGCGAGCGCGCATGCACAGTGCACAACACAGCTAGTCCAGGTGGTTGCATGACAAACTGCAGTTACCGATCAAAACTTGGCCCTACTGCGTTTGAAGCCAAATAAACAACACCTTAATATCAATGTGCTTGTAGTGTGTGATAATGCCGCTGGAGCAGCTGGTATCATGTCTTGGTGTGTTGGGAGCTTAGGCTTTTTTAAAATATACATATCATTCTTTATTGTGTCATTCCCATCTTGAATTCGTACTCGTGATTATGAGCTTTCTCTGGGAAATGTTGCAATGTGTATGGCGAATGGGCTGTGGGGTTACGGATTTATTGTATTACGAACCGTAGCTTTGGTGGTGCTTCAAGGCGATCATGTAAAGCCCTGACAAAAACATATCCAGGATGCGATTGTTCAGTGCCAGATGTTCGCAATCAAGTGATATATTGTACACTGAAACCAGAACACAGATACTCTTACTGCCCTGGGTACCCATAGTAGTGACAACGTTTCACGGTAATGGATTAGCCCTAACACCAGGCCAGTCACCGGCGCAAGCACAGATTTCCTTTTGGTGAGGCCATGTCACATCGTAACTACTCCTGTCAATCGGAACCCTAGAGCATGGCAGAAACTCATAATTCACTCGTAGCGAATAGGAAACAAAACGTAAATTTGTGAATTAAAAAGAAACCCGGTGGCGTGAGAAAATTTTCCAAATCTTTTCAGCAACTGCTGAGAGAATCCATGACATTATTCTCTGCTGCTGTTTTATTCCTTTTCTTGCGTGTAGCCTCGGCTCAAACCATTGTTCTAACGCCGGATAGCACTTCGGTCGAGCATCCGGGCGGCACTATATTTAGCCTGCAGCTCTCTGTAAGTCAGCACCATAGGCGGCTTAGTTATTCTGTTAGTTCTTTGGCTTGGCGTAACTGCTTAGTATGTAGAGGAAATTAGGCAGGTTTTGTTTCATTTTCAGTTTCTGCACACAAACTAGTAGTGCGCCTTTGGTTTGTACGCATGTGTGTCTTGGTTCTGTGTTAGCTATTGTTTATTCCTGAGGGGAATGCTAAAACAAGTTTGCAATGCAGCCTGCGTTTTCAAGCAAGGCATATTTCCAATCAATACCATTAATTCCACGGTTAGCAGATGGCTGTGTCAAACGTTGTGCTCTCCCCCCCCCCCCCCCCCTTTGCCATCATTGCGTACAAGTTTGATTGTCTTTTGGCCTATTGGTGAAGACAGCAGGTAACTTTGCTAGTGTGTTCTTGTTTGCATTATGGTGAGAGGCAAGCGGATGCTACTGATTATACACATGTACATGTACCTTGAAGCAGGATGCTTTTTGCTTTAATAGTCGCCATGGCAGAAAATTGTTCAAGTGACCCAGCTTTCAACAGAACATGGACTCGGTAATTGAAAACCTCCTCATGCATCCTGACATCTCTTCTCCAATTGCACTGTGCTGTCTCTCTGAATCTTTCCGCCGGCAGACCAATATTGGAGCAACATTCTCACTGTCGCTTCTTGTCACACCGGCAGGTGAGTTGCATGGCATGTGGATTGTGCAGCACCACTAGAGCGGGGTAGGGGCAGTGCAGGGATAGACACCACTAGAGCGGGGTAGGGGCAGTGCAGGGATAGACACCACTAGAGCGGGGTAGGGGCAGTGCAGGGATAGACACCACTAGAGCGGGGTAGGGGCAGTGCAGGGATAGACACCACTAGAGCGGGGTAGGGGCAGTGCAGGGATAGACTTTGCGACTGTATGTCAACACCGCGTGGGAAAGTAGATTAGAAAGCCTTTTTTTTACTTCCTCCAGAAACAAGAACTTGTGAAAATTTTATTCACATGCCATGGAGTTATTGTGCTCAAGAGATTTGGCTCAGTGGAAAAAAGACGATGTCGTGCGCAGTTAGTACCACTGTGTCTTCTAAATTTTCGTACTTTGCAAACTCCTACAGTTGTCAGTATCCTTTGCTCTGAGACCCAACGCTGTGTATAAGCCGAAAATGCTTTTCAGCATATGTACTAGTCCCGGGTTTCAAAGCAGTCCTCAAGAACAAGCTGTATCACCCCTGGCTGTAGAAGCAAAACACTTGGTTCACTAATCTGTTGCACGCTGGACATGACCATTATGTCTATAGTGGTACGAAAAACGGTACGTGTGTACATGCAATAGGAGTTCTAATGTGAGTGTGTGTGTGTGTGTGTGTGTGTGTGTGTGTGTGTGTGTGTGTGTGTGTGTGTGTGTGTGTGTGTGTGTGTGTGTGCATGCACGTGTGTGTGTGTGTGTGTGTGTGTGTGTGTGTGTGTGTGTGTGTGTGCATGTGCATGTGCATGTGTCTGCACGTGTTTGCTTGTATTTGACCGGTACCTTTACTTACCACAGGCGTAGATACAATTGGTCTCTTTGACATAACACCCGGCAGCGTGCTGAGGTCCACACGTGAGCTCCATACTCAAGCAGGCGGCTCCAACGCGTTATACGTTGTGTCAGTGACTGCAGCAGCCACCGGTGGTGGTAGCGTGGTCACAAACGTGTACACCATTATCGTTGTTGCAAACGATAAAGGTATTCCGTATTTCGTCAACGAAAATTCTCCGGACGGCTACGTTGCGAGTGTGCACGAGGATGCCATCGCTGGAACTGTGGTGCTGAACATTGTTGCACTAGTACCTGGTGGCGGTAAGTGAAGATTGACTGTGTTCTTGGCAACTGATGTAGCAAGATATGTGTGCCCGCAATACATCTGCTCATTTCTAAAATGGATGATTCGCTAATTTGTAGCAACAAATTAATTAAGGGAAAGATGGATGCAGAAAATGGGATTTTTGGCCGGCGACCAATTTGTGGTGGGTCCGATCTACTAGTACTCAGCTCCCACCACTTCAATAGCTGCATTTGCACCTTGGTCCTTGAGGCTGGTGGTGTTCCTGCGGATGCGGAAAACTCGGTCTAGGGGAGGCTCGTGCGGACCGTGAATAAGAGTGAAAAATCGATGAGACGGCTTGAAAATAGATTGTAACATGGAAAAATGTGGGCACAAGTTATGCGGTCGAGTCCACCAACTACAGTGCTGGCAACTGAAATCCGACCCCCTTGGCGGCGCGCCGCCAAGGGGGTCGGATTTCAGTTCCCAGCACTGTACATGTATACTGATCACATACCTTGTGCCCACATTTTTCCATGTTACAATTTTTTCCTTGGCTGACCATTTTTACAGACACTGAACTGACCAGTACAGTGTACAGTGAACTTCGAATTACACTTTGCTACAAGACGAGGTTCGAATTATCAGAAAATTTTATGTGGGAATCGTATTGATAGAAATCGGTCCTGGAAAAACTTCTAATTAAGCGGTATGTTCGAATTAAAAGCCATATTCGAATTATCAGGATTGCACCTGTAATTGCTGTTGAAGAACCTGAAGTATGTCCGCTCCTAAATGTTGTAAAAGTAGATTTCTTAGCTCCTAAGCACCCTATTAAATCTGCATCCACGATGTTGTCTGATGATTGGCACTAGTCATGAGACTCCTGAGTCACGACAGAATAAAGAAACAATTCCTGGCATTGTGAACTTGATTTCTTAGCAATATTATGTTCTTTTCTGATTATCCCTGGTGGAATGCAATGCTAATCGCAGTGAAGAGCTTGTTTTTAGAGTTGGAGAAGTGAAAAGTTATCTATTTCTTGTGTTTTCAGTTTTTTTATTACTTTTTTAGCCCAGGAATAGCTGTGCATGTAGATGACTTTGCTTCTTGAGTCTCTGAGTCATGACTGTTTGCGTTTTGCTTCCCTTCTTTGGTGCATTGACCTTGCACAGCTACCCCGATATTGCGGGTATCGCCACCAAATCCTATCTTCAGTATGTCTGCTCAGTCACTGATTGTTGCAACTGCTAGTATCGACCGTGAGACCAAAGACTTCTACAATCTGACCCTTGAGGCGCAGAACGGGATGGAGTTCAATCGCACTCAGATCTTGATCACCGTCTTGGATGTGAATGACAACACTCCACGCGTTGTGCCAGGGTATGCGGAAGACATGTGTTGTGTTTGGGTCGTGGATGCATTTGACTGAGAAGGATTGCATGCTGCGGAGAATATATAATTGTCCTTGTCATTTACATTATTATGTATAGGCTACTGCTGTTCTTGGTACATATCTGCATGACTCACAGGTGTTGTTTTAGTTTAGTTTGATTGCTTTTTTCTTTTCTACAAACAGGCAATTTGAAAAGAGCGTGCAAACTGCGCGGTGTTTAATTCTCTGCTTCTGTTGGTGCTTTATGCAGCCAGATCTTCTTCTAGGATGTGCTCTGTCCCCGAGACTTGTATGATGACTTGTGTTTACTGAGTGTTTTGAATGCTGTTACTCTGGTTTTGCTGCTGTGCTGCAGGCAACTTGGCTATCTGTACGCACATGACCCACGGGGGTCTGAAGTCATGACCGTTTCGGCTACTGATCGGGACATTGGCGACAACAGTCGACTAAACTTCAGCATAATTTCCAGCCAGGTCCCGGGTGCGTTCAGGATTGACACATTCACTGGAGCAGTGTACACAACCGTGGAAGCCAGCACATTGCCCTCAAATGTTTCCCTAACTATTGGAGTTGCTGACAACGGAGTGCCAAGCAGGAACAGCAGCGATGTTGTTCTTATTGATGTACTGGTGGCAAACAACTCAGCGCCAGAGTTTGTCAATTCATCGTATCGTGCCAATGTGTTTGAGAACACACCAATTTCAACTGTATTGCTAACTGTGAATGCAACCGATCCTGATCCTAATGAAGCTGGCGATGTGCTATACTCGCTATCAGCCGTCCCAACTACTAGCGGTGGCACTGCTATCTTTTCCATTGACCAAGACTCAGGAGCCATCTCTCTTGACGTGACAGTCGACTTTGAGAGTCAACAGATGTATCAATTCAACGTCACCGCTACAGATCGACATCGCCGAAAGCCCCTTTCTGCCATGACTACTGTTGATATCACAGTAAAGGATCGCAATGACAATTCGCCTGTTGCAGTGCCTAGCAGCTATCAAATACAAGTGGGAGAGGACGCAAGCACCAACCAGCTGGTTGTCGACTTGGGTATGGCTGTAACAGACAGAGACTCTGGAGTCAACAAAGATATTCTTTTCCACTTCTATGAACCCATTGACCCCCTGTTCAGTATGGACTCACTGTCAGGTATCATCACCGTCAATCGGACTCTCTCCAGTAAAACGCAGCCTGTTCATGTCCTGTGGGTATATGCTGAAGATGGCGGTGTTCCACCTCGTCGTGCCAATATCACTGTCACTGTAACTGTTCAGGAAGTGAATGATTTTGTCCCACAGATCAACATCGGGTCATCCATTGACATGTTTGAGACCAATGGCACGACTGTGGGACTGCCATTCTTGCAGATCAATATCACCGATGGAGACGGTGGCCCATCTGGCAATGTTTCAATGTCAGTAGATGACGGCGGGCTGGGTCTGTTCGCAGTGCAACCATACCAACATGGCCTCTATTACACACGACCACTGGATTACGAGGTGAGATCATGTACACAAGGTCGCCAATATGTCATCCCCCCCCCCCGATATTGCGGCATGGTACGTATGTGCACATGTCATTAATCCTGGTAATCGCAGGCCTTCCCTACTTGCTTTGCACTGCACTCATCACCAGTGTGGAAACATGCCTTCAGTAAATTACTTATCTCATGCAAAAGAAAGATTATTGGTAATAATCAAATGTCAATGATTGTGTTTCTGCTTGGTGCTCAGTCTGCCCATGTTCGCTCGTGGGTTATTACCCTGACTGCCACCGACGCTGGCATACCAGCAAAGAGCAGCAGCAAGAACGTGACCATCAATCTACTGGACTGGAATGAGTATGCACCGGTGTTCACCAGTCCCGAGTACATTGGCGGCGTGGACCTGTCCACCACTACGCCAGCAGGCACAGCACTCGTGCAAGTGTCCGCCACTGATGCCGATGGTCTGTACAACGCTGTGCGCTATGCAATCACTGCTGGCCAGAACAACACGGAGTTTGTCATCGACCCAGCCACCGGTGTGATAGCCAACGGCGGATTTGACATTCTCGTGGTATGTATACCTCGTATGTGTGTACCTTGAAACGTGAGCCTTACCAGCAGAGAACTTGTGGGCCATGCTAGTGTCTAACTAGTCGGCATGATTCACCTTGGAAGTGTACTCCAGAGATGGATTTACGAATTGTGCTAATTTTGTTACACATGTGCAGTGGGAGATCATGCACTGGTTGGGAACTTCTTTCCCATATTCAGCTCTGCATGACATTGCTGACTTGAAACTGCCGCTGTGCTTTCCTATAATCGTCACAGACAAAGAACTTCACGTTGACAGTCTCCGCTACTGATAACGGCATCCCATTTGAGCGCAACAGTTCCGTTGAGGTCACGATCAGGGTGCTGCGAAGTGAGAATGTAAACAACCCGGTGTTTGTGGCAGCCATCTTCAACATCTCCATCAACGAGACCGCACCAATCGGCACTGAGGTCGTACAGGTCAACGCCACTGACAAGGACCGCGGTGCTGCCGGTATGGTCTACTTTGTGCAGCAGACTGCCCTGTCAGAGTTTGCGGTGGACGCCAACACGGGCATTGTATCTACAAAGTGAGTACATGTACATGTACTTAGAGCACCTGTGCATGGTTAGTATAGGGACTCCTTTCGCTTCAAAATTATCCGTTTTACAGCAATAAATTACCGATCATCTGGTGCAATTCTTGGTGATGTGTTGTAAAGTTTGTTATGCAGATTAGCAGCAGTGCAGATACCAGTCCTCCTTTGCCAGTGTTGTGCTTTGCTGACACGGCTTACCTTGCTGCACTGTGCTTTGAGCTAGGGGCGCAGGGTTCTGTTCTAAATGACGTGGCGCGTGTGGCTCTGTACTGCTGCAGGGTTATCTTCGACTATGACGCTGGCCCGCGAGTCTACTATATCATCATTCAGGCCCGGGATCAAGGAAATTTCCGTGCACGGACGTCGCCCATTCCTGCGTCGATTGAAGTCCACATCATCAACAACAATGACCATGCTCCTCAGTTTTTGTTAGCTCCTTATAGTAAGTTTTATGCTGGCCTTGTAAGGCCAAGAGCGATATTACTTGATTACTGACTTTTTGTTTTACTTGCTGGATTCAATATCCTTTTCAGTATGTACATTGTGTGAAATATTCATAATTCATCATTTATTCCTTTAGTTTGAGAAGTTGAGATGGGAGAGGTCGGGAGAAAAGTTGACGATCACCATCAGGACTCGAACCAGGGACCTTTGCTATATGCCAGCGATGGTCTACCACCAAGCTAGGGTGTTGTCGGCAGCCCAGCAGAGACCATTAGACATTAATTTTTCCTCAGCCCAATTACATCATTTGTTGATGTTTTTCGGGATTGTTGCGTAGTTGCGTAGTTGCGTACTTTAAGGTTGGCCTCGTGTGGTGGCATGCATGAGAATATTTTTTTTCCCCTGCCTTTCCTTGCCCATCAGGTGGTACTGTACGAGAAAATTCACCCGTCAATTTCACCCTGCCAACCAGGGTACTTGCAACTGACAGCGACGGCCCAGGACATCCCTCAGGTGTAGTGCGCTACTCAATAGCAAGTAATCCTGGCAGTACAGACTTCAGAATTAATCCTGTGACTGGTGAATTGTCGGTTGACCAGAGCTTGGATTTTGAAAGACAGTAAGTCTAGCCTTGTGCTTCTGCAACCTGTTTTGAGTGTTTCCTCTGGAGCATTTTGCCGCGCATCTGTATGACTACATTGTAGTTTGCGTCACTGGTCTTTAGGTTTCCGCTCCTCGGTTTGTCTGCTTCTAGCGATGCATCCAATGTGTATTGGAGTGTGTTTTGTTCTGGCCCCGGTGCTTCTGTGAGCCTCTGTGAGCCTGTGAGCCTTGCTGTGTGCTGGCAAGCTGCACTCCTAAGCCGAGAAAGCTGAGACGGTCCAGTTGATCTTGCTCGTGTTTAGCGTCCTTTCCCCACAATGTCAGATGCTGTATACGTTGGCCATGACCTTTGCTGCCCCTGCCCAGGAAACTGTACTCACTGACGATAGTGGCAACCGATGGTGCATCTACCCCTATGGATGCAACGGCCAGCTACATCATTACCGTGGAGGATGTTAACGACAATGCACCCATATTCTATGCGCCACTGGACAAGTCCGTTGTACTGAACGAGGAGGAGCCCGCTGGCTATGTGCTCACCACGGTGTATGCCAATGACACAGACTCAGGCCTGAATGGCAGGGTACGTACACGACTATAGATGTCTTCTGCATAACCTCCGTCATTGGCCACCAGTGTGAGCTGCAGTATCTCAAGTTTCTTTCAATTCAATAATGTAGCTTGAAAACACATCCACCCAATGCACTCCACCACAGGCTCTCAGCTGCACCAACACATAAAAAAGGCAGCTAATATTTTTGCTCATCTGGACATCATCGGGGCATTCCTAGAAGATGTTTTCAAGTGTAAAGAACGCGTTGCAATGGAGCTAAAGAGTTCTGGAGGAATATATTTACCTCTCTATCCGAGATTAGCTAGCTTGAAATTGAAGAGAAGTGGTTGGGTTAGTTTGAGATTAGCTAGCTTGAAATTGAAGAGAAGTGGTTGGGTTAGTTTGTCCATACAAGTACTAAGTGTACTCACCTATACACATTGCTTCACAATGGAGCACACCATGGTAATATAGGTCTATTGCCATTTTTACTCAACTGCAACTGCAGCAACGAATCAGCACAGAAGCAAAGTCGACTCTTCACTGTATGCATTGCACGGTGGACGGTGGCTTTGTCGATTTTGAAAGAGGGCAGCTAAAAATGAAAGGGAACGCGGCACCATGCTATGTCGCTTTGGCTTCAACCCTGACTATGTTAGGGCTGTGCTGCTTGTAGGTCCCTGCTGAATAGCTTGCTGCGAAATAGTGCTCCCTGTAGATTCCCTCTGCATGTGTGTTGTGTGCTTCATGCATTGTTTGCACAGGCAACATACAGCGTGGATGCCAAACTGTTCAATGTTTTTGCGGTGGGCGCCACAACTGGCGTAGTGACAACGGCAGTCCCATTGGATCGTGAGAGTGGCCCGAGCTTCTACAACCTGACCGTATTTGCCCGCGACAGCGGCTCTCCGCAAATAGGAGCCATGATCTTCATCGAAATTACCGTTGTGGACATTAACGATGTTAGTCCGAAGTTCTCTCAGAGCTCCTATGATGCACGCATCCCAGAGGATCTACCAGACGGTACGCTTGTGGGACAGGTAACAGCAACTGATGGAGATGCCGACCCTGCCAATACAATCATCGTCTATTCGATTGCTGGTGGTTCTGGCATGAACCTATTCACCGTCAATGCTAGCAGCGGCGAAATCTTTAAGCAGGGAGTTCTAGACTTTGAGAGAGTTAAGAATTACACGATTGTGATCAATGCCACGAACGGTATGCTTGTGGACCAAGCCAATGTTGTTATTCAGCTGCTGGACGTTAATGATAACTTCCCGTACTTCAACCAGTCTCAGTATCATGCATCTGTGTCGGAGCTTGCCACGGTCGGCACACGCCTTGTGCAGCTGTACGTGCTCGATCCCGACACGCTAGTCGACAGGATTGGTGTGAGCTACACGCTGACAACCTCCGGGGTGCCATTCGCCGTGGGGCTCGAATCCGGTGTTGTCACCGTCAACGGCAAGCTGGACTATGATGAGGGTGCAATAGTGTACTCGCTCTCCGTCAGCTGTCACCCGCGCAACAACCTCCCTATCACCTACAACACTACCACGGTGACGATTTCCCTGCTGCCGGAGAATGACCACTCTCCAATCATTCAACCCAACTATCTGATATACAGTATTCTTGAGAATCAGCCAGCAACTACCATAGTGCAGTATAATCTTACAGATGGGGACCGCCCGCCCCAGAACGTCACTTACAAGATAGTGTCCTCCATTAGTGTTGGTGTGCCAAAGTCCACCCTGGATGCATCATTCAGCCTAACTGAAACCACAGGTGTTCTATCCACCACTGGCCCGCTGGATCGAGAAGTGTTCAGGGGAACGACCTACCTGACCGTGCAAGTCATTGATGATAGTGCAGAGAAGAAGACTGGTGGTGCTGCTGTGCAAATTACCGTCACTGATCTTCATGACGTTGCTCCTGAGTTTACAAAAGCAACCTATTACTTCTCTGTCAATGAAAATGCCAGTCCTTTGGACTTAATTGGGTTCGTCGATGCTACCGACGAGGATCTCTCTGCCACTTGGACATTCAGTATAGCTGACCCCAGTGCCAGTGCATATTTCGCAGTTGGTAAATACAACGGTCGTGTCACACTTACAAATGTGCTCAATCGTGAAATGGCAGACAGCTGGGTTTTCAATGTCAGTGCGACAGATAATAGTGGCCTGTTTTCCACTGCCGTTGTCAACATCACTGTATTGGACTACAATGACCTGCATCCAATGTTTGTCAATGCGAGCCAGTACTGGGCATTGGTGCCGGAAGATTCCTCCGTTAACGTTCCAATTGGCATTCAGCTTCGAGCAGTTGATGGTGATATTGGTCCGAATGCTCAGTTCAGGTTTTCTATCTCAGGTGGGGTAGGCCTAGGCGATTTCTCTGTCGACCCTGTCTCTGGCATAATGTCAGTGCAGGGTAGTCTGGATCGTGAGAACCAAGCGTTCTACTACCTTCAAGTGACAGTGACTGATCTTGGTGTTCCAGCTCTGAACACCTCCACCACGGTCAATATTACAATAGTCGATCGTAATGACAACACTCCCACGATGAACCAGACAGCCTACTTTGGCTACATCAATGAAAACTCCGGGCTGGGTACACCAGTGTCATTAGATGCTGCCAAGAGCTTGGTAGTAGCAGCATGGGACAGTGATCAGTTGGGCAACCCAAACAGTGACCTTCGCTTTCAGATTGACTCGCCGCTGCCAGTGCCATTCGACGTGAACAGCACCACCGGCTTGATCTACGCCGTCGGTCTCCTGGACCGTGAAGCACATCCTAGCCCGTATGTCTTCCTAGTCAGAGCCAGTGATTTGGCTGGCACCGGCCGGGTCAGCAGTCCTGCTAGTGTCAACATAAGCCTTGTCGATACCGATGACAGTGGGCCAGTGTTTAGTCAGCCGTCCTACGCCGGTTCTGTAATCGAGTCAGCGCTCAATGCGACCAGCATCTTGCAGGTTTCAACTAGCGATGCTGATCTTGGCAGCAACCGAGACGTCACCTATCGCATTATTGATGGAAACGTCAATGGAGTGTTTGCTGTGAATGCACTCACTGGAATTATTTCCAAATCAGGACTCCTTGATTTTGAGACTATCAATGAATACTTGCTAACCATAGAAGCTGTGGATACTAACAACATTCTGCTGACTGCCACGGTCAATGTCACAATCACTGTCACTGACTTCAATGATGAAAAGCCTACGTTCTACCCAAACAACGCTTACGCAATGGCCATTAGTGAAACCAACAACACGGATAAGTTTATCATAACGGTCTTTGCCAATGATACAGATTCAGCAGGCAGTGTCAATGCACGGATTTCGTACTCACTCATTGACTCTTTCAATGGAACGTTCAAGCTGGATCCAGTCACCGGTGCCTTGCGCACTGCCAAAACAATTGACTACGAGGCCTTGCCCAGCACTCAGAAGTTCTTTGTAGTGCGCCTGAAGGCCACCGATCGGGGTGCGATCAGTCTGGAGACAGAAGCTACAGTGACCGTGAGCATCTTGGATGTGAACGACAACTACCCTATCTTTGCCCATCCAGCGTACAGTGTCAGCATTCACGAGAACCTCATGCCTGGCATGAGCGTTCTGACAGTGTCAGCTAGCGACAGAGACAGTGGGACGAACAGTCTGCTAGAGTTCTCTTTGGACTCGGCGGGAAACACGGGCGACACGTTCAACATGGACAGCGCCACTGGCGAACTGATGCTGAACAAGTCCCTCAACTTTGAGGCGACGAAAGTGTTTTCGTTGACTGCACGTGCAACTGACCAGGGCAACCCGCAGTACCACAGTGTGGTGGCTATTACTATCACTGTACTGGATGTGAATGACAACAGGCCCACATTTGCTGTTGACACTTACTCAGCCGTACTGCCGGAGAGCACAGCTGCTGGCACGTCAATTCTCACCGTGTACGCAACCGATGCGGATAGTGGCAACTTCAGTTCAATAGCGTACATCCTGCGTGACACCTTTGGCGGGCTCTTTGTTATGGATGCCGACACAGGTGAATTGAGCTTGGGTGCAACGTTGGACTATGATGCGCCCCCAACAGCATACACGCTGACCGCTGTGGCACAGGACCACATGGGCCTTGGATTTGGCTTTCAGGAGGGTACTGCCAACATCAGCATTACGGTGACCGACTCCAACGACCTACCGCCGCGCTTTACAATGTCCCTGTACAGCAGTGAGATAGCGGCGAATTCAAGCACAGGCACAACTGTGTACTCGTTTGGACCAGTTGTGAGCGATGCTGACACAGCTCCGAGCAACAAGCAGCTGTCCTACACTTTGCTACTGGCTGGGTCACTTGGCCGATTCCAAATAAACCCGCTCTCGGGGGAAGTGTACACGTTGGATCAATTGAATCTTGATAGCCGTGACTTTTACAATCTCACAGTTGAGGTAACGGATGGTGTGCATACGGCCTCGGCCAACCTAGAGATCTACATTGACGTGCGCCCTGTCTTTAGCGACTCAGCTTACTCTGCCACCATCCCTGAAGATTATGCTGTGGGCAGAACCATATTGAATGTTTCAGCAACAGAGGAATCATGGGACACTGGCTTGGGAGCTTCTGTCATAATGTACTATCTCACGAGCGGTAATGACCTGGGCCTTTTTGCTCTCAGCGCTAATAGCGGCGCTCTGACCGTTGCTAAGGCACTCAACTTTGAGCACATGCAGCAGTTCACTCTGTACGCCCACGCCGTGGATTCCGATGGGCGCAGGTCCGATCCCGCCCCTCTCACTATCAGGATAACCAATGTGAACGAGTTTGCTCCAGTGTATGGTCCCGTTGGATTTCCCAGCGTTGTGTTTGTAGCTGCCACACCGGCCTCTCTTGCCACCTACTCAATTGATGTGCGTGAGGATGCCCTGCACCCACGCAAGATTGCGGAGGTAGCAGCTTCTGACAATGACACTGCTGCCACTGCCATCTCGCACTTCACCATAGTTGCTGGCAATGAAGAGGGCAAGTTCTACGTCCTGGGCAGTGACCTATTCCTCAATGCCTCGCTGGACTATGAAAGAAGAAAGGTTTACAATCTGACCATTGCGGCATCGGATCGCAGTGCCACTAATCCACTCGTTACACATGCGTCCTTGTTTGTCAATGTCCTGGATGACAATGACAACGCACCAGTCTTCACGCAGCCAGACTACCGGGCATCTCTTCTGGAGGAAATCAACGAAACACTCATCACTATCATCAGTGCAACAGATCGGGATTCCACTAGCAATGGAGAGATTGTGTACAGCTTCATCGGCAGCAGGTATGGTGGCTTGTTCACCATTGACAATAAGACTGCTGTTGTTACCGTTGGTCGCTTGGACAGAGAGCTCAATGCAGGGCCATACACGCTTGTTGTGCAGGCTACTGATGAAGCCAGTGGTGATGAAAAATCCAGCACTGCTGATCTGATTGTGTCTGTTGTGGACGCTAATGATAACAGTCCCCGGTTCTCCTCTTTCCCGACACAAGTCATTGTTTTCTCCGAGCAGTCACCAGCTGGTCATGTTTTGGCGCGTCTATCAGCAACAGACCGTGATGAGGGTGTCAACAGTATTGTACTGTTCTCGATTGCCAGTGTGGCTCCCCCGTCAGCAATGTCTTACTTTGAAGTGAATGAGACCACCGGTGTGCTGCAGCTGATCCGCGCACTGGACTTTGATCTGGTCGGTGCAGAGCACAGCTTCAACGTCACTGTACAGGCCACCGATAGTGGGGCGGTGTCACTGAGCAGTTCAGGCATCATTCGCCTGCGGCTCAGCGACAGCAATGACAACCGCCCTTTCTTCAACCAGTCCGTGTACACGCAAAGCATCTGCGAGAACACAGGCGCAGGTACGAGCGTTCTTCAGGTTGCAGCCAGCGATGCGGACAGCAGCCTGCACGATGCATTCACGTATCAACTTGTGTCTGGTAACACCAATGGAGCATTCGAGCTGCACGAACTTAGTGGTTGGCTGGTCTTGACTGGTGCCCTGGACCGCGAGGTTCTAGACCAGTATGTGATGGTGGTGCGTGCACGGGGCACCAGCAATGCCGACAGTACCAACGCCACCATCAGCATTCAGGTGCTTGATGCCAATGACGTCAAACCAACCTTCCAGATGTCCACCTACAGTGTCCGCGTGAGCGAGAGTTCACCTGTCGGCTCTACTGTTCTGACTGTTGTGGCAACAGAGGGAGCCAGTGCCGACCTGCAGCAGTTTGGTAGTATCACCTACGACCTAGGGAATGGCACGGATGCATCGCTGGGTGACTTCAGCATCGACTCGCTGTCGGGAAACATCTCCGTTGCAAAGGGCATTGACTTTGAAACAAAGCCTTCTTACGTGCTGACCGTGATTGCGCAGGATAACTTCGTGTCCAGTTCCGTGACGTGTGGCGGTGGGCAGCTATCCAGCACTGCCACCGTGTCAATTACCGTTGTGAATGACAATGACCATGCGCCAGCATTTGGGCTGGACTCGTACCAGTTCCGGGTGGCGGAGAACTCGCCAGCGCGCACCACTGTCGGAAGCGTGAATGCAACGGACCTTGACGTTGGCGACACTGCTAAAATTACGTTTGCCATCGTCTCCGGTGCCGACAATAGATTCACTGTCAACCCCAACAGCGGGCTGATATCAAGCGCTGGAAGCCTCGACTATGAGATGCAGAATGTATACTCTCTCAACGTATCTGCCAGTGATAACAACAGCCCAGTGAAAGTGACCTATGTCACTGTCACGGTCTTCATCGACGATCTCAACGACAATGCGCCGTACTTCATTGGCGCACCGTACAAAGAGGAAGTATCAGAAGACACAGCGATCAACACTACCGTCCTGGACATGAACTCCACCGATGGTGACATTGACAGAGCTTACAATCCGATCTACAGCATATCGCTCACGTTGCCGCCCATGTGCTCCGGTCTCTACGCTCTGGACGCATCCACTGGCAGCTTCAGAGTAGCAGCCCAGCTGGACTTTGAGAACTTCTTTGTGCGCTCGTGCAGTTATGTTGTGGTCGTGTCGGATGGTGAGGGTTTGACCAGTGGTGGTGCTGATACAGTCACATTCATCATCACCAATGCCAATGACCATGCGCCGATTTTCAGCCCGGACTTTGCCGATAGGAGCATTCCAGAGGACTCCCGCGCCGGGCGCAGTGTGCTGACAGTTTTCGCCACCGACTCTGATCCTGGAGACACACTGGGATACGTGATTAATCCACCGCACATGCGCTCCTACTTCCAGGTCAGCAACCTTACGGGCGTTGTCAGTGTGGCGGATAATGATCTCTTTGACTACGAGAACGCATCTGCCCGCGTGCTGAGCTTCGAAGTTGTGGCTACTGACAGTCATGATGAGCCAAAGGAGGATATCATGATGGTCACCATCAAAATTCTGTAAGTACATGTACAGTACTGGCATAGTGCACTAGGTAGAGTCTAAGACCAGTTAGTCCAGTGCTGTGCTGTCCGCTCTTAGCATGGACATGTTCATGTGTGTAATGATCTCTCGCCATGTACGATTCTTGCTTCAACAAAAATAATAGCAATGGTTTTCAATTCTTATCTTCCTACGTGTGAATGAAGGAAAGTAGGAGTATGCTCTGCTATATTTGTAATGTGTATAAAATGTAGTGCCTTCAAATGCCTTCCTGCTACATGTAGGTTTCATGGGCATAACCTCAGGTATGATTTCATGCTGTACTCCACTCGGTACTTTACCGTGTTTTCCTGGGTGCTAGCTGCACTTTAACATGCATGTTTTGTAGCTCAAAACTCACCTGTAGCTTAAAAACTCCGAATGCTGGATGCAAATTGACCAGCGCTACAGCACCCGGGTCGTACCCTGACACCACCAATCCCTGTTCTGCAACTTGCCCTCACCCACTTGCTTTGGTGTGGTGGAGCCCCAAGTGGGATCATAATTTTAAGTCCACCTGTACATGGAGATTTGGGATTGTCAGCCTTTTGGGCAATTTAATAGCGAATTGAGTAATCTTTGCGAGATTTCTTCTGCAACTCTCTTCCCTCTTCCGGGGAAGGCACACATGATCAGTTTCGGGCAGTGAGGAAGTACAACTGCAACTACATGTACAATACTAGTAAAAGAGCACAGATGAGTTATGGCGTTGTGGTAGTTGGTTTCCTTCTAGCAATTCTTGCATGTCTTCATTCTGGTGTGGTGCTGTAGGGATGTCAATGACAACGATCCGTATTTCATTCCAGTCGCAAACGACTCAGTAACGTTACCAGAGGACACACCAAAAGATTCGGTCATTGACACACTGGTCGGCGCTGATCCAGACTCGGCTGCTCTGACCGTAATCACCTATAGCCTGCTGAAGAACAGTGAGGGATTCACCTCTTATGGCATCTTCGACTTAGACGTAGACAGCGGTGACATCAAACTGCTCCGTCGCTTGGACAGGGAATTCCGACACAACTACACTCTACGTGTGCAGATTTCTGATGGCATGGGTCGTACAGCCGTGAAGTTTGTGTTCGTGATTACCACCGATGTGAATGATCATTCGCCAGTGTTCAGCAGTTCTGTCTACCGTGCTAGTGTCAGTGAAGATGCCTCGCCAGACACAAGCATCACCACGGTGTTTGCGTCGGATAAGGACGTGACTGGCTTCTCAATAACGTACGGTTTTGCACGTGGCAACGAGGACAGGCTGTTCGATATCAATTCCACCACAGGCGTTGTGTCACGATCCGATGAAAACACGCTCGACTTTGAAATGCAGTCAACGTACGTGGTAATACTGGTGGCTGAAGACTCTGCCTCTATTGGGGGACTTCGCAATGGCACTGCAGAGTTGCTGATCACCGTTCTAGATGCCAATGACAATGCCCCTGTGTTTGTGGCTATGCAGTATAGTGTTGCCATCTTGGAACATGACTCGGGCGATGTGGCCGCTCTGAAGGTGACGGCAACTGATGACGACTCCGGCACTAACGCTCAGCTTGTGTACAGTATCATTGGCGGTAGCGGTGCGGACAATTTCACCATCAACAACGCGACTGGTGATATCGTCTCGCCGCCTGTTCTCGACTACGAGACTGATCATGAGCTCAATTTGACAGTTCAAGTGTCAGACCTTGGCGTCCCGCCGCTCACTGACGAAACAACTGTTCTGGTAACTATCCGTGACAAAAACGACAACAAGCCTGTTTTCGTCAACGAACCATACACTGCATCAATCAGCGAGGCAGCTGCGAGTGGTGCTGTGGTCATCAACACTATTTCTGCAACCGATGCTGACAGCACAACCAACCAAAATATTCTTTTCAGCATATTGACCGGTAATGAAGATGGCCACTTCCAGATAGTTCCAGCAACTGGTGCCATCATAGTTAACGGATCCGATCTGAACATCCTGACTAAACGTTTCTACAAGTTGACAATTGAAGCTCGAGATGGGGGATCTCCAGCCCAGAGTTCGTTCGCATTCGTTGAGATTACCATACTGGATGCTAACAATCACGTACCGGTGTTCTCTCAGAACGTCTACACTGCCAACATCAGCGAACTCTCCAGCAATGACTTGGTTGTGCTGACCGTAACGGCCACGGACCGCGATGAAGCCGAGTCAGGCAACGTCACGTACAGTCTGACTGGCACTCGCTCAGCCGACTTCAGCATAGACCCCGTCACTGGTGTTCTCACACTACGCAACGCCAGCAACCTAGACTACGATGCCAATGTCGCCGATCGTGTTTACTCATTTGACGTTGTGGCTGCTGACCAGGGCGTCTCGCCAGTACCCGTCGTGGCAGACATCATCATCTTTCTGTTCAATGAGAATGACAACACACCGATGTTTACCTCTCTGGTCACAGAGCTGACCATTACAGAGAAAGAGCCAGTCAACTCCAACCTGACGCAGGTGCTGGCTACTGATGCCGATCCTGGCGATAACGCTAAGCTACGCTATGCCATCGTAGCTGGTAATGCAGAGAGGAAGTTTGAGATGAATCCTGTCACCGGAGAGCTTGTTTTGGTGGCCACTGTCGACTTCGAAGTCACCGCATTCTACAACCTGACTGTCTCTGTGGCTGATGCTGGAACTCCCGTGCGAAGCAGTATGAAGTCGATTCTCATTACCATTGTAAGTATGCAAGCTACTGGTGATTGCAAGTTCAGTGTTTAAACAACATATTCATATTACTTATCTGCTGCAAGATACTTGAGGTGGATGTGCTTGTACTCCGAAGTATGTACACGTTCTGAATCTCACAATGGCACTGCTGTACTGCAGGATTCTGAATGTCACAATGGCACTGCTGTACTGCAGGATTCTGAATGTCACAATGGCACTGCTGTACTGCAGGATACTGAATGTCAAAATGGCACTGCTGTACTGCAGGATTCTGAATGTCACAATGGCACTGCTGTACTGCAGGATTCTGAATGTCACAATGGCACTGCTGTACTGCAGGATACTGAATGTCACAATGGCACTGCTGTACTGCAGGATTCTGAATGTCACAATGGCACTGCTGTACTGCAGGATTCTGAATGTCACAATGGCACTGCTGTACTGCAGGATTCTGAATGTCACAATGGCACTGCTGTACTGCAGGATTCTGAATGTCACAATGGCACTGCTGTACTGCAGGATTCTGAATCTCACAATGGCACTGCTGTACTGCAGGATTCTGAATGTCACAATGGCACTGCTGTACTGCAGGATACTGCAGAATGGCTGATTACAGTGATGTTATTTGATGGGTTTGCGGCAGTCACTGAGTGAGCACCAGTGACCGCTTCCATGGTTCCAATCTGATATTCTCTGTTATTTGTTCGTGTGGGTGTTTGTGTTCGCGTGTGCATGTGTGTGTGTCTGTGTCTGTGTGTCTGTGTCTGTGTTGCGTGTGTGCGTATGTGTGTGTGTCCATGTATATCTGCTCATTCTGCAGGCTGACTCCAACGATCACGTTCCCATGTTTGTTGGCACTCCGTATCGGCAAAGCGTGGCAGAAAACACACCCGCTGGTACGTCGTTGTTCGAGGTCAACTCCACCGATGTCGACACGCAGACTGACTACGGCATTGTTCGCTACTCGTTTGACAGTTCAACTGAGATGCGCTTTGGTAGGACATTTGACATCAATGCCATGACAGGTGTTGTGAGTCTGGCCAGCACTCTGGATCGCGAGAACGTCTCATTCTACTTGCTTACTATCGTAGCCAGTGATAACCAGTTCAACAACACACCGGCTGATTCTACTCAGCTGTCCGCGACTACATCTCTTAGCCTGACTATTACCGATATCAATGACAATGCTCCCGAGTTCAGTGGTGCCTATGCAGACAAGAGTATTGCCGAGCACAGAGAGTTCAGCACATTTGTGGCTGAAGTGGCCGCCACAGACAGGGACGTTGGCAACAATTCTCGCATCAAGTTCTCAGTCAGTGGCGGTGATCAGAAGTTTATTGTCAATACCTACTTGAATAGCAACGGAGTGTATATCGGTCGCGTCCTGACAGTGCCACCTCTGGACTATGAAAAGAAGAGCGAGTTTGACCTGGTCATCACTGCTACTGATTCTGGTGACCCGGCACAGTCTACGAGTACAACCTTCAAGGTGTTCTTAATCGATAACAACGACAATGCACCAGTGTTCAACCGCAGCTCCTACGCCGTTGACGTGTACGAGAACACGGTGAACGCATCGTTTGTCATCCAGGTGCACGCCCGGGACACGGACAGCGGACCTGCTGGCACTGTGCGATACTCCATCGCTGCTGACGACGGCAAGTTCGCAATCGACTCGGTCACTGGCATCATTACTACCACTGCTAGCCCTCTTGATCGTGAAAGTAAGGACAGCTACGCGCTGCAGGTCACAGCGTTTGACTTATCAAATCAGTCCTTTGCCACCACCACTACAGTTCAGGTCACTGTCCTGGATCGCAACGATGGGACTCCAGTCTTCAACTCCCTGGAGTACACCGTGGATGTGCCAGAGACGCTGCTCCCTGGTGCCACGGTACTGCAGCTCTTTGCACAGGACGCGGATATTGTTGAGAACGGCAACTTCACCTTCAGCTTGGTGTCAGCGACTGGCGGAGGCTGGTTTGTCATCGACCCGGACACTGGCATGGTTTCCGTCTCAACTCAAACACCCGTCTCACCATTCCCCCTGCCCCTGTGTATCAACGACACACGACAGAGCAAGCGCTACAGTATCACGGTCTTTGTTACGGACACCGGGTCCCCGCCGCTGGAAAGCAATGCAACCTTGATTGTGACTGTCAATGATATCAATGACTTCACACCGGAGTTTGAACGTCCGTCTTACATCTCCCGACTGGACAAGAACGCGCCAAGTGGCACTGTTGTTGTCCCCTCGCTGTTTGCTACAGATAAGGACAGGTGCGGTGGTAACTTGACATACAAGCTGATCAGCGGCAGTACAGACCTGTTCACTGTACATCCGATAACCGGACGCACCACGCTAGCACGCAACTTGCCCACCAACAACACCTACTTCCTGACAGTGGGTGCCGAGGACTCGCTCTCTCCGTTCACCAAGATCAGGACCGGTACTGTGCGGCTCACGGTGCTAGTAGGCAGACTCCTACCGGTGGTGCTCACTGTCGCTGGACCTCAGTCCTTTGCTGTCCCCGAGCTTGGCCGTTCAGCTGCATTAGAGTATGTTCATGACACGTGGGTGTACGATGGCGGCTCTACCACCACCCAAGCCTCGGCCTCCTACAATCTGTTGGACTTCACGGTAATAAGCCGGGGCCAGACGTCAGCTGCTGCAGCTACCACTGTCGGTGCAAGTTTGGGCGATCGTGACATTTGGCCCGAGGTCCCAATGGTTAGAGTCGGCATACATGTGCGCGGAGATGCTCATCGTAGCAACAATCTCCTCAACTCTGCGGTGACCGTCACCATCACACCAGCCTTCTCGGGCGCGTCAGCCGTTCAATCCATGTGCACGCCACAGACATCATCTGGTACTTGCCTGGACTCAATCCGCCTGCCCAGCGCCTGGTTTATAGCGGGCAGTGCTGAGCCGCTATCTCGCAATGCCACTGTAACCTATCAGCTGACCACCAGCAGCGCTTCACCTCAGAGTCTTGGAACGGTCTTCATCCACCGCACGCCCAATCCGTGCACAGTTGCTTCTGGTGTTCTGGCGGTCTTCCCGTCTGCCAACAACTTACCCGGCGGACCTGAAGGAAGTCTGGCTGAGGTTAAGTTTTATGGCAATGCGGTCTTCCCTGTGTCCACATTCACTATTACCGTATCCCTGGGTAGTAGCTTGACGTTCGTACGCAGCTCAAGCCAGGACTTCACTGTCTCCAGCACTGTAGAGCAATCTAAGCTGGTCATCATTGGCCTAGTGAAAACACCCAGCACTGATCCTAAGCCAGTCACAGGCCAGGAGTCACTCTTCAGCATATTCTTGCGTGTCAAGTCCGGCGTCACGCCAGCGGCTGGCTACTTGCCAGTGACGTACACTGTCAACTTCCTGTCCAACGCCAACAAAGAACGCATCACAACACCCGATGTTCTGTATGCATCTCGTGACGAACTTGGCAACTGCAATGACACCAGTGGTCTGATCTACGTCCTGCAGAATGACCTCCTATTCCTTGTCCCCTACACCAGCGAGTCAGTCATCATGAACTCTGCTGTCTGGGATGACGTTACAGTCAGATCTAGCCTGTTCGTGAGGGGTATGTATCGCAGTGGCACACGGACTGTGGAGACATCTGGACTTGCCTGTGCTTCAAGCAACCCATCCGCGCTACAGCTGACCGGCTGCTCATCTGCGTTTGTGGATGGTACCGAGAGTGCAGGTGCTAGCATGGCACAGATCACCATCGCCAAGGCTGGTAAAACCAGCTCGGTGCCATTCCGCGTCTGGTTTCCAGATCAAATAACCATATATGTTGAAGACCCGGCTTTGGATCGCATCAGCAAGCTCTCTAAGCAAACTGGAACAACCTGCTTGCCGTCGTATCAGAGCTCACCAGTACGCATTGAATGCTCGGTTGCACTTGAAGGCGGCACGAGTCGGCAGCAAATTATCATAACCCGCCATGTACGCTCTACTATCCAGTCGTCTGACTCCAGCACAGCTGTACTAAAGTGGACAGGAGACTCACTACGTGTTGAAGGTGTTGCTGCTGGCAGCGCAAACTTGCAGCTAGTTGCTGGAAGCCGCACAGTAGCAACGAAGCTTGTGACGGTCGGTGCTTCCATTGTCAACGCCACGGACATTCACTTTGAACTAGTGACTGGCTTGAACATGTCGCTAATTGCCGGCGGTGTTGCTGGCAAGCCGTTCTACCAGACCACGCGCGTGACGGTTCAGAGGGAGGTTGGCTACGTAGGCGCACCTGCCACCGTTGTTGCCAGCGCTGTGCTGAGTGATGGATTCCAGCAGCACCTCTTGCCCAGTGATGGGCTGACGATGACGTCTCTGAACACCAGCGTATTGAGTGTGCTGGGCAACAAGGTCACTCTGCACCAGTCAGGACGTGGACTGCTGCTGTCAGGTGCTTGGCGCGACAGCTGCACTAACCAGGAGTTGATCTCGTCCAGTGCGTTGTACGACTTCTCGCTCGATGAGCCCGAGAGCTTGCGCTTCACCTTTGGAAAGGCTGAGCTAGTTTCTCCAGGCGATTCATCTATCTACGCTCCGACTGGTGACTTCACGGACAACACTTGGTACAAGGCAGAGTATGTCTACCGCTCCGGTGCACTGGTCGTGGATGTGACAAACGATTCTCGCTTGCTCATTGCAACCGACAGCAGCACAGTGCTACTCAATGGAACAAATGGCATCTTGAGAACTGTAAACCCAGGCCAGAGCGGCACAGTCAATGTCACCGCATATCTTTCCGATCGTCCAACGATTAGATCCGCCCCACGCGTAGTGAATGTCGGCACCACAACTGGCTACAACATCAGCTTCCATGTCTATGCAAATGGCTACACTAACACTCAGGCTGTGACACAGGTTCGTAGATACCGCGACACCGGTGGCACATACCAGCAGTACAAGGCCAGACTGACCTGTACGCTGTCTTCAAACTTTGGTGGTAGGACATTTGATGCTACATCCGGTACCAGCTGGCTCCTTTCAGGAGACAGTTCAATGTTCACCTTTGACTCGTCCAGTGTGCTCCTGACCATCTCCAAGCATGCAGATACCACAATTGGCTTCGCTGCTACCTTCAGACAAGGAAATGCTACTCAGCAGCTCATTGTGTCTCCATCTTCCCCGGAAACAGAGCTGATCAGACTCGAAGCACTGGTGCTATCGCCCTCGTCTGCAAGCGCCACAGTGAGTGCCGTCAAAGGCCAGGTCGGAGCAACACTATCAGTTACCGGCCATTTTGGTGATGGTACCCGGTACCCGAACTTGATCTACAATGGTGTGGCAAGCCTCCCGTTGCTCTCGCTGCAGTCCAACAACTCTGCTGCACTCAACGTCACCTCAAGCGGCCAGTTGATAATTCTGGACAACAGCCCTGTGCCGGTCATCATCACAGCCAGTAGCGCCCGACGGTCAGCATTGAGTACGATCACAGTCACGGCTAACCTGCAGGCCAGGGTAGCAGACGTTGATCTTGGCCAGCAAGCAGGCGTGCCGCTGGCCCCTATAGCAGTCGGACAGAAGCTCCTGGTGCCCGTGTACGTCAATGTGGCCGGGTTCACTGTCGGTGCAGTCAAGTTGGAGGTTCACTACAATGCCAGTGCTTTCACAGCTAATACTGTGGCTGTCGGCAACAACTGGCCGGGTGGATTGTTTGAAAGAGTGACTAACTCGCCTCCAGGCGTTGTAACCATTGGTGGAGTTGTGTCCCCTGCTCGCCCAAGTCCTCCTCTCCTGCAACTGGCCGTGGTTGAGCTCACTGCAAACTCGCCTGGTCTCCACAGCCTCTCTCCCAGCCTATTGCTTCTCATTGAGCCGGGCAGTCAGCGCAAGCACATTGGCGCGCCTGGGCCAAGGTCCTCGGATGCTGGTAAGGTGCAAGTGTGGGTGCACGGTGCTGCACCTTCAACCGGTCGCAAGCGCCGAGATTTGGACTTTGAGACGGTGAGTGCTGCCGAGGTGCAGCTGCAGTCTCGTCACCGCCGTGCTACTGGAGATGTTCTAGGAGACACAGACAATGATGGAACATTCGATCTGTTCGATGTCCAGTTTGTTCAGAACTACCTGCTCCAGAAGACGTTGCAGAACGCTAACCTGATAGCGTCATTGAAGGTTCCTTACAACAATCTCACTGCACGCCAGCTGGCGGCAATGGATCCTGATCTCAACGGCAATATCAACCCCGAGGACAGTCTGTACTTGCTCCGTGCCAACTTGAACCTCGTGCGCTTCATCAACAATGTGCTGGTGTTACCATCGCAGGGCGTTGGCTCCAACTGCAGTCTGACTATCAATGCAAGCATTTGGAATGGAGATTCATCCGTGGCTAGCACGACAAGCACTGCTCTCTTAGTGGAGCTTGCCAATAAACAGTCCTCCTTCCAAGGTCAATTTGACAATACAACACTGTTCTCTGGCACTCTGCTGACTCAGGTGTTCACTGGAACAAGAGCCCAGTCCAGTGGTTTTTGGCAGGCCAATGATTTTGGCAACGGTGTGTTTGGAATTCGAACAGTCCCCTCCACAATCGCCCAGTCCAGAATTGGTTTGTCATTTGTCTTGGTGACGTATGATGGTTTTGGCAACACAGATGCGTCCAGACAAGCCGTGATTGGTGGATCGCTTGACGCTCCATTCGAGTTCAGAGGTTTCGATGCCAGTATCACGGTAAACCAACCGCACAGTTCATCAGTGCGTGTCTTCTCCCGGGCAGGCTACAACCCTCAGCAGTTGTTTGACAATACCATACCTACTGGTATCTGCTTCAACTTCCACCAACCAGTGTTTGTGTACACGGTGGATGGCAAGGTTGGCATTCCACTGTTAGATCAAGCACCCTTCCACTACAGTGCAATCCAGGTGGAAAGCCTGCCAGTCGGCAGCCTTGTCAGCACAATATCTGCTACAGATGGTGACATCGGTATTCCAAGTGGTCAGCTCAAATTTGATCTCATCAAACAATCAGTTGGAGGCGTATTTGCTTTGAATACGACTGCACAAAACACTGGCCTTTTGCTGTTGCTGAAGCCTCTTGATTGGGAGTCCTTCCAGCCGCACAACCAATACATTGTTGAGATCACCGCTACAGACCAAGGTAAGTTGTGTATACGTGCCTGCGTGTGTGTCTGTGTCTGTGTACGTGTGTGCGCCTGAATGTGGATTGCACACACATGTGTGCAAGTGTGTTCATGTGCAAGTGCGGGTGGACGTGAAGGCATATGAATGTTTAGGTCATGCAATGCCATTATCCACGCTGGCTTTTTGGCACACGCGCCAGTAGAGGTATCTAGTAGTACAGCATGTGTTTCACTTTCCACCTTTCAGCATAGCTCATATCATGGATGGCTATACATGGCATTAAATTATTATCTCCACGCCGTTTGTTTACTTCCTTGAGACTCAATCTTTTGCTTGGTTCTTTGTCACTGTCACAGGTCCACATCTCTCAACACGACGGACGTCTACTGCATCAGTTGTTGTGACCGTTACGCCAACGAATGACTTCCCACCAGTTGTGACGGATCCGGACAGCTACAACCGCACCATCGAGGAAGACTATCCCGTCAACATGACCATTATGACTATAGTGGCAACGGATGGCGATCGTAACAATGTAGTTTCGCCTGGTTTGAAGGACAACGTTCTTACGTACAGCATCGTCGCTGGAGACGAGGCAGACGCGCGCTTTGCCATCAACCCAGTGACGGGAGCCTTGTATGCACGCCGGCCGTTGGACCGCGATACTAGTGGTTATGAGTCGTATGACCTGACGATTATGGTGATAGATGGTGGTGTTCTGCCTGGCCCGCTCAACACTACAGTACATGCATACATCTACCTGGAAGATGTCAATGACAATCCCCCGCGCTTTCCGGCGCCTGTTCAAACTGTTCTTGTCTCAGAAAACAGCATGGTCGAGTCGTTGGTTAACACCCTGGTTGCCACCGATGTCGACCGTGGTCTCAATGCTTCCATCGTGTACAGTGTGATCAGCGAACGCATCTTCACCAACCTCACTCACTCAAGCATTGCCACTAGTAACGTGTTCAGCATCGACCCAGACACGGGCAACATCACAGTAAATTCAACGCTGGACCGTGAGAGCTTTGTACGCGTGGTGGTGGAGTTTGCCGCCACAGATGAAGGTACTCCGCCAAGGGGTTCTCTAGCTACCATCACCTACATCATCTGTGACTATAATGACAACTACCCGCAGTTCACTCAGAGCAGTTACTTTGCCTACGTGGAAGAAAACTCACCGCGCACAACACCAGTCGCTGTCGTCGCGGCGACCGATGCTGACCTTGGTTCATCGTGCAGCACTCCCGGCCTGGCTAGCAACGACAACTTCATGTTCCGCTTCTCGATCGTGAGTGGAAATGAGGGCAATGTGTTTGCCATTGATGCTGTGACGGGCAACATCACCGTGAACGGCTTGCTAGATCGCGAGAATATCTCACTCTACACCCTTGGCTTGAGTGTCGTCGATCTGGGCACGCCACCGCTGGAAACAAACTCGAGCATCACCATCAACGTGACGGACGGAAACGATCACAAGCCCGTATTCGCGGTCAGTACCTACAATGTGTCCGTACCCGAAAACGCCGTCTCATTCCCGCAGGGCGGTGCCGCAAAATTCAAGTACTTGGCCACGTTCTATGCCACCGACGTTGACATCGGCGTGAACGGACGCGTTTACTATGAAATCACCGCCGGAGATCCAACCAAGAGTTTCCGCATTGATCGCTTGAATGGCAATGTTACGGTTGTGAAGGACCTTGACCGCGAGACACAAGACTTCTATGCACTAACAATCACTGCATTTGACGAGGGAGAGCCCCAGCAGTCAAGCAATGCTACTCTGGAGATCTACGTTCTCGATGCAAATGAAGCGCCTCCGAATTTCACCCTACCATCATATGTGTTGGAAGTACCAGAATCGGTATCTAAAAACACGGTCGTCTTCACAATCCGGGCAACGGACACAGACATTGGTGAGAATGGCAGAGTTACGTTCAACATCACAAGCACCAATGACACAATGCAGGTGTTCTCTCTGAACAGCACAACCGGTGAGATCACAGCAGAAGCCAACTCGTACTGTCGTCTGGACAACATCACCTATTCGTTTGTCATCCAGGCGTCGGATAATGGCATCCAGCAGGCGCTGTCGTCCAGTACGGACCTGACTATTACGGTGTATGATGTCAACATGCACAATCCGAACATATCACCGTCGCAGACTTTCATCTACTCCAGCCCTGTCAACCAGTCTACCCTGGTCACCATTGTCAATTCCAGTGACAGTGATATCTGTGACCGTGGTGTCTCATTCTCTCTGGCTGGCGACAATGCTGCAGACTTTATGCTGGACTCTAACACTGGCGCTCTCACAACTAGGAATGCACTGCAGACAAGCCGGGTACGTGCGTACAAGCTTACAGTAACCAGCACAGATTCTGGCTCAGACACCAATGTCCGGTCTTCATCAGCGATCATCAATATTGTTGTTGGTAAGCATGTCTTTGGTTCGTTCTCCGTAACACAAGGCTTCTTGCAAGGAAGTGCAGCATTTACATCCAGCCCTGGCCAGTTCACACAAGACTTGACTTACTTCAGACCTGGCACTCTTTCATCAGTGAAAGGCGAGTTCTCGACTGCCGTTGACACACGCAATCTCCGTGTACGCTCAGCGCCTCCTACCAGCATCCGTGCTGACCTGCTGAGCGGTGTGAATGTATGGTCTGACATGAGGACTGTCCGCGTGGCAATGCAGCTAGTTGACAGCGATGGCAACCGTATCACTGCTGCTGCTGCTGCTGTTCTGACAGTTGAAGTGCAGCACACCGATGGTGCAGTGGCCAATGCCTCCTGTAGCGCATCAGCATTGGAGTCGCTTTGCTCGGCATCTGTCATGCTTCCTGTGTCATGGTTTTCCAACACGTCTGTCCAGTCTGTTCCTGCCAGTATCCGTTGCAGTAGTCCGACTTTCAGCACACCTAGCACTTTGCTCAGCCAGTCCATTATCTTGCAACAGCAGCGGCCAGCACCCAGCAATGCCGCATTTGCCGTCTTCCCAACCCGGACGCTGGCGGCTGGTGATTCCTTTGCAATTGCTGTGTCCGGCAATAACCAGTATCAGCTGACGTACTTCCGAATGCAAGTTATTCTGCCGACCGTACTAAACCCTGTCTCCGTGTCGTTTGACAACACTACCTGGGCTGTGACAATGCAGAGAGCTGGCACTAGTGTGCGGATCACGGGCTTCAGTAAGAAGAACCCAACGTCCATGCCAGCAATGAACCCTCAGGCGCTTTTCTCACTTCATGTTGCCCTTCTGCCGTCTGTATCAGTTTCCTCGGCCAGCATTAGTGTCAGTGTGGATCGCTTTGATAATAGCTTTGCCACCCATGTGTATCAAGGACCGGCAGTGCACGTGGGGAGGGATCCTTCAGCTACTTCAAGTGGAACAGTTCTGATTGGCAGCAGACGTGTTGTTGCGCTGTACCCATCCAGTGACCAGGCTGCCGACATACTAGATCTTTCAGCTCTCACCGCGGTGGCAACTAGTTTCTCAGTCAGGAAGACGTTTGTGTACAGCGACGGAACATTTGCAGTTAGTCAGACGAGCGACATCACTTGCGACGCAGAAGCCAGCCCAGGCGATGCCCTGCAAGTTGCCAGTGATTGCAGCGTTCAGCTGATCACCACCTCAACTGCAACACTATCCCAGCAGTGTGTGACGATGTCTTACACCAACCCCACTGTAGCAGCACGCAGTGTATGCTTCCGTGTATCCAAGCCATATGCCTATGCTATTGCAGCAGCCGATACCAATCTGAATGCGATCAGCAACTTCTTTTCCCAGTCCTGCGGCACACAGCAGTACCAGAGCAGCGAGCTGACCCTGTGGGGCACTGTTGACACCGGGCGTGTGTCTCATCGCGTGGATCTCACCAGCTATGCTGTTGGGCGCACTCTCTTCTCAGCAGCACCGTCCAGTGTGCTGAGTGTTGCTGGTAACACGATGACCGGTGTGAGTCCAGGAACCGCCAGCATTTCACTTCTGGGCATCTCGGCGACTCTGTCTGTTCAAGTGTCCGCATCAGCTGTCAATGTGCTTACATTGGAGTTGACTGACGCATCTGCCGTTACATTCACTGGCCTCCAACAGCAGGTGCAAGGTGCCGGTTTGGTTGTGGCCAATCCCAACGGCTTCGATGCCAATCTTACATCCGTGTTTACTGCTACTGCCATGCTTGAGAAGTTACCGTTGGAGTTCCCAGGTCAGCAGCTACACACAGAAGTGGCCGCTGTGTTTGATGATGGCCATCGCCGAATCCTTCCCAGGGACCTATCTCTCCAGCCAACCATTGCCAGCAGTGGCTTAGCGAGAACTGGCTCCTCATCCACATCATCTGGTAGCCTCACAGCTCAGTCGTCTGGCATGTCAAAGTACTACTACACGTGGGTGCCGGGCTGCGGCAGCCAGAATTTCTCAACCCCCATGTCCATGGTGAACATTCAACTCACCGAGCCACGCGTGATTGTTCAGGTCACAAACCAAGTGATTGTTCGTGCTGACGACCTCGGTGCACCTAGACTGTTCACTACCACTGTTATCAGAATTGCCCATGAGTACACTGATGGCAACTCTAAACAGACAATTCTCAGAATCCCAATTGCAGATGCTAACTTCCAACTAGGCCCTAATCTGGTTGAGTCGAGCAGGAGTGAATTTGACCTTGACGTCGTTGCCAGTCCGGGCACATTTGCTGGGCAAGTGAGTGTGGTATTCTCCTTTGCCAACATTAGCTCAGTGGGTATTGCTAACATCACTGTTGCAACAACAGAGTTGTCCATGCAACTTCATCCCTACCCAAGCTACCCAGGATCGGAGGAGGTTAGTGTCAGTACCCTGGCTCGTATCGGTGCATCTAATGTCATTCAGTCTGCAGAGCTCTCCCTGTTTGAAGTTACGTCGTTTTTAAATGCCAGTGGAGCAACTGTTGTTCATCAGCGATTTGATGTGTCTGGGTCACCTGAATATCGTGTTACCGATGGCATCACAGCAAGTTCCTCGCCGCGCGGTACGACGGTTCTGAATCCGAACACTCTGCCATCCGCATTTGACTTTACTTCTAACGCTACACTCGGAATCCAGCCTTTCTACAATGGCTTGCTGCGGCAGTCTCTACTTCTACCCGTCCTTGTCCAGACAACCAGTGTGCATGTGGTGGCCATCGATGACTTCTCATTGCTTGACGGAGGATCAACTTGCCAGTCATCTGTAGCATGCCGGCTGCGACTGCGTTGTTCTCTCAGCGATGGCCGTTTGATTACCAACTACTTTGACAGTGCACTGGGCTTGACGAGTAGCAAGCTCTTCACCCTGACCAGCAGTGCACCAAGTGTTATGACTGTTACCTCTACCGGCCTCGTCACAGCATTGCTGAACACAGCCACGCCTGTGATTATCACTGCTAGCACGGTGACGAATGGCGTGCGTGCCTCCGCCCTGGTCAGCCTGACGTCCAACATTGCTCCCGTAACATACGATGTCGACATCGGTCCTATCAATGGCCAGCCATCGCCTGCCAGCCTTAGCACAGGTGCCTTGTGGAATGTCCCGGTGCGCATCAACATGGACAATAAGGTACTTGGTTCCGTCCAGATTACGCTGGTGTATAACGCTACACAACTGGAGGTGGTGTCTGTCATGGCAGGTCGTGACTGGCCCGGAGGCGTTTTCTTCAGCAAGCTTCACACCCCTGATGGCGAAGTACAGTTTGGAGGTGTGGCTGCAAATCAAGTCACTTTGGGAGTGATGGAAGTTGCCACTGTTGTGTTCAGAGTGCTGCGACCTGGAGTTTCGCAGATCTCGGGCAGCGTTGATCTACTGTCAGCCCCACCTGCCAACCTGCTGACTCCAGGACAGATCTATGCACAGTCTGTAGCGATTGTTGCCGGTGACGTCGAAGTCATACTGACTGGCACGCCGTTGACTAGCCAGCCCAGCAACTCACCAATGTCATCCTCCTTAACGAGACCACTAGCCTGCACATCGCTGCCATGTGTGTGCAGCTCTGGGACGGAGTATGGTGACATCAACGGCGACTGCGTGTTCAATCTTGACGATGTTGCTCTTGCCCAGCACCTCGTCCAACAGACTGCAAGCGCGGGCTCTCCTACAGAAGACCAACGCCTGTTCACTCAGCCGCGTCAAGCTATTCTGGATGCAAACCGGGATGCATCAATCGATATGTCCGATGTGGAGCTTCTAGCCAAGATCAACTTCGGCCTGGCTCACTTTATCACCAAACTGGACATTATCCCTGTTCAGGATAACTTCCCACAGTGCCTGTTGGTGATCAATGCAACACTGATTTCAGCTGGAGATATTGCACCACCGGCATCCACTTCGCTGGTTATCAACCTTGCATCGTTTGACGGAGAGGTTCGCCGGTCGCTTGCGTCCAAGGACGTAGTGCTGGGTCGCTTCCATGGCTTGTCACCAAACGGTGTTTACGTGGAGACGGCTGACATGTCCGCTGGAAACTACCTTGCCCACATCAATGCGGAATTCACCACAACAGGCATGGGCTATGTGTTGATCATGGCCACCCAGGACGGACGAGGAATATCGCACTTCAGCCGTGTCACCACCTACATCGGGCACCGCTCCAGCTCCACAAGTTTCGGCCGATTCCAGCCGCTGGACACGACACTCACTTTGCAGAGTCAGGCTGTGGTTGTGAAGAGTTTCGTCAACTTCGAGCCGCTAGCCAATGTTGTGCAGAACTTGACCTCGGTGGCGTGTGCTAATACAAAGCCTCCTGTCTTCCACCCCAACGCGTCCATCATCAGCTTTGCCGAGAACACCGCAACGGGTACAATTTTGATCCGCTTGAATGCAACTGATCCGGACAACTTCACTACCCCAGTCGGCTACCGTATTCGTTCGGGTAACGATGATCTGAAATTTGAGTTGAACAGCACCAGCGGGGAACTTGAGCTCATCAGCACCCTGGATCGGGAGACCGTTGACAGGTATGTTCTGACGGTTGTTGCCTTTGACTACGGCATCTTCAGCAGCCTGGAGGGTGTAGCTACCGTCACTGTCCACGTCCTGGACACCAACGACAACAGTCCGCTGTTCAACTCCAGCCATTATATATTCCCGTCGCAGGCTGAAGACATCCCGGTTGGCACGCCGCTAGGTCAAGTGTTTGCCAGTGATTCGGATATCGGTGACAATGGACGATTCCAGTTCAGCATTGTTACTGGCGATTCGGACGGCGTGTTCTATCTGAACAGCACTACAGGTGTTCTCACTGTTGCCAAGTCTTTGGATTTTGAGAAACAAGAGAACTTCACACTGAAGATCAACACCACCGATGCTGGCACACCTCCTAGAGGTGACCAGACGACCATAACGTTCGCCGTCCTCCCCGTCAACGACCTCGCTCCCGCCTGCTTCCCTCTCGTTGTGTCAGAGAGAATACGCGTAAGTCGCGGTGCCGGTGCTGCAACTGTGGACTCTGAGTGGTCCCTGCGTTGTGCTGAACAATGTGTGTGCATGGCCGGTTGGTGGCTTGATTGTTGTATTCACATGCACGGTAGTCTACCACTGCTACCCCTAGACTTGTACTAGCTGGTAGTGCTGCCGTGTTCATGCTGCTTCATTGCGACTGGAGCCGGTACCTGCCTGAGCTACTGTCGATGCAAGACAACTCTGACCTTCGTGGACCAAGCAGAGATGCGTTCTTTGCACAGCTCAGTGTTTGTAGTGCTAGGACTGCACCCCCCCCCCCCCCCCCACACACACACACCCGGCATTCAGGAGGGTGGGTGATAGTTGCGGCAGCTGCATATCCAAGGCCATCATTTGTATGAGCCAGGCCGATTGTCTGGTGAGAAGGCATCAGTACCTGTTCGTTTTTCTATGCAGTACAATAAATAGCATGCCATACTGTAAATCATGAATATGTAACGAACAAGTAAATCTAACGAGTTAACGAGCAAAGATTTATCGTTATTTTAAAATTCGTTAGCAAAAGTCGTATGCATTTGGGCCTCGCACGATTGAAATAGATCATTTCACATTATGGCATGCAGCGCGTGTTCAACGGATCGTAACTCAGTCAATTCTCAACGGAATTCAACAATCGAAAGATCTAGATGATAGCAGAGACGCTCAGCAATCGGCTCAAACAACTCCGAAGTCTCTCAGATGAATTTTGACGAAGCGACAGGAGATCGAAAAATTTGAATTTTTTACGCTCTTACGCTGGATAAATTTCATTTTCTTTATTCTCCTGACATCGAGGTATACTGTGTAATGGACAACAATGAATGTCCTTGACGAGCATTCCTAGTATTATTGCATCTGTCTGAGAAAATCGTTAACTTTTCAAACCGTTAACCTTCGAAAATCAGAAAATCGTTAACTTTGCGGGTCGTTAAAATAATATGATTTACAGTACCATGTGTACGGTTATGTACGGTTGACCAGTTCGTGGCATTTTCCAATTGGTTCGTTTCTCAACTTATCACCAGTAGACTCCTGGAGTTTTTACAGTGTTGTTACACGTCTGACTGGCAAATGCTTTCTGCATGTCTGCTAACATTGCTGTGTCACACGTTACGTTCTCTGTAGATGGAGGGAACAGCATAGTATACACTCGACTCCACTCATAACAAACTCGCGCGTAGCTATAATTATAGTCCCTGTTTGAACCCATACAAAATTGACCCTTTGTAGCGAACGGTTTTCGTTTATAACTAACCATATCTTGTAGGGGAGCATGTAAACCATGTGCACTCATGCAGTCATGACTTGTTGCTTGTATGGTGTGAGCGCATTTCTGTTACAAAGAACGTCGGCTATAAGGAACTGTAATGCTCCTGCACAACGGTGTTTGTTATATCAAGAATCGACCGTATCTGCTTGCAAGGAAGTTAGTTGAAGCATTCATATAGTTGAAAGACTGTAACGTGTGTAGTGTATGTGTATGTGTCTGTCTGTCTCTGTACCCTGTAGGAAGACATTGGTAACAACACTTTCATCGCCAACATGTCGGCAGTCGACCTGGATGTTGGTGACTCGCTGCACAGCCAGGTGACGTTCCTTCTGGTCAACAACTCGGAGTCATTCCGCTTCCGTTTGGAGCGTCTGGATCAATACAACTACCAGCTGAGAACGGCTGTTCCGGGGCCATTCCCTCGTCAGAACTTTGCCTTGACAGTGGTTGCGTACAACACGCACATGCCGGGCCTGAACTGTTCAATCATCGTCAATGTCAACACACTCGAGCCAGAGTTCTTTGATTTCTCGGTCACCGGGAGTGCTTTCCTACAAGGGACCGTGGTGCAAGTGCTGCAAGACATGGAGTATGCGCAGTCCGTTGGTTTCCTGCTTCCGGGCGACAGCATGACACGCCAGGTGCAGGCATCGCTCGGATCGCGTGATGAGATGGTGCCCATATCGCTGTCACCGCCAAAGGTTGCTCACCTTAGTGGCGTGCTGCTCGAAGCAGATACGTGGCCGGACAATCCCGTCGCTACTGCAATGGTGCAAGGATACTCGGAGTACTACACCACCTTCATAGAGTCACTTGCTGTTGAGCTGCAGGCAAGCCCAGTTGACAATCCGCGTATTGTGTTCCGTGGCAATGTGGCTGCCAGGTCATGTGTCCTGTCAAGCGCGACTTCAGGCCGCTGCAAGCTGTCTATGGACTTGGCTAGCTCATTGTTTAGTTCTTCAAGCACCACCAGTGATCTCAACGTGTTTATCGTGGATGCTGCTACACAGGGCAACAATTTCCGCACGGACATCGGTCAGATAAGAGTGAGAAAGACTCCGACCTACACTGTATCCAACCCGTCTCTCTTTGCTGTGACTCCATACCGAACCATCTTACCGGGAGCCACGTTCAACTTGGATGTCTTCGCCAAAGCGGACCAGGACAACTTGCTGGCGTTTGATTTTGTTCTTGAAGTTAACATAAGCTCTACCGTGCTGGCATTTGGAACAATCCAACCACTGCAAGGCAGCTTAAATACTTGGCAGTGTTCACAGTCTCCTACGAAAACTGGCACTGGTATATCGATCGGCTGCTTGATTGATGCATCAACATCCAGTGGACAAAAGCTACTAAGTACGTACGAGCCGCTCATCTCCATCCCTGTGACTCTGGGGCCAACTTCTGTCGAAACAGTTGTTGCCTTCAGTGGAAGCGTGACGCTGTTGGCTACATTCGCATCTCGTGATGTGCTGTTCTCCGCACAGCCGGTGGAGTTTGTTGATCGTGATGGCTTGAACTCAGGCAATGTCGGTATCGTGCACATGTTCAGCTCAGTAGTGAACACACTGGGTATTTTCCCAGTAGCCAGTCAAGGTGAGATGCTAAACGAGGGTGTGATGAATTCACTACCCTTCAGCGCTCCACTGGAAGTCAACGCTGTCAATCAGGACGCACTCTGGGCTCCTTCCCCGACTGTGTCACCCATCACAGCCGGCCTGGACTGCTTCTCTTCAGATGTAACGGTGGCGGGTGTAACAGCAGATTGCCGTGCTGTGACTCTGGACATTGGCAAGCAGGTCAACCCTGGCCTGGCCACCATCACAGTCAACTACCGGGCTATTGCTGCCAGTGTCAACATCACCATAGCCGTCTGGACGCCAGCAGAGTTTGCGATTGAGCTCTCGGACTATGTGCTTAGCCCCATCACCGGCTTCAAACGGGCAGGAAACTGTGCCAGCTTGCAGTACCAAGCAGCTCGTATTTCGGTCCTGGCCACTCTCATGCCGCCCACACCTCGCATCCAACCGATCAGGAATGTTCACGTCCTTTCCAAGCTTCATCCATCACAGCTGGTCTTGGAAGATGCGACGATTGCCAACATTAGTGACAACTTCCTTGTTGGCCTCGCACCCGGAATGAGCAACCTGACCATTGAGCGGAATACCGGCACAACACGAGAAGCCATAGCAACAGTGCCTTTTGTCACCGAGGGCCCTGCAAAGGCAGTGAATGTCACACAGCTTCGCCTTGCAGTGTTCACCAGTCTGAACTTGCAGGTTGCCAAGAGTCTTCTATCCACATCTTCTGAGGCAACCACGGTTAGTGTCGATATTGCTGCTGACTTTTTCAGAGAAGACCAATTCGGATATGTTGCAGCATCTGCGGTATTTGAAGATGGTTCCATTGCACAGCTTGATCTTGCAAGCGGTGGCTTCAACTTGACTTCGTTGAGCACGGATGTGGCCCGAGTTAGCGCATCAGATCGCTTCACAGTGCACAGCAGTGGCTCAGGTCAGCTACTGCACATGCAGTGGAGACCAGAGCATTGTCCAGGACAGGACCTGCTCATCTCTGGTCATGCCAGCATTGACGTCAGGCTGCCCGAACCTGTCATCATTTCAACCACCCAGTTACCAAACACACGGCGTCTGGCAGCCCAGAACGGGTCAGCACTTGCTGCTGGCATTGACTCGCAGATTTCGCTCGCTGTTCAGTTGACATTCCCCCGAGGAAACCAACAGGACATGACTCTTGATCCACGCACCATCTATAACACCAGCGAAGCCAATGGTGTCTTCACGCTGACACAGACAGCAACATCTGTGATCATTCGATCAACCGGCACAGCAGGAATTGGCAACTTGACCGTCGCTTTCAAGCATTATGGTATTACGGAGACCATCTCCATAACTGTTGTGGAAGCAGTGTCACTTTCTCTCCGAATCTCACCGTATCCTTCGTTCCCCGGATCTGACAATATGGATGCCTCTAGCCTTGATATCATTGGCAACACCGCCGGGAAGCAACAAAGTGGACAGCTCTGGACAACTATGCACTTCACAGATGGGCGTAACATGGATGTGTCAGAGCATGACAGACTGCTTTATGTCATCAACGATGGTGGCTTCTTAGGCACAATTAACAGTGACCCCCCGGCCCGCTTCAGCACTTTGAATCCATCTGGGGCCGGTTTTGGAACCATGAACGTCACGGCTGTCTACAATAACCATATTAACGGCCAAGACGAACTGCTTGTGGATGTTTCAAACATTACACTTGCAGTCAGCGAGGTCACTCACATATCAATAGTTTCAGCTCCTGGGCCCACACGAACAGTAACAGGGAACACATTGCACGGCTTGCCGACGCAGGCTACGGCTAGTCTGGATGCCGATGTAAGGCTGTCGGATGGCACGGAATACTCTGGCGTCAAGAGAGGTATCACGTTGAGAAACACAGTAAATATTACCAGCAGCGACGACAACGTCATTCTTGTCAATTCCTTGAATGGGTACACACTTCTGAGGGGGAACCATCACAGTGCAGTGGTGATCACGGCGAGTTCACAGCTGGATGGTGTTGTGGCTAAACCTGCCACACTAAATCTGTACGCAAACCTGGATCCGCAACCGGGTGACGTCGACATTGGTAACCGGTTTGGAGCACCCCTGACAGCCACCAGTGCCACGGAATTCTCGTTTGATCTGTCTGTGAATACGGGCAGTAGGGACTTGGGAGCTATTACCATTACAATCTTCTATGATACAAGTCTGGTTAGCGTAGTCAGTGCTTCTACAGTGCCAGGTATACTCCCTCGCCTCAATGCACCCCCCGGTGAAGTTCTTGTGAACGGTGCCTTGCCACCTAACCAGAGAGGCAGTCGCCTACACCTGGGCACGTTCAAGTTTAAAATGGTCAGTGGTGGCCTAGCCAAGTTCAGTGTCTTGATAACCATTATGGGTGAGCAGGGCAAGGCAACACAAATTGGTAGTCTTGCTGGCATGAACTCTGTTGCCGCTGATGTCTCAATGCTGATCAACTCGGCGACTGCTGGTCGCCGGCGTAGAAGTGTGACGCTCCTTGCGGAGAAACTGCGTGCTGCCATGCCAAGCAAAACAGCTGCCCATGAGCGCGCACGACGCCAGGCGTCGGGTCTGCCGCTGAGAGGCGATGTGAACGACGATGGGTCTGTGAATGCGTTTGACATTGACTTTACCAAGCAGTATGTTGCCGACACAAACGCCGGCTTGTCACGCCCAGTAACGCCTACCGTACTGGTCGAGCTTGATGCCAACAGCGATGGTCGCATCAACTCTGAGGATGCCCTATTCTTGAACAAAGTGCAACTGCAGTTCTCCTCCTATATCTACAGCGTTGTCAGTCAAACAGTGAATGAGACTGCAGGTGGCTGTCATTTGCAGTTTAACATCACTCTCGACACAGGAACATCAGACAATGTTTTCCGCTTAGACTACTCGTTCGTTTTCCTCTTAATTGGCAACGGAGACACGGCTACACGGGACATGATGTCAGCGTCCATGCTTCAGCAAGGCTACACTACTCAAAGCGTTGCCGCTAACAATGACCCGTCGAAGGCGACGAGTCGCAGTCCATTCTATGGCGCTGTGTGGGAAGCGGTCCCACTACCGGCAGCGTCGTCTGGCCGCCTTGGCGTGTTTACCATCGAAGCATTCACTGCTCTGAGCGCAGCTGATGTTGCTGTCACTGTCCTGCAGATGACAACTGACAACTTCTATAAACATGATGATCTTCAAAGGGATGTGTCATTACGTGGCTTTGACGCTTCTTCGCGTTTTGATTTCAGTTCAGTACGGGATGTTAAACTAATCTCAGGACGTCAGAATGCACGTCAGGTTCAACCAACCAGTGAAAAGTTTAACGTCGGATCATTGGGATTCAATCCGGTCACCTACTTCAACAACGTGCTGCGTTCAGACTTGTGCGCGTTTGGTCCATCTCATGACTTTGAGCTGATCGTTCCAGAAGACTTCCCTGCCAACCAGTCACTGTTGATCATCAATGCAACATCTCTGCCGTTCCCAGGTGGTGAAGTGTATCGGTTAACTGCTGGCGACAGTGACATGATGTTCAACCTTCCCGACCCATCGCGCGGCGACCTGCAACTGAGCCAACAGCTTGACCGCGAAGCCATGGACCTCTACTACTTGACGGTGCAGATCACGCAGGCGTACGGTTCTACGGGCTATGTGTGGTCCAGTCTGGCCATGGTCACTGTCAACGTGACCGATGTGAATGACAACGACCCAGAGTTCATCGGAGGCAACTCGTACAGCCTGCTGATATCCGAAGGTGTGCAGATTCCTGCCGAGCTGATCGACCTGAACGCCACAGATAACGACACGGGTGTCAACGCTGATATTGGCTACTACATCACAGGTGGCAATGCCGCGGGAAGGTTTGCCATCGATCGATACTCTGGTGTTATCTCGGCCGTGAAGGGCTTGGACCGCGAGAGGACAGACAACTACACGCTAACAGTGGAGGCTCATGACGGTGGCTCGCCCCAGCGCAAAGACATAGCAACAGTAGTGATCATGATCACCGATGTCAATGACAATCCACCGCAATTCGACCGCAAGGTTTACGAAACAACTGCACCGGAGGATTTCCGCACTGGCAGCGTGTTCGGTGTCCTGCCGCAGATTGTAATCCACATCACTGACGACGATCTAGATGACAATGGGAACGTGACTAACGCCTTTGTGTCTCAGAGCGCCTATAACAACACATTTGGAATTGAGGTGACCTACGACGATGGCTCTGTCACGGCGCACATTGTCGTGCTCAAGGACTTAGATCGCGAGGCAGTGGCGCAGTATCGCTTTGAGATCACCGCCGTTGATGGCGGCAACCCGACACTGAACAGCTCAGCTCTGGTCATCATCAACGTAACCGATGTGAACGACAACCCGCCAACCTTCACCGACGTATCCTACTCCTTCCACATCCAGGAGGATCTTCCTGTCGGAAGTGTTGTTGGCTTCGTTTTGGCAACGGACCGTGATGTTGGTCGCAATGCAAAGGTCACCTACTCGGTTCTCCACACATCTCCCTTGCCATCGCCGTTTGCTCTCGACACGCAGACTGGAATTGTGACCACTGTTGGCACGCTGAGCAGAGACGTGGCCACCAGCTATTCAATCTCTCTCGGTGCACGGGACGACGGAGATCCACAGCTCAACGGAACGTCGCTCGCAACCGTTCTGTTGCTGCAGCCACACATCGTGGCCTTCAACACTGGGTCCAAGGGCTTCGCGCTCGGAAGCAACGCACGCCGTGTCTCAGCGAACTACTACACACAGGAGATTGGCTTCTTTGCCAACGGTCGATTTACGGATGTTGCTGGGGTCAGCGCGAATTTTGGCAGCCTTGCTACTGAGCCAGTGCCGCTCACATCAGCACGAGAGGCATGTAGCTTTATCGATGCCAAAGCCCTGGAAAGCGATGTGGAGTACGATACACGGTCCATCACTGTCCTTCTGCAGGTAAGAGACTACAAGTTCTCCTCAATATGCTTGCCAACGACAGTCTACGCTCAGGTGGTGCCTTCAAGTAGTTTGCAAGCCATTCAGGACTGGACCAAGACGTCTAGCTGCACACCGAACGCTGAACGCGGTAGCTGTCTTGTTCACATTGAAAACATCCCACGCGCCTGGTTCAACGGCACAGCTTCTGTGGTAAGTCACTGTGCGCACCATAGTGTGTGTGTGTGTGTGTGTGTGTGTGTGTGTGTGTGTGTGTGTGTGTGTGTGTGTGTGTGTGTGTGTGTGTGTGTGTAAGTGTGTGTGTGTGTGTGTGTGTAAGTGTGTGTGTGCGTGCGTGCGTGTATGTGTGCGTGCGTGTGTGCATGCATGTGTCCCATATGGTGCAGTGGTATGTGCAGTGATTTCCAATCGAGAGGTTGCGGGTTCGATTCCCGACGATTTTGGTCACACACGTCTTTCTTCTCTTTCTCAGATTCCTCCTGTCTTTTCTTTCATTCTCCTGGGTGGTTACCAACAGCCGGTGCATGCCGGAGTATATGGTGTGATGTGTATGCGGGGAAAAAATGAAAAGTACCAAAAAGCAGGGATTCACTGGCCAGAAAAAGCCACTTCATAGCTGTGTGATGTAGACCAGGCTGAATAGTGGCAATCAATTCTTCAGCCTTGCAAGCTGTTGAATAGTGCAATCCCAGCACAAGTTGCGATGGCTTCTGCTGTAGCATCGCTATCATCGCCTCCGGCGATGTGTGTCAGAAGGTCAAAGGTGTGCGTCCATGCGTGTGTGCATGCATGCATGCGAGCGTGCTGTTGCTGCTGCTGCTGCTGCCTGTCCGTTTTCAGTGTGAGAGTTGCATTTCATTGATAGTTTTATTCTTCCTCTTCTATCTCTCTCTTATGTCCAGGGAAGCCGTCAGATAATGATCAACTATGGATTTAGCCTGCCAAACACCGTACCTCCACTTACTGTTCCACTTCGTGCAGAAGCTGACTGGCTCGGTGAGCTGCAGATTACCAATATCGTTGTGCAGCTGCCACGCAGACCTGTGTACCCGGGGAAACGTTTCCTCACGGAGGTGTATGCGTTCTCCAACAATGACACCGTCGACAGGGTCCGCTTCAGCTTCCAGGGCCGCCTGCCCCTGTCCTACAACAGATCCGCTGTCATCCTCGCACCGGGATGGACAGACTGGGCAGGTAAGATCTCCTAGTGTTTCTTGTGTGTGTTCTTTGCTTTCAGCTAGGCTAGGCTACAATGGCGCTTTCTAAGGAGATGACTGGCTGCAGTAACAGTATACTATAGGGGCACTACTGCACGGATACGCCTGCAGCTATATAACTTGTACGCCTTTGAGGATGAAACTCTGAACCAGCATGCACGTGTGAATTGATTCCATTTCTCCTACGTTGTGTGCTGTCATGCAGATCCAGACCCCATCGCTTCACCACGAGGCAGCAACGTCATATCCCTGCAACTTGCCACAGGTGTGGACCAAACACACCCCAGAGGAAAGCCAATCTTGGTCTGCACAATTCCGTTGCTGGTTCCAGCCAGTCTCAACACCTCGCTTAACCTGCGTATCGATGGTCTAGCTTACAGGTGAGTTTTGCACTGTGATATGGGCGCATCACTGCATTCGGGTGTGGGTGGGTGGGTGTGCGTGCATTCGTACGTGCGTATGTGCGTGCGTGCGTGTTTAACCGCAACATTGCAACCACGGTATATGACCATCAATAATTAACTTAATGACGCAACACCACCTCTGTCCTGCTCGAGGTACCCAAAACGGTTCCGACATAGCAGGACCTGACAAGGCATCCGAAATCCACTCAACTTGGTGTTTGCTCTGTCTCCGTTTTTAATCGCTGGCATGCAGTGGAGGTTGTTTGATTCATTCCTGACTGTAGCAATGGCTTAGCACTTGCACGAGCATTCATACACCAGCCCTTGGTAAGTGATGATGTACGCAAGTAACGCAACACGGCGCTGCTGATTCTGAAGAGTGTGTTCATGTCTGTCCCTTCGCAGGGTTCACACTCTGCATGGACCAGCCCAGGGTGGTTCTGCAATCATCAACGCCCCTGCGGGTACTCGACTATTCTTCTCCAAGTCTGGCCAGAGTCTTGATGATTTCGGAGAGGTGGGTTGCTTGTGCTTGATAGTCATCATGTGTTGACCTATCGATGGGGGTTATGTGATCCATGTACGTGCTCGTTTTGTAGGATAGTGATGAAGCTCTTGAGCTGAACTTTTACTGGTGTGTGTAGCTTGATAGGCAAGCATGATAGGCAAGCAATGACACCACTTGCTCCTGTCAGGCATGGAGCGCGACGGTGCAGCGACTCGTCCGCATTGTGTACGACACTCTGTGTGAATGGTCGTGTTTGTACTGTGTGCGTGTGTTTGCACGCTCGTGCCTGTGTGTGTGTGTATTTCATTTTTTTGTGGTATGTGCCATGTCTTGCGCTCGCAGGTGCTTGTTGCTCTGGACCACTACTCGCAGTTCTTCACCTCTCTGCAAGACTCGGAGCTGGTCAACACGGCCATGCTGAACGGCATACCCGTGGCAGCGCCGCTGCATGTTTGGGCATATATGGCATCGCTCCAGTACGAGTCGTCGGCCATTGTCTCGTCCACACGCCCCAGCGCCATCTCTCCGGGCAGTGTGACTGGCCTGAGCTGCAATGGAACATCTGCAGCAGTATCTGTCTCTGGTAGGTTCTGCAGTACTAGTACATTGGTGGAAGTGGCGATGAAGCCGGCCTCATAATTATATGTTTGACCTGCACTCACACATGCTTATGTATGCAAGGGTAGGTTCTCTTGGGCAGCTACACGACTGTATGCATGACCATGTGCCTCTGAGTGTGAGTGTGAGTGTGAGTGGAAGCATGGCTAAGTATGACCATGCCCTTGTGCTTGCTGCTCTGTACCTGCAGTCAACTGCTCTGCTGTGTCGTTGACGGGTGTTGTCGCACGGGGCAGTCCGCGCATCGACATTACAATGACGCACAACGGCGTGCTGATGGACCAAGAATCGGTGCGTGTCTGGGCACCGTCCCTTCCCGTGCGCGTTGAGCTCAGTGACTCTGAACTCTCTGCTGTGGACAAGTGGATGGCCGGCACCACCTGTAACGAGCAGCAATACCAGCAGTCTCGCATCACCGTTACAACCACGTTCTCCCTTGAATCGTTGACCTCTCCCATAAACTTCACTGTTGATGTCACCCACCTTGTACAGGTAAGCGGCCTTCTACACAAGTGCAAGGCGAAGTGTACTACTAGTTCTAGTACTTTTTTTAAAGACTCTCCTCACCACATGCTTTGCTGTCATGCGTTGGCATTCATCACTAATACAAATAGTGAATATCGCCTGTCTTGTACCGGAAGTACAGTCAACTTCGCGTATAACAACACTCGGCGGGGCATCAGAAAAGTGTCCTTATTCGCGAAGTGTCGTTATACGCGAAGTCTCATTATATGTATAATGTATTACAGTTGGATGGGACTTTGCTCTGGGCATGGAAATTCTGTCGTTATGCGCGAATTGTCGTTATATCCGCAGTCGTTATTAGCGAAGTTGACTGTAGTTCTCAGCGCAAGCAGCTATCACCTGCGGTGTTAGCATCGTGTATAAAGCACATTGTGTGATCATCGGTTTTGTGGACTGAGTTATGAATACTTGATCGCGTGTCATTTCCATGGCAATTGGTTCAGCATACGAGTGTGCATATGATTTCATCGTGCTGCCTGGTTGTGCGTTGCTTCTGATGTTCCCTTGTACAGAACAACTTCATTGTCTCACCCAGTGGTGGAGCCACGGTGGCACAGTCCATCCTGACCGGCAGATCACCTGGCAGCGCAGCGTTGACGGTCAGTCATGCTCACGGCAACGTGGGAACAGTCGCGTTCAATGTGTCGTCCACGCCCATCGATGTACTGTTCCTGGACGTGGAACTAGTGTCAACACCGACTGTGTTCACCATGCCCACGGCTGTGAGGAGCACCAGTCGACAGGTTGCCTCTTTGACTCTGCCCAGGTTTGTGACGTATCGCCAGTCGAGGATCGATGTCACTGTATCCGCTCTGTTCTCCGACGGTACTCGTAGTCAGCTGTCGCTCGTGCCAGGATCCAGCACCTCTGCCACCATACGGTCCTTCAACAACTCCATCGTAGAAGTTCGCATGGACCAGTTTGATGGCTTCCCACACTTGCGAGCTACTGGCCAAACAGATGGTGATATTGTTCAGGTGACATGGAACTCTTGCGGATTGAGTCTGAGTGCCACGGGCTCTTTCAACATCTCTCTGAACCAGCATCCGCCTGTGTTCGTCCTGGATGACAGATCAGTTGAAGTCAAGGAAAATACCACTGTTGGTAGCACCCTTATCCGCATCATCGCAATTGATAATGATGTGACCAAACTACATTCCACCATCGAGTATGGCATTGTGTCGGGCAACGAAAACCAGTTCTTCACTATCAACTCAACCAGTGGAGAAATCAGTCTTCTTCAACCACTGAACTTTGAAGCGAGAAAGGAGTTCTTGCTCGTCGTTGAAGCTACGGACAGCGAACAACGTTTGGCTCGTGACAGCTTGGGTTCTGGTATGAGCAACGAGAGCAGTCCAGCAACTCAGCAGGTGAGAGATAACCCCTTACCCCTAAAGTTGTTTTAGGCCAGCCAAATTAATCTGGTTAGTTTGTTCAATAACTAATATGCACTGTTTGTTTCGTTCCCCCCAATATGCACTGTTTGTTTCGTTCCCCCTCCCCCCCCCCCCCCAATATGCACTGTTTGTTTCGTTCCACCCACCCCCCAATATGCACTGTTTGTTTCGTTCCACCCCCCCCCCCCTCCCCCCCCCAATATGCACTGTTTGTTTCGTCCCCCCCGGCGCCTCCGCCTCCAGCATACTAATACTAGTGTCTGTAATAATTTTATTCGCCACGCAGAGCCTAGTGAACGGTGTATGGTATACAGTGCATGGCTCACAGCATCCTTTATGATAGTGACTCTTTACCAGTTTTCATCAATCATATCTCTGGCATGATGTCAAGAACTATAATTATCGCATGATGGAGAATGTATGTCCATCGCCTACTGCGCTGGTCACTTCCACCGCTTTGGTGCATTGTGTTGATGATTTGACGTTTGATGCGCGTTGCTTGTTATGCCTTGTATAGATATTGATTCAAGTGGTGGATGTGAACGACAATGTCCCGCAGTGCATACTGCAGAGACAGAAGATATTTGTGGACGGCCAGCTGGAGAACATCCAAGAGCAACTAGGTAGCACGAACCCACTGGCCGTAGTAGCAGCCAGAGATGCTGATCTGCTGGATGCCAACCGCCTTGAATACAGCATCATTAGTGGCAACTATCTGCAGACATTTGTAGTCGACGGCTTTGGCAATGTGCGCTTTGACCGAATCCTGGGCAGTTCCCACTCCAATTTCCCGTTGACTGTCCAGGCAGTGGACACTGCCCAACAAACCGTGTCCTGCCTGCTCGACATCTTGATCTTCCGAGACATCAACCTTGTGTCGATTCCCCTCATGAACCGGCTGCCAGAGAACTTCGATCGTGACAGCTTTGAGGCCATGATGACCACGTTCCTGAGTGATGTGTTCGGACGGACGTATGTGAGCCACATCTATAGGACAAACTACACCGGTGGAGAATCTCCCAGGTAAGGGATCAAGAGCATTGTGGACCTTGTCTTTATCCCATGTACATGTGTACTTGTTCTATCACTTGATCCCTAAGGTTAGAACTAGGCCCAGGCAGATTGCCTGGAATATGGAGCAGCTCGTTGTTTGGGATGCACTGTAAGAAATCTGGTAGAGTCAGCCTTGTGCAAATGGCAGCACTCCATTGAATACGTTATTATTATTTTATGCATTTCCTCTCCACTGCAGGCTCAATGTGATCTTCTTTGTCGAAGATGTCCAACACGTTACCATCATTACAGCCGTGGACATTGTCGGTGCACTGAAGAACGAGACACATTACGAACAGCGAACCACCCTCTCCATGGAGTATGGATTTGGAGAGGACATTCTCTTCTCGGTAAGGCAGCTGCTGCGTGAACCCAGCAATAGGATAGACTAGTCCAGTGTAATGTGCTACATGGTGTGCAGCAAACTGATACTATTGCATGTAGTTTCAGTCATGAGGGGGGGGGGGGGAGGAATCTCTCCTGGAATCGTGTGTCTGTGCTTACAAGCTAGGTGGAGTAAATGTAATAGATATGATCGCTTTGGAAGGTAGCCGTACGCAATTTTTATTTTCACATTGCTTCATTCGATGGTGGGAGCTCAATGGCGTGCTTCTCCTGTTTTGTTTTACAGCAAGCAGCTGCTATCTCCAGCCCAGTGACTGTTCCTGACACCCGTGCTACAGATTCGCCATCCACCGATCTTCAGGACTGGGCGATCGGCTTGATTGCAGCCATTGCTTTTGTAACAGTCATTCTTCTGGTCTTCCTGCTGTATGTGGGTCGCCAGTATGTCAGGTGAGGATTACACTGTGTGCATGAAGTTTGATTTCCAAAGCCCCAGCGATGAGAGCCATTTGGTTTCCCCGCTACTATATAGGACCTGTTGCCTTCCTTTTTAATATCTACTGAACAAGCATGAATGCCTCTAATCATTTATTCGTTTAGCGGCATGTATTGCCTGCGGTCTGTACACATTATTATTGAGACTGAGACTAGCTGTGCCATCTCCTGGCTCCACTCTTTACTGGCGTGTGCAGGGAGAAGGAGAAGGAGCAAGAACGCCTGCTCAATGAGGGATACGGCTTGCGTGACCTCGGCGACTTTGAGGAGCAGCCGCACTTGCCAATGGTGACTACTGGTGGTGTGGTTGACCCGACTTCAGGCGAGGCACGCATCTTCAAGACCACTGTTGTCGATGAAGTAGACGACCAGCCATCTCCTGGGTACCAGCGCAAGCATGTCAGCCGCATCGTCGAGCAAACTGGCGTCCTTGGCACGGACTTGGACAGCATGGAGACTAAAGCGCTGCCTCCATCGCGTATCCTTGCCTCTGGTCAAATGCGCCAGCCATCTCAGCGCAAGCCGTGGGAGGAACAGGAACAGAACCCGCTGTACTCGTCACACGTAAGCTGGAACTTCTGTGCCTTTTAATTTTGGCAAACGTGTTCAGTTTAGGAGTGAGACGTGAACACAGCATTTCCTTTTTGGTTACTTTCCCAGAGTCAGTGGAGTGCTCTTCTTGCATCTCTTTTTCCCTGGTTTTTGTAACTGTACTGGATGCGTGAGGAGGAAGGAGTCAGTGGCATGAATGCGGCTTCTTTGCCTTTCTTTCTTTTAAAATATTCCTCGCCAGTACACAACAGAATCCACCCAGTTCCTCTCCAGTGCATGTATGTGGATTAACGCACTCTCCACATACAGGCATGCACCCGGCTCAGAACACATTGTTTTCTGGTTGGCATATCAGGGATATTGGGCAGAGCAGCTGGCGTGCATGAGAAAGACAGGTCGGCCTGCTCTGCGCAGGAGCTGTGACCCGGTGCACACATAGTGTGTGTGAGAGAGAGAGAGACAGACAGGTCGGCCTGCTCTGCGCAGGAGCTGTGACCTGGAGCACACAGAGTGTGAACGAGAGACGGTCGGCCTGCCGTGGGCAGGAGCTGCGACCGGTAGTGATTGAAATGAGCCAGCTGCGGAGATAGACTGCCCTCACCCGATATAAGTATATTGACAAGAGTTGTACTGACACTGTTACTGAGGAAATTATGGTGACAGTGACGGAGAGATAGTGATCCCCAGTCGAATAGGTTTGGGAGGGAAGGGGAAATTGACAACTGACGGACAAACCAGTGAACAGTCAAGTCGTCGGAAAGCAAAAGTGACAAAGGAGTCTCTCTTTTCTCCTTCTCTCTCTCTAAAGCAAGATTTGGAATGCACGCGTGGGAGAGTGGCGCGCGCTGCGCATGCGCATGTATAGCAATGACATCATAATCAGATGCATGATCATCAGACTAAGTATGAGTGGTAGATGTTCCACGTTCGTTAACAGGGCTTAGCGCACACGCTAAACCACCATTATATTGACTCATGCTGATGACTGATGACACTGTCTTTTTTTTTGTGGCTGGGTCGTCTTTCTTCTGTCTCTGTGCAGGAATATATCAGTGACTTCAATAACCCATTGTTCGATGCCCCACTGACGGACTATGGTGCCACAACTACAGATGATGATATCGGTGATGACGACGATGCCCAGCCAGATCAGGGAAGATCGCGGCAAGAAGAGGAGGCCTACCAACGGTCTAGAAACATGCGTGCCACTAGCATCCAGTCGATTAGAAAAGAAACGGAGCTAGCGGACGACTTTGCCAACTACCTGTCAGCAGACCCGGCTGGCGAGGACAGCAACATTAATGAGCTGGGCGCCGATTCAGACGAACAGCTCCTCACTAGCTAACTCATAGCATCATCCACTTGAACTATGTTTTCCCGTGCATTCTTGTACATGTACGTGCATGTGCACACGACTCCTGTAGCAGCCGCGTGCACAGCCTATCACAACCAATGACAACTTGCTTTATTGCAGTGCTGCTATCAGTTGAACGCCTCGACTCCCCCTCCCCGCCCAATTCAGTCTACATTGCGTCCTAGACTCATACCCGATTACATTCTCTACTTCAATTTTTCACTTGAATTTCTTTCAGCTCGAATCTGTTTACCTGTGAATTTCAAGTGCTAGCACTCATCCCTTTTTCCATACTAGATATCATTTATATTATCTATTTCTGTGTACTGGTGCAATTGTATCACACTTGTCTAAATGGCTACATGGCATATGCATAATTTCACTGGCTCATGGAACTCATTATGCTGCTTCAAGCACGCCTATAACAAATGCATAGAGCTACGACTGCCATTCAAGCAGAGTTTGTCCAGACTGATACTCAATGTGCAGTCGCTATAATGTTGTGTGGTGCTTCTGTTAGCCGGCAGGGTGCATAGTGCAACATCACAACGTTGCATGGTGCTTCTGTTAGCCGGCAGGGTGTTTCAAACAGGGAGAAGTACCAAGAGTATATACTCTTGGTAGTACGTATACTATTTAGTATTATGGTATGGTACTACTCCCTACTTTGAAGTAGTTCCAACCTCACAACGTTGTTGGCCGGCCGGGTGCTCAGTGCAACCTTTTTTACATTTTTTTAAACCTTGTGTAGTGCAGCTTCTGTTAGGTGGCCGGATGCTAGGTGCAACCTCACTCCCCACGTGAATAAGTGTGATGTTTGGATCATCTTTCCAACCAAACTCAAAACAACCTGAGCAGAATCTACCATGTTCTACCTGATCTACATATTGTACACATGATGCTCAGCCGTGCCACTGCTCGCCCGGATGGCACGGGCCTGTTCCGGATTAGTGAGCTGCATCGCCAGATATAGATAGCCCTCGAACTCAGAGTGTGGAGGTGTACCCATGGAAGCTAGCGCCGGCCCACCATTGTGTGCCCTAGGCTACATTCCAGTAACTCCCTCAATGTCGACCACAACCTGCCTCCAGACCAATGCTGGCCTCTAACTCCCTCGCGCCAGGAATCACTCTGGCACATCTCGGTTGATGTTGCAGCCGCAATCTGATCGAATTCACAGTACCTGCAGATGTCCGTAGCGTGCTGTTTGTCTCCTCCCCCTTCCATGTGTTCTAGACTTCCTCTCATGTGTGTATCTGTATTTTCACTGGTCTGCTCGGGCTGTCCGTCTCTCTGCCTTCTGCTCCTATGCCTGGAAGCCGACCTCTTATGTGAGCATTTATACAAGACTCTGAGCTTTCTTACTGGTGGCAGCTGCTTTTCATGGCACTCAATGATCCCCCGGCCTCTGAAATATTTCCTCGGTATCAGAGCTCTCATTGTCCATCTCGGACCAGATTCCATCTACCCCTTCCCCATCATCAGGGCCTGCTGGAGAGCCGGGTACGGGTCAGCCGGGTTAAGCGCCCGGCTGGGGAACTGCACGACCTGGCTGAACAGATAACACCGGGTCCAGTCTGACCCGGCTGTAAAATGTCTCAAACTGACAATGGATTCCTAAAATACCGATATTTTACGACTCGCGGACCCTATCTGTTGCAAATCTAGCGCAACCGTAGACACTACAGTCTACAAGCGACAGAAACTCGGCTTGGGTCAACTGGTTCGAGCGCGATCTGGCCAGCGGCGAGCAGGAAGTCAGGACATTGAAAGTCGATGGGGCAGGCAGTCAAAAGCGTAACTTTGGCTATAGCTTTTGACACAGTTGCAAGTTTCGAGCAGGCTTTTTGGTTGTTTTCTGCCGGATGATCTGACCCAGCTTGACCCGGCTGGCCTGCATGCGCCAGGTACACTCTGATCGGGCTGTGTTGAATGTCTAGAGCAGGCCCTGATCATCTAATATTTTCTGCTTTTAACCCTTTAAGAGCCGCCCCATACTTGAATGCGTCGTAAACGACGCATTCAAATGCAAAACTTCAAAAGATCGTAACTCAGTCCAATCTCGCTCAAATCCATCGATCGAAATATCCAGGGCGAAGAGAAAACTCTCACCTGTCGGAAGAAACAATCGCCGAAGCGCTGCGAGCAACGGTTCCTGAGATAAATCACTCGTAAGTTGAGCCGCGATCGCGGCAATTTCAAAAGCGCGCAGTGCGACTTTAGTATTGAGAATTTTGAGACTTTTCGTCACGCTGGTTTACTTGAATTTGCACGGGTTTCACTGTTGATATTGTCAAGAGTACACAGCGAAAAATTGGAACTCCACGATCGAATAAAATGAAATATCTGGAGCGGGACGCAATTGGACGCATTTGGGGCATTTTTCGTACTGTCGCTGCGATCTAGCGCTGGATAAGCAGTGTGCTGGCTATCATGATCGACCTCATTCTCTTCCTCTCGCGGGGACCGTTCCAGGAAGCCCTAGATTGTGAGGATTGAGTGAGTAGAACTGAAGCTATGATCCAAGGAACACGAAAAAAAGAAGAATTTTGAAATTTTCCTGTGGCTCTTAAAGGGTTAAGTCCCCTTGTGCTTCTTGGCACCTTCATTCGCTTCCTTGTTATTGAGCACCTCTGCTCGTTTGGTCACTGTGAATTAAAATAAAATCAACAACAACAACAACAACAACAACAACAACAACAACAACAACAACAACAACAACAACAACAACAACAACAACAACAACAACAACAACAACAACAACAACAACAACAACAACAACAACAACAACAACAACAACAACAACAACAACAACAACAACAACAACAACAACAACAACAACAACAACAACAACAACAACAACAACAACAACAACAACAACAACAACAACAACAACAACAACAACAACAACAACAACACACAACGACGACGACGACGACGACGACAACGACCACGACAACGACAACGACAACGACAACGACAACGACAACGACAACGACAACGACAACAACAACAACAACAACTCCACTATCATGACTGTAAGTATGATGTACTAGTTATGTACAAAAACAAGTAGTTCCACAAGACGTACATTTCGCCGTATAGGTCATGACGGCCAGGCCAGCGGTCAGGTAGCTGAATGTCTTGGTACTCCTTGTCAATTTCAACACCTACTGCCAATCATCCCGCCTATTCGTTGATGGAGAGTACTTGCTGCCGCACAAGGGTACCGCCCACGGTGACCCTCTGGTCATGCCAGTATACGCGCTTGGAGTCCTCCCGCTCATCAAGAAAGTTGCAGTGCCCAGTGCGAAGCAGGGATGGTACGCAGACGACGCTGCAGCCGGTGGGAAGCTAACGCCTGTTCGCCAATGGTGGGACAATCTTGTCAGCCACAGTCCCAGGTATGGCTACCACTGCAACACACAGAAGTCACTCCTCCTCGTCAAGCCCTCCAAGTACACAGCTGCTGTCGAGACCTTCGAAGGGACCGGTGTACATGTCACGTCAAGAGTCCATAAACAAGAGTATGCAACTGTGATCCTTTTTCCATGGGCCAGATGCGCGACGCGCTGCCTTTATTACATCATTCAGCTGCAGTCCGCGCACTGCGGAAAAACAAACACCGCACTTTCCCTCTGGTTTGAAAAGAACTTTCGTACGGAACTGGAGTTCACGCACCAAAATTTAGAGATTCCGTAGGTACTGGAACGATTCGAGCAAAAACGAATGAACTCGTACGAGAAATTTTGGGTTTGAGTGCATGCTTTCAGAGCGTGATGAAGGCAAGTTACATAATGAAGGTAGCGCGCCGCGCACTGACCCATAACCACAGTTGCATACTCTTGTTTATGCACTCTTGGTCACATGTGATGGGTGCCGCCACCTCGGTGCACCTTTGGGTACAGATGAATTTGTGGAACAATTCGTCGCATCCAAGGTCACCACCTGGTGCGAGGAAGTTGCACAGCTCACGACCATCGCTGCATCGCAACCACAAGCCACCTACTCCGCATTCACGCAGGGCCTACAAAACAAGCGGTCCTTCCTCTGCCGGACCTCTTCCCGCCGTCCCTTCTTGAACCGCTGGAACACGCCATCAGCGATCGGCTCATCCCGGCCATCACAGGTCAAGCTCCATCTGGGACAATTGTTCGCTGCCTACTCTCTCTGCCATGCCGGCATGGGGGACTGGGTATGGCAAACCCCTGTTCAATGGCTGAGCAGTACACCTCGTCAAGAAGGATCATGGCTAGCCTCGTGTCCGAGGCTCGCCTGCTGGCGCAGGAGTCATCTCTCGGCGACTCTCTGACTCAGCTCAGGACGGTCAAGGCGACGGGTCATGCCGAGATGCGGAGCGCGGCCAAGTCCATGTCTGACGCAATTCGCCTGGATCACCGAGAGCTGGCCCCTGTTCTCGACCTGGCCTCAGAAAAGGGTGCATCCAGCTGGCTGACCTGCCGCCCCCTCATCCGCCATGGTTTCACCCTCACCCAGGGCGACTTCCGGGATGGCCTGTGCCCCCGGTACGGCTGGACACCTCCTCCGCTCCCAGGCCTCTGCGCGTGCAGCAAGCCGCTGAATGTCACTCATGCCCTGTCGTGCCCGTTTGGTGGCTTCCCGACGCTGCGCGGCCGCCATAACGAGGTGAGGGATATCACCGCCAGAGCCCTGAGGCCGCTCATAACGTAACGGTGGAACCCCACCTCCAGCCCGTCACCGGAGAGGCCTTCTGCCATCGCACAGCCGTCACGGAGGAGCAGGCTCTGCTGCCAGTGCTGGACGTTGCGGCTAGTGAGTAGTGGTGTGGCCGATTCGAACGCATCTTTATCGATGTACGGGTGTTCAACCCCTTTGCGTCTTCGAATCGTGCCGCCTCCCTCGCTGCTAGCTACAGATGCCATGAACAAGAAATGTGCTATTCTCACGGATCGCCTCTCTCCTGGCTGAGAAGAGCAAGGAGCCATATGCGCGGGTTGTTGTCTCCTTGCTTCGCTGCCGCCTTGGGTATGCCCTGGTTCGTTGTGGTGCCGTGTGCCTGAGCTGCATGGCTCAAGGAGCATGTTTGCTCCTACCGTACCTGAGTCCCCTGCAGTGCTAGTGGTGGCTGAGGCACGCACCCAGTGAACCTGCAGTGATCCCACTGAGTCTGAATCATTACTATTTTTTTAAAAATAATCCATCGTTTTATGAAGAATATGCTGGGGCAGGGGGGGTTATACTCGCTCTTGGTTTTATGTACCGGTACGGTACTTCGAAGTAATTGTATTTTTTTAAGATATAGGGGGGGGGGGGCGGGGTACTAATACGCTGTATACGCGTATACGGTAGCGTCTGTACAGATTTCAAAAAATATTTTCATTTCGAGTTGGGAGAAATCATAACACAACACACTTGTAAACTTACTTACTTCGAAAGAGGAAGAGGAGGATTGAGCGCAAGAGGAAAACTTCATATCTTCACTCGTTGATGACGAGTCAGGCCAGTGCTAGCTGAGTGGGAACTACGAGCAGCTGCGCAGATCTGTGCGGTTTGACCCCAGCACCAAATCACTGACCTCAGGATCAAACTTTGACCCTTGGCCTTGAAGTTGAAAGTATTATAATAGTTGGATTGGCCTTCATCTGTTTTTGCCTTTTATGGATCGCAAGAGGCCCAATGAAAGGCTGCAAGCAGCCTCAAGATTAGCTTTGACATTCATTGTACTTATTCATGTGTGGATTGCTTGCGCTGGAGCATCACTGCTGGCCAGCAGTAAATTAACGATATGCGAACGAAATGTCCCAACCAACACGGATGCGTGGCTGAATTGCAACCAAAGACTGCTTTCGACGCTTAGTATCCGAAACGGACAGGTAAATATACTTCTTTTTCTTCTCTTTTGATGCATATTAGAGACATGTACATGCATGATGATTGTACTTGTACTGAAGTTGTGTAGGTCTGAACTCTGAAGTACAATGGGTCATATGGTCATGTAGGATTTTCATCATTACTAATACGAGCTCCATGCCCCAAAATGCCAGAGAAAAACTTCTAATTATCCGGACCGTGATTCTAATAATTATCCAAACATGTCCCGACAACATAATTATTATGTACAGTCATGTACGTATGGTTGATAAATATGGTGGTAAAGACACACCTGGCAATATGGCGGTAAACACACGCCTGCCCACACACGCTCTCTAGGCTGCAAAGTTCTGGCACAGAGCTCTCCTTCTCACCACCACCACCATCAGTTCGCGCCTGGCGCCTGGTCGATGCATGGCTGGCGGTATCCGGCATAGCAGTCATGTACGTGTATGTGAAAATGCTCGCATTGACACGCGCAGTGTGACTACGCACCTTAGACACAGATTTAGTGGACACTGACTGCTTGCGCATGCAAACCAAACTGATTTGCAAAATATAAAGTGAACTTCTAATTACCGGTATGTTTGCTAACTTCGAATTATCAGCCCTAATCCCACACATTTTCTACGTAAGTGGATTCGGCGAGACTTCTAATTAACCGGACATACCCAGTTCGAGGTTCGAATTATCAGAAATTGTTATGTGGAAATCGTATTGATAGAAATCGGTCCCGGAAGAAACGTCTAATTAAGCAGTATGTTCTAATTAAGCAGTATGTTCTAATTAAGCCATATTCGAATTATCAGGATTCCACCTGTACTTTCAAGGCAAGTACACAATATTGGGCTACACAGTGCAGCCTGATTGTTCTCTCTGTAGTATCCATATGGCAATAGTTGTTGATGAGTGAGTTTGCGTGTTGTGTCTGTTAAAAATGATGGGATTCCACTCTCTCCCCTCTCTATGCGCCTTTCATGTTTTTTTTAATGCTGATATGGAGACTCCCTCGACAGGCCTTCCGAGGCCTCTGGAGAACCCTGAAGTAAATTAATTGCAAAATTTTAAATGACACTAGGAACACTACCCTGGGTGCTTTCTGTCCTTATCACAGGGAGCGACAGAACAGCTCATTGCTACAGTCGAGAAAGTACATGATGACATCTCGGGAAGAGAGGCGTCTCTGGCACGCCCGCTGCGCATCACTGCAACGAAGTCCCGGTCACTGGTCACGTACAATCTGGCCACATACACCAAGGGTGGCCAAGAGGACCAGTATCCGGACGGACCTAGCCTTGGCGTAAGTGCCAAACACTGGGCATTCATGCCTACATATCCACATACCCCCATACCCCACTAAACACGTCCAAGAATCGATGCCTACTTGCAGGAAAGCGATTACTTCTTCATGCTCGTTCTGGACCCTGCTGAAGTCAGATTTAGGCCCGTGTGCAGCTAGGTGATGGTTCCTGTCTGTGGGCCAGTGCTCACAGTGCACAGAGAGCAGAGTGACTGACTCATAGAGGAATAAAAGGTTTTGTTGTTGTAGTCCATATCTCATCGTGATGATGATTTCTGATGACAGTCACATGAAAACTGCGTTGGAACGTGTACAATATTGTTGTTCTGGTGGTGTTGTTTGGTAATAGCGTTGCTTCGGCTGTACCTTGTTTACAGGAAGTGAACCATTTACCCTACGAGGAAGTGATCTACACCACCGGTCGGTTACCTTCCATTGGTGATGCCGAGGAGCCAAGGTATGATTGCAAGGATGGCTACAATGATCCACAGGTAGCCTGCGACTTTAAATTTCTCTGGAATGGTACGAGAATCTTTGACAGTCAGGTATGTTCTTTTGGCTTGGTCTTCCGTTACAGTCTGGGTGCAGGCTAATGCCACGTCATCCTGCAACCACTTAATGTACACATGCAAGTAATAGTTGAAGTCCTGAAATTGGTCCAATGTAGTCCTTCTAACATACAGACGTGTCCAGTATTCCATACTAGTTTGTTGTGCCTGTCATACCGTTGGAGTAGTTATGCTGTGGAATCTCCAGGGACTTGAAATAATCAGCGTTGTAGAGTGCGGCAGATGCTAGGCAGCCATCTTGTCTATGCTTTTGTACCATTGTGATTGTTAGGCCACATCATAGAATGTGTATTTTGATTTTAAAATTTAATGTCAGTGTGCTCCCTAAAAGTAACTTGTTTATTTGGGTTGGCCGGCAAATTTGCCATTGGATTTGACTGATTCCTTGTCTTGTGGAATTCTTCCATGTGTTCCCTGTGCATCCCACATACAAACAATTTCTGTATATACACCAGGGTGTCAGAAGGTACTCTACATTGGTGCGACTAAGAAAAGGCGGGGTCCTAGGGCCCTCCCCGGAAAATCTTTTTGCAGAATGGGGCCCAAATAGCCCATGTTTCATTGCTTCAAAAAGAGTTATGGGAACGAGCTTGTCAGCTCGAATGCCTTTCTTCGGAATCTTTTATTGCGTCATTCTTTGGCAGAAGTAGGATGAAGTGCGTATGCCTTCCCGCGCTTGTTGTGTAGATACGGTGAGAGATCATCAGGTTCAAGACATCCACAATATCATTCGTTGTTCTGCTTCGACTACCGTCGCTGTATAAATGTACAAATTATTTGTACTTAGATCTCTGGCTACGCATGATGGCATCATTGAGCCAAACCGCCGCCAAAGACTGATGTCATAAAAAAATTCCGCCGTGGGCTGGGGGATCGTCGAGTTGCACACTCTTGGTTATGTAGTATATGTACTCTTGTTAAGGCTAACAGTCCACCACGGTAGCGAGATCTTATACAGTCATCTTCATGGCGCATCCCGTCCCCTCATTGGAACTGTCCGCACCTGAGCCTTCCAAGTTGGAAGGTTGTTGGTTTGTGCTTCGTAGATGTGTTGGAGCTAGGTGTCAGATCGTCGAATGTCTCAATATCGTGTCAGTTTTGTGCCTTGTTATCGCACTATCTGACTGTATAAGATCTTGTTACCATGGTGGACTGTTAGTCTTAAGTAGTAACTTATTGGTCCTTTCTCTTTACTTATAAAATTATTACCGTAAAAGTCCGTAAATAAGTACGTATTTACTTTCGAATTTAGTAACCACACCCGTACTAACTTTTGGGCGGGTACTGACTTTCGGGCACGAACTAACTTTCGGACCTGACTTGTGTGTAGTGGAGAAGTCGTTTTCATGTCGATGTACATGCTACGTGCTGCATGTGCTCACCGTACCGGTACTTATTTCGGGCAGTATGTTTATCGGGCTTGACTTGACTTCAACAGACAGAGCCAAAATAATGAAGGGGGTATTTCTTTCGGGCAGGTACTTATTTACGGAATTTTACGGTAGTGCGGCTTTGGCCGCAACTGCCGCACTGGTTCCGGCGCCCCTGTACACTCAGTTTTCATGTTCTTTTCTGAGGTTTTCACCCTACTTTGTGTGTTGGTGTATGCCTGCAGGGTATATGCTGCTTTTGTACCGATGATGAAATCAACAATCTTTCAAACCATTTCCGACGCTCAAACTTGAAGTGCGAGGATGGTGGCATCGGATTCGAACCCATCAATGCTCCTAGACCGATATTGGATTCAGCCCATTGCCTGCGCTTCTCACCTCTAAAGTAAGTGACAGAGGACTAGAGAGGATAGTGATGTGCCGGCATTACATAAGATCTGCGTGTCTCACAGTCTGCAGCAATCGATGGCATGTCATTGTTAGTTGAACCCAGTTACTTCCTGAGGGATGATATTTGAGATAGCATAAATAAGGGGTAGTCAACCTAATGCTGTCATTGAGTGGCCGAGTATCCAACATACTCAGAAATGTATCAGGTAGTCAGCTACGCCTCATGACCTAGTCCAGACTGGGGACGCATCAGTCCATGTGGCAGTGGAGGTGGTGCTAGTGATGTTCAAATTTATTCAAGGCGCGATAGCTCTGTCCCAACCTATTGCTGCCAGACTGTCAATTGTACTAACACGCATGGTGCGTATGTCATTGCTGAGCTTTGCCAAAGGCATATGACATCAATTGTAGTGCTAATGCATAAACACTCATACATGCACCTCGCGTATCCGGGCGTTCCGGGACTGCGTGTAACTTTTGGTTTGTCCGTGACTCTGAATCACATACATTTTGATTGGGAAAAGGCCATAGATATGGCATAACCATTTCCACAAGAAGTGACAAAAGAGTAGTAATATCTCCACTGAAACTCGCCCAAAGTGTGCAGTGAACCGAAGTGCCCATAACTTTGGGGTCCGGATAACCGAGGTATGAGTGTATTTCTTCTCTGCCTGGTTGGGGTGGGGTGGGGGATCGTATGAACGTGATCATGGGTAAGCGGCTGCAATGACATGGGGAGGGGGCAACCCAACCGTCAGGCATCACCGCAAGGTGTTAGTCACGGGTGAGCGGCTTCCACACCTGGCGGAGACAAGCATACATTGTAGGTCACAGGTACTAGGTGAGCTTCCGTTTCCTGGATATGGTCTTATTACCATGCATATCCAGTGGATTCTCAGCAAGGTGAGACAAAATGAGAGCCTATGAGCGCATGCTCTCTCATTACCAGGTTTGTCAGCCACGCATCGTTGAACTTTCTTCGCGCTATCGCGGAAATTTCAGAATTCGTCACACATGTACATATGCTTTTACTCATAGTCTGTTTCACGGTATTGTGCTAATACAAGATCTTTTTGTGTACTTTCACTCTATTGTGCCATGCAGCTATACCATTCTGTCTATATCTGAGCCATACGTGGAGTATACAATTAACATTGCTGTTGAAGAATTGCAGCAGACGCAAATCACAGCCGGACAAGCCCCACAACAAACGTACAAGCGTCTCAGCGACATCAAACTGAGTCCATTTCAGCCAGTGGGTGCATCCCCTGGCAGGAGAGTAAGTTGTAACTTGTGCACAGTTGATTCGCATGCCGCTGAATGCAGCTGGCTGCGTATTCGGGCTAGGAAGGATCAGGGCTGGAGCTATCAACGTGTATGTGGGGCAATCTTGACCCCTCCTGCAATTTTGGGGATTTATTGGACAATTTGGTAATACAGAATACGTATACTAGAATGCTATGGTTGACTCTTCCCACTGATGTTCTGTGCAGGTCGTGGCTGAGGTTGTCGGGGACTTGTTACCAGCTCGATCATTTTACGAACTTCAAAACAAGTTCTTGCTCTTCCCTCGGTTTGATCAATTAAATCTTCAGATTATTCGGGACCATCCTGAGTATATCGATCAGTTCAACGTGAGTAACTCAATGCAAAATTGCTAACAGTAATTGAATGGCACCAGTTTAGTTGTTCTCTGGACCGTCCGATGAAAATACAGTCTTAACCCCTGCACCCGTCAACATGCAAGCACCTCCAAGCGCACCTGCACGCCCAGCTTGGGCACTCGTGCACTCATGCAGCCAGACACAAGCGCACACATGCACGCACACGCCACTGGTGTACCCATGCTCTGACACGCAGACACCCGCACAACGTACCGCTCACTATGGCGTGCACAAACATACAATAGACACATTGGGTTGGGGGTTGCCATGATTTCTTTTGGACAATTCAAATATTCAAGAATATGCTCTTTGATAATAATTGATTGAGTAAAGATGCATGCCTGAAACTAGCATCCGCCCGCCAAGGGCGCCCAAATGGCCACCGCGGCCCGCCGCGGGCTAAACTAGCATACTGCCCACCGAGGGCGCCCAAATGGCTGAACTAGCCTACTGCCCACCGAGGGCGCGCAAATGGCCGCCGAGGCCAGCAAACCGCCCGCCGAGGGCTAAACTAGCATACTGCCCACCGAGGGCGCACACATGGCCGCCGAGGCCAGCAAACCGCCCGCCGAGGGGTAAGCTAGTATACTGCCCACCGAGGGCGCTCAAATGGCCGCCGCGGCCAGCAAACCGCCCGTCGAGGGCTAAACCAGCAGACAACCCATCGAGAGTGCGCAAATTGCCACCGAGGCAAGCAAACTGCCCACCGTGGGCCGATATCATCTTGCCCACCGAGGCCAGCCAATCGCCCACCGAGGGCTCACACGACTGCCTGGCATCAGGCGTCACAACATACAGACATAATAGGAGGCCCGTTTGCCCCAAAAAAGATAGTAGTCCTAGAAACCATGGCATTCCGTTCCCCGCAACCCACAACGAGCTAGCTTTGTGACCACAGCTGCAGGTGCCGCGAATTCCTCACATTAATACCGCGCCCGTGCAGGCATACACACACTAGTTATCATGGCGAGCGCCGCTCAATAACTTACAAGCTAGGCATCCCGGCTGCCTGCCGCACATAACGTTCGCATGCAGAGCTTCTCCAGCGGCCCGCCCGCTTTACTTGCCATTCACTTGCCCCACGCTAAGCCATGAGTGAAGCGCCACTGATACGCATGGAGTGAGAGCTGACCTCGTTCGTCCTCAGGGCTAGCCGCAGAATCTTGGTCAGTTCCTCCCTGGTCAGAAACCGGCCAGACGCAAACACAAACACTGGCTCCGTCGCCTCTCTCTGACCCGCAAGGTCCAGATAGGCGGTCAGGGCACGCACAGGGCAGAAGTCGTCGCGCGTCTCGCGCAGCTGTACTTGGCCGCCGTCACCCAGCTGGGCTGTCTTCGTCACCCGCAAGCGGACGACTGCCGATGATGCCTGGACGCTGATGTGCTGCCAGGTTAGCGTGCGCGTGCTATCGACTCTTGTTGCATGCGGTGCCAGGAACTCACTCGCCCGCAGGAGGCCGTGGAACGCTGTCCAGACACTGGCCCAGATCATTGCGCGGTCCGACTCGCTGTAGTTGGACCGGAGTAGGAAATGCTGTAAGTCGGCCAGATCTTGCCCAGTGAGACCTCTCCGCGTCGTGGTTGCGGGACCCTGCCTCCTCTCAAGGCCCTTGAGAACTGCAGAAAGACGGACGGACTGCATACAAGTCACAGGAACACGCTTGCACAGCAAATGATACCGTACCGCTGACAAATACACACGCACAGTCGCCACACACCTCGTACGAGACAGCTCGGTAGCAAATAATACGATATCCTCCTTAGAGGGTGCAAGGGGATTGACAATATGTTTAACGCCATAATCATTGAAGGCATCAATGCCAGTGGAGAACGTTCTCGCTGAGCGTTCTGACGCTGAACCTGCTACAAGGGCATCAGCCTCGAGGCCTAGAGCAGCACGGTCGGGCAGGGGCATGGCACTGGCGAAGCAGCCGCCGTTGGCGCCAGTTGACGGAAGCGGGTCAGCTGCAAGCGAGAAAGAGCATCAGCAATGCCGTTATTAGTACCAGCAATATGGCGGATATACAATATGAAATTGTGCCTAGCGGCAACAGCTAACATAAAGCGGATCAACGCCATGGCCTGCTTGTTCCTACATGAACCATTCTTCCAAGCTCTAACTACCGCCTCGTTATCGCAATGAAACAGCAGCTTCTTCCCTGCCCAGCACGGACCCCAAATGCAGCAAGCTAGGGCAATGGGAACCATTTCTCTAACCATAATAACGCTTAGCTGAGGAGATTCAAACTCCTCCGGCCACTTCCCAAAAAAACAGTCGCCCTGGAAGTAGCCCCCGTAGCCCTCGCCGGAGGCATCTGTGAGAAGCGGGTCAGCTGCAAGCGAGAAAGAAAAAACTTTGACTTGACACAGAAACTGCAACTGCAAAGAATGCTCCTTCGCACAAAGACAGCTCAGGAAAACACGTCTCCAAATAATTAGACGCCGGATCCACGATTGTCCATAACATTTTGCCAGGCCATACACGGCGCACACGGCTTAATCACGAGGTGGTCACATGACACGCACTCGCAGCACTCCACCACCAGCATGCGTGTGCATGGGCTAACTAGGCTTTGCTGCGCAAAGCCCACATATAATGTGTGTGGATTAAGACTACTCTAGCTCGTAAGCAAATTGATAGGTTTATTATTATAAGAAGAAAAGAGGACCAAGGAGCTAAAAGTCATGGTGTAATACCCACATGCATGCATGCATACACACAATAAAACTTCTAACAAAAAAAACACACACGTATGCACACTTATCCGGACGCACTCGCACACACACACACACACACACACACACACACACACACACACACACACACACACACACACACACTCAGACTCAGACATGCCCATCGCGGAAGCGATGATAGCGAACAGCTATGTCAGATATAGCAACTTGTGCTGGGATTACACCATTCAACAGCTTGCAAGGCTGATGAATTAACCGCCACTAATTTTAGCCTGGTATCCACCACACAGCTGATTGAAGTGGCACACACACACACACACACACACACACACACACACACACACACACACACACACACACACACACACACACACACACACACACACACACACACCTTGAGTCACCTTGACTAACTGGATGACAGAAATATTTTGACAAGGAAGTTCAGTTGATGACACGAGGCAAGGCAAAGCGGCCGCGTAAGCCTTTATTTTATTCGTCCGCCATTCTCGGAAAATTATTTTATATTCCTCATGTGCCGTGTGACAAACCCGTGACCAACACGTGCATGCGTGGGCTAACTTGGCTTTGCTGCTCAAAGCCATCATCTAACACCACCAATTACTTTATTATTATAACAAAAATTCACTCACGCTTTTCCATTCCCTCCATTGAACAGTGAACAAAAAAATGATACTGTTTTTTGAACCTGGTAAAATTAATTTCATTGGTCAATGTGTCGTCAGTGGTTCTATTGCCGACGTTGGCCTTCTCCGATCTCTCGCTTGATCTCTCACGTTCACTTCCACACAATTGTCCCACACCCCGGGGAAGAACGCATTTGACTTCACTCCAAGGAGAGTTTCAGGAAAGAACCAAGAAGAAAGGCAATAATGCGTGCATTATAATGAATCACGCACATGCGTGCCGTGGCGCAACCTGCGCAGTCCGTTCGCGGTCCGCACGGACACAGCTCCAAAAGGGGACCTTGTAGAGGTCACAAAATACACACAGGCCAAAAGGGGACCTCGTAGAGGTCACGGACAACATATGGCCGCACGAAAAAATGCACCAAGGAGGAAAAAACAAAACGAGAAGATGACCAGAGAAGAAGACAGGAAGACGAAAGAATTAAACGCGAACAACATACACAGGCGAGTATAAAACAAAACATGCACAGACGAGACCGTTGGGCAAGTGACGAGTAGGCCGGGGGGGGGGGGGGGGGGGGTTAACAGCAGTCGGGAGCCCCGCGAAACTGTGCGTCAATGAACGAACCTGCAGGCAACGGTTTCACAGAGGACCCCGGCTGGCGTGCTGCTCCACCTGCATATGCCCTATCTTTGAAGGGATCTTTCCAGAACAGCACCAACCTAGGACACCACTCAACCAAAGAAAACGACGAACGAAAAATGCAAATGCAGGAGAAAACATAACAGGCTATGCAAATTCATTGTGACAATGAATGTCAATCAACGAGACAACGTCCGACTCTACAGTGGGTGGGGAGGGCGCACTGTCCGGTACTCCGATAGCCAGTGAAGGAACAGCGAGGGCAGCACGATGCTGCTCGGCGGGCCCAGCGTCGCTGGTGAGAGTGGCGAGACCGTCGGCGGCGAGGCACTGCTGGCGCTGGTGCTGCTGCCATCACCGGCTGGAGAGTGACCGGGTGAGAAGCCGGACGCAGGTCAGTAGGAAAGAATCGGAAAAATTTCTCCCACTCCGCTATCACCTCCATGACCGGAACAGTATGAAGCCAAACATAGTCCCCGGATTATATCATGGGCCTATCCATTATACACTGACTTAGCCACCCTGTGCGCGACACCAAGGCGATCACGTACAACGCCAAAAGCCCGACCCAAAGACGACCGGAGATTAGACACGTACACGGGTAAAGGGGCTTCAAAGGGGGTATTAGGTGGAGGTAAGAATACGTCCATGGGTATGCGGGCTTCCCTTCCAAACAGCACAAAGTGGGAGTAAACCCTGTAGGCCGGTAGACCGGTGGATCGGTGGACACCCGTGTTATACGCAAATTGTACAAGGGAAAGATGTCTATCCCAGGAGGTTTGGTCACCCTCTACGTATGCACGAAGAGCGACCTAAAGGGTGCGATTTGCACGCTCCACTAAGCCATCGGACAGCGACCAGTACGGGGTCGTGTGGGACTTACACCCTCCCCCCCCCCCCCCAACAACTTACAGAGGCATGACATCTCAAAATTAGGGTTCTGATCAGAATGCAATGGGCTAGGGACACCAAACTTCATGAACACAAGGTCGACCTAACGGTCCGCTACCGTCTCTGCTCTCATATCCTGAAGGGGAATAATCTCAACCCATATAGAAAAAATTGTCACCAACCACCAGAATGTGTTTATGACCACGAGCAGTTAGCGATAGAGGTCCTATAATATCCAAGGCCACGACTTCAAATGAACACGAACAGTACCGAGCGGGGCTTTTGCAGCCCTGGGCGGATCTTTGCCACGCTCACAAAACCGTACAGCATTAGCAAAACACCGAGACATCGACCGACATCCCCGGCCAGTATGCTACCTTGCGAAGCCGAGCCAATGTGCGGTCGTAACCAAAATGGCCAGATGCGCGACTGGCGTGCGCCTCGGCTAGAAATTGGTGATACAGAACCACCGGAACCACTAACTGGTGCGCAAGCGATGGTTATGTGCCACGTTATAAAACACCGTCGACCATAGTCAAGTTCTCGGACTGAGAAAGGAGAGCACTATCGCCATCTTGAACTGGCCGAGCGGCTGCCAAACGTTCTAGAACGACACGTAACTCGGCATCATCCTGTTGACTGTTGAGCCGGTCAGTGTCGAACTACCGATTCAAACCATCCGCATTGCCATGTTGTACTCCGGGGCGGTGTTCTACGGTGAAGTGAAACTGCCCTAACATACTGAGCCATCTGGCAATCTGACCTCGGATTTTTGAAATTCATTAGCCAGCTCAGGCTACCGTGGTCCGTATGAAGCAAAAATTGGCGCTACAGAATGTATGGTCTGAAGGTTCGACAAGCCCAAACCACTGCTAGCAATTCCAACTTAGTAATTGTGTAGTTTCATTCATCCTGCGGCCGAGCAGGACGGACTGATGTATGCTGCTGGTCACTCTGGACCATCGCCGGAGATCTGCAAGAGCACCGCACCTAAGCCTGAAACGTGTGGACACCAATGCCAGTGGATTGGTGTCCACAATAAAAGGCAGTGAAAAATCTGGGAATGGCAGAATGGGTGCCTCACAAAATGCTTTGCACAACTGCTGGAATGCAGCCTGATGTTCCACTAACCATACAAAAGAAACGTCCCTGCGGAGCAGATCATACAGCGCATGGGCTACAGTCGCAAAGCGGGGAGTAAACCGGCGATAATACGAAGCAAAGCCGAGAAAGGGCCTGAAGGGACTTTAGAGTGTTAGGTGTCTTCCACTCTCGTATGGCCTGCACCTTTCCCGGATCAGTTGAGATCCCCGCAGCCGAAACCACATGTCCTAGGAAATGGACCTTTCCTAGTAAGAGATGACATTCTCAGTCGGTAGAGCGTGAGACTCTTAATCTCAGGGTTGTGGATTCAAGCCTCATGTTGGGCGCCAATTGTTGTCGGGGGTTCTATTCCCGATGATGGTCTTCTCTGATCTCTCGCGTAATCTCTCACGTTCACATCCACACAATCATCCCACACCTCAGGACAGAATGCACTTGACTTCACTCCAAGGAGAGATTCAGGAAAGAGCCAAGAAGAAAGATCAGAATGTGTGCATTATAATGAATCATGCGCATGCGTGCGGTGGTGCAACCTGCGCAGTCCGCGCGTGGTTCGCACGGACACAGCTCTAAAAGGGGACCTCGTAGAGGTCACGGACAACAACTGTGCATATGCTTGACAGAATATTTTCGCGGTTGAACCTTGTCCTGTTTGTTCTCACTCTCGCCTCATGCTGTGCAGGCAGGTCAGGACGGCTGGATAGTCATAGACAAGAAGGATGTGGATGTCACTGGGAAGACGTGCAACAAAATCGGCGTCGGCTTCATTGGATTTTCAACGCAAGAAAGCGCGTGCGTATCACCTCAGGGTACTTGCCTGGAAGCCCAGCCAGCCCATATCTGGGCAGACATGCAGAAGAACTTGGCCAAGGGCATTGTGACTGAGAACTTCCTGTCCTACTACAACATTGATACGTTCTACTTTCCGCCTCACGGTGCATGGCTACCACAATCTGTCTCACACACTGACACACAAACACGCAACACTATCGTTGCTCTTCAGATTGATGCACAGACTCTCAGCATTATCCGCAGCCGGTAAGTTTAGTAGCAGTGTCAGCTACGAAAACGTGCTGCGTCATTTTTAGTCTGTTATTAATTTTACAGTCTTCCAGAGTGGTCTACGATTTAGAGACTTTGAAGTGCGTGTGTGCGCACATGTGTGTGTGTGTGTGTGTGTGTGTGTTTGTGTGTGCGCACGTGTGTGTGTGTTTGTGTGTGCGCACGTGTGTGTGTGTGTGTTTGTGTGTGCGCACGTGTGTGTGTGTGTGTGTGTGTGTGTGTGTGTGTGTCCCATATGGTGCAGTGGTATGTGCAGCGATTTCCAATCGATAGGTTGCGGGTTCGATTCCCGACGATTATGGTCACACACGTCTTTCTTCTCTTTCTCAGACTCCTCCTGACTTTTCTTTCATTCTCCTGGGTGGTTACCAACAGCCAGTGCGTGCCGGAGTATGTGGTGTAATGTGTGTGCGTGAAAAAAATGAAAAAGACCAAGAAGTAGGAATTCACTGGCCAGAAAAAGCCACTTCATAGCTGTGTGGTGTAGACCAGGCTGAATAGTGGCAGTCAATTCTTCAGCCTTGCAAGCTGTTGAATGGTGCAATCCCAGCACAAGCTGCTATGGCTTCTGCTGTAGCATCGCTATCATCGCCTCCGGCGATGGGCGTCAAATGGTGTGTGTGTGTGTGTGTGTGTGTGTGCACGTGTGTGTGCACGTGTGTGTATGTGTATGTGCGCACTTTGAATGCCTCGACAAAATGTGATGCTGCCTCTACTATTGTTTATGGCTGCAGGAGTGCAGGCAAGATCATTGATACGTTAACCACTAACGTCACAGCACTGGAGAAGGGAGGACGGCTCAGTGTAACTGTGCAAAACGTTGGCAGTGTTGCAGCGGACTTCTATGTGAGTCCACTTGCATCCCTCGTGCCTGTCATCAGTTGTACAAGTACATGTAGGGTCAAAAATGACTCAAAATCAACTTTACAATGAATGACTGATGTCTTTAACTTTATAGAAGAATGGTATGTCTAGTATAATTTTGCACTAGTTTGCATTGTTTCTTTACAACTGGTGCTACAGTGTGATGCATGTTGAACTTCAATTGGCCTTTCCCTGCAGATCTCTATTGGTGGATGCCTTGGTAATCTTCAGCCAGTACCTGCCCAGGCAGTTACCTTGGAGGTACAGCAGACCAGCACTCTCGTATTCGACCTGGAGACATTTGACTCGGAAGGCGGTGTGGCTTCCTGTACAGGTACGGTAGTTGACATGATGTTATGCTTGTTTGTTTGTTTAGCTTTATTTTACTTCACCATAGGCACAGGCAACATCTGCCTTCTCACTGGGTGCACTGCTACAGTCCTTGCAAAATGATAAAGCTTGTGAATAGTCATTTCCGAGTGCCTTCAAAGGTCTCATTCAGACATGATTTCTTTGATGAGACGGTGGGACTGGGTGCAGCTATGCTTTTACTTGCTTGTGCTATGGTTTATATCACATCTTCTGGACTGATATCGCCTTTGTGAAATCACATTCTATTATTCTGCAATAAGCTGTCCGTCCCTATTGTTGATGTGTCCAGTCACTCTCCAGGACCAAGCGTATGAGGTTGTTGACAACCGCAGGGTAAACTTCACCATAGAAGAAACCTGTTTTTGTTTCCAAGAGTGTGGCTGCACAGTAAGTGGTTGGAAGCTTCAAGTGGCCTGTAGTTAGCGCTTGCAGGTCTTTATTATTATTTTGTAGAGAAAAGAATTTGAGTTGACACACCTATTCCCACAGTGCTGCAAATCTGTACCAGGGAGTTGCATTAACCGGGAGCAGACACACCACTGATTCACGAGGATCCTGTGTGACACGGCTCATTGCCCATACAGGTGTTCCTTTGCTGCTGAGTACTTTTCGGCATAAGAATTCATGGCTTGAGAGACCACAAAACGACCATTTGGGAGTCAGTTATCTGTTTTGGGTATTCCTCGCCATATAACGACAGTTGACTAGAGCCATATCTTTTGTATTCCTGTTGTTTTGCGGGCAAAGCCTGATGATTTCCAAAACTTGGAAAGTCGGTCCTTTCTGAGATTCCCATGATTTTACTCAGGCGCTCCTCCAAGAATCGTGAAGTGCACGGCGTCCGTGCTTTTTCACGCAATGTCCCCTCCCAGATGTAGTGTGCGCTTCTCGTGGGCTGAGTATTCGAAAGAAACAAGAAGCAATGTTCTCTCGAACTTTGAATATTTGCGAAGCTTGTTTTATGCTTACCGGTATTATGTTGTGGCACGCAGTGCAGGTTGACGTCACTGTAGTGACGTAATCATTGTTGAGCGAGCGCTGTGAAACAGCGCTTGCGCAAAAAGATTGTCCTTCTTTTTGTCTTGCTTGTCAAAATTCCTGATTGGAATCGATGCCTTTGTAGAAAAACGGACTCAGCATGACACAGACAAATCCCTTCACGTCACACGGTGTTGTGTTCAGCATGCATGTGTTTGGGTATTTAAGTCTCACAAAACTCACTCCTTTTTTTCTTCTTTCTTTTTGTTCCTGGCCATTCTGGACAATTGATGCTCTACTGTGGCTATTTCTTGAGTATTGTATTTTTCATTACAACTTTCTTTGTGTACGATGCTTGTTATCTTCTTCCATTCTTGTTTCTCACTTGCTTTTGTAGGTACACCTCTACATGTACTTGTTGCATTGTTCTTGTAGTAGTTTCGACCTGTCCTTCGAGTAGTTATTTTCCTCTGCCTTGTGTTTTGCGGCTTTTGTATACCTTTCACTTATAGTGTGATGCAGGCGGTGTGATGTGTCCACCGCCTCGAATCACCCTCTCCAACAGTACCTCAACCGGCAGCCCGTTCACTCGCTTTTGGGACGGCGTTGGTGATTTCTTCGGCGGCCTCTACACAACTGTCTTGGCCGGATTAGCATCTACCGTCATGGGACTGGTCGGCCTTGGCGCACTCAAGGCATTGCTATCTCGGCTACCATGTAAGAACTTGTTGACGGTAGCATAGCAGCACAACATTGCCGTTACTTTGCAACAAAGTTAGTTGATGTTACAGTTGCTGCAGCTTCCCCATGGCCGTATGCTGGGAACCGCGTGTATGTACTAGTATACAGTAGAACAATTCAAAGTGGTTCCCGGCTTGCTGGACTCTGCATATCTGATATACTATACACCCACAGTAGTTTTGCATTATTTGGCAACACGATTGTTCTTTGGCTACCAGGCGTGCCCTGAACCAGTCGATCTACGTTTCTGTATTCATCAACACTTGACTACAGTAAAACCTATCAAGGCGACCATCTGTCCTAGAGAAGACCACTGAAACCAGGACCAAGGGATGCTATCCCCAGTCAATTGACCCTGGATAAGGAGACCACATTTTGAAGGTCCCTGGAGCGATCGCCTTAGACAGGTTTCACTGTATGTTGTTCATACACTATAATGTTCTCTGTATATGACCGGTGTGCGTATTGCAGCTTTTCCGACTGTCGGGTCCAAGCTGCCCAAAATTCCTAAAGGCGCGCCAACTTCAAACGGGACAGTTGTACAGCGAACAGCGCGCTGCACAGCGTGTGCCTCCGACACGACACAGGGCTTCTTTAAGAAGTAAGCAACGTGCCACCCGCACAGCATTGGCTTTAACCACAGCGCTCTACTGGGTGTTGCAGAAGCGGGCTTCTGTTTATAGTAGCTCTCCCCCCCCCCCCCCACACACACACACGACCACCACCACCAACCCTGCTAAAATTTCTGTGCAAATCACTGCACTCTGCCTTTTGCTACGCATTCCTAAGCTGTGCACATGTATCCATGTATGCGCATGCATATTGTGCACTGAATACCCGTAGAAGTGTACAGGAGAACCGGGCATTTGGCAACCAGTGCAACTGGCGACCAACCCACCACTGCGTTACCAACCACTTCAGCATGCATGGGTGCCGACAATGAACTGAGACAAGCTATCACCTGCTGAACGCAAGCAGCAACCCCATTTCTTGTTCTGACGTTGCTTTCTGACTAGCAGCTGGCAGCCAACTAGGGCTGAAACGATCGTGGGTTTTCACCTATCGATTACTCTTTAGCTTTTAATCAATTAATAGACTGTAATCGTTAGCAAATAGTGTCAGAATTCTGTGCAAACATTGCTCTGTTCCACAAGCTCTGTCCTCATACTACCAGAACATCTTCATAAGTAAAAGGGTAGCTCCGAAACATGGCAATTTTGAAGTCAATTGAACCTCAGAACATAAACCATACCCCTGGCAACTGCATACTCACAGGGGGAACTGATTCAAACTTCCCAAAAACGCGGTTTTCAGTACTTTTTGGACTCAAAATCCCTAACGAGTAATCTACCTACTTCCGCACATATAAGCGCATGTGCTTATGTCCGGACATAAGCACATGTGCTTTTATGTGAACACTATTGGTGAAAAGGCGGGAGCTGAATATACTTGTACCACTAACTAAGCACTGTGATAACACCATTGTTTAGGACACAGACAAACCTTTATTGCACATATAAGCGCATGGGCTTCTACCCAAACATGTTTACACAGTCAAAAAGAATTGCAGCAAATTTTCGCTTATAAGTGCATGCGCTTATATGTGGGGAAGTACGGTATAACGTAACGATTAGTTGATTAATAAGTCGGCGAGGAGACAAAAATCCTATCATCGATAGAAATAGTGTGTACCGTATTTCCCCAATTCTAAGCCGCACTCGATTATAAGTCGCACCCCCATTTCAGGTTTGAGCAATATTGTTCTGATGTATTGACTTCAGTTGTAAGTCACGCCCGATTGTAAGTCTACCCTTGATTTCTTTGTGTAAAAAGGTGCGACTTATATTCAGAGAAATATGTTACGCACTCATACCACGACACCAGAGGAACAATAAGTACGGATTTTAACGTCTTTTTCATGTGATTATCATCAGAAATCTTCATCACACTGAGGGTTAGGGCGCGTTTGGTTGGTACGATCTAGAACAGGATTGAACAGCTGGTGCACATGGAGCAGCCTCATGCCAACCAAACGGCGCTCCAGAAACAGAGCACATTTTTGTGGAAAAATGTGCCAAACTTGGTGCATTCTTCAAAATGTGTATGGGTCACCATGGTCACGTTGTACGGTACGACGAGTCCAACCCAAAAGCGTATGCACGTGATCATTTGGGACCAAAATCGCTGTTCCCGCCAGGTTTCACTGTGAAAAAGTGAAACTGCTCGGTCTGCTCCGGCCTCGAGGCCGGAGCAAGCAGAACATGTTCTGGCCGACCCAGAACAGGTGCAGTCCCAACCAAACGCGCTGTTCTGGTGAATCCTGTTCTAGTTCGTACCAACCAAACGCGCCCTTAGACTACAAAGGAACTATGTAGTATGAGTGCATACACATTGTTTCTATCGACTAGTTAATTGTTTAGGAATTATCGATCGATCACCGAGTAATTGGTATAATCGTTTCAGCCCTACAACCAACATCTTCAGTAGAAGTGTACTGGTTTTCACATTGCATGAATATTTGATGACAAGAATTGACCACAGTTTCAAGCTGCATTGGACAGTAGACTGCGTTAAAAAAAAAGTTGAAGCCACTCAGGCAATTTCTTCTCGATCACTTTAAGAGCGCTTTCCCATCAATGTTTCTTGGTACTCCGAGTCTCATGGCAGTTGGGCCAACCATCAGACAACGTAGTGAATGCTGACTACAGTCCATTCATAACGTTAAAAAGATGGACATCTAGCTTTTGGCCATAAATGGGTCAAACTTTGAGTTTTTTAGAATTTCTTTCTGCAAACCCCTGTGAATCTGCAAACCCCTGTGGAATATGTTTCTGAACTATATTTCTCCAAAAAGCAAGCCCTAACAAGAATAGGATTTCGGCCAGGTTTTGCCCCAAAAGCACTGGATTGGGAAAAACCATGAAAATCCACTCCGTTTGACTCTGCCTGCAACAGTGCATTGTGCGGTTTGAACCCCAGTCGAGGTACCTTTTTTGGACCTTTTCAAATTTCAAATTTCGCAGCACTGTACTATGTACAATATCACGAAAAATCGCCAAATATGGGAGTTCGCCAGAGCCAGGGCCCATCTTTTTATGAATGGACTGCAGGGTGCCTAGGAATATCATGGGGAGGTGCGCGCTAGAAACTGCAAGGTTGATACGCACAGCAGGAAAGATGTGATCGATCATGGGTGGCATAATGCAGTAGGTGAGGGACTGTCAGCGGTATGTGCATGAGACCAAGCAGCAGAGTGGGAAGTAGCAAGGAAATCTAGGCGATGGTGCAGTATAAACACACACGCACGCATGCACACAGACACACAGACATACACACATGCGGGCGAGAACGAAAAAATAAAACAAAACAAAACTCCATGCCGTGCTTCTGCGTACATGGATATGGTTCATGTTACCGCGTGAGCCAGTCGGAATTTTATAAATACCATGTTTATGTACACCATTGGTGAAGAAAAAGGCTGCTCCGAACGTTGAAGGTCACGCTTCCTGCCGAGTGCCGACCGACTTGACACTTCACTAACGAGCTCCAACATTTGGAGTAGCCACTTTTTCACAGATTACCACTGATGTTGCAATCTCTTAGTTCGTACCATGGGGTGGTTACTAGTATGCTGATGCCAAGTTTGTTTCTTTTCTGCCCATGGTTTACTCATTCTTTGAGCAACACTTCCCTCTTCTATTTTGTGTGTGTGTGTCCAGTGTGAAAAGTAGACAGAAGGTGGACTTCTTGATGGCCCTTCTCTTCTTTGTCGCTCTGCCAGTCATGGGTCTCTTCTGGCTGCTCAAGCGCTTCGTGTCAGCACTGCGGGAAACTTTCGAGCAAGTGTACGCCGAACGTGACCTACTCATGCGAAAGTCGGTGATTGTCATCCGGCTGCAGGAGGAAAAGGACAAGACGGCCGGCTACTTGGGAGACGCTCACTGTGAAGAGACTAATGATGTAACTCGTACGTTTACTGGCGCGGTACCATACTATGTTCATTGCAATCTTCTAGGCACGGCATGCTGGTGGTGGCGGCGGCGGTGTGTGCGTGCGTGTGTATGTGTGTGTGTGTGTGTGTGTGTGTGTGTGTGTGTGTGAGTGAGTGAGTGTGTGTGTGTGTGTGTGTGTGTGTGTGTGTGTGTGTGTGTGTGTGTGAGTGTGTGTATGTAAGTTAGTGTATGTGTGTAAGGGCCCGGTCACGCATGCACTGTAGAGTAGCGGCTCCGCTGGAGCGGCGCCACAGGAACGGAAAATACCGTGGCAACTGGAAAACGGAACTTCTGCTACAGCGGAAACTCAAATCCACTGCCTCCTAAATTTGGGAGCAGCAGTCTTGCTTCTACGTTTCTGCTTCAGAAAACACTGCGTTCTGCTGTGTATAAACTTGCTGCGACAACTGTGCATGCGTAGGAAGTGCATTCAATAAAAATGTGTGGAAGATATTCAGTGTCCACATGGATTTACCATACCATATGCAGCACAGTCTACTCCGCTCTTGCTGTTCCGCTAAAACAGGCGCTTGCCCTTTCTGTATTTGTGACCATACACAACTGGCTCCGCTGGAGAGACACATGCCTCCCTGCCACTGAAGCAGAACCCCCTGTGCATGTGTGACCGGGCCCTGAGTGCGTGTGTGCGTGTGCATGTGTGACCGGGCTCTGAGTGTGTGTGTGTGTGTGTGTGTGTGTGTGTGTGTGTGTGTGTGTGCATGTGTATGCACTGCCTCCCTATCAATGGGGGCAAGCATTTCATTTTTTTCTATGTAAGTCATCGACTTCACGATCTTGAATAAGAATGAAGTGAGACTGTGAAAAACCTATGGGCCCAGATTTCGCGAATGGACTATAGTACTTCGAGTACCGTAAAGTCGCGGATAAAAGCCAGGCTTATAAGCACATAAGCCGCTTTCTGCTTCAGGCTTTAATGCAAACCAGGCTTGTATGCAACCATGCTTATATGCACCACTGATATTTTTGCCAGGCGTGTACGAGCGTAGATCTACCACTGACTACCGGTATGGCGGCAGTTTTACTATGTACCGTACATAGCGCACGCACTCTTGACCTACCCAATCCGCGCTTGCATAGAAGCCAGGCTTCTACGCGCGACAGGCTTCTATGCATTTGACCCGTTTGATTCTCAGGCTTCTATCCGCGATGTGCTTGTATGCAAACCCGGCTTTTATCCGCGACTTTACGGTATGTGGGATGAATTTGCCGGCTGTGGTTACATCGTGTCTATTTTCACTGAACTCCCTTTTGCCGTTAGCATCTCACCTGCTCTTCAATATCGCGGAGCTACCGAGAAACTTGGCTGAGCGAGAGAAGCATGACCTGGCACTGTATCTATCAGCCACCAGGACACTAACTTCGCAGCATCGCTCTCAACCATATGCAGTCGAGGTGAGGTGCCAGTCATACATGCATGTACAGTGCATCGTGGCCAACAGGGGCGTAGCCAGGATAGTGATCAAGGGGGGTGCCAAGACTTTCCCCACACAAAAGTACAGTCATGCACTTATGTTGGTTCTTTCCTGCATATAGTTCGATCCGTGAAATGGGGGGGGGGGGGAGAGCAAAATTCGCTCCTTATTTGACGCTGAAGATCAATCATGGCAAATCTCCAACCAAGCAGTATAATAATTATGCTATTTTTACTACACCCCCTGCTTCCAACTAATGATGGACCGAGTCCTGGATGCTGCTTTCTCCAGATTTATCACACTCTCCATCGAACTTTTAAGGGGGGATTTCTGAAGCGTTTTTTCCTCCTCGCCATGTTTGATAGTGCAGTAATGCATTCTTGTTCAAACCTACACTATTCCCCACAAAAACGCAAAACTGTACTTCAAAGTCACTTTCACTCTTCTGATGCTGTACCCACACTTGCAATACATGAAAGAAACTTCTTTGCCTTTCCACAACCAACGCGACCAATTAACTGCCAGAACTACATTACACAAAACATAGCGAAAACAAACGGCTATGTCTGACGTGTGCCTTGCATAGACCGTGTTGCTACTTCCTTGCTTCAACCCATGGCGTGTTTCAACGGTATGATTCTTTGTTTCAAAAAAAACATGTGGAGTGCGATGCAAATCATGTGCTGAGCTTGCTGAGGCCTGACGTGACATTGCACAGCGGCAGGTACGAAGCGGAGTTCCCTTGACTAGAAATTGCATTGCAAAAAGGCCAATCATGAGACATAAATAATAGTCAACTGCATGTGGATTGGTTTCAGATACATTGTACTTGTACTTGCAGGTCTGAACCAGGGAGTAGTACCTACTACTTGTATTACCTGGTCTGAACAGGGATGGCTACAGTGTGCGATGTGAAGAGTGGCGCATGTGATCAGCGGTCCGCGTATTATGGTCTCTCTCTCTCTCTCTCTCTCTCTCTCTCTCTCTCTCTCTCTCTCTCTCTCTCTCTCTCTCTCGCACCAGCTGCGAACCAAGATCGAAATTTTTGAGGGGGTTGCTTTGGCACCCAAAGCACCCCCCTGCCTATGCCCTGGCCAATGATATCCTGCTTCATGAATAAGCCTTATGCACGTTGTACAGATGCACGAAATCTCATAGAATCTCGTAAAATCCTGAGAATCCCGTAGACCCGGTGGGGTGTTGCATGTGCAGGACCCTTTTTGGTTTACTGCTATTTCCACTAAGAAACAGGCCCTGTAAGCATTTCATACGGAAACTGTTTTTCCAAAAACGATCTAGCGAGTCGTTAGTTCTATCAAGCGATTGGTTGCCACTGATAATGAGGCTAAATTGTTCAAGTGTGCATTTTTTATAGCACACAATGAACACCCAACCGGGCATGTACACACCTACGACCCTAGTACAAAACTCCGTACATCTGTACAACGTGCATAGGGACCATGAATAGGACAGGGCCAGGGTTTTGTGGTGCCGGGTCCGTGCAGCCCCAGCAGGTGAGATACTTATAAGCTTGCATTTCACTTCCCTCCACTGTAGAGTTTGTCGTGCTCTGACTCTAACGAACTGCCCAGTCAGGAAAGTGGAAGTACCGGTACATGGCGTGGGCAATCAAGGCACCAATGTTATGTTCACCGCTTTGTGCTATCCCGGTGCTGGTGTTTGTGTTGTGCAGTTTGCCAGTCTGGATGCGTTGCTCTTGCACACTGGACTGGTCTATCTCAACTTTCCCAGCATTGTCTCGCAACACATTCTCTGCAGACTCAAGGTTTGTGTAAAGCAGGACACTGCATGTACCGTAAAGTACCGCCAGAGCGCCCCGTCTCGCGAGAGCGCCCCACCTTGATTTTACAGCCAAGGGAAGACAATCGTATGGCAGAATGCTACTAAGTTTGTACGGTGTGAGAACCTTCGTGTACTAAGGTCACACTTGTCATGCTTTATGTGGAGCTCGCATCCGCTTGAAAGTAAACTGGATACGGATTGACTGCAATAATATGTGTACAAGGTCCGTGTCGTATGACCTACAGACAGGAACCACCTCCACAAGACGACCACGAAAGGACGAGATGGTGGGGCGCTCTGGCGGTACTTTACGGTAATTCCCTGCTATAAGACGCTGTCCATTGGATGCTCGGCAAGTCAAAGGAGATTTTGTTGTTATCATGTAGGTATGGGTTGTGCTGGTAACTCAGTGACCTAAGTGTGTCTTAAACCACACACTTCGTTCGTGTAGTTGCTAGCACAACCCATACCTACATTAGTAATAGAAAAGTAAGGCTCAACACCTCCCCCAAAGACAGAATTACATTATACAGGCCACCTAATACTGCCGCGCAGCACGGCTGTCTGCGCGTAACCACTGTACAATATGGCGCCGATTAGCGCGGTTTACACGGAAAACTCTAAATACACACCGTATTTTGAAATTCAACTATGTTTTAGATAAACTGTCCCCGAAACTCATTCAAAGGGGGCAACTACGATAAGAAAACCCAAACTTTATTGAGTGATCGATCGCGAGGGGGAAATAGTTTGAAACTAATTTGAAAGCAACGGATCATTATTATTGACTCTCTCTCTCTCTCTCTCTTTCTCTCTTTCTCTTTCTCTCTCTCTCTCTCTCTCTCTCTCTCTCTCTTCCACAATATTCTTACCGGAGCTAGTCAGAGCCTCCTTGAGCGTCTGCTTTTCTCTTGCACGACTGTGGCACCAAGGTGCTTGCTTCCTTCGCTGTTGTTAGGAGGTGCTGGTCGGCTACTGTCTTCAGGCGAGCGAGAGCGCTTGGGATGTTCTTGAACAGAGAGTCCAACTGTTACATGCAACCCAGGCACTACACAAGACCAAGACACACTTGTCAGATAGGGAAAACTCAAGACTTGTATATCACTCGTTCAGAGCAAGACAAGACAACAAAACAACAGGCATGCGCATATGCATGCAGGCAACGTAAGTAATAAGATAACAACTTATGACGCGTTTGTACAACGCTTGCTCAGATATCACATCCCTCCACCATCAGATGGAAACGACCAGAATAACAGAAATACATAGACTGTGTCGTGGCAGCAAATAATCTGATAAGACGAACTACAGATCAATGCGGACAGGAGCCTTTACAGAACGAGAAGAACTGCGCATAGACACGACAGGACTAGAACCACTAGACTGGTTAGAAGTAGATTCAGGAACAGATAAATCAGCATTCTCACGGATCTCATCATGTACAATTGAGCCAGGCAGTGACATAGACTCATTCGGCGGAACACTAGGTAGAGCAGTTGGAGACGGTAGAGCTGTGGTAGAAGGTAAAGCTCTGGAATATGGAAGCTGTGGTGCTGACGTAGCAGTTGAAGCATCTTGCACCGACTCAGCAGGAAGGCGTATCTTCAGGTGGTCAGAGTGACGCTTCCAGACTCTGTTATCAACAAGACGAACCGTGAATGTTAGAGGACCAAGCTGTTCTTCCACGGTGCCAGCTATCCACTTCGGTGAGGAGTTGAAATTCATTGCCCAGACGGCATCACCACAATAGATCTGGTATGCATTTGCACCACCACGATCATGGGCAGTGCACTGTTTGTCCAAGACTTTCTTGCCGCTGTCCGGAAACACGAGATCCAGACGTGAGCGGGGACGATGTTCCTTCCAAAGTAGCTCAAACGGAGAACGACCCGTTGTTGACTGCGGCGTCATTCTGTATTGGAACAGGAACCTAGCAAGGCGGGTTTCCAAATCAGGGCCAGACATCTTGGCCAAGCCAGACTTCACCGTCTGTACTGCGCGCTCGGCTAAGCCATTATTAGACGGATGATATGGTGAAACGAGAGTATGACGTATGCCATTAGATGAGCAAAACTCACGAAATTCACTACTTGCAAAAGCAGGGCCATTGTCAGAAACAATATATAAGGTAAGCCAAGCAGAGCAAAGGTCTGCTCCAGCTTGCGAATTGCGACAGCAGCAGATGAGCCAGAGCAAACATGTGCTTCAATAAATTTACTATGACTATCAACAATAATGAAGAGCATCTTACCAGCGATGGGTCCAGCAAAGTCGACATAGACACGTAACCAAGGCTTACCAGGCCATTCCCATGGGTGGACTTGCTGGCGATGCGGCGACTTGGTGACGGTCTGGCACTGCGTGCAACCACGGACGGTCTGTTCGATTTCTGCATCGAGAGACGGCCACCAGACATAGCTGCGTGCCAGGGCTTTCATTCTAGCGATACCGGGATGACCGGCGTGCAACTCGTCCAGCAATGGTGCACGACCCGGTGAAGGAATAACTACCCTGGAACCAATTAGGATGCAGTTATTCAAGACAGACAGCTCACTACGACGACGGGAATATGGCTCTAATCCCTCTGGAATGTCTTGGGGCCAGCCCTCAGACACGAACTTGTATACTAATGCCAGGGACGGATCGTTGCTCGTCCAGCGAGCAACCGATGCAGACGTAACCGGTGTAGTGTTCAAGACGGATAGCGATAGTACAGCCTCGGCTGGCTACGGCGGTTCCGGTACCAGCGCCGGATTGGGGAGGCGACTCAACCCATCAGCGCAACCGTTCTGTTTCCCAGGCTTGTACTCCAGAACAAATTCATAATTGGCTAGTTTGAGTGCCCATCGCTGAATACGACCACTATACTGAACAGGAATGGGTCTATCAGGATCAAACAATCCCAGCAGTGGCTTATGATCTGTTTGTAGTGTAAAGTTGCGACCGAAGATGTACTTGTGGAACTTGGAGACGCCAAATACCATTGCCAAAGCCTCACGGTCAAGCTGCGAGTAATTCTTCTCACAAGACGACAGCGTTCTAGATGCAAAGGCTACTGGCCGATCAGACCCATCTGGCAGAACATGCGACAGAACTGCGCCAACACCATACGGGGAAGTGTCACAGGACACAATAGGTAAACTAGGATCATAATGAGTACGTATCGGCTCAGAAAGCAGCAGAGACTTGCCTGTATCAAACGCTTTCTGGTGACTATCAGACCAACACCACGACTTTGATGATAACAATTCATACAATGGAGCTAACACTGAGCTTAGATTCTCGATGAACTTGTGGTAATAGTTTATGAGTCCCAGAAAGCTTCTCAGTTCAGGGACATTCTTGGGCTGTGGGGCCTTCACAAGGTCATCCACTTTCTCAGCCGACGGCCTAATGCCGACTGAATCAATAACATGGCCCAGGAACTCAATAGACTGCTGAGCCACGAGACACTTCTCACGATTCAACCTGAAACCCGCGGACGCTAGACGATCCAGGACCAGCCTCAGATTCTCATCATGCTCCGCACGAGTCTTTCCAGAAACAACAATGTCGTCGAGATACACTACGACAAAGGACAGACCTGCTAACAATTGTTCCATCGTGCGCTGAAATATTGCCGGGGCCGCCGATACGCCAAAGGGTAGGCGGTTGTAGACGAACAATCCTTTGGAGGTGTTGATTGTCGTCAGCAGCTTAGACTCGTCGTCGAGCAACAGTTGTTGATAAGCATGTTTCAGGTCAAGCTTGGAGAAGAATGCGCCTTGCGATAACTTCTGATACAAGTCGTCGATGTTGGGCAAGGGGTACTTGTCTACTCTTGCCGACTGGTTGATAGTACATTTATAATCGCCACAGATTCGTATGCTACCGTTCCGCTTGAGAACGGGTACGATTGGAGCTGCCCACTCCGAATACTGGACAGGACTAATGATGTCAGCTTCCTCCAGTCGACGCAGCTCTTTTTCCACTGCTGCTTGTAACGCATAAGGAACAGAGCGTGCCTTCAGGAACCGGGGTCTGGCGCTGTCTGCCACGGACAATTTGACTTTTCCATGTTGCCAGGTGCCCACGCTACGTTGGAAGAGCTGCGGGAACTCTGACAATATCGAGTGCTCGCGTGACACGTTGAACACGTGACGAAGTTCCAATTCAACCTCAGCAGTTGCAACGCGTCTCGACCCAGGAGATTTGGTCCGTTTCCTTGGACAACGACGATCGACAATTCTGCTGATTTACGAGAAGCATGGGTCGCAGAAGCACTAAAGCGACCGACGACATTCAGAATTCCGCCGGAGTAAGTACGCAGCTTCGGCAGATCACTTGTGTCGAGCGACAAATTGACCTTGGATGCCAGCCGATGAAATTCGTTTTCAGACATCACCGTCACGGCTGCACCCGTGTCGATTTCAAACACGACTGGCTGTTTACATAACTGGAGGGTACAACAGTACGGGTCCACGCGGTCCTTGTCACTCTGCGTGCGGTACAACGAATAGTACTCGTCCAGGCCGCTGCTGTACGGACTTGCAGTTGTAGGACCGGATGCAACACTCGCACCAGTACCAGCACTTGCACTATGACTTGGAGCAGGAGCAGGGTCGACTGGCGACGTTCCATGTACTTCTTGAGACTGGCCAACCATGTGTACACTGCCACCAGTGCTGGACTGCTGTGAACGGCAAACTTTGGCGAAGCGGGACTGAAGATAGTGCAGATGACATGGAGTGATCTGTAGTCAACACAGCAATACACCAACATCTCTGCAGCAACCTGTGGTGCACTAACACTTCTTAGAACGAGGTCTGTCTCGTGGTCCAGGAAACGACCAATCAGCGACATTCCCGCCAAGGGCCTTATCAGAGTTTAAAGCCCGCTCAATCGTTATTTTACTACTCTTGATGACGCGTCGAGGGCCTTGGATTAGTTTAAAGCAGGGAGTAGTACAATACCGGGAGGTGACACGGGCACACATCTAGGCGGGCGAGCTTTGCCTCAGGTCACTTTTCTGTGGAGCGCTGTGTACCGGGAAACGTCACGAAATGTCGTACTTTGCGTACCTTTATCGTAGCATTTCGTAGCATTTTTCAAAAATTTTCATAGAACCACTTCAAGAGAGTGCCAGAATGCTGTCAAGAAGTTTTCGAGCAGTACTTTTTGAAGTTTGTTTTGACGATGTAGGGAAGGAATCCATCAGTCTTTGCTGGGTGATGAGGATGAATCCTACGAATGATATCAAGTAGCAGCTGGCCTTCGCACGGGTACCTTCAGTGTGTCCAGTATTTACGTGGGCGGCTTGTAAGAGTGAATTTTTCTTCCTAATTTAATTTGTATTACTTTTAGTTATTCACGTCGTTTCTAGGGGAATAGATAATGTTGACGCAAGTTTTAGTCACAATGAACGACATGGTTCAGGTATGGCTGACCCGTATGGCTGACCCGTCTCAAGATAGTAAGACTATTCCGAATCCAGATGCTATAGTCGTCTGAGTGAAACACAAAATTAAATAAATTTTATACTGCTGAGACAACTAGCTATTCGCAAATGTCACTATGACGCATGTCTGTGTCAAGCAAGGAGTAGCACAATGGTACAATGGTATTGTGCTACTCCCTGCTACAAAGCCTGAGATGTTACGCGTTAACAGGAACTGGTGTTGATGATAAAGGCAGTGTGGAATTATGTACATTGTTACTGGTGCAAGTAACCATGCCGTGTAAGTCATGTATGCAGGTAATCAGACCAAGCGTAAAAGGATAAAGATAGCTTGCTTATGTACTACTAGTACGTGTGCTTATTATAGATACTTTGTGTGACTACTAGTTGTATGTGTCTGCATATTACTATACGTAATAGTACGTAATTGCTTTTACTACAATTTGTACTTTGTGGGGAGCTGCGTGACGATGAAATATGGCCACCAAGAGCGTACGCAATCAGAATCGTACAATATCATTACGTAGAGGATATAACCCGAGTCAGAGGGTTATACCGGCTGAATATAAATCCCGACTGCGATAGCAGGAGGGATTTATATGAGGGTACGGTATAACCCGACTAGGAGGGTCATATCCTACTTATGCCAGGTACCCTTACGCATTTCCAGAACAACGAACCTATTTGGAGATCTCGTACATCATGCAGTACATGAACATCTTCTGATGGTTATCAGTTGTCAATTGAAAGAATGGTCGAGCAACATCAGAAGGAGATTCCTCCGTGTATAAGATTTCCTTTCAGTTCCAGTGCATATTGTAGCATCTTCATGATCTTGTCTCGTGAGCGGTGCGGAAATCAACTGAATTGCTGGGGTGCTGGAGTTTGTCGTTGAATCAAACTGCCGTCACTAGTTACATGTAGATTACAGCTTGGACTCTTTGGGAGTAAGTGTTACTATAATTATGGTACAGTGCTGATTTTATCATGCGGCATCTTATAATCAGTTTTGCTTACTACTTGCAAGTAGATGCATTTGCATACACCCGTTTTGTATCACTGTATCACATTTCAATCCAATCTAGCATTTTCCAATCGGGTTGAAGTACACTCTGTATTATAAACTTAGTTACGAAGGAGACAGTCTGTTGATGATCTTTAACTCTTTGAAGTACAATGTACATTGCTGACCCATTTGGGATACTTCATGGTTATTCGACGTTCTTTATCTTCAGATTCAGTATAATAGAATACTCTGTAGACGAATTCCAGGTCATTCTTCTTTTCCATTGTGTACTGTTCCTTGTCAGTGTGCCGTTCTGTGTGGAGTGTACACGTGCATGTGGTGTCTGTTGTGAATGGTCCGCGCGCTGGAGTACTGCCGCCGTACAAGTTCACTGCCTTTCAGACAGTGAACTTGTACGGCGGCAGTACCCTAACGTAAGTACCGTGCACCGGGATTTATTTTGGCTAGTATCAATCCCGCGCGGGATTTATGCTAGATAAGCACTGATTGGCTGAAAACAGGCCCTCCGTACCGTACCATGGTGTAATCCATGATTATAACCAATGTTACTTTTATGGCACCGTGGAATCGTGTACAGCGTACAATGCCACAAGTCATCCCTGTGCCATTCATGTTATGCAAATAATCACCAGGGAGTAGTACAAAAGGTGGTCATGTCAAACACAAAAGGATAAAGACGAATAGTTTTATGTATGCGCACGTGCGCGCGTGTGTGGTGTACAATTACAAGAGGGTGTGTGTATGTGTGTGGGTGTAATTGCAATTGGCGTTGGGCAGGCAGACTTCGCAGCCGCACGCAAGTCGTCGCTCTTCCTCTTCTGTCCACGGGTTCTGGGGGTTAAAAAAGCAACAAAGCAAGCAGGCCTGGCCTCATTCAGTGCTGAAAACAAGTGATCTTGAACATTATGTTCAAGTCTATACAAATAAATAAGTTTCAAAATTTTCGGAATGAGTTTTCCAAAGAGTTACATAAGCTAACACGTTGAGATGAAGTAGAATGGTAGATAAATAGGTATACTTTCGAAATATCCCAACTTGGTGAGGTGTCCGAGTGGGTCCAAATGAGAAATTCAGGTTCGTGTTACACCATGTCAAGATGAGAAAATTCCATCACGTTACTTACCTAGGATAGCGTCCTCCATATTCATCACTTCCATCCATTTTGGGAAGTCGAGACTTGGCAGCAGTGTGGACGATGTACCAGAGTAGCTCCCAAAAAAGGCTCGAGCTGAAAAGAACAAGTGGCAGCTTGTCACGAAGGGATACGTCTGGTCTTCTCGTCACTATTTGAAGGTTTCTCAGCGCTGTCAAAAGAGCAAAAATTTGAATTTTCGCGCGGTTTGTATTTTTTTTGTGAGGCAAAGCTCGTAATCCCGGATGTGTGCCCGTGTCACCTCCCGGTATTGTACTACTCCCTGGTTTAAAGCCCGCTGAATATACTCTAAACTGGTGCGTACAACTCCCTGTATGCATTATAGTACGGTGCAGATAATGAACTCTGCATAAAATGTACGGTGTACTACTAAAAGCTACGCATTTTAGCATTTAGCATTTTAGCTACGCATTTCAGAAGTGTGTACGGTTTTTGCCTCCCGTATTCTTTCATCTGTACGAATTTCCTTTGTCAACAGCTTGCGGAAACCTATAAAAACCGAAGATCGAAGTCAACTGCCTGCACAACCTCTATGCTGTGCTGCGACGGCAGAACTTCACATCACGTGACATGGTTCGAAAGGTTATGCTGGCAAACAGTGCAAAGTGACCACAAGAGAGTTGTACCCAAAGCTGGGCTGCGTACAACCCAGTATGTATCATGCACAGAGTGCACGGGTTCATCACGTGATGTGAAGTTCTGCCGTCACAGACCCCATAGCTGGAGTTGCACACTCTTGGGGTTATGTACTCTTGGAGGTATCGACAAGGGGCTCTCAAATCCCCTAAATAGCTCCACAAGCTATGAATAAGAATGAAGCTCGCAATAAGAGCCCAGCATTTCATTTGCTTCTATTCTACTTTTAGTAGTCCTAAGTGGTGCTGAGTTACCATAACTTACCAGAAGAAAATATTCTTTCATACCACACCAAGTCTCTCTGCACACAAACCACAAACTAGCCAATATAATGGTACACAAGCATGATGGAAGTGAGATAATGCATGTAACCTCGTTCTAAAATTGTTAGTGCATGGCAGGGAGGGTCTTATGGCTTGTTTGTGCCCTTCACAGGGTATATTCTAGGACGAATTTCCAACCGGTTACGGTCCAATGAAGAGTCGGTCCCCCCCCCGGAATTTCTTTTCAAAATACAACCCAAATATGGCACTCGACAGCAATTTGACGCGTTTGACCATTCACAGCTCCATTCACCCAAAGAAAAGTACGGGCGGTTGGAACTGATTTGTAACTTTTCAACCGGTCGCCAACAATTTCAACCGGTCGAAAACCGGTTGGGGCGGTTCTAGAAAATTCCCTGCTTCAGGGTAGCCCTCAGGCTAACCTGTCGGGCACTAACAAGCCATAAGGCCCTCCCTGCCATGCACTAACCTATAAATAATCTGATCTAACATGGTATTTAGCTCCATAACCATAATAAATTTGTAGAAAGGCCATTTGTCAATGAGTGTGAAAAATCTTGGTTTGTGGGTGCGGCTTATACTCCGAATACCAACTTTTAGTCAATATTTTGCCTCAAAAAGGGGGGTGCGGCTTATACCCCGGAAAATACGGTATACCGCTTGGGCCCTTGGCCATGATCAGGAAATTGTCTAAGGGCGAGGATTGAATAGTCAGAGCCGGGGCGGGCAAGTGTCTAAGTCAGGAGTTCTTTTCAACTACTAATAATTATTTTATTATGATGCTACCGGAGTCATTGTTTATATTTGTATTTAGTTTCGGCCAGTATTCATTTTTCAGCTTGTGCATGTGGTGATTGCTACGTAAATGTGTATGCCTGACACAGAAAGTGGAACATTCTGTCAGCATCTGCGGGACTGTAAAACTGTGTGACGACGGCAGCAATGATATCGAATTTGACTGTGGTCGACACTTCATGCAGGTGAGTAAATGCCCCCCCCCCCCCCTCCCCCGCTGCTGTTGTATTCATGTTAGTCCTCGCTCTGTGTGTGTGTTTGTGTGTGTGTGTGTGTTTGTGTGTGTGTGTGTGTGTGTGTGTGTGTGTGTGTGTGTGCGTGTGTGTGTACATAATTATGTGTGTATGTATGTGCATGTGTGTGTGTGTGTGCATGTACATGTATGTGTGCGTGTATGTGTGCATGTGTTTACCACCCAGCTGAGATAGTGTCAGGGCTCACCACAACCATACAAAATTCAAAAAGCGTCGACCGCCATTTTGAAAAATGGCGATTGCCAGGCAGGCCAGCGTTCGTGCAGTCATAGCGGTAGCCGCTATGACTGCACGAACGGCTACGCACTCGAGTTCGTGCTAATCAATGTACAGCGATGTGCAGTCGAGTTGTAAAATACCAGTATTTTGCGACTCCCTGGTCTAGTCTGTACAGCGAAGGGCCAGTGCCGAGGAGAATCTTGTTGTTTGATGCTGGGAAAGATACAAGGAGTAGACGTCCTTTCTCTAAGCCATCTTGGTCATTTTTTTCTCAATCCGCTGGTGCATGCCGACCAAGATAATATTATGTCCGTGAGATACTGGTGAACTGGAGTCCTGGCATCTACACGATTTTGCCGCTCCCAGCTAACCAATGTTGTTAGTAGAACTCAGCGTTTCCTGATCACGGCTCACTCTTTTCTGTTAGACCTCGCAGCTTTCACCCTGCGAGTGTGGAGTTTCCTGGCCACAAATGAATTCCTTAGTCATGACCATGATGACAAGTGACTGGTATGATCCCTGACTGGCCTGAGTCCTTAGCCTGAGTCAACACGAAGGTAAACTCTTCACTTGGAGCGCTTGCTGTCTCCTCGGCCCTTTCTTGTTGCACTTGCAGATATGCGCACGTTTTGTTGGTGCTCGCGAGTGCGCAAGGCTGACCTTGATGTCTTCAAAAAAGTAAAACAGCGGTTCTACTTGGCCGATTCTCACCGTCGATAGCTCATTTTCTCGGTCTTGGCCGATTCTCTATCGGTTTACCATCCCCGATTTCTATTTTTCTCTTCATCCACTTGTTCGCACATCTTCCAGTTTGAGTGATTTCACAATCCGATCTCAGCCAAATCGAAAAATTCGCGACGGTAACCCTCCAAAGACACACCTTCTGAACACGAATCCACAGTGGCCTAATGTCTAAAACCAACGAGTACAGCCAAGTTCAGCTCAGAAAACACCCCACAATTGCAATAAACGACCCGTTTTGCCGTGCGTTGATTGGTCAAATCCAAACGACCGTTATGGACGCTTTGTACGGTCGTGGTGAGCCCTGAGTGTGTGTGTACTGCGCAGCACTTGTGTAGTCTTGCATACTCATTCTCAAGCAAGCAAACAACTCTGCTGGTGTATTACTCTTGTGTTCATATATTGTACACAAGGATTGACCAAAAGATTAGTTAGGTAGCCTAGCGAGGGCGTGCAGGTAGGAAGTGAAAGGGACTGATATCAATGGGCACTCTCCACGACAGAGTTCAAGTGCATGGCTGACTTGTTTCACTTTAGCTAAGCCTTGCCTCGTTTCTCAACATGCGCCTCAGAGTTCGTGGCACTACTGGTTGCTGTTGCTTTTTGTATGTTCTCTCATTTTTTCCCTTCCATGAGCACTGGAGTGGCTGAGTCCGAGAATACTCAATGTGCCCAAATCTCATCGACCCAAACATTGCCTTCAGTTCTGAACTGATTTGAAGGGGGAGGGGTATGATTAATATGTAGTAGGAGACTGGTTTCAACCGTGAAATCTGACTGCCCTTCGTGACTGATCAGAATAGTCTGATTTCCAAATTAGAAATGGTCAGAGGGCAATTTTTCACTGTGTTCTCTAGCCCTGACACTGTGTGTGTGTGTGTGTGTGTGTGTGTGTGTGTGTGTGTGTGTGTGTGTGTGCGTGTCCTCGTCCATTTATGTTTTGGTAAGGTGGCCCGCGTGGACAGGAATGGTGTTGCCGTGCTGATGAAACCACTCCTCATTCCGAACAGCATCGCCCGCTCCCGTATCAGCCGCTTGCAGGCCTTGTCATTTGTGACTCGGCGACCATTGTATCCGTGCACAAACTACATGCCCGGCATAGATGAGTCTGACCCACGAACTTGAACTTCGCCAACTTTGATGGTTGTTTTGCCTCGTTCAATATAAGTTCATTATCCTGCGAAGAAATCTCTATTCTCTCACTATTTCTTTCTCTTTCCCAGTTCCATTTCACTGCGTGTCAAGCATAGATTAGAGAGTCTTCGCTATGGCAAGCAACTACAGTACCAGGCCTTTGGTGGTTACTCTAATGAAGATTGGCAGTATCAGGACTCCTATCAGCAAGTTATTCCACAGCAGAAATACCATACTGGCTTATTAATTTACCGTTCTTGACACATACTGGTAGTACATGTAATATAACTATACTGTCTCTGACCACTGACTTTACATGTCCGCTGTTCTCTTTCCCACGGCATCTCATCAGACTATCAAACAACCATTGCTCAATTGAAATGACCATCATAAGTTTATAACACTGTCTGGTTATTTCCTTGCAGAAAAGCTCATGAATTTCATTGCTGTCTGATGATCGACCATGAACTGACGTCTGAAACGTCCGTGTCGCCCCTGGTCTTGTCATGACGTGTTGAAGACTCTACCTTAGAGCACTGTCGCAAGGCAAGCGCTGCAGTGATGCTGTGTGCCGAAGATCCTGCAATTGTATGGTGTGAAGGGAGCTAACCCCACAATCATACACTACACATACGTCTTCTTCTCTACCTGTATTTGGATACATGTACATGTACATGTATACTTCGTAGTATAAACATAGACGGTACTGATTATGTTCTCAGGAAGAATCCCATGGCCGTTCTCCAGCACCCCATTCTTCGACATACAAGACAAGCGCAGTAAAATGGAAAGGAAAAAGACTTGAACCATGTGAACAGGAAGGCCATTCTACTTGGTACCGGTGCCCTCAAGGGATCGTCTAGCATGCACGATGCCCAGTAGCCAACCAACGATGTTCAGACTCTTGGTGACGAATGCCTTTGGCCTATCGTCCAAGCTTGCAGAATTCCGCCACACCCTCCAGACCCTGAAGCCAGATATAGCAGTAGTCACAGAGACGAAATTTACGCCAGAGAAGTGCAGCGAATCTGAAGCAGCCATGCCTGGCTATCACACCCCCATCCGCAAGGATCGCTCTGCACACGGTGGTGGAGTAGCAGTCTGGGTGAAGGCTGGCCTAGGATATGAACATCTTGATCACATCCAGTGCCATGATCACGAGATCATCTGGCTGAGTGTCACGACGCAGAGTGGACAGAAAGTTGTTATCTGTGCAGCCTATCGGCCCGGGTCCTGTTCGGAGACAGATCTCCAGCTATTGGAATACTTGGACAACACGCTGGAGGCATCCCGTACCTACGGATCAAATGTCATTGTGACCGGCGACTTCAATGTGCATAACGCTGCCTGGCTCTGCAGCAACAAGACCACCCGAGCTGGAGAGTATGCAGAGGATATCTGCTGCTACCATGGCCTGAGTCAACATGTCGACGTACCCACCCGAGGTGATAACACCCTGGACCTGGTGATGTCTGATTTCCCTTCACCAGCAACTGTTAAGGCACACCCGCCTATTGGACTCTCTGATCATGCTGTCCTCCAAGTTGACTTTCCTGTGAAGCTCACCCGTGAGCCCAAGACATCGCGTAGAGTCTGGCGATACCACCGCGCAGACTGGGAGCGGCTTGCCCACTTCTACCGAACAACAGACTGGGAGAGCATGCTCGGACCTGAACCGGATCTCAGCTGCGACAACATCACCAAGAGGATCCTCGAAGGAATGGCACAATTCATACCCAACAGAGTTATCTCATCGCGCCCCTCCGACGAACCTTGGTGGACACCGGAGTGTACAGCTGCAGTCAACACCAAGCGACAGATGTGGCACCAGATGCGCTCAAATCCCGACAGTGCTGATAAGAAAGCACACTACCGCACAGCTGCAGCCTCTGCACGCAGTACCATTCAGCGAAACAGAGAACGGCATATTACCATGCTCCGGCAGAAACTCACCACTGGTAGCCTTCGGGACAAGGAATGGTGGTCCACTATCAAGCGTGCGGGTGGCAAGGGCCGCAGCGCTGATATACCAACACTCCGATCTGCTGATGGAACTGAGTACACAACCAGTCAGGAGAAGGCCAAGTGCCTTGGTCAGTACTTCGCCGATAAGTGCAGCCTCGGCCCACAGGACTTCAATGAGGAATCTGAATTCCCCTTTGTCCAGCCTCGCTCCCAAAGCTGTCTCCTAAGTATTCGCTTCCGCCCTGCTGAGGTCCGTAAATTGCTGAGGGCCCTTGATCCTTCGAAAGCGTCAGGCCCTGATGCAGTTCCGGGCAGAGTCCTCAAAGCCAACGCTGAGCACCTTGCAGTGCCACTATGCTTGCTCTTCCGCCAGTGCATGACGTCGGGGACACAACCACAGTCTTGGAAAGTGGCAAGTGTCGTCCCAGTCCATAAGAAACGGTCAAAGTCAGCCCCATCGAACTATCGGCCCATTTCCCTCCTGTCGCTCATCTCCAAGACAATGGAAGCAGTTGTTAACCGTGCTCTCACCAACTCTCTCGAACGAAATAATATACTCTCAAACCACCAGTTCGGTTTTCGTCGAGGGTTAGGACCTGCTGATCTCCTAACAGGACTACACCACCAATGGAGCAAGATAGCAGCTGCTGGCGGTGCTGTACGTATTGTTGCCGTCGACATTGCGGGGGCCTTCGATAAAGTCTCCCACGCAGGTGTCCTTCACAAGGCAAAGGCTTACGGAGTGTCTGGGAACCTCCTCAAGTGGCTCCACAGCTACCTGGCGGATAGACGAATCCAGGCCGTTGTGAGTGGACAAACCTCACCTAAATTCCGAATCAGCTCAGGTGTGCCGCAAGGGAGCATACTGGGCCCCACTCTGTTCCTCCTATATGTCAATGACATGGAGGACCACCTCCCAGCCACAACCCAGCTCTCCATATATGCAGATGACACCACGCTTTATCAGTGCATCCCATCCCTGACCGCTCTCCCAGTTGGCCTAGCGCAGCTCCAGACTGCTGTGGATGCCTTAGCTGAATGGGGCCAGAGCTGGAAGATCGCATTCGAGCCGACAAAGTCGCAAGTCTTGACAATTTCGCATCACCGTCAACCCTGGCCGATTCCTCCAGCCACTTTCAATGGGGTGGCCATAGAGGAAGTGGAGGAGCTGAAGTTGCTCGGAGTGCTCTTTGATCGGAGCCTCTCCTTTCGCTCCCACATTCGACAGGTTGCAGTCCGTGGTCACCAACGTCTTGGCTTCATGAGGAAGGCCCTGCCCATTCTCGACAGCAAGGCCAAGTATGCAGTGTATCGCGGCTTCGTCCGCCCAGTACTTGAGTACTGCCCGCTTTCATGGTTGGGTGCGTCCCAGTCTACCCTGAACCAGCTGGACCGGGTACAGCACCGAGCCCTAAAGCTTATCGGCCCAGGGTCATACCTCCCAAGCCTCACTGTTCGGCGTCAAGTCGCAGCACTCACATTCCTGTACAAGCTGCATTGGATCGACGGTCCCCCAATCCTGACCACCATGACACCACCGAGGGCAGTTGCAAACCAGCACCGGCGCTCCACTCGCCACCAGCAAAAGAACCAGCACCAGCACCAACTAGCACCGACACTGCCCGCCGGAGCCCGTAATAGTGCTCTCCGATCATTCCCCCATGCCACGATCCAAGACTGGAATCGTCTCCCATCTGCCCTGCTACGCAACCATCCCACGCAGAAGGGAATGCAGGCATTCAAGGAAGGCGCCTACAAGTCGCTCCGCAGCCGAGACTGGCGTTCAGCCACAGATGCCCTCTGAACACTCCCTGAACACCCTCTCTGCTTGCACCCTGGCTCCCCCCTTTTTATTTTTTATGATTTTATTTATTTTTTATTTTTATTTTTTATTTTTTATTTTCTTCCTCTATCACATGTACATGTATCATCTTTCCGTTTTCCTTCCTCTATATAAATGTACCCCCCCCCCCCCCTCCCCTCCCCCTGTGCCTACTCCTCCCCAGTTTTTGGTGCTCTGAAGTGTCGCTGAAGCCGAGACCTCAGGTCGGCGGAGATGCTCCAGTTTTCACCACCACAGTTGCGTCTGCAACCACCTCTACCATGCAGTATTCTGTTCTCGAGGTTCGTGGTTTCTCGTAAAAAAAAAAAAAAAAAAAAAAAAATACCGTAAATAGAACAGGCACTACATGTAGGTGTACGGGAAAAATATTACAGGGCAAGCCTGGGGCAAATCTGGATTAGCAGATTTTTATTTTCTGAATAGACCACATGCACAGCGGGGAGTCGTCTGTATTTGACACCCACTAGTACCTGCTGCAGTCAAGCCTGGTATACCGCGTACCGGCACGAGGGGTTGCCCACAGAATTTATCACATTATTAATTTTAGAGAAAGCCAAGGTATTGGTTTGTGTAAGGGGGGGGGGGGGGGGGCGGGGCTGTTTGTCTTGTCTTTGTGAAAAAAGATGGTTTTCTAGACATGGACGGGTACTGTGCAAACATGTACAATGTACATGTATGTACCGGTAATTGCCATATTGGTAATTTGGTAGTAAATTTTTGATGACTCCCTGCTTTTGCATGACAAGCGAACCTCTGCTGGCATGCACCTCGTCTCTACGTTCCTCGTTCTGCTGCGTGCATTCAGCTTTTTTCAAGTAATAATAATAATAATAATAATAGCACATTTCGCGTAGTAGAGCACTAAATAAAGAAATTCAGTGTTTTTTCCGCTTCTGTCTTGTGAGCATCATCAGCTAGGTGTAGTAGCTGCTGATACCAATTTCTCGCCGGGTGTCGAGCTGCACAGTTTCCTCCAGTCTGTCTTGTCTGCTGCTTGTTGTCGGCACCTGGAAAGGTCTTCCATGGTCTAGCTTCATTGGCACACCCAGCTTATTCAGCTGAGCAACCAGACTTGTGGCCAGTGTCAACCTTTTTCAAGTACCGGTATTTAATACTTGAAAAAAGCTGAATGAATTATTTTAGTTTTTTGTTTGAGTTCGAGCGGGAGTTGTGTCCATATTTGGACTCGCGGCTAGTGCATGCATGATGGGTCGGGCGCGGGCCAGGCCAGGGCGCTAGGGTATGCATAGTCATTTTTGTACAAAAAAAATTGTCCGCGTTGTCCGCGTTTTATGTATTCGACCAGTCACGTCATTGCTCAGTACAGTGCAGTCTGATCCGTACAGCTACAGCTCCAGTCTTGGATCGGTCCCAGCCTGCTTTTCAGGTTGCCTTTTCTGAACAGTCTACTGCTTCTTGTTCACTCTCCAATTCGGTAGTACAAAACCAGTCACATTCGACCTTGTGGAATATCCCTGGCGGTGGGAGAGTTCGTTGTGGTGGATATCAGCAACCATGGTAAGTTTTGTAGGTTTGTACCCGATCTATTGAAGCCTGAAGTATAACACCTCCTTGGTTTTTGGATCAGCCTGCCGACCAGGATCAACAGCTCGACTGCGCGCTTGATTTGATGAGGAGATTGCCGCCTCAGCAGATCGAGAAGAATCTCAGCGACCTCATCGATTTGGTAAGCTCACCAGCCTTTCACTGCTGCGTGTCTGTAGCTGTGGTAGCAAAGTAACTGGACGTTGGTTGTCCCATTGGATATGTGCTTCAGGTGCCGGACCTATGCGAAGATCTCCTCTCATCTGTAGATCAACCTTTGAAGGTCACCAAGGATAAATCCACTGGTAGAGACTATCTGCTGTGTGACTACAACCGTGATGGAGACAGCTACAGGTAAATTGCCTCTCGGTGTGCAGCTGTGCGTGAAATTATACTCTCAGTTTGATATCGATTTTTGTCCATTTTTGGCGTTTCCCCAAGGTCACCGTGGAGTAATACATACGACCCACCTCTCCCTGATGGAGCAGTACCATCTGACAAGCTCCGAAAGCTGGAAGTCGATGCCAATACAGCGTTCGATCAGTACCGTGAAATGTAAGTTGAGCTGGGCAACGTACCACCTGGAAAAAAGTCAAATAGGCTTCGTTTTGTCCTCATTTATTTTCGTACGACATCAGTTCAGTGCATACTATGCGTCTATTATTGTAGAGCGCATTTACTAATGATTTAGCTGAAAGATTTAGTTTGTAATGGAGTTGAAACAGTGACAGATTGAAACTCCAGCTAGTCAACTGGTGTGCAGCATCAGAATGTGGCAGTCCAGATGTGGAGTATGCATACATGCACAGTTATGGCACTTCAGTTACTTTCAAGCAGAAATTTTGCTTGGAATTAGCCTTCTTTTATTTGGTCAGCATCCTGAGTTAATGAAACTTAGGGTGTATTTGGCTGTCCCCTTGGAAAAACGCGATTCCGCGGCCGCGGCAAATTTCGCAGAAGTTGCCATCATCCGCGGAAATCACGGAATCCACACTTTTGCCCGCGGAATCTGAATTTTTTAGGGAAAATTACTAAAATTACTACTCAGAAAGCAGCAGAAAAACTACTTTGCGATCTGTTTGAGCACATTTCTCTTGCCAGTGCAGGTCTCTCCATGATTCTTCACTCTTATTCAGTTTGTGACTGCAAAGGATAGTATGAAAAGTACTCCTTCATGCGACTAGTTGTCATATCCTCTACGAGGAGGGTGAAAAACTTGCAGAAAATGCCGCAGATTTTTGATTTTACCGCAGAAAATGCCGCAGAAAACCCCCCTTTTCCCCGCGGAATTTGCCGCGGAATTTTGAATTCTTCACCGCGTTTTTCCAAAGGGACAGATTTGGTTGGGTATGATCTAGAACAGGATTGAACAGCTGGTGCAATGGAGCAGCAGTGCAATGGAGCAGCAGTGCATCAATCAAACAGTGCTCCAGAACTAGAGGACTATTTTTTGAAAAGTGTTCCAAGTTCAGTTTAAGTTCAGTTTTGTACTAGATACTCAGTTCATGTGTACAGAGCATGAAAATGCAATACCCAAGTGTGTGCGGATGTGGTCATTTCTGACTGAATCAATGTTCCTGCCAGCTTTCACTTCGGAAAACCAAAACTGCTCTGGCGAACTTGTTTCAGGTTGTACCAAACCACACGCGCCTTAACCCTTTCTATCGAGTATACTCGTCATGCAGACCCCATCGCGTCTGGGTAATGACGAGTATACCCGCGCTATACTTTTTGTACAGTCCACGTACCGTACGCACTGATAGATCACTGTACAAACAGCCATAACTCTGGAACGGATTATCGCATCGCGAAGATCTTTAGCTCATTGGAATGGTCTTGGAAAGGGCTTTCCAGAGGTGTTTTCGGTGTGGCGATAGCTCAACAAATGATCGAGCGGCGATAAATTGAACGCGCGATTTCGATCTGAACATTTTTCTTACTTTCTGTCTGGCGATATTTTTTGCGACTTTCAAGTCATTCAAGGGGATTCCCCAATGATGTGTGAAAGGCAGCATGGCGTATGAGTACATAATTTGAATCGCTTGAATCTCATGAGCTCGATGCAGTTTGAATCGTAGTTCTACGTTGAGTATGAGCCCCAAATCGAAGGAAATAGTTGAGCGTGGTCTTGACGCCAAACTGGCGCACGGTAGGGACACTGTTGGCGAGGCTAGGGCGTCCTTGAGGTGCTGTATGCTCTGAAAGTACGTGGAAGATGACGAGCAGGAAAGGAGCTTTCCAGTAAGCCATACGTTGTGAAAATCCGTTGAGAAACAAAAATGTTGTGACAATTTGTTTGTTGCTATCTCCACAATTGTACTGATGCACTGAATTTCAGTGCCCAGACGTAGTAAATGCACTGTGGCCCTGAAAGGGTTAAAGCCAGGGATCGATTACTTTGATTTTTTTGCATAGCAGTCACTGCTAGACAGTTTTACAATTGACTAGCAACTTCCAGCAAGTTTTCCTTCATCGAAAGTTTACATGTACATGTATATCTATACAATAGCAGGATTTTGTACAGAAGAGGACAATAGCTGCAGTTGTTTGTTTTGCTTTTCCAAACGAACGGTTGACCTGAATATTTTACGTTAGGGTTTTCGCTTGGGCTTGTTACATGTTCAGCGTCCATCCGACTTCGAGTTCTTCACACAACAATGTCCTTCAACAGGGCAGTTCCACTGAGTCCTTCCACAAAGAAAGCTCAGGAAAGCGCTCAAACGATCGTGACACTTCGTTCAAAGCGCACAGAATTTTCGCTTTTCTCCTTTTCTTCATCGAAATGAATCGACGCTCCTGGCGCGTCCAGTTCCTTTTCCCGCTTCTGGACAGTGATCAGATTCACTGACATGTTGGCTACATGAGACTAAGAACCATCTTCAACTGTGTCTTGTCGAACAGAAACAAACTGAATTGAACTTGAGAGTGAAAGAAGAAAGGAGAACTTCAGGGAAAGTCACCGCCGTGTACAAAACTTCAAAAGACTGCAGACTGTGCAGTCTTAGTTGTACTGTACGACCGGTCGACCAGTGCTATCAGTGGCTAGTGCAGTGTCCAAAATCAAACAGAGCGCGATCCGCAACCCGCGTGCGGACTGAGCAGGACAGGCCAGTTGGTTGGAGTAGTAAAATACTACTCCCTAGTCAGCAGTATGTACAACAGTCGCATGCAAACTGCACACAAACAGTACAGAATGGTCTTTGTACATGCCGGTATGCATGGCCAGTGCATTGCAGTTTTGGGTGATAAAAAACGAAAAGCGAATCGCAGCCATTGAATTTTGATTCGCGAACTGCGATGCGAACCCGGATAAATCAATCCCTGAAAGCTATAATAATTATACTAGTAGCTAGCTGTGTGCTAGCATATCTTGTGTAGCACTTAATTCTTGAATGAAGGTGTGCCATCATTCCTAAGCGAATAAATGTGCAACATGTAAGGCCATATCATTTGTCAATGTCACATTCATGCTTGCACCATCTGAGTTCTTACCGTACACCTTAAGAGTCGTCATGAACTATACAGCGAAACGATGGTCATGTGATGCTATACGTGTTCTTGTAGTTAGTTTGTCCATCATAATCATTAACAGGTACAGTACTGTAGGATATCGGCGTTCGGTTTGTTACAATTCGTCCTCACGAAGCTTCCCTTTCATTTCTTGTCCTTCATAAAATTGAGCCTCCCGAGTTGGTTTGTTGTTGCTCTGTGTTGTCGAATTGTGGGTAGACTGTATTGTCCAATGGTCTTACTGTCCCAGTATCGTAGCAGGCCAGCATTCCACGGAGGCTGGGAATGTAGGTTGTGTTTGGCTTACCTTCCCCTCTTTGGAATTATCACTACTATCCACAAACCTTCCAAGTTGGAAGGCCGCTTGTTAGCACTATCGAGCAGTGCTCAAGCTCACTTTCCTGCCATGGAATGTCTCGGTACTCCGTGTCAGTTTGGTGCTAAATTGTGCACGTCTGATTGTTCAAAATCTAGTTGGTGGACTGTAACGCATAATTACTTGTGCCCCACTGTTTCCCATGTTTTCGGTGTTGAATATTTTCATGAATGCCTTTTCCAGTTTTCCTTCTTCAGCAGTGTTTCTGCATACTTCGAAGTAGTTGTGGGTGTCATGTGTGTGTTCGTTTTTTTTGTCTTTTTAGGTACTTCGAGGCCGGTGTGTCTTCCGTATACCTTTGGGACCTTGACCACGGCTTTGCTGGTGTCGTTCTGATCAAGAAGGGTATGTTTGACATATCACTCATGGCTAATCATGCTTTGCGATAGTGGTGTGCACGGGTAGTCCGCTACCCGAGAGGACCTCGGGTAGACGGGTACCGAATAGTACCCGAAAACCCGAAGTAGCAGATGACATCATGTACAGTTCACGTGTACGAATAATTCATGCATGTCTACCCATTGCGCAAGGCAAGGGGCCGGTGTGCCTTGTGGTCTTACCATGGAAACATTACCCGATCGGGTACCCGTGCTACCCGTGGAAAACTACCCAGACCCGATACCCGAAGAAAATGCTACCCTTGGGCGAGTTTTAGTGGAAATATTTCTCCTTTGCCACTTTTTGTGGAAATAGTGACGCCATATGCCACATCGACGGCCTTTCCCCATCAAAATGTATGTGATTCGGAGTTACGGATATTTCAAAGTTTCGGGCCCGTCCGGATAAACCAAGTATGAGTGTAGTCATTGTTTCCTATTTTCTTGTGCATGTGCTGTAGGTATTTGTCCATTACTTATAATGAGTAATGGGCTTTTTATGGCGAATTTATGCAGTTACTTGTTGCATCCTTTTAAAATTACTGTTCTTCATTTCTGTTTTGTTCTTTGCCTTGTTTCCTTCATCCAGCCGGTGATGGCTCCAAGAAAATCAAGGGATGCTGGGACAGCATTCATGTCATTGAGGTTCAGGTAGGTTTAGGGGGCCGTCACCTAATTTCAGCCGCCAGAATATTGTATAATTATAATCTGTGTAGTGCGTTAAGGGCTTACCATGACACCTCCGTTATATGGCTTGACAGTGCTACGTCACAACAACGTTGACTTTTGGATCCTCTATGATCCGTTATTTGTGCTGTAGCAAGTATTGCGGTATGAAGGGGTCACGTGTGTGTATGTATGTGATCTCCAGTAGCCTGATTGGTAGGGCACTGTCCCGGTATGACGGGTGTGCTGGGTTCGAATCCTGCCCGTAGATCATTCTTTTGCGGCATTGGCGCCTGGCAATAGCTGGAACCCACAATCTATTGCCCCACGAGCAGGCACGGCATGAGAACACAGCTCGTTAAGGGGGGAGAGCGGTGTAGCAAGAAGAGGCCACATGTGTGTGTGTGTGTGTGTGTGTGCGATCCCCGGTAAGCTAATTGGTGGAGCATTGCCCCGATTAGGCAGGGGTGCTGGGTTCGAATCCCGCCTGTGGATTATTGTTTTGCAACCGTACGGGGCCCTCCACGGCTGGGTTGTTTCTTTCAGAGTAGGGTGACACAATACTGACTGGACTGGACCCCTGGCTGGGGTCATACTGCTGGTACAGGCACAAAGCTAATCCACGCCATCATGCTAAACAAGTGCTATATCCACCAGATACTGTACTCCTCTATTTCCGGCATGGATTTCATTTGACCCAGAAGTCATCGTTTGTTGACTTCTGACATCATCACTTTCAAGCTCTGTTCCTTTGTCGCACTCCTTTTGATCCTTTTGTAAAATACCCTTGTGGATTGAGTCCCCGATAGATAAATTCTCAAAAATGTCAGTTGTGTGTTTTGCGTTTACTTTTTGTAGGAGAAGAGTGGTGGCAAGAACGCCCACTACAAGCTCACCTCAACAGTCATGCTTTGGATGCAGGTGAGTACTAACTTCCTTTGATCGTGTTTACGATCATCAATTCTCCCGAAACTCGGAGTGCTTATTTACTGGATTTTTGGGTGGTGATTATCCTGTTTCCACCACCAGTCCCACTGCCAGTGAGTTGTTTGCAAAGTTAGGTCCATTGGGTGATGAGTACAACAGTAGTGGGGGCTTGGACCTAGCAGATGACTCGATGCAATACATTACAAGTACCACGAGACACATAACCCCTCGGGGCTGGACTCTTGCTCGTGGGTGGGATATGGTGACATTCTGGGCCACTCTCGGCGGTGACTTGCAAACGACCAGTGACTTCAATATGTTGTTTCGCTCAATTCATTGCTCATGCCTTTCCGAGACTGAGTTGGCACATTGAATACAATGTAGGTATGTGTTGCACAATGAGAGCAAAAATCAGCCGTGTGTGGGAGCACAGGTCCTTGTACATATTGCTCAGACAGATTGTGCATAATGAAGTTAGATTGTGTAAATGTATGTTCGCAGTGTACACCATACTGCAGGGCTGCTGACTATTTGTTTACAACTATTCTTTTGCCGGTCTGTTTTCTGTAGACGAACAAGGAGGCGTCTGGTACAATGAACCTTGGTGGAAGCTTAACGAGACAGGTAACCATGCAGTTATGGCCTTGTTTTCTGTCTGTTTGTTCCAGCCTAATGAATCCCCTCAGTGAAACAATTCCACTTAGTTAGTTTTGAAGCCAGCATGCAAACTACCAAGTAATAGATTTGCGAGGTGCGAGTCCTAAACGCCCAGCTCGTGAATGCGTAGTCCACGCAGTACGCACAGTGCATGGTGAATCAGGTGTATAGAGCCATGGGGGCATATTTTATTTTACTCCTGTTCGTACATGGTCATAGCAGTTGCAACTCGCGGATTATCACGCAAAGGCCAATGCTCAGGCAGCAATTCAAACAGTATCAGTGACCAGGTAAATGTGTGTAGTCTCACAAAATGTCTGTAGCCTGGGTCCATTGCCTTGTGTGTATGGGGGGGGGGGGGCACTCTTGTTAGTTTAATAGGTGCAATGTTATGTAGCTCCTATACACATGCCTATTAAATGCACTCAATCACCAGACAGCTAGCTGTTTCCACCTTGTTAGGTCCCCTCAGCGGAGCTCAAAGCTACTGGCCGAAATGATTGTAATGAAGTCTGATGAACAACAGCATTTTTTAAGCTGCTCAAATCATCAACGTCAGAGTTCTCTAAGGCGAGACCAAAAAAATAGAGGTTCCCGTGCCCTCCCGCACCAAAATTGAACTGAAGTCTTTTTTTTAAACAGTTCATATACATGTACAGTACTGATCGTGTGAGTAGATCTGTGACATGGAGTCACACAAACCCGGGCTTGTACGACTCCCTGATGTACAACTCAGGGCCGTCGTTGGCCAAATACCAAAAAAATGTATGGGTAAACCGCGTACCTGTTGTCTATAAAAAAAATTATATCAAAATTACCGGAAAATACTGTTAAAAAAGAGTCCGACATGCCATGCATACATACATACATACATACATAGGAAAAATAAAAAAAATCACCCGCCTTCACCAATTTCACATGGGTCCTGCCCGGAAAAAATAGACAAGTGGTCAGCCAAGACTGCCAGATTGCATACACACATATATGAAAAATAAGAGATGGACGCATATTATGTATTGGTACCGGCAAGAGTGCATAAACAAGAGTAGGCAACTGTGGTTATCGGTCAGTACGCGGCGCGCTGCCTTCATTACACAACTTGCCTCCATCACGCTCTAAAAGCATGTACTCAAACCCACAATTTCTCGTACGAGCCCATCCATTTTTGCTAGATTCGTTCCAGTACCTATGTGATCTCTAGATTTTGGCGCGTGAACTCCAGTTCCGTGCTAAAGTTCATTTCAAACCAGAGGGGAGGTGCTGTGTTTTTTCCGCAATGCGCGAACTGCCGTTGAATGATGTAATGAAGGCAGTGCGCCGCGCATCTGGCTCATAGAAAAGAGATCACAGTTGCATACTCTTGTTTATGGACTCTTGGTACCGGGTGTTTCCAAGATCTGGGCACCCTTCCCAAGTACCCAGATCTGGTAAATTTATCTCTACTCCCGTACATGCACCCAGCGCATGCGTCTCTTCAGCAGCAACTACAGCGGTGCACAATGAAAGACTAATTTGGTCTCTGGCACAGTGTAGGTGTGTGTGTGTGTGTGTGTGCTCTGGTAACACAAACATTTGATGCGCTGCATCCGAGGCCAGTTTGTGTGACAGTCTAAGTTAGTTTTCACTGCTCACTTTCCAGCACTGTAATTATACAGCTGTGCTACTGCCCCCCCCCCCCCCCCCCCCCCCCGCTCTCATTTTCTTCTCTCCTGTACTTTGGGACCTGGCAAAGGGCATTGTCGTTGTAGGCAGCTGATTTTGTGTTACATATACTGGGCCTCTTTGTGATTATGCAGATTGAACAGGACAATGCTGTGTCTGAGAACCAGCCTCATCTTGTTAATATCGGCCGCATGATCGAGGTGAGTTCACGTTGTGTTTGCTGCTTCATTCCTTGTGTCCGGTGTTTGTACAGCTGTGTGCTGCGCTAATTTGCAACGGCAAATTAGCTTGTATTGTCAGTGAGTACTCTTTTTTATGGATCATATGTGTGTGTGTGTGTGTACGTGGTCTTGTGGATTTGTTGACACACAGGACATGGAAAACAAAATCCGTGGTACGTTGAACGAAATTTACTTCGGCAAGACGAGGGATGTTGTCAATGACTTGCGGTGAGTTGACCCAGCGTGGCTTCTCTTTCCCAGATATTCCTGACGCAAGACCCCATAGATGTAAAGTCTGTCGTGCAACCTTTCCCCCACTATTTCAAGGGAGGCATCTCTTTCATTTTTTTACAGCCATTGAAACGACTTGCAAACACATGCACGCGTGCGACCAAGAAGTCACTTGCAAACCGTGACCCAGTTCACACGGTGCTGGGTAAACTTTGCACGCATCAATGTATCCATAGCGATCTGAAAATGCCGGGAAATATTAATTTTTTAATTTTCCCTTTGAAATACTAGTGCGCGCACTTTCGAAAACCGACCCTTTTGCTTGCGTGCAACGTATAATCGTGAGCACAAGGGCCCCCGGCCGAGGTCAAAAATCAGTTGCACGCGTGTGTCCAAGTTTATCTTCTGCGAGTAAAATATTATCCTTGGAAATGGTACGATGAAAGTGAGTTTGCACGTCGTGTGAATGGCCTATCAGTCTTGTTCATCATGTGCATTGCCGTGATGGAGCCAATGCTGTCCAATTGGCACTTACTTTTGGAAGTGGACATCAAAGTTCCTGTCAATGATTATTTGGGCCTGGGACCTCCAGATCTTTTGTTTTAAATCATTGTTACAGCACGACAGGATACCTATGAATGTCTATGTTTACTGACTGCATGTGCCCAGAGTGCCTACTCTGCGGAACACCAAAAACATAGATTGAGTTTCCCTTTCAGTTCTGCAACTCATTCCGACCAAAATTTACGGAAATGTGCACAAATATATGTTTTGGTCTGCAAGCAAATTGACTCAGTTAAATGGGTGGATCCATATATGACCATACAAGTTGTAGGCGTGTGACGCGTGACACATCCGGGAACGAAAATCTTCATGTAGACACATCACATCTTCATCCCTGGATTACTCGTCCCGGGACGAATATGTGGTGCGTGCTGAGGTACAGCATAGCTCCCATTTCGCTTTGTGATTTGATATATTTGCGTCCAACAGCGAGGCAATTCACACTCGTGCTCGAGCTGTGGCGAAAACAGCCTTGTTACAGATTCACCCTCGAAGCCATCTTCATGACTTCAAGAATGAAAGAATTGTGCATACATTGGTCTGCAGACTCTGCACTATATAGTCCAAGCTGCAGTTATGGCATGTAGAGGCGAAAGGACTGGATTCTCACCAAATTGCACAAGTGCCGAACCCCATTTGCCACATCCATGTACCCGTCTTGCCAGGCCAAGAGTTTCGTGTTGGCCGTGGTTTGGTGCACGGCTGGAAAATTCCCTGTCCTTATCATCAGGACTTGAACCTGGTGCCCAGTATTTCTCAAGCACAATATTAGACCGGTCCATTTTTCCTTGCCAAGAGACATGTGACTGTATTTTCGGGATGGAAGTATTCATAGGGCTTGCAAGTGCTTCGTCACAGCCAGTCCATGGTGCTGACTTTTGGCTACACATCAATCCAGTTTGGTGGAAGCAGGCTATTCCAATCATTGTTGTTTGTTCTGTTGTTTATTGTTGTCGTTTAGGTCTGTACGTAATCTTAGTGAAGCTCGCATGCAGCAGGATGCCCAGAGGGCTATTGCAGATGCACTGAAGCAACGGAAGTAAAGCCTAGCACTGGAATTCTTATTCTTCATTTCCTCTCCAGCTGACATCTTTTTTGTTTTGTTTTTATGTCTGCTATGGTCTTCCATAACACCCCTCATCCCCGGCACCATGCATTCCTGGTATGGCTTATTGTCTGTATTGTTTGAGATGGCTGTTATTCAGAATGCTGGGCTTAGGCCGGAATTTATGCACTTTTTGTAATGCTGTAAAGCCAGAAATTTCCGGCGAGTTTTATTTTTCGGTGACTTCGGTACAAGCAATTATAAATAAAACGCAACAAGGTCATGATACTCGTGCTAGTACTGTACTAGTAGTTGTAGAGGAGGATACCAAACTGACCGATACTGCAGATATAACATCACCGAAAATCTCTGGTTTTACAGTATAGGTACTTTCAAGATGTAGATCAGCTTCTCTTGATCCTGCTGGTGTCGGGAAGCCCTGCACATCAGGGATTCCTCAAAAACTTATACGTATTTGACGACTCCCGGCCTGCTGCACATATACCCGTATGTCTGCACCTTTAAAGCCATGACCTTATATTCGAAACACCGCTGCTTTCCTCGCTATTCTAGATGCGAAATGACCCACCTATTACGCCATGGCATAAAAGTCCACACGCAAAATTTCAATCTACATTCCCCTTTGCCCTTTCTGCTTGTCTGGAAGTTTTGTTAAAAATAGTACTTACCGCTTCATTTTCAAAACATTTCAAATGTTTCATCTACAAGGCCATGGCTTTACAACTGAGACTGGCTTTAGAATCGAGTACACTGCCATGGCTTTAAATAAAGGTGCGGACATACGGATCATGTTTACCAGTATGTCATTGACAGCATGTAACAAGGTAGATGACTTGTACGCCTGGTGTAGTTTTATTCGGACTGCAGCCAGAAACCAGCTGTTAGACGTAACTAACTTGATCTTTCAAGCAGGGAGTAGTACAATACTACTCCCTGCTTTCAAGCATGAACTTTGAGTAGGTGCGATTGTGCATGTACTACAGTTCATTTCAAAACTATAGACGCGTACGAGGTGATTTGTAAAAATTTTACATGGCATATTATTTTACAAATCGAGTAAAATAGCATTGTTGAGGGCGATTGCATTCTTCCCATGAATTGTTTTTGTTAGTTCGACAGACAAATGAGTTGCCATTGTATTGTAGTTTGTAAGCATCAGCAGCGTTTTGCGGAATTGTTTTCTTCCACGGCCTTGTGAGTTATCAATCATGGATCGAAATTCGTGAATTTGTGGTCAATGAGGTAAAATATCCCTCAATGGATACTTGAAGGACGTCCAAGAGCCAGAGAGCATATTCTACGGCAGGTGGAAACCCTAGGCTGGTCCCCGAGGCCGGTATTGAGTCTGCCACACTGTCAAGAGTAGCAGGGCTGAAGAAGAGATTAGCCAAAAAGGTGATGGTCAGAAACTGCAATTTTGACAGTAGGTGTATTTCACTCACCCGTCATGAACTTGAGGTGATTCAAATCCAAGTTCGAAGCTGCTGATGCTTATGGCGTACAGGTAAAATAATTAGCTGGTCAGTAGATCTACGTATGAAACTCAGCTTGCTACCTTAGACGTGCTGGTAGAGATTCATGACGGCAAATAGCAAATGCAGAAATGATGTGGCATGAATGTATGTTGGGTGTTGACGGCGGAGCACCCATTGGGGGTGGTCTGCAGTCTTCTTCCAACACAGAAGTATATGAATCAGGTGAAGGAGTCACTGCACTTGTCTTGGAGAGTATGGAAGCTCCGACACTGTCAGTAGGTGCTGGTTAAGTGCACTGTCGTTCAGATGCACGGGGGCACACTGTCGTGGGACGGCTGGAACGCATCATGGCTGGCTGGTATGTTTGATTAGTGTGGTTGTTTCACACATGACGATGAATAGCAAGTTGAAAGAATGGAGCAGCAAGATAAGGTCTGCGTGCTCATGCTCTACAATGCCGGTAGGCGGTCAAAGATTACCTACCGTTTGAACGGGAGTTGACGACGTACCGTGAGAAACCAATATGTTGAGCAACCTGCAAAACCAATCTGCTTTCTCTGCATGTGACTCGCTTCAGATGTATCTTGATTTACCATTGCAAGCTTATTGACACATTTAGGTCATATTTGTTGATGTTAGACCCTATTTTACTGACTTGTAAAATTTTGTACACACTTTTTCTGGGTGAAAAAATGCATGCAAAGCAACCCCACGCTGTGTCTCTCATGTTTGTGTTGTGCTTTCAAGAAGTTCATATATGGATAGAGGACATACAGAGTGACAAAATGAGACCATGCACACTTCAAAACTCGCCAGGGCAACGGAATGAAAGCCTTTTTTACTTTCATGTAAAATTATTACAAATCACCTCGTACCTAGGCAAAAACCGTTATGCCAGCATCTATACCACATAAAATCTGTGATCACTTTGTGCATAATTTTTTCCAAATTGGGCATCTGTTATCCAATCCTTTAGAAACTACATGAGAGTAATTGTGGAGCGATCCTGAGCAATATTCTGAAAACTATTCTTAAAAAGTTCCAGCCAAATTTGAAATATTTCAAAAACCCTACGCGTCTATAGTTTTGAAATGCACTGTAGACTACTACAATACATGGTGGTGTATCCAGGCATGACCGAAAAAGATCATACTCCTGCAGCTTCATACTGGTGAAGTGAGGTTTGGGTGGACACACCCATTCCAGTCTCACTGCAAATCTGAATCCATCATTTGTTCAGCCTTTCAAGTGTAGCATGGCACATGGCTCGTACATGTGTAGCGTTGGCACGCTAGTAACTTACACAGCTGCAGCGTGTCTTTCAATGTATTGGTCACGCGTGTTGCACCGCACCCTGCACTTGCAACTCTGTACCGTGCTTGCAGATCCATGACATGGATAGTAACTAGTCTCACTGTGTTCATGTATTACTCCCACACACTAGGATGACCTGAGGAATACTAGCACATGTACCCTGTAGACCCTTTTGATACATTTCACTTTCGACCTCCTTTTCATTTATCTACACACATCCTAATGAGAACTTCCTTAGAATTCCTAATGGCTGTCTTCCCGGTACCTCGTTTACGCCCATTGCCCACACTGTTATTCAGCTCCTTCTTCTGCATAGAATCAAATGGCATTCCTTGTGCAATGACTGTGGCCCACACATCTTACTGTGACCTTTCTTCTTCTACTCTACGTATCCCCTGGCTATAGGCTAGCTTACTTACACTAACAATTCCTCACCCTATAAAAGCTGCTGTTCACAATTCTCTTTACATGTATGTCAGTTTAGAGTTAGAGTCAGAGTTAATGTTTAATAATTATTAACAGTGTGTTCACTGAGACCCGTCTGCATTTGCCTCCGAGAGAGACTGCGGCCCGTTACAGAATTGGTGGCAGCGGTAAATTCATTTTGTTTCATTCTATAACTTACTTTGTTACTTTCCACGTTACTGCGATACGATGGCTCAACCTAATGTACCTGCCGGGGCACCCGCCGCCGCGCCCGCCGCAGCCCCAGCTCCGCCCGCGCCTGCCCAACCACCGAGAGGGGCGTACCATGTGCAGCCGGAGAAATACAAGGGTCGCCTGGAGGACAACTTCGCGTCCTGGCTGATGCATTTCGACCAGGTCGCCGCGGTAAACAACTGGACCCCCGTCCAGCAAACGCAGTTCCTGGGCCTCGCACTGGAGGGCGAGGCCCAGCTGTATTACCAATCGCTCCCTGCGGCCACCAGGAACGGAGGCCGCCAACAGCTCGTCCAGGCGCTGCAAGCTCGGTTTGAGCCAGTGCAGCGCGTCGACCTCCATCGCGCAACATTTCAAGCTCGTCGCCAGGCCAAAGAAGAACAACTGGGGGCTTTCTGTGAGGCTGTTCGCTCCCTGGCCCGGCAGGCATACCCCCAGATGGCCGCGGGAGACCTCGACAGTCTAACCAAAGACCAATTCATCTCTGGGCTCGACTCGCGGGGCATGCGGGTCCGCGTTCGGGAGCTCAACCCGCAAACGACCGACGGGGCACTCCAGGCCGCGCTTCATCACCAGGCAATACTCGCTGCCGAACTGCCCGCCGCGGACCCTGTGCCGATCCCCGCCTTTGCTGTTTCCCAGCCACTCGACGCGGTGACAGACCAACTGAAGGCTGTGTTAGACCGTCTGGCAACGTTGGAGGCCAGTCTGCCAGGACCAACTCGTCGTTCCCGACCTGACCAACCACCACAGCCCCCGCAGACGCAAGGCCGCACACCTGTCACCTGCTGGTCATGTGGTCGCCAGGGTCATATCAGCCGAGAATGCCGTGCCCGTCGTCCTGCGCCGGCGGGAAACTACCGGCGGCAGTGCTAAGTACCTCGGACACTAGGCCTGCCGCATCCTGCTCTTCCGGGACTGACGTAAGCACTGTGTTTATATGCCTTGCTATCTTGCTCCTTACCCACCCTGTTACGCTCACGATTTTAACTGTTTTGCTCGCTGTGCTGTACCGCCACCGCCTCCCTGATGTACGTGCTTTCTTCCCCAACCTCTCCCCATTACACCTTTTTTCGTCGAGCTTGTCCCGACGCGACCATGCATGCCGCCTCCCTGTAATACCCGTGACTGTGAACGCAGTCGGTTCCAATGCTTTGTTAGACAGTGGGTCTTCCAAGTCAATTGTGAGCAAGAAGCTGTGGGATTCTCTGAGGAATCGCCCGTCCCTGTCCCCTCCGCCTCCCTCATGCATCTTTTCTGTGGATGGCTCGTCCGTAGCGATTTTGGGTCAAGCTGAGTTGCACATTTCTGTTTCGCCCACCACCCCGCCTGTCCTGCATGATTTCTTAGTTGCCTCCATCCATCCCGAGGTCATTCTAGGGGTTGACTTTTTGCATGCCCAAGCGTGTTCGCTTGATTTCGCCGCTTCCACCATGTCCATTGCTGGTCAGGTTATTCCCCTGCATTCCCCCGCCCTGATCCCGTCACCTGTCCATGCCGCTTCGCTCTCCGCTGATCCCGTTGTGATCCCGTCCCCTGTCCATGCCGCTTCGCTCCCAGCTACTCCCGTTTTATGCACGCTTCCCGCTGCTGTGACCGTCCCGGCCATGTCTCATTACATCTGCTCTGCTAAAGTTGCTTCCTGCCATTCCGATAGCCCCCTGCTGTTTGAGCCATGTGAGTCTACGTGCAGTACCCACCACATTGTCGGCCTCGCTACGCTGGCTACCGTCACTGATAACATGGTGCCCGTCCGTCTGATCAACCCCAACGAGCACCCCATCACACTACCTGAGAACTGCCCGCTTGGCTCTCTGTCACCAGGCACCATCGACCCTTCGGCCACACAACCTCCTGCTGATTACCCCGCTGAGTACACCTCTGCTGCTGCTATCGCTCAGTCTGTCACTGCTATGTTCCACACCAGCAATCTGCCGCCTGACCAACAATCCCAGCTCCACGCTCTGCTAGAGGAGTTTTCCGACATCGTCTCAACTGGCCCATCTGACGTGGGTCGCACTCAAGTCATCACTCACGACATTCCTACTACAACGGACCAGCCTATTCGGATGCAACCTCGCCGCCTGCCTGTGCACCGTCAAGCTGAGGTACGTGATCATATTGACCGACTCATTGACGATGGTATAGTGGAACCTTCCGCGAGTCCATGGGCTGCTCCGATAGTTGTTGTGCGCAAACCGGACGATAGTATCCGCCTCTGTGTCGATTACCGCAAACTCAACCAGCGCACTAAGCGTGATGCCTTCCCGTTACCCCGCGTCGACGATGCTATTGACGCCATGCAAGGCTGTAAGTACTTCTCGACACTAGATTTGGCATCCGGTTACTGGCAGGTAGAGCTCACTGAATCTGCTAAGGCAAAGTCTGCCTTTACCACTCCGTTCGGCTTATTTCAGTGGAATGTTATGCCTTTCGGATTGTGCAACGCACCTGGTACATTCCAGCGCCTAATGTCCACAGTGCTTCGTGTCCTCATCCCAGCAATCTGCCTCGTATATCTAGACGATATCATTGTGTTCTCCAAGACGTTCCAAGAGCATCTCACCAACCTCCGCGCTGTGTTCCTGTGTCTCCGCAAAGCTGGTCTGAAGATCAAACCATCGAAATGCAACCTCCTACAACCGTCTGTCGTCTACCTGGGCTTTCACTTCGCCCACGATGGCATCCGTCCTAACCCTGGTAAACTGGAATCTGTCCGCACCTGGCGTCAACCCACAAGTAAGACAGCAGTTAGGACATTTCTTGGCTTTGCGTCTTATTACCGCCGATTTATTCCAAAGTTTTCGATGCTTGCCCAGCCATTGCATACCCTCACCGAATCCAAGGCCACGTTTGCTTGGTCAGATGCTGCAGCTCAAGCTTTCAATGCGCTGAAACATGCACTCCTTACCCGCCCGGTTCTTGCATACCCCATTCCGAATCACACGTTCATCCTCGACACCGATGCTAGTGACTTTGCTATGGGCGCTGTCCTCTCTCAGAAAGATTCCAATGGCACAGAGCATGTTGTAGCTTACGCTAGTAAGAGCCTTTCACATAGCCAACGCCGCTATAGTGCTACTAGAAAGGAACTTCTAGCTGTTGTCACGTTCTGTGAATACTTCCGTCACTATCTTGCTGGCGCACACTTCACACTACGCACTGATCACAAAGCTTTAGTCTGGCTGCACAACTTCACTGGCACAGATGGCTTGCTTGCTCGCTGGATTGAACGCTTAGCTATGTTTGATTACCGCATTGTCCATCGCCCTGGTAAGGCTCATGCTAATGCGGATGGTCTCTCTCGCAAATCTCCTCCACCGCCCGCCGAACCTGCTCTGACGAATGCTGCCATTAGTACTGATGCTCCGCCGCCTCCTTCATCGCTAACGTGGGTCCGTGATGCCCAACACCAGGATCCTGATGTCACTGCAGCCATGACATGGGTCCGGCAGTCACAGCGGCCTGATCGTCACAGCCCTGAACTGCAAGGTTCTAGCAGGTTCCGTCTCGCTCTCTACCATCAGTTCAACCGCCTGATACTCGACAACGACATCCTGTACCGCAAGTATGAATCAGAGGATGGTAGTTCGCACTCCCTCCAGCTGGTAGTTCCCCCGTCGCTCCAACGAGAAGTGCTCGCCTTACTTCACAGTCACATCACTGCTGGTCACATGGGTACCAATCGAACAACGTCCCAGGCCCGACCGCGGTTCTATTGGCCTGGTATGTCCGATGATATTGACCTGTTCATTCGCGCCTGTGAAGTCTGCCAGCGCCGCAAACCACCTGTACCAACACCTCGGGCGCCAATGGTCACGTCGCAGCCATCATTTCCTCTACAACGAGTCGGAATGGATATTATGGGCCCGCTTCCGGTGACACCACGAGGAAACCGCTACATTCTCGTCGTTGGCGATTATTTCACGAAGTGGTACGAGGCGTTTCCACTCCCAGACATCAGGGCCGAGACAGTCGCCCGGTATTTCGTTGACGGCTTCGTCTGTCGCTATGGTGCACCAAATAGTCTGCACACTGACCAAGGTGCCCAGTTCGAGTCCAACCTGTTCAAGTCCATCTGCGCCATGCTGGATATTCACAAAACTCGCACAACGCCCTACCACCCACAGAGTGACGGTCTCATCGAACGGTTTAACAGAACACTGGAGCGAATCCTCGCCACAACCATCAATGATCACCAAGATTGGGACCTCTATCTGCAACGTGCTCTGTTAGCTTACCGCATGAGCGTGAATGACACCACATCGTTTACACCTTTTCGTCTGATGTTTGGCCGAGAAGCAACTCTACCCATTGATCTCGTGTACGGCCCACCACCTGCTACGGCACCCACTACTGCCCCGAAGTACGTCCAGCAACTTCAAGACTCCCTGCGTAAAACATTCACCACTGCCCGAGCCCAAGGTGCCAAAGCCCAACAACGTCAGAAGAGGAACTATGATGGCAACGCTCCGCCCACACAGTATGCCGTAGGCGATCTGGTATTCCTGCACTCACCTGTTGTTCCTGCTGGCCAGTCTCCCAAGTTCCATTCTCCATGGACAGGGCCCCACCAAGTTGTCACTGTTCTCGACAATTTCACAGTCCGCATCGAAGCTTCCCGAACGAAACGCCGTCAAGTTGTTCACATCAACCGCCTGAAACGGTATGTCTGCCTACCGCCTATTGCTCCACCTCCACCTACTTACACTCCAATCATTCACCCCGTAATGCTACCACCTGTTCAGCCGCTCCCCCCTGCCCCTGTAGTTCCACCTCCAGTTCACCCCTACAATCTCCGGAACCGCCAAATGATCCGCCCACCAAACCGCTACTAATCACGAGGACGTGATTCTGTTTAAGAAGGAAGGTGTAGCGTTGGCACGCTAGTAACTTACACAGCTGCAGCGTGTCTTTCAATGTATTGGTCACGCGTGTTGCACCGCACCCTGCACTTGCAACTCTGTACCGTGCTTGCAGATCCATGACATGGATAGTAACTAGTCTCACTGTGTTCATGTATTACTCCCACACACTAGGATGACCTGAGGAATACTAGCACATGTACCCTGTAGACCCTTTTGATACATTTCACTTTCGACCTCCTTTTCATTTATCTACACACATCCTAATGAGAACTTCCTTAGAATTCCTAATGGCTGTCTTCCCGGTACCTCGTTTACGCCCATTGCCCACACTGTTATTCAGCTCCTTCTTCTGCATAGAATCAAATGGCATTCCTTGTGCAATGACTGTGGCCCACACATCTTACTGTGACCTTTCTTCTTCTACTCTACGTATCCCCTGGCTATAGGCTAGCTTACTTACACTAACAATTCCTCACCCTATAAAAGCTGCTGTTCACAATTCTCTTTACATGTATGTCAGTTTAGAGTTAGAGTCAGAGTTAATGTTTAATAATTATTAACAGTGTGTTCACTGAGACCCGTCTGCATTTGCCTCCGAGAGAGACTGCGGCCCGTTACACATGTACCGGTACATGTGTATGTGGGGTGACCGCCTCTGTGAGCCATCTCTTATCGTGCCCAGTTGGCGGTTTTCCATCGATAAGACACAACGAGGACCAAGCACGTCTCGATACCGGTGTCAGTGGATTGTGCGGCAGTCGTTTCGAGCGCACACTCAGTGATGTACGGGTGTTTAACCCTCGACCACCGACATGAACAGGAAAAACGAAGGAAGTATGAGGAGCGGGTCCGGAATGTCGAACATGGGTCGTTTGCCCAGTGGTCATGACGGCGTCAGGTGGTTTTGGGCGTTCGGCAACCAGCCTATATAAGGGAATCGCATCGCTGCTGACTCACAAGCGTAATGAGCCGTATGCACAGGTCATGGCATTTGCCAGGTATATTTCCTTTGCCCTCCTAAGGTCCTGTATAGTGTGCCTTAGAGAGTCTAGAGCATTATTTGGAAAATATCAACAAAGAATTGATCAACAAGAGCCTCCCGCCACGCTGGCAGTTTCTGAGGCAGCTATCAGTCCGTGCGCCAGATTCAAAATATCGCACTCTATTGCGGTTTAGTATTTCTCTCAGCACTTCTTTACAGGGTGCACGTGTATTTTGTGCAGGCGTTGTGGCCGCGGCGCCTGATTCCTCGCAAAAAAACCGGTACATGGTCAGATCGATCTAGCAGCTACTATCATTTGTAGATCATGCACTGCATGCACACTACGCGCTATAATTTTAATTATACGCTAGCGCATATAATACGCCAGTGGCAGTATACTATAGCGGTACCGCGCCGCCGTACGCTCGTACCCCACCCCGATTTTATGGCGAACATTAATTTTTACGCTGATACCAGGTACGAGCGCAAGGGCAGGTGACGTCACGTCATGACGCGAACGAACGTTTCCAGGACGATGTGTGCGCGTCTCGCGCTCGATCGAGGCCTCAGCTGAAAATCCTGAAAATGATGAAATGAAAGCGAACAACTATGCGTCGACGTCAGTGCTTTCAGTGAGTAAAAATTGAAACAAATTTTGGTTTCAGACAACTCAGAATGACCATCATTCTTGTAGATAATGTCGTCGATTCGCTGTAGTAGATTGTGATGACCCTGTGGATATGGTCATGATGGAAGAGGAGGATTATTTCGGAATGGATAGCTTGGGTTTCCAAGCAGACCCTTTCTCGAATTCTTCGAGCATTTCCAATGTAAGTGAAAATTGAATATCTCACCGGACTGCTATTATGTACTAGTTTTGTTTATCCCACCTTTCTCTTGCTAAACGTTTGGTATCTCTATTGCGTGCCCTGATTGCTGTTTTGCAGAGTCTTATAAGCCATGATAATCCTGGTTCTGCTGCTTCTGCTGCTGTGGCGACTGCTAATATTCTCTTGCTGAAGAAGAAGATTTTGTCATTGCAGTAAGTACATGTACAGCTGCCAGTATTTCATTTGCACTGTGCGAGAACCGCACACTTGTTTATACATGCATCAGTGCTTTGTGTGTGTGTGTGTGTGTGTGTGTGTGTGTGTGTGTGTGTGCGTGCGTGTGTGTGCGTGCGTGTGTGTGTGCGTGGACGCGTGTGTGTTTGTGTGTGTGTGTGTGTGTGTGTGTGTGTGTGTATGGTACATAGTGTGTGCATGCTCGCGCACGCGCACCCGTGCGTGTGTGTACATGATATGTGTATGTATGTATGTGTGCATGTGTGTGTGTGTCTGCGCGTGTGTATGTGTGCGTGTGTGTATACGTTTGTGTGCACGTGTGTGTGTGTGTGTGTACATGTGCACGTGCGTGTACATGGTGTGTGTGTGTGTGTGTGTGTGTGTGTGTGTGAGAGAGAGAGAGAGAGAGAGAGAGAGAGAGAGAGAGAGAGAGAGAGAGAGAGAGAGAGAGAGAAAGGGAGAGAGAGAGAGAGAAAGGGAGAGAGAGAGAGAGAGAGAGAGAGAGAGAGAGAGAGAGAGAGAGAGAGAGAGAGAGAGAGAGAGAGAGATGCCACTGGTTTCATGTGTGTTGCATTTTTCCCAGGTATTGTCCACTGCCAGTTTTGACCCAAATTTTGACCGTTCAACGCACCTTTGTAATGTGTTCATTATTAGCCTATTCACTATGTTGCTACTGTACTGTGTACTGGGTCTACTCGGGAAGTAGATAATTATGCTGATTTTTGTGCAAAGATGTGTGCAAAATGTACAAATAAGTTCCAGTAAATCGAGTACTAGTACTTGTTTCACATTCCAAGTGTGTGGGCGTGTGTGTATGTGCGCATGCGGGTGCATGTGTGTCTGTGTGTGAGCGCGCACGTGTGTGTTTCTGTCTGTGTGCGTGTATATCTGTGTGTGTATGTGTGTATATTATGTGTGTGTGTACGTGTGTATGCACATGTGTATGTGTGTGTGTTTGTGTGCATGGCCTTCCTTTCTATTTAGATCAGTTCACGAGGATCACGAGGAAAGATGTGCCGGTGAGGGTTTTTTCTTTCTGTCGGTCTGCACACATGTCCTGGATAACTTTTTTTAGAGAATTAATTTTGATAAGGATCGTAGATTTTCACCTTTACTCTAACGATTGATTGCTCCATTATGATTGTTAGCAAACAGTGTTTGGTTTGCATGGAAAAGTTGCTACGTTTCCCAACGTATGTCTACATAGTACCAAACAGTGTGCAAAAGTTAAAGTAAGCTCCGAAACATAGCCATTTTGAATTAAATTCAACCTCAGAGCATCGTCCTTAAGACCGGAATATTCACAGTGGAAACTGATTGAAAACTTCACAATAAGATGTTCTTTTGGTAATTTTCGGATGCGAAATTCCTGACAAGTAATCTATAGCGTACCGATTAAGGGCGATTCACAATACAACTTTCTGCGACGCGACACGCGATTTGCGACAGTTGCTACAAGAAACTGCCTGTCGCGAGCTGTCGCAAGGCACCTGTCGTAGAAGTTGAAGAAAGTTCAACTTTTGCGACATGCGACACGCGACATACACAAATGGAGTACAGTTTCGACCCTGGGTGCACGTGCATAGTACTACTTGTGCATGAGGATATCCGGATGTCGCAACAAACATGAAGACTATTGTGAACCGTGTGTCGCTGTCGCAGCTCGTCGCATGCCGCGTCGCAAGAAGTTGTATTGTGAATCGGCCTTTAGTTAGTTATTAGGAATTAACGATGATATTGAGTAATCGTATAATTGTTGCAGCCCTGATTTTGATTAAATGGGATCTCGTCTTATGGATGGTCTCAGTAGGTATCATGAAATACTTGGAGATTTTTGTGAGGATGCTCCAATGTGATGCTGCTAATTCTATGCAGTTGCACTAAATATTTGTGTTTTATTTTTGTGCTCCTCTTCTTTGGCATTGTAGTAGCCAAGCCCAGCGATAGTGCAGTGTTACTATTTCTTGTGTCTCGTGTTTGCGCTCTTGTGTCTTTTTGCTCCACTGCAGAGAATGCTGCGCTGAAAGCCGAGCTCGAGAAAACCAGGAAGCAAATGCTTGCGCAGTCACGGTATGTAGTCTTTGCCTGTGCTGTGCAGTGGGCGAGTGGATGTGCTCTGGTCACGAAATCTACGCGATCACCTAGTTGAAGTGCACGTGGAGCGTGTTCAGGGCTTGCTGCGAACTTGGACCAAGTGCCAAACGTGCTGAATTGTCATTGTGGCACCTGCCGAGTACAAGCGGAAGCTTGATTCTCGCGGAGTGGTTCTCGAAAGTGTTTCGGCTGCTCTGATATAATTTAGAGTAGTCGCCTGTCGGGGGGCATTAGAGTGATATTCTAACGACTTCATAATGGTTGTGTAAATGTCCGGCAGTGATACTGACATCGTAGAACTTGATTCAGAGACTATACGCCTCCGGGTGTTGCCTGGAAGATGTACATTTGGCCTTTTTTCCTATGTCCTTTTTCCACAGTATACTAGACAACTAATGTGTTTGGTATATTCTATTTGCCCACAGGACATGCTCTTTACTGAAGAAGCAAGTGCAATTGGCCGTCGGTGGTGGTACGCTGAAAGCGGTGAGTAATGAGATAACCTGGTTGTGTTTACATCAGTCCTGGTCGCCTAAGCTGGGAATAACACGCCATATTGTCGCGTATTAAAGCCGGGCTTATTTCTGTAGAAGCCGAGGTGCAGACCAGGATTCTATTCAAGCCGATATGTACGATGCTCTGTACAGGTACCATATCTGTTTGGCTTGCTCTGAAACAGCTTCAAGCACAGTAAGAAACTGTTGATGCGATCACGCAAAGTAAACGATTTTTCAACAGAAGTGGAGTGACATTTGGATTTATAACCGATCATTGGCCACCGTATTGTCATAAATTAAAATAGTGCAGTAAAAGACACAGGCGTTGAAGAACAAATGTAGGTGAAGGAGTGCCGATGTGCAAATTAGGAATTAACGATGTGCAAAACCCAGCGTGCTATCTGCTGAAGCCATTAGACACTTGTAGACTTGCAGTCACCTTCACTAACACCCTCAATATGAGTTTCATAGATTACACAATAATACGGTGCATGTGGTTTTTTGTGCAAGCCCTTATTTTGCACACCCAAGTGCTATAGGAAGAGCGCGTCCTAAAAATTGTTCCTGTGGTGCCTTTTTTTGTTCTTGTGGTGCAACATAGATGCAAGATCTGAAGAAGGAACTCGTGCAGAAAACTACAGAGCGTGAAGAAGCGCAGAACAGCTTGGCAGGCACACATGTATGTGGGATTGTGTTTGTGTGTGTATAATGTATACCGTTTACTAGTACGTATGTACAGACATCATTAATGTGATG